GCGCCTTTGTTGTCAAACCCGCCCACGGGTCGGGGCGTGAAGTCGGTTCGAGTCTTCAATTTCAACTGCTTCAACAGTCGTTCTGCATAGGCAACACTCACAAAGAGGTAGCCATTGGCTCCCGTATCAACCAAAACGTCGGTGGTGGTTAACGAAACTCCATTATTCGCTATGGAACAAGAGGTGAGAAAGGGTCTTCCTCCCAGCAACTTGCTAACGAAATCCGGTCGAGCTTCTGTCACACCGACTGTTGATACCAACCCTGAGAGGGAGTCGAGACTACCCAGGGTATCTAGTTTTCCGAGTCGGAGGCGCTGTCAGGCAGCTCAACCACCTTCGCAAGCTTCTTCTTGTTGGAGGCGGGTGCTCGGGGAGTGGCAGGCTCCTCAGCAGGCTCCTTCGCCGCCCAACGGCTTTGCAGGTTCGCAATGCGGGACTCGCGCTGCGCTTTCCAGTCTCCAGCTGCGGCTCCGCCGCCTGTCTTCTGCGGGCATTCCCGGGACGTATGTCCCTTCTCGCGGCAGACGAAGCAGCGGCCTTCATCATAGAGCTTGCGCACCTCCTCGGGTGAGAGCTGGGGAGCCGGGCTCTTGGCTTTGGGAGCTGCAGGTCTGGGATCCGAGATCTTCGGGGTCTTCGCGGCGCGTGGCGCGCCATCGCGGCGCGGGGCATGGCCATTGCCTGTCTGGCGGTAGGAATGCGAGATCTCTGCGCCAAGTCGGACATACTGATCGAACGTAACAGCGGGATCGAGGTACGACGGTGCCAACGCTCTCTGGAGGGTGCCGGGAAGTCGGCGCTTGAACTCAGCCTTCCACTCAACCTTGCTCTTGCCACATTCACCAGCAAGTCGTACAAAGTCGTTTTTAAAAGCAGTGAAGCTGTCACCCGGCTTCATCTCTAGCTCGATGAAGTCTGTCAGGGACTTCTCGGATTGGAGCGGGTCGTTGTATTCCGACCAGAGGTGAGCCATCAGCTTCTCGGACGTGTTGATTACGTCAGGGTGGGTTTCGCGGAGATAGGGAGCGAGCTCGCGAGCTGCCTTCCCACCTACCCTCCCCTCGATGTACCCTTGTCTAGCAGCATCGTTCGAGAAGTGGTCGCCATTGGCGGCGAGCTTATTCTGGAGGTTGCGGTACCAGGTCTCAAAGGTCGTAGTATCTTTAGCCCCGTCGTTGAGGAAGATAGGCGGGTCGGGTTGCTTTGCGCTGCGCCCCTTGCTCCCGCCAGATGCGGTTTCAGTGCTGCGAATAGAATGGTGGGTAGCGACCGTTCCCTCGCGCGCTTGCATCATGAGATCGGCGATGATCTGGTTAAGGCCCACGACCTCTTCGGTTCGGCTGTTCAAGTCTGCGTCATGGGTCGTCTTCAGATTGTCGGCGATGATCGGGACCCAATCGTGGATGTACTTCAAGTTACGGTCCAGGTCTTTGGCGATAGTATGGAGCTCTTCGACTTGCTCCGCGTATGCTGCGGTCAACAGTCCGCGCATCTTGACTTCCTTGAATACTTCGTCGGGGAAACGGGCAGCGAGATCCGCGAATTCGGTGGCATTGACTGTGCCATTGATCACGCCCGCGAACATGGCATCCGGTTTCTTGGGGTCGTCGTCGACCATCCGGGTAAACGGCATCGCAGGAGCCTTGTCCTTGTACTTGCCAGCGAAGTGGTCGGCAAATGCAACAAGCTTCGCACGCAGGTCTTCCACAAGGCTCTCGCGCGTCTCAGTGTAACGCACGTCTGGGAGTTGTGTAGTGACATCGCGGGTGAACTTCTCAATCGTAGCCGGCTCGGCGTCTTCGTCATCTTCGGCCACGAGGGGCTCTGCCTGGTTCAGCGGCACGTCGTGGATTGCCGACGAGCGGCGGCGCAACGGGGTATCTTTCTTGAGATCGTGACGATTGATCTCTTCGATCACGAACCGTACTTCCTTCCGGGCGCGATCGTCAGCGGCTGACTCGCGTGCCATCTTGGCGGTCTTCGGTATCCAACCCGGTTGGTTCGGCTAAACGCAGGTGGATGGATTTGGTTTGTCGGGTCGATTGAAACAACGCTTTCAATCTTTGATCTTCGGTTCTTCGGTGGGATATTAATTATACCTTCCCAGGTAAGAGAGATTGGTCTCAGTTTGTGACGAGAAGCAGATATTCCATGGGGTCAGGCCACCAGTCAATACAACTATAATATCGAAACTGAGACAAAGAGAAAAAGAGAGGTGGTGGGATCGCTAGCGATCGTTTCGTGGGGAAGTAGGGCGAGGCGCTATGCGCGCTAACCCCGATTGAGCCACAGTGCCATCACAGGCAACCACCTCTCGTGACAATCGGCACTGTAGACGGTATATATATCGCAGCGTATATACCGGTATTAAATTAATACCGCTAGTATAACCGGAAGTCTCGGTTATCGTAGAATGTATTTACTGTAGTTAGATCAGACTTCTCCTTTATATATGTATTGGCTGGTGTGGAGGGTTTGATATACGATGCAATACTTTACAACTAAGCGTTTAGTAGCAACTTCAAAGTTGCGCCTAGCCGGTATTATCTAGCCGATACAGGTTTTGGGATTCAGGATAAATTAACTATTCTATTCTAGAATATTAAATACCATCTCGAAGACTAGAGGAATATAAAGAACCTACCAACTAATGCAAAGGAACTATACAATTTACAGCACGTATATATTAGGGTTGTTGTTGAATAGGCCTTCGGTATTTTGAAGCGGATATAGAAGATTATACGGGCAACCGGTCCAGAATACAGCCTTAAGAAGCAAAGGAGGATTGTTTACGCAGTTACTAGGCTATATAACTTCATCCTAGTATATAAGAAGGAGCAAGAGGAGTTAATACTATCAGAGGTGGCGGCAATAGCGGCTACAAGGGCCTACACAGGTCACATTGTTAGAAGGCTACCATTAAAGAAGATTTAGTAACTAGCAGTATCGCTAGCTTAGAAAGATTACAATACCAACTACCGAATACAGCGTACAGCATTGTATACAGTCTGAATAGTAGTATTAGAATTAGCAATTTCGATATCGTTGGCGCGTATGCCCGGCTGGCTGATGTAGGCGCTATTTTATAGTGGGAGGCGGGGTTGTAGGGTAATTGTTAGAAGGAACTAGGCTAATAGAACTATCGAACTGGACAGATACATCGTTATAATTGTAAATAGTCGAAAATCCCCTACTAAAAATCAATTAAGTTTAAATAGAAAGAAGTACTAGAAATACTATAAATAACGTATTTACAATGCAACTAATTCAATTACTTTATAATATAGTAAAACGCACTTAAACTACCCCCTATCAATATATCCGTCCATTTCAATACACCTTAATTACAATCCTACCTATCTTTTTACCTACACCTCCTAAACCTCTGGTGCCACTGTATTCCAGATATTTGCCTACTTCGTTTCTATCAGCTTAGTAGCTAAGATATCGCCGATTATATCTAGTAATAGCCTCCTAGCAAAGAACTCCTAGAAGCTCCGCAAAGCCTTCTCAACTATACTAGCACCGACGATATTGTTATCGCTAGTAGCAGCCACCAGCAACTCTATCCTGTACACTACTCTAACTATTATATTATATAGGTTGTCCTTCTAGTTATACCTCCGCCCTCGGACAGCGGGTATAGGTATTTCCAGTAGCTGAATAATACTAATATCGCTAATATTCTCAGCCTCTATGTTACTATTTTCGTCTGGATCGTTAGTATCGGTACTATTAGAGTCGGAGGAGTAGTTATAAGATATACTAGCTAGCTTAATATATCGGCCGGTTGCCTGCTTGTAATAGAAGACCTCCGAATAGGTTATATAGTTGCCTAATAGCTGAGTCTATAACTATCCTACCTTCGGATACTTTATAAGGAAGCTTATCTATATATTTTCCGGTACTTATAGCAAGCTGCTAAGTTCGTTATAGTTAATACCCGAGATTGCTAGGAAAATAACGAATAGTTAGTACCGCTTCCTCTTATTCTTTAGCTTATCTACTACCTTAACGGCGGACTAGGGGTATTAAGGGTATTCAGACTCTATCTTCTTATATATCCGTTCCATCGCAGGCCTTAAATATAAAGCTTTAGAGTCCTTTATATTCCCAGTATACAACTCTTTAAGGAACAACTCTATTATATAGATAGTTATATCGGCCGAGAAGACCAATCTTATATACGGCCCTATACCCTCTACCTCTGACTTCTTCTTCAACTTTAACTTATTAAACTTCTTATAAATCTTCTTAACCGACTTTGGGCCCAGCGAGGAGGGATAACTTCGCTGGGATGGTGCCTACAACTGTGGGCGGTGTTGTTAACTATACGGTAATAGAGTTCGAAATAATAAATCGTTGTTATCGCTATCGTTGTTATTGCTAACTATAATCGGCTAGCTCGGAGGGGAGTTAGGAGGGTATTCGGAAGGGGGGGGGAGGGGATCGTTCTCCTACTACAATAAAGAAGGGTTGTCGAAGCCTTAGGAAACCCCCTCACCCCTTATAAGGGACTCGTTAACACTATCGCAATTATCAGAAATATCGCTAGGATCGCCCTCGGCCTACGTTAGCAGTACGTTAATATCTATTATATCCTTTGGCCTATACAATTATGGTTGGGAAGAAAGATAGCAACTATCGATAGAGATTTTCAGCCAGGCGCGCCAGTTCGCGTTGATGCCGTGGGCCGTCAGATAGGGCTTAGCCGAGGGCACAGGGGGGGGCCCAGAGGCCTACAGATATAAAGCGATCTACAACGCTAATGCGCTATTTTTAATGAGGTTCAGAAGTCACTTCTTATTCATTACTCTACATTACCCCCCGTTCCGATCAGGGCCCTAATATTTTTCAACCTCGGACTTTCATCGTGAAGGTTCCTTGGGTGTGAATTTTGGAAATGTCTCTTAAAAGTGTACGGAGGGTTGTAACTTTCCGGCAGGCAGCTGCGCAGTTACGCTCATCTAGCCGTCTTAGTACTAGCGCCATGAATCAATCCCTGTTGGGCCCCTCTTTCCTCGACGTCGTCGCAACGGCGGGGTAAAAATCACCCCGTCAGCCCCTTCAAAAATTGCGACAGCGGGGGGTCGCTGAATAAATACCACCCGAACCCGCCGAGGGGAGGCATTACTGGAGTCGCAAAGAGAGCGACCGCTTTTCACTCATTCTTCCAGTTCTCCAACAAACCACCACCATGACCGTCGACATCCTCTCGCTCCCCACCGTCTTTGACCGTAAGAATGCCTCCATTGCTCTTTCCGCAAACCCCCTTTCCATCCTCCACCCCATCCTTCCCAACCACAATACACCCCCCAACCAAAACCACTCTGATGACCCTCCCCAATTAAGACTAACACCCCCTTCCCCCAGGACCGGTCCACATCGCCGTAATAGGCGGCACCGGCCTATCCTCTCTACCAGGCTACCACCCCGTAGCCGCGCTCTCCCCGACCACCCCCTGGGGCGCGCCCTCCTCCCCCATCCTCATCCTCGAGCACGGCGGCGTGCCAGTGGCCTTCCTCGCACGACACGGCTTGCACCACCAGCTGGCGCCGCACGAAGTCCCCGCGCGGGCCAACATCGCCGCGCTGCGGGCGCTGGGCGTGCGCACGGTGATCGCCTTCTCGGCGGTCGGGTCGCTGCAGGAGGAGATCCGGCCGATGGACTTTGTGGTGCCCGACCAGGTGATCGACCGCACCAAGGGGGTGCGGCCGTTTACTTTTTTCGAGGGCGGCGTGGTCGGCCACGTCGGGTTTGCGGACCCCTTCGACGCGGGGCTGGCCGCCGTCGTCCAGCGCTGCGCGGCGAGCATGCGCGGTGATGGTGTGCGTCTGCATTCCGGTGGGACGATTGTCTGCATGGAGGGCCCGCAGTTCAGCACGCGGGCTGAGAGCCACATGTATCGTGCTTGGGGTGGGAGTGTGATTAACATGAGCGCGCTGCCTGAGGCTAAGTTGGCGCGCGAGGCGGAGCTGGCGTACCAGATGATTTGCATGGCGACGGATTATGACTGCTGGCATTCGACCGAGGATGTGGATGTGGCCATGGTGATGAAGTACATGGCGGCCAACAGCGAGAATGCCAAGCACCTGGTGGGTGCGGTGCTGGATGAGCTGTGCAAGCTGGAGAACAGCGAGCTGGTGTTGGCCAAGCACTGGGCGGGGAGTGCGCAGGGCGCCGTCAAGTTCATGACCAAGCCGGCAGGGCGTGACCCCGAGGCGATGAAGAGGGTGGAGTATCTGTTCCCAGGGTTTTGGGAGGAGTAGAGGGTGGGAGTTTGGGTGGGAATTTTGTTTGGGCGCCTTGAGAGCGAGGGTTTCTGGGAGTTGATAGACACGAGAGATGATAGACGTCCCGCAGGATGATAGACCAACGCTTCATGATTTTGTCACATTGCGTGGCCACTCACGTGGACCCAGCTTTTAATATGGATGTCGGTATAAGGTAGGTATGTATGCAGGTATCCTAAAGGTATTCCAATGCACCAGCGACATGCTCCAACAGAAAACAACACAAAATATCCCCCGAAACATAACACACGCACGCCACAACACCCAGCACACCTTACAAGAAGCAGCAAAACAAGTAATAAAAAAAAACTAAAACAGCCCTCGCTCTATCGCTCACATCAAAAGGTACAGCGCCCTGACAGCCTTCTCCGCCACGGCCACATGCCACGGCCTGACGTCGACCTCGCGCTCCGTCACGCCCCTCACGCGCGCCAGCGTGCCCAGGCCGCGGAAGTACGCCAGCATCTCCCGCAGGAGCACGTCGTACATGGCCCTGGCGTTGTCGCTGTACACCACGTTCACCTCCATCGCCACCGGCGCGTCCTCCGGCCTCGGCCCGGCCCGCTTCACCAGGTACCCGCTCGCGAGCGCCGGGTTGAGGTCCGTGAGGGACGCCGAGTTGTTGAGCCTGTGCGAGACGACCACGCCCCAGGTCGTCTCGGTTGTGTCCATCAAGGTGGTGTCGCCGCCGTCTGCGTCAGATTGGTTGGGCTGACCGGGTAGTTGTTGGTGTTGGTGTTGGTGTTGTTGAGATGAGGAGTCGCCACCGGGGGTTGTGACACCTATGCCGGGGCCGGTGGTGCCCATTGGTGTGGAGGGGTTGCCAGATTGGTCGGGAGAGAGGACGGATAAGGGTTGCGGGGTTGAGACTGGGGTGGTGTAGAAGACGGAGGGGGCGGAAAGGGGGATCGTGGCGACGGGCGGGATGAGTTGGAGGGATGGGTCGGTGTCGACTGTGAGGAGGACCAGACTGACGGTGGCGCGGGTTTCTGACTGCGCTAAGCCCGTCCAGAGCTCCATCTCTTGCTGCTCCATCGAGGTGCACTTAGTGATAACGACCCGCCAGTGAACTTTGCAGGTTGAGATCAGGCTATGGGTCGTTTCCCAAATCTCGTGGATGACGTCTTCGAGACTCCTGGATAGCGGTTTGCCTCGCCTGCCGAGGCAGTATGAGGCCATCGACTGGGTGCTGCCCCTATTATCTGTCCATGCGGCAGTGACCCACCGCTCGTCCACGCTCCGTGCGTATGCGACATGGATGCATGAGTTTTCCCGCAGTAGGTTTGGTGATGGAGTGGGGGCGAGCTTGAAGTCGATGCCCCTAGGCAGCGCCCGTTCAAGCATGACCGCCGGCGAAGGCATGGGCCCGCCGAAGAGCGTGCAGCGGTCATACGTCTCTAGGCAGAGCTTCGTGCATTCAGACGGAGACAAGACGACCAGTGACGTCTCCGAGGCAACGGCATCGAGTGGTACGAGCTGGAGCGCCAAGTCGTTCGAGATGTGTTTTTTCTTATCCATCATGCATCTCTTATAGTGCTCGAAGAGCTCCTGGAAGGCAGAGCAGCAGTCCACGATCGAACTGGGATTCCCCGGCGTGTATGCAAAATACACGACAAAATTCTTCTCCGATATGGACAGGCCAGCGAGAGACATGGCAAGATTCGTCATCTGGTCTGTGTATGCTGACCGGGCCCGAGGTAGATTAAGCCCCGGGGAGGTAATGTCGTGGTCAGTCGGGAGCAAAACAAGGCCGTCCACGATGCTGGCAATTGTTGGTAATCTTTCAAAAGCACCAAGCTTTAACGACTCGTAGGTGCTTTGAACCCTGTCTAGAAAGGCAGATGCATTGTCCCGCATCCCTTCAACCTGAGGGAAGATGCACACGGCAACGACGCTTTTCGGCCCCTGCACCGGCCCAAGGCCCAAGGTATCCCAGAATGATACGGCAGATGGGAGCACCGAGAGCTGGTTCTCGTAGCGCCGGACTTCAACATGAGGTGTAGGAATGAGGAATATGCTCGGTTTGGGGTATTCCGCCGGCCTCACTTGCACCCGCCCGTTGGGTTGTACGAGGAGGGGCACATCCTGGACCTCTGTAAATGGGCGAAGTCGACATCCGACCGCCCCGGCCAACGATCGGGGGAGGGCCTTGTGTAGGCCCTTGACTGAGTAGCGGATGGCCTTGATCAAGCTTCGACGCAGATCCTGAACCTCTGAACTCTGGTGCTGCGGAGCCAATTTGAGGGATCCGCTTGCTGCCTGCTCGGTGAGGATCTGTGCCACCGTGATAAAATCGTCGTCGGAAACAGATATGCGGAGCGGCGCCGGCTCTGGATCAGCAAAGTATCTGGAGAGGGAAAAGTCGGGAATCTCCGAGTTTGACAGCCGCGACAGATCGACCGGTCCGTAGCCCGGGGAATCGACCGAGATATTCTCCAGCTCCCTGAACGAGGCCGCCATGGATATGACATCGTCCTCCGGTCGCCTTCGCACCACGGTTGACTTGGCTGGCGACGAGACGTGGCCTATTTGGTCGCTCGTATCCTCGTCCAGCGAGGCCGAGCTGCTGTCACCTGAATCTGAGCGGGTGTCATCTTGCTGTCCCGATCCGTTAGCAGTAGTACTGGCTAACTTAGCCAAGATGCAGCTAATATCAGGCGGTAGCTCCTTGAGATTCCTGCGTTGCCGCGCGGACCCCAATAGTCGGCCAGGAATGAGCGGGTTGCCGTTTTGAAGTGGCCCGCCCCCTTTCTCCCTTAGGGTTGTAGACGTGTAATCAAACGGCCCTTTCTCGTATTTTTTGATGGCAGGCGACAGGTCCGGATCAAAATCGACCTTCTCAAACAAGCTGCGGCGTCGGGGAGGGCCTCGTTGGGTGGATATTATCAACGACGGGGGTCGAATGGATGCCCGGATACGCTTGAAGACGGTCTCGGGGTTGAAGGGACTCGGGTTCCTCTTGATCCCAGCGGTAGAATTACGATTAAAGCTTTCCATATTAGTTTGTTGCCGATTCTCATCGGTTAGTGTGCTGCGTGCGTGCCTCAATTCGGGTTTGGTGAACTGCGGAGAAACCGAAGATGCATCGATTTTGTCATCCACGGTAGGGACTGCCGGGGTTTGTTCTTCGAACAGGTGATTCTCATTCTCTTGCATCCCCATCGTTGAAGACGCCAGTTCCGGGAGGTCAGACAAGTCGATATCGCCGGAATCCGGATGCTCATCGAAAAAGTTGAAGTCGGCATCGGTAAGTTCGTTGCCTTCGAACATGTCTTCTCCCAAATCGCCGAAGAGATTATCCTCAGCGAAGTTGACCGTTGCTGGCTCAGGCCTTGGCTCGGCGCCGTTCCAGCTCGCATTGAAAGTATCCGGCACTGTGGCATCCTGCCGCATGGTGGTGTGACCATCGACGGCCGGGTTCGTGACTGGTTGGCCGGCCGGGCTCTGGACTTGACCGCCGTCGAAAGACGGTGTGACCCCGGACAGCTGCACTCCATCTGGAGGCGTGGGATACATCGTCCCCGTCGCTGGGGGTTGCGTGCCGTTCGCCGAACCGCGCCAGAGCGCCATGGGTGAGTATCCGTTTGTCTGTGGATGACCTCGCACGTCCGGCTCAGCAAGCTCGCGCGCCAAAGCCGCATCTCTTTCCTTCTTCCTCCTTATCGCGGCGTCCTCTCTGTCAGTGACTCCTTGACACCATACTTTTGCCCTGTTCAAGGGATCCAAATGGTCAGCGCCCGTCGCGGTCAGCGCCTTTTCGAGTGGCACGTCCAGCATCGTTTCGATCTTGGGCTTTCGAAAGCAAAGGACGGCAGGCCACGGCGCTGTTGAACCCGGGCCAACAAGCGGGGTTCTCTTTCCATCCGCCCTGTGCTCAAATGGCTTTTTTTGGAGAAAGTGTATATTCAACCAGGAACAGCCGTCCAGCAATGAAGGCGACATCCCACTCATTTGGAGTAGCTTGCAGCATGTTGTTTTTAACTGCAGGAACTTATCGCTATGATCGGACCTGAACCGGCCGACCTGAGCCTCCGGCGATTGGCCGTACCCACCGTCTGCAACCTGGCTTTCCGTATCAACGACGCTTTGAAAGGCCCCGAATGTCCCGAACGGCGCGGCAAGAACAGTCGGACCGGCGTGTAACAAACTTGACCGTAAGACGTCGGCAGAGGAGACTAGGCCCTGGAGGACGGACACATGGAGGGCGATAACGAGCGACCCTGTGGTAGTCAAGTATATCCGAAACGTGGCGAGAGCCGAACTCCGAGGCGCTTGGCTCCAATCGGCATCGCCAGAGTTAAAAACCTGCGGAGGCAGCAAAGCGGAACGGTTGTTCAACAGGATGGCGCCGACGGTACGGCAAAATGACGACGTTAGAGACGACAAGACGGCAGTGATAAAAAACTCATGGATCTCTTGTGCAGGAACCGACCCATACCCTTTGACGTCGCCGACCGGGGTTGATGCAACCTTGCCGTCCACGACCACCGGGGTAGGGGGGAAGCTGAAGGGTTGGGTGCCCCTCGTGTTCAAGTCCAGGGCAGAACCAGCAGACGACGAGCTGTTCGGTGTGTTGATCGCGGTTGTTCCCGGTGGCCTGTTCTTCAGGAGCCCAATGGGCTCCAAGTTTCCATCTCCGACAAGTCCTAGGGGGTAGCCGCAGACCTCCATCCGCGCGTGAAGGCCAAGCCGCTCGGAGTGACTTGCAGAGGTGGAGTCACCGGACGAGAGGTAGAAACACCATATGCCGCGCCGAACGGCGTCCATGTACACCAAGTGGCCATCGCTGCGCAGGGCGTCCTCGACTCCGCTCGCGTTGAAGGTATAGGTTGATGATTGGGCGGCGATGGGCTCGTATATACGGAAGGAAATTGCGGACAGGTTGCTCTGCGTGGGATATGTCAGCGCCATGGTCTCAAGGTAAGATGGTTGAGGATAGCTTTGGGCAACGTCTTACGATCAACAAATTGTTTGTCTCATATTCCCCTGCGTCCATATCGGAGGATATGCCGCGCAAGGCGTGGGCTTGAGGATCGGGCGGTCATCCACCGAGGCCGGGGGTCGAAGACACGAGTCTATGAGGAGCCGGCGCATACGGACGGAAGGTTGCGCCGATCGGAAACTGGATGCAGGTGTGATGTCGGGGGGCTGTGCGGCTTCTTCCCGGCGAGGGCGGAGTGTTTGGATCGAAGGTGTCGTGCTCTATGCGCCAGGCTGCCGAACTCCATGGCAGCGGGCGATGCTATAATCGAGCAAAGCTCCGCGCGAATCACGAGTGACGTGCTGCAAGAGACATCCAAGCTATGGACGGATGAAACGAAACGCTGGGAAGTCGCGAAGGTCGGTCTCGGGTCGCAAATGCAATACAGCAGATGTGTCAATTCAACGCCCCAGCAGAACGGGGTACTGTTCGCGATGCTCCGGTATCGATGGAGTGAGTAGAAAAGTTGATGCGATGATAATACGGAAGCAAGCTTGTGTCGAGGGGATGTCTAGTGCAACTTCAGGCACTTGACTTGGTTCTTGCGTTGTTCCACCGAAGGCGCGAGATCAGGTCAGCGGGTCCAGGCACGCCAAGGGCCCCGCGAGCAGGGGTGGCACATGGGAGTCCGCCTCAGAGAATTGGGGGTTTTCCTCCTCAGCACTTCAGCCATCAACATGTTATCCGGCTGAAATCTTGACGTGGCGATCCCGTTTCGTTGGTTACCTAGGAAGGTAGGTAGTTATACCTAAACTCGTAACTTCAAGGCACGAGGTACGGCGGGACAAAAAAATATAAAACCATAGCACCCATGCATGGGCAAAATAAACCGGGACTCCATCCAACCTGGAAGTGCAGATGTCAACCAAACCTCGACTGCAGGTACGAAACGAAACATAGCCATCCGGAAGCCCAAGGAGCTGTGTTTACTTAATTTACTTTTATGTTACTCGTTATCTTTTATTTTATTTTCTTTTGCTTGATTTCTTAATTTGCTTTGGAGTTCGGCTTCTTTTTTTTGGCGAGAGGGTGCATGAGCATCTCAAAGTTGAAGTCCAGAAGCACCGGCCCCACACCACGGAGTCTCCCGGCCCTGCACAGACAATGGAGGGTCCAGGGACCCTTCACCAGGTCCCTCCCCGCCTTCCCTTTTGAGCGGGCGGTCGAAACTTTTTGGTTTTCTGCCTTCGGCATCCAGAGCTTGCAGCTTTGCGACTCGGAAATTTCTTGTCGAGGCAATACCCATCATCCACCATGAAGTTAACAAATCCTGGGACAGTTCCTGTGTAAGTATCCAATTCTTCTCAAATTTTTGACTTAGGTATTCAACACGATAACAGAGTCGCTGACGAATTGGCGCAGATACACTGTCGCGGGGCCATCCACGGCCAGGCCGCTGCCAGATTGGCTTGCGCGCCGTAGGAAGAGATCGTCCAAGTACGACCCCGAGAACCTCAACAATTTCGAGTTGCTCCAAGAATTCGAGTTTGAAGAAGGCAAGTCACCCTGCGCCTCTCGTCAAGCTCTGTTGCCCGTGCAGATCCTAACCCTCGTGGAATAGCCAGCAACTGCGTCCGAATCAGCGAAGATGGCAACTGGATCATGAGCACAGGGACATACAAGCCCCAGTTTCATGTTCATTCAACGCAAGAGTTGTCCCTGTCTTTCTCCCGCCATACGAAATCCGAGAACACGACGTTCCTCTTCCTCGGTTCCGACTACACCAAGAGTTTACACTTGCAGAGCGACAGGTCGCTGGAGTTCCACACACCAATGGGATGTCACTATGAAGTGAGACTCCCGCGGTTTGGCCGTGATCTTGCATATCTGCGCCAGAGTACCGAAGTGCTCATCCCTTCGGTCGGGCTGGGTGCAGATGGATCCGGTTTTGGCGAGGTCTTCCGCTTGGATTTGGAAAGAGGCCAGTTTCTTCGCCCCTGGCAGATCGACGTCGGCAAAGACGCAGATGCGAGCGGATTGCAGGGGAGCATACACGTCGGCTCTGTCAACGTGGCAGCGGTCGCGGAGAAGACACACGGTCTCTGCGCGTTCGGTACATCGATCAGCACAGTCGAATTTTACGACCCGCGGAGCAAAGGGAGAGTAGCGGTCCTCGGAGGTCACGACGGCGAGGTCACCGCGTTGGACTACAGCGATGACGGCTTGTCGCTTGCTCTGGGTACGAGCACCGGTCAAATTCGCGTGTTCGACCTGAGAAACCCGCGTCCTCTCATGAAGAAGGACCAGGGGATGGGACTTCCGATCAAGAATCTAATCCACTTAAAGACGCCGACTGACGAGCGTAAGCTTCTTTCGGCCGACAAGCGGATCATCAAAATCTGGGACGAACATACGGGGGATCTTTGGACATCGGTTGAGCCGTTGGTTGATCTAAATCACGTTACTCATATTCCAGATTCAGGCATGATCTTGACTGCGAATGAGGTATGATTTCAGGGCTCAATAACCTACCCGCAACACGGTTGGCTAACAGAACGGCATAGGGAAAGCACATGCACTGCTTCTTCATCCCGAACCTGGGACTGGCCCCGAAGTGGTGCCACTTCCTGGACAACTTAGTTCATGAAATGGAGACCGAGACGCAGACCGAGACATACGACAACTACAAATTCCTCACAAAACCAGAGCTAAAATCTCTCAGCCTGGACCATCTCATTGGGAAAACCAACTTGCTCCGGCCGTACATGCACGGTTACTTTGTTGCTGCTAAGCTGCACGATCAGGCCCGCCTCATCGCCAACCCATACATCTGGGAAGAGGAGCGGGCGAAGAGAGTCCGGGAGAAGGTTGAGAAGGAGCGCTCCAGCCGCATCAGAGGTGTTAAGAAGGTCAAAGTCAACCAGAAGTTGGCGGACAAGATCCTGCAGCGGCAAGAGAGGAGAGCCAAGGTGGACGTTGAAGCTGGCGTCCTCGGCGATGCTCGCTTCGGCAAGATCTTCGAGGATGAGGAATTCAAGGTCGACGAAACCAGCTATGAGTTCCGAGCGCTCAACCCCAGCACTAGAGTGGAGGGGGCCGCGGAGCAGGATGTGCGTTTCGCCGCCAATTCGAGCGACGACGAGAGCGACGACGAGAGCGACGACGAGAGCGACGACGAGTCCGAACCCGAAACCAGGAAGCCCAAGGACGACGTGGTCATGCAAGTATCCTCTTCGACGACGAAGGGCGGCAAGATTAGAGACACGGCGATTGGCTCCAGGGCTCAAAAACAAACACGCACCGCAAAGATCCGGACGAACGAGGTTGTTGGTGAACAACAAGTCACATTTGTACCAGAATCCAAGAAGAAGAGCAAGCCACAACCAGCGCCGGCACCGAGCAGCCGACAAGACAGCAGGAGGAGCGCAAGCACCAACACCTTCCGCCGGTTATAGACGCCTCTTCCACTCCAGTCCAGACCCTATATTATACAAGCAAAATTGTGGTATCCTGGGGTTCATTCCCTTTGTACATCAACATCACAGCCATGAATCCAGCGTCCCTCGTCGCTATTTGTCCCTTCTAATCACCGCGCCGCCAACTCTCCAACCCCTGTGCAGCAACCCACGGCCCCCAATGTTTCGTTTTAGCATCTCACTTGCGGCTGAAGTTTGCGCGCTTCTTCTTGGGCTTATCAAGCCCCTTCTCCAAATCCAAATACTCGGGCTTGATCCTCGGCGTTGGTGGTACGTCGTCCATTCTGCTCCGGCCTTCCTTGACGGACTTGGGGAACTCGGATCGCCGCGGCGTCAGAACGGTGACCACCTTCCTTGCCGACCTCCTGATCGTTTCTCGGACTGTCCACTCGCGTTTCTTGGCGACGAAGAAGAGGACTGAACTGGCGACTGTGGCGGGGAGGGTTAGTTAGGCTCCCGCGGGGAATTGGCAGGAATTGGTTGGTTGAACTCACTGCCAACGAGTGCTACCACGACTACCACAACTATAATGGCGATCATAGCGCCTTGGGAGAGCACCACCCCGCCGCTGGAGGGACCGGCCGCACCGGCGGTGCTACCGTCGATTTCAGGCCCAGCTCCGCCGTCCGCGGGGAGGGGGAAGTAGTCTGTGTCGGCCATGTCGTTTCCGTTTGATCGACCGTCCGTTGGATTATTTGTTTGCGCACCGTCCGTCTCTGGAGACAAGTATGGTCTAGTTACAACGAGATGAACGATAAAACGAGCGACCGCGGGACCAGCTGCGGCGTGTGGGAGAGAATCAAAGGAGGGAAGTTGGAAATGTGATAAACAGGGAGGAAAAGGAAAGTGTGCGACTTTGCCGCTAGGATGTGACAGGCGAGTATATAGGACGGGAACCCAAGCCAAGAAGAGGGTGAGACGGGCGACTGGCCAAACACCAGATTCTAGCGTCGTTACAGCACCAAGCCCAAGACATCGCCCTCCGTCTCTGATCCTATAACAGCCTCGATATGACTAACCCCGCGGTGCCCTTCGCCCTCCCCTCCGCTCCCCGAAAAAGCCTTTCCCTGTGACCTGTGATGAACCGATGCTGCTATCACTCCCCCGGTCCCCGGTTCGCTGCTGCTGCTGCAGCGGCCATCACCCTCGGCACTTGCGCGGCACACAATTGGACCCCTGACGGAGAAAGGGTTTGAGACCCAGCGCCCATCACCTCAACCACACTCAACCACCGTCCCCCGCCTCCCATTGGGCGCGCGCCGTAATCGCACAAGCGCCCGCCCATGTGGTGGCACGGCGCCCAGGCAACGGTCGCAACGAATCAGGAGCCGGCTGCCAGGGGTCCCTCAGCAAGCCCACCCCCCTGCCCGGCGATGCCAAGTCTGTTTATGCAGGGGATGACGGGACGGGGCCGGCCAATCATAGGGGGGTGATGTGTGCGGCGGCGGCTCGACGGTGGGGGCGATTGGAGCGCCGGCCGCACGTCACATCGTGACTTCAGTTTTGGGTTCTGCTGCTGTGCCAATGCAATGCGTGTGTGTGATGTCGGCCGACGGGAGCAGGCATGTCAGGCACTTGAGAAACTGAGGGGGTTTTAGGGTTTGGGTCCTTTAGGGTGCGGCCGGTTTTGAGGGGAGGTGCCGTTATGGCGCAGTTCTCGGGACGCGCTTGCAGGAGTGTATCGTGCATTGAGGGATCTGGGTCGGTTTCGTTTGAGATTGGGTTGTGTGTGTTGTGTTAGGGAATGACGCAATTCGATACGGCGTGGTTGAATAGACTTGGGAACGGAAGTCGGAAATTCTCATCCTTGTATTTTGTATACAAGGAAAAAAGATAGAGAGAGAAGCGCTGGTGCCAGGGGGAGTTGATCACTTACCTCCATACGGATAGCAGTTTGTTTGCTATCAGAGCATGTACCTCGGCCTCTCTTGGGGAGGTGGTACTCATGTTCTGGTAGTAGGGCGAGCATCTCGTTACAAGATGCGGTGGTGCCTGTCCCTATATTGCGGACCAGTTTCCTGGTCCTTGAGGTTAGGCTGCGTGTATCTCGAGGTTTCAGAACCCGCCCTTCTGCGATTCTTGGAGATGTATTGCCGAAATGGCAATTGTGGTAGCTGACCGACGGACTTTTAGTACCCTCGCCACCACCAGCAGCCGAGGGAGTTGTCTCAGAAAAACCTCACGCGGCTTTGACGGTCAGCTAAGTTGACTAGGAATCGAACTGTTAGCGTTACGGATTGCAGTGTGATTTTTGCAGCAGGAAATACTGCTAGCTCGGCCACCAGCGCTCTCTTTGTTGTTGGGAAGGTGTTTCGCTGTTCCTGGTTATGGGATCATAATATTCCGTCCAAGATCGAGAAGCGATCCGGTTGAGTGACTTGCCAGTTCTGCCGCAGTCTAGCTACACTAGTCGAGCACGGTATCTCTTTACTGCCTACCTAACCTAGGTAGTTATTTAAGTACCTACCTATCGATGTGATTAGTAGAGTACAGTCGCTTATGTATATCGCTTGTTTGTCTTGAGATGAGGTGGCTTGCGGAGATGGACTAGGATTTGGACAGTACCTAGATTGTGTCAACGTCTAACTCATAGATGAGAGACCGGAAAACAACTACAAACATATCAATAGAATTACTTTTCTCGGCGTTGTTGATCTTATTGAAGACGCTATTTAGGCCCAGCAGGGCCATATTAATGCTTCTTGGTTACTTGCAATGACGTTCTGGATTGAGCCGACCCTAAGATCAAGCTGCCTGAAGTTCTTATCACCATGGAAGTGAGATTACCCTTGATTCCAGCAAAAGGACTCAGACCCGGAAAGTTTAATCCATGCTTTGACGGACCATACCCGCACCGTTGTGCTTGCTCATGGTGCAGGCGCGAGTCTCCCGCCCTACGTACCCCCTCACTTCCTCAGTGGGAAGGCGCGATAAACTTGGGGGCAAGCACTCAGGCTGATGCCCAACATTTGCCTCGTTTACTCTGACTTTTAGAGTCGAATATTATTCCTGTTAGCTGAGTTTCCAAACCTGTCCTCGCCCGACTCAACACTGTCTTTCTTCCCGCAAGTTGCTCTATCGGGGTTGCTAGCTTCCTCTTTCTCTCTTTCTCTTCTGCATTACGGACTTGCCAATCAAGGCAAACTAAGATCTTGGTCAGGCAGTCATGGCACATTCATCACCCGAACAAGCCCGAATACTCGATTCCGTCGACCAATTACCAACAGCAGACAACGTCGGTGATTACGCAGACGACTTCGGGTACCATAATGGAGATCCAGCAGTCTCCTTTGAACAGCAAGAACCATTCTGTATTCCCCAGTCGTCTCCAAAGTCCAACGACAAAGGTCACCATGACCTTTCGGTGGAAGGAACGAACGGTCACAATGATTCTCACGACTCCATGCTCTTGGAGAAACCATCAAGTCTTTCCAAGCACCCGGACTTAGGTAAGGGGTATGAATATGGCCCTGCAGTACAGTTTACCCCTGGCTTTTTCACAAGCATCCCAGGAAAACAAGCCGTTAAGCAAGCCCCCATCCGCCAAAAAGGCCACTCTCAATACCCGAAAGACAACTTCTCATCAGGCTCGGTTCAAGGAGCTTGCGGTCTTCGAACTTCTTTCTCTGCTATTGGTAACGAGCCGACCGCAAACGTCACTACGAGCAACCTCCCTGTTGCTAGTTCCCCGAATCGAGCACCACCCCCCACAGCAAGCCATAGCCCTCTGCTAAATGACCACGGAAATTCGGACAAATGGGAGGTAGCGAGGGGCGTCCCAGGGGCGACCAGGAACCCCCCTTTTCCAGACTCCTCCCCCAAAGAACCCACAAGGCCACCCACCCAAACCCTGGCGACCCGGGTTGGAAACAAGCCCCCGAGTGCCCCGGGTGAGGAGGAGAGGTCAGCCCAGGCTTCGGCCGCGGTCGGGGGACTGCCGTCCAATGCAGTAGCGCGCATCTCTCCACCGGCAGCACACATCTCTCCACCAGCAGTACGGGATCGTAACCACAACGCAATTCCGAGCTTTGGATCCCCCTCTCGCAAGCAACAAGAATCACTCGAGGACGCGGCTGGGGAAGGGAGAAGCAAGCCTCAACACCCCCCACTCGTGCCACCAGCGGGTGGCTCTCGCCGCCTCGGGGAAGAATCCATGGACCGGGCTCGGAACTATACAGTAAATCGGCCGGTGAAAGAGATTCAGCATGTTGGGCTGACAAAGTCCATTCACCGAGTTCGCCCAGTGTCGCGGAGTTCGAATGTGTCTAAGCAGAGGTTGGCCTTTTTGCATGTCCTCGTTAAAACACCAAATACTAAGGGTTGATTAGGTCGAGATGCGGATCTCTAGCCTCCAGTCCAATCATACGGCAACGGAGAGTCAACATTAGCCATGAGTTCACGACTGGGATGGCCGGTGTCATCAACCAATTTACGCAGCAGCAGAGCGCTGCTCTTGAGGAGCAGAAGTCGAAATACCACAAGTACATCAAACAACTCAAACGGGACCTTGCCGATGAATCTGGCGTAGTCGCTCGGCAAATTTCCCAGATCGATGCGCAGACAAACCAGATCAACGATTTACGGGATTCGCAAGAACAGATGGTGGGTCGATTAAAAGACATTGAAGCCAAGTTGGGAGCGTCCGAAGACCGAGCCCGAAAACTCGAAGAAAGGTATCGCGCCTGCAAAACACACCTCAACTCCGCCATCCAGGAACAACAGGATCTGTACACTCGTTCGAAGAAGCATTGGGGAGACGCAATCGAGGAAGTGCGCGCTATGGAGAAGTCCCAGAGCTCTGAAACGGAAGCGGCTGTTCGAAAAGCGGAAGTGATCAGAGAACAAATGGCTGAGAAGGTCCGCCAGGCCATCGCCCAGAACAAGAGTGAATTATCGGAGCGTGAGTGATCAAACATTGCGCGTCTGCACGTGGAAACTAACCCTCTGTGTAGTATACAACAAGATACATTCCCTCACGCTCGAGGTCAATGAGAAGGAAGCTGAGCTGAGTCGAGAGCGGGAGTCTGTTAACTCCTTGTCCGAAAAGCTACGTGATCTCCAAGACACCTCCAGTGGATTTGAAAAGTTGGCTGTCCAGGGAAAGGAGATAATGCAAAAGCTAGGAGAGCAATACGAAAAGGCGGAGGAGCACCGAAATAACTCCGCGGAGGAGTTACGGGAAAGGTTGGTCTTATTGCGGTCGAACGCAGAGTTGATGACTGATATGGCCCTGGTAGGCTTAACGTGATTGTCACTCGCCTCGAAACGCTTTCCAACTTGATGTCCGGGCAACCAGACGCCATGTGCGGCATTCGGAAGGCCCAAGATGAATCATTGAATAGGCGAGTACCCAAGCCAACACGATTTGCCCGTTCCTAACTGACCTACGAAGCGTTACGTCTAAGCTTGACAGTATCCTGGGGTCACGAGCTGCGGCCGCGGAGGCGACCAGCCAATTGTCGGCTGACCTTGAACTTCACACAGGGAAAATATGGCAGCGCCTTGACAATCACCTCGAGTCACTCAGTAAGCAGTTGGCGGAGAAAGCAGAGGAGAATGGCATGGTGTCAACGCTATACAAAAGGAAAGACGCCGAATGCGAGGAACACTTGAACGAGCTCGCAATGTTGAGGGCGACCACGGAAAAGCAAGTGGACCAAATCCATGAACTCGAAGCAAGCTTGGTTGTCTCAGATGCAGCCCAGGACCAGAACGAGGAGACAATTCGACGGCTGGATGAGCGGGCCACAGAGACGGAGCGGCTGAGAGAGGAGGTCAAGTCCAAAACGGCCGCCGTGGCCGAACTGCAGAGCAGGCTCGATGCGAAAGAGGCAGCGTTTTCTTCCGAACTCCAGAACTGCAGCTTGAACATACAAAAGCTCGCTCATACACTTCACGAGAAGGATCAGTTCTCGACTAACGCGGCTCAACAAGCGGTGGAAGCGGCCCGTCTGGATATGCGAGCCGAAATGGAGAAGGCCCACGCAAAAGCCGAGAAATCCCTCCGGGAAGCGACAAAAGATCGGGACGCCTTGGCTTCCCAGGTTGAAGAACTTAAACGACAGGTCCAAGAAAAGGAGACGAGTGAGTCTCGGGGTGCTGCCACAATGCGTTCACTGCAGGAGAAACTCGCAACGGAGGAAGCTAGGGGCAAGTTGGCGGCCGAGCAACTCGCACAGCGTTCAACCGATTTTGAACAGGCCAGGAATCAACTGGCAGCTCAGGTCAAAGCCTTAGAAACAGAACTTATGACGGTCAATGATCGAGCAGTCGGTCTGAAGACCGAAAGTCAGCGCCAGCACACCAAGTCCGAAGCGCTCATTTCCGCCTTGAAGCGTTGGGCTCACCAAGAAGGGACTCTCGCTGATGGGTTGGATAACCTTGGCGACAGTCATGACGATGTCGAGAAAATAACCGAGATCCTGGCACGTACTCTAGGGCCCATCTCGGTTCGTCACAGCCCGCAAACCGTCATTCCTTATGCAAATCCAGGTGATTCACGGCTTTGCCAAAAGGATAAACCCATCCAGGAAAATCTCAGAACCCACACAGGGGTTGACCAGCTTAAGGAGAATGACAGTGGCAACGCACCGGGGAAACATCCAAAGACTGACACTGATGTCGTAGAGGGTACGTTTGAGAACGACCCGTTGCCGTACGCATCAAGACTGCACCACATGAGGCGTGTTGTCGTTCGCAGCCCGGCAAATGTGCCGAATGAGCCGGCCGCACCCTCAATTGACCAGGAGAAGACGCGGAGACGAGAGGGTATGCAACCAAAGTCTATTATGAAGCGAGTCACTAGAAGCACGTCCGGCATGTTGAAACAGGGGAATGCCGATCCCGCTGCAGGACAAGGAGCCTTTAAGAGAAACAGAAACGACGAGTTCTCCAATGACTCGACCCTTGTTCACGAACTCGAGGGCACCCGCGGCGACACCAGGGCTATTTCGGCATCCGAGGCAGACGCAACCGAGAGCACGAGCGAGGCGTTCTCAAAGCCACCCGTCAAACGAAGGCGCTCAGAGACGGTGAGACCCGATAACTCGGTGACCTCCTTCAAAAGCTCCGGGCAGGAAATGCAGGGGGAGTCATCGAGGCCGACTCCGGTCTCAAATCCCGGAGTGGCGGACTTTAAAGACGAGGATACGGTCGTTGTCCAAATCAAGAGTCAACGTCAGGGAAACCCGTCCAACACTAACGGTCCTCGCGATACTTTCAAGTCTACATCAGTTCGTAAATCACGGACGTATTCAAGATCCGACTCACAGGGCTTGCACAGAGTACCGTCAACAAATACCCGCCGAGCTCTGGGCTCAAAACAGACAAACATGCGGACTTACGGCTCGCAAAGAACGGCCGGGGAACATTCGGCGGCCGGCCAATACACGGAATCCCGCTTCCCACTACGGTCACAGCCGCAGTCTCGGTACTGGCCGCCGAAGCCGAAGGATGAATCGCAGGAGTCGATGACTTTCTCGCAGGGTGTCGGTACCGACGGGACTTTGTTGCTTCCTTTCTAAGCCTGAATTACGTGGTTCGGGTGCTGGTGCTTTCCATAATTTACTTGATTCGTTTTGGAGGGGGTGGTCTCACTATGTTTAGGGGTTGTTTGGTCCGTTGTACCGGCCGTGTTTGTTCGTGTGAAACGAGAAGGGGGCAATAAAAGATCAAGAAGTAAGCTGGAACGGAAAAATGTCGACATGGGGTTGGGGTGAGCTTCGTAATTTTGGAGGCGATATAGAACCCATTCTCATGATTGCTTGCCCACGACCGTGATTGCCCGAATTGCTCATGTGAGAGGGAACGAATAAATTATCGAATCGGACCCTCCAGAACGTCGAAACAATGCAGGTCCCAGAAAGACAACGATCCACCGTGATGCCGAGACCTTGACATAATTTCTTTAGATTTAGTCCGTCTCCCAAACCCTAAAAACGCCGGCCGTGCTGTCATGGTATTTTTTTGTACTGTACACTGGCGAGTCCTGGTATAATACATATCCTTGGAGAGTCGTGTCGCGAGGATTGCCGTGCCCTCCTAGGCTCGGACCGGGTCGAGAGATCTTAGTATCCTTCCTTCCCGGTCCGTGGGTTCTGGTCCGCCCCTCTCCTCGAGCCCCTTGCCTTTGCTCCCCATCCCGCGAATTTCGATCATTTGCCCTTTCGTTTTTGTTCCAGAAACAAGACTCTCCTCCTGACTGTTCAGACACACGGGCGTTAGTATTCATTGTTGCCCGTTTATTATCTCTCCCGATTCTCTAGGTAGTTCGAGGATCTCGCGACTGCGTTTCTGAGCTTCGAAAAGGAGGGGTAGCTTAAAGGGAGGAGACGGATCTCGGGGGAATCGTACTAATGGGGTCGTATTTGATCATGCTCATGGGCAGGGACGTCCGCGCGCGGGTGAATGTGTAGAAGTAGCCTGTCATGGCCATGGAGAGGAGGCGCACATTGATAATGCGAGACTTGGCTGATGGAACATTTTGTTAGTTGAATTCCTACTGGCGGGGTCGGTTTAGGAGTGTGGCTGTTGGGGGGGCATACTCTTCTTCGCCATCTTAAACTGGTCGGTTGCTGTCCTGGCGCGGCCGCCCCTCTTTTCTTTGGCTGGTCTGGGAGCGCTATCGTCGTCGTCGTGGTCGGCCGATTCGAGGTTTTGCGGTTCGGAGCTGCACGGACCTCGACGGGACTTGCCAGTCACCAGTGCCAATGCGCACGGGCCGGGTTACCGGGGTGGGTCAGGTACCGTTTCCATCCTGGGTCGAACCGCCGGGCGAGCGTTGATCCGGATTTCTCAACCACCTACGAAGGATGTATGGACCTTTCGTGAGAGTTACTTCGTACCAAGTCGACCTCTCTCTAAGTCAAGCCCACCAAGCAAGTGGATTTATTATTAATTTACTTAGGAGGTAGTTTGGTAACAACCTGGGAGCTATGTAAAGGCACCACCTCCCTCATTGAGGTGCTTCTTGGCAAATCGAGAAGCCCTGTCAAACTAATCGGGTTGGAGAGCGAGATGAGGCCTCGACAACAGCAGCTGCCAGAGTCACGCGGGCCGCTGATTTCGCCGAATTATTGTCCGACTTCGCTGGCGGCGCGGGCGTGGGTGACCTGAAGGAAGGCGTTTATAGGCGTCCGCGGGTGTCACACCGCCCGCATAATCTCCATTTTCGGAGCCACGCCGCCCCGGAAACACAATAAGGGCTCGTCCGACCTTTCCCGGTCCTACTGGGGGAAGTCATCGTGTTTATTCCCAGCCATATTCCTCAATACATTCAACTCGACGTCGATATGAAAAACAGAGGTTAATCGCCGGTATGTCGCAACAGGAAGAGGCACGTTTGGGTCTTGTGCCAATGGATGAGCTAACAGCGCTGCTGGCGGCACCCCCACAGCCCGCTCATACGCCACAGCCAACCTTCTTCCTGCGCCTCCACTTCTCCAACTTTTATCACGCTCCGTCTTCAAACTCGCTGCTAAATGGCGCCGTTGCTCAGGCAGCTTGCCCGCAGTGGCACGACGGTCAATCGCTCGGCATTAAGGCCTGGCGTGGGGTCCATCGTCTCATGCCAGGCTCTGCAAGGTTCAACCTGCGGAAAAGGTAAAAGAATTAACTTCTTGTCTCTTTTGTAGTGCTTTCTTTCGTCTTCTTTTCCCCTGCTTGGCTTGCCTCTATCTGTTTCATGTTTAACCACCGGCATTTGCCTGGCAACCGACTCGGTTGTGCGGCGTATGTTGTTTCCCCTGACCCCTGAAACATCAAATGGCAGCCGCCGCTCGCAAGGAAGCCGGCGGGCTCCCGCGCCCGGTTTCGGCCTACGGCGGCCCAACCCAACAGCAGTGAGCAACACCCGACAGTGTTTCCGGGATGGTCCGCTCAGGCCAACCTAGGTCAGTCGGGAGTCGGGAGTCGGGTGACAGGAGACAATTGCACATGGATGCGCTGATTACGTCCGGCTGGGCTTAGTATCTGTAGCCTAGCATACGCGGCATTTCATCAGCCATCCTATCCGCTTTCGTCCTATCATTTCATGATTTTATTACCCTCACGCATTCTCTTATTATTTACGAACCCCTCTTCGAGTGTCTCTCTATCCAAGTCGAGAATCCTTTCTCCACCCAACTACTTCCTTGTAACCCCTCAACCCCGGCCGTGGACCCTGTTTCGACTCACTCACTCACTACAACCCTTCACCCCTGGTTCCAGTGTATTGTTTCTCTAACAATCCACTCTTTCTTCCGCAGTCTTCTCCAGCCCTACCACTTCTGCCCCGCTATCCTACTCTACCACCTCGCTGCCGCTTCGTTCAGGCCGCGGCTTTTCACCCGTTTTCAGGAGTATACCGTCTCAGCAACAGCGCACCATGTCGTCCAACCCGGGCCGACGGCTCAACATCGACAACATCAACCCGCACGTCCGGTCCGCCAAGTACGCCGTGCGAGGTGAGCTGGCCGTCAAGTCGGAGGAGTACCGCGCTGCCCTACACAACGGTGCGACCGATCTGCCTTTCAACCAGGTCATCTCGGCCAACATCGGCAACCCGCAGCAGCTCGACCAGAAGCCCATCACCTTCTTCCGCCAGGTCCTCAGCATCCTGGAGAACCCGACCCTGCTCGAGAAGAGCGATGTGTTGGTGAACCACCTGGGCTACAAGCCCGACGTGCTGGAGCGGGCCAAGAAGCTGCTTGCCGCGGTTGGCTCTGTAGGTGCCTACAGTGCTAGCAATGGCGTCCCCGCCATCCGTCAGAGCATCGCCGACTTCCTTGAGAGTAAGTGTCTGATGTCTCATGCAACATTTGCTGAACTGGAGCGGTGCTAACCTACGCACAGGGCGTGATGGCTTCCCCGCCAACCAGGCCGACGTCTACCTCTCGGCCGGCGCCTCCTCAGGTGTCAACACCCTCCTGCACGTCATCTGCGCCAACGAGAAGTCCGGCATCCTCGTGCCCATCCCGCAGTACCCCCTGTACACCGCCTCCCTCTCGCTCCTGAACGCCGCCTGCGTGCCGTATCTCCTGGACGAGCAGAAGAACTGGGGCACCGACCTGGCCACCATCAAGGCCGCCCACGAGAAGGCCGAGGCCGAGGGCGTCGACGTGCGCGCCATCGTCATCATCAACCCGGGCAACCCGACGGGCGCCTCGCTCGCCGAGGAAGACATCCGCGCCGTCATCGACTTCGCCCGCGAGAAGCGCCTCGTGATCCTCGCCGACGAGGTCTACCAGACCAACGTCTTCGTCGGCGAGTTCATCAGCTTCAAGCGCATGCTGCGGCAGATGCAGCAGGAGCAACCGGGCGCCTACGACGCCGTCGAGCTGGCCTCGCTCCACTCCGTCTCCAAGGGCATGGTCGGCGAGTGCGGCCACCGCGGCGGCTACTTCGAGCTCGTCAACTTCGACCCGCAAGTCCAGGCCGAGATCTACAAGTTCGTCTCCATCATGCTGTGCGCCCCCGTCATCGGCCAGTGCCTGGTCGAGCTCATGGTCAACCCCCCGCGCGCCGGCGAGCCCTCGCACGAGCTCTACGCCCGCGAGTACGACGCCATCTTCGGCGGCCTGCGCGAGCGCGCCGCCGCCCTGCACCGCGCGTTCGAGCAGATGGAGGGCGTCCAGTGCGGGCCCCCGCAAGGCTCCATGTACCTCTTCCCCACCATCGACCTGCCCCGCCGCGCGGCCGAGGCCGCGGCCGCTGAGGGCCGCACCCCGGATGAGTTCTACTGCATGCGTCTTCTTGAGGCCACGGGCGTGTGCGTCGTGCCCGGGTCCGGGTTCGGCCAGAAGGAGGGCACGCTGCACTTCCGTACTACTTTCCTTGCCCCTGGGACGGAGTGGGTCGGCAGTATTGTTAAGTTTCATGCTGAGTTTATGGATAAGTACCGCTGAGGGGGGTTGTTGTTCTGGAAAAGGGAAGGGCGTGTGGTTTGGGGGAAAGGGATAAGGAGATGCTTGGATGAAGCAAGGCGTTTGTGTTGGGTGTTGGTTGGTTGGACCTCAAAAAAGAACAAGAAATACGGTCTACCTGGTATTTTGATAAACGGAGCATCGCATAGCATTGCATGCCTTGGTTTAGTTTTAGATGAGCCTTGGGTTTGTGTGAGCGAAGGGGGAAAGAGAGTCCGTTCCACTCAGTTTTAGGTTCTCTGCCTTGCTTTGGGTGCGAGCACGACTTGATCTTGTCGTTGGCCCTTGGTTTCGACATGTTTGGGTGCCATGAGAGGATGGGGTCTTGCATTCACAAATCATCCCGCATAGATAGAAGCCTCGTTTTGCTCTTCTAGTGAGGTATCATACAATCCCAGCTCTCCATGTGGTCGTTCATCGGCGACGGGCAAGCTACCGCCTTCTAAGCATTGGCTGTGCTTGTTTTTGCAATTGATATGTATCTACACCTCGGATACAACCACCCGCCCGCCGCCAACACTATCTCTCACCGCCTACGCCCTCTCACTCCCTCTCAACCGAACCGCCTGCCCGTACTTCTGCAGCTTGGTGATCAACTGGTCGCCCTGGCGTACCACGTCCTGGTACTGCTTGTTCTTGTCGTCGGGCCGGTTTGTCTCGATGACGCCGTGGCCCGCGACGCGGTCAATGGTGCAGGGGATGCGGCCGGCGGCGATGAACTTGGCGAGGTCGCTGGTTAGACAGGTTAGCATCAATCCGGGTATTACTATGATCAAGCAAGAAAAGGACAGGAGCAGCTTACCGGTCCAAAAAGTCGACCGTCACACCAAAGTCGTTGGCCATGCTGTCGAGCCCGACGACGCGGTAGCTCTGCAGCAGCTGCTGGTAGGCGCGCAGGCGCATCTCGCGGATGAACCAGCCCTTGTGCTCATGCAGGTAGCGGTCCTGCGTGAGGAACTGCTCCTCGACGAGCGCTAGCGCCTGGAAGAAGAGCTTGTACCGGCCGTTGTACAGGCTGCTCACGAGCTGGGCGAGCGGGCCGAAGTCGACGGCCATCTCCGCCTCGGGTTGGTCGACGCTGGTCCCCAGCGTGGTCAGGTTGACGGCCGTGATCTTCGCAGCGGCGGGCGCCGCACTGGCGTCCTGCATATCGGCGTCGACACCCGGACCCGCGGAGATGGCGCCCGTCAGCGCGAGTAGCTTGTCCTCGCCGTCGCCGAGGATAGCCCTGATCTCGGGGGCATCGACGACCTTAGACTTGAAGTCGACGCGCTTGAGCGAAACTGAGCCCGCGAGCACCGCGTAGATGACCAGGTTGCTGTAGCTGCAGAGTTCGTATGAGGTGAAGGTCGACAGGCTGTCGAGCAGAAGTGGAGCCGCGAGGTTGTAGCTGCGGGCCGTTAGGAGGTACAGACCCTCGTAGGCCTTGAGGCGGTTGCGCCGGTCCCAGTCGCCGCCGCTCTCAACCAACGCCTTGGCGCGCTCAACGTGCTTCTTGACCAGGTGCTTGTCGCCGTAGAAAAGGCCCATGCGGATGATGGCGAGGACCAAATCGATCTTAGTTCCCAGGATTCCCGTCTTCTCAAACACGTCTTCGTATGCCGCGATGGCTTTGTCCTGCAGGATAACGACGGTTAGCTGGGGCTTTGTATCAAGTATTGCGTGGCCTACGCACCTTGTCGCCCACCCTGGCCCAGAACTCGGCCCTCTTGCCCCGCGCAGCCTGAATCTCCGTCTCGCCAGCTTGCTCCACGGCGTCATCCTCCTCCTTCTGAAACTGTTCCAGCTCCTTGTCATTGTCGGCCTGCAGCGACTGGTACAGGGCCTCGTCCCAGGGCAGGTTTATGCTGCCGGTCGAGCCCCTGGTCGCGATCATACCAACAAGACTGCTCTTCCTGCTCGTCGGCTTCCCGGGGACATTCGAACCGCCCTCACCAACTCCGTTCAGGATGCCGTCTATCGGGTGTGCGAGGTAGCGGTAGAAGGGGGCCATCTTGTGCTCCGAAATGGCATCCTGGACCTGCTTGGCGGCCGCCTGTTGGGCCGTCTTGGGGGCGTCTGGGTTGGTGAGGGAGAAAACATGCTGAGCTAGGGGCAGCAGAGGCCATTTCGCGTATTGAGGATCTGAGCCCATGGTTGGCGTGGTCGTGTGGGAAGTGGGATGTGTTTATGAGGGGAAGTCGATGAGGGCAGCTCTTGGAAAGGGAGGCCACTGTTTGTTCGAGTTCAAAATATCGCCAAGTTTAACAAGATACACCCAGTAGCATTCGGTCGGTCGGGTTATTTTCGGGAACGTCTTGATGTTGGTGTGGTGCAGATGCAAGTTCCAAGTGGGAAGGCGGGAAGCTTGGGTCAGCTCTCCCCAAGAGTCGTTGGCTCAGGCGAGATCCGCAAGGCTGCCAGAGCTCGCGTCACTGCCAATGCGGGTTGCGGTGCGAGATTCTGATTCGCTATCGCAGCGCTGAAGGCGGGGCCAGAACCAGCGCCAGCCAGAGTGAACTTCGGCTACCCCTGCTGAAGGGAAGGCCCACCCGCCCCGTCTCACCTTCAGTTCTCGATTCTTCAACCTCAATTGCAATTCAACAAAGTACTAGTACACAAAACGAATTTTAACAATACTTTCCCCTCGGTTTCAAGTCTTCTCTTTCAAATACCGCGAATTGCTCATTACAATTGGCACATTCCACTCGCAACCTCACGGAACAACAACACAAAACGCACAACGACGCCAGCGGCACCTTGATGATCAGCCATGGCCGGCGATCACGACAACGATGACCTGCCGCAGCCTTTCGACGCGAAGAAGCTAGCCCCCGCCAAAAAGCGACAACGATCCGCTTCACCCAGCGGAAGCGGCAACGCAAGCGCCGCGGGCGACCCCCCGCGCAAGCTCAAACGGCCCGGCCAGCGCGCCCGCATCACCGACGCCGAGCGCGAGCAAATCCGGCAGCGCGCTCTCGAACGCGAGCGACATGCCCAGCAACAGGCGGCGGAGGAGGAGTCGAGGCAACGATCGGGCATCAACGATGTGGTGCGCGCGCACTACAACGCGGTCCCCGAGCGCGGCCGTGAGTGGCGCAAGACAGACAGCCGGATCAAGGGCCTGAGGTCGTTCAACAATTGGGTCAAGAGCTGCATCATCCAGAAATTCTCGCCCGATGAGGACCACGCGCCCGGAGCGATGGAGCGGGGAATCAGCTCCGGGAACAAGCTGTTGGTGTTGGACATTGGGTGCGGCAAGGGCGGGGATCTGTTCAAGTGGCAGCAGGCGCCGCAGACAGTGGATTTATACGTTGGCTTGGATCCGGCGGAGGTATCAATTGATCAGGCACGGGAAAGATACCGGGGCATGGCAAACCGCGGGGGTGGTGGGCGGGGCGGTAGGGGCGGCCACCACCGGCGTCCGCCGCGCATCTTTGATTCTCGCTTCCACGTCAAGGACTGCTACGCTGAGACGATTGGCGACATTGATATTGTGCGACAAGTCGGCTTCTCAGGCTCAACCGTCAGTAGCAATCGCGGGTTTGACGTGGTCAGCATGATGTTTTGCATGCACTACGCCTTCGAGACTGAGGAGAAAGCCCGGCAGATGCTCAAAAACGTCTCGGGCGCGCTGCGCAAAGGCGGGCGCTTCATCGGAACCATTCCCAACTCGGACGTCATCACCAGCAAAGTCTCTGCTTTCAACGAGCGCATGGAAGAGAAGAAGAAAGCGAAGGCCGCTGCCGCCACCTCAACCGAAAACCCGTCATCCGACCCAGCCCCGTCCAACGCCACACCCGAACCCACCACACCAAAAGACGACGGCGAACTCGAGGAAGGCGAAGCGGAAGAAGACAAGGAAGAGGGCGAGGCGGAGGAGACAGCCTCATGGGGCAACGACATCTACCGGGTGCGCTTCCCGGGCCCCACCCCGTCCGACGGGATATTCCGCCCGCCGTTCGGGTGGAAGTACAACTTCTTCCTGCACGAGGCGGTCGAGGAGGTGCCCGAGTACGTGGTGCCGTGGGAGGCGTTCCGCGCGCTGGCCGAGGACTACAACCTGGAGCTGCAGTACCACAAGCCGTTCGGCGAGGTGTGGGAGACGGAGCAGGACGACCGCGAGCTGGGCGCGCTGAGCGAGCGCATGGGCGTGCGGGACCGCTCGTCGGGCAAGCTCCTCGTCAGCGAGGAGGAGATGGAGGCGGCCGGGTTTTATGTGGCGTTTTGTTTCTATCGCGTTTAGCCCGCCGGATGTTTATCCTTTAATACGTTCCCTATCCGGTCCTTTCTCTTGGACTTTCGAGGAAGCAAGGCCAGACGCGGAGCTTGGCTTCAGGACTCTATGGGATGAAATGATGCTCAACCATTTCCTAACCCCGGCTCAGCGTCTTAAACGCCACGGTACCGTTTTTCAAACCTCCGGATCTGCGAGGATTCTCCGCCATCAAGCTTTGTCGTTCTTTTCCGCTTCAGTGCTCGGCGTGCTCTGTTTGCTCATTGCTGCCCCATAAAGCCACCTCGCCTGGTAGAACAATGCTAAAGACAACGGGTATTACAAGTAAGATTAAACAGTAAAAACGCTACGCTTACTACAGGTTATAGAGAGTCTGCGGGTATCATATTCCCCCTCCCACCTCCCAGACAGCCCGGGGAGGTCTGCGGGCCGGATATCTACGAAAGAAATATCAACCGAAAAAGCACAGCCTTCTTAACAAGACCCGTCCATCCGGCCAATCCAAAAACAAATAAAAAAGACTCCGCCGAATGCACCTCTTTCCTCTCCCATGACGTACCCTTCACACCCCTATCCACACTCTTCTCCGCCCCCGTCGATCAAACTCGGCCTCTCGCCCTCAGCCCCACACCCTACATAGAGGTCGTCGAGCGCCGCCAGATCATAAACACGGCCAGCGCGGCGCACGACGTAGCGCCGAGCGCCATGTACAAGCTGGTGTGGTCGGGCGGCTCCTCCGACTTGGGGAAGGCGGTGCTGGGGTTGGTGGCGGCCTCGGCGAAGGCGACGAACAGCTCGCTGATGCTGTGCCAGGTGACGCTGACGTGCAGCGGGGCCGACATGTGGAGGGCGGCGGTGTAGGCGTCGGGCTGCAGCTCGCTGCGCTGGGTGGTCTTGTCGCGGTCGGCCTTGAGCGCCGTGTAGATGGCGGGCAGCTCGTCGAGCTGCGGGTGCCGCTTGCGCAGCTCCACCACGTGCGCGAAGGAGTCGGGCTCCGACGAGTCGTACGCGTAGCAGATCAGGTCGCACGCGTCCAGCTTGGCTTGGTTCTCCAGGATCGCCGGTTCCAGTTCGCCCAGCTCTTCGAGGATCAGGTAGCACTGCTTGCCGCCGTGCAGCTCGACGCTGTTGACCGCGCGGCGGGGTTTGATGGTTGGGTGGTATAGCGAGTCGAACGGGCGGTTGAGGAAGGCGTCGAGGAGCGAGGACTTGCCGGACCCGGCGGAGCCGATGAGGTAGCAGAGGACGACGTTGCGCTCGACGCGGCCCGGCCTGCGCCTGCGCTTCCGCGGCTTGGTTACCTTGAGGGCGGCAGTTGTTGAGTCCCACGCATTCGGCCCCTCAAAACCAAGATAAGCGAGGTATTCGAGGGTGGTCTTGGGTTCGAGGAAAGTTGTCATGCTCCACTGGGCGAGCCACCCCTGTAATGTGATGTGGCCGGCCTCGTTCCGGACCGTGGATGACGGAAATGATGTTTCTACCCAGGAGTGTGGTAGCCCAGGGGTGGGAGCAAACAGCGCCGCGAGTTCCTGGTCGTTGAGTCCGCCGTCGCTATCCTTGTCGAACGTCAAGAACAGATCCATAAAGAAGCGGTACCCTGCTGGGCTGAGTTCTGCCGAGGCGTACTCTGGCACCTCGAACCTCGGATGGAGAAAGCTATCCTCTATGCTCAAGCTGTCTGTGTAGTGGTGCTTCCTCAGTATGATCCATATCGTTTCGTGGCGCCCCTTTTCCGCATACAGCTTGTTCAGCTGCAAAAATCCGTACAAGTCAAGGCCGATTTCGGTATTAGACATGGGCGCCGCCTTGTTAACGGCCGCCTTTATATTGTCTAATTCGCCAGGCGACAGGGGTTTATCAAATGACTTGACCTGGAAATCGTGCATCTCCTGGTCGTTCAGGTAGCCGTCCTGGTCCTTGTCGCACAGGTAGAAGACCCTCTTCAACGCAGCCATACATACTGGCTTTAGTTGACCTTCCTTGTGATCGTACAGCGGTGCAATCGGGTGCGTGACGGCCTTCTGGCACAGGTAGAAGACCTCGATGACGTTATGTTGCTCCTTGGCGCTCGTGCGAATGCACGAGTCGATTTCCCTAAACTCGGCCATAACTGGCAGCATCTCTTCCTCAATCACCTGCGATGTGCTCCCGGAGCCTGCGAGATCCGATTTGTTGGCGCACAACACAACTGGGACGTTGACACCGAGAGAGCGGAAATAGGGCATCCAGAACAGGGCGACACGCTCGTAGCTGTAGTGGTCCGCGTAGACCAGCAAGATCACGTTGCATTTTCGTATTTCCTTGCGCAGGGTTGTTCGGTCTTGGGGACGGGCGGACGTGTCGACGATGGTGGTGGTGACATTCTCGGGGGTGCCGGTGGTCGGGGGGATGGTAACTTGGGGCAGGACGGCTTGAATCTTGTTGGATACGAAGGAATCCTTGACGAGCGAGGCGATCAGGCTGGACTTGCCCGTCCCCTCGTCGCCGCAGACGCATATCCGAACCGCTGCGACAGTCAGCTAAATTGACAGGTGAAAGAGAGGACGTTGGGTGGTGGGGGAGTCTCGTCGTACCTGTAGCCATTTTGGGCATTCAATCTTCAGGTTGTCGTTGCTCCTGTTCTTCCTCAGGGCGATGCCATGGTCCTGGGAGACGAGATTAAGAAGAAGCTAGCAGTGGGTAATATGGTAGATCGAATTTGCGGGGGGGGGAACAATCAATGGCGGTAAACGTGCGTGGGTTGGGTCAGCTCATGGCGGGTTTGCAGTGCGGGTTGATGGACTTCGGTGTTGAGTTCAGGTCGCCAGCTGGCGTCCTTTTTCGGATGTGAGCTCCTCAAGCCCCGCAACTTGACGCCCTCAAACAGCCCACTGCATGCTGCAGGTTGCATTGGCTCGTCCCCCACGCCACTCTCAAACTGTGTACTGTGTATTTAACCTCCATGGCTTCAACGAACGACTTTGGAATTAAACAACGCAATCGATATGAATCTCGAATATCACTGGGGGGATAATAGCAGACTAGGAAGTACCTTGCTTTCAAAGTGTTCCTGGAACTGAACGCCTGGCAGCTCCAGCCCCATACCTAGGATAATAGGACGCCCCAGAAACTGTACACTAATGGACTGCATCCACCTTTTCGCACGGTGCATCCATGCAAGCATCATGATGCCCAATGTGGTCTCCCGCCAGCGCTGAACAGAGGTAAGGAGGGGCTTTGATCACACCGCCGGTTCTGAAGAGAAATCATTAGAAGAGGTTGGAAATCTTTCGTGCCGAAGCTGTATATTTATTCTGGCGGCGCTTACGGAAGCGCCATACATGGTCGCAAGCGCCGAGTCGGTCTCCCATTCACTCGGAGCAGCTTGAGCTTGGAAAGTCAGTGGCCCGCTACCCCACACTGTTCCCGCCGTGCCGTCGATCCTGAACAGGCCAGCTCCAGGATGCGGTCCCCTGTCGCAGGTCCCTTGGCTCCTAATCCGGACCGTTCGATGTTACAACGCGCCGTTGAACGGGCCATCGGTTGCTGCGGATGGAGTTGGCGATGTTTGCGACGTTCGACGTTCAACCTCAACACACTCATGCTCTCGTGTTACTCAACGGCGCACCTTCCTAGTGTATAGTTACCTACCTACCTAAGGTAGTCCCTCTCCGTGTCACCGAATTGCCCGTCTACCGTCTTGGCGCGCTGTCCGACTGCAATACCACCCCGCAGCCACCATGTTGTAAGAATCGAAACGGGATCAAAGAGATGGCTGCACATACCATGGGACGGTTCGCGCCATGGCCGCCCAGCAATGGCTGACAGTTCTGCTTTCCCGTAGTGTTCTTCCACCCCCGCCGAGGTACCCATCGGGTCCAGGATACAATGGCCTTCCCGCGGGCACGCCAATGCCCATGATCGAGACAAATAACGTCCTCAGTAACCCCTCGGGGCCCGAGTTTCAGTTTCTGGTTGGCGAGGGTATGTCCTTTTGTATGTCACGATCGTATTGCTAGGGAGGCCCTAACTCTCTACCAGGGTTGTATGTGTTAAAGGAAGATCTACACCTTGCGACCCCTCCACCACACCCCTCCGAGGCCCCGTTGGTCAATCCGAATCCCCTCGCGACAGCCCCCCAGCCTGCGACCGCCGGAACCCAGCTTACCCTATTGAACCTCGACGTCAACCCGCTATCGCCTGCCGTCTACCGGACAACTTCGCGATCCGATGGCGCACAGGGGAGCATACAGGAGAACCAGGACGAGAGCCAGTCGTCGACAGACGTGCGTGAGAGCACCAGTGATGCCGGCCGTATCAGCTCCACCGAGCGTCTTCCGCTTCTCAGAGCCAACACCAACACGCCGGCGTTTGGCGAGGGCAACACTCTCCTTGCGCCGGTAGCCCAGAAAGATGCGAACAAGCGGCGCAAGCCCAAAAACAACATGACCAAGAGCAATTCGTCCTTCATCTCGAGAGTGATCAATCATGAGACGTTGAGCAAGCGTCTGCAGGAACGAGCACGGGATGGCTTGTTCGCCTTTGCCAACGTTAACCGCGCCTTCCAATGGCTGGACCTGTCTTCTCCCGCGAAGGTAAGGGGTCCGAGGGCCTGGACGGAGACGCGTATGCTGACTATCTCTAGGCCGAGTACTTAACTAAGATTCTATTTACCAAGGCCCATTGCCTATGTCATGACGTGAATAAGCTGACCAAGAGCTCAACACATATTGACGTGGTCATGGGGTTCTCAACCGGCGAAGTGATCTGGTGGGAGCCCATCACACAGCGGTACACCCGGCTGAATAAAAATGTAGGCGCTTCCATCCGCTCGTCCAAGACAAGGCTGACGGTTACAGGCCGCCATCAACGGCACGCCCGTGTCGCAAATCGAATGGATCCCGGGGTCCGAGAATCTCTTCCTCGCCGCTCACATGGACGGCACACTAGTGGTGTACGACAAGGAGAAGGAGGACAGTGTTTTCACTCCAGAGAGCGAGAGTAACCCCCGATCCAGCAGCGACACCACTGGCACCGGCAGGGTGAACTACACGTCTCAGATCTACGTGCACAAGTCGGTCCACTCGAAAAACCAAAAGCTCAACCCGGTAGCGGTATGGAAGCTTTCCAACCATCGCATCAACGCCTTCGCATTCTCCCCGGACAGCCAGCACCTAGCCGTAGTCTCCGAGGACGGCACTCTCAGGATCATAGATTACCTCAAAGAACAGTTCGTCCCCTTCCCCCACCCCATTCCACCCCCCTTTTCTCCCCCAACTAAACTAACCACACGCACGCACCCAGGCTCCTCGACCTGCACTACGCCTACTACGGCGGGCTGAGCTGCGTGTGCTGGTCGCCCGACGGCAAGTACGTGGTGACGGGCGGGCAGGACGACCGCATCTCCATCTGGTGCCCGTCCGAGTCGCCCGCGCTCATCGCCCGCTGCCAGGGCCACCACTCGTGGGTGACCTCGGTCGCCTTCGACCCCTGGCGCTGCGACGAGCGCAACTACCGCTTCGGCAGCGTCGGCGAGGACCGCCGTATCTGTCTGTGGGACTTTAGCGTCGGCATGCTGCACCGCCCGAGGGCCGTACGTAACTCCCCCTTCCTTCCTTCCTTCCCTTGCTGTTTTTTGTGGCTGGCTGGCTAGCTGGGAGCCCGGTTTGCTGACGGTGCGATACGACCAAACGAACAGGCTTCGGTCCGGCACCGCGGGTCCATCTCCTCGCGCCAGGTCGTCCCCGTCCCGCTGCACCGCGCCGAGACGGCTGCGACGGCGGGGACCAGCGGCAGCGGCAGGCTGCGGTCGGACTCGAATCTCTCGTCTGTGGGTGCCGTGCCGGCCGATGGTGAGAGGGAGAAGGTGCTGCCGCATCCTGTGGAGCCGAGGGCGACTACGGCGACGTTGCCGCCGGTTTTGGTATGTTTTATCTTCTTTATTATTCCCGCCTGTTTCTGGGTGCTAATAGCATGTGATGCGGCGTAGAGCAAAACGGTGGATGATGACGTGCTGTGTTGGTTGGGGTTTACGCCTGACGCGATTATCACAAGTTGCAAGACTGGTATGTGTCGTTGGTGGTCGGTAGGAGAGGAAAGATATGGCTAACCTGGTGATGCAGGGCATATTCGAACGTGGAACAGGCCGTCCGAGCTGGCGCCGCAGTTAGAGGAGAAGAAGGATGCTTGATTTTCTCTAGTATGAAGGCTGTAGTGGTTGTTAGCACGTTACTTGCATAGGAACTAGTCAGGCGGTTGGATGATTGATAGGAGTTTGGTATGCGCAACGTTTTGGGGGGGTGCCCATCCAGGGCCATTCAGCGTCGTTTACATACCGTAGGGAATATATTCACAATCAGCGAGAATGTGGTCCTTGATTCCCCTTAGTGATATATGATGCGCCAAAAGGCTACGCCATGGGGTTCGATGACCGACTCATGGTTGTCCCTGAAAGACGCAGTGGAAACCAACGGATCGGCCCGCGACACAAAGGGCGTTCGTTCCTCTCTCCCATCGAGTCCTGCAAGTCAACCTTCCAAGTCACGGCTACTATCGGCTAGGTCGATAACACCTCATTGCTTCATGGTCTCCACGTTTCTCAATGGGCTACCGACTTCATCTACCCGAGACATGTTTATAATCAGCTGGGCCCATGGTGCCTAACCGCCCGTGTTTGCTACACACGAGACAGCTGCATGGAAGCCATGAACGGATGATTGGATAGGACGATGCCCTCACTCCTCACATTTTTCTACCACCGCGTCCCACAAGGTGTGGAGCTGGCGGCATAATGTTGATGTGATTCACTATCACCAGCACCACTGAGCCAGCCAGTCATGTCATCGAATCACTCGCCTGCATGGGCTACCAGGACGGTGGCATGTTTGCCCACGCCATTCCTCACCCGACACCACGAAGCGGTGTTGGGCGGTGTTGTTGGCCGGCGGGCATCAAGGGTCTCAACCTTCACCCCCCTGCTCAGTTGGCTCGGCCGAACTGTCATGCATATGCACCGAGCAAGGATGGATGCAGATTGCGTGCACGGCTGCCGAGCATGTGTGGGACGGTGCCTGCATGCGTCCGGGACGACACCTCGCCTCGGGAACTGAACGCCCGAGGGCCGAGATCGAAGTGTGAATGTCTGTTGATTTCGAGGAACGGCTTAGGCAGTACCCGGGTAACTACCTTGCACATGCATTTGGAAAAGGATGATGTTGTTGGTTTGGCTATATGGTTCTACTAGCCTCCCTCGGCTCGGCTTTGCGGGAGAATCCCGAGTTGCTCGGTCGGCGTCCGATAGGGCTGGACGCTGTGCGCGGGATGTTTGACGATTTGTGGACCCAGGGTGAGAGTTAATATCACTGTGGTTATGGCATGGGTTAATGGGATGGTGTGCATGCACCTCCCGAGTCCAACGGCACCCTGATGAACCATGGCATGCAAGATGCGCCGGAAGCTTTCCGAAAGAGTTGGCGACACCACTTCATCCTTCACGTTTGGTGCCCTGCCATCACATGGACTAGGAGGAAGGATGCCGAGAGACATTGTGTGATTTTTTAGGCGAATATGGCGCAATTCGTCAACGTGTTTCAACGCTGGCAACCAACCAGGTCCAATCCCAGCCATGCCTTGCGGTGAGTCAACGAGGGGTTTCTCTTGATATCAAGAGGCTGTTCCAGGCCCTCGCGATGACGAGCCTGAGTGAAGTGACGAGCCAATAGTCGTGGCAGGGCAGTATCCGATGGTCGGAGTGCGGGATCGCTGATAACTCCAGGTGATACCATGATACAGCTATCGGTGGGTTTCCAAAACCAATGACCGGCGTGACTTGGGCATGTATGACTTCGGTTGAGGGGGAACAGCGCGTAATTAGTCTCGACGGTGTTGACGGCATCCTGGCTTCTATGATGCCCTTGTGACGGCAATTTGTGGCAAGATCTCTTTTTTCGCCGGATCTCTGGCGACGGGATGGCGGCGGGAACTCGGCATCTACCGGCGATCACCATGATAAGCCTGTGTCAGTTTGGACGGGTATCCACCAAAACAATGCAATTTTGCTGCTTTTCGACTGTGAAAGTTGGTGGATCACCGTCGCATTTTGCAGACTCCTTTTGCAAAGTTCGGCAGTCCAACCCCCCCTGACGCTGTCGTGCGCTTTTTCCTGCCCCAACAGTGGATCGTTGGATGTCAGGTTGATTAAGGGCCTGATCCAGACGCACACAGGATTACGCGTAATCCTGAAAAAGATACATTCTGCCCCAGAAATTAGCGGCTTGGCCTGCAGAATTAGTCAATGTATCTGTGGGCCTCCTACGGCGAAGAAGCTTGTCGCCCCGAGACCAGTCCTCTCTCCTCCCTACCTTTATATATCGCCAATAATACTGTTAAGGTTAACAATATAGGTGATGATAATATTATAGCCTTTACGATAGTTAGAATATTTAAAAAAAGAGAAGTCGAATTTTTTTTTTAGGTATTCTGCTGCCTCTGACCGCCTCCATTGCAGCCGTAATCCTGAGCTCGACATCGTAATCCCCAAAATCGGGGATTACGAAAAAGAGTGTTTGGAAGGCATTTTTGTGCCTCTGGCTTGGCGACCAAACCTTTTGTAGGCAATGAGGCGAGCCCCTTAGCGTGGTACATTGTCTCTTGGCAAAAATGGGATTACGAGCAACTGGCCCCGAAGTATCGGCAAAATCCACTGCTCAAAAGGGAAAGGCGCCTCCATTTAACCTGTGGACGCAATTTTTCGATACTTGCAGGGGGGGGCCAACACAGGATTACCGTAATCCTGTGCGTCTGGATCAGGCCCTAAAAGTCTTTGACGCCCGATCGGAACATTAGATGATCCCAGACGGCCATCCGAACCTGACAGGGGCGTTTTGTTCCCGGACGATAAAAAAAAAAAAGGTTGAGATATGAGATCGGACGGGATAGATAACTGAAGCGATGACTGATCGAACCCGCCAAGTTTGGCAACCTTCTAGACTTTTCAAGTGGGGCATGATGTGCCTGAACCCTGGTTTGAGCCAACCCAAAACGGCTCGTGGCGTCTGCGCCCAAAGTGAGTGGCAGTGTTTAGTAACGTTAGGAAACTTGTGGTATATAATTCGTATGTATGTACTTTGTCAAAGGTGATGATAGTGCTTTTCCTGGACCCCATACTCCCGGTTTTTGATTGCTCATGATACTAGATAACGCATCAGAGCTGAAAAGTATCAAGTATGCCCTCGGCACTGCTGCCCGCTGTGCCCCTCCATTCTCCTGAACTCGTTGGCCTCCCGGTGTTTCTGTCAGCGGCGGACCTTGTGAATTGCCCAATCGGACCCCCCAACTGCACCACAGCCCTGCCTTTGCGACAAGACAGATCCGAAAATGAAACCTCACGCTTGAGCGCCCGCCTGACGCCCCACCACCAAGCTGCCTTGCCGGTGGGGCTCGCGGTGTTTTTTCTCATTTTTTTTTCCCTCTCTTTGCTTTGTTGAAACTTCCCTTTCCCGCAGATTACCCCCACTTCCCTGCCAAGTAACTTTGTGACGTGTGACTGAGAGGACCTGGGTGCGATGAACTACCGAATTACTGCGTCCGCCTCATTCCTCATTCGAATCCTCTGTGTTGGCGAAGACCGTATTCAAAGTGCTAAGTATGTACATACAGGTTAGGGGTGCCGCGTAGCATCCCGCCTCTCAGCCGCTTCGGCTGGCCCCCAAGCGTTCCCTTCCATGCGTTGCCTGACACCGTGCCGCGGGGTTACCGACTTCGATGGGAACGCACCAAAGTCACTCGCCCGCTGTCCGCAGTACCGGAAGTACCGGGCGGTGAGCATCTATTAATGGGGCGCATCTCGTAATGCCCAGAGCATCCTTGCTTATCCGATCCGGGCGCCATGGGAAGGCAGGCATGAGCTGGGCCTCGCTTGCCGTGGGAACCCTGCACATGCGTGATGCCATGCCACGCCACCTTGACGGCTCCCGTCCCTTCGGGTTGACAATTTTCTCTCTTCAGCCCGTGCATCCCACAATCACGCACCCTCCTACTATTTACATATGAAGCAGTATTCCTTAGGTCCCCTCCGCGGACCCCCTCGCTTTCTTCCTACTCGTCGAATGACCACCACTATCACCACCATCACCCCACCACCTGCGACCTAGACTATGCGGTCCTTTAATCCCTTCACTGCGGTGACCGGGAGATACACCCTCTTCGAGATTCGGTAAGTTGTGCAGTTCATGTTGTGTATGGTTGGTGTGCCAGTACTTGCCCCCGTTTGCTTGCTGACCAAGTAAATCTATCGACAACAGGCTCGACAACGATTTTATTGTTTTCCGGGGTGATGATCACGAGGCCTCTGGCCAACTGCTCAAAGGCACAGTCGTGCTTTGCCTGTCCTCGCCGCTCAGGCTTGAAGACATTCATTTGAAGCTAATAGGAACTGCTCACTATGCGTATGTTGTTGAGCCTGCCTACACAAACAACGTCCATGGAATAATACTGACGTTTTTGCAGCTGGACCGATGCAAAAGTAACAGCCACCGGGATATCCACCCAAAAGGTCGACAAGACTGTGCCGTTCCTCGACCATCGGTGGTCCCCATTCGAAGGGATCGGTGCACCAGACCCAACAGACAGTTCCCGTCTGCAGACCAAGGGCGTCACACTCCCGCCTGGAAACTACGAATGGCCGTTCGAGCTGCTGCTCAAGGGCGACACCACGGAGAGCGTCGAGGGTCTGCGCGAGGCAGGCATCAGGTACAAGCTTAAGGCGACAGTGGCGCGAGGCAAACTCGTGCACGACATCCATGCTTACAAGCAACTGCGCGTCATCCGAACCCTCGAAGCATCGGCGCTCGAATTTCTGCACGCCATGAGCATCGAGAACATCTGGCCCAACAAGATCGACTACTCGATCGTCGTACCACAAAAGGCAGTCGTTTTTGGCAGCTGCATCCCGGTGGAAATGAGGTTCACGCCCCTACTCAAAGGTCTCCAACTCGGCGACATCAAGATCCACCTAGCCGAGATCCACGAGATCATCCTGCACTCGACGCCGAGCCATAACGTGAGGGAGCACAAGAAGGAGAGGACGATTGACTCGTGGACAATACCGGTCACGAGGGAGGAGCACTGGCAGGATGTGATTCAGGGTACTGGCCCCGAGGGCTGGGAGGGCCAGGAGGGTTGGGTCATCAACACGTCCCTGACCTTGCCTAAGAAGTTGACCAAGTGTCTTCAGGATGTGAACGCCAAGGGGATCAAGATCCGGCACAAGCTGAAGCTCGTGGTGGCGCTCAATAACCCTGACGGCCACGTTTCAGAACTGCGTGCGACGTTGCCTGTGTCGATATTCATCTCGCCCAACATGCCGCTTGACGAAAACGGCGACCTCGTACGACAGCTACCCAACGGCGCGTCCCGAGAAACTGGCGCTATGGCGCCGCCGGCGTACGAGCACCATCGCCTTGACCAGCTATATGACGACATTGACCCTATAAGCCTTAATTCGCCCATCGGCGGCCGGTCGGGGGTTAACAGCCCGTTCCCCGGCCATTCGAGGACAGGGTCGACCGAGAACATTCCGGCGCTCCTGCAGGGCGCGGCCATCCAACCGGACCTGCTTGCGCATAGGCTGCACAGCATGTCCTTGGAGGATCGGCATAGGAACATGTCCTGGAACTCGAACCTTTCTGCGGCGGGAGCGGCGGTGAGGAATGACAGCTCGCCGCACCCGGGCGATGAGATGCACGCATCGCCCCCAATGTCAGCGCCGCTCACTCGGCACAACAGCAACGACGGGCAGTCAGGATCCAACACGCCGCCCGAGCACCTCGACTTCCCGGACACCACGGAGCTCTCCAAAGTACCCAGTTACCAGACCGCCGTCAGGACTCCCGTCAGGCCGCTGGTCTCGGAAGTGTTTGGGCTTCCAGACTACCAAGCAGCACTAAGCACACCTAGCTCGCCACCGGGTACCCCTCGGCTAACGCCCATCACGCCAATAACTGACAGTTTGGAACCTATGCTTGGCGCCGCACCCGCACGGGAAACGGTCCCGACCCTGGGACCGGCACCGGCACCGGCTCCGGCCTCGGCTCCAATTACTGCTCCCGCCTCAAGGGAGCCCAGCCCGCCGGCCCAGAGCCGCAGGCCAACCATGCCCCACCGGCGGCAGTTCTCGTCGGGTTTGCTTCAAACCGTCCGCAGCATCGTCGGAGAGGGGGATGAGGGGCGCCGACTACACTTGCTCCAGGCACGCAGCGGGTAGAGTGGGGCGGAACGTCTTTGGGTCTCCTCGGGAGAGGGACCAATCGCACCCGACTGACTAGTCGGGGGCTGTGTATCATTGTGTATTAGGTGCATACGGTTTCCTTTTTTTCCTTTTCTTTGGTTCGGATGACATTGCATGACTGGGAGTTTCTTGGGGGCCGACGGAGGCTTTAGGTTGCTTTTCCTTGGGTTAAGAGGCTGGGGCTGCTGACCGAGATTGGTAACGGGGATCAAAAAAGAAGGGACGGGGACTTGTTTGTTAGTTACTGGCGGATGGGACGGTATTCGGCGTCTTTCTTTCTTTCTTCCTTTCTTTCTTTCTTTCTTTCCTCTGTATTTTCCTTGATACCCCATCATAACCCCGGCCGGCAGGCACGTCCTAATAGAGGTTTCATCATTCTTTTCACATCAATATTGCTTCTTTCGAATGAATGCTGGCGTCGCACATGGGCGGTCGAGTGCGGGCATGTCCTTTTCCTGCATGACCAAGCCACACAATAGGAGGAGTGAGATAAGACGGCACAGAGGAAGGATAAGGCTCACACCTGGGCACTCTTGGATGGCTATGTGGTTTTTGAAACGCCATCGACGTTGAGGCCGCCCATATTGATTCGCGATAACTATTTTGTACTTCGTGCTCAGCAGATGTGGTTCTAGGGGGTTGTTGGTGTTGCCGATAAGAACCCACGAACCCCCTTGTCTTTGCCGAAATAGCCATCGACGTCATTGCGAGCCAGACCCTTAAAAAGCACAAAGTGACAACTCAGTCGCATCAATTCAAAAACGGCGACCACAATCTATCCCTTCACCGCATCTCCGGCGGCGGACTAACAGCCCGACTACAAATTAGTTTTACAACACAGCTTCCGCGGAGCGCGACTTTGCCAGCTGGACATGGTCTTGCGGTCCCGCTGCTGTCCCGGCTGTTGTTACGTCATGGCCTGATGCCGGCCAATGTTGATCGTCGCAGGGATCGCCGGGATGGGACAAGGGTTGGGGCTCGTCTTGGCACTAACTTTTTAGCGGGGCTTTCGACTGGCCCAGAGCTGCTGAGAGAGGGGGAGAGCGGGGTGGGGGGGGTTGTTCAGCGTGGGTGCTTGGCGTGCCAACGACGACGGCGCTGGGTTGCCGTTTCTTTTCCCCCAACCAGTCGATCCAAGTGGTCGCCGAACATCGCCTGTACTTAAAGCTGCTAGCTATTGGATTGACACGCTGCCCAACCTGCTTTTGGGTATTTGTTTTGGGGAGTGTTGAATCGTATGACCTCATTGATCAGAGCATTGGTTGAATAGTTCAAAGTAAGTCACGACCTTCTTTTGGGATGAACTGCTTTTCTACCCCTGGATCGCCACCGCTCCGTTGAACCCGAAGCTTCGAGTTGGGCATTGAATCACAGATACCCAAACACTGGGACTGCATTGCACTGCACCACCAACCCAATTTTGAATCTTGAATCTTGAAGAGTCCTCGTACTTACACAATGAAGCGGTTTACTAGTCTTCGCAAAGATAAACGGAAATCCGCAGACATGGCGTCCCCGCAGGTTTCCGCCGCCCCGTCGAGGCAGACGACGATGGCCAGCATAGCTAGCGATGAGGCTGTTCCCGACACGGATCCGAACACCGTATGTGTGATTAGGGGTCGACGGAGTAATTCGGGCTGTATCTGACGTGCAAGTAGACTGCCGGCCTCCTCACCCAGAGGTTGCAGGCCTGGAAGCATGCCGTCGTCTACCTGGAGGAGTACATGGAGGCCGTCGAGAGGATCCACAGGACTCAGGCGAAGGAGTATGAGCGGGTCTTGAAGGTGCCTTTAGTCTATCTCGATGCTCCCAGCCCCTACTAATCCGGGACCAGACCATCTCGAAGCCCCTTAGGGAGGGGCAGCACTTCGACCAGAGCCTCGGTGGCGTCGCGGGCTTCTTCGAGAACATGCGTGTCAACACCCAGGCGCTCATCAACACCAACATCGAAACTGAGAAGAGCATCAAGGGCTCGGCCCTCCCGATCGTCGAGCGCTTGCATAAGGAGATCAAGCACAAGGCCAAGGAGCTGGCCCACGGCGCCGAGAAGAGCGCCAAGGAGGTCGAGAAGGCCCGCAACACCACCCAGAAGCACATCGAGCTGCTCGGCCAGCACACGGCCTCGTTCGAAGCCACCGGCGGGAAGCACAACCCCTCGGAGGACCCCTACGTCCTCTCGCGCGGCGTCGTGCACCGCCTCTCCAAGCAGGTGATCGAGGAGAACAACCAGCACAACGACCTCGTCGCCGTGCAGACCAACTTCGAGACCTTCGAGCGCCACATCGTCCAGGTCCTGCACCAAGCCATGGAAACCTTCACCGGCCTCACGGGCGGGCAGGCGCTCAAGGTGCAGGCGCTGCACCAGGACATGCTCGGGGCCGCGCAGAGCGTGCCCCCCGACTTCGAGTGGAAGGCCTTCACCAAACGCTCAGCCGACGCGCTCATCAACCCCTCCGACCCGCCCCGAACCGTCGAAGCGATCCAATTCCCCAACATGGGCCACCCCTCCACCAAACCCCTCCTCGAGGGCTCGCTCGAGCGCAAGAGCCGCAACAAGCTCTCGTGGGGCTACACCACCAGCTACTACGTCGTCACCCCCTGCAAGTTCCTGCACGAGTTCAAGGACGACGACAACCTGCGGCGCGACCCGGTGCCCGAGCTGTCCATCTACCTCCCCGACGCCGTCATCGGCGCGCCCCACGCCGACAAGTTCAACGTCAAGGGCAAGGACCGCTCCGGCGGCATGGGCGGCCGCCTCGCGGGCACCTCGGAGCTCGCCTTCAAGGCCCACTCCCCCGCCGAGGCCGAGAAGTGGTTCAACGTCATCCGCGGCGCCGCCGGCGCCACGGGGCCCGCCCCGGCCCTGGCCAGCCCTGGTGGTAGCGGCAGCGACGCCGCCAGCTTGGCCGCTGTGTCTGCGGCTGCTGGGTCGGGCTCGGAGGAGAAGCCGAAGCCGGTTGTTGCCGTCCCCTCGCCGCAGGAGAGTGGTATCACGGGCGGTGACACGGTCGCTAGTCCCGTGGCGGTCGCCTCCCCTGTGGTCGCTGGGAGTGGGGCGGCTACGCCGGTGTCGATGGATAAGAAGGTTAGTGTGGATGCCCCTGCTGCTACTGCTGCTGCTTCGGATGAGAAGCCGGCGGTGGGGAAGGAGGAGAAGGCGTAGTAAAGGGGAGGGTTGGGTAGGATGTAGGTGGGGGGTGGTTGAGTCGAGGTGTGTGTGGTGGTGGCGGGTTATGTCTTTTTGGTTTGTTTGGTCAATTACATACCCCCTTAATGTGGTGCGAGGCGGGGAGCGGGAGAAATGGAAACTGCTCCGTGATGCTTCGCATATTTTGTGTTGTGTGTTGCGGTTTGATGGTCGCTTTTTGTTGACTCGGCGTTTCCCTACGCATTCATTATCCCCCCCCTTTCGAGATTCATACACGGCATAGCCACTTGTAGTTGGGCTATAGGGGATCCTTGCGGCGTGGACATGTACGAAAAGTGTGCGATGGCGGTATCGATGGCTCCCTCTATAAACCCGAGTGCTTTGCTACCGGAACGGCTAACAAACCCGCCAGCCTTGCCTCTGGGGACAATAGATGGCGGGTTTCAAACTAGGTTTACTAGCACATGTTTCGCGGGGGGTCGTGTAGCAGCAGCCTGGGCTACACTTTTCGACAACTTCTTCTCATCAACGCAACACGCATCCGCTATGGCTAACAGAATCCGTCCGGGCTTCCAGGTCCTTCTATTTCCGTGCCTCGATGTCAAGAGACAACGGGTCCTTATTTTACTCAGCATCTCCGGAGAAGACATATAACGTCTCATCGCCGTGAAGGAGCACTTTATGAAGAGGGTGATGGTCAACCCTTTCCTTTACTTAATTTCGGATAGCTGCTTGGTTGGTATACGACTGTTGCAGTCGACAACTGGGAATCGTATCCTACGGAGGCCTCCCAAGGTATGAACCGAGAGACGGTCGGTAACAGAGGCGTATTAATTGTCTGGATTCGGTTGTGTCCCGGTCTCATACGGCAGTCTGTTTCCCTGCGTATCGGCATCATGCGATAGAATAACCTCGGCCCCTGTGTCATTCAGGAGCCGTATTCCGCGGAAGTCAATATAGCGGTAGATGTCCTGCAAATCCCTGCGTCCGTTCGGTCGTTTTCCAAAACTTGGGTGCTGGTCGTCCGTGATTGCGCCATGAAAGGCGACTTTGAGGTGCCATGTCAAGTAGGAGGACCCCAAAATAAGCTTGATCCAGCGCTTTAGGGGCTGGACTCCTTTCTCTTCGTATGTTACGGGCAAGAATTCGATGGTCCTAGGCCCTGCAGACAGTAGAGACTTGACGGGTCTCGGCATGCTTGAGGTTTAAATGCACCATCCTGGCGTGGGGGGGAGGGGCCGGTTGGGACCCTGAGATTCAGAAACAGACAGAGGCGCGTACTGTGGTCGACGCGTCTCATCAGGGAGGGATGCCACTGAGAACGCCCCATGCAGGGACATACAGAAGCCATTGGTCCAAGCTCCAGCCACACTCGATCAATCCCACTCCCGTGTAAGCCAACCAGTTTGGAGAAAAGGGACAGCATCATAACGGGGTGACTCCTCTATTGCAGCCCAGGGCTGGCTATCACAGAGGTGGAACGGATGGAATTGAGTCTGTTGGGACGCTATCTTAACCAACATTTCAGCCGGGCGACAAGTCTCAACGTCAGCCGTGGCTGACAACGTGCCTTGCTTTCGGTGAATCAGGGGTTCATTCTCTGGCGAGGAACAGGTGCATGCCACGTGGTTTCTGACAAACATATAACATCGCAGCTGTGCTGTTGTCTACTTTTACAATTGCCCTATGAGTGGGGGAGTAGAATGGGGAAAAGCTCACGGTTGGTGCTCGATGTCGCTGACAACACCAAAAGAGGGCTGTCCGGCACTTGTACCGGTTGGTGTTAGGGGCAGCCAGTCAGCATCAGGGCTGTCTTCCCTTGCCGACCTAGTCTAGACCGCCCGGTTTATTTGCATGCTGTACCCCTTTGACAGATCTCCTCTAGTTCACAACACAGCAAGCCAGGCAGCATGGCATGGCGTGACGTGCGGCGGCATGACTGTGCATGTATGTGGTTGACTGGAGAGGAGGCTCGACAAACAGCTCCCCTTTCCCCCCCCACCGAAACAATAAATAAGGGGTCCAAAGGACGGGTTAAAAGCCGCGTGGCAGAGAGGGCGGGACGCATGAAACGGCGTGCATGGTAAGCCCCAAGTTTTGGAGAGCTCAAGATGCCCCCCTCCCCTCTCTCTCCCCCCATCCCCGCCCTCTCTTCCCCACCCCCTCCGCAACCGCACACGTAGGCAGGCCGCCCAGCCGCCCAGCCGCCCGGAAGATGTAGGAGATTACAAACGGGACAGAGGTGGGAAGCCACATCATATAGAAAGGCTTGCTCTGCATTCGGGTGTGGCCATCTTCCCCCAAACGCAGGTCGTGTCCGCCTGCGAGCGAGCGCAGCGCTCGCAGGCCAGTGCAATCACACCGGTCCCGCGGCACGCACGTCTGGGCGGCCTGGCGAAGCCCTTGTGTGACTTTTGGCGCGCGGCGACCAGATATTGGGATCCGAAAGGTCCCTCCCCCATTTTCGCGACCTCACACCCGAGAATCGGGGCGGACGGGAAAAAAAGGGAGGGAGGGTGACATGTTTGACGGGAACCTCCAATCCGGGGGAAAGGCGGGGGTGCGGTTTTGGGGCTTGGGAATGGAGGGCGTGGAAAGTGCGTGGTGTCGCCAAAGCCAACCAGTTCAGTTGGCGTGCGCAGGGGGGAAGATGGGGGGGTGACACGACGTCGGAGAGTGCTCGACGAGTCGACGTTATGTAAGTTGCCGGTCAATGTATGTACCCTGCAGAACTGCGCATTCGAGTCCCAGTCGTTGTTGTACCCGAGCCTCGTCCAGCCTTGCCGAAGCCCGTGTCTTGAAGTTCCCGGTCGAGTGAGCTGTCTCCCGATAGGTACCCGCGCCTGCCCTTCTTTCCGCGCCCTATCCCTGTTATCGTAGCCTGTGACCAAGTGGTTGGCGTCTGGAGCGCTTGTGAGCCAAGCACCGGAAGGAGGATCACTGCGACCCGGACTCGTTCATGGACTCGGCCGGCTCGCCTTCCTCGGGAAAACCCTTGTTGTCGGCCCCGCCCCCGGTCCCCATGTAGGGAGTGACCTCCCGAGGTCGGGTGAAGCCACGACCGCGGCCCCCGTCCAATTGGTCGCCTCACCTGGATTATGGGATCTTCTTGGATGGGGGCGCGTTGTCGCGTATGTACATAAACACTCGGGCCAGGGTGAGGGCTCGTGTATGCTCGCCTAGGGACCTACGACCATCTCAATTGTCCTCGCGCCCGGTGATTGTGATGTCCATATCACCAGTAGTCTATATCATCACCAACATACCTCGTCCCTGCTCGCCCTCCCGTTGGGATGATCCCTCTTAGCTTTGGCGCTATCTTCAGCCTTGCCTCAAATGCTTCATTTACCGCCTACCCCTGACTCGAGCAGCCTCACCATCGTCGCCGTATAGCTTGACAATCCTTGCGTGGACCTCCGCGTCGTGAGGGTCTCTTGCCACCCCGCCCCTTGTCCGAATCCGCACGCCATGACGAAACAATGGGACAAGTACCGGGAGGTTATCACGGCCGAATACAAGGACCAGAACAAGCCGCTCCATGAAGTCCAGCGTTTCATGGCACAGAAGTACGGCTTCAGGGCGTCGTATGTGTGAACTCTCTTTCCGTGGTCTCCTCGAGGTTGGGGTAGGCGGGAACAAAAATACTGCCCTGGAGGGTATCCTTGTGGTGTCCACGTCTGATATAGGATCGTATAGCACCCGCGCGTATAGGTCACGCTTCGACAGGTGGGGAATCCACAAGTACTCGCGCCGCAGGGGCATGGGCGCCATGAGCCTCAGCAGGCGGGCATCGGTATCGGACGGCGACATGCGTCCCTCTCCACGACAGAGTCCAGATTTGGATGAGTGCGGCCCGCAAGCACCTACTCCGGTCGTCGCGACGTCGAACGGGTTGTTCCCTCCCGGAATGTGCGTAGCGACATCGGGGGCAGGCTTTCGGAGGTATGGTCCGGCGCCAGTGCCGTCGATGGTTTGGTGATCAAGGGCTGATCGAGTTCCTGTCTTCAGTTCCCTCTGCCTCGTCAAACCGGACTTCCAGTACACCCCAATCACGCCTTCGCCCAGCCCGGCTCTCGCGCACGGCGCCGGCTTCTCCATGGCCCAGTACGGATGCGGGCTCGCGCAGTTCGGCTCTCAGAACATTGGTTGCTACTCCCCCAACTCTGTTTCGATGTACCGGCAAGACCCACGCGACGTGGTGATTGTGTCCTCGGACGCATCGGGGTCGGACCAGAGCAACATCTCCATGGGTGGCATGCCAAACGGGTATGGGTATTCATTGGGGCTCCTCACGGGCCAGGAATAGCGCTTGCGCCATATCGTAAGTGTCGATGCTTGTATTGGATGTCTTCACTGATACAAGGGCGGGTGTCACGATTTTCCGAGTTATGGCCATCGGGTCAGGGCGTAAGGGGTCGCGGATTCCAGAGGTCATGACGGGACCAAGCGAGGGGGAAGTCGAGTGTCGGGTGGGTGCTCCTCCCCGCTCAACTCTCGGGACTTGCCTCACTTAATTTAGAGCAGATGGTGTCGGTATTGGGCGTTGGTATTCTGTCACAGGCGGGTCGATTGGTATATAGTGTACGATTGGGGGTGATGCCTGGCTCGGGGGGCCGGGCAGAGGAAGGGTAAACAAACAGTGAGTTGGTGGCTTATACGTTCGCTTAACAACATCAATCGTCGTCTGCGTCGATTTCCTCCATCCGGCGTTGCGATCGGGCTCTCTCCTTCTTGATGTTGATGGATTTCCCGACAATCATACTAGAATCATCGTCTTCGGCCTCAATATCAGAAGTGTCATCGACTCCTCGCCTAGCTGCTTCGGCCGCCCGCTTGACTTTCCGAAGGACCACCTCGTCAAGGTACAGGTCTTTGATGCGCAGGTCCTAGGACTATGTTAGTGTGTGCACGATTTGGCGGCCAGAATCTGTCATAAAACCTACCTCGGAGCAAACCGGGCATTTCGCCATGCCGCCGTTGCTTTGGATGAACTCCATGATGGCCAATTTTTCGAACGTGTGCCTGCACTTCTGGTTGCTGTATGGCTCCTTCATGATCTGCAACGATAGTGGACACTTGAGGTCGATAATTTCGCGCTCGACCACGAGATCGTCGTCCCCGTTGGCGTCGGCTACGGCGTCCTTGGTCGGCCTGCCATGCTCGTCGAACCAAGTTGACGGATCGGGGAGGGGAACCTGGTCCTCCGGGTGCAGCGCATCATGCCAGTTCTTCTTGAACGAGATGTAGTCGTTGTTGACGGCGTACCGTTGGTGAGCGCTCAGGGCGTCGTATTCCGACATCTTGGCTTTGCGGGCGGCCTCCAATAGTTCCTTCGCACCGACCAATGGAGGCACATCCTCAGCGGCCATCTCGCCTGCCTCATCCTCTTCCTCTTGTGCCTCCCCATCTCCGGAATCCGGACCGCCATCTTCGTCATCGCTGTCGGCCGCCCGTCGTTTTATCTTGGGCGGCCTAGGCTCTGGCGGCGGCCGCTGGGCATTCAACCCCTCCATCACCTGCTCCAGCACCGCCTGATGGTCCTCGAGTTCGGCGCGGCAGTCGATCACCCAACGCAGTGCTTGCTCAGAAGAGTCGGTCAACTCGGTGATGGTGGCATCCAGCTCAGCCACGTACTCCTCCAGAGACAGCTGGGCATCGCTCGTGCCGTCCTCGCCACGGGCCCACCGCTTCTCGACCATGTGGGCGAGCGAGCGCTTACGGGCAAACAGGATATCGTTGATGCTGCCGACGCTCTCGAAGAGGTAGGTGGACGACTTGGCGAGATGGGTCTCGTACTGGCGCCTCGCACTGTCTGTCTCGCGGCTACCGCTAATAGCTGCGAGTTTCCGCTTGATTGCTTCATCCATGGGATACGACGGCGGTTCGTAGGGCGGTAGCTCGAGGGGAGCATCATCAGGCGCCTGGCGTCCAGACGACGCCGCGTCCGGTCGGCGGGTGCGCTGCAGAAGTCGCGGCGGCGGCATGGCGGGGTCGAAAAACTAATAACGGTCAAGTCGACGTTGAGTGGCCCGGTAGGGGGTACGAAATGTTTTCTGTGTTCCCTGTAGGGTTGAATAGTCGGTGCGGCGGACCCCAATGCCGATTAAAAAAGAATGCCCGCAGTACGACGAAGGACGACAAACCACTTTGTTAATTCGGATTTCAATGCTGGTGAGGGATGAAAGACGCGTGGGGCAGGAAACAGACGCGACGAAAGTGTGGGGCAGGTAAAAAGGTGGGTCCTTCCCACTTGGCATCTCAGATCGCACAGTACGAATACACGATTCCGACTCGGTATGATGAGGAAGGCACATCCACGATTGATCCTCCAGCAACACCACTCCGGAAAAATACTATCTCGCCTTCATGCTGCTATCCAGGAGTGAAAGAGAAAAGTTAGAAATGGCGGGATATAGTTATACGCGATAACAATGGCAAACCACAACAATGACAGCACACCAATGGCCGCAGGTTACCTGACTCTCTCTCCATCACATCATTCCAGATCCCATGCTCTACAGCATCTCGAATGTCCTGTCCCAATTCCATCAGATCATGAATGCGAATTCTAAGATATGGGAAAGGGAGAATGGGAGAATCCCATTCGGCGCTTCGTCAAGGACTCGTGCCACGTGCCGCACCTCCATGTCGACTACCGGTCGATCCACGCCCCGATCGCCATGAGTTCAGATCGGAATAGAGGGTGGCACCATCGGTAAGTACCCACGTACCTCCCAGGTCCCCGAAAGGATTCGCTAATTCATTCATTTGATGTGTCGATGCGTACGAAGGTTGTGGACTGTGCCTCTCTTGAGCTGCAGTGGCGGGAACCCCTGCCCCCGTTGCCGCGATGAACCCTACTCGAGCCCGATCCTAGGAGCCGCCGATGCATCTGATAATCGACGTGGGCCTAGAGATCGGAGAGGTACAGGGGCATCGCCCAAGGCCATCGAATCAACAACCCTTCTCGACGAGCTCAATACTCCCCTGTGGATTGTGACGCTGTGAAACCCAGTGACACCACGCCCTTCTCCGCCTTTCCCATCGCCGCCGGCCAGATTGCCTCTCAAGGCCCCGTAATCCGGGACAGCGGATACTCAGTCATTGTGTGCTTTATTGAGAATACCACAATCCAATCCCATCTTTCCCGGCCACTTTTCCATGGCATTTGTCTCACCGAATTCTCTTCGGCGCTCGATCGGCCACACAATGTTCGATCCGTTGCTCGAGATCACCTACCCGGCGATAGTATTTACGTATAGATTGCTGAGATATTCATATATCCGTACTTAATATCCCAAACATCCCCCAGGGCTTGTACCATTCTGATACTGAGACTTGGTTGCATCCGACTCCTCTCAAGTGATATAAAGGGCCTGGTGTATTGATACACTTATACCCCCCGTTCTCCTTGCCCATCCGAAGCAAACGCCCAACTTCAGTCGAACATTAACAGACCCTTTTCCCATGCCCTTGCTAGTAAAGTCATTCTGGTCATATCAACAAGTCTCTACCCAGCCCCTCCGTCGGGCTCCCACTTCGCATCCCGCGATGACCGCCCAAATGAACACCTGGGAGGAGCAAGCCGTGATGGTATTTCTCTCCCATTCCATATTGCCGCGTTACCAATACTCATAGCAGCCAGTGGCAGGTATCGAACCCACAAATCCAAGATCCACTCATCTATCCCGGCCTCTACTCACCGAGCGGCATCGACATTCTTACCATATTGGTTAGTTTTCTATGCCTTTCCCTGTTTCGTTTGCTCTATTATTCTGTTTGCCTCCCTCTACCATCCCGCCATCTCCCCGTTCCACCCCTCCCTCCTCCCCAGCACCAACCCACCTCCTTTGTTTACCCCCCCCTTTTCCACCCTCCCCCCCCCAAAACCCAAAACTCACCCCCCCCCCCACCAACCCAAACTCCAAAACCAACCCAACCCTCCCTAACCGTCCCCCCCTCACAGGCCACGATCCACACCCGCCCGAACCCGACCGTCCCCCTCGGCCCAGTCGACGCCTCCTGCGCCATCCTCATCGCCGACCTCGCCCAGCCCGACCAGCCCATCATCTACGCCTCCCAGCCCTTCACCGCCCTGACCGGCTACTCCGCCGCCGAGGCGCTCGGACGGAATTGTCGGTTTTTGCAGGCGCCGCCGCCACTGGTTTATAGGGATGATGGTGGTGATGGCGATGGTAAGGATGGGGGTGGGGGTACGGTTGGGAATTGGGATGGGGGTGGGGGTAGGGGTGCGGGTGGAAATAGGGACTCTGGGGTGGCGAGGAGGAGAGGGTGTGGTGGGTTGGTGGATGGGGAGGTGGTGAGGCGGATGGGGGCGGCGGTGCAAGGGAGGAGGGAGGTGCAGGTGGAGGTGGTGAATTACAGGAAGTCGGGGGAGCCGTTTCTGAATCTGTTGAGTATCATCCCCGTGAGGGTGGGTTCTGGGTTGGATTTGTCGGTGGGGTTCTTGTGTGATGCGGCTTCGCTTGAGTGAGCGAGGTGCTTTTGGCTTTGAGGGGGGAGGTCGGGTGGAGAGATGGGTTGGGTTGGTGTTGGGCTGTGGGTTTGTTTGAGACGTGTTGTTGTTGGGATACCCTCGATGAGTTATGCCTTGTTTTCTCTCCTACAGTTGTAGGGCAACTGGTTCACAAAAGCGGACCTGTTCCTTTTAATCGATGCCATATCTGTATGTCTAGACAACCTATTTACAGAAATTGTACTCCATGCCATGCCCAGCCTCTATCGCGTGTCTAGCTCTACGCTCACGAGACTGCGCTGGCCAATACCATGAGGTCGCCGTGATGCCTTACGGCTGCTTAAAGGTCGAGCCGATGGGACCAAACTTGATGTTCGCTACCGCTACAGTTAGTAAAGAGGGCATCCCCATCAGGCAAACCACAAACTTACAGTAGATCACTTGGCTGCTCGCCTGGCTCTCCTCAATGTCGCTCGGCACGCCGGAGGACGTATCGCAAGTACCGCGACCCTTACCGGGCTCGTCGGGGCTGGCATCGGTCGGGTAGGTCGAGTCGAGCCACAGCATGTTGGAGTAGTGGTCGTCCCACAGCGACATGACGAGCACCATGGGGGCGGCGACGCCCTTGCTGAACTGGGCCATGCCGCCCTTGTCGTTGAAAGTGTCCTGGTCGTTGAAGGCCGTCTTTTGCGTCTTGCAGAACTCCTCCGTGATGCTGTTGCCCGAGTTGCCCTCGATGGTGCTCTCGGGGTTCTCGATCACCTTGCCGTTCTGCACATAAAAGCGCTTGATGTCGGCCAACTGGCCGTTGCTGCCCTTGATGAATTGCGTCACCACAGTGAACTTCTTGTTCGTGTCGACCGTCATGCCCGGGCCGTAAAAGTCTTTGATACCTTGGCGGTAGGCATTAAAGTCGCAGCCGTCGGGGGTCGCAGGTACCCGCGTACCTCGTTGCGGAGTAGGTCCCGCCGCACGCATCTCCCTCGCAACGATGCTGGCCAACCGTGGTGCAGGGGTGAGGAGTATAAGCGGTCGAGATGGAGTTGGCCTCCCTTTCCTCCGTTAGAAGATACTCCTGAGTTGGAAGGGGAAGATGACCTACCAGACATCCATCTCAGTGCAGCAGGAGCCGTACTGGCCAACACCAGCATTCTGATCGTTGGATGATTCCTTCCAACCGACAGCATTGGCCTCGCCGTTGATGAACTTGAGGTCGCGAGGGCACTGGGCATCGCAGTAGCCAGTGCCATATCTGGCTCCCGCCTTGTTACCCCGAGTGCTTCGACTTGCCACCATCCTCGTCCATAGAAACAAAGTACAGGGCACCGTTGAGGCCGCAGCTAGCCTTGGGTTAGTCTGGACCAGCAGCTAACGGACACTCGCCTTGACCTACCCGAGCTTGGAGGTGTCGACGTCGAAGGTGAACTCGTTGCCGAGTAGGGTGAACATCTGGTACTTGTCCGCCCCGGCCATCAGGTACAAGCGTGAGCCGATGTTGGTGGCTACCGACCACCGTTAACAACTCAACGTTCCACTGAGAGGATATGAAGTTCACATACAGTACTCGCCCTCAGTGATAAACTTGAGGGTCAAGGCATTGCCGCTGGTCGAAGCTCCGTACGTGCCGGAGTAGTTGGCGCCATCCACGGCGCAGTTGGACGCGCAGGTCTTGTCGTCGTTGCAGATGGTCGAGTTCCACTCGTTGCCGCTGTAGCAGTTGGTGTAGCCGTCCTTGTCATGGACCCAGCGCCAGTTGGAGTCGATGGTCACCTCGCCGCTCACGCTGGAGCAGGAGCCGCTGGCGCTGCACTTCTGCCAAGTCATCTTGGGATGCGTCTCGGTCGTCTCCTTGCCCACCACCTGGGCCGCAGCCGGGCCCAGGAGGGCGGCGAGCGCAAGGATTTTGGAGAGCATCTTCAACGGAGGCTAGAAGGCGATGGTGTCCCGAAGCTGGAGGAATGCGAAGATGGTGTCGGTAGCTTGCCTTGGCTAGGGGAGAGGAACCAACGCCTTTTCTAGCTTTTGACCACCCAGTCAAAGGTAACCATCGCAACTCCCGTTTGGGTTGTTTTCCGAAGTATATGACTTGCCTCTGCGGCAGGATATGGCTTTCGGCCGGATGGGCCTATCACCCGGGGCATATTCGCTCATAAAGGTCGAGGCTAAGAGGAGCAAGCTCTCGGAAGAGAGCTTGGTGTCAGTTGATTAGCAATGTAGACCATTGCATGAAAAGCTTCCGCTGTAATCTACTATTGCAGCACGCGCGATCCGTGCCACTTGGATCCCCGGCTTTGAACCAACCGAGAGCCGGGAAACATCATCCCAGCTGAATGGACCCAATAACTCGGGGCTCGACAGTCGAGGGGATATTTGGTAGAATCAACCCCCAAATGAAAGGATGTGCTGTGAAGCGGAGGTAAGACATGCTATCCATCGGGCACCAGTTCTTGCTCCTGTGGCTTCCGATATCTCCCCGGGACTCCTTACATCTAGAGTGGCCCGGAACGCGTTCGAAGAGAAGGAAAACACGACGGCAGACTGGGGTAAACCGTCCCGGTCTAGACCTCGCTGTGGGTCGACTTCCTTGTCCAGCCCCAGATTCGGGTGAGCGGGTATGGTCTTGTGCCGTCAGCTTCGTATGAAGACGGTACAGAAGGGCCGGAGCATTTTGTGTGGGGAAGCGGGAGAGAAGATCTGGGGAAGCCAAAGACGGAGAGAATTCTGAGGAGAGAAGCCGGCAGAGAAAGCCAACAGTGGATCCTTGCCTTTCCGGCCGCCCCATGCGACAGCATGGTTGAGTGGCACAACCACGGGCTGGCCAGCAGAGAAGGCCCACTTACACTTCATGGTACCGCACGGGAAAACCAACCGTGTTGAGAACTGAGGGATGCCGGCTAAAGGAATGTTAGAGAACCCTGTGTAAGGAGGACGATCATATGACGATAGCCAGAGAACGTTTGTTGGACCAGGTTCTACAAGAAAACAGGCGGAGAGTTGTTGGAGAAGGTGAGGATAAGGTGGCGTTCACCAGCTTGGCAAGAGCCTCATTCCTAGGCGCCGAGCACGGGAACCGCTGAGGCGGGAAGATTCGAACGAGTGCCATGGTTGGAGCGCGTGATAAGACCCCAAGGCGGGTGCTGGATATTACAAGCTCGGCTGGAGGGTAGACAAGCAGACGCTGGAGCATGGGGGTTGTAGAGAGGGTGCTCGGGGTTGCCTAGTTCATGCAATCCGACGGTTGAGGTCTCCAGCCGCATCAGCTCGACTCCTGGGATGGGAGCTGTTCCCCTTGCGTCGCGACAGTAGGCGGGCGAATGAGGAGTTGGGCTGATATAAACAGGCTGTGGAGAATATATTAGCCACCGGGTTGGCTTTAGCCATACTGCAACCTGGGAGCAGCCTCATCCCAAGAATAACCGCTAGAACTGAGTCCGTCGGACAATAATAGTGAGCTCGGGCCGCATCACGAACTGTCCCCGGCCACGATGCGGTGTTATTTGTTGCTATTCATTGTCGAATTTGTTGGCGGAGGCGCGTCCCTAGCGAAGCGGAATGCTGACTTCCCGTAGCAGTTGACATGATTCGACGCCTCTATCACTTCCAGCCGATGGGCTACCCGCACTTGCAGGCAAGCGGCTGGGCGACGGTGGCAATGGTAGTCGGAGGACCGGGGCCATCGGGAATCAGGCCCCGACATCGCATGGCAGGGTATGGGAGTGAACTCAAACCCGGGCCGCCACCTTCGGTGATTTGCTGAGTCTGCATCATGTGCGTCGGATGTAAAATCCGAGAGTTGGGGCAGGTCCGGGTGCCCCTTGGAGGAGGAGGGGAGGCAGGCGGAGAGTTAGACGACAGCCGAATCATGAGGGATTCTCCTTCCACAGGGGTCGCCATTCTGGCACATTTCTCTCTCCATGTTTGAGTATCCGGGAATGTACAATGTAATGAGCATCTGGTTGCTGGTTACTCCGTTGGGTTCAATGTTCAGTTGGCGATGAGGATGTGAAGGTCAAGTGCCAAATTTGGGGAAAGCAACGAGGCGAAGGAAGGAGGGCTAGGGTTGCACACGGACTTCCATTCAACAAGCACTTCTTCCTGAGGTCATACCAACCCCACACACCCCATCACCCCATTCAACCACCCGAATCCTCAATCACCAACTAGGAACTTACATGCCTAGGTAGGTACACGTACGTAACCTTAGTACGTAAACCAAATCAAGATGCCGATCCGCGGCCCAGTCCACGCCAAGCTCCACAAAAAGGACGCTGCCGAAACCCTCCGTGTCGGCCCCTTGACCATCCGCATTTACGAGGATGGCTCTCTGACCGAGAACCGGGTCAGTGGTGTGCTGCTCGAGATACCCGCCGGAAAGAGCGGCCCGCCGATGCACTGGCACCGGTTCCACGACGAGTTGTTTCTCGTTACCAAGGGTGAGTCTGATACGGCATTCGAGCGTATCTACCTAGTACAACAACTGATCTTTGGCGGTGGTGGGGTGTGAGGTAGGGGCCATGACATTCGTCACGCCAGACGGCGAGGTGGCGGCTTCGGCGGGTGACCTCATGACTGTTCCTCCCGGGGCGGTGCACACGTTCAAGAATGCGTCTGACACGGAGGACTGTGAGTGTTATATGACTGCTACGCCAGGGCACTATGTGGATTGTGAGTTTCGACTTGTGACCCCTGATCCCGCAAGGAGACCCTATTGACGGAGAAAAAAGACTTTCGGATGTTGGGCAAGGCGACGGAGGCTGGGAAGCAGCTCACTTCGGGTGATGTTGAGCATCTGATGGCTTTATTTGGCACATTCCCTCCGAATGTTGAGTCGGAGCCTTAATCGGGAGTTCGGGTCATGGTACTGTGGATACAAACTGAAACCGAGAGGCCTCGATCTTAAAATCAATACCCAGGTCGATTTCCTTGCAGCCTGCCCGAACGCCGCCTCCCTGACTCGGTGTTGCTGTTTACCGTGGCCGTCTCTTCTGCCTTGGCCGTCCCTGTTTTGCCGGTTGCAGCTTTCTTTGGGGCAACTCTGCTCTTCTTAGCTGGCGGCTCCTCCCCCTCGGCTTCCCGCTTCTTCTTGCCCTGCGGCTGGTCATCCTCGGCTTTGACGGCCTTCGACTTGGCAGCTTTCTTAGGCTTGACTTCCTCTTGGTCAGACTCGATGATCTCCTCCTTGACACCCGGCATGATGCGGCCGCTCTTCTTTTGCACATCAGGCGCGTAACAGCTTGTTCTTCCGCCAACAGTTAGGAATGCCAGCTTCTCGCCGCTGGGCAGGTGACCCGCGGCACCTTTCTGACCTTTACCCCACCGATAATGGAACATCCAATCCTTGGGAAACTGATCCGAGTCCCCGAGCTTGTCGACAGCAAATTGGCACACATGTCGGATGGATTTGTAAAGGTTCTTGATCTGCTCGTCACTGAAGTCGTCGCAGTACTGTTCCGGATGGAGTTTTGCCTGGTAGAGAACTTCGTCCCCAACCCAGTTACCCACACCACTGATGACGGCCTGGTCGAGAATGAGTGCCTTGATGGGCACGTGTCGTGACTTCATCTTCTGTCGGAGATACTCCTCGGTAAAGACGTCGGTATCGACGACTGGGTCTGGCCCGTTCTCTACAAGCGGCGAGTGCTTCCTGATACTTTCGCCTGGGCAATCCACCAGCCGGACACGACCGAAGCGTCGGGGGTCGGTGAAGGCGACCTCGACTGATGGGTCTTCGGTCGTCAGGTGGAACTTCCAGTATTTTGGCGGCCACATATCCATTTCTTCAGGCTTCATCTTCTTGTAGTAGTTGGTGTACGCTGTCCGGTCGCCCTTGATGTGGATCCAGCCTGTAAGGAGAATTAGTCACGCCACACAGGCTTGAGGGACGACAACCGTACCAGTCATGCCAAAATGCATTACAGGATGAGGCGATTGATTGAGAACAAGCCTTTGCTGAGTTAGCTGCTTTGAGCCCATTTAAATGTCACGGTCGGGCGCCCTACCAGAAGTATTTGCCCTGAGTTCCCGCTGAGATGACCTTCTTCCCGGTCAATGCCTTCGCAACCTCCGCCCCAGTAGTCCCAACTTTGCCAAACACATTGGTGTCTTCTATCGCCGTCACTTGTTTGATCGTCTTCCCGACCAAGTGCAGGCGCAGATAGTGCACCACCCGCGCGACTGCATGTTTGTCAGCGGGGAAGGTGTGGAAGTCGCTGCTTAGTTAAACATACTCTCGGCAATCTCAGGCATTATTGTAGATCTATTGATCCCAAGGTTTACACCTTTCAAGTTGTTAATATGACTGGAACTGAACTTAGTAACTGGCCGTTTAATTCTCTCCCAACAAGCAGTTGGCGCGCGTCAGCCAGATGAAGCGGTGGAGTCCGACGACCCCGAGCTCGAGCCAAGGAAACGCGTGACGGAAGCGTCATCACGTGAGCTACAAATCCTCCTTGGTAGCCGAGAAGCTCCTCTTGTGGATCCACAGCACCGCACCGGAATTTTCCATCTTCTCCACAACCAAAACCAGCTTCAAAAACTCTGAACCTGCAGCTTTTTCCGCTTCGCTTCTTTCAATTCACATCACCACCTCCAGCTTCTGGTAAGTCCCTATTTTCCTTTTTTCGCGACGCACAGCAGGCAATTGCCTGATGACAACCCAACACCGCAAACTAGAGTCTTTGATCTTCGGACATGAAACTAGAAATTGTAACGTCAGTCTGAACACTGCCGCTGTCGCCGTCGCGTTATCATCTTCTAATTGCATTGGTCGAGAAGCTAACGGAAATAACAGGCCTCTAGCTTCCACGAGCGTCAGTCGCTGGGCGGGATTCGGGAGGATGGTCTGGAACACGGCACCATGACCACGATGAGGCTGTCGGGCAGCTTGCTGGGACCATGGTGCGCGCTTGACGGCACCCTGAAACCACGTTCGACATGAGCCACCGGGTTAGTACACCTTTTCACTTCTCGCTCTCGATTTCATGATGATCTTTCTTTGCTTCGGCAAGTTGGAATTACCGACTGATACCCCTTGAAGAAAACAAATGGCTGTTTCTGATTTTTATCCTCATCTTTCTCTTGACCAGCTTTCCTCCAATGCTCGGTTGCTGATTGTCAATTCCACAGGTCCATAACCCCATCTGAGTAAGTAGGCAACCTTCTCGCCGAACCTCGACGTGCTTCCATGATGAAGCGGCACTGGGCTCCGAATTTCAATGAGCAGATATGCCATTTTTGCGACAGGCCTAGAAAACCTCGTCCACTGATCAGCACTACCCATGGTCGTTGCTTGCATCAATTGCATGGGGAACTCGAGCTAACTAGTTCGGAAGACGGCAGCTCTCTGCGCCCAACGCGTTGTGACAGCCACTCTACTTGGTAAGCTTGCAGTTTCCTTGTGCATTACTTTTTCGCCCTACTTTTTCTGTGATGACTCTAGATGACGAGTCTGATTCGGGATTCCCGCTGAAGACAAAACCTTTTAACTACCATTCATGCCTTTCTGAACTTTTGTCGATGGACATCCGCGATTGCATATTTAGCAAGGGGCTCCCGCTAACCGTCGCCAGTAATAACTTGAAAGCCAATGAATGGTTTCATCATCCGGCGTGGTTTGACCGTTGAGGTATGTGTTGACTCGGGACCCCAGTTTTGCTTCACTGCACCTCTTCATGATGACTCGACTTTAAAATTGACAAGCATATGTCGGAGCTCATGCGAAGATGACACCGTCCATGTCTGATCCCGCCCTGACACATCACGCCTTCCTCTCACTAGAGACGAGCGAACGCTGACTGTCACAGATTACCTTGCACTGTCGACCATCTCAGTCCTTATTTATGGCGACGGGACAGAGGGTAAGCATCATCTCTTCGCACACCCCCCTGGCTTTTATGATGATTTCAATTTTATCACGACGGTCTACATAGCTTATGCCTTGATGAGACTGCCGGTGACACGGCTTTAATCCTGATAAAGTCACGATCAACCACGTGTTTGCTCTGTCTTTTGAGTGTCCTTGGGCTAACGTGGACAAGATTGTAGGACACTTGGACTTGGCTACCTCTCCCGTCACCATAACAACGTGCAACTTGACGAGTACACCCGGTCAGTTTTCCCCACTAACAAACAGGTCGTATATGATCTATGTGAAACCTCTGCTCTTCGTGTGTCATTGCATCAGTCCAGGCCAAGGCCATGCTTGATCGAGTGTTTGCCTCACTACGGGCTCACATCGCAAGATAGTCAACTGAATCTCGATGAATATAACTCGTGCAAGTCTCTACCCTGACCACTCTCCCGTGACGACCGTTTAAACAGAGTGCTGCTGATGTGCCTCCTGAGAGCCCACAATGCCCACTTACCGTAGTTGCCACGCCCGAGCGCCTCCAATGCCAGCCTTCTGCATCGCCTATCCCAAACCAGTCAACAACCTCGCCCCCAAGAATCCCCGGCCAAAACCAATATCAACGACGAGCTCCTAGACTCCTAGCTTGCTGAGTGTCGGTCCCATCGGCGTTGCCATGCACGCCGCCACCACGACCGTGGCCATTGGCGGTCATAGTCGGCAGCTCGACGCCTTGGTTGAGACCGGAAGGAGCGTTGTGACGCGGAGGAGAAGGACCTCCTGCACCGTTTCTGCCGGGCGTCAGAGGGGCTTGCCGCGGAACGGCCGTGCACGCGCCGGACGCGTTCCCCGTCGCGGTGGTCTGCCTCGTCGGCGTGCTTTGCGCCGGCCCCGGGGCGGGCGTTGCCGGTGGTTTCGCTGGTGGTGGCGCCGCTGGGTGCAGTGGTGGTGGGATGGGGCGGTTGTGGGGGTGTCGCTGAGCGAGGGGGGCGTCTGTCTTGTTACCGTGGGCGGCGCCCGTCGCGTTCTGCGTTCTCGTCGTCGGGGTCGGCGTTGTTGGCCTCGCTGGGTTGTAGGTCCCCCTGGCAAGATGGGTGGCTGTGGGGGTGGTGTGGTGGTTCGTCTTGGTGCTTGGTTGGGGCGTCCCCCTCTGAACGAGCGTCGTCGGCCGGCTGGGGCTGGGGGGCTGCACCACCCGCTCCGGCCGCTGCCCGTCTGCGGCGTACCTTGGGCTCGCGGAGTGGGATGCAAAGCATCCAGCGGACCAGCATGGTAGCGTCCGGTGTGTCGAGCGACTCCGAAGAAATGTCCACCAGGCGTGATTGGCGGAAGGTAATGGGGCTGTGACCGCCATGCCAGCAGACTTGGGTGATGCGAACTGTTTGGTTGTGATAGAAGGAATACACCAGAACCTGGAGTGTTGTCAGATACGATCTCCACGTGTGCGGGTTCATCACTCGGCGAAATCGGGTTGGGGCATACCGGAATTATGTTGTGTGCATCACGAGACGCCCACATTCGCCTCTTTATGAAACTGACACCGGCAGTAATCTCGCTACGGAGTGCCTCGTCCGGCTTGCTTCTGTGGGAGGTGGTGTCTGCTAAGACCAACCCAACATGGCGCATTCCTTCCGACTTGGCCGTGTCGTTGGAAAAATAGAATGCCGAAGTTGTGAACCATTCGGGCAGCCGTTGAGGCGGCGCCTCGTGATGCTTCTGGAGGTACACCGATTTGGCCGAGTACTCTGGAAGACGGACGCCGTTTCCGGGACTGAGGAGGTCGAGTAAGTATCTGATTCATTGCTCGGGAACAGCGGAAGCACAGAATGGAAGAGTATACTCACGAAGCCGACTTCCACTGCGGTACATCAGTGGGATAGAGGTTGTGTACGTGGACCGCTCCGTAGGCCAACCCCGTAAGCCAATTAATGACATGACCGGCGCAGTCCAACCGACCAATATGCGAAAGTTCATGGGTACAGGGGGACCAATCGTAGTCGTTTTCATGACGCTCGCGTCTCGACGCTGCAAGTGACTCCCTGAATTCGGGGGTGTCGGGAAACGGCTGAAAAAAGACGGGATGGGCGTCCACCATGTCTGGGTTGTCGATGTCGAGTTGAGGAGCCCTCTCGATACCCATGCTCTTCAGCCTGCTCGTTGAGAGGGTCGTGCTCAACTCTCCGAGGCCCATCAGGCCTTGCTCAAGCTTGTGAACCTCCCAAAACTTTGAGGTCTTTGGAAAGCGTTGAGGGGGCATGTTGCTGTGGGTTGGTCGAAAATTGATGGAATAGCGGTCAAATCCAAGGGGATAATGATGTTGGCTGAGAGAAGCTTGACAGAATACATACAGGGATTGAGAATATTCCCCTAGCTTAGCCGAATTAGCAACGTGCGAAGAGAAAAGGAATGGAAATGCAAAGGGGAAAGAAGACGCGGGAGATGTGGAATAAAATAGACTTCTCATAATTTAGTCTTCTCTAAATAATAACCTAGTGTTTTTCATCCGTCTCTTATAAAAGCTTATTATTTCGTTACTTAAATCGAAAATAATATGCTTACGAGGAGTTGTATCATATAATAATATGAAGATAGGTGTAGCAGCCTTTTGGAACACCCTTCCACACGCTATTGCCGTTATACATGTGCGGCGGATTGATGCACGGGTTCCTAATATGAGACATCGGCTCCACGGGAAACGGGGACTCAGGCAAGAGCCTTTGGAAGCCGACTCCCCAAAATTCGGCTCTGTAACATTATAAATGCTATACTCCAAGAACCGCTCCCGCCTACCCATCATCGTGACCAACCAAGTCTTTCTCCAGCCCTTCCAAGAAACTATCCGCCATCTTCTTAGTCCTCCGCTCCAAGATCTCCTTCCTCCTCTCCTCAATCTCCTGCTTCCGCCTCCTCGCCTTCTCCTCCCTCTCCCTCCTCAACCCTTCCGTCTTCGCCCTCTCCTCCTCGAGCGCCCTCATCTCCGCCTCCCGCCGCCCCTCCTCCTTGCTGAACTTGTAGAACCCCACCCCCTTGGTCCGGATCTCCCAGTCCGCCTGGTAGTGCGTTGCCTCGGGCGGCGTGGCGCTCCGGTCGCGCTTGCGCGCGAGCGCCTCCATGGCCTCGCCGCCGTCGTGCGCCGCGAAGGCCTCGGCCTGCACGGCGTCGCCGTAGATGAGCGCGGCGGGCGCCTTGGGCCGCGCCGACATGTGCTCGAGCTCGGTGGCCGAGGCCGCGCCGCGCTGCAGCCGCAGGATTTGTGAGCGGGTGAGCTGCCGCACGCGGCCGAACTCGTCGGTGTGTTCGTGGAGGGTGGTGTCGATGTTGCTGGCTTGGTCGTCGTCGGGTTCGGAGTCGGAGTCGGAGTCTGAGGAGGCGGCGTCGGGGTTGGTTTTGGCCTTGGACTTGGATTCGGCCCATTTGCGGTCGAAATCGACGAGCCCGACTTCGCGCCCGATGTAATCCCCTCGTTGCATTGCCGCGTAGACACGGGCTTTGGACTCCATCTTGCGGCGGGCGAATTCGCGCTCGGCTTTGCTCTCTTCTGTTCCGAGGGGAGATTTGAGGGAGAGTTTATTATTATCATCTTTTGTTTCGGTATTGGGCTTGCTGTCTTTGCGCTTGACTTTGGTATTGGAGAGACCATCTTTTTTCAGCTTCGATGGGCGGGTTCGGCCAGTCGTGGCCGCGGCGGAGGAACTCGTGCTTGATTTGGTTGATGGTTCAGCAAGGAACGAGCTTAATTGTGAGCTGAACGCTAGCGACCCCGAGAGAGCTATCTCTTTCTTTTGCTTCTTGGGCGGCGGCTGCCCGTATAGATGTGGATCTTGCGGCATCCTATCGATGATGTGATGGTGACGCCTGGCGTTGAAGAGGTTCACAGCTGCGGGGTGAAGGGGTTGTTTGTCGTCGAGCAGTTGTTGGTGGGTTTGATCTCTGTTGTATCTTGTTAGGGATATCAAGCTATCAGCTCAGGTCATGTGTTGTCGTGTTTTTTGAGTTTTCTGCGCCTCGAAATCCGGAGTTGACGTCTGATCTCCAATTGCCTCCCGTCCAGATGCAACCCTGCGGCCGTTGCTCCCTGGCCTTTTTTATGGGGAAGCCCAGACCCGCAGGTGGGGCGTGGAACAGCATCCGATCATCCCTGTTCCCCATGCGCCTGGCGCCAAGGGGCAGGTGCCGATGCGATTCGACGAGCTCCCGTTTGGCTGGCCCGGTTCGCGGGTTAACTAGCGGCACCGCGACAACAGCTTCCAAGACAGGCCTCGCTCCATCCCTTGGTTCTGCCGGCTTATCGCAGACAACCTCCCTCCAACTCCAACCCGCACCCCCGGTGTTCCCACCCGTCTGGTTCAAGCATTCCCCTACAACGACTCGCCCTTGATGGAAATCCATCACTCCCTCGGAGAATATGCAACGTCATCCCGTACCAACAGTCAGCTAAGCTACCCAGCTTGATCCCCGACTTCGATTGCGCTCCTCGGCCACGGGGCCACGTTCGCCGCGTGCACCGGCCCCGTCGCTCAGCATAACGCACGGTTAGAACCTTCGCCACTGCCTACTATTTGATGACGCTTGACGCCTCGTTGGCAGCGTCCCAGAACTTCACACCGTTTCTCCATTCCGTCAAACACGTCGCCCAAGATGACGGACTACGCTTCAGAGCCCACCAGCTGGTATCTCTGGCTCACTGAGCTGAGCATCATCCCACAGGAGTACCGGTACATAATTAGCATCATATCCAGCCTTTTTGTGAGTCCATTCACTTCGTTGCCGTTCTCGCCATCGCCGTCGCTGACGCAGCTCTTGGTTAGCTCACGCTCGCCCTCACGCCGATTGTACCGATCGTTGTGCTGGTAATCTACGACCTGATCCTTTGGTTCTGGCGGCTCGCAGTTGCCAACTGGCGTGCCAGGTTTGCACCTAGAATTGAAATCGCCCCTGCCGAACCTCCGACGCCACCGATAAACGGCACCGCCGCGAGCTGGTCCGTCGGATGATGGAACAAGGCGTTCGAATAGACCATATTAGGTCGGAGGGATGCATTGGTACCACCGCATGCTAACATGGCACGGCACTGAATGGAGGCACATTGGGATACTGGGGGTTTCTTGAGACCTAGGTAGTATATCTGGGCTATTTACCTGGGGATGGGCTGACCGGATTAAGCAATCTGGGACAGTACCTTCAGCAGGTCGCTCGTCACGCCCATCGCCGTCACTTCACCGCCGGCACCAGCGCCCTGTATAATTAGCGGGTTGCTTCCATACCGCTTAGTGTAGAAGCTAATGATGTTATCGCTGCCCTTCAGTGCCGCAATGGGGTGTGACAGATCAAACTTCTCGAGCCCGACCTTGACCTGCTTCGTGGCCACGTCGATGCTGCCAACAAAGCGCACCACTTTGCCTTCCTTCTCCGCCGCCGCCTTGGTCTCCTCCATCTGCGCATCAAACGCCGGCAGCTTCTCGAGAAACTCGTCCCCGCTCGCCACGGACTCGAGTTCCTTGGGGATCAGGCTCTGCACGGGGAAGGCAGCCGGGGACTCAACCGGCAGGCCCGCCAACCGCGCGAGAATGGTCAGCTTCCGCGCGACATCCAGCCCGTTCAGGTCGTCCCGCGGGTCGGGCTCGGTGTAGCCCAGCTCCTTGGCCTTCTTCACCTCGGCCGACCACTTCCCGCCGGAGCCCGAGGTCGGGGCGAACGAGTTGAAGAGGAAGGACATGGTGCCGCTGAAGACGCCCTCGACCTTGGTCACCTCGTCGCCCGTGTCCACCAGGTCCTTGAGCGTCGAGATGACGGGCAGGCCGGCGCCCACCGACGACTCGTGGTACACCTTGGCGCCCGACTGCTCGGCGGCGCCGAAGATGTCCTGCCACAGCTTGTACGAGCCCGAGAAGGCCTTCTTGTTGGGCGTCACGATGCTGATGCCGCGGCTGAGGAAGAGCGGGTACGCGTCCGCGACGTCCTGCGAGCTGGTGTTGTCGACGAGGACCGTCTTGGAGCCGGACGTGCCGAGGAAGTCGACGAGCTTCGGCAGGGCGAGCGGAGCTTGCTGGGACGAGGCAAGGGTGGACGAGACGGTGTTGAGCGGGATCGCCACGTGGTCGGTGCTGTAGATGGCCTTCTTGCTCGTGCAGATGTAGGTCAGGACGACCTTGGGGCTGGGACGGCGGGCGGCGAGCTGCTCGAGCTGGGACAGGAAGCACTTCCCTACCCCACCAGCGCCTGGAATTGTTGTTAGCTGGGGGAGGTTAAGGGGTTGTTTTAGGAGAACACACCAATGATGGCAATGTTGACCTGCCGGGCGGAAGCTGCAGCCATTGTATAGGTAGTCTAGACTCGAGCGAAGAATGGAAGTATCTGAATGTAACTTTGATGAGCAACAGAAGCAATCGCGGGGTATTTGTTCCTGGCTGAAATATTGCCATGACGCCGATAGCGGGGCAGGTGTGCAGCCACCCCCCCGGACAACAGGGGGTCGTTGTGCCCCACGCTGCAGCCAAAAATTTGGTGGATACCGACATGCGTGGGATGTTGTGTTTCTTCACCATGTTTAAACTCTTCACGCCTCATTCTCTCGGTATCTCAATCACACACCGATCAGCACCACTCACGGGTCTTAAACACTTGAGTATCCAATCTCATACGAGTATATCCTGGGAATCAAACAAAATGGGCGGCAAGAAGATTAAGAAAGACAAGCGGCAAAAGCGCGAAGATTACCGGGCGGCGATGAGGAAGGATGACATCTCGGAATTGCCCAGGAAGAAGTTTTACCGCCAAAGAGCCCACGCCAACCCGTTCTCTGACCACCAATTGATCTAGTGAGCTTGACTGTTTTCCTCGTGGGGGTTGTGGGTGTTCGAGACTAATGAGAATACAGCCCCCCACACCCCGACCAGATGGACTGGTCCTCCCTCTACCCACACTATGTCGTCGACGAGCCGCAAGACCAGCCAACACCACCCGCCCCCGAGACCCCATCCTCAGAACAACATGACCTCGCCCCGCTCCGACCCAAAAGGATATCCAAGGAGGTCGAGGTCGCAGACATCGGGTGCGGCTTCGGCGGGCTCCTCATCGCGCTCGCGCCGACGATGCCGGAGGCGCTGATCCTGGGGCTGGAGATCCGGGTGTCGGTGACGCACTTCGTCGAGGACCGCATCAAGGCGCTGCGGGCGCAGAACCACGAGGCCGGCCTGTACCGCAACGTGGGCGTGCTGCGCGCCAACACCATGAAGTTCCTGCCCAACTTCTTCCGCAAGGCCCAGCTCGCCAAGGTCTTCATCTGCTTTCCCGACCCCCACTTCAAGGCCCGCAAGCACAAGCAGCGCATCGTCTCCGCCACCCTCAACTCCGAGTACGCCTACGTCGTCCGGCCCGGCGGGATTGTTTATACTATCACCGACGTGCCGGATCTGCATGAGTGGATGGTGCAGCACTTTGACGCGCATCCGTCGTTTGAGCGCGTGTCTGAGGAGGAGCAGGAGGCGGATCCGTGCGTGGCCATCATGCGCACCGAAACGGAGGAGGGGAAGAAGGTAGAGAGGCATAAGGGGCAGAAGCATGTGGCGCTGTTTAGGAGGTTGGAGGATCCTGCTTGGTGACAGGATGCTTGGTGGGAGTGGGGATGGGTTGAGCGTCATGATCGATGATACCAATGTTGGGGCATGTGGAGAGAATGCGTGTGCGGCGATATCGACATCTTCTTGACGGCGTTGCATAGACTTTTGGACCCCCTACTTCGTCAGGGGGGAAGCCCTACACAGGAACTCCCCAAAGAGCCGAAGAAGAAACCCAAAACCGATGCTTGCAACGTGCTGTTCACATATAGAGAGATCAAAGTCCCTTACTCCTGTCATATTCCATTCCCAACCACCCGTAACAATAAAGGCACAACTCTTCTTTCCAGGAGCTTCGTTTTCTCAACACCCCAAAACATAGCCTTGCACCCCAACCCCACAGCGCCCGCCAATATCCCATCCCCAAGACCAATCCAGTCATGCAAATAAAACAAGCTGCCCGACCCTGCCAGCAATGACATCCAAACAACGAAACTACTGAGAAAAAAAGCCGCAAAGGAGACGTTTACATATCAATGCCCTGGGTATCATCTCTCATCTCGTCGCTGCCGAGCTCCTTCTCCAGCTCGTCGGCCACAAACGTCTCGTACTCCTCCAGGCCCTTCTGGACGTGCATCTTGAACTTGATGACGTCGTTGAGCATGCGCATCGTCTCGGTGTGCAGCTCCTCGCGCAGCGCATTCGCCCGGAGGGTCAGTTGCTCGTACCTGGAAAAAGAGGCGGCAAGTTAGCTACCCGATGTTGGGGAAGGGAAAAGAGACGCCTCCACGTACTCAATATTGGTATTCATCTCGCGCTGCTCCATGAGCTGGACGGATTCGGACAGCTGGGCGCGCATCTTGGCGAGCTCCTTCTCCATCTTCTCGATCTGGGCGTCGGACGCGAGCTTCTGGGCGGTGGTGACCTCCTTGGTCTTCTCGTACTCCTCCTCGGCGGCGCGCACGCGGTGCTCGAGCGCCTCGACCTCGTTGCGCTTGTCCTCGATGGCCTCCTTGGCCCGGTCCAGCAGGTCGTGGTCCTCCATCATGGCGTCCAGCGCCGCCTTGCGCCGCTCCGACACCTCCTTACGGAGCCCCAGGAAGCTGTTCTTAACCTGCCCCCGGAGGTCCAGGTTGAGCACGTGCGCTGGCTGGTAGCCCGTGACCGGGTCCGCGAGGAGCCGGTCGCTGTCGCCGGGCCCGTACGAGCCCTGCAGCTGGGATGAGGAGAAATTGGGGCTGTCGTTGACCGTGACTTGCAGCTCGTAGTCTTTGCCCTTGGCGTTGACGGCCGTGGAGGGCATCAGACCGATCTGATACGCGACCGTGTTGTAGCGGTCCACCATGCGCTCCAGCTCGTCCAACCTTTGGCTGGCCTCCATCTCCCGCTCTGCCACCTTCCGCTTGACGTCCTCTAACCGCTGCCCCGCCGACTCGATGCTCTTTTGCAGACGCTCCCGTTCGGCAGTCATGCGGTCGATATCCTGCATGCTGATTCCTTGGTCGTCTACGGCGTCCTTCAGCCGTCGTCGTTCGTCATCGGCCTCTTTCAGCTCGCCCTGCAACTTGTCGAGTTCTTCCTGCAGGACCTGGATGCGACTTTCGTACTTTTCTGACCTCTGCATAGCCAGGGTGTTGTACTCCTCGAACTTGGCCTTGTCCTCTTCCATGATCTTAAAATGGTTGTCGAGCACGGCCGGGTCGGGTGTGGATTTCTCAAGGTCCTCAATCTCCTTGAGCAGCCGCGCGTGCTCACCTTCGAGCATCTCCATCTCCTGGATGTACTTTGCGTTGGACCGCTCAAACGCCCTCGCCATCCCTTGTACGTGCGGAACCAGGGCCTTCTCGACATCCTCGTCACCAGCCTCGTCGTCCATATTGAGCCAATCCTGGTACGCGCTCGTCAAGAAGTCAAAGATGATGTTATCACCCGCAACATCGACCCCCGCCTCAATGCAGGCTTCATCGTATTGGTGAACCGAATACCGGTCCAGCATCTGGGCCAGCTGCATCATCCAGTGCAGCAAGCCCAGGAATGTGCTCCAGTTTTGACCCCCCCACCGCAGCAATCTGGCTCTTGGTGATGCTCCTCTCGTAGGGGTACCGAAGCTGCTTGAGAAGAGGCGGTACCCTCCTGGTCGATGTTTTTCTGAAAGCGGTAACTCGGGTCGATGCGGTGGTAGAGCCATTGGAACATGTAGTTGAAGTCCTTTTGTGTCGGCGACTTGATGAAGTTGTCGGACAGTTTATGACTCATTTCCATCTCGAAGTTGTGTTGGGCGAGGTACTCTAACAGCTCCTGTCCAAGCCGATTCTGGTACGACCTATCCTTGAGCGGGCGGGGGTCTCGTGGTACGCCGGCGGCCTGCGGCGCTTGCTGGAAGAAGCTCTGGTGCCCACTCATGGGGCCGGCGGTTGTCGATGGGCGGGCTCGGTAAACGCTACTACGGCGGTCGTTATCGGCGGACGGGCCGGGGGTGTGGTACGGTTTGAGCGTCGCTGTGCTGCCGGGGTTGTACCCCGCGACGGAGGCGCGCTTGACGGATGACAGTCCGATGTCAGCGAGGCCTGGTCCCGTAGAGGAGCGTTGGAACATGGGCTGGTTCGGGCGCGCGGCGAGTGAGTGGCGCGATCCGGACATGGAGCGGCCATGGCTGGCGCTGCCGATGGTGCTTGTTCGTTTCATTGCGGACGGGGGTTGTGGGATGCCCGAATTGAAGTTGAGTCCTCCGAGGGTCTACACAGACAGTCAGCACCATATCGCGACACTTGCGGGGCAGTTGAGAGTTGAGGGTATCGTACCTCCCGTGGTCTTCGGACACTCCAAAGATTATTATCTTGCGACATGGTGACTGAGCCAGGAGCTAGGTGGTCTCCTATGACCCCGTCAACAGATTCGAAAAAGGCGCCAGAGCTAACTGGTCAGTACTACTTTCAAGTGAATGGCTCGGTATTTGTTTCAACAGTGAATTTGTACAGGGCGAACATGCAAGCAAATGTCGGTGGTGGGATGTTTTGCGTAACAGAAAAGATGGGTGAAATTACGACGTTTACGGTCCGTTGCCCAGGTAAACAAAGTTGACCGCTGCGGGGCTTTCACTGGGTCGCGCATCAATGACCCACCTTTGGGTCGAAAGCGGGATCCATGCAACACGTGATGCAGACCAAATCGCAAACCAAATCCGGGGTGCTGCCGCGCTTGGCAGCTGCCGTGGTGGAGCGCACGGGCTGCCGGTGCTGAACCTCGGCTTGTGATTGCTTTTGCTAGCCATCGCCTTTTCGACCATCCGGCGCGCTGCGCTTCCCAACTCCAAAGATCCGATCATCATCAAGTGCCCGGAGGGAACTGGTCAAACGAAAGCTGCCTCACAAACACAATCTGAAATGGCCATCCGCGAGGATCTGGTCGCGTCGGCGGTCAAGTGTAAGTTTCGATGTTGCTCGACGTGAACTAGAATTCCGGAGCGCAAAGGGGCTGACATTTGCTCGACAGTCCTACAGGACCCTAGCGTTTCCTCATCTCCAGTCGAGAAGAAAGTCGCTTTTCTTCAAGCCAAGAACCTTACGCAAGAAGAAGTGAACGCTGCGCTCGCGCGAGCAGGTGCTCCTGTTCCGGCACAGGCATACCCGCCCCAATCGACATCGGCCGTTGCGCAACCGCCGCAATACTATGGACAATACCCGCCGCAGTATCCCCCTTATGGGTGGCAACAACCGCCCCCGCAGCCAATTCCGCGACGGGACTGGAGGGATTGGTTCATCATGGCGACGGTGGTGAGCGGCGTGTCATACGGGCTTTATAGCTTAGGAAAGGTGAGACGGTGCTGGTTCGGTCACGTCGAACTCCGTATGCTGATACATTCCTAGCGCTATGTTTACCCCTTGGTTTCACCACCTACCCCAGAACGGCTAGAGCAGGACAAGAAGTCGATCGACGAACAGTTTGAGAAGACGTTTTCCCTCGTCGATCAGCTAGCCAAGGACACCGAGACCCTCAAGACGGCAGAGAAGGAGCGCACGGAAAGGTTAGACACGGCGCTTGTCGAACTCGAAACGACCATCAGCCAGCTCAAGGCGGCGAACAAGAGACGCGACGACGAATCGCAGCGGGTGCGGGACGACGTGCAGAACCTCCGGGACTCGATCCCGCGCGGGCTCAACAACCAGAAGGACCTGACCGACACGAGGCTGCGCGAGGTCAACGCCGAGCTTAAGAGCCTCAAGACCCTTATCACGCAGCGCATGAACCCGACCGCGACGTCGGCCAGCGTCGGCAACTACATGCGCCCGACGGTCAGCGGCAGCGTGACGCCGAGCAGCCCGGCCACTACCCCTGCGCCGACGGTAGAGGCCACGGCCAAGCCGGAAGCGACGCCCGCTCCTCAAGACTCTTCTGCCAATGCGCCCCGTGCCTCGCCGTTCAGCAGCGGGATGCAGGCTAAGGCGTCGATCCCGGCGTGGCAGATGATGGCGGCTAAGAGCGCCGAGTCGCCCAGCACACCGCCCGTGAATGGCACCGACGCAAGGAGCAGCAGTGGGGCTCAGGAAGCTTCGGGAAGCGCATGAGCGGGTACTCGGTAATGGGGCAGAGGGCGGGAAGGGATTGGGGGGCGGAATGCATCGCAATATCTGCGCGAGCTAGATGTGTACATTATGCTGTAATGGCTATTGAAAGACAGGCTGTTTTCTCATGGTGATCGGGAATTTGGGGTTCATCGGATATTGACTATGGGACGGTTTTGAGTTCGAAGGCTACGAAATATTCGGGACCCAAAAAGCTGCCGCAGGAGTGGGTGCAAACAACAAACTCTTGGCAGCGCTCTTCGCTGATACGCGGCTTGGTGAGATGAAGTTGATGCAGTGCAAGCGATCTCAGCTCTGCATGATAGAAGTGAGTTATTCCTAACTTGGCAATTCTTGCGCTCTTGCCAGCTCTCCTCCAGAATGTAGGCATGCACATCGCGGCGCATTGTTTCCGGCGTGGCGATCCGGAGTCAGTCCCTTGAAGGGAAGGCTTGCGAAAGCCGGATTCGTTGATTCGTGGATCCGTTGGTGGACACCGCAGCAAAAAAGCCTGGGGAATCGGTGTTTAAACGAGTCCCCGTGCCGAGGCTCCTTCCCCGTTTTCATCGGCCCGGGGTCGCAACATGGACCTGCCCTTCTCACAACCTGACCTCCCCCACGTTTTACTGATCGCTTCGGCAAGCCTGAGCTCTCCAGTGTCGAGCCGATAGTTAAGTCGTATTGGCCGCCATCCATCGGGCCTCGTCCGTGAGTGGGCCATTTCGAAGATGGAACCCTTTGTCAGGGGCCCGCTCTTCTTCTACTGGTGCGCTCTTCCACGTTTCCACGGACCGAAGTTGATATGATGAGCCGCCTTCTTGCATATACTTAAGGTAGTACTTCACATGTCTTTAAATACTGCTCTCGCCCCTTACCGGCCTTCTCATATTCCTTTTACCAGCCGACTTTTCACCTTGAAGCTGTGATATATTGTTGTTATTTTCAATAATTTTATCCCTACTTCGAACATGACCGCTCAAAATCCCGATCCCGGGCATCAAACCGCCGAAAAGCCGGCGGACAACAACAAGATGATGCTCGCTTTAATTCCCAAAATTCCCCTAATGATGAGGGTAGCCCTCCTTCATATCCTATCCCTCTCGAAGCAATCGCAATACCTCGACCTGCGAACCGAGATCACCATCGCCGTGCTGCGGTCCTTCACCAACCCCTCTGTGCCTCGGAGCATCTCGGCCACCCAGAAGTTGGCTGCTCAGGCTCCGAAGCTGAAGGGCAAGATCTGGGTGAGCAATTACACGTGCCCTCCCCCTCCGTTCGAGGAGAGAGGTCTGCAAGATGCCATCGCCAAGGCAATCGACGAGCTGCGGAATCCCAAGGTTCCACAGCCCTCCTACCAAATGCCAGACCCGGCGCCGGTCGAGGCCGAGTGGACGGGGTACCGCGCCAACGCAACGTCCGACTCCCGGTTACCGGATGTCTCGGAAAGGGAACTCTACGCCGAGATGATGAAGGAGGTCAAGAGCCCCGTAACGGTGCTCTACTTTCACGGCGGAGCGTACTACTTGCTGGACCCGGCAACCCACCGCCCAACCACCAAGAACTTGGCGAAGCTGACCGGCGGGAGGGTGTATTCTGTCCGGTACCGTCTCGCACCCCAGCACCCGTTCCCAGCAGCATTGATGGATGCTCTAATGTCATATCTCGCACTCCTCTACCCCCCAGAAGGCGCTTTCCATGAGCCCGTCAAACCAGAACACATCGTCTTCGCCGGCGACAGGTATGCCCCCCCAAACCCGTCACCACCTTCCCCCCATCCATTACTAACCACCCCCCCTCCCCGCACAGCGCCGGCGGCAACCTCTCCCTAGCCCTGCTCCAACTCCTCCTCCACCTCAACCGCACCACCCACCCCATCCCGTGGCACGGCCACACCCCCACCCAACCCATCCCCCTCCCCGCGGGCGTAGCCGTAAACTCCCCCTGGCTCGACGTCACCCACTCCTCCCCGTCCTGCACCACCAACGCCCCCTTCGACTACCTGCCCACCCTCGCCCAGCAACTCGCCGCCGAATCCAAGCGCCCCCACTGCGCCGCCTGGCCGGCCTCCCCGCCGCGCCGCCACCTGTACGCGCCCGACGCCCTGCTCGCCCACCCGCTGGTCAGCCCCGTGCTGGCGGCGTCCTGGGCCGGTGCGCCCCCCGTGTATATGTGCACGGGCTGGGAGCTGCTGGCGGATGAGGACCGGTTTGTGGCGCACAAGATGTGGCGGCAGGGGGTGAGGGTGGTGGTGGAGGAGTTTGAGGCCATGCCGCACACTTTTGCGCTGGTTTTTCCGTATCTGAGGGAGGCGAGGCGGTGTTTGGAGGGGTGGGCGGGGTTTGTGAAGGGGGTGGTGGAGGGGGGTGGTGCTGAGGGGGTGGGGGAGAGTCGGGTTTTGACGGTGAAAGCGCGGTCGTTGGTCGAGGTGGTCGGGGAGATGGAGGGGTTGTGGGCGGAGGGGGAGGAGGTGGTGGAGGAGAGGGTTTGGAGGAAGATTCGGGAGAGGGGGATGCCCGAGGAGGGGGTTGCGAAGCTGTGATGCTTGATGTGTTACGGATAAGTGTGGTGTGTGTGATGAGGATGGGGGGTGTGTAACCCGAAGTATACATAGCTTGGAGTATTGGTTACGGTGCAGAGCTAGAGTGCGTAGATGGTAGAGAGGACCGGAGTGTGATCTAGATAATACTGTGTGCCGCCCAATGGCATTAATCCATATTACTATTATGCCCCTGAACGGACGAGCGAGTGAGTAAGTGAGTGGGTGAGCAGCCTGCCATGTGAGCCAACGCCAAGTGAGTGAAAGGACCCCACCCCAAAAATCCTTACCCTACTCTCACTCAACCTCTTCCATCCCAACTCTCACCAACGGGTATCCCCTCCCGTCCAAACAACGGAATGTAAACAAATCTTATTGCCATTTTTGGAAAGGAAAAAAAAAACATATATCGAACCCCCCCTTAAACCCCCCTCAAAATGGAGCGCCACACAGCCGCGGTCTCCAAGATCGCCTCGACAGTGCGCTCCCTCTTCGCCGCCCGCGAGCCGTACCGCATCTTCCACGGCAGCACCAACTCCACCCGGCCGCGGCCATCATCCTCACGAACCGTCGACATTTCGATGCTGCGCAACGTGCTCTCGGTCGACCCCGCGCGCCGCGTCGCCCTGGTCGAGCCCAACGTGCCCATGGACAAGCTCGTCGAGGCCACCCTCCCGCACGGCCTGGTCCCGCCCGTCGTCATGGAGTTCCCCGGCATCACCGCGGGGGGCGGCTTTGCGGGTACCGCGGGCGAGAGCAGCTCGTTCCGGCATGGGTATTTTGACGAGACGGTCAACCGGGTGGAGATGGTTATGGCGGATGGGGAGGTGGTTGATGTCACGCCGGATGGGGAGAGGGCGGATCTGTTTCGCGGTGCTGCGGGGGCTGTGGGCACGCTGGGCATGACGACGCTTTTGGAGGTGCGGTTGATGGAGGCGAGGAAGTTTGTCAAGACGCGGTATAGGCGCACGACGAGCGTGGCGGAGGCCGTGGAGGCGGTGAGGGAGGAGGTGAGGAAGGGGGAGAATGATTATGTGGATGGGATCCTGTTTTCGAAGGACCATGGCGTGGTGGTGACGGGGCAGCTGACTGATGAGATGCCCTCGGCGGGGGAGAAGGTGCAGACCTTCAGCGGGCCGTGGGATCCGTGGTTTTATCTCCATGCCAAGGAGAAGACGGCGCCCGAGAAGGGTGAGGCGGGTACGGCGCCGGTGGATTATGTGCCTTTGGCGGAGTACCTGTTCCGGTATGATCGCGGCGGGTTCTGGGTCGGGGCCGCGGCGTTTCAGTACTTCAAGTTCGTGCCGTTCACCAAATTCTTCCGTTGGTTTCTCGACGACTTCTTGCACACGCGCATGATGTACCGCGCGCTGCACGGCTCTGGCGAGAGCGCCCGGTTCGTGGTGCAGGATATCGCCATGCCGTTTGAGACGACCGAGCGATTCGTCGATTACACATCGTCCGAGCTCGATATCTGGCCGTTGTGGCTATGCCCTCTCAAGAAGCGTGGTCCCCCGACCTTCCACCCGTTCACCACCCTGCCGGAGGGCGTCGAGAAGAAGGAGGAAGACATGATGCTCAACGTCGGCGTCTGGGGTTGGGGCCCGTCGGACTCGGCCGAGTTCGTCAAGAAGAACCGCGAGCTTGAGAACAAGGTGCGTGAATTGGGCGGTATGAAGTGGCTGTATGCGCACACGTATTACCCGCAGGACGAGTTCTGGTCCATGTACGGCGGCCGCGGGTGGTATGATAGGCTGCGGGAGAAGTACAACGCCAAAACGCTCCCGACTGTGTGGGACAAGGTTCATGTTGACCCCAACGTCGCCGGTAAGAAGAAGCGGCACTGGCTGAAGAAACAGCCGCCGCTGGGCGGGTTTTACGGCATCTACAAGAGCATACAGAGCAAGGACTACATGAAGCATCGCCGTGCGCTGTGGAAGTGGAAGGGCGAATAATACCCCGGAATTGTTTGGATACTGTTGGCTAGAGGTAACGAGTAAACTGTAACGGTTGTTTTAGAGGTAGACGGTGAAATTAATTGTAGGATACGAGACAGGCCGGTGTGCGCAACTCTCCCGGCTATCGGCGACTACCTATCTCTTAAATCTCCACAGCTTGTAACTCCTCAACTACATGCTCCGTGAATGCCTCCTGCAACTTTATGCCCACCTCAGAATCATTGGACTGTTCCGCCAGCTCTTCCACGCCGAATCCCTTCTCACCATGCGCCCAGAGACACCTTTCAACCACTTTCCAATATCTATCCCCGGCGAGATTGCGCAGCTCCCTTAGCGGGTTCGGCTGGCCGGCTGCCTCAAATGGTGCTCCCGACTTGACCCCCAACAACCAATCCCTCACAGATTTGGACTTGCCAAGCGGTACGTGAGGCACCTTGGCGCCCTCCTTGCTATCCGGCGTCTTGTCCCCCAGACACATCACCTTGTACAACTTCTCCCAATGGGCAATCTCCAATAGGACTAACCCCAGACTGTACAAATCATACGTCTTCTTGGAGTTCCTCTCCGTCGGCCTCTGCCGCTGGATGCCGGGCCAGCGGTACAAGTCCCAGACGACGTCCACGTCCCTAGCCGTAGTTTCAGTCCCATCGGGGCGTGAGAACTCAAAGCCGGACAGGGTGAGCCTTTCAGGGTCGTAGCTCAGGCCAGCTTCGCCACTGCCGTCCTCCTCCCCGTTGAAATGGAAAACGACATTGTCGCTGAAGATGCCCTTGTGCAGCCAATTGACAGCATGCAGGTTCAGGACCGTCGAACACAACTTCGACGCCATCGACATGCGCTGCGACAGGCTGGGCTTGAAGCGCTGATCGCCGAGGAGGTCGTGCAGCGAGACGACGCGCGTGTCGTAGTCGCTGCCCTCGGGCATTTTGAACAGCCAGCCGTAGCGGTCCGCCCCCGATGATTCGCGGTCGTCGAAGTAGCCAACGCATTCGGGCGCATGGAGGGAGGCCGGCTTGGGCAGATGGAGCATCTCGGCCAGGGCTACCGTGCGCAGGGCGGCTTCTTTGTCTTTGAGCGAGTTGGGCGGGATGTCGCCGAGGGATTTCCACTCGATCCAGACCGGTATGTCGCCTTCGCCCGTCGAGAGGATTCCCCGTGGCCGGGGGAGGTACTCGGGATTGTCGGTTTCTTGTTCATTCCACTCGAACTCTTCGGTGAGATCTGAGTCGGTGAACTTGGGGACTTTGATGCCGAGGTCGGATAGGCTCCGTTCGACGTCGAAGGTGCTGTCACGCTTGAGTTGAGCGAGGATCGTCTCCGAAGTACGACTGAGCTTCTTGAGCTGGATGAGGTCCTGGAGAGTCTTGTCGTTCAGATGGGCCTCTTTCTCTTTGCGAGTACCTGCTGACGTGGATATCAGGCTCGTGACCGCGCCTAACATGTCTTTCAAGTCGTCGACGCTGTTCCTCGTTAGGATCATCTCCCTGTAGGTTTTGGCCGTGATGCCATCAATTTGCTTCTCGCGATAATTTCTCATGAGTTCATGGAGCCGTTCCGTCAGGGCGTGGAGATCCTTCAGAAGAGCCTCGAATGCCTCCCCGTCGATCGCCAACCACCGAACTCGGACCGGATGGGTGATGATATCTTTGGTGTGGTGGCCAGTCTTCCCAAAGAAGTTCCGAATATGGTTGGTCCCGCGAGCATGCCGACGCTCTTTCTTCTCCGACTCATATGAGACGGCCAGGCTCGATATCTCTTTCAGAACATCGACGTCAGTAGGCTGCTCTTCCTCTCGCTTCTCGTCTCCTTTATCGCCGTCCTTGGCAGGCCTCGGCAGCTCGTTGCCATAGCGAGCGTTGAGCTCTCTAAATTCAGATAGCAACCACTGAATCCGGGCCACAATTGCAACGAGTTCGATCGCGTCGGATCCCAGAGTAATTCCCAAACTGGAACCCTCTGGGACATCAATCAGGCCAGCTGCTTTCCCCCAAGCCAACACTCGGTTGTACTCGATGATGAGCTGCAACCTGTATTGTTCATATTCTCTTGGCATCTCAACTAGAGCAGTGACGAACTTGAAGACTGGGGGGAGTTAGCATGCTTACTTGGTTGGTGTAGCTATCGGGAGGTCTCGACTTACTGCGGACAGCACTGTCAAAAACATCCCATGTGAGGGAGAGGACCCCGCCAGCGACCTCCATGTTGGATACCTATGCGATCTTCCCCACTAGCAAGCACGATCAGCTGGGACAAGAAAAAAGTATACAGAGAAAAGCGGGGGGAAACAAAAGGAAACAGGATGGAAGATGCTAAAGAGGAAAAGCAGTGATGAAGGGAGTTAAAGAAGAGAAAATACAATGTCTACAGAAATAAACCCTTCCGTAGCACAGCCCGATGATCATGAACTTAACCTACCTGCAACCCAAGCGAACTTGAAAATAACCCCTCTACTCAATAGGTTGTGACTGAAGCGCAAGCGGGCTGCACGCGCACCACCAAAAGTTATCTCCTAGTTAGGTTAAAATCAGCCAGTGGGACTGCCAGGCAGTGAGGTTCTTGTGGTCGGCCCCGGGAATCTGGATAGTTGAGTCACGGCCACTGGGAGCCTGATGGAAGCGCCTGGGCGGGGACTCGCCATGAGGAGAACGAAGGGACTTCTAAGCTGCGGACGGGGCGGGCACTTTCAGATTCGCTTGAATGGGAATCGATTTTCCCAACTGCATTATAGGTAGGTGGCTGCGGGAAATAATTATCTAGTATGTATGTACGAAGGAGGAGTAAATATGTACAAACTCCCAACTCGGAATTCAACAGCAGCCCACCCAGTTGTAAATTTTGCGAGCAACGCCAGCTTGTGTGGTGCTTGACTTCCAGGTTCCATTTGTTTCATTCCGTTCCTTCCCAGCTCGTCGGGAGCCGGGCTGAGTTCAGTCGGTTGATCTGGATCTGAGGCCTGGGCCCAGACTGTGGCGACCACGTGCTAAAAGCCACTGATACTTTTGTACCGAGAGTGGCTGGGGCGGGGCGGATTTTGGCGGCAAGGACCGCCGAGGCCGATGATAGGCTCAGCAGGCACAAACAGCAGCCAACGTCATTTTATAGCAGGGCTGTCACGCCCGCTGACGATTTCCACTGGCGATTCCTTCAAAGACCTTTTTTTCTCACCGAGATTCACTCGAATTCCCACTCGCCATTGGGAACGAATCATTCCTGGGTTTGCAAAATCGACGACCCAACATGGCGGACGTCGCAACCCCTCTAGGAGAAACGGCCACTCAAATACCGGGACTGACCTCCGCTCTCCGGTCATCATCCAAGCCGAAGCCGAGGCGGGTGCCGACTCGCGTCTCGATAGTCGCTCCGAAAGGCTCCACTACCCCCGATGTCACCAGCGCGCGCTCCGTTTCTTCGCCCGGGTTGAACGTGTCGACGACGACATGGAAGCGATTAATTCTGACAATCGACGGCGGCGGAATCAGGGGATACTCATCACTAATCATCCTACGGGCATTAATGCAAGAGATTGAGCGCATCGAAAAGTCTCTCGAGCCGCGCGCCTCGGCGAGCACTCAGACCGACCGGATACCCCGCGATCAGATCCCCGACGATGTGTTTAGGGAGGGGCAGTACCTGCCTTGCCATTATTTCGACTACATTGCGGGCACCAGTGTGGGAGGTTTAATAGCTATCATGCTAGGCATGTTTGGGAAGAGCGTCGACGACTGTATCAACGAATTTCACCGACAGAACAAGTCCATCCCGCTCGCCGACGATGCTTCGATGGTCTCATCTATCGACTTTCCGCTCCTCTACAGGCGGAGCACCTGGCCGACAAAACGCACCAGCTCTTTCTTCGACACCTTTGCCAAGTTCACCGTGACGGCGACCGGCCGTACCCTGCCAGGCGCAGCCGCAAGCCCTGTTGCGTCCCGAGCCTCGTCCCAGGCATCCGCCGCATCGAGTGAGTTTCGGAAAGATACGTACCAATGCCAGACGCTCGCCTGGTGCACCGAGGTCGAGACGCGCCGCTCGCGGCGCCCCTACGCCTTTTGCACTTACGCAGAGGAGGTGAGCGACCCCGAGCAGCTCATCTCGATTCCCGAGGTCGCCAAGGCCATCACCACACCCTCCCGCTACTCGTTCAAGCCCTTCAAGCTGGGCGCCGGCCAGTTCGTCGACGGCAGCAAGCAGATCCGGGACCCGACCCTGGAAGTCCTCAAGGAGATCACCTCCCTCCTCGATGAGACCGAGCCGCCCATCGACCTACTCCTGAGCCTGGGCACAGACGAGCACCACGCGTGGTTCTACGAAAAGCTGCGCTCCTTCACGTCGCAGTATCCCACCGCCACGCCCGCCAAGGACCAATGGGCCATCGGGGAGGAAGAGGGCCGCTCCTACAACCACTACCACCGGTTCGAAGTCCCCGGGATAAAACTCGGCTGGCGCAAGAAGTTCTTCCTGCGCGAGATCGAGGAGGCCTCTGAAAAGTGGGTCTCGAGCCCCGAGCAGCGGACACGAATCACGCAGTACGCGCGCATGCTAGTCGAGCGGCGGCGGGCGCGGGCGGCCACGGCGCGGTGGGAGACGTTCGCGTTGGGGGTGCGCTACGCTTGTTTCCACGACGGGTGTGCCATGAAGAAGAGGGCGGAGGAGGATAACGAGATGTTCACGGGCAGGGGGGACTTCTTCGACCATCTCGATAGGAGACACGATCTGATGAAGATGGCGGCGAAGGGGGCCGTGGATGTAGAGGGGGAGTTGGACAAGGGGAGACGTTTTGGGTGTTCTTGAGGTTTACGGGGGCGGGGGGGTTGGTGAGAGACAGACAGACGGGATTGTCTGTCTGTCGATGCTTTACGTTGCTTTACCCTGCCTTTTTCGCGAGGTACTTTGTTTTTGTCTGTTTTGCTGGGCGGTGGGCATTCATACTTAGCGAGCATGGCGTTTTGGGGCAGTGGCTAAACGGATCATGCTTCGGAGGCAGCTCATACGGGGGGGTAATGGTTTGGCGTTGGTGGGGGTTTGGGAGCCTGAGAGTCTGCCTCGTCAACTCTGTGCAGATTAACGTTAATAGAACACTGTGTACTGCAGTGTGTAATGATGACTCGGCGTTAGGTGTTACCAATCCCCAGAGCTCATATGCAGTCACCCATCGACTGCAACCCCACACCACCGACCGTTTTCCCTCGCTGGGTGACTTGGCAACCTTCATCGAGCTCATCTCCAAATTCCCCGCTTCGGCATCCTCCCGACATCTCGGAAGTCGCCCCACACAGACCCACATTGCCGCGCCGCGCCAGTGTCTCTGGCGAGTTCTTGTGTGTTTCAGTCTTGGCAGCATTGGAGCTGGGAGGCCTCCTCCGTGCCCCCCCTCCCCACCTTCCTGTCAACGTCAAGGATTGTTTGGTGAACTTGAGGTGGAAATCCGTGATGATGCAAGCGGCGCGAGCCATTCACAAAAGCCAAATGATGCACGATGCCATGCTAGCTGCAGGACCGCCCGGGCGTGCACATGAGTGCCTACCTGGACAGATTATTGGCGGCCCAATGGATATGTGTACCTACCTGAGCTTATGCAGGCAAACGTTGGGGTTGTGCTGGGCGCACGTTGTGCCCAGCGGAGAACGTGCTGCCGGTAAGTAACGGTTTTACGGAGGATGTACAGACAGAGTTGCATCAGGGCATTTGGGTTGTTCGAGTCGAAAAGGGGGTGTTTTGGGTGACGGGGAGAGTGGTTGCGGTCGCTTCTCGAGATGATGGCCATGATGGCGTCTGAATTCATCCATGCAATTCCCCGTTTATTCTCCCGGATCATCAAAAAAAGACATGGAACATGACGCATGATGTCCCACTCCGGAAATCTGGAAACAGGGTCCCACAGTTTAGACCGCAAAAGCCAAGTTGTGATGGCTGGAGATGGTCTCCACTTTCAGCTCAGGAGTGCAAGCTCGTTACGTCTTTGACATTTCAGTTGGGAGGCCTTGTTGTTGGCTGCTGTCGTCTGTCTGTTCTGTTTGATCCTTCAATGTTTCAAAAGAGAGCCAACGGAAGCAATTGCTTTGCCCGCTGACTCAAATACGGCACGGACGGATGCGTATTTGATCTTTGCGGGCCGAGCATCGCCGGAATACTCCCAAAAAACCGCCTTGGAAAGATTGCATCGCCCGAGTCGAACACGGGGAGACGGACTTTTCAACAACGGCTTGCTCATCAAACCGAACTCCGCCAGAGCTCACTGCCACGCTTGGCATCTGCATTGGACGCTTCTCACCTCTCTGGTTTTGAATATCATCCTCGGGAAGCTGGGAAGAAAGGACCTTGGTGACGCGGTAAGTGTGATCTCCATTGTCGGGTTGCTGACTCGGACTCTTCTTTGGGCAAGTCCGGACTGCTGCGCCCGGGCAAAGTGTTGTCCTCTGACCGCAGCCTGTCGGGATCCGAGGGCGAGGGGGATCGTACCTCTTCGACGGCGGTGTGAAGTTGTGGTTTGATGGGAGTGGTGGACTGTCGAGACTGTGTATTAGGCGGGAACTGACAGATGCAGTTTACCGTTACAGCGAAATACACAGACGACAGGGATCTGTTACAAGGGGTGGACCACTTGCAGTCCCGGATCTGGAACCCCACTCAACCAACCTGGAAACGCTGGAAAGCCCTTTGTCTCTCCCGGCTTGGAGAGCTTGCCAATCCAGCCAGTCCCGGCTCAACCCAGAACGTTCGCCCCATTCTCCACGACTCTCGGCTCTCCGGTGCGCCCAAGACGGGACGGAATCGATAATTCCCTCGATCCTTTTTTCTGCCCGGTGTGACTTGGCTTGAAGCGGTATCGCTGTCCATTAACTATGTGTAAGTACCTCGCGACCTACCGCTCTTCCTCCTGTCCCTTCCTTCCTCCTTCTTGCCCTCTGCCTAGGTACTGCGAGCTCCCGTCGGCCAGGTACATACATCCCCTACCCTCCTACCTTTACCCCCCGAATGTCGCGCATCCCATTGGCATCCATCCCCTCTTCTTTCTCCAAGTCGCCCACGAGCAATTGGTTCGAAACCATTGAAAAATTGCCCGTTTGCCACCCTTCGAAATGAGCGGTCCTGGCCATCTTCTAGCCAACACGACTATCCATTGCGCCCTCGCCCCTCGTCGCGCCTGAATTAGCCATGGACAACGGTTCGGAGAACAATAATTTAACAAGCCCCACAGTCAACCTCAAATCGCGCGACCAGCTCCGGCGCATCGAAACCGGCAAGCTTAACAATTCGCAAAACGGTTACGTTAACGGCAACGGCAACTCCAGCGCCCACCTCTCCAGCCTCGACGACATGGACGGCGAGCAACGACCCCTCCTGGGGCACCACGTCGCCTCCGCCCTGCACGCCGAACCCGGTTTTTGGCGCCATCTCCTCATCAACAACGAGAGCACCCCCGGTACCAACAGCCCGAACCCCTTTGTCCGGTGGCCCGCGCTGGTGTGGAACGTGACCAAAGTCACTCTGTTCAGCTGTACGTATCATATCCGCCCGGCAAGATGGAGTGAGACATGTGCTGAGCCGTCATTGTGTAGCGTGGATCAACCTTCTTCTCGTTTTCGTACCCCTGGGCATCATCGCCGGCGAGCAGGAATGGGGCGCCCCCTGGGTCTTCTCCCTCAACTTTTTCGCCATCATCCCGCTCGCTGCCGTTCTCTCGTTTGCGACAGAGGAAATTGCGGGCCGATTGGGTGAGACCCTCGGAGGGCTGGTGAATGCGACCTTCGGAAATGCCGTGGAACTCATCGTCAGCATTGTCGCATTGCGCGCTGGAGAAATTGAGGTCGTACAGTCGTCCATGATCGGATCCATTCTGTCCAACCTGCTCCTCGTTCTCGGCATGTGTTTCTTCCTCGGCGGCGTTTACAACATGCGTGGCGCCGATGGCGACGGCCGTGAACAGACCTTCTCCGCGGCTACGGCTCAGACGACGTGCTCGCTCATGACCCTCGCCTCGGCCTCCATGATCCTCCCGGCTGCGCTTTACGGCGTCCTCAACAATGCCGACGAAGAGAACAAGAGGGCCAGCATCCTGGTCCTCTCGCGCGGCACCTCCATCGTCCTGCTGTTCCTCTACGTTCTGTACCTCTACTTCGCCCTTCGCACGCATCAGAAGCTTTTCGAGCCCGAGGCTCAGCCCGACCAGGCCAATCGCGAGGACGAGCATGAGCCGTTGTTGGGCCCCTGGTCGGCCGGGATCGTGCTGGTGGTTGTAACGCTGATCATCTCGATGTGCGCCGACTATATGGTGGACAGCATCGACGCGCTGGTGGCAACCGGCAATATCAGCAAAACGTTTATCGGTCTGATCCTGATCCCCATCGTCGGCAACGCGGCCGAGCACGTTACCGCATGTGTGGTAGCTGTTAAGGACAAGATGGACCTGGCCATGGGCGTTGCCATTGGATCCAGCATCCAGATTGCGCTCCTCGTGACACCCGCGCTGGTCATGCTCGGCTGGGCGATTGGCCAGGACATGACGCTCCACTTTGAGACATGTAAGCCGTTTTGGCCCCCAAATAACACCCACTTCGTTGCTAATCCGAACCAGTCGAAACCATCGCTTTCGCCCTCTCTGTGCTGGTCGTCACCTACACTGTCCAAGACGGAAAATCCAACTACCTCGAGGGCGCTATGGTATGTCCGACGAGAACCCCCCATATCCTGGATCAAGTAGTTAACAACCGCACAGCTCCTCGGTCTCTACATGATCATCGCCCTCGCCTTTTGGGCCAGCCCAGCCGATGCCCTCGGCAAGGTCTAATCTTCCACACATCAACCCTTTCCTACCTCAAAATATCAACCATTTCCTACTTCAAAATACTCCTTATTACTACCACCCCCCGCCGGGAATTTTCCTTTTTTTTATTTACATCGATCTTGATCGAGATATCTCTGTACAACTACCATAGCATACTAAGCATGCCCTTGGATACGTTTTGGACAGCGGTCTTGCGATTCTGGGCCGGTCCAGCGGAGGGCAGAGAATGGGGCCCAGGCAGAGGAAGAACTGTATGATAGATGGTGAGACCGTCAGAGAGCCTGGCCGGCAGCGGTGTTTTGGCGTTTGACTGTTTGTTTGTTTGGTACTTGAATTGAGATTACTGCGCGTGACGTTGTGGTTCTCTCTGGCCTGTTCAGCTGACTGTGTGATACTCGAGGGGGTTGGTTGTATGCTTTGAGAAGTTGCGTGTAGAGCTATGTACAAACTTTGGGTTGATTTTTCCCTCTGAATACTAGGTAGCATGGCTACCTAGGTAACAGACATGGCACATGCTTGAATATTGTCATCAAATACCAAAGATTACATATACAATTTGACGAGGCTCGCCCAGCAGCATGGAGTTACCTGTTATGTGTAGATGTCATTGCAACACAACCAGACCAGCAAGTCAATCTGCCGCAACTTGGACTTTAGCATGTGGCTCGAACAGCATGTGACAAGAAACACGGGCAAGCCATCGTACGGATTAAACTGTAGATGAGTTTCACAAGAGTCCAAAGCAACGCCCCATGAGCCCCCCCCCCCCCCCCCCCCCCCGGAGATGTAGTAAACAAGAGCACAGCAAAACAGAACTAGAACCAGGGGGAGTATCCCATAACCTTTGCCACAAGTTGGTTACCCTGCCATTGCCAGGTCGCTATGTTTACCACTGATGCAACGCTACCGTCCTAACCCACCCCCAAAAGACCAATACAAAGCTCCCCGATACCCCCAATCCCCGAGCCCCAACCTAGTCCAGTCCAGTCCAGTCCAGTCCGGGTGAGAGCCACCCCGCTTTCCCTTACATGCACATAGTAGTAGGTACAAGGGCCGGCCGGGCGGGGGGCGAGTTCAAGTTGGAGCCTAATCCCACAACATAAGCCGGCTGGAGTAGCCGCCTCTTCAATCCGTACACGCCATTCAACCCCCCCTTATCCATGCGTCCATCCACCCGCCGACCCACGCTGACCGTCCGTCCGTCCGCCCAGCCGCCCAGTCATCCATTACCCCTCTGTCTGCACCGAAGCCACCCCGCCAACCAGTCTAGCGATGAAATCGAAATAGGATGGAGAGTCGTTCCCATAAGAAAACCAGTGATTTGCCAACCAGGCCATGGACCCGACGATGCGCTCTTTCCATGGAAGAGCAGCGGTGATTACTGCGGCGGCTTCTTCCCGGCCAGAGAGCAAAATGACCAATGAAAGAGTAGAAGAAAATGAAGGAAAAAAGGGGGGAAATGGTAAAGCAAGGGCGCCGCGCCATCATGCCGGTCCGTTGTCCCACCGCCTATGTCATTAATGTAGGTAAGCAACCCCCCCGCGCGCCGGTCCAGACCGTCCCCTTCTTTATTATAGAACATAAAAGAAAAGAGAAAAACCAGACGTTTTTTTCCAGCCCATAATGCAGCATGTTGTGATGTTTTTGCGGTTGGCCATTGATCCTGGCCATTGATTAGGTCTCTCGTGAGAGAGGAGTTAAAATGTCAAAGAAGATGAGGTCAAGTAGGCCATCGCTTCATTATGGCGGATATCTCTCGCCGATCGTCGCTGCCCGTGCTCGACAGAGATTGAAGTCTGGCGTGGCCCGTTACTACTGGGCATTCGTCCAGAGGTCTCCCTGACGACCCTTAGTGTCAAACGAAGGGTTCCCTGGCTCTGTGCTGTCGGGGCGGCGGGCTGCCACTGCGCTATTGTAGAACATTTGAGCGATCGGGGTGCCGCTCGGGTACGATTCGGGGTCGGGATAGACGTATCCGTTCCCGTTGGGGCTCTGGGTAGGAGAGCCGACAGGGCCGGGCGAGGCCCAACCGACACTGCCGATATGAGGACTGCCGCCTGCGCTTCCAGGTCCTTGCTGCGGCTGCTCGATGCTCGGCTCTAGGGTCTGCGGAGGAGCATATCCGGTGGGGTGCGACGTGGGGCGCATGCCGTTGTTGTACCCTGAAGACGCTGTCGGCGACGGGCTGCCGACATGGACATCACCTCGGAGGTGGGGCGGGATCGAGTTGCTCAAATACTGCATGTTGTTTATGCCGGCCAATTCCGCACCCGGCGACATGGAAATCGGGCGCTGACCCGGAGAGGGTGTTGTAGTCAGTGGAGACTCGTGGTTCGAAGCTGGTTCGCTTCCAGAACGTGACTTGCTCCTAGCAGCCGCGGCGGCAGCAGCGCTCGCACCTTGAGCCAAGGCCTCGGCCCGTGCACGTGCCGAGTCCTCCACTGTGCCGACGTGATGGTTTTGATGCCTGGTCAAGGTCGTGCGACGAGTGAAGGTTTTTTGGCAGTCGGCATAAGGACACTTGTAAGGTCGCTTGCCGGAATGGATCCTACGGTGCCGAGCCAGGGAGCTGCTGTCGCTGAAGGGCTTGCCACATCGCTCGCACAGGTGTGGTTTCTCACCAGTATGCACGCGAGAGTGGACGGTCAGGGCAGACCTTTGAATGAATTGCTTGCCGCACCCAGGATAATCGCAAACATGGGGCCGGATACCGCTGTGGATCCGCTCTGTTTACGCGTCAGCAACAGAAGAGCAAGGGATGACACGGGTGCACCTACCATGCCGTGCAAGGTCGCTGCGCCTGGCAAACGGCTTTCCACATGTACTACAAGGGAACTGCTTTGCGGGCGGCTGAGGAGGGGCTTGGGCTGGCTGATAACCCGCAGGCGGCATTCCGAGATTCTGCTGCATCTCGTGGGGGACCATGGGTGCTGGGGCCATGTTCGCGTTGGGCACGGGCGGTAACGGAGTGGCCGCCATGGCAGTTGGGGAAGGGTAAGACGCGTTCATCGGGCCTGAATACCGCGATTGCTCCGAACCGTGCGGCGAGTTTTGTCGGTCAACCTGGGCTTGAAGTGGCTGGAGTTGTTGTTGGAGCTGTTGGAGTTGTTGTGGTTGCTGGAGTTGCTGGGGTTGTTGGAGTTGCTGGGGGGGACGCTGCTGTTGCAGTTCGGGTGTGGCGCCCTGTTGGGGTTGTTGTTGGGCGCCTGGCTCAGCTTTAATGTTGAGCACGTTCCCAATTCCCATTGCACCAGCCGATGAAGGCGACTGTGACATGGTGAGGCGTTGTGCTGGTGATGGAGCAAGGCTCTTGTACCGAGCTAAGTCGCTAAAAAATACGGTCAGCTCGGCACTGGTTTTAGCGGTGAGCCCGTGGCTCGGAAAAAAAAATTAAATAGCTAGGGATAATTGGGCAGTTGGACAAGCCACATATATCCCTTGACGTGAGGCTATGAGGTCTCGGCGTGGGTCCGGGATGAATAATAAGAAAAGAAAGGACCCCAGACCAGGTTGTGGATGTGTGTGTGTGCGTCGCGATGGCCGATGGTTGATGGTTTCGATGACGAAGCATGAATGAGGAAGGAAGGGGCAGGGAAGGTGAGAAGGGAGTGATGCGGGGCAGATGAAAAAAAGTCAGATTTTCTCACCTCGAATAAAGACAGACCAGCGATCTCAAGACCTCGCCTGACACTCCCAGCTAGGCTTTGGAAATGAATTTGTTGAGGTCCCGATCCTCCAAACCTCAAGCTGCTCAACCCGCTTGTCGTGTAGGTTGGATTGTGAGGAAGGCTATGGTTGTGTTGTCGTGCACGGTTCAGGAAGGGTGCTGTGCTGGCGACCGGGCTTCGCGAATTCGCGACTCGAAGAATGACGTCGCAGGCAACCAGCGCTCAATGGAAACAGAATGCGAAGAAGATGGATTGCAACCCGAGTTTGGTCTTCCTCGATCAGGGGAACAAAATGATGGGGAAAAGTCACAGCTCCGGGTTCGACGGGGTGGACGGTCAAGAGTTAAAGCAGAGGGAAAATAACGTGGCTCGGCACAGGTGAGGATCCTTGGAGAAGGGAAAGCCGCATTGGGGGGACACCGTGCAGGGGCAGGTTGAAACGAACACGCAGGGATCCCAGAACGCGTGTGGGTCAAGAATGGCAGTGGAGCCACGCGTTAGTGGTGGTGGGGTAAGTACAAAGAGGAATGCGGGCATGTGCACATTAAAACAAAGTATCTTTTCGGTGCCATCCTAAGATTATGCGGAGACCAGGGCAAATTCAATCGTCAGCCTCAGTCTCGGAACACGCCTAGAAAATGCAAATGTTTTCCATCTTTTCAAAAATTGATGAGGTCACCTTCACAACCCCTCGAAGGGTGTTGCCTGCTCTCTTGGCTCTGGGCGAGATCCAACTACCGACAATGTCATTCTCCACGTCTCGACAGATCTGCTGCTGCAGTACACGACGATGGAAAGTATGGGGCACTGGCTCAATTGTGTGTGTTATCTGCATTTCGTGCAGCCACTAAAAATTGAACAGCTTTGTTTCCCAAGAACTGGGAATGGCTAAATTACACGCGCCCTCAGCCGACAGGACGGAACAGACCCAATCATCCGGAATACTCGTACCAAAACACGACACCCCCCCCCTTCGCCCTCCCAGTGGTTAACGTTACCTACCCGGTACTTCGTCCTTGATTAATACCTACACTACCTAGGTAGTTACGGCGGCTTCCTTGACTTCGAAGCACACGCAAGCAGCCGTCATCTCTGGGCCCCGGACCATTAAGCCGAGACAGTGGCGCCCTGTAACTATCGATTATCGACCTTGCAATCCGGCTGCTGCCGCTGACCGTGCTTGGTAACTCTTGCACTTGTCACGGTTGCTACAATTATTGCCAGGACGCCCTCAATTAGCTTGTATCAGGTCACCGTCGTCCGTGCCAGTCTTTTCTGCTGCAGGCCACGAAACAGCTCAGGGGTTTTCATCTCCAGCAACACCTCGCAGCTCCATGCGTGATGCTGGGTATGTGTTATCAGACCCAAACACCACCAAACAGCCAAGTCGGGAGAGCGGGGCGAACCCAGACCTTCCGCAGCTTCGATTCTGGCTTCGATTGCAACCCTCCACATCGGGATGTGGTTCCTGCGGCCCCTGAAATTAGCCCGTGCTCTTCTGGCCCTGTCAGCGGCCAAAGCTTCACGCCGATCCGCGTGCATGGGGAAAAAGATGCGAGTCAAGCCACCACGAGTTCTGAGATGGGGGCCCGCAGATGAGAACCCCGTCAACACGAGATTGGCACAGGTTGGTGAGATTGAAGCAGAAAAGATTGGGGAGACCGGCGTCCGCAGCTCTGGCATCTGGTTGGGCGCATGGACACGCCGATATGGCCGGTGCATAAAAGAATTCCGGAACCCTGCTCCTTTGGGACCGGGGGAGCTGCCCCTGGAGACTTCCATGATCCTTCCAGAAGAATTTGAAGCACCAGCCAAGTGTCCCAGCAAACGACAGAGTGGGGAGGCTGGGAATTTGCAAGCTCCCGTGGCTCCCACCTCAGGGCGATCCGTGATCTCGTCACCTCCGGGAGAGCTCGTGGCACTGGGCGGGTCGAGCCAAAAAGGCCCGTTTTTGACACTCGAGAGCATCGGTATGCCGACACCCTTGACCCAACCGGGAGGCGCACCCAGAACTCTCTCTGGAAAGCCACTGGTTGCGTTCCGGAAAGACAGGTGGTTGAACCTAACTCGACTGTAGTTTTCCGCAGTGGACCTCGGGCAGCTCTCGCATGACAGAAACAGGCCCATCGCAACAGAGCAGTTTGAGCATGGGGATGGGATGGAGAATGGGTTGCTCCCCCTGCATGGGACCTCCAAGGCTTCCATGATGCTTCGCCGAAGCTTCTCCCGCCCCTTGTCGGCGCCAGTGGATCCTCGCAAGCCTGGCTCATGCCTGGCGCAGGGGCCCGAAGCCCTGGCCAGCCAGCCCCGTGCTTCCAGCTTTCTCAGCCCGAGCTTGGACCTGAGAACGCCGCGACAGCAGTCGGGTTACTATGGCGGACTGGACACTACGAAAAGGGGTTACGCAACTCTGGTTGACGCGATTCAGGACCAAAACATATACAAATAACCATTCATCGGCCGAAAACCAGTCAACACCAGTCAAGGCTGATGTGCCATGCCCAGGGAAACTTTTCGAGACACGGGCCATGTGGAACCCTTCATGACAATCGCCCAGCCCAAAACGGACAGCGTGCAAGATTGGCCAATCTCGGAGATCGGCAGCACCTGTTCGAATCGGGCGCGGAGCGGATATGGGCCAAGGCACGATCGTGTCGGCATGACCGTCTGACCATCTCGGGGCTTTCCATTGTTTCCCATGCAGCGGTGAGCACAGGTTTCACAAATCTGGTACCAGGGCTTAAAAACTATCCGAACAGCGAGCACGCTGTCCCAGAACCCACGTGTTTCCGGCTCCGAGCGCCCGGACGCCGGTCCCACTTCCCCGGCCGGCAGCCAACCTCCCGCAACCTGCTCCGCTCCCCACCCGGGTGAATTGGTCAATGCACGATCCGAACCGTCTACCGGCCTCGCAACGTGATCTCGGCTCCCGTGGCCATTACGCCCCGTGAAGATATGACACTGATGCATCCAATCCCCCGATTGTTGCACAGCCTCGTGTGGGGAACCGGGGAGCTGAATCTCGCTGCATGTTCTAACTTGCCGAACCGTCCCATCTCGCATTTTCGTCCTCCCTCCCTCAGCCTCACCTTTCAATGTCCAATGATTTCATCCAACCACGGCTAGCTCTGCGAATGGGTCCACGTCGAGAACGGAACGGGAAGGCAGGTGAGGGGAAGGTGACTTCGGCTCCTTGACTGGGAAAGGCATCTTGATTGTCCTCGAGTGAGCTTGTTCCCGGAGGCAAATCCAGTCCATAGAACAAATCTCACACCAACAGAGCATCATGTCATCAAATGGTAGCGCACCTAAAAAGAAGCGCCAGAGCTTGTTATTCTCTGTCAAGGCCATCTTCAAAGGTTCCAAGCCGCACACGGGCGCGGGACCTACTGATGAGTCTCCATGGGGAAACAAGGCTGGAAGGCCCGAAAGCCTACCCACCATTCATGAAGCCGTCCGGGACAATGACATTCCCGCGGTTGGCAGAGTTTTAGCGGCCTTCCCTCATGAGCTGGCCGAAACCGATAACCGTAACTATGGCCGTAGACCCGTCTAGAAATAACCCACTAACACTATCCAGAGGGCATGACCCCCCTGGCCCTTGCCTTCCTCCACGGCAACTTGCCCATGGCAAAGCATCTCCACGCCGCGGGAGCCTCTCCCCTCTCCGAGCATAACAACGGAGAATCGCTCGCCTGCTTCGCCGTTATCGCCCAAAACCCAGCCCTTGTCCGCTGGCTCGCCAGTCTCAGTCAGACCGACCTCCTCTTTAACACCCCTGGTTTGGACGGCAACTGTATGTCAAATCCGCGCTCCGCGTTAACCGCCATGCATGGCTCCCAGCGAAACGATTCTGCTTACAAGAGCACCAACCAAGAAAAGAACACCCTAACATACCCCTTTAGACCCACTCCACCACGCCGTCCTCCGCAAGAACCTCGACGTAATCCGGGCCCTCCTCGAAGGCGGCGCCGACCCCAACCTCCACGCCACGCAGTCCCCCGATCCCACCACCTCAAGCACCTCAATTACCACCACCACCGCCACCTCAAAGCCCCCCGGCATTGGCACTCCCCTCTTCTACGTCCTCGACGCCTGCTGGGGCTCCTCCCAACCCCCCGCCACCCGTCTCGCCACCCTCCGCCTGCTCCTCCAGCACGGCGCCTCCACCACCATCCCCCACGAGGTCGACGGCACCTACCCGCTGCACGAGGCCATCATCTCGGGCTGGCCGCGCGAGTTCATCACCGCCCTGCTCGACCACGCGGGGACCACAACCACAACCACAACCACAACCACAACCACAACCACAACCACAACCACAACCAAACCAACCATCACATCCTCAACACCAACAACAACAACGGTAACTGCGGCAGTAAAGGAGATGGTAAACACCGGCACAACCCGCGGCGCAGCCCCGCGCGATGCCGCGCTGCGGGATACCACGCCGCTGATGTATGCGGCCGGCACGAGCCGGCCGTGGCTGGTGCGGCTGCTGCTGGAGAGGGGTGCTGATGCGCGTGCGGTGAATGCGCTAGGGGAGACGGTGCTGCATTGGGCGGCGGTGAATGAGGCTGTCGAGCGTATGGATGGGTGGGGTGGGGAGAGTGGGGAGAGTGGAATGGGTGGGGAGGAGGCGAGGGGGAGGGAGGAGGGCGGCGGTGAGGGCGGTGAGGAGGGTGGTGGGCAGGGGAAGAAGGATGGTGGTCGGGAGGAGGATAAGGAGGATGGTGAGGGCGGTAGGAAGGGTGGTGGTGCCGAGATCATTCGTCTGCTGGTGCAGGACCATGGCGTCGATGTTAATGTGCGCTGCCATACCGCCTCTACTCCGCTACATGGCGCGGCGTACCGCGGGCTGTTGGATAATGTCACCGCGCTGTTGGAGCTGGGCGCTGATACTGCGGTGGTGGCGGATGATTTGCATTATGAGAAGTTGGTTGGGGTTGGGGGGACGGCGGAGGAGATGGCGAGGGGGGGAGGGCATCGGGAAGTGGCCGAGTTTATTAGGGAGTGGGATAGGACGCATTCTCGGAAGGGGCTTGCTTAACAAGGGATGGCGTGGGTATTTCTGAGACTTCTGAGAGCTGTAAGGACTGCCTTGGGAGAGTTCCATGGCCTGGATCTAGGTTGACCGGGAAGCCACTTCTATCAACCTCCGTCGACGGGCAGCAAGTTGCGGCTTGAGGTTATGAAACTACCTCCTTTTCGGTCAGGTTGATGAATGATAGCGGGGGAGTCGAAGCGGAGTGGAGATGACATGGCACCGTCGAGAAGAGGGTTAGAGAGGCGAGCGTTGTTTTTGCAGGTCATTTAAGCGCATTCATATCGATCCCGTCCACTACTGGCCTCGTCTTACGCAGATGAAATGCGGCAACCCACATAAGCATTTGTTCATCTCTTTTAACTGTATTATTTGGCTGGTTCATAGGTCCCCTCTTGCTCGGTCCTTCGGTGTTGGTAGTTCTGGTGGTTTCGGGACCTCATACGAGTGGCGGCGGTGTCAACCCAAGGCTCCCAGAGCCCCAAAAAGCAAAGTGAATTCGAAATATCAAATAACGGAAATATGGTGAGCTTGGTTTGTTTCTGGAGGAAAGCGAGTTCGGGTACCGTGAAAAGAGAACGAGAGGTTATGCTTGTCTTTCATGATCACTAATCGGTTATTTTCTTACCAGACTCCGTCCGGGGTGGAGATGTGGAACAGCGGTTCGTCCTCTTATTCTCTTCCCGATGTATCGAGTCCACTTCCGTATATTTCAGGTCCATTAGCAACCGTGGTGTGTTCCAAAATAGTTGATTCAAGTAAGTAGCATCAAGAGTTCCTTTCCCCCTCTGATGCGAGGCCGACTATCACCCTTAAGCAAGTCCTCTGCTAGTAGGCCGGCTGCTTCATTACTACAATCCGCAGACTGGCGCTTCGTCTGCCGTTTTACAGAGTTAGGTTTGCGGTCTAATACTGACGTCCTTTGGCCCTCAACTTCGGGCACAGAGTAGATAGGGGAGAGGGCAGCAAGACCCAAGGAAGGGAAACACGGTGTTGTTTTCCTAGAGCATATCGAAAGTCCTTGCAAAACCCTCAAGTCAAAACCAGCCTGAACAGACCAACCGCCATGGCCAAGTTCACGTTCGAAATTGACGTCTATTCTGACCCGATCTGCCCCTGGTGCTATATCGGCAAGGAAGCCCTCGACAAAGCGATGGAGTCTTACCTGAGGGAGCACCCCGACACCGACTTCAAGTTGACGTGGAAGCCGTACATGCTGTGGCCGAACGCGGGCGTCTCTGGTAGGTAGTACTTCTGTGGGAAAGGAACTGAAGCCGACTACTACACTACCACCACTACACCACCACCACACTCACCATTAAACACCCTACCGTCCATCACAAAGCCACTGACCACTACACACGGTAGCCTACGACAAGGGAACGGTCCTCCAGACCGTTTTCGGCACCAACACGCCCTCCATCCGGCGACGGATCGCCCAACTCGGAGCGCAGTACGACATCGACTTCAAGTGGGAGGGGAGAACGGGCAACTCGCGGGACGCACACAAGCTAATCCTCCTCGCGATGGAGAAAGACGCTGCGGCGGCTGCTGCCTCACAAAATGGTTCAACAACAACCAGTGACTCCCCATCTCCGGGGCCACTTACCCCCAACGGGACGACCAACGGAACCACCAACGGAATAAACACCACCGCCACCCTCAACGGCATCCCAAACGGCGCCTCAAACGGCACCCCTACTACCATCCCCAACGGCATCCCCAACGGCACCCCCAACAACACCCACCCCCCCAACCTCCCCCGACCACAACAAACCCACCAACACGCCACAACAACCCACCTCTTCACCACCACCTTCCAAACCCCCCTCGACATCTCCTCCCGCCCCATCCTCGCCACCATGGCCGTGTCCCTGGGGCTCTGCAGCACCGAAGCGGAAGCCCACGCCTACCTGGCCTCCCCCGCAGCGGACCGGGCCGTGGACTCGGCGTCGCGGGCGGCGCGGCGGGTCGGGGTGCGGGCGGTGCCGAGCTACGTGGTGCAGGGCCGGTGGCAGGTGGGCGGGATGCAGGGGGAGGGGGTGTGGAGGCGGGTTTTGGAGAGGGTGAGGGCGGCGGTGGTGGGGGGGAGTGAGGGGGGTGAGGATGAGGATAGGGGTGGGGGTGGGGGTGGGGATGGGGAGGGGGAGGGTGCGCTGGGAGGTGAGTGAGGAGGGGAGAGGGATAGGTGATAGGTGACGGGGGTGGTGAGAGGACAAGAGGTATACGGTTGTGATGGGGGGTGGGAAGGAGTTGACTTGATCGAGATTAGCGGGACAAGGAGCTGGGATGTGTCGAGACGGTAAAGACGTGGCCGGGAATAGGAAAAGGGGAGGCCATCATGTTAATTCATGTATATTAGGATATATTGCCATTCTTCACAGTCTGCCTATGGCAAGGCGGTATAACACTCACAACACGGCTCGCGTGGCATGACAGCAGAAACAAATACCTACTCACATCAACGAGACGCCAAACCTTGAAGTAACATTGCTGTCGTTTTTCGTGTACGCCCTCCGCTCTAGCCAGAGTAAAAGAGGAAGAGACCCATGACTGCTGCCCAGCCCAACCGATCGATATAGACTCGATCCCCAAACCGCCTCAACGCCGAACCAATGCTATAAGGACCAAACGTAACACCCCCTTCCCATAGCCACCCTAGAAACCCCAACCCCCTCACCAAGCTCAGCGCTTCATATGGCTGTAATCCTTCAACAAGTGCTCCATATGGACGTTGGTCGACTTGCCCGACTTCCTCTGCACGCGCTTCTTCTTCTTGTCCAGCTTGGGGGCCTGGCTGGCCTTGATGCGGGGGTCCTCGGAGGCGGGCTTCTGCTGGGCGGCGACCAGCTTGGGCACGATGTTCTCGATGCTGGGCAGCTCGACGCGGGCCCAGAGCAGCTTGAGCTGGGGCTCGACCTCATGAAACAGCGAAGCGTCGTCGAGCCAGACCATCTTGGCGGCGCCGTCCTTCTTAGCACGCACGACCAGCACGCGGTGATCCGCCTCGAGCTCCGTGATGGCCGACTCGCACTCGGGCCAGCCGTCCTTGAGCTCCTTGACCGACACGCCGCTGGCGTCCGTCTTCTTCTGCAGGTGGGCCAGCAGCTGCGTCTTGGTGCGCACGTCCGGGATGGCGGGCCGGTGCGCGTACGTGCCCGACCGCCACGTCTGCTCGCTCAGCGCCGGGTCCGGGATCCACTGGATCTGCGGGTTGCGCCGCATCTGGTCCACGAAGAACTCCTGCTCCTTCTCGGGCCGCCCCGTCGCCGACAGGTAGCCCAGCACGTCGGTGCAGGTCTGTGGTTCGCCCTTCTGCCGCAGCCACGACACGGCGTAGGCCATCTGCGAGATGATGCTGTCGCCGGTGCCCGTCAGCGCGGGCTGCGAGTAGACAATGTTGTTGTTGGCATTGCTGGGGGTGTCGTGGCGGTCCTTGCGCGGGGTGAGGCTGCCGGCGCCGGCGGCGACCGAGGTGGTCGAGCCGACCGAGGGCGACGGCGACGGCGGGGCGAGCGATCGTTTGGTGCCTGCGCCGGAGCCGAGCTTCGAGGCAGCCGCCGACATGCTGCTCAGGAAGGACGCATGTTGTCGATCGAATCCGTTCGACATCTTGTCGGCCTTCATCCACGATTTGTCGCCCGTGCTCGGTAGCAGCGATTCCCTTTTGCGTTTCTGGGCTGGTTTGGGCTCCGGATCTGGAGGTGGCGATGGTGGTTGAATCTCGGGATGGGACGGCGCCGAGGTGTTGCTTTGTTTCGCGGATGAAGACGAGTGGGCCTGGGCCACTGATGTCTCCATCGGCATTGGCGGCACGCTGACAGGGGGCCCCGTTACAGGGCTTCGTACAGGGGTAAGCATGTTGCAAACGGGGAGCTCTTTTCCGATTGAAAGTAACGATTTTTCTATCGTCAACTACATAGACAGATAAAAGTCGGGGGAGAGAATGTATCATGGGCGAGGGGAAGTGGATGGATGGGAAGATCGTGAGAGAAGGTGTAAATGGAACAACTGCTGTGCGCACTGTTCGTCTTTATCGCCCACGCTCGACGAAGGTTCGCGTCGCGTGCCCATTGTGCCTGCAGGTCAAAGTTGCGAAGATGCTAAGAAAGCGTCATGAGCTTCGCGGAATTACAAAGTCTATAAACCATGTGGCAATTCCATCAATGCGGCTGCCTCGACTGTCCCCCCCCTCAGCGGAAAGGGCAGCGGGCTCACTCGCTTGTTGCTCGCTCCCGACGCCGGAAACATGAACCTCTACATACAGACATCACCAATCCCTGACATATACCGTCTGATTGTTGTTGAAAACTGAAAAATCCACAACCCTTACTCCTGGCCAAGCGCCTAACGCTGCCACATGATGGGACCCATACGGACCAGAACGCCGCATCCAAGCGCATCACACGGCGGAACGCAAAGTATTCAGGCAGGGACCACCGGACGCGCCATGAGCAACGTTGTGCGGGTGTGTATGGCCGAAAAAATCCTCATTAGATAAAAGTACTATCGCATTCGCCGTCCCGTGTACCCAGTACAGCAGGTAAAAGAATTAGGCGGGGGGTCCAGCCTGCTGTTGCTGCTGGAGGTACTGGTAGGCGCCGTAGCCGATCGCACCGCCGATGAGGATGATGGCGTAGAGGCCGACGCCGAAACCGGCCGACTCGTTGTTGGCAGCCGGGGCGACGGCGCCGGGAAGGGGAGTCTTGGGCTTGGGGTCGTTGGGCTGTGCGAAGGCGTCAGCAAATCATGATCCTCCCTGTGGTATCCTTTATTCCTGCAGGAGGGCTGCTTACGTTGCGCTTCAGAGTGCCGACCTTGAGCTGGTCGAGCGTCTCGCGGGCCTCGTCGCTGTGGCCGACATCCTCGAACGCCTCGGTGGCATCCTGGCCGGCGACGTCGAGAAGAACCTCCTCGCCACCACTGGTAAGAGAGGAGTTGCGTTAGCACGTGTTATGGCGTCTTGGATCGGCCAATGCGGGGAACGGCGAATCCTCCGGACCATTCCGGAAGATGATATGCGGCCGACCGACAGTTTGGGAGGCGGGAACGGCACTTACGGGTGCTCGTCGACAAACTTGCCCACGTCGTAGATCACATCGTGGATGACCATGTACAGATCCTTCTTGGTGTTGTGCTCGGCAACATCCTGGTAGGTAAGCTCGAGGGAAGCCATCTTGACTGTTGTTGTCGGTGTGGAAGTTATCGTCTTCGAAAACGGCGGATGGTTTTTTTCTGGACAACTGTTCCGTTAGCAATGGTACACGCAAGCGCATTCGAGAGCCGGCGCGGCTGCAAGCAATTGGACCGGGCGGCTTACCAGAAATTCGGAGACTTGGGCACGACCGGTGAGGATGAAATCGGGGCGGCGACGGACAGGTTGAAGACAGTTGTCGGAGGAAAGGGGGAGCTGGAAAAAAGATTCAAGGTCCCGACCCGGGTAACTCTGGAGAACGGGCCCCGGACGGGGCAGGCGGCAATGGACAACTTTGCGAAACCCCTGGCTCAAAGGCCCACTCACCTGGCGAAACCGAAAGAGAAGTCCCACTTGGCGTTCCGTACGAGCCAATGAAGAATCATCAAAATCATGCAGCCCGGTGTTTGATTCGTCCAGTCTGTTATGGTCCGATCCGGAGACTGCGGGAATCCCGGGGGGCCGAGCAGGGGTTGCAGTCGGGGGGCATGTGGATGGCTTTTGCGACTCACCAAAGAAGGCCATCCATGAATATTTTGTGGTGGTGTGGGTGGCATTGGTGGTTTGCGGGGATCTCCTCCTTCCCGCTCCGCCACGTAACCACGGGGACGGCGACCGTTTTCCGGCATTGGGGGTGATTTGGCTCCATGCCTACCGGCTACCGCCCGGTCTTGGAACCTGTGGGTTTGTGTTGCTGTCACGTCACCCAACCCACACCGCCCCCGTTTCGCCGCGTTATCGGATGCGTTTGTCGGGAGCTCGCGCCGAAGTTGAATGGCGAAAACTCGCATAATGCAGGCAGCTAAACGGCCGCGGATAAGGTGGCCGAACCTATCTTCAAAGGTCGTAGCCGGCAGTTTCTCGGTTACAACGCAGGACGGGATCTCGCATTGGCATGCTGATACTGACTGTATGGAGCTACACAGCGGAAAGCAACAGAGCACATTCTCCTGCGTAGTGAGCCCAGAGCTACAAGTAGTCTACCTCCTTGCCGCCCCACCACCGATATCCTGCCCCAGCCTGTAGCTCGCTACCTTATCCCACTCGATCTTCTGCCTCGTGACGGGGAGCTGTCTCCTCAGCGCCTTGAACGCGCCCTCGCTCAGGCTCGTGAAGCTCCGGTTCAGCTCCTCCTGGTACTTGCGCTCCCCGGCCGAGATGTCCTTGGCGATGCCCGTGCCGGTCCCGGACGAGACGGAGGTCGTCGACGACTTGTTGGTCAGGAGACGCACGTTGCCGTCCTCGTAGTAGTGCACGTCGACCTTGATGGAGCCTTCGAGGGCGCTCGAGGCGACGTCGAAGATGTAGAGGGAGCGCCAGCGTCCGTTCCTGTGAGCGCGGTTAGGGGAGGGGCTTAGGGTGGGAGACGATAATGCATACCAGAAATTATTCGGGCTGTACTTGTTCGCGACGATGGCGATGGCGACCTTGGAGCCGTTCTCTATCGGGTAGGCACCGTAGGCCGCATTGGTAAAGTGCTCGTTGACGTACGTCGACAGGTTCTTCAGTATCGATTTTCTGCAGTCGCAGTGTCAGCATTGTGTTGTGATATTTCTAGGACATCCTGAGCCCTTACGCCAGATCTGCGCCCTCGCCGTCTGCAGTGTAGCTCTCAACTGCGCTAGCTTTCTGTGTCGTGTGGTCAAAGGCGAAACTGCACGAGCTCTCAATGTCGTAGTAGCGGTCGTCGCCCAGCCCGTTGTGTGAGCTGACGAGAACAGGTTGGCTGCTTCCCGGGAGCTTGACCGTCGTGAACTGCTCCTCGTTGTACTTTTGGAACGCGGGCCCTAGCTCATCAACCAGGCTCGGGCTCGAGATGGTTAGGGCTTTGATGTCTGCGACACGGTCGGTTAGGTCAGGGTGCGAGGATCGGTCGAGGAGGAGAGTGCGTGCCTGCGAGGACATCCGAGAGCTTGGGAAGATATTTGTTAGCAGGAAGTCTCAACCTGTCCGTTACGCGGCGCTGAGGTTGGGCATGGAGCAGCTCACCTCTCCTGGCGGAGCTCCCTCCACGAAGGAGGACACAATTGCCTTGGGGGACGACATGGCCGCGGTCAAGTGTATTTGGGCAAGTCCACTGTTTTTTAGTAGTGGATAAGACCCTCGCGTAGTTTAAGGTGTTGTTCCGGGCCGGAGTTGTACTGTGTAACGATGGGCGTGCTGTTGATGAAACCAAGGGTGCGGGGCAGAAGTGGGATGGGCGCAAGCCAGTGCCAAGACAGAGAGAACAGGGGTAAAATCTCCCCGAGTTCGTCTCATTTAGCAATTCTTCTGTCGACATCTTTTGTTGTAAGTACATACCTAGCAAAAGGACCAGTACATAGGTATATTCTATGGCTACTATCCATACCAAGCCGATACACACAAAACAACCAGCTATGCTGCTACAATGCGCCGCTTCGCCTCTCAACGCCTCGCCCGCTCTGATGCGATCATTGGCAACCACACATCTTCATACTAGTACTCCAACCTATCCGTAATATCCAGTTTAATAATCTAGTACTTTCTTGATATTGTCGTATATTCCTGATGGGGTCAGCACAATTCATTAAGCACTCGGAATCACAACACTTACTAGCGACATCCGGAGCATTCAACGCCTCGTACAGCAGCGGAGTGTGTATGCTGAATCCAGCAACCCGAGCAACGGGCGCCTCCAATCTGATAAACGTCTCGGGATCTTCCTGGACCGCCGCGGCGACCTCGGCGCCGACACCAGCGTTGACCATGGCCTCGTGGACGACAAGGCACCGCCCCGTCTTCCGGACGCTGTTGAAGACGGTCTCCTTGTCCCACGGGTAGATGGTCCTCAGGTCGATGAGCTCGACCGAGATACCCAGATCCTTCTCGGCCTGCTTGAGCGCGGCCTCGCACTTGTACAGCGGCTGGCCGTACGACACGATGGTGACGTCGGACCCTTCCTTGAGCACCTCGGCCTTGGACAGCGGCAGCGTGTACGACGCGGTCGGGACCTGCTCGACCGCGGCGCGGTACAGGATCTTGGGCTCCATGAACACGCAGGGGTCGTTGCTGCGGATGGCCGAGAGCAGCAGCCCCTTGGCCTGCAGCGGCGAGCGGGGCATGATGACGCGCAGCCCCGGGATGTGCGTGAACAGGCTCTCGGGCGACTGCGAGTGGTACAGCGCGCCGTGGCCGACGCCGCCGCAGGGCATCCTGACGGTGAGCCCCCCCGAGCTGCGGCCGCAGGCGCCGTCGCGGTAGCGGAACTTGGCGGCCTCGTTGACCAGCTGGTCGAAGGCCGGGTAGACGTAGTCGGCGAACTGGATCTCGGCCACGGGCCGCATGCCCTCGGCGGCGACGCCGATGGCAAAGCCCATGATGCCCTGCTCCGTCAGCGGCGTGTTGAACACCCGGTCGGCCCCGTACGTCTCGGCCAGCTTGCCCGTGCAGCGGAAGACGCCGCCGAATGCGACGTCCTCGCCGAAGATCATGACCGACTCGTCCTCGGCGAGCGCGATGGAGAGCGCGTCGTTGACGGCCTGGAAGAGGTTCATGCGCTTGGTCGTGCCATTGCGCACTTCGGGTGGCAGTTCTGGGTTGGCCAGCGCTGATTGTGACGAGTGGGATAGTAGGGGGGTTGTTGAGTAGTCGGTCGGGAGGTTCAGTTTCGCATTGGGCGGGTGTGTCGAGTAGTGCCGCCGCCGAGAGGGGACGAGCGCCGCCCGGGTGGCAGTGGATGGGGTGAGAGGCGATCCTCGTGCCAATGCCCTTGAGAGGGCGCGAAGTGATGAACCCTTCATATTGTGTGAAGTCTAGATCCCGTCGCCTCTGTCCGGTGTTTTCGAAGAGCGATCTCTGTACATGGCGAGGGCAAGTCGGTGGGCACGGGAGACGAGCGGTAGAGGAAGCCCCGGGTTGGGACGGATGACGGCGGCGGTCGGCTTGCGACGGCTTTGGTAGGCCCGGGAGGGACCTGGCAATCGCGGGGCCCCGCAAAGTCCCAATTCGCCAGGAACGAACTTGGGCAAGTCCCCTGACGCTTGAAACAGGGGTGGAGGCCCACGGACTGTGAGATGGAAGGAAGTTGAGATGAACGTTATTTTGTTGAATTTTGGTTGATTGGTGAATTGAAAGCAGAGCCGACGAGAACATTGAAAATGGCCAATCCGGGTCTCGTTTCTGAGTCTCTTCAGCCGATGACGTCGAGAGAACCCTCTTGGCGGCCACTTGGCCCTTGTCAGATAACGTTGCCCTGCCAACAATCACGCACTCTTTACAATGCACAGGATCAGGGCACAGCGCCAACACGAGGTTGCAACGAGCTGGGAATCGAGTCTGCAAAGAATCTGCAACGTACGACAATCACTTTTTCTATACTCACCTCCAAATTCCTGCGTAACCACAAATCCCGGATAACCACCTCGAACCGAACCGACGGCAATGCATTCCTAACCCACCACATCCCATCCGCAAAACACATCCCACATTCCATCACAACCCGCCCAGCGCAGATCACACCCAATCCCTCCAACCAAACCGAAACCGAGAAAAAAACCAAAACCAAAAAGAAATGCCCCGCGACCCCTCCGCAACGCGGCACCCCGACCGCGACCGCGGCGAGCGCGGGGAGCGCCGCGAGCGCCGCCACCGCCGCAACTCGTCCGCCGCGCCCGACGACGATGCCGCCCACCAACGACGGCGGAGACGGCATCCCAGCACAGCCAGAGGCGACCAGACTTCAGAGGAAGGGGCCGGCGGCGGGGTGCTGTCGGCGGCTGCGCTGGCGCGGCTGAATCGCGCGAACAATGCGGTACCACCTACTGCTGCCGCTCCTGGTGGGGGTGGTGGTGGAGCCAGGGGGGGCAGGGATCGGACGAGGGAGCGGACGAGGGAACAAGAGCGGGAGAGGGAGCTGGAGAGGGAGGCGGAGAGGGTGAGAGAGGCGAGGAGGGAAAGGGGGAGGGAGGCGGAGAGGGAGAGGGAGAGGCAGGCGGAGAGGGATAGGGAGTTGAGGAGGGAGCGGCGGAGGGAGCAAGAGAGGGAGAGGGAACGGGAGCGGAATCGCCAGAGGGGGTATGAGGTTGTGGATGTCTCGCCGCCGAGGGAGGATCAGAGGTATGATGTTGTGGATGTTTCGCCGCCGAGGGAGGGGAGGGCGCAGAGGGGGCGGGATAACAAGAGGAGGAGTGCGAGGGTGGTGAGCGGGCCGGTATTAGAGGAGGGGAGGGGGGGAGGTGGTGGTGGTGGGAGGGGGTGGACGGGGTTGAGGGGCGGTGCGCAAGGGAGTGATGGTAGTGTGACGACCACCGAAAAGGAGCTGTTATGGAACGGGAAACCGGCGCCGTGGTACAAGCAGAAGAAAAAGCTATGTAGGTTGTTTCTTTCCGGGGAGGACGTGGGTTGTGCTGACGACGGCAGGGATCCTCATCGGTGTCTGTACCGTGCTGCTTATTATCATCATCATCGTGGCAGCTGTGGTGGTCCCCAATTCTGGCGGGGGTGGGGAAAAGCGCGATGAAGGTGGCAGCGATAGCGAGAGCGGCCTGGGAGGGGTATCGCCCGACAGCATACCGAAAGGGGCCCCGTCCTGGCTGAACCCCTTTGTGTGGGAGGATACGAACGATTTCAACCTCACCTACACCGATGAGACGGTCGGTGGCTTGCCCATCATGGGCCTCGACACGGAATGGGATGATTCTGCGAAGGCCAACGACCACGTACCGGCGCTAGACAAGCCATGGGGCGACTACGCTAAGCTGCCAGCACGAGGCGTCAATGTGGGCGGCTGGCTCTCGCTCGAGCCCTTCATCACGCCCTCCCTCTTCAACTACGATCTCCGCATGGGCATCGTCGACGAATACCACCTCTGCAAGTACCTCGCCAAGCGGTGCGAGAGCGTCCTCGAGAAGCACTACGCCACATTTGTGACAGAGGAGACCTTCAAGGAGATCCGAGATGCCGGGCTCGACCACGTCCGCATCCCCTTCTCCTACTGGGCCGTAGAGGTCTACGACGGCGATCCCTACCTCTTCCGCACCTCATGGCGCTACCTTCTCCGAGCAATCGAGTGGTGCCGCCGCTACGGCCTGCGCGTCAACCTCGACGTACACGGCCTCCCCGGCAGCCAGAATGGTTGGAACCACAGCGGCCGGCTCGGCCCCATCAACTGGCTAAACGGCACCGACGGCGCCCTTTGGGGGAAACGCTCCCTCGAGCTCCACGACAGCCTCTCCAAATTCTTCGCCCAGCCGCGCTACAAGAACATCATCAGCCACTACGGCCTCGCCAACGAACCCAAGATGACCTTCCTCGACTCGCAGGAGGTCCTACAGTGGACGACGGAGGCGCACGAGCTCGTGCGCAAGAACGGCGTGTCGGACGCCATCGTGGTCTTCGGCGACGGCTTCCGCGGCCTGCACAACTGGCAGGGCGAGCTGCAGGGGCTGGACAACGCGGCGCTGGACGTGCACCAGTACGTCATCTTCAACACGGGCCAGATCGTCTACAACCACACAACCAAGGTACGCTACGCGTGCGAGGGCTGGACCGAGCAGACCCGCCAGAGCATGGACCGCGACACCGGGTTCGGCCCCACCCTCGTCGCCGAGTGGTCCCAGGCCGACACCGACTGCGCCCGCCACCTGACCAACGTCGGCTGGGGGAACCGCTGGACCGGCTCGCTCATAACCCCCGACGGCACCGGCGACGTCACCACGCCGCGCTGCCCGGCACAGGATACCTCGTGCAGCTGTGAGGAGGCCAACGCGCCGTCCAGCGAGTGGAGTGACTCGTACAAGCAGTTCTTGAAGATGTTTGCCGAGGCGCAGATGTCGAGTTTCGAGAAGGGCTGGGGGTGGTTTTACTGGGTTTGGGATACTGAGGATGCGTAAGTTCCCCTTCTCTTCTCTGGTCGTGGTTGTTGTGCCAGTTTGAGAATGGCAATGCTAACGAACGTTGTCAACAGACCACAGTGGAGCTACAAAAAGGGGCTTGAGGCTGGTGTCCTGCCGGCCAAGGCCTACGAGAGGAGCTTTGACTGCGATTTGTCAGACATCCCCAGCTTCTCGGATCTACCCGAGACCTACTAGTACATACGCAGTATAGAGAGGATGGGGGGGGTATTTTTGGATTTGCTCGGCGTTTCGGAGTTGAAGCATGTTTGGTTGTTTGAAGTTGGATAGCATCGTTGGTGATCGCATCCAAACTGGGCATGTTCATGAGTGGCTGATACCGGGGGTGGATGGTTGATTTACTATGTAGTTAGAACACGAGGGAGCACATCAAATCAGTATTTTGGATATATAGTTGGGGGTCAAGCACAAGTAGAGTGTACATATGCACAAACGGACTTCGGAGGCGGCTGGATTATGATATCTCTTCTCTTGATTTCTAATACCGGAATAAAGTCAAAGGAACCATGCCGGTTTTCGAGTCGGGCTCGCCGGGAACGCAACGGGAATGCTGGTTGTCCATTACCCAACATTCCAGACGAAAACCCCTGGGAATGTTACACTGGGCTCGGCCAAGATGAGATCATAGCGAACCGCGAGAGCGGCGGGCTGTACAAAGTAAGCCAACCGAAACTAACCAAATTCGCGCATCTTCGCGCTGACGGGCGTATAGACAAAGAGCATGTCAAGAGTAGGGCTGCTAGGATGAGTCCGGGGACATCTCGGGAAGTGAACGTTATCCCCGATGCACTCGTTCCAGGTTTGGAAAAGCAAGCAAGCAAACACGGGATAGTGCCGTCCCCGCCGCCGCTGCTGCAACCGAGAGCACAGCCGGGAGCCCATGTGCCGCGCGAGCGGGTCTCCACACCCGACCACACCCCGTTTTCTCCTCTCATTGCCGCTTTGTCATTGGCGGGTTGTTCACTTCGAAGGGTCATCAATGTCCCTCATCAAGAAGGCAATCATCCCATTGCATATGCGTGTTGGTGCGAGATGGCTGTGGTGGCTGCAATTTATCAGGCAGTGAGTGAAAAGCCCTTTCTTCTCGACCCTCTCGTCTGGCTTGGGGGCCGTGGTTTTGACGTTGGCTTGCCCAGATGGGCTTGGTGGATGTGGTCTCCCTGTGCCTGGGCCTGGAGCCCCTGGCTTCAATGGAACCCTCCTTCAAGGTTGGATGCTGCTAAACGCAGTCGAATCCGCCGCTTAAAATTGTTGGTTCCATCGCGCAGAGTTTTGGAAGAGCGTTAACCCCAGAATGGGACGAAAGCCCCAGTAAGGCCCGTCATCCGCACTCGGAGATCGAGGTACAGGGTGGCTAAAGGCCGTTAATAAACGTCATGGCATCCCCGTGTTTTGTCCATCGTAGATTTGTCGTCCCATAGTCATTCAACATTGACAACATTGTGTGTTCGTCACTTGACGTGAGTGAGGTTTTCACATCGAGTGACTCGAGTGAAGCCCAAGAACCCACCACCTCCCTCCACACCAACTTTCACCTCTCGGCTCGAGATATCCCGAAGTTACCCGACCTCGTTCCGTCCACCAAGCCATAAACCCAAAGAGAAAACAACCCCAGAAATGGACGAAAAGGGGCACCAGCCCGGCTCCGGGAGCGCCCCAACGGCAGCAGACCACTCCGACATCGAAAGCGCCGCCGACCCGGAGAAACTCAGCACCTCCTCCGGGGGGCCCAACTTCGAGCCCATCCGGCCAGGAACAGCCGCAGCAGCGCACCCAACCTCACACAACAACCGCCGCCTGAGCGCCGAGACCATCGACACGCTGCGGCGCGAGCGCTCCAACAACGGCTGGGGGTGCGACGACATCGAGGCCGACGCCGCCGGCGGCATCATCGCGCCGTACAACCACCCGGGCAAGGGCGGCGCCGATGGCGGCAGCGGCGGCAACCGTGATGGCAATGGCAACGGCAGCGGCAGCGGCAGCGGCAGCGGCCCGGATGGCGCCCCCGCGGACCCCTTCGAGGTCGGCTGGGACGGCGGCGACAGCGACCCAATGTGCCCGCGCAGCTTCCCGACGTGGCGGAAATGGCTGATCATTGCGATCACGAGCGTGGGGTCTTTTTGCGTGTAAGTCTGGGCCTGGTTCTATTCACTGTCCCGGTGGAGGTTTGTTGTTATGGTGGAGGAGAGACAAAATGGCTTGTGTGGGGGGAAAAGGAGAAGAGGCTGACTGAGAGTGGTTGGATAAAGAACGAATGCGTCCGCGTCATATACGGCGACGTATGCTCAGATGAACGAGGAGTTTGACAACTCCCGACTGGTTGCGACGCTGGGGCTTTCGACATTCGTGCTGGGGATTGCCCTGGGCCCATTCTGGTCGCCGTTGGCCGAGTTCTACGGCCGGCGGCCGATTTATCTCTGCTCCTTTGCCGGATTCATCATCTGGTTGGTCCCGTCAGCGGTGGCAAAGAACATCGAGACCATGATCGTGGCACGCTTCTTCCAAGGCCTGGCAGGGAGTGCGTTCTTGTCTGTTTCTGGCGGGACAGTGGGGGATCTGTTCACCCGCGACACTATGCTTGCGCCCATGGCCATCTTCGCGCTGGCCCCTTTTGTTGGGCCGTCGACGGGACCGCTGGTCGGTGGCTTGATCAACACCTATGTCAACTGGCGCTGGACGCATTATGTGTTGCTAATCTGGGCTGCCGTTTTGCTGCTCACCATTGCGTTGTTTGTACCGGAGACTTATCGTAGGTGCTTTTGTTTTGTTTCGTCCGGTGCTCAGCGGCAAATGCTGATATTCGCTGTTAGATCCGGTGCTGCTAAAACGAAAGGCACAAAAACTCCGGAAGACGACCGGTGACGACAGATGGCGCGCGCCCCTTGAGAAATCGACCAAGTCCGTTTCCAAGACCGTGGCATACTCGCTGCTCCGGCCCTTCCAAATCCTTATCTTCGAGCCCATGGCAGTGGTCCTCAACATCTACACGGCCGTCCTCCTCGGTCTGCTCTACCTTTTCTTCGGTGCCTTCCCGCTTATTTTCCGAACAAACCACGGCTTCAACCTCTGGCAGGTCGGCCTGACCTTCATGGGCCTGCTGGTAGCCATGATCATCGCCTGCCTGAGCACGCCCCTCTGGACTAGGCTCCGACAGAACATGGTGGCAAAGCGACACAAGGAGACGGGGGTGCTCAAGGACGAACCCGAGGACCAGCTGCCGCCTGTCATCTTTGGTGCCCCGCTGATCACAGGGGGCCTGTTCTGGTTCGGCTTCACGACATATCCCGAGATACACTGGATCGTACCCATTATCGGCTCGAGCGTGTTTGGTCTTGGGTGAGTGCAGACCTTTTCTGATTTCTTTCTTTTTGTGTGTTTTCAGTCTCTCCCTTGGCTGCTTTTTGCTTCGGATTACGGGTCAGGATGGAAATCGGAGTGATAATTCGCGGATCATGAGCTTCAGCCGTGGCCGTGGCCGTGGACGTACCGAACGGTGAGACGAGCTTGGAGACAGTCCCAGCATTTCACAACAGGGCAGCAGTGCGGTTGACAGCAGCCATGTCAATCTGCTCTTACGCCACGGCCTTGGCTTTTTCCTTTAGTCATGACTTTGTCACGATGTCCCAGAGCTGTCGCATCCTAGCTAGCCTGTTTCCTTCGATCTTGCATATCCGAAGTCTGCAGTCATGCCGTTACCCGTCGTTAACCGTGGCTTGTTTCGCAGGATGTCGTTCGCTTTTACGGGAATCTTCACTTTTCTGGTGAGTGTAACCCACCCCCGCGAAGCACAGACGTGCCCGCGGCCGGCGGCTCTTGATCCGGTGCAACAACATTGGGCGATATATGGAAAAGGGTGTGCTGATACGAGCTGGTGGCTGTCTAGGTCGACGCATACCCACGGTACGCAGCGAGCGCCCTGGCATCCAATGCCTTGGTCAGGTGTTCCTTCGCAGGTAAGCTTCCCCTCTACACAGTAGCCGCTGGATGTTTCATGTCCCAGTTAGGCCTCCTGCGTCACCGGTCCGTTCGGACATACGCTGACGATGCGCAGCGGCGTTCCCACTATTCGGTATCCAGATGTACGAGGCCCTTGGGTTTCAGTGGGCCACTGGGCTCGTCGCCTTTGTGACACTCGCCTTGATGCCCTTCCCTTATATCTTCTTCCGCTATGGCAAGAAGATACGAGCAAGGAGCAGATATGCGACCACCACATAGAACTATGGGGGGACATCAAGGTGGAGACGAGGGAACACCCGTCTGAAACCAGCCCAATGGCTGAATCAGACGTGTCCAGGTCTGCAGTGAGCTCGGCTGTGATCTGCCGTGAACGCGTCGGCAGCAGATCTGCACCGGGGAGTAAGCCATGTCAACCGACGGCAAGGCGCCAGTGGCTCACTTCATCGATCTCTCCACGGGGACGATTCACCACCACTCAACACGGTCTGCCAACTATCAGCGAGTCTTAACGGCGCACAACCCCACCTGGTGCATACTGACTCATCCGGGAGAGTTGAATGCCAGCCCAGACCCAAAGTGCTAAATGTCACAGGAGGCTAGGGGCCAGGGAGTGGAGGGTGGGTGGTAGGAGAATCGGGACCAGACGGCAGCACTTGACTCCGGAATCTGACCCATCGGGTTGGGTGGCTGGCAATGCCACCGCATCTAGGATGAACACTGTGATGGTGGAGAAGGCTATGTCGTGCGTCTCGTCAAGAGGCTTGCCGGCATGCTGCTTCTGGGTCACGGTCTGTCTTGGGCAAGCCACTCGGCGCCCCGCGCAGGATCCTCACTCGAGTACGGCGGACGTACCCGTTGGCGCAGGCCGTGGACCAGGATAGGCCGAGGTTGAATAGCGACAGAGCTCAGTGGTCTGATGATCTCATAGGCAAGGCCACCGGCTACGAACTGTGCGTCTCATCATGAGACAAAACAGTCTCTCATGCTATGAGCGGCAACAACAAAACCTGTTTTTTATCTTATTTTAACATATCCATCCAGCTTACGTTCGCAAAGGGGAGTGTGTGTGTTGCGTGGGTTATCGTGAAGGGCTGGCTCCAATGTTGAATGTCGAAGCTCCGAGAACATCAATAAGATGAAGTTTGCGTCGGACCTCGGCTAGCCGACCCACCGAGAAGGGACTCTCAAACATGCTGGTCATATGCTCTGCGCCGACGGTGATGGCCGAGAAAAGGCTGGCTGATGGCGACCTGAGACAAAAGCACCGAGGTATGTAGGCGGTGTTGTCCAAGCGGGCTTCCAAGAGCAGGAGCAACACCAATCCTGGTGTCACTGGTACGTACTTGTAGCCCTCAACTTTTCTCGGATGCATTTGCAGATCCGCGGTCGGGGTTCGATTGGGGTTGCGGCCCGGGGTGGCATTCCGTGGACCCTGCGGCGGCGGCGGGACGGGCTGGATGGCCACATGCAAAAGGATTCCATGGGGTAATTATCCCAACCGCTCCATGCTTCTTCGCTGTTGCCTCTGCATACCGCAGTATTGGTCCCTCGCACCCTCGGTATGGCAATGAGAGAGTCACCAATTAGGAGCAGTTTCCAGACGATTTGAGGGCCGCCGTATCCACTGCCGAGCCGCATGCAATGAAGAAAATAGACTGGGCTGGACCGTGAAGACCGAAATCGATTGACAAAATTTGAAGAATTGATTTGATGATGTGTTTTTCTGGGGCCGAGTTTGCAAGGGAGGGTAGGATGAGAAAAGAGAAAACCCCGCATTCGGCGGGAAGGAGGAAAGAGCTTTAGCTCGGCTTACGCCCACCACGGTTGCGAAAAACCACCGCACACCGACTCTAGCCTCAACCTCAGGATTTCATGAATGAGGAAAGAGCACCACACCAATTCACAGACCCATGTTTTAGCGCACCTTTCTCTCTCCACAACTGCCATGCAAAACAACACCGGGCATGCCTGGTCGAGACTGGCACTGAATACAGATCCTTAACTGGAGCCGTCTGATTTTCACCCCACCTCGTCTTCGTCCGCCTCTATCACACCCGTTTGCGCTCCTGCCTGTTTTGCTTTCCCAGAAGCAGAAACTCCGGCCCTCGCCATATTGCGATTCGACGACGACAAGCTCTTTGCGCTGCGCCAGGCGAAAGCAAATCGCGGAGATTGCGAAAATCGCGGGAGGGGACGAAGATAAACGGTCCGGAAGGGGAGGAGGAGGAAGGCCGTGGGGATGTTGGCGAGAGACATACGGAGTACGAACCACACATCCTCGATCCGGCCTCGCAAATCGTTGAGAAGGACACCGACGCCTAGCAAAAGCCACCCGCTTCGACGTCCCGCATCCGCACCAATTGCCCGCTTGGCTGTCTTTTTGCGCGGCCTCGAAGAAAGCCCACACCACCTGTTCCCTTCTCCTACCGACGCCCTGCCAAGGGCTCACGCAACCATACCGCCGACGGATAGGTGCAGCTTGTATGCCTCCTAGCACTCCTGTGCGACCCTCACCAGCCAGAGCTCGAAAGCTGCCCCGGCCCGCACCCGTGCTTCATCCGCCGCCGCGTGACTCGAACTCATCGACGAGACCACAAACGCCCACACACACACCATCTACCCAAACGGCCCAACTTCCGTCAGTTCCGCCCGGACGGTGGACTGTCGCACAACGGCACTCTCTACCAAATTTCTCCGAGCCAATTAGCAGCATCGCCACGAGAGCCGCTGAGAATACGAGACAGTCGCTTGTCACTGTGTATCGGGCCTCAATAGCTGGCACTAGCTACATATCCCGTTCTCTCGGACTGGTGATCAACAGTTCTTATTGCGGGAGGCTACAGTGAAGGGGAACAGCCCAGGAAGCCACAGCAAGCCGTTGCTGCTGCGTCCGGTCTTGCAGAGCCTCGGCAACTATTCGTTGCCGCCCTCGACGCCTTAATTAGATGACCAGTGGGGGCTCTTCCTCCACTCGACTTGGCGCGCTCGTTCTGGGATACTTGCTTGCGTCGTCTTCTTCAGCTCGCCAGCGCCTGCCCTGACAACCAGAGCGACGTGCAGCGCCAATCACCTGCCGTACTGGTGCCACCGCTGTGATATTGCTGCAGGGCCCTTCACGTTAGCCCTCTGCTGTTATTTTCAAAGTCCTATTGCGGAACCGGACCTGGCGTGCGTTGGGTTGGGTGTTCCTGCATTACCGCGCTGTCCGACCAGGTCGGGCCGTATATAAGCTGGGCCGCGATGGCGGAAGACAGCGGGCATTCCCCGCGGGACACTTCGGGCGCCATGTCTGATAGCGAAAACGAGTACGACGAGACGGACCAACTCGTCAAAGACGAGGACGAGAAGATGTCAGACCAAAGACTCACTTCGGAAGGCGCCGACACCAGTGGAGAGCCGAAAAAGAAGTACGACCCGAAGGATCCCCTTCGGCCTCGTAGGAAAAAGGCCAGGCGGGCTTGCTTTGCATGCCAAAGAGCTCACCTTACATGCGGTAAGATCTCTCTCTCCGTTCCTCGTTTCTCATTGCAAGGGTTCCATCTATACCCTCCCCGCACCGCACTTATTCATCCTTGCTTGTTCATGTAGTCTCTTGAAGTGTAGGCTGGCGATGCTGACCGCTGCGATAGGGGACGAGAGGCCATGCCAGCGATGCATCAAGCGCGGGCTGATGGACTCCTGTCAGGATGGAGTCAGAAAAAAGGCTAAATATCTCCATGACGCCCCCCCTGAAGCACTACGGCCTGTTTTGGGTCCAAACTACAATCCAAATCCAAACCCACGACAGAATGGCCACCGAAATCCGAGTATTTCAACCTCTGAGGCATCCCCGAACCAAGGGACCTTCTTCTCGCAATCGACCGCTGCTCAATTCCCCATGTTCTCCGCCTCCCAGACACCAATAGGGAACTTAACGGAAAATCTTCCGTTTGCAAGCCAGCAGTCGCCGGTGTCTCCATCATTTCAGACATCCGGCAACCCGCAAATCGGCGGGATGACTGTGCCACAGGTGTCAAGCCCTATGACGAACTTCGGCGCTCTACCATTTGACCCGAGCGATCCAAATATCTTCAACTTCAATCTCGAAGGCCTCAATTTCGGCAGTCAGTATGGTGCCATGGAATTCGGCATGCTCGGGCACATGTCGTCGGGTGCCGCCGAAACGCCTCCGCAGGATACCACGATGTCGCGGTCGGCAAGCGGCAGTCTCGGTTTTGGGCCCGGTGTGTTTGGAAATAGCGTCAACCAATTCGAGAAAGTGTACGAGGGCAATCTTCTCGATGGGTTCCTTGGACTTGACGCGAATCACAATGGCCTATACTCGCAGGGTAACCTACAGCATGGTCTTCCCCACGCGTACGCCATCGCCGCTGGACCAACCAGCATTCAGAGCCCGAGTACCGACACCAACAGTCCACAGCCGACTACTCTCGGCTTTGACGGCTCTCCCACGATGGCAACCTTCTCGACAACGCCCGGGGCCAAGCCGGCGAACCAACAGCATCCCTCTACGAGGCAGTCCAATGCCCTCGCGAAACTCGGGCAGCAGTCGGTGTTGGGGAAGCGCCAACGCGATCCCTCTTTCATCTACGACACGGTCAAAGAACCTTTTGGATATGTTACGAGTTTCCACAAGCTCTTCCTTCTGATCCAAAGCCGGTTCACGGCAGCACACTCGTCGCGCATCGCAAAATCCCTGGCCAGCATCCGGCCGTCACTGATGGCGTCGACCAAGAACTTGACACAACAGGACCTGGTCTTCATGGAGAAGTACTTCCAACGGTCTCTGTTTGAATACGAAGAGTTTATGCACCAGTGTTCCAGCCCCACCCTCGCCTGCAGACGGACGGGCGAGGTCGCAATCGTGAACAAGGAGTTCACCGCGCTGACGGGGTGGACGAAAGATGTGTTACTCGGGAAAGAGCCAAACCGCAATGTCAACCTGGGCGGCTCCGCGTCAGCAGGGAAAGTCGGCCTCACCACTCCTCGTCTCAAGAGTTTAAACACCGAGGCCAGCGGGTCTACAGATAGCCCGCAACCCGTGTTCCTCGCCGAACTTTTAGACCACGACAGCGTCGTCGAATTCTACGAGGATTACTCCCAGCTGGCCTTCAACGACAGCCGAGGCCACAAGACACGCAAGTGCCGCCTCCTCAAGTACCGCCCGCCGGATAACGACGAGGGCGCAACAGAGGCAAATGTCGACGTGCAGCTGCCGCAGAAGGATCCTCGGAACAGCATTCTGAGCAACCGCGTTGCCAAGATCGATGGCGAGCACGGGATATCGAAACTCGAACGCGACGGCAAGCTGGAGTGCAGCTACACGTGGACCATCAAGCGGGACATGTTTGATATGCCCATGCTATTTGTCATTAATGTAAGTACGTAGTCGCCTTATTGTTATCGTTACAGGGCCCGGGCAATCGACTGATGACATCGCAGTTCCTACCATGTTATTACCGAAGCAACAACCAGCTAGCTGTGTGACGGGGCCATCGAGGCCATCCAAAGGGAATAAAAGGAAACGCAAGACGGGGCATTGACGGTGTCAGGGAAGGCGTTGGGTACAGATACCTCGGTACATGGTTGTTTGAGGTCTTTTTGGGTTTGCTAGTTTACCGAGCGTGGTTGTAGAATTGATCATGTTTACGATGGTTCTATCATCTTTGACTTGACGTTTCGGTGGACGACCTTTGCGCCTTTTATTTTATTCATCATTGATGAAATACCTTAGTCAACCCCAACCAACCCATCACCACCACCCTATTTCCCCCCTTCCCCCAGCTCCTCAGGCCGTATCAACCAACCGCACTCCAACGACCCCCTCAGCACCTTGACCCCCTCCCCAGGCACATCCACCTCGACGTCCACCCCGCTCGGCGCCCAGCCCTCGCGCGCCAGGCTGCGCTTGGCCACCTCGCAGTCGAACTCGATGTCGGCGATCAGCGCCTCCAGCCCGCTGTAGTCCTTCTCCTCGCGGATGAAGCCCGCGATCAGCAGGCGCATCTCGGCGCCGTAAAAGTCGGACCCGAACCGGTGCAGCACGTGCACCTCGGCCGACCGCACCGTGTTCTTGTAGAACGGGTTGTACCCGATCGACATCACCATCGGGTACACCGCGAACCCGTTGCCGCCCCGCCGCCGCGCCTGCCCGTTCGCGTCCGTGTCTGCGTCGGCATTTTTCCCTTCCCCTTCCCCTGCTGTGGTGGTGGTGGTGGTGGTGGTGAGGGAGTCGGGGTGGGAGGCCGGCAGGTTGAGCGAGGCCCACCCGAAGTAGACGCCCGACGGCGTGGACGAGATCCAGGGGGTCTGGGCCTCGTCTACGGGCAGGTTGGCCGTCGGGATGCCGAGCTCTTTGGAGCCGCGCCCGAAACCGCTTATTACGAGGCCGGACATGTGTAGCGGGTAGGGGGCGGAGGGGCCGGAGGGGTCCCCGATGAGGGGGGGTCTGTTGGGGGTTGGTGTTGCCATTTTTGTGAGATTGGTTTTTTTTCTTTTCCTTTGTGGTGTCGATTGGTTGGTTTTCTGAAGGGGGGTGAGAGAGATTGGTCGCGATGAGAGGATTGTAAGAGAAGGTTAAGGGTTGAAGGTTGAAGGTGGGAGTCAGTCGGTCGGGCCGGTCGCTGACACACCGTGGAAGTGGGATGGAAACGGGGTGAATTCCTTCGGTGGTGGGGGAGTGGGGTAGCTGAGTGCCAGGGGAACAGGCGCAGAGATAAAGATCCCTGGCGCGTCAGATGGGACGAATTTAAGCTTCTTATGCGGCAAACTGAGTGAATCTCTATAACAATCGCACATGAGCGACGTTACAGTCCGGGTCTTTGGGTTAAATCGGCCGGTCTAGATGTCCGGTCTTACAGATACGGTGTACGAAGAGTGAAACCAACGGGTTTGCAATGAAAAAAAAAATAAGGTTTGTCGGTGAGTCCGCCCATAGTCCCCGTGTGTTTTTCCAGGTACAAGTAGTGTTACACGGCATCGAGTTTCTGAGACGCCCCTATCCATCACTCGGTGGTTCAGTTCGTATCGTGAAGGCCTCCGAGGCCCGGTTAATCCTTCCACTCCGTCCGGCCGAGCCTCACAATCTCGCTCGACTCCAGTATCCAGTACTTCGACGGCGCCTTCCCCTCGGCAGCAATCTTCGCGGCGTGCACTGCCGCTCGCGCAATGACGTCGGCCTCCTGCCCCAACCTGTCCTGCACGCCCAGGCCAAACCACCTCCCCAGCGCCCTCGTCGCGCCGATGAGGAACGGCCCGCCCTGATGCGGCACCTCCCGGTCGCCCATGATGATTGCCGGCCGGACGATGATGGCCGTTTCAAAGTCCAGCTCCTTGACCGTCTGCTCTACGCCTTTCTTCATCTTGCTATACGGCAGCCAGTTGGCGAGCAGACCGTCCGATCCCGTGCTGGAAATGAATACAAAGCTGCGCACGCCGGCCTCCTTCGCGGCCCGTGCGAGCTCGACGTTCAGGTCGTGGTCAATCTTCCACTGGTTGGCGATGCCGCCCGCCTGGGCACGGGTTGTGCCCAGCCCGGAGAAGGCTGTTGATGGGGTGGGCTTGATGCCCGCAAGCTTCGCGGCCCATTGGGTGGTGTCGGCTTCGATGGTCGCGTGCAGTGTTGGGCCGGTCGATTTGGGTGCCCGACGTGAGATAGTGTGCACTGCGCTGATCGAGCTGTCGGTCAGCAGCGTCGCGAGGATGTTTGAGCCTACAAGACCGGTGCTGCCAAGGACGAGATTTGAGGCCATGTTGCTGGTGAGGAAATGTTTGAAGTGAGAAAAGAGGTGAAACAGGTAAGGTGAGTGTGTGTATGTTTGAACTGTGGGAGTATTTTCGTCACAGTTCGCTGTGTCAATATTTTATTTTGAGTTTGTGAAGCCAAGACGGTGATGGTAACGGGTTTTGGTTAGTTAAATAGCTGTGATGGAAGAATGCCGGCGACTTATTGAGACAGGAGCATGCGACCAAGCATTCCTAACAGTCCGTGCAGCGAATGCCAGCGAGCGAAGCCAGGTTAGGTGCTGCTGCATTCGGGAAAGAATCAGGCCGGATCCTAATTGCGGCCGGCTCCAATCACCGTTAACGCCGGAAGCGCATTCGATCGTGCTTCTTGCCCTCCGCATTGATGTCGTCATGTTTTTGGGGGCCTGGGGAGCATGTGAAGAACGATGAACCAACCCTAACCCCTATTTTATCGAGTGGTTGCCCGGAACACCAAAAAATTCTCGACCGAAATCAACAACCCCTCCATCGCCGCCCCGCATCCGATTGCGCCCACGCCGTGAACAGCAGACCACCCCGTCGCATTCCCTCAAGGCCATTCCCACACATCCAACCGACCATGGCCAGCACCTCCAACCCCAGTCCGGGTATGCGATACCCTACTCCCCCCTTCCATCCCCATCCACTTACACTAACCAACCCACCCCTCCCACCAGCAACCTGCCAAGCGACCTTCGAGCAAGGCGTCGCCATATCCCTGCATCTGTGGGAGGCCCTCGCGCTCGCGGTGCAGAACAACTGGGGCGGTCCCGACTCGGCCGACAAGCGGGACTGGTTCGCGGGGGCCGTCGTGGAGCTCTTCCCCGACGTGTCCAAGCTCACGCCCGCGCAACTGCAGCAAAAGACAACAACAGCAAAACAAAACCAGGCTGCCCCCTCGCAACAGCAATCACAGAGCGCGCAGAATGGGAGCGTCGAGGAGGCGGACCAGGCCGACGTCGAGTCGGTGCTGCTGCAGGTGATGGTGGACGAGTTCGAGGTCAACGTGGACGACGACTCGGCGTTCGAGCTGGCGGAGCAGGTGGTGCGGCTGCGCGGGGACTGTCTCAAGGGCAAGTTCGACGAGGTGGAGGCGCTGCGGCGGCGGTGGGAGGGCAAGAAGGGGAACAAGGTCGTCTTTAAGAAGGCGGAGGACCAGGACAACGAGACGGATTGGGATACGGATTCCGGGGACGACGATGAGGAGGAGGAGGAGGGTGGGGATGTTGAAATGAGTGATGCGCCCGCGCCGCCGCCGAGGAGGGAACGGCAGGAGCCGGAGGTGGACGAGGATGGGTTTACCAAGGTTACGAAGAAGAAGAGGTAGAATAAGTAGGGGTGATGGGTGGTCTGGAGGCCCAGGACATGGCTCGCTCAGATGTCGTTATAGACTACTTAGATATGGTTAGGGACCAAGGAACCTACAGTTGTTATATGACCAAGGTAGGAAAAAAAGAGCCGATCCAACTCCACCATACCCCCCTAGGAACGACGGGAACCCCGCCTCGACCCCGAACGCCGGGAACACAGCACCTTACTCCCAATCTTCCTCGTCGCTGCTGTCCTCGCTGTTATCGTCGTTATCGTTACGCGACTCCTTTGGGCTGTTCGGGGCGTGGCTGGGGACACCGGACCTGGCCCCGACAACGTCATAGCTCGCCTCGCTGTCCGCCTGCGACTTTTCGTCGTTGGACTTTCGTGGCTCCGACGGCTTGAGACCTCGGCCGGCCGCTGGTGGCTGAATCGTCGCCGAGGACCCCGTCGACCCCGGCCGCCTTGGGACTGTAGATCTTTTGTTGGGTACTGCGACAGTCTCATCATCCGACTCTTCGTCCGAGTCCTCCTCCTCCTCATCATCATCCTCGTCCTCATCTTCATCATCATCCTCTTCGTCACTCTCCTCGTCACTCTCCTCCTCGGCCTTCTTCTTGACCTCCGCCTCAGGCTTCGTTTTAACCTGCTCCTCGGCCTTCTTCTTGACCTCCTCCTCCTTACCCTTATCCTTCACATCTGCTTTCACCTCCTCCTTTACCTCCTCCTTTACCTCCTCCTTTACCTCCTCCTTTACCTCCTCTTGACCCTTTCCCTTAGCCTCCTCCTTAACTTCTTTCTTGACCTCCTCCTTGACCTGCTCTTTACCCTCCTCCTCATCCGAGTCCTCATCCCAACCAACCTCCTCCTCAGCTGCAGCAGCTATTTGTCAAGCGTTAGCATAGGCTAAAAAAATAGATTGAGCTGGTACTCCTTCCACTTACCCTTGAGAAGGTCTTTCCTCCGCGCCTCAGCGGTCTCAATGCCGTGCCTGAGGAAGTAGTACCGCTTCCAGAAATCCGCGTAGGCAACCTGGTCGGGCACGAGCTTCTCCATGGTTGTCCTCAGCTCGGGGGTACTTGTCCAAGTCGCTGCTGATATCCGCCGTCTTCTTATCGACGTCGAACTCCTTCGCCCAAGTCTCGAACTCGGCCCCAGTCCCGTCCTTGCTGAAGCTCTCCGGCGACGTGTGGATGACGTGCAACTGCGCGTCGAACCGCGACGTGTGGATCACCCTCTTCCCGTGGGCATCCTTGCTCTCAAAAAGCACCCCCGTGTTGGCCCGGCTGTCCGCCTGATCGTCGCTCGGAGGGGCGATGGTGATGGCGTCGCGGAAGAAGTCGCGCAGGTTGGACCCGAACCGGAGGAGGGCCTCGTCCGCCGCGTCCTCGGCTTGTTGGAGGTCCTTCAGGCGCTTCGCCGCCTCGCCCCGCAGCCGGGAGAGCACCGTCTCGGACTCTTGGAGCGCGGCCTCCGAGGACATGTCCTTGGCTGCTGTGGGTGTCGTCTCGGCATTGTCGCCGGCTTCTCTGGCCGCCTGGTCCGAGGATGGTGCTGGCGGGGCGGACGTGTTCAGAGACAGGCTTCGTGTGCGCTGGATGATGGACTCGCGCAGGTCGGTGAAGCCGCGCGTGGCATCCTGACCCACGGCCGAGAGCTCCTGCTGGGCCTCGCGGTAGACAGATCCACCCTGGAAGATATAGTAAGCACGGTGACTATTCCCACGCGACCCGACACAGAGGAAACACACACCTGCTTCACCACAGTGCCGAAGAAGCCCCCGATCCGGGCACCCCAGGGGCTAGAGGAAAAGGCCCGGTACGCATCTTGCAAATCCTCATTCAGGCTTGCCTGCGGGGCTGGCTTCTTCTCCCCGGACGACGAGGAGTCGCCATGCTCCTCCGGGTAATTTGATTCTTGAATATGATCGTAGGCAATGTCCATCACGACGGAGCCTGTTGCCGACGCTTGGAGATTGGGTAATCGTCCAGCTTCGAAAGTCTTTTTAAGTTATCCCGTTCAATACGGCCGAGTTACATATGCCCAGCGTTGCTGTCGTCCCTCGAGTCTGCAGAGGTTCGATTTAGGTTGGGACAGGGCTCATGGGCATCATGTCGGGTCGCCTGCCGCGGTGCGGAGAGAGGTGCAGCAGCGCGGGGCAGTGCACGGACCATGGCCGAACGCCACATCCCGTTCGCATTTGGCAGGTCTTGGCAGTTTCTTGAGCGGAACTACCATGTGCATCCCTGAAATTCACTGTCTCAGGGCTGTGATTGTTACAGGCTTTGTAGGCACGAAGATAAAGACATAAGAAGTACGGATACATACATAACTCTTCGCTCCCGAATACAGGCAAGTGACAAGAACGGATCCCACGTGCTGATACCAAGGACACCCCGACACTCCCGGCTCCCCGAGGAGCCACGCAGCCTAACCAGTTCCTGTGTAACTCGGCGATCTTTGGTCTGACTCAGCGTCGGATATAAAGGGCGGTACGCTTGAAGATATTCGGCGTCGCTGGTAGGTATGTACATGGTTGAGCACTTTTTCAGCATCTTCTCTTCGGTTCCCTTCGTGAAACTCAAAAGAGTTACAAATGAGTAACGACAGACTCGCAGTTGTGGCAGTTGGCTGGAATCAGTTGTATCTTGAAGGCACGGCTGGCTCCGGTCTTGTGGGGCAGATATCCATTCGCTGCGCACGGACAGGGACCAATTCCCAAGCCTTCCATGAACGCTGACAAATTCGTGGCAGCAATCGCCCACCCCTCCAACAAATCCATCTGCCGTTCGGTCTGACCCTTCGTCCGCCCGCCTCCTCCTCGGGGCGAACAGCTGGGGTCAGGTGCAAACCCAAGGCAGCCAGGGGCTGGGAAAAAGCCACGACTTTTCCCCATCTCCACCACGCCGCTGTTCCATCGCCACCTCCGACCTTCTACTCGACCTAAACTTCTTGGCCTGAGGCAACTTCGCCTTGATTCCCCCCCGCTGGCTTGACATTTTGCAAGCCTGCAGTCTTTCCTTGCACAATATCCCGCTTCCAGAAATATTGAACACACTCTGACGTCGTCGGCTTCTCTTTTGGTGCCTTTGTCCAACGTCCGATACCCCGCCTCGTCTCCGGTCTGGGGCTCGGACTTAGTACCCCAGCGCCGCTTCTGCTTGTCATCCGCGCCCTTTAAGCGTTTCGTCCGATACAACACCTCTTCCTTTAGGGTTGTCGGCCAGTGCACATTGTCCTGCCACAGCGCTATCCTGAACATCATCCCGCAACACGAGCACCCTTTTCCTTTCATAATCGAGCGCGGTCCAGCGAGTCAGCCGAAATGACGTCGTCGCAGAACCCGCTGCAGGGCCTCGTCCTAACTCCGCAGCAACAGAACCTGCTGTTCGCCGCACTCAATTCCAATCGTCCGAGCGATGCGCAGCCGACCAATGGCTTCAATATGTCGACGCTCCAGTTTGATGGTTCGCCCATCCAGCCCGATGGCATGTCGAGCTTCCAGAACAGCCCGGACCTTGATTATGATTATGACTTTGCCGGAGCCGATTCCAGCTTTGATTACTACGACGATGCCGGCCAGGCCAAGATGATTGGTGATCTCCCCGGCTCGAAAAGGGCGCTCAAGTCCGAGTCTGGCGACGCTGAGTCACCGGAAAAGAGAAGCCATCCGGATGAAGAAGAAGAAGGCCCGGGAGCCAAGCGGCGGGAGAGCGAAGAAAAACTGGCAAAGAAGCCAGGCAGGAAGCCTCTCACTACGGAACCGACTTCGGTAGGTTTTATTCAACGGACCTGGGAGATCAACATGGTAGGACTGTTGCTGATGGACTCCACAGAAGCGGAAAGCCCAGAACCGGGCAGCGCAGCGGGCGTTCAGGGAGCGCAAAGAGAAACACCTGAAAGATTTAGAAACCAAAGTCCAGGAGCTGGAAAAGCTGTCCGAAGACGCGAACAATGAGAAGGAAGCGCTCCGTGCCCAAGTTGACAAGATGACGGTCGAGTTGAATGAGTACAAGAAGCGATTGTCGATGCTCTCAGGAGGGCGACCCGTTCCCCAAGGCCCCGCATCCGCCTTTGGCAGCCTTTTTGTCAACAACTTGAACGACGTCAACTTCCAATTCGAGTTTCCCAAGTTCGGTAGCCTCCCGGGTCCTCCCATCAACAAGGCCAAAAAGCCCTCGCCAACACAATCGCAATCATCGAAGCGAGGCAACTCGGACCATCGGAGCCCTAGCGAGAGCTCACAGCGCGGGGTTAGTCCGGGGAATTCGAGCAGTTACAGCCAGGTCGGTCTGGACTCTCAATCCCAGCAGGACCTAGCGAGTCTGTCTTCGGAGCTCTTCACGCCTCCTCTCAACAATGGCCAAGGCGTAAACGGGTCGTCGATCAGCCTCGACTCCCACTACAATATGGGCGGTGCCACATCGACAAGTTCACCCTCTGCGTCCTCCAACTCGAACATGGGCGGCCCTAATTCTTCATGTGGAACATCGCCCGAATCATTTGCCCAATCGCCCATGGGCTTCAAACCTCTCGACACGTTGAGCACAATCGGAGAAGAACACCCCAGCCTCGGAAATCCATCGCAGGGTAAGCAGTTTCGGGCCGCAGCGATGAGCTGGTACACGGCGGCACTCTAGGAAGGTTGTGGCTAACATGCTTCAGGTCCTGGTCATTTTGGTAATGCAGGCATTGAGGACTTCACCCAGTGGCTTCCCCAGAACGACTTTCAGTTTGATCCGGAGCTATTTGGCGGCTACCGTGACCCGCAAGAGAACGTTTTGTCTCAGGGCTTCGACGAGGGCTTCTTCAACGATGCCGTGGATATCGATTTCCTCACGCCGTACAACTTGCCAATTCCTAGCCCAGCACCGCCCAAGAAGGACCTCATCTCTCAGATCGATGCCGCAAAGGACGCGGACGAACCCGCCACCACGAACAACGTGTTGCTCCAATGCAACGACGTTTGGTACGTGCACATAGACCCATACTCAACGTGCAATTTCACTAACAAACCCATAGGGAGAAAATACAAAACTGCCCCAAGGCAAAGGGCGGCGATTTCGACCTGGACGGTCTTTGCGCAGACCTGCAGAAGAAGGCCAAATGCGACGGCACCGGTCCCGTGGTCAGCGAGAAGGACTTCCAGCGTGCCATCAAGAAATATCTGTGCAAGGAGGAACAGGCGGCAGCCGAGGCCGACGCGTTTTCCAAGGAGACGCAGACACAGTCTTGAGTTGATTTCCCTGGTTTTGGCACCGTCGGATGCATTGTACAACAAATGGGGTTACTCATGAGGGCAGGTCGGAGCATCGTCCCTCGACCTTCGGTCGATACACAATGGAGTTAACTGGAGAAAGAAAAACTTGGGGGGATAAGGCGCCTGAGAAGGGGTAGGGCTTGGAAACACCGTCTCGGAATCAGTTTATGCGACACCCAATGCTGATCTCCAGACGGAATTATGGCATGGAGTAATGGGCGGATACCTATTTGAGAAGGACTTGACACGAAACTTGATATCTGTTTGTGCCCGTTGGGCTTTCCTTGCTCGGTCGGTTACTTATCATTGGGCGGTTTCGGGAGTTTCTGATGGATTTAGCACGACCAGTGCTCGCTATTTTTGAAAGATGTAACAAGTTGGAGTTGGTTATTCGTGGCAATCATCTACTCGGCTCCCTCTTGTACTGTCATGATTGGCATGGTTTTTGTCTTTTACTTCATTCTGTTTTTTTATTCAGACGTGTGACTTGAGTATCTCGATCTTCAGCAGTCCGTAGCGAATAACAGGGAAGAAGTAACATGGAATAACTATCGAATGGCTAAGTGAGCGTGTGTGGCCACTTGCATAAGATCTGGGGCTGGTTTCCCTCGAGGATCGCACATATCATGCACCAGCAGTCGACCAGGGGATATTGCGTAGATTCGGTACCTTAGGTAGATAGTTCGCGGCCGGCATAGACACTCGGAACCCGATCATAAAATAAAATATCCATCCTCTTGCTCTCTCCCTGCTGCCAACATCAACTGTCCGCGTTGGCCTCGACATCGTCCCTAACCCGTGGACGTGACATCTCATGCGAGAACCAATTCCACACTACAAGCACAACGGAAAACAAACATGCCCTCATATTACACTCACAAATAGAGACCGGGTTAAAGTAGGTCAAACTAGAACGCGGTATGTTTTCTCGGATACCCACGGCGTAGTTAAAAGAGAGAGGCAATAAACTGACCGCATCCAAGCAAACACAAATCGCAAAACCAGACTCAACTCAAACCAAACCTCGCAATGACTGAAGAATATGCTACTCGAAATAATGACAACTAAAGCCCATACACTCTGCTCATGCTTTGCTCTTGCTCAATGACGACGATGCATGCGTGCTCCAGCCGAAGGCAACCAAAAAGACAAATGGCCAAGAACACAGCGCAGCGCACAACCCAGCCAGACCAGAGCCCCTAAGTAGGGGAGGAACCTGACCCGAACCCGAGCTAGGGCCTAAACGGATAAGTGACCTGAACTCGAGCCCCTAGTCGGAAGGCTGGCGGGCCTATTCAAGCGGTCCTGCCATCCATATCCATCCTATCCTCTTCTCCCACCATATCCCATATCCCCCCCTGTGTATATATGGATGTATGTAATGGCACCGCGTCGCGTATATGCACTCCCTCCACTTCCTCACCCACCCACCCACATACCAAAAACAAACGGAACCACCCCTTTTCCCTCCCAACCCCCTCCCACGCAACACACCAACAACAGCATAGGCACTCCGCAACAGCTCACCCCAACACAACCCGCGCCCCCTCCTTCCCCAGCACACCCCTCTCCTTCGGCTTGGGACTATTCCCCCTCCCCTTCTTCCCCCTCAAGAACCCAAACACGCCGCCGCCGCTCCCACTGCCCCCGGACCCAGACCCCCCACTCCCACCATCGCCCTTGCCGGGCTCGTTGTTCGCCCCGCTCGCGTCCGCGGGCAAGGTGGCGTCCTGCCGCGCCAGGTCGCTCCAGCTGCTGCCGCCGTCCAGCGTGACCTGCACGCCGCCCGTGGGGCTCTCGACCATCATGCCCGGCACAAAGGCGCGCCCGGGGCGCCCGCCGCTGGCCGGGCCGGGCGAGTTGTACGACTGCGGGTAGGGCGGCAGCGGGGCGGCGCGGCCGGGCGGGTTGCCGCGGCGTTGCTGCTGCTTTTGTTTGGTGGCGTTGGTGCTGCTGGTGTTGCTGGTGGTAGTGTTGTTGTTGTTTTCGTTGGACGCGCGTGATGGGGTCGCGCCGTTGGTGGCGGGGGAGGGGGTGGCTTCGTCGGTTGTGAGGGCCTGCGGTTGGAGGTTTGCCTTGCTGCTGGCGCTGCTGTCTGGCCCGGTTGAGAGTGCTTCTTGTTGTTGTGTGAGTCTGGGAGGGCGGGTGTTAGTATCGGAATTGGATGGTGAAGGGGTTTGGGAGGGGACGCACTTCTTGTAGGCTGCCACCGTGTAGTCGAACGGCCGGAAGTCAGTATCGATCATGCGGTAGAGCTCATCCTCGCGGATCTCCTTGTCGGTGGCGTCGTCCTTCAACCTCTCGCGGGGTTTCTGCCTTCGCGCGCGGGCCTCTAACGGCGCCTCCTCCAGCAACAACTCCTCGAGATCGTATGTCGCGTCGAAGTTGGTCTTCTCCGAGGACGGGACGAACACGGGCTCAATCTCCTTCCTCTCGAGAGCCACGAAGTCGATATATGAGAAGAACTCATGCTGGGTGAAGCTTTCCCATGTCGACCCAAGGCGCTTGTTCGGGTCGATGTCCAAGGCATCCTTGATGGCGTACATGCACGGTAATGTTACGGGGGGGCTCGTGACGGGGAACTTCGGGCGGGCGGCTTGGATGACGGTGCTGAGGGATGATTCCGAGTTGCCCTCGAACGGCCTCTGTCGGGATGCATTAGCGCCGACCGTGCGTTGGGAGGGCCGGAGGAAGGTCCGTTGCCAAGCACACATACCTTGTTGTAGATACATTCGTAGAAGAGCACACCCAGGGACCACCAATCTGCACGGACATCGTAACCCTGCCCTGCATAGACCTCAGGGGCAAGGTACGCCAGCGTCCCTGACTTGCTCGTGAGGACCTTGCCTTGGATGATATCTGAAGCAACGTTCTGTGACGTGTTAGTCGTCGCTGTGGTCGCAAGGGGGAGGGGAGGGAAGGGGAGGCACATACGAAATCTGTCAAATGCACATGTCCGTCGGCGTCGAGGAGCACATTGTCTGGCTTCACGTCACGGTGGATGATGCCCTGCCCGTGGATGTACCTCAGGGCACACCCAAGCTCGGAAATCCAGAACCTGACCGCCTCCTCGGTGAATGTCTTCCTCGAGATGTGGAACCGCAAATCTCCGCCGCTCATGAGGTCGACGACCAAGTACCTGTTCCTGTTAGTCTTGTCGCTGGAGCTCCCCCTTTGGGGGGAGGGGCGGGGGTTTCGCATACATGTATTCGATGTCTTGGAAGCTGTACCGCAAGTTGCAGATGAAGGGGTGGTTTACATGCTCGAGCATCCTCCTTTCGCGTATTATATTGCGGACACTCTCCGAGCGTACGACTAGTAGATAGACGCATAAAGTCAGCCTTTTGGTCCCTCAGTCATTGTGCAGTCCGGGCAGTGTCGCACCTTCATCTTTCCGGATGTATTTGAGGGCGAATGATAAGTTTGTGTCTTTCCTCTCGACGATCCGTACTTTGCCAAAAGCACCGCGGCCTACGACTCGGAGAAGACGGAAGTGGTTGAGGTTCACTACGGAAAACCAAAGGCGGTGTTAGTGGGCATGTCGGTGGCCAAAAGAAAAACAAAAAAAAGAAAGCGAGCAGCAGAACCACCTAGGCATGGAACGTACCTTCCCCATCGAACTCAACGGGTTTTCCCTGGCTGTTTCCCATGATTTCGATTACTTATTTTCCCCCGACTTCCAAAGCTAAAAAATGGCGAGCGTTTTTCTCCCTTGTATTATTTGGTGTAGATGGATCGATCAAGGATCCATATAACCAGTCCGGGACGATCGCAACGAGTTCGGGTGGTTCGTGGACGGGACGAAGAACCTAATCGACATCCGGGGCTTGCTAGGGAAAAGGACGGGGCAGCTGAAACAGCGAGGCACGCCTCTGCTTTTCGAGACACTGCTGCTCGAGGGCGACGAAGTCGGGCAGGATGTTGGGAGTGGCCCAGACACTCGGGGGTGGTCGTGGGGCCCGAATCAGAGGATGCCCGAGGGTTGGCCGGACGGATGAACCAGTTCGGAAAGCGCACGACAGCAAACGGGAGTGACGGTAGGGTGACCGGTGATTGAGGGGTATCGAAAGCTAGATACCGAGATGGGAGGACTTGAGCGAGGAAGCGAAGGCGACGAGAGCCAAGCAAGTAACGTCAAGTTACTTTCGACTTCCTATGTAAAGCTAATTCCCGAACGGTGTTGGCGCTGTAAAGGTTTGACGTTCGAGAAGCCCTGTCAGGGGGTTCGGCCAGAATTAAGTTGGTTTATGAGAGAAGAGACAGGAATGGAGCTGGTCTGCGAGGTGGTGGAGGTTCCTAGGGGTCACCGGCTCTGAGAAACGTGCCTGGACGGAGTTTGGCGGCTTGGACTACAGGGATGCAAGCCCCAGCAATACGGATATCATGATAAAGTTTGTATCACTCAGACCTGCCGTGCCACAGACAAGGGAACAATCCTATCCGTACATGGCTTCTTTTACAATGGTAAATTTTTTGAGATTGTATCCTCCCCTCTCCCGTCCTTTCTTTTCCCCTTTCCATAATGACAAAGAATTTTCCGGTGGTGTGTGGAGGGGACTCCTCTTGAGGAATCGCCAATTGGGCGCCTCAAATCGATTCACGCAAGCGCAGATCGCGCCCTGAATGGCGCATGGCTTCCGCAGCGAATCCGCCATGGCGTCGTTCTCTTTAGGCCATGCTCGCTTCTCTCATTAATCTGACCCTTTGTGCTGCGTCTCTCCCGAGTCGCAGAATGTAATTAATGCCACATGGCAGCACGGCAGCACCGCGTGCGGCGCTGTTAAATGCAAGTCTGATCCGGTGTGCCAGTCTGATGCGCTGTCGGGCCCAGCGATGGATGGGGTTCGATTGGATGGGTGAGCGAATGCTGATGTCGGCAGTGGCCTGCTGTGGGATCGTTGCAGCAGCAGGGAACTTGGAACCGTGACCTGACACAAGATTCCGATGGCTCCTCCCTCCCTTGCGCGCGTGGCGACCTCGTGGGTGCGGCTGGCGAGTGGGAGCGGAGGAGGCTGGGCGTGGCAATTAAACCCAGCCAGGCTAGCGGGAACGCTACCGGAAGCTCTGTACCAGGGAATAAACTATGTAACCTGTAATAAACTCGACACACAGGCACGCGGGTCATGGCAGCCCTTCAAATGAAGCGGGTGGCCGTCGTGGGATGGATAGGATTACGGCTAGCCTCGCTCTTGCCGTGTCGTCACAACACGAACCATCCTCTGTTCGGCGTCCCGGCTCCTTGGGAATCGACCAAAACCTGCGGCGCGGTTCGGCCGTCTTCGCGGCGATCGGAGGGTCGGACCAGGGTTTGTCCACCTGCTGACCGCGGCCCCCAAAACCAAATTGGGATGAGATCCCACCTGGGGAAAAGGTCCACTCATTTCAAGGTTAGCGGGCACGCGGGATCATGCGCTGTGTTCTGCATGGAGCCGAACTGAAAACTGACATGTGGGAGAAGATGGAAGTTCCCAGAGCGAGATGGAACTTCTTCGCTTTCAAGTTTCAGCTGTGGCCCAGTTCCGATATTTGTGTGGATACGACTGTCGGTAACTTCCCGACAATTATTCGGAGGACCTTTTGGGGATTTCCAGCGGCCGGCTGCTTTTGATGTGTGCGGAATTGTTGGAGCTGATGGAAATGAGAAGGCGCCTCAGCTGAAGCGATGGAGGCAGGATCCATGTCCTCCCACGTGTGAGTTGCAGTGATGGGTCGCTGTGTTCAAAACTTGCTCTCCAGCCACGTCATGTCACGTTTCGTCTTTCTTCCGCCAAATGAGTCGATAAGTGCAGAAACACTCGCATAAGTCGGATAACTACAAGTACGAAGTAGTGTACACGATATGGTGCAATAACCCCGGTTTGGATGGCCAATGCGCGTCGGAGGGTAATCTTCAACACTGTTCGTCTGAATCCAGTTTTTCGGAATCCGGCCGCGCAGTGCGAGGTGCATCCCCGGAGTTTTGTTCGGCAAGCACCGCGTTTGGAAATCACACCCGCTGTGCCGACAACCTGCCGTAGCTCGGAGATGTCCGCTACCACCCAAACCCGGTTGCATGTTTCTGCAGCCCACCTGAAACCAATTGGCTTGCTCCCCTGGGCTCCTGCAGGCTGCGAGAACGGAATGCTTCCAGAAGGCTTCTGCTGCATCAGGGGCTTGTTTGACACGGTGATACGTCGACGCGCAAGAAAGGGGATGCCTGTCGTGCATCGTCGCTCATGTGAGCGACAACCGAGTTGAGACAGTCGAGCCAGCGAGCCAGTCAATCCCACAGGACCGGCTTGATCAACACACCGCCCGGAATCCCCGCCATTGCTTCGCCAAAGGAGGAACAGGAGGTTACAGCTCCTCCGGTATGCCCGGATACCACAGCGCCCCTTTTCCTCTGTCAGCTTTCACATCTCAACGGTCCGAAGCGCAGGAAGCGGTACAATCTGACAAATGACTTAATAATTTTTCTTTTCGTCGTGGTCGAAAATATCTTCTTTGTTGACGGCGGCAGATCGACATAATCCACTTCTGCTTGGCGGACGATGCATCCTGCAATAAAAGGTTGATGTTGGGCGCGTTTGCGGCGTGGAAATGGTGGCTGTCCCGGTTAGGACACAGCCTTCAAGGTTGCCTGCGCGCGCCGCTGTCGTTAATCCTTTGCGGATGAGGTTGTCTCGAGAGCCTGATGAGCTCCGGCTTGCGCGTCTTGTCAGGGTTTGTTGATATTATGTCGATATTTCGCCCGTCAAATTATGTCTTCGTAAGAGTCGAGGTAACATCCGTTCAGCATGTAATAAGTCGGATAGCGAAAAAGAAAATCGATTCTCCACCAACGTGTGGTTGATATAGTAGTAACCCTGCGCCCCGGACTTTCGGCCGATCTCGATTGCGATTCTCATGTCAACATTTCGTCTTATCCTCGAGGGTAGGTGCTGGGATGTATTTCTGGCCAGTGTCCCCCCGTGGCAGAGAGGATCACAGTCGGAAATGTTGTGAGAGTCTGTAGTTTTGCACTTGAGGTAACCTCGCAATGTTCTATAGCACAGTAGAAACATCAGATGATGATAGATAATGAGATGGGCGTCTGGTTATTTCGTAGTAGAGAGTGTAACTCGATGTCGTTTACTTGATCCAGTGCTGTGGCCCCACTGCGGGGAGCTGCTGGAAGACGTCATGACGTCACCGCTCGTCCCTGATAGTCAACATTGGCTAACTCGCTATTTCTAAAGCTTCAATTATCAGCAAACCAAGCTTATACGATATCGGTGCTATTACCTACGGCTGGATAATCTTCCTAAGCTAACAAGTTTCACAATCAATTGCGACCAACAAACCCCAATCATCAAAGCAATGGCTCTCCGAACAACCACTCGATCCCTCCTGACCCAAGGACGCAACCTCCACTTCGCAACATCCACCATTCCAGTTGGTCCCCTTTCGCTCACCCGCCAATACCATCCCACCGCAAACCTGCTCTCAAACGAAGATAGCCAGGACCGGCAGTCCCTCAACCCGCGGCGTTCAGAGGGCACCAAGAGCGGCTTCGACGACGAGGTGGCCGAGAAATCGGACGCGGCCTTCAACCCCAAGAACACTACCCCAGAAGGCGAGAAGGAGAGCGCCGCGAAGGCGAGCAACGGAAACCCGTTAGAGGCAAGCGGAGCAAACCAGGAGTTTTCAAGATCTAAGGCGCCGTCGGAGGAGGCGACAGATAAGTCGGATAAGAAGACGAAAAGTGTGGGGAGCAAGGGGAAGAAGCATGGCAAGGTTGCGCCTATGTGAGCATTTATGAGAGGGCGTGGAGGGGGTAGCAAGGGAGGGATATAGACTGGCTCCTCCTGTTGATATCGGGAGCTGTATGCTGTTTGGGAATAAGGCATGCGTGATCTAATAGAGCCGATGCATCATGATATTCAACGATCTCTTCATACCTCGTCCCACGTTATTTCTTGAAGACATCGCTCATATGAAGGCGTACTCACGTCAAGATCATGGCCGGTTAAACAACCCCCCGCCAACAACGCCGCCGTAAACACACCCACCCACCCCGACCCCTTCCCCCACAACCACCCGTCCAGCTCAAGCATACAACCCATCCATATCATCCTCCTCCTCGCCCTCCTCCGCCGCCTCCACCACCACCTCCCTCCGCTTCCCCACCTCCTTGCGACACATCGGACAGGTGCCCTTCCCCCTCAGCCACGGCCCCACGCACTCCAGATCAAACCGGTGGCTCCCGTGGCAGGGCAGCTCGACGACGAGGCAGTACTGGTCGTCGAGGTAGCGCTCGGCGCAGATCGGGCAGGTATCGTCGTCTTTGAGAGTCTTGCGTGGCACCCGCTCCAGCCCGTCCAGCACCTCCTGCGTCACCCCCTCGATCTGCTGCGGCGGGTGCGCCACGTCCAGCTCCAGCGCCTCGACGAGGGACTCGAGGAAGGCCCGGTTGGTCTCGTTGGGTGCGGTCGTGGCCAGCGTGCCCATCTGGTCTTGGAGCAGGCGGAAGAGGGCGGATGTGTCCGAGGGGTTGGGCACCGCGTGCGGGTTGTTGTGGAGGTGTTCGTGGGGCTGCTGGTTTTGGGTGGAGGGGCTGGATTCGGGGAGGAGGTTGTGCAGGTGGGCCGTGAAGGTGGACATGTCTACTTGTCGGCGTCGGTGGGAGGTGGTGGGGGCGGTTTTGATGTTGTGCTCGACTTGTCGCGGCGGTGTTAGTTTCAGGTGTGTACGAAGTAGGGGGTTGTTGCACGGCGCATCGGCGGGGTTACGAGGGCGGCTTACTTTCGTATTGGGTCGCCATGATGGGCGGTTTGGTTTGGTTGAACCGCGGTGCGCGCTAAATACCTAGAGAGTAAAATGCGAGAAGTGAAGAATGAGAATCGAAGCAAACGGCGAAGGTAAATGTAGGGTCCGAGTCGAGAAGCATTCACGACAAGGCAAACTTGGGTGACGCGGAGCTTCCCAGTGTGACGCGGGGAGCTGCTGGCTGTCTGAGCTTATCGATTAAGAAATGGCCAGTGCACCTGCAGGGACAGGGCGTCGAGGTCTTTGTGGCCCATCCCAACTTTCCGCTTCAGGGGCAGCAATCCGCCTTTCAGGGGATTTTCAGGGCGTCCTTTGACTCCCCGAATCCCCTTCACAGTTTCATCACGAGTCAATCTTGTGATCTTGCCTCGTAAACAAACTCCACACAGCCAATTGTCTCTGAGCTGTGTGCAATTTCAATTTCTCAATATCTGTGCGACGTCAATCGCACATTGGAACCATCAACCAACAGCGCCCTTCCAACAGTTTCAAGCCAGATCAGCGCCGCTCGGTCGATCGCTACCATTGGCCCCTGGACAGCCGAAAAGGCTATTTATTGTTGGAGTTGCCTCAATGCAGGATCCTGCCACGCCGTGTTGGGCTGCATGTGCCGGATGACATCATCTACAGACGAACTACACAGTAAATACCCAAGTTCCCCCCAACAACACCACCACCAAGAATACCCCGTAGTATGATGATGTATGAGGGATAAGAAACCTTGAGTGAGTCCTCAAGATACATACGCCCACTATGAATACCGCGGCAGTGAGCTTGGCGGTCACGCCGACTGTCGTATCCACCTTCTTGTCGCATGTAAGTCGCAGGACTCGAAAAGGGTCATGAATTTGGTAAGACTGGGGACTAGGCTGACACAAGAAAATAGTACCTGAATCGGAAGGTCCTGGCCCACAAGCCTACAGCGCATCTATCCTACGACCAAGGGCTGCACCTGATCCGCTCCTTTCTAACCCATGCCTCCCGTCACACCGTCGAGGAGCTGCAAGCTTTCACCAGCCAATGGGTTCCACACCCTCAGTGGGTCAGAGTTGACCATGTCGAGATCCCTGAGACGGACCTGCTGCGCGCGGCAGACCTCCTGGCCGAGCAGCTGGGGCCGGACGGCATTCGGCAGGTCGGCGGCAAGGAGTGGTGGCAATGGCGCAAGCCAAAGAGCCCGCTCAAGGCCGAGTGGGTCGAGATGAAAGCCGACTACTATGAGCGGAAGAAGAGCCCCGATGCGGGAAATCGTGTCATGCTTTACGTCCACGGAGGCGGCTACTACTTCGGGAGTGTCGACGAACACCGTTACCAGATCCAGCGCCATGCTCGGAAGCTCAAAGCGCGGGCATTGGCGCCGAGATACCGACTGGCACCGCAGTTCCCCTTCCCGTGTGGCCTCCAGGATTGCCTGGCTACATACCTCTATCTCATTACGCAGCAGAAGCCAAATACTATCATCCTAGCCGGTGATTCGGCAGGCGCTGGTATGGTTTTGGCCATGATGGTCATACTCAGAGATAGGGGAATCCCGCTCCCCGCGGGCGCTGTGCTCATTAGCCCCTGGGCTGATTTAACGCACTCTTTTCCAAGTGTCGCTGGGGATTGCCCACTGGATTATATCCCGTCGTCTGGGTTTCACCACAAGCCGTCGCCGGCCTGGCCACCCCCTGACGAAGAGGAGCTCGAAACGCTCAAGAAGGCAGCCTTGGCGCAGAAGACAAAGATACTGGGCGCTGAGAGTGCCTCTCATGAGCAAAGCGAAATACCCACTGTCAAGGATGTTGCCGAGGCGACCCATCGGCTGAAGTTTGTCATTGACGGCGAGGAAGTCGAAATCAAGGAACAGATTCAGGTGGGAATTTCCGCCATGCCATAGGTAACGTTCTAGACTAACTTGGCTCTAGATGTACACGACCAACGAGCTGCTCGCTCATCCCTTGGTCAGCCCAATCATGCAACCCACGCTGGGCGGTCTGCCACCGCTCCTAGTTATGGTTGGAGGTGGCGAGCTGTTGCGTGACGAGCAAATCTACCTCGCCCACAAATGCGCCAACCCCTCGCAGTACCTTCCGCCGGAAGCCCTGATGGATGAGAAGGCCAGGGAGTTGGTCGACCGGTACCAACCGACGGATGTCCAGCTGCAGGTTTGGGATGACATGTGCCACGTCGGGCCTACTCTGAGCTTTACGAGGCCGGCAAAATACATGTACCGGGTGAGTTGGGTTTCCGTCAGTTCGATGAGCCCGTAAGTTCTAACAAGCAGGCAGAGTGTTGCGCAGTTTTCAGCCTGGGCGCTGGGGCGGGCCCAAAAAGTCGAGGTCGAGATCCTCAACGACGATAATATATCCGTCATCTCCAGTTCTAGTTCGAGGTCAAGCTCAAGCTCGTCATCAAGCGAGGCAGAAGGCCAGGCCCAGGTAAGTCGCCCGCCACCCAATCCCCATCAGCCTGGCACATACCAACACCAGCAGAAACCCAACCCTTCCACCCCCTCCAACAAAGCCCACAAACCCACCCACCACCACCACCACGCCACAGTCGGCAAAGCCGGCGACCCGCTGCCCCCCTTCAAAGACCACATGATCCGGCAGCGCGTCACGCGGCACGGCGCCATCCACGCGCTCCCCGCCCCCACCGAGCTCCCGGGCTGCTCCATGGCGCGCGAGCTGGTCGGCGTGGTCAAGGTGGGCACGGTGCGCAAGTGGCTGGAGCACAAGCGGCGGTGGGACGCGCGCTTCAAGCCGGCGCGCGCGGGGGTGCGCCGCAAGCGCCTGCGCGACCTCGCCGTCGGCTACGAGCTCTTTGCGGGCGGCGACGTGCCGCCCCCGAGCGCCCTCGCCGGGAGGAGGAGATTGGGTGGCCCCGCCGCTGAGCAGCGGGAGGGGAGGGCCCAGAAGGGGAAGAAGGCGGCGCGTAGCTTGGGGTTGTCGCTGTGGGCGCTGTGGGGGTCCAAGCATGACGAGGCCGCGGTGCAGCGCGAGTTGCTGGCGGCGAAGACGCCGGAGTTGGTGGCTGCGGGCCCCGGGCAGGGGCAGGGCGCGAGGCACTTTTCGGATTTGGAGAGGCAGGAGCGTGAGGCTAGGTTGGGTGCGCAGGTGCCGTCTGTGGCGGAGACGAGTAAGACTCGGGCTTGGAGGGGCATGGTTGGGGAGGAGGGGCGGGTGGAGAGCGGTAGCGGCGGTGGTGATGCCGCGTCTGTGCCTACGGATCGGGATGAGGGCGCTGATTTGCGCCCCGCCGGTCCGGTGGGCGATGGTGAAGCGGATGCTGATACGAAGGGGGAAGCGGCGACTGGCCTTCTCTCGCCGGACGATGCCCACGATACGGGTGTCTCGGGGAAGCGTGTCATCATCGGCGGGCTCGCGACGCCGTTTAGCCTGCGCAAGGAGCCGGAGACTGCGAGCATGATCACGCTTGCGTCGCCGATGGATCGGAGCTCGGTTCGGTTGTCCACGGCAGACTCGGCCAGCTTCATGGCGGCGCCGTCATCGATAAATGTCTTGGAGGACCAGGGGGCCGCGGGCTCGGCTGGGCAAGACAAGCATGAGGACGGTGACCAAGATGGGCTGACACCGGGGCTTGCAACGCCGTTCATGACGCCCTTTTTGTCGCCTACCTCGCCTGCTGAGAGGCCTGATCTGGAGAGATTTGTTACCGCTGAAGAAGTCACGAAGGCTGGTGCTTGAGCTAGGACCGATGTGGCTTTTGTTCGATACCCTTTGTTGGATAGGTGTCTTTTCGATTACCCTGTTTGAATTGCCCGTTCTGTAGTGCGTTGTTGTTTTAGTACCCTTTTTTGGTTAGAAACTTTGGCATATAGACGCTGCATACCTAGTTTGCTGGTGGCATATGTTTGAGCCTGAGCATTGGAACTGCTTGTTACCGGCTGTGTTCTCTCCACCCACGCGGAATGGACATGACTGGTGTGATGTGTTTTACTATACATTTCTACAGTTTAAGAACGCCCCAAAACGCCATCCATGATACATTCGCGTCTCCCTTTAGAATGACGTGTCCAAGCCCACCCGTCCCTATCCAGGGACCGATTTTCCCCAGGGCCACCCCACCACAAGCGAGAAGCCTGTGTAAAACTCACCCCGACACCGACCCCTTAATCCAGCCCGTTCTCAGCCTTCCACCGCGCGAGATACATGGCAGGGTCCTTGGGCCCAAGCGGGCCGTCATAGCTGCCGTACGTCCTGGGCATGGTTTCCGTCACGAACGGTGTGAGCTGTGCCGAGCCGTGTTAGCACCCCGCCTTCCAGCAACCACCCTGAGTTCCACCGAGTACGCACCTTGAAGCCATCCAGAGGTGGGCAGACGTAGGTCCGCACCTTGTCCCACTCGATAATGTAGCCACCGCGCTTTGTGTGCCGACCCGTGGACCCGGTACCCGTGCCCTTGTAGAAGCCCTTGTTGACGTCCTTGGTCGTGAGGCGCAGTCTGCGAAAGCGCAGGGCCTGGAGCGCGCGCGTGGGTTGCATCCTGGTCGATCGACGGACGTATGATCGGCTTGCAGAGGGGTTATGGGTGGGAATGCGGTGGTTGATGATATCGCGGTCGGCAAGGTCAATCGCGAAGTGGTCAAGCTCCGGGAAATTTTGCGGCTTTGCCGTCCCCAATCGATTCCCGGCCCGGCAGGCAAACGAATGGCCCTGGATGCCAAGACTGGCCCCGCAACCTGCCCACCCCACGACCCAACCTCCCAGCTCACCGCCCAAAAGTTGCTGGGCAATTTTCCGGCAGAAAAATAATTATTATCTAGGTAGATTTCCCACCCATCCACAACACCACCATCCACGCAACCGATCACACGGCGACAGCACACTCGCCCAACGAAAAATCGACAAAAAAGAAAGATGCCAGGCCGCCAATCCCACGGCCGCCCCGTCCTCCCCACCTCCGGGGGAGGCGGCAAACCGGGAAAATCGCACGCGAAGACATTCAAAAAGTCCCGTGCGAAAGCCACCGCCAAAGCGCTCGACGCATTTGCCACCGCAGCCGAACAGTTCCCCGAGTCGACGCGCGGCGTGCGCACCCGCGGACTCGAAGACAAGCCGAACCCCCAGAAACGGCAGCGGCGCGGGGAGGACGAGGAGGACTCTGACGATCTGGATGAAGACGAGGACGCCGGGCCGAAGAAGCGGGCGAGGAGGGATGAAGATGGCGGTGGAGACGAGGATGGGTTTGATGGCTTTTCGGACGGTGGCGAGGGCAGTGATAGTGAGGAGTGGCATGTGGGTGTAGCGGCGGAGGATGATGATTCCGAGCTTGATTCGGACGAGGCGTTCGGAGAGAGTGATGAGGAGCGGTTTGATGGGTATGCTTTTGGAGGGAGTACGTCCAAGGGGAAGAAGCCGAAGAAAAAGAAGAGGGCGGGAGAGGAGGATGAGGAGGAAGAGGGGGAAGATGACGATCTGGAGTCGCTGGGCTCGGATGCAATTGATCTTGCGACTGCGTTGGATCAGTTCTCTGAGGATGAGGAGGAAGAAGAGGGGGAGGAGTCGGGGTCCGAAGAGGACGAGGAGTCTACTGACGGGGATGATGAGAGCGAGGAGGATGATGAAGCTGACCCCTCAAAATTGGACGCGCTCGAAAGCATGATTGCCGGGTTCGCTGGCGAGGATGAGGAAGACGAGGAGCCGGGGACACAAAACAAGGCTAAGCTCAGTCTGAAGGATCTTGGCCTTGCAGGTGTCAAGGACCCGCGCATGAAGCGGTCGCTCAGACTCATGAACAAGGAAGAAAAAGCCGTCAAGCCTGGCTCGTCCAAGAAACTGGAAGTTCCCCTCGCCCAGCGCCAGCAGGACCGCCTCCTTCGCAGCGCTGCCTACGAAAAGACCAACGAGACCCTCGACAAGTGGATCGACACTGTCAAGCACAACCGGCGCGCTGATCACTTAGTCTTCCCTCTCGCTCAAAACGCCCACGACCGCGGACTCGATAGCGGAGAGCTCATGCCCATCACCCAAAAGACATCCGGGACGGAGCTGGAGCAGACGATCCTGTCCATCATGGAGGAGAGCGGGCTTGGGCCGAGCACTAAAGCGGAGAAGAAGGAAGATGGTGACGGACAGCCTGGGTTGTCGCAAGCGGAACAGCAAGAAATCGCCCGGCAGCGGCGGCGCGAACGGGAGATGCACTCGCGCGAGATGGCCCGGGCAAAACGCATCAAGAAAATCAAGAGTAAGGCTTACCGCCGCATCCATCGCAAGGAGCTTCACCGCGAGGAGGAGGCAGAACGCGAAGAGGCGCTTGCGGCGGGCGAGCTCGATTCGGACGACGAGCGTGAGGACCTGGACCGGAGACGTGCCATGGAACGCATGGGCACCCGCCATAGGGAGAGCAAGTGGGCCAAGCTGGGCAAGAAGGCCGGGCGCGCAGTGTGGGATGACAGCTTCCGGGCTGGCCTTACAGACATGGCTCGGAGGAAGGAAGAACTGCGCCGCCGCATTGAAGGTCAGGCTGGCGGCTCGGACGACGAAGATGAGGGCTCTGATGTCTCGGATGCCTCTGAAGGGGGCGACCCCCGGCGCCGTCTCCTGATGGACCTCGAGCGCGCGGCTGCCTACGAGGATGATGAAGAACCCAAGTCGAAGCTTTTCCAGATGAAGTTCATGCAAAGGGGCGAGGAGATGCGCAAGAAATTGAACGACGAGGCCGTGGCTGAGCTCCGTCGTGAGCTCGATTCGGATGACGGGGGTTCGGACGAGGAAGAAATGGATATCGGTCGCCGGCAGTTTGGCATGGGCAATGACACGGCCGCTCCAAGAACAAGCCAAGCTAAGAAAGCGAAAGCCGCCGACGCTCGTGGATCAGCCAAGCCGACAGCAGCCGCGGAGGCGACGCCGCAGCTAGACACCCAGCAGCGGTCTCCAGCGCCAATGGTTGTTGATGATGCGTGGGCTGGAGCCGAACCCGAACCCGAACCCGCGCCAGTGGAGTCCACCACCATTGTTGAGTGGTCTCAGGCTGGATCTTCTGGTCGCAAGAGCAAGAAGGGAAGCAAGACCAAGGCCGTGAACATCGACATTTCCATCGCCGCAGCAGAGGCGACCAAGGCCAAGCCGAGACCAAAACCTCAGGGCACTGCGAGCGGTCCGGCCGACGGCGTTCAAGACTCGGACGATGACGATGCCCTTCACCTGCCACTCGCCATCCGCGACCAACAGATGCTGGAGCGAGCCTTTGCCGGCGAGGACGTCCACGGCCAGTTTGAAGAAGAGAAGGCCGAGGTGGAGCACGAGGACGACGAGAAGGAGATTGATAACACTCTTCCCGGCTGGGGTAACTGGGTGGGCGACGGCGTGAGCAACCGGGACAAAAAGAGGCACCAAGGCCGATTCATCACCAAGGTTGAAGGTGTCAAGAAGAAGGACCGAAAGGACTTTAAGATGAAGGACGTGATTATTAGCGAAAAGCGGATCCGAAAGGTTTGTTTTGCACTTTGTGGCGTACGACTTACGGGAGCAATGGCTAACCTTTGGCACAGAACGATAAATACCTCGCCTCGCAGCTGCCTCATCCGTTCGAGTCGCAGCATCAGTATGAGCGGTCCCTGCGGTTGCCCGTCGGCCCTGAATGGTCGACCAAGGAGACGTTCCAGGACTCCACAAAGCCGCGGGTTATCATCAAGCAGGGTATCATTGCGCCCATGTCCAAGCCCATGTATTAGGGGAATGGTGGATAAACGGGTGCGGTGTTTGATGGTGTTGCATAGAGCAGGCACACAAAAAGGGGCCTGCTGGACATGTATGCATGATAGAGGTGTCCTCGACTTCGATAGAAAACCTACTCGATGTATAGATCAAAACATTGTTGGCAGTTGGGATTCGGCCGCTTCAAAGCTGTGTAACCTTTTCTCTATCAATATTCGACCCGGATGCTGCAGTGCGCCATATACCCAGAAAATCTACATGGTGAAATGTAACCACGCTCCTCAAACCCTCGGTCGAGACTCGACAAAAGTCTGTCTCGGATGCAGTAAGAATACCATATGTGCCGTCGTATATACCGTTCCACAACGCTCCAGGAGGAACGGCCTCCCTCCTCCCCCTTTTCAAAGATAAGCCCCCTTCATGAGCCATTAACCTCAATCTTCCCCTCCACCTTCTCCAGGTACGCCACCATATCAGCAATAGTGCACACCTTCAGCCCCCACTTCCTCGCGAACGCTATGCACGCCTCCCCCCTCAACATCCCAGGCTCCTCCCGGACGGCACGACCAGGCACCTCCACCCCATCATCCACCAGCTCACAGATGACCCCAACCGGCTTCTTCCCCGCCAGCCGGCACAGATCCACCGCCGCCTCGGTATGCCCGGGCCGCTGCCGAACCCCGCCCTCCCTCGCGCGCAGCGGGAAAACATGCCCCGGCCGACGAAACTCCGCGGGCGTAGCCTTGTCGTCGGCCAGCGCGCGGCAGACGAGGGCGCGGTCGCGGGCGCTGATGCCCGTGGTGACGGAGGGGTCGGCCGCGTCGACGCTGACCGTGTAGGCGGTGCCGCGCGGGTCCTGCGACACGGCCACCATGGCGGGCAGCGCCAGCGCCGCGGCGCGTGTGGCGGGGAGGGGCGTGCAGATCAGCCCCGACGAGTGTCGCACCATGAAGGCCATCTGCTCGGTGGTGACGGATTCGGCGGCGATGATCAGGTCCGCTTCGTTCTCGCGCGAGGGGTCGTCTAGGACGACGACGAATTCGCCGGCCGCTGTTTGGGGGGGAGAGGGGCGGTTAGTGGGAGTGGAGGTTTGAGGGGGGCGGGTGTGAAGGGGTGGTATGACTATGGCGTACCGAAGGCTTGGATTGTGTCGGGGATGGAGTCGAATTGGGAGGCGGGGATTTGATCGGCGGGGGCGGTGGACGGCATGGTTGCAATCGCGGGGTGGGAGACTGTTGGGTTGGCGGGAGGAGATGTGGTACTGTGTGTTTCGCCGGCGGGGTGGTGTTGGTGTTGTCGCTTAGGAGGGGCAGAAAAAAAAGAAGGCGATTTTTGCGATTGCGATTGCGACGAAAGCGAAGTCGGCGAGTGTGGCTCCGGAGGGATTACTCAGCTACCGTCTGATGTTTGTTCAGATGAAGATGTTTCCAACGGACGGTTCCTCGAGAATAGGGGAGGTGAACGGAGTCAGATGTCAGGAACGGGGATGGGTCCGCGGAGCACTCGGTGTTGGGTACTCCTCCTCGGTGTTGGTGGGGTGGAAGATGCCGAAGTCTCGGCTTGAGCGCGAGTTGTGTGCGGGTATCATTGGACATCACAGAAACATTGTCTCGGGATTGGGAAAGGCAGGATGATAACTCTGTGTATGGCGGAACGGTCCGATGCCGATTTGACCATGTATGACTAACATAGTAGACTTGATTGATCAAACTATTCAATCTCACATCTGATGACTGGCGCTGACAAACATCTCCCTCATCCGCGAGCTCGGCAATCTTGTGATAGGCATCGCCTGCACCTCGGGCCAGGGCCGCTCGACCCTGAACATGAGATCCCGAGCCGGCGGAAGTGGGGTGTGGGACAGGGCCTGGGGGAGGACCCTAGCACTGTTCTAGAACCCGCGCGGCTCGGGATCTGCTGTAACCTTGCGGCGTGTTGCAGCCCGTCCTCTAAAAATCGCTGGGTTCGATTTCAGACGAGCTCCCGTCATAATCCGATCCGCGTGGCACGGCCAAGTGCCACCACCGACCATCAATTCGCAATTGAAGATGCGATCATCACTACGGCACGCCCCAAAGGCCTTCCGCACAGCGCGACCGGTCGCATGCGGAGCGATAGGAGCACCATGGCTCCAACACACCCGCCGTCAACCTCCATCAAGGAAGCTTAGCACCACCACACCCACCTACCACAACCCCTCCTCTCCGACCTCCTCCTCCGTAAACGAGACCGAAATCTCCCACTTCTCCGCCCTCGCCTCCTCCTGGTGGGACCCGCACGGCCCGTCGCGACCTCTGCACCTGATGAACCCGCTCCGACACGACTTCATCCAAGCCTGCCTCTCCGCCCCCTCGACCACCTCCCCAACCACCCCGCAACCCGACCCCAACGCCCTCCGCTACCTCGACGTCGGCTGCGGCGGCGGCATCTTCGCCGAATCCGCCGCCCGCCTGCCCACGACCGCCTCCGTCACAGCCATCGACCCGTCCCCGACGATCCTGACCGTCGCGCGCGCGCACGCAAAGCGCGACCCCTCCCTGGGCGGCGGCAAGCTGACCTACCTCAGCGAGACGATCGAGTCGCTGGCGCTGCCGGCGGCGCCCGCGGACCGGTTCGACGTGGTCAGCGTGTTCGAGGTGGTGGAGCACGTCGACTACCCTGCGGCGTTCCTCGACCGTGTGGGGGAGTTTGTGCGCCCGGGCGGTTGGTTGGTGCTGAGTACGATCGCGCGTACGTGGACGAGCTGGCTGACGACGAATCTGGTGGCGGAGGATATACTCGGGGTGGTGCCCAAGGGGACGCATGATTGGTATAAGTATATTAATGAGGAGGAGTTGAGGGCGCATTTTGCGGGGAAGGGTGGTGTGTGGGGGACGCCGAGGGCGATGGGAGTGGTGTTTGTGCCTGGGTTTGGGTGGAAGGAGGTTAGGGGAAGTGAGAAAATCGGGAATTACTTTTTGGGGGTGCAAAGGGTTGGTTGATGGGTGTTGGGGGTTTTGGTTGTAGGATATCCAGGGATATATGTATTTGATACAAAGGGTGTATGTACTCTATGTGTACAACGAAATCATCGAAACTCTACAACTAAAATACAGCTTATGGGAACCAACTACCCCAGCCTAACCGTCCTCCACATACGCAGGCACTCTTGCAGGTCCATCGCCACGGTTCCCTCGAGGGCGCTTGCCGTATCCTTGATGATGGCCACCAACAGCGTGGCATACGCAAATGTGACTTGGTCCTCCTGCAACGCGGCCAGATCGGACTTGCGCATGCCCGCATTCTCCGCCCAGGCCTTCCACAGATCTAGCATCTGGCAGAGCTTCGACGCAAACTGCCCGTCGAGAACCATCCGGTGCAGCACACTTCCCACGGCCTCCTTGACCCCTCCCACCTGCTCATCCACCTCCCCGTTCTTCACCAACCACGCAAAGTTGTGCTCGGCCACAAGCTTCGCATCCCACTTGGGGCTCTGCAGCGCCTCCATCACGCGCGTCTCCCTCCGCTGCGCCTCGACCCTCTGCCTCTCACGCACTGCACGCTGTTGTTAGCCTTTATCCCCAAGCAAGACGGGAAAAAATAAAATAAAAAGAAAAGAAATACTCACTCTCCCACAACCGACCCTCCGCCTCCCTCATCCCCCTCTCCCTCTGCGCCACCACCCGTTCCGCCGCCCCCATCCTCGCCTCCGCCGCCATGGCCTCCCTCTGCGCCCGCGCCCGGCGCGAGAACTCGTCCAGCTGGCGGGCGCGGTCGTCGGCTAGGCTTGACTCCGACGCCGACGCCCACTCGGGCGTCGCGGCCTCGTCGACGACCCCCAAGAGCACCAGCACGCCGCAGGGCACCGTCTCGCGGCGCGCGAAGGTCAGGATGGGGGCGGGGATGGCGTAGTTCCACAGGATGGTCTGGCTGGAGGTGCCGTGGGCGGTGGCCGCGCTGGCGAACCAGGTGCCGGTGGTGGTGGTGGCGCGAATGCGGAGGTGGTCGATGTGGAGGGGGGGTTGGTCTTGGTGGTTTTGTTGGTGGTGGTGGTGGTGGTGGTGTTGGTGTGAGGGCGAGGAGGGTGGGTTGATGTCCGGGCGGGAGAGCGCCGTCATGATGCCGTCGGAGGAGATGTGGCAGGTGATGGGGTGGCGGGCGTTGGAGGCGCCTTCTTGCTGGGCGGAGTCGAGGGAGGGTTTACGCGCGCTGGTGTTGGAGGGCGCTTTGTGGAGCGGTTCGTCGGAGTTTCTCCGCTCAGCCGCGGATTTGGAGGAATCTCCGTCTTCGGTTTCTGTTGTCGCCGGGTTCTCCTCTGCTGCTGTCGGTCTCCGTGGTGGTGGCGGGTAAAGACGCACCCAGTATGGCGGGAGGTGCGAGTGATCGCGCGTCGTCCATGGTCCTGTCCAGGTAACGGCCAAGCTGAGGTGTCCGTCGGAGCCGTCGAGTGGTGCGATGGTCAAGGCGTTATTCAGCCCATCCGGCGCACGCATCAGAGTGCAGCCCACGGGGGTCCAAAGGCCCGACGACCGCAGGAGACGCCATCCGTTAGGATCCGGGTGCGCACCGAGATCTAGCAAGTAGCAGACGAGCTCGTCGAGGGCCACCTCGACCTGGGGCTGCCTCAGCTGGTCGGCGTACTCGACACGTTGTGTGTTGAGACCGATCACGTTCATTCGCCAGTTGAAGGTGGTCCAGCTGCCGCCGGGGATGCTTGAGGGGTGCCGCGAGAGGGTCCAATACTCGTCGCGGTCGGCAATGCGGTCCATAGGGCGCACGGCATAGCGCGGCAGCTCAACCTCGATCACGCGGTTGACGACATCGCTACGAGTGAGGGCCGTCAGCTTGCTGTGTCGCAGCATGCGCCTGATGCGTGACAGGGCCACCAGCGTCGCGATGGTGTTGTAGAGGATGGGCAAAACACCAAGTACAGCCTTGAAGTCTATTAGATTATGGACGGCTACGGCTTACAACTACGCCGACGGGATGGTACTTACAAGCGGCACGCCGATATACGTGATGATATCGGTTGCCGAGTGCTCCGACTCAGCCATGGCGGCGGCTAACTACCGTGACAGAGTCACACAGTTCTACCGGAAGGGAAAGGTGACGAAGAGAAGAAGAAAGAAAGGAGCAAAGAGTGTCCCCACCGCAGTGCGGCTGAGATCTGGGGTCCCGGTCAGCCTCCATGTGCCTGCACTAAGCCTGCAAGGGACCGATCCATTGCGCTGTCTTCGGTGGTTCCGTTCGGCAAATAGGGTAAGCCAGACAACACTGGGTTATTTCTTGGTACCTCCACCCCACCAGTGGCTGTACTATGTAAAACAGGGGAAAGGCAACGGCTCCAAAAGACACCACATAATCCGTAACCCGTAACCAAGCTTGTTGCTCTCACTCGAATGTAGCAATAAATATATCACGCATGTCCCGTCCCTATGATACGCATGCTCATTCCCGGGGTAGTCCTCCTGCTAAACAAAACGCCCACTAGCCAGCCGTCCCCTCTCCAAAAGTTGACGCTTGTAAAGAGGGATAAAAAGGAAATAAAACGTGTCCAGAAAAGGAGTCACTCCCAAGCCATAAAATGCACTACCGGCGCCATTTAAATCACGTCAAAAACCACATACACCCGCACGGACTAATATCCGGTAGCCCGCCACCATCGTGCCCATCCCTCCCGAATACACCCACGGCCTGGTCCCAATCCTGTGGCGCCCGCTTGCTAACATCATCTATCCCGGTCGCGGCCGGCGGCCCGGGAGGCATGAACGGGTCGGACTCCTCTATTTCCACAACGACGGGTTTTCCGCCGGGCCCTCGCACCGGGCGAGCCTCCTGACCAGGCCCCTGTATCTCGACTTGCGTGCACCGGGCGCGGGGCGTGTCCTGTGTGGATATGCGGCGCTCCTGGAGCTTGATGACCCGCGGGTACGGTGGCGGCAGCGATGCGAAGCCGTGACCCGTGTCGATCGGCCCGTACGGACCCGACGAGGTTGCCGTGGAGGATTCGGTGGCCGACCCGGTCGCGGCGGGTTTCGTTTCCGTGGGCGGTGGTGTTGAGGTGGGGTCTGGTGAGCGGCCAAAGTTTTGCGGGGGGTAGGATGGCCTGTTTTGGTTGTTTGCGTCGCCGGCCCTGGGCTCGGTATACGGTGGGAATGAGTCTTCCGGGGGAGGCTCGGACTCATCGACGGGGGCGGGGCGCGAGGTCGGGGGTGGTGTCGTGGATGATGTTGAGGCGGCAGATGACTCGGACATCGACGGTGGCTTCGTCCAGGTTGAGAAGCTCGAGTTCTGTTGGGCGTATATGAAGAGCTCGAGATAAGTACCGGGCCAGCTGCAGACCCAGGGCCTGTCGCCAGGCTGCGCGAGTCCCTTGCGCTTGAAATTCGATATGCCCGCGCCGATCGAGGCGGCGTGACGGGCCCTCTTCCGGACGTCTAAATCGTCGCCCGATGAGCCGAGCCATACTTCGGGCAGAATTACCGTCTTGTTGTACGAAGCCATCTTGAACCAAGCGGGGCCGCGGCTAGGCTCGAACTTGTCTTCTACTAATTCGAGCTTGAATGGTTCCTGTATGGATGGGGGCTGCTCCCCGTAGTGATAAACACCGTTCGTCATCGTGGACGAACGGTTGGGGTCCAATGAGGCGCGGTAGTCGCCCTTCTCTTTCAAAACAGTCAAAGTCATCAGGTTTGAGATGACGAGACGACAACTCCAGGCTTGGGACAGAGTGGGATTCTGGAAGCACGTGTTCGAAATGCGGTTGGTTAGGAGTGGAAGTCCAAAGGTACCCGTAGCCAGGGGCTGGAGATCTGGTGGCGTTGGGATGGGTGTTGCATCGTATGGCGGTTCCCTAGCAAGGTCAGAATAAGGGCGAGTATACAACGCATACGGGGTGCTATCACTCACCAGGGCCCACCCTGCCGTGATGGCCGCCGCTGTTTGTTGCCCACGACGGTGCCAACCACGGCACCCAATACCACTAACAGCACAACCAAGATAATAGCAGTCAAGCATATCGCCCAGTACGGGATAATTCCGCAGACCTTCCGCCGCATCCAGGCCTGCCATTTCTTCGGTGGCTCCCGTTTTTCTGACACGTCTTCATCCCCTAACCTGATCCGCCGCTGACTGTCATCCGACGTGAAACTGCGGGCCGAGTGGCGTGACCTTGGAGAGTCTAGGTCATCAGTCGACTCGAACTCGGGATTGTTGGTAGCTAGCCCAATACCCCCAGCGCCATATATTGGTGGAATGGTGGATGTAGGCGTCGCGAGAACAGGTGGGATGATTGCGGCTCCGTGCACCGCGCCGTTCGGGCCATCAGCGGCGGCGGCTTTGTGTACATAGGCTTCGTCCTGATACCTAGTGTAAGGGGGCAGCTGTTCCGTGTGACCTCCAGGGCCGATCATGTCTGCGGCCTCTTCACCCTCGGGCCCTACTCGCCGTTGGTACTGGTCGGGGAGGCCGCGGAAGCCAAGAGGAATGGCACCCGTCTGCGGTGCGTCTGGCTCGATGGCATTACTTTGTGCATAAAGTCCGTAAGGGTGGGTTGGCCCCCTCGGCCCGCGGTACGATGCTTCGGACATGGGCGCCGTCGACGATGTTGCCATACTCAATGTTCTTGCTGCCCTCACATTTTGCGGATACATCTGATAGGGATGTGATGCGCCAGATGGCCCTTGATATGGGCTGTCCTGGGGAACGTAAATGGTTGAGGTTGATCTTGTTGAACTCGTCGTTTGGCGGGTTAGCGCATTGGTCTCCGGTCGTACAACTAACGAGTACTGTGGGAGCTGGGATTTAGACGTTGCGGAGGCAGGGTCGCTCGTCGAGGGGGACCCCGAACTCTCCCCAGAGAAAAGGGTCGTGGACGAGGCCGAGGTGAGGGATGGTGATGTCGGGGCTATAGCGTCGCTAGAATCGGTCGGCCGAAACCCATCCGTAACCATGCCTTCGAGGGCGAGGTCGTGCTCTCGGTCTCCATCATCGACTGACTCCCTCACGGACGCCCTGATTGACCTTCTCCGCTCCACTTCGCCGCTCTTGTTGTCCTTTGACTCCATGTCCGGGGCTCGCGCCTTTTACCCAAAACACCGGTGCATGTCCAGATTCCGGGGAGATGGCTATTGGCGATCGCCGACGCTTCAATGGCGAGGGAGGACTCCCCACAGAGTCATCGATGGCCGGTGATTCCCTTCTTCGCAAGTCGGTGGTGTGTTTACGGGTTCGTGCCAGGTCGCGCTTCGTAGGGTCGTCGTTGGTTCCCTCACGATCAGCGTTTGTCGAAGGTATGTTGGCTTTCCTGTGCACCGAGTGTGTAGGTCTCCTGGTGGGCGTTTGGCGGGGAGGGTTGCAGGGATGGTTAGTAGGTGCTCAGGCTGAAATGGGGGAGTAACAGTGAATCTCCGCTGTGGATCTGCACCTTCCGTTCCAAGATTTCAAGAATTCAGCTCACGGGTCCAATAGGGCCGAGTAGAGAGAGAACAGCCAGATGAATCGCAGAGCGCAAAGAGAACTCGGACAGTTCAGGGACAGCACGCAGTCTGGACCTGGACTTCGAAACTCGAGATCGGGCACCGCGATTGGTGGATGTTGTTGGTGGGTCTGACCGGAGTCCCGGGGGGCTGCTTGGCGTGCTATCAGATGGGGCAAGATGGGCAGGTCGAAACGCCTCCACGCCGTGCACGCCCACAGAATTCATTGCCGTGATGGTGGTGGGCCGCTGCAAATATTTCTTTCCAAGCCGGACATGGACAAACGCCCTCTTCTTGGCGGCATTTGAGGTGACGCCAAGCTGCTGCTTTTCAGGGTGATCCCTCCCAAACGACCCCCTTCAGACTCTCCGACCCTTGAGCTGGGTGGCTGGCCGCCGGAGGAACAAAGATGTCGTACCTGTTGTGTAGTGTAAGTGGCCCCGCACCCCATCGCCCGATTTCTTGATGATGGCTTTGTTGAGGTCACTCTGACTTGCGAGCACGTTTTTAGTCCGGCATTGAAGCACAGAACGGAACTGGTCAGCCTGGCTTCGGAAAGCATCTGCAATCTATGGCCCGTAGCCGACCAATCTCTCCCGTGCCTGGGATTTGCCGGTGATTGAGCCGATGAATAGATTTAGATGGGTGGAAGGTGGGAATCTGGGGGGTGCAGCCGAGTGGCTGGCTACTTGGTACATCGCCCTCGGGTATGGAGTAAAGAGCGTGGGCTTGCCGACAGAGTAGGTAGTGTATGCTAGCTACCGCAAGCTCTGCTCGTTCGGGAGACCGGGAATGATTGATCGAGGTTCTTTAGGGAGGACTAATCTGTGCCCGTGTCCCTTTCGTTCGAGGAAGTCGATTCATGCCAGGGACACAGTCCGCTACATAGCTAACCGGATAGTTAGCGTCGAAGCGAGCTGCAGCCGATCGACGGTGAAAGATGAAATCCTGGGGTGCATCTACGTCATTTTCTTGGTTATTATTCTGCAGCGGGGATATGCAAGATGAGTGCTTAGAGTTGGAAAAAAAATAACTAAAAAAAAATGAAAGGAACACCTCTCGGTTCATTTCATACTTCTTCATCCTCGATCTAAAAAAGCAGGTACATCCTGCACGAGGCCTGGCCAACATGGAAGAGCCAGGGTGGATTCGGACATTTTGTGGGGTAGCGGAATTTACCGCTCCGTTCGTCTGAGTGAACGAATTTAAACAGACTCGCACTGTGCCAGCTTGAGAATCTCGCTCGGTAGTTGAGGCCTCGGGCTGCTCGTGCATGATCTCTTCTTCCGCAACCATCGCTTCAAGAGGAACGAGGAGCACTGAGCAGGGAAGTCGCTTCTTCTATCTCAATGTCGTAAACCGGAATTCACGATCATAAAGCTTCAAGTTGCAAAACCGCAGCACGCAAAGCATGCACAACTGGCGTGTCAAAATTCCGCCACTGTCTAGGTATTCTTCACGACCTCCATCCTCCATCGACTAATGGTAGGAGCCCGTCGGGTGGTATTGCTAAATTTATTCGGCACTGGACACAAGGGTGCCGTTTGAATGGGCAAGAAGTATGCTGATTGATTCAAGGCTATTGCAATTGACAAAGAACAGTGAACACATTTTTTCTCTCGGTAACTCTCTGGACTCGAACGGCGACCTTCGAAGGCGCCGGAAGACGGCGTCACTCGCCTTGCAACCCCGACTCTCGCACTTACCTTGGTCACACAACGTCTCCCAAGGGCGCGTAAAAAATTGGAGACCAACCATGCTTGACCAGCCTCGCTGGCCTCGTCGTCGCCCACCCTCCCGCGCTGAGAGGTGTGCCATCGAGCCCTTAATTGGCAGTTTGGTTCGTTGTCGCAGCCTTACTCCAACCCGTCACCACCATCTCGAAAGATTTCACCTCTCCAAAACCAACCAAGGCGACAATTTCACGAGGCTACCTGCAAGTGCAGCAAGGCATCCGAATTGATTTGCCCCGCGTCTTCGAGACACGTCGAGGAATTGTACCCTGTAGCCCGACCCCGCGTGGGTGCGACCTCGAAAAGAGGAACGGGAGCCATCTAGCCCCACTCTCATGTTTGGTGTTTGTGTCATGAGTTTTGGCATCTCTTCATGGAGACAGACAGACCTTCACACACCCGAAGTTCGTGTCCCTGAGCACCCAATTCCGTCTAGATCTCGCTTCCAAAAGCGGCTGGGGATGGCCGCAGCACGGGTGCCCGCGTCTTGACCGCCAAGCTGCGATGCAGAAGGAAACCAGCTGCAGACCTCGAGCCTGTCAGCGCCTTCTTCTCCAAAGCAGGGCGTGTGGCTGATGCAAGAGAGAGGGCCTCGAGAAACATGGATCACCAATCGATCATTGCCCGGTTTATGTGCCAAACGCACCCTGAGAATGTCGATGGCGAGGCTCCGGGGCGCCGGGACGAATCAATGCAAATGGATCTCCTCTTTACCAGCCAAATTGCGATTCTGTAATGCCCGCAGCGCGTGCGACTGCGGTTGGAACGCTGTTCGTCGTGTCTACTTTGGGACCTAGACTTTTGGCGTGTGAAACCAGATTCTGGGCGCTACAAACGACGTACGTCAAGCTAAAGCAGAGACACCATGCAGCTTGGACGCGCCCGCTGTGCCCGGCTCAAGCGGGCATGCGGCGCCTTTCATCACACTGGCAAGGTGAGCTCCCCAAGCGCGCTTCCATTTGTACTGTCTATATTTCAAGGCAACGCCCGGCTTGCTTTTATCGATCCTCCTTCTCTCCTTTCTTAAACTCTCGCGAGAACACTGCCCTCATTACACGCCTTAAACTTTTGCCTTACACGTTTGCCCTGTCCCAATTGGTCTGTAGACCATCTCAACTCGGCGTGGGACCAACATCCCATCCCTGCTTCAAGACACAGTAAGGCTGTGTCTTATGAACGCTCCGGGATCACAGAACATCACACCCACGAAGACCCCTTTTACCCACATCCACCATGTCAGGCCGCTCCAGCGGCTCGGGCTCGAGCTCGCGGGCCTCCGGCGATTACAAGGAGCTCCGCCTCCCCAACAGCCGGTCCGTCAAGGCCCTGATATACTTCTGTGGCCGCGACCCCCGGAAAGCTAAGAGCGTTCGCCGCTACTACGACGAAGATTTCGATACCCGGAGTACCGGCTCCGGCGGTTCCGGCAGCTCCATGTTCTCGTGGTCCAGCGCAGCAAGCCAGGTTTACCTGGTCGAGACTACCGCTCCCTACTGGTACATGGAAGAACCAGCTTCGGTCTCGTATTCGGCTCCTCCCAGGAAACATAAGTCCTCGAAGAAAGGCAGAACCTCTCGCACTTCCCAGCGTACCGCCCCCCCTGCCGGCACGTGGGCGAGGCATGCCAGGGTTGATGACGAAGACGATGACGACTACGACGACAGCAGTAGTGACGGCAGTGCCGACGACTACGGCGGCCAAAACCCCGGTCCGTTCCCACATCCGGGCATGCATCCCGGTATGCATCCCGGGATGGCGCCCGGCATGCCGCCCCCGCCGGGACCTCCGCCGGGTGCTTTCCAGCCCGGGTATGGGTACCCGCAACATGCCACTCCGCACCCTATGCCTCCGGCCGGCTACCCCATGCCCCCTCCACCCCAACCCGCACCGGGCGGCATGCCACCACCACCACCCCCTGGAGGCCATTTCGTACCCGGACGAGGGGGCGTCCAGGTGTTTGTGGAATAGCTAAGCATTGGTTTCGGAGTTTGGGCACTTCGGGCGATATTCGCCATACGGTTCATTCAAGGCGTTTCTTTGGCGTTTTCCCACATTACGTTTCAGGTCGGGCTTCGGGCAGGCGAGATTCCCGTGTAACATCACCTATACGCCGGCATAGCATCCGGGCAAACAGAACGGATAGTTCTTTTCGGATCGGATGCCAACTTCATCGGTCCCCAATTGGGGCCTGTTCTTCTTGGCGGCAGAAGATTTATCTGACATAATGAGATGTGACTTCTCTTTGGCTGCGCCCACGCATGGCTCACACGTAATGATTCGGACTCGCCGTCGAGTCGTTCTGGCAGTCGTTTTGGAAGTCCCCGCGCCTGTCCCTCGATCGGGTATGACTTGAACACCACGAAAGACAGTGTGCCCACTGCGTCACTACAACACCGACTACAGTGAAGCAGCCGGCAGCCGGCAGCCGACACCCGACATCAGAGGAGGTGTTTCTGGCGTGTAAGTAACCCTAACCCCCGCGACGTCCGTCCGCGCCGCACCCGGGTAGCAACGGCGCGAACACAGCGCTTCACATGGCGTGATAACTCTAACGACTGTGTAGACGCTGTGACGGTGAGTCACGGCATCGGCGCGTATTGGCGCCCTCGTTTCTACATAGCTTGGCTACGGGCACAGATATGGACTTCCCGTTGCAACCGGATGTGTCATCAACACCACCATCGCTTCCATGACACCAAACGGAGGGAGCCCTTCTTGGCGAACCGAAGTGAGGTTACTCAAACTCGCCGCTCGTGTGCTCGCGCGCTCCGGCCGTGGTGGGGTAACCACCTCTCGCCATCGGTCAAGGCGGGGTAGGCCAGCGCACCGGCCAGGTCACGATCGGTCCCGGCCTGCCCTCGCCTTGCGCCACAGTGGTGCATGCATTTGTCCCACCTTGATGACCGCATTTCCTCCGGGGCGCTGCACGGGACGGCATAGAACTTTCTTCGGGATGAGGCAGCCGCCTGCAGTGGGTTCTGGCAAATCACTGACTCTAGGTTCCTGTGGTCCGCAAAGTTATTCCCGGGACAAGGCGCTGGGAGATGAGGCCTTCGCCAATCGCCAATCCGATCGGTTTGCGCGACTTGAACAAATGGTACCCAGTAGCCAAAGACACTTCGGCCACGACTTGGAGGCCCCAGCAGAGGACCAACAGGAATAAAATATAAGAAAATCCGCGGGGGAAGGGGGGAAAGAATAAGTAAGGAGCAGTACTTTGATCTCCAAGCCCGAAAAGTGTCGTAGTGTTGTTGGAGTACAGATTACAGATTACGTTCAACCAAGTCTCGACACGCCACAAACTCAGCTCAAGAAGCACAAAACGCAAGCTTCAAATTTGGCGAGACGTGGAATTCCAAGTTCTTGAGGTAACAGCCTAGAATACTATTATGTAGTCACTATAGTGTACGAATAATCAAGGTGAGTGGAAGAACTTGCCTGGAAGTCTGGAACCACCTACAAACAGCTCGGCAAAAACCCCAGTGACTTTCCCACTCATAGGGCTGGCTGCAAGGCCGACGATCCCACACACCCACGCTCGCCACGCCGCTTGCCCCGCCATGCACACGGTTGAACTTGCCGCCCAAGAACGCCTCACCGCCCCTCGGACAACGTCCAATCTCCATGTCTCATCCCAAGAACAGGCTTCCTGCTCCTGTAGCGCATCTTGCCGAACATCATGCAGGCGAAGCCTGATGGAGCCTTGATTAGGCCACCGACATCGTTTTTCGATGCAACTCACTCAGCGCATTGCTTGGCCTGATCGAACCCGATTGACCTGAGACGGGAGCCTGAGGAACTTCTGGTGCGCGCACGCAAGGCCTTACGACACAGTCCACAATGGTGCGTGGGTGACGACGAAACCTCACACCCGACAGGGTTCTATTACGAAATCGGTCGATTGGCTGCCTAGGGAAGAGTCCATACCACCCGCGCGAGTTGCACGGTGCAGAGGAACTACCTCGTTAGTATACATACGGCTCGAAATTCATGCCGCAGCCAGTCATTTAGGACGCCAGCTCGGCCAGTTCGGCGAGCACTAAACGGGTATGACTCCGTCCTCAGAAGATCTTCATGGTGGGGTTTCGCACCCTCGTGGCCCGCCGGCGGCCGGCATCATCATCCCGCCACTCTGTGGGGAGGGGCGAGGCTGGCCGACCGTGTAGCTTTGTTCACGTCGTCCTCGTCTTTGTGGTCCTCAACCTCACCGGTGGAAACCCAAGGGCGTGCGGGAATATCGTAGCTCAAGGCACCGCATCGGAGGGGGCCGTTTTGTCGGGACGGCCGCCGGGTTTTCGTAGCATGCGATGCGGATGACGCCGCCCGCCCGGAAAGGCGCGGAGGGTTTGGGGGCCATGGCAACCGGGATTCACGGATTCACTGCATCCAATGCCGGGATGCGGTGTCAACGTGCGGCTGTGTATGTACCTACATTTTAACAACCAACAGAACGGCCGCAGCCAAGTGTATGAGATGGGATGAAAAATGGGATGCCTCACCGGGCCTTGTTCAAAGAGGGCCTTCTTTGCCGTGCGTCTGCCTTCGGTGGTGGAGTTAAATAAGCGTCATGAGGACGGACAAGCCAACCACGATTCTAGATCAACAACCTACCCCAGACCGACCTGCCCCAGACCTGCCTTGCAGCAACGCAACGAGAATCCTCCACGCAAGCATCCATCCACCTTCGACCAGGGCTCGTGCTTCAATATAAATAAGGGACAACCTCCCCTCAACTTCCCAACACCTTCAAGCTGTATTCCTCCGACTTCTTAGATCCCTTCCCCTCCAGCCCCTTCTCCATATTCTCATCAGGCTATCATTCCTACTCTGTTACCCGGCTGCTCGAGTCACTCACCATGGAGACCTTCCCACCGTCCCCCGATGGGGGTGAGGAACTTGGAACGGGCGTCCCGCAAAATTACCTCCTAGACCTTTTCTTCCCTGGATTTTCTGGTATGTAATTTTGAACTTGCTGCAACTTACAAATATAATTAACACCAATGGACAGTATTCTCCTCGGCCCTCAACAAATACCTCCATATTGACCTGAACTTGTACATCCCGCTGGTCCTCCTTTTCGGCGGACTCACCTTCACATGGCGTTACTTCAGCGAGTACTTTTCAGACCTGGCCGAATCGCACCTGATGTCGTGAGTTAAAATTCCGGACCATGCTTCATCGCCGAGGCTGGCTAACCATGTCCTGTGAAGACGGTGTGATGTTCGCGTCGATGATGAGATCTTCAACTACCTGATGGCCTGGGTGTCCAACCAGCGCTTCGCTCAGGGCGCGAGGAGATTCGTTGTGAACACAAACCTCAATAGTGTGAGTGCAAGCCCCGAAATGGGTGAAAAGGAGAATTATGGCTAACATCATTGATAGCGATCCTGGTATCTGTACGTGATCATCTTGAGTGGCACCGTCCAATAGCCTTCCGAGTATGTCAGAATGAATAAGCCGACTAACTCTCTTAGCAGATGGCGCAGTTTCGACGATGACGAGGAGGGCGAGGAGGGCGAAGAAGGCGGCGCAATGGGGCAGAAGAAGAAGGCCCTCGCCTACACGCCCACGTTCGGCAGCCACTGGTTTATCTACAAGGGCCACATCCTCTCCTTCCGCCGGACGCAGAACCAACAACAGTCGGCGTTCATGACGGCCAGCGAGCGCGAGGAGATCTCCATCTCGTGCTTCGGCCGGAACCCGACCATCCTCAAGGAGCTCCTGCACGAGGCGAGGGATGCGTTCCTTAAGAAGGACGAGGCCAAGACGGCCATCTACCGGGGCACCTCCAAGGCCGGGAGCTCGGAGCCGCAGTGGCAGCGGTGCATGTCGCGGACGTCGCGGCCCTTCTCCACCGTCATCCTGAACGACCAGCTGAAGCAGGACCTGATCGACGACGTGACCGACTACCTCAACCCCACGACCCGGCGCTGGTATGCCAACCGCGGCATCCCCTACCGCAGGGGCTACCTGCTCTACGGGCCCCCAGGCACCGGCAAGTCCTCGCTCAGCCTGGCCCTGGCGGGCTTCTTCAAGATGCGCATCTACATCGTCAGCCTCAGCTCCGTCACCGCCAACGAGGAGAACCTGGCCACGCTCTTCGCCGAGCTGCCGCGGCGCTGCGTCGTCCTACTCGAAGATATCGACACCGCCGGCCTGACACACACGCGCGAGGACGGAACACAGGCCCCCGTGGCTCCCGCCAACGCCGACGGCGACGAGGCACCCAACCCCCGCCCGGCGCAGCCCGGACAGCCAGCCGTCCCCAACCCCAACGCCTCCGGCCGCCTGTCCCTCTCGGGCCTGCTCAACATCCTGGACGGCGTCGCCTCGCAGGAGGGTCGCGTGCTGATCATGACGACCAACCACATGGAGAAGCTGGACAAGGCGCTGATCCGCCCCGGCCGCGTGGACATGATCGTCAAGTTCGACCGGGCGGACGCCTCCATGACGTCGCAGATCTTCAAGGCCATCTACGCGCCGCTCGAGGGCGACGACGCGCCGGTCCCGGGCAGCAGCAGCAGCAGCCCGGCGGCCGGTGGCACCGGCACCGGCACCGGCGCCGACGCCACGCCGTCCACCTCGCGCGCGCTGTTCCAGCTGGAGCGCAGCATCAAGGCGGCCGTGCCGCGGCTGACGCCGGAGGAGGAGCGCAAGCGGGAGGCGGCGGTGGCGGAGGCGGCGCGCAAGAAGGCCGAGACGACGGCGCGGGTCGGGGTGCTGGCGGGCGAGTTCGCGGCCAAGATCCCCGCGCACGAGTTCTCGCCGGCCGAGATCCAGGGGTTCCTGCTCAAGAACAAGCGACACCCGGAGAAGGCGGTGGCGGGCGCCGAGGAGTGGGTGGCGGCGACGCGCAAGGAGAAGAAGGAGAAGGAGCTGAAGGAGGCCGAGGAGAAGAGGGAGGCGGAGAAGAAGGAGAAGGAGGAGGCCGAGAAGAAGAAGAAGGAGGAGGCGGAGGAGAAGGAGAAGGAGAAGGAGAAGAAGGAGAAGAAGGGGGGGAAGAAGAAGCGGGCTTCGAAGAAGTCGTCGAGGAAGAGCAAGAGCAAGGAGGCGGCCGGGAGTGGCGCGGACGAGGGGTCGGCTTCTGACCCTTCGTCGTCTGAGGCCGAGAGCGAGTCGTCCGAGTCGGAGCGCGAGGAGAAGAAGTCGTCGAAGAAGAAGCGCAAGTCTCCCGCCGCTGATCCTTCCGCTACTCCGGCGGCTGCTCCTGCTGCTCCCCCGGCTGCTACCGCCGACGTTGCCGTCGCCCCTGTCGAGCTGGAAAAGAAGGACGCGTCCGACTCCAAGGTGGAGCCCGTCGTCGTCGTCCCGACTATCACCGTCGACACGGTCAAGGCGAAGGAGGCCGCTGAGCTGCCGCTACGGACCCCGGGCGCTGATTCAGGGTATGGGACGCCATCGGAAGCAAGTGCCGATCGCGTTGTTGAGGCGCGTTGAGCCTTCTCCGACCCCTGATTATCGGACCATGGGTACGTAATCTGGATGGCGTCAGAGGTTTTGGTGATGTTACCTACTGTTTTGGGGGGTTTCGCTTGGGAGGGAGGATGGTTGGTTGCATAGAGTGGAGTTCTGGGGTTTGGAGACCGTTTGTTTTGGTGTTTTCATTTCTTGGACAGAGCGGGAGAGGTAGAGCCTCGGAGCAAGAGATGGTGTGAGGTTGAGAATACCCCGTCCGCGAGGCCGGACTCGGGGACCAGATACTATCGCAACTTAGTCATTGGATATTTGCCTACAGATAGCGTTACGGTTATCAGAATGCCGAAACATACCCACCATGGAAATCAAATCTCAAGTTACCTACCATTTGTTCATTCCGTGCATTTCAATTCTAGTTTTTGCTCTCCTGTTGTGCTGCAGTGGTTTGAGTGTTTGAATGCCCTCAAGTGTCGTCTGATACTTCAAAGTCTAGACCGGCGATCATTGGCGGCCGCTGACGAAGCGGGATTGGGAACCCAGTCTTTCGCAATTAACAAGACGGGTTCCAGACTGTCACGGTGCTCAGCCACATCGGCGCCGCGACATCTTTTTTGGTGGAGGGGACGGCTCGACGGTTCGATGATGGGGAACCGTTCCTGCAGCGCTGAGACCCACTGTCTCGCCCGCTGTTTCCCGCTGACGAATGGCGCGTCGGGACGTTGGGGGGTTCGATCACCAAATCGGGTTGCATATGCGCCCAAAAGGTTCTCTGTCGTTGCCACCGCCTCCATTTTCCCCATTTCAAAGTAAATTTTAGGTTATAGGCAAAATAACTGAGGCCACGGAAGTACGGAATATGTGATGGGTTGAATCGTATCTTAAGAAGTATTTCTGTACCTTTGGGGCAATAGATGGGACGGTGAACGAGCCCGGACAGAAACACCAAATCGAAACAGCCTCGAATCCTATCCGCCACCGGCCTGCCGTTGCGTCGCCCGTAGTGGAGATATCCATGTTTATCAATATCGCGTAAATCATATCCCGTAGAGAGATTAGATCCATGAGAATTATTGTTCCGGCACAGAGCCCATAGCGGAGCCGGGCCACTTGAGGGGAGCAACGTGGGCAAAATGGCCCGGGCAGGCAACGTGCGGGCCTCTCTTGTCACGGGCATCATCGACCCGACTTTGTGTGTCTTCGTCTGACCTCCGAGAAACCCATGGAAGATCCAGGTTGGTATTGTCTGATCCGCTCGACCTATTGTTCCCCCATTAATATTTGAACCCGGGTCCTCCCTCCCACTTCCACCCCCCATCTGCCCACCACCTCCCGTCTTCTTTCTTCGAGCACCCTTCGGCTTCCACCCCTTAAACAAAGACACGACTGCACCAAACAAACCTCGCTGCCGGCTGCGAAGATACCCAACTTAGGTACGAGCGCCCCCCCCCTGCTGCCACCTCACCTCTTGCTTCATCACCACATGCCCAACAACGTGCATGTTGGGAAAACTGGGGCCTAACCCACAAACGATGGGGAAACAGGCGGTGAATGGCTGTTGAAATAACATGGGATGGTGCGCTAACTTTATCTACCCCTCCAAAAGCGAGAGAACCCTCCACTCCTTTTCCCCCCGTCCGACTCTTTCTCTTGACACCACTCCGCCGTTAATCCTCACTTGAAAAAACCCAATCGCGTGCCCGACATGGCCTCCCGTCCTCAGAACATCGGCATCAAGGCCATCGAGATCTACGTCCCCAGCCAGGTGCGTGTTTGCGCGAGCAACGCTTGGAGTGCCCAGGCGTGGACGCCTGTTGCGGCAACCCTTGGCCCCGACATCGCTAACAACTCTGAACCGCGTGTGTAGTATGTCGAGCAATCCGAGCTCGAGAAGTTCGATGGCGTCGGCACGGGCAAGTACACGATCGGCCTTGGGCAGACAAAGATGAGCTTTTGTGACGATCGGGAAGGTCAGTAATTTCCCCTGTTTTTCCCTTCGCTCTTTCGCGGTCTCTCGAGGTTGTGTTTTTTTTTTAACCCCTCGGAACTGCACTTGCCCGCCCACCGATTCTGCCCTGATCCTTGGTGGCAGGCGGTTGGCGGGGCCACCACAACCAGTCGTGTGCTCAGGGGCTAATTTGACGCGGGGTACCCCGCCATCCAGACATCTACTCGATGAGCTTGACCGTCTTGTCCAAGCTGATCAAGAACTACAATGTCAACACCGACGCGATCGGCCGCCTTGAGGTCGGCACCGAGACCATTCTCGACAAGTCCAAGTCGGTCAAGTCCGTGTTGATGCAGCTTTTCGGCGACAACACCAACATCGAGGGAGTCGACACGGTCAACGCCTGCTACGGCGGCACTAACGCCGTTTTCAACACCATCAACTGGATCGAGTCTTCGGCTTGGGATGGCCGGGATGGTATCGTTGTCACCGGCGACATTGCGCTGTACGCCAAGGGCAATGCTCGCCCCACTGGTGGCGTTGGCGCCGTTGCCCTCCTCATCGGCCCCGATGCGCCCCTCGTTTTCGAGCCTGGTCTCCGCGGCAGCTACATGCAACACGCCTACGACTTCTACAAGCCCGACCTGACGAGCGAGTACCCTTACGTCGATGGTCACTACTCGATCAACTGCTACTCCAAGGCCCTTGACGGTGCCTACCGCGCCTACTGCAAGCGCGAAGCGCAAGCTGTCAACGGCACCAACGGGACCAACGGCCATGCCAACGGCGCTGCTGAGCCCACGGTTCCGAAGACCTCTCTGGACCGCTTTGACTACTTGGCCTTCCATTCGCCCACCTGCAAGCTCGTCGCCAAGTCGTACGCCCGTCTCCTGTACCACGACTACCTCGCCGACCCGGAGAACAAGGCCTTCGCCGAGGTCACCCCCGACATCCGTGACATGGACTACGAAAAGTCCCTGACCGACAAGGTGGTCGAGAAGACGTTTATGGGTCTCACCAAGAAGCGCTTCCAGGAGCGCGTCAACCCCGGCATCCAGGTTGCCACCAACTGCGGCAACATGTACTGCGCTAGCGTCTGGGGCGGCCTGGCCAGCCTGGTCTCTCACGTCGATGATGCGGCCCTCCAGGGCAAGAGGATAGCGCTGTTCAGCTACGGCTCCGGTCTCGCTGCCAGTTTCTTCTCGCTCCGCGTCAAGGGAAGCACCGAGAGCATCGCCAAGGTCCTCGACATCCCCAACAAGCTGGCCGCTCGCCGCCAGGTGCCCCCGGAGACCTACGACTCTGTAAGTTGTACGAGGTATGAAAGGTGTCGAACCGCCTACTAATGAAGACTTCTTAGATGTGCGATCTCCGCAAGAAGGCCCACCTCCAAAAGGACTACACCCCCCAGGGTGAGGTCTCGACCCTCGCCGCCGGCACCTACTATCTCACCAAGGTCGATGACATGTTCAAGCGGACCTATGAGATCAAGCAGTAAATAAGTGCCGTGGTTTTACATAGACGACGTCATGACAGACATACGGTCGGATCTGGCCTGGCCGTCTTCCCGTCCTTATTGGGTTCTGAGGGTTAATAGATCCGGGATGCGCGCATTTTCGGCACGGCAAAACGGCGACGGCGCAACGAGATACACACGGTGGGGTTGCATGGCATTTGCCTTGCTTGGGTGGCACGTTGTGCGGTTTAAAGGGGCGAAGGGGGTCCCTCGGCTAGAGGATGGAGATACCGTTTTCTTTTTTACCTTTTTATAATGATGTGGCCCTTACGGTCAGCGTCCAGCTACCGGTGTTCATCTACCCTTGATGTCCATCATGCATAGGTGCTCGGATACGGCCACTCGGGACGGCGCCCAACACCGCTATCCCGAGCTCGGGTTTGCTACTTGACATAGAGTACACAGCATAATTCGTTAGTTTGATCGAGTGCACTTGTGCGATCTGTTTCCAACGTTCGATGTATAACGGTTAGCAGAGAGCCAAGCCAATGATATCCCAGACGATAATGGCGGGGACTTTCAGCCATAACCAGTTCGTGAATGGCGTTTCTTCGAAGCTGGCCGAAGCCGAGAGCCATCTCCCCGTCTTCGCCCCCTCTTCACAGACCACCTCCATTTCCCCGCGGTACCTTTTTCCTCACCGCATTTCCCCTCGTAAAACACCGGCTGATTTCTTCCTCTCTGCCGCTTTTTGAGTCACCGATCAGACTGGTATCCTGCCATTTCCCATTTCACAGATGGCGGGGTAGTGAGTCAAACACCAAGCAACGGATAACAGGCGATGAGATGCGTCACCCTTGCGGAGAAGCGAGGAGCGGTTGACGCAAGCGACATCATCCCCAGGGAGCCCTCGAGGTGATTCCGAGCTAATGATTCGTCAATGGCTTTGTGAGTCTTTTCGAGATGGTGAGTGTGTTTGAGCTCTCATACCCTTGCAATCTCCGACCCACACCCGCGTCCAGGGTTAAATGGGTTTGGGCGCTTGGTCATGTGAGACGCGGCTGCCTCGCGTCAGCCGCATGCCACCCCACTGCTTTTTTGAGGCGCGTCTCTTTAGCACAAACACTTGCCCGCACCTGCCACCCTGTGTCGTTTGCTGCAGGCTGAAAACCTGAAAAACCGAGACACACTTCTTGTCAATGAACTTGGCTTTCAGCCTTTGATTCCAATTATTACCAACTCCCGGTCGTCTCTTGACCTGAGTGTCCTGAAAGTCTGCCTCCTAATGCAAACGCGTGTCGGTAGCGCGTTGCACATTCGCTGGTTCTAAAATGGCAGACGGAAACGAACGGCCGGGCTTGCTCGACTCGTGCCTGATTGCTTTCGTACAGAGCAAGTCATTGTCGAGCACACTGATTTCACAGGTGCGCGTTCGAGGAGGCAATTGACCCTTGGCTGTCGCTAACAACAACAGCTCTCCCAGGTAGTGAGAGATCATGGCGCCGAGGTTCTGGAACCGGACCGTAAGGGCATGATCCGCATCCCGCAAGCCACCCACATCATTTCCAACACCGTCGACTTCGACCAATATGCCGAGTCCCAGGCCATGATGATCCCCACCGTCAGGTCCGACTGGATCAAGGCGACCATCGCGCGTAGCAAGGTCGCCCAGGTCCGCCCCTTCTCGCCCGATCCCAGGATGATCTTTTCCAACGTCGTCCTTACATGTGCGGATATCCCGACCACGGACAAAGAGGCCATTACCGGCGCGATTATGGCTCTCGGCGGGATGGAATCCAAGGACCTGTCGCGGCAGACCACGCACGTGTGTGCCTTGTCTCTGGACCATCCTAAGTGTATCGAGGCCAAGAAGAAGAATCTCAAGTGCAAAATCGTCCTGCCTCACTGGTAAGAGCGCTGAAAATATTTCGGTATGCGGGAGCGGGGACTGACTTGCACCAGGTTCGATGACTGCTTTCGGCTAGGAAAGAGAATCGATGAGGGTCCCTACCTCCTACCAAATCCTGAGATCTTGCTCAAGGCGCCGGAAGACGCCATAAAGGTTCCCCCGAGCCAGCAACTGGAGGGCGCCGTATCGACAGTTCCAACCGGCCCGTACGAGACCGAAGGCGCCGAGAAACTAGTCGTCTTCGCGCAGAAGAAGATCATGCTCTCATGGGATCTGCCAATCAATAACATGTTGCGCAAGACGATTACGGACAAGATCACCAAGGGCGATGGAGAGGTTGTCGAAGCTATCGAAGACTGCGATATGTTCGTATGCCAATACCGGGAGGGTGACCAGTACGTCCGCGCATCGCAGACAGGGAAGGACGTCGGCAACCTGGCGTGGCTGTATCATTTAATGGTGTACAACGAGTGGACGTCGCCATTCCGGCGGCTCCTTCACTACCCGATACCCAGGGGTGGTATTCCCGGATTCGCGGACATGCGGATCACACTGTCCAACTATGGAGGGGAAGCGCGGATATACCTCGAAAATCTCATCATGGCAGCAGGTGCGACATACACTCGGACGATGAAAGCCGAGAACACACATCTTATCACGGCACGGATGCACAGCGAGAAGTGCGAGGCGGCTAAGGACTGGAACATTGAGATTGTCAACCACTTCTGGATCGAGGAGAGCTACGCCGCTTGCCAGGCCCTACCCCTTGGCAACCAGCGATACCGACACTTTCCGCCACGGACAAATCTGGGTGAGGTTATTGGCCAGACATCCTTTGATGAGCCCACGCTTCGGGAAAGGTACTATCCCGGTGGAGAGGAGCACATGGACGACGCAGCCAAAAAGAAGAGGAAGATCAACGAACGCGCCCAGAAGAACGCCCTCAACGTGGGCTTGGACCGGGATTTCAGTGTCATGCAAGACTCGAGCCCAGCACCGGCGAAATCTGCTAGGAAAGCGCGAGCCACCCCAGCACTCGGGAACTTCGCAACTCCCGCAAAGACGCGCCACGTCCGGTCCGGCAAGGAGAACGATACCCCATCTGTCATGTCCAGCGCGAGTCGCAGCGCGAAAGCACAGGCTCTGTCGAAGCTACAGGACATGGCGCCGGACATCGCACTGTACGAGAAGGAAAAGAAGCGGATGGCGAAGGACGGTCACGGAATCTGGGGCGGCAAGCGTGCGGCGGATCAGCTCGACAAGGAGCGGCCGGACAGGAGTTCAAGCCCGGCCAGCAAGGCAGAGGATGATCTCGAGGATGAGCAAGAAAACAAGCGGCCGGCCAAGAGGGCCAAGATATCGCTACCAGAGATTGACATGCGTATCTGTTTAACGGGATACAAGCGGTGGGTGGAGAACAAAACGACTGAGGAAGCCGACCGGGTTTGTCACTCCGTCCATTGCGGTCGATCGATCTTGTCACTAACTACAAATACAGAGAAAACTCCGCTCCCTTGGTATCCAGATCGTGCAGGAGAATGCGCCGTGCAATTACCTGGCCGCGCCCAGCATGGTCCGGACCATGAAGTTCCTCCGCTGCCTCGCCAAGGGCCCCGACGTGATCAACTCGTCCTTCATCACGGCCTGCATCGAGTCCGGCAAGCGGCCCCCGGTCAAGAACCACCTGCTTGTCGACAAGGCCAGCGAGGCGCGGTTCGGCGTAAGCATCGATAAGGCGGTGAACCGAGCGCGCGCCAACCGCGGCCGGCTGCTGTGGGGCGTGCCCATCTACTGCACGGCCGAGATCCCGAACGGTGTCGACGCGTTCAAGAACATCGCCGAGGCCAACGGGGGCATGTTCAAGGTCTACCGCGCCAGGAGCGGCACCACCATCAAGCTGGCCACGGAAGATGAGGAGGGCGATGCGGGCCCGGATCCTGTGTACTTGCTGACCGGGGCGTCGCCGGCCGAGAGGCAGCTGTGGCCGCGGTTCCAGGAGATGGCGCGCAAGGGCAACATGGAGCCGCGGATTGTCATGGCCGACTGGCTGTTGGACGTGGCGATGCGGCAGGAGTTGTCGTTTGATCCCAAGTATTCGATGAGCAACCGGGTGGCGGAGTAGGTGAAAGTTGGTATGGGGAGGTGGTGAGTGTGGTGGTAGCCTGGCGTTGGGTGTATTTTTCGGGCGTTGTCTTGCTGTTTGAGTCCCTTTGTTTGGCTATGCCGATTGGCATGTAAGGTCGCCAGTATTAACTCGTTAACTCCCGTCGTCGGGTGAAGCAAAAATCCAATGAAGACTGAACTCTCAAAAGAACTTGACTCCCAACGAGTCCTCCTGCCCGAAAACCTGTGCCTTGCCCTGCTTCACCAACACATTCAACGCCTTCCGCAGCAACTCCTGATCCATCCCGTGGAATTCTGTGTTGTATCTCGTCAGCACGTCCACCGTTCTGCGCCCTCGCCAAATATACGACCAGATAAAAACAACCAAAAACGAGGCCAAAACGGAGAGGAAAAAAGGAAAAGAAAAAAGGAAAAGAAAAAAAAGACATACCACTCCCCCTAGTCCCATCCCCCTCCACCAACTCATACACCGTCAGCACACTCCCCCTCTGCCCTGTACTCTCCACCCACCCCTCCACCAACGACCCCCACTCCTCGGGCGTGCGCCAGTAGATCCACGCCATGTCACCACCACCGCCTCCGTCTGTGGCAGACCCCCCGAGAGGTAGTAGCGAGACGGAAGACGTGGCGTTGGTGGTAGTGGAGTTGTTGCCGGAGGAGGAGGAGGGCAGCACGTACTCGGCGCGGCCGTCCCGGCGCAGGAAATCGATCACCTCGCGGATGTCGGCGTGGGAGAGGCCGCGGTTGAGGCGGCGGTTGTGGAAGAGCGGGGTGGTGTCGCGCGTGCCGTTGTTGGTGCTGTCGCCCGGAGGGGTGGTGTCGTTTGGGGTGGTGGTGGTGGTGGTGCCGGTGGTGCCGGTGCGGCCCGACAGGGAGAGCTTGAAGATGCGGTGGTGGTGGCAGTAGGCGAGCACGAGGGAGGCCCATTTGGTGAGCTGGGCGTGGTGGGTCGTGAGGTTGGTTTGGCGGGTGAAGAAGGGGGGGAAGGAGTAGTCGGGCGGGAAGAGGAAGGGTTGGGAGGGGGTTGGGGTGGTCATGGTTGCGAGGTGGGTAAGGGGGTGTTAGGGGGGTTGTTTGGGCGTTGGAATGTGGGGTGTTGTATGAGTTGAGGAACTGAGAGTGTGTTAATGCAGGTGAGTAAAGTGAGGTGGGCTGTTGGAGTTCATGGTGGGGTTGAATATGCCAAGCCCTGGCATGTGAATCACACTCGGCGGTCATCGTTGATTGTAAATTACGTTACCAACTCTACTTCGTACAAAAAACGTTTCCATCTGTTGAGTTCAATACCACCACTTCCCACCACCACCTCCCTCGCCAATTCCACGAACCCCTTTACAGTCCCTGGGAATCCAAGTACTGCAACATGACCTCATAACCGGCAGAAGCGTTGGTCGCCAGCGTCAGAGCATGGCCGGTGTTGGGCTGCAGGTAGGGGTAAATATCCGACGCCCCGGGATACATATTCCTGGTTTCCTCCTCCAGATACGTGTCCCTGCAGTCGCCGAGGCAGACGAAGTTGTCGAACTCGCCGTTGAAGAACTGTGCATGAGGAAAAGTTTTAGCTGCCGTCCCTTCTCTAAACGCCCATGCGGGTACAACAAGAAAGAAATCCCTTAACAACTCACGTGAATTGGCCCCTTGAACTCGGGCGCGGGGGACGGGGGACCTTCGGAAGCGTATTCGCCCACGGTCTCGGGCTGCTTGATCTTCTCGGCGTAGGTCAGCATCTTCGGCTCGAAAGCACCCTTTCGGAAAAAGAGCTTCTGGATGCAGCTCTCCGTATTCAGCACGAAATACCCCGAGGGGTACTCCCCGAAGCGGACGGGGTCGTGCTGCCGAGCGAACTCGTGGTCGTAATGCAGGACATCGATCTTGCCCAGCTGGGTGTTGATGAGGAATGCCGTCAGGATGGCCCCGTCGGCGAGATCACCGTACAGCGTGAGCATGCTCGTGATCAAGAACGAGCCAAACGAGTGGCCGACCTGGACAATCTTGGACGCCTTGAAGTCGGGGATGGTGGTTTTGCCACCGGCGGTCGACAGTACCTTGGATGAGCTGATCAACTCGCCGCTACGGGCGAGCCGCGTCAAGCCCGCCAGAACCTCGACCTCGGTCGGGATTTGCACAATGTCGTAAGCATCCGGCTTGTCCGACTTGCCAGTACCAAGCCTGTCGTAGGTGAGAATCGAATACCCTTTCTTGACGGCAGCGTCGACGTAGGAGTACTCCTCCGGCTTGATCTCCGCATCCCAATAGCTATACAAAACAGATACCGATCAGTCTTCAGCTCTACTCCCAGCCTGTATACTTCACTCACCGTTTATCGAAGCCAAGGCCTGGGGTTGCGATCTGCAAGATTTCCGCCTTATCGCCCGTCTCCGACGGAACGCACAGCTGCGCACTGATGCTGAAGGTGCGGTCGACGGGCACGGGACCGGAGATGCGATCCTTAGCAGGTTTGCTCGACCACGTGGTGACATTCACGGTCCAGTCGATGGCGTCAATGTTGCTGTCAACCTGGGGCATCATGGTGTAGTGATAGTTGGTGGCCACAACCGGGACGGGCACCTGAAGCTGGACGCATTGTTTAAAGTTGGTGTGGGTAGAGGGAGCGGCCGCTGCCATGGGGGACAAGGCCAAGGCCCCGAGTGAGGCGAGATGAAGAAGGTTGCTCATCGTGTTGTATAATCAACTTTGTGTTACCAGGTACCTGCTTGAGTGTCGTTGACTGCAAAACCTTGAAGTGGTAACTCGCTGGAGAACACTCCTATCTTATACTCAACTCGATATCCCAAACCATCTTTGTTATCACCCTAGCTTTTGCTGTCACCGGATTGAGAACTGTAAGTGCTGTGTAGTGCGTTTAGCGTATTCGCTTAAGACTGCGCTTCCCTTCGGTCATTAGCGTATGCTCTTCGACACTGCGTATTAGTTAATAGTGTCTTAACTCGTATTGTAAGCCTCATCCATGTGCTGACACGTAAAGGAACCCTGGCTGACCACCATCGCCTCGCGGCTCCTCTGGTATCGATGATACTGTGTAAATATATCAGGGATGTCTTTCGTAAACGTAGGAGGCGAATACGCCCTCCCCTTTCCCTACATGGATACCTCTAGCTTGTATTTATGCTTGTCCGATACGTTACCAAATACTACCGGGTAGGGGGACCCAGAAATAAGTTTGCATTATTCGTTAATGGTATGCCTGCATCACCAGGCATGTGAGCATCGGCGGCGTACATACGCGATAGTCAAGATTGCTCTCGAATTCTTATTAGCATCGGCGTTTACCACAGCCCATCAGCCCGGGTCCGATTCAAATATGGAACAAAGTCCCGGCTCTTCCGAAAGATGGACATCTTGCTCCCCTGCGTACGGATTATGATATCCAAACCACCTGGTCAGCCGGTACGGTAACACACCGCCATGCACTGTCATGATCTACGTCAACCTTCGTAAGAAGCTCAGGTCATCGAGGACCTCTTGTTTTATTGTCCTAGGATAGACCTCCAGGCTATTTACAGTGATTAGGTCAGAAATACTTTCAATTGCAAGTTGAAGACTACAGCGAGAAATACCATCTCAATATTTTTCCTCTTCCTCCTCTTCCTCCTCCTCTTCTTCCTCCTCCTCTTCTTCCTCGGAGCTAGCATATTCCGTCCCTGCGCGGGCATTCTCAAAGACTTTACGTTCCTTCAAGTGCGTCATCGCTCGGCGCAAGTCGTCAGAACAGAACATTTCGCAGAGACTGGTCATATCCTCATAGACGCTACACGCTCGTTAATACGTCATGTCAATCATAGAGGGTGATCTTTCTAGCACTAGCAACCCAGGTTCACCGCGTTCTTGCGTCGCTCAATTGCCAGTTTCGATGTAACAGAGTGAAGTGACATACGCTTGTCTCTGGTTTGAACCCGGAACGTAAATGGCGTTCCCGATGTTGTACGGTAGCGAGTAAAGCAGGTTTCTAGCGTCCCAGTCCTCAACTAGAGGGGAAAACCTCAGTCTAGACCCCGGAGAAAACGTGGTATTCAAAGCTGGTGTGGATTTTCAACAAATGGGGAATGGGACGTACGTACCCGGCTCTGACATCGGGTAGTGAAGCTTATAGTTCTTGATGTAGGCTTTGTTACTCAACTTGTGTCTTGGGGCACGCCAGTTTCCCGTGTCATATTCGTTATGACCGTAGAAAGAACAGGCATCAAAGATGAAGGCCTCGCCCGTTATGTCCATAGCGGTATTACCATCCCAACAGTCGCCATGGATGAGGCTAGGTTTCAGCACTCTTCCGTCGGACTGCAGCGGTAACAGGAGACGAGGGACGACCTTCTCGAGTACCAGATCAGACACAACGTCAAACTCGGCCCACTGAAGGATGGGTGATGCTAAGTCGATGATATGACCTAGATGGCGGCCAAAGACCATACACCACGAATCATCCCACACATCGACGGCTTGGATGATCTTGGCGTGGCACGTGGAAACATGAAAGCCGAACTTCCCCGTTGGCGAGACGGAGCGCATGTGCATGTCAGCGAGCCTGCTAGACAGCTTTCCCGGTTCGGCGGGCTGAGTGAACCATCTATTATCAACCCCTAGCCTCGAAAACGATCACTCAGTCGAGTTAATGGTGACGGGACTCACCTGGCGCCCCAAGTGACAGAACTCCACAAGAAGGAAGTAGTCGCCGTGTCCGTTGCCAGTCTCGCCCCACGCATATGGTTTGGGCACAAAACCCGGGGAGACGGCATGGATGGCTTTTAGCGACTCGAACTCTCCATGGCACATCTGTTTTCCGATGGTGCCAAGGTTGGGGACGACCTGAATAGTTTTTAGGCCTAGTACCTTACCTAGGCATATTCCTTAGGTTTGGAGAATATTTAAATCAAAACTAACAACGTTACCTTGAGAAAATAATCCTGGGGCTTGCCATCAGGAAGTCTAACGACCAACTTGGCTGTTTTGCCCCAAAGGGAGCTTCCGGACAGCCGGGCATCTATGAGGACTGATCCAGGAATGGGGAGTGCTGCCCAGTAATCGAAATGTCAGCGGCCCGGGGAGGTACGCTCTTGAGCAAACACAAACACACCTTTGATTACGTTCTCGCCCACTCCGATGTTGCCTTGGGCTATAGAAAGAGGAATGCCGCTTATCGGGGCCCGCTCGGCCTGAGACTGAGTATTCGAGTCTCCAACTGGACTGGCACCGGGGTTGGCTGGTATCATGAACTGCACCGGCGCCTTAGTCTCGGTTCTAGTCATCGACATCATGACTAGGTAGGTAGTGAAGACCCTGCTATCCGGTGAGATGAAGTATGGGTTTCTTCACGAGTTATCACTTGTCAGCTCCCCTCTAGGTGATGCGGGGTGTGATTAGCGCCCCCCACAATCAAAGATGATATCACCGCACGTCTTCAGGCTCCCATCAAGGCGCCCACATCTAGCAGTCGGCTGCTCAGGTTCCGCTTGAAGATGGTTGGTCGAGGTAGCAATCCAGTCAACCCATGCTACGTGAGTAACTATTGGCGCGATTCCCCAGCTCCCAGTTCCGAGCAGCTTCCCATGAAAAAGGTTGGACCATCACTGGCACCACCGGGTTGAAACCTGCCCCCTATTAATCGTGGCGGCTTCCAAGACCTACGTTTACATACCCCTGAAGACAAAACCAGTAGCAGCATTGCATAAAATTTCAATTCAAATTTGACCATAGGGGCTATTTGCATCTCGAAAGTAGGGGTTGTATCAGCCTGACAGAGGTACACGGCCTTAGACACAGTAGCACCCCCTAAATTTCCACGACCAACTTCGTGGCACTAACCCCGGCTTCACACTTCTCCAACGCCTCCTGAATGTACTCCAAGCCCTTCCCCACCACGAGCGGCGGCGGCAGACACTTGAGCTTGCCCTCCCGCAGCGCCGGCGTGACATAATCCCGCCAAACAGGCGTGGCAACATCATCCACAGCAAAAATCATACCGGCCTGTACATTCGCCGGGACATCCTCGGCCGGCGGCGGGGGGTGCACACAGGCGAGATGCCCACCGCCCAGTTTGGCGAGCATAGCCAAGCTGTGAGCGTACGTCTCAGGTGTGCTGATGGCGTCGAAAACACCCACAAACTCGCCGCCCGCTGCCGTGGCTGCTCCAATGACCTCGTCGACGAAGCCCGGGTCATGGTAGTCAAACACCGCCGCCGCGCCGCACGCACGACAGAGATCAAAATTGCGCGCGCTGGCAACGGCGATCACCCTAACCCCCGCCGCGGTGGCGAGCTGCGTGGTCATGGAGCCGACGGAGGAGGAGCCGCCGTACACGACGAGGGTCTTGCTCTTGCCCGCAGAGGGCGTGGGCTTTGTGAGCGAGGGGTAGGGCAGGCCGAGGGCCGGGGTCGGGACGTTGGGGAGCGCGGTGCCGGGCTGTTTGACCGACAGCGCGCAGACGGCGGCTTCGAGGGCGAGGGGGAGCACGACGCCGTCGGTGAAGGGGATGCTGGCTGGGAGGATGGCGGCTTTGTCTGCGGGCACGACTGTGTATAGGGCGAAGGCGCCGTCTTGGGGCCGGCCGGTGGTCAGGTTGATTGCGTGTCTAATATGGGTGGTCACAAGGTTAGAGTGTCTGCTTGTGCGTTGAGAAAGGATGGGGGCGCATGGTAGGGTTGTTAGATAGGTACTTATGGAAGGAAGGCACTTACCCAATGACACGGTCGCCAACCTTGAAGCGCTCATGCACTTCGGATCCAACCTCGTGCACCTCGCCGGCCACGTCGCAGCCAAAGACAGAGGGCCACTGCTGGACAAAGACGCCAGCGGCCTGCATGTGGCAGTCCAGTGGGTTGATGGCAATGGCAGCGTTTCGGATGACGAGTTCATTGGGGCCGGCCGTCGGCATGGGAGCTTCTCCCACCTCGAGGGGAGTGCTGGCCTTGTGGAGCCACGCGGCGCTGTTGGATGCCATTTTTTGTTTGGGGAGGTGTCGTGTTGTGTGCTAACAGTTGGAAGTAGGGACTTCCTGTGGGGATGAGAGATAGCGAGCAGGGAGTTGGGGATGAGATTCATCAGGGAGGGCACTCGGCCATGTTTATATGCCTTCCTCGCCTGGTTACAAGCAAGGAGGCAGTTGTCTTCTGTGGCATGTTGTGCTCACACTGAATTACAAAGCTAGCTAGGAGGTGATGAGGCACACATCGCAGGGCAAACTTCATCATTAGTCAGATCATCGGATGTCAACCCTCTTGAGACTCTCGTCGTAGAAATGGGATGTGGTGTTCCCAAAATCCCTGGTGAGGTTCTGGAACACGATATGGTGTTCTGAACACCCATGCACGTCGACCAGGGGCTGTGCTTACGATGTCCACTCGAATTAAACGCCAAGGAGAATGTCTTGGCATATAGATGCAGAACGGCACATGCGGTTCTGCCTTTTGCTTCTGGCTGCCAACCCCTTTGATCAAGCCTTCTTACAACCTGGATGGAACCTCTGCCGTCTAATTTACCATCGACATGCCTACCACTCTGGGCACATCCGACCTTCTGGCATACAATGCCAAACATTGTGTGCTGATTTGCCGAGAGTGCAAGTACGCCGTCCAGAAAAGTGCACTTGGAAGCCATCTGCTCCGGCACAAGGTCTATCGCCAAGAGAGACAACATCTGCTGTCTGCCATCGCCAAACTCGACATCTTGGAACCAGATGACGTACAGCTTCCCTCCGCGGGCTCTCTGCCAGTGGAAGGCCTGCCAGTCATCTCGGGGTTTCGGTGCACAGCCCCCGGGTGCGAGAACCTGTGTGCCAGCTCCAAGCGTATGAGCCGTCATTGGAGCGAGATGCATGGTGGGAGCGATCCGACAGGGCCGTGTTCGCGTCCAGTACTTCTCCAGACATTCTTCCGCGGAACTAAGCTCAGGTATTTTGAGGTCCGGTCCGACTCGTCCGAGTCATCTGGCGAGAGGGCTGGGACACCAACGCCAGTGACTGAAGATGCTGTCGAGTTTGTTGCCTCCCCACCAGCACGTAATTCGCACGCATGCATACCCCGTCTCCCCGCCCTACACCCAAGAAGCCTGGACCTGGAGACACTGCGGTACTTCCATCACTTCACCACCATAACCAGCCCGACGCTTCCAAACCCCGAAAAGTCCACCTCGACCTACTGGCAAGTGGACGTGGTCGCACAAGCCCTGCAAGTACGCTGGCTCATGTACGGGCTACTAGCCGTCTCGGCGAGCCATGCCGGCACGCTCTCAAATGAGGAAGCTGCAAAGCAAACGCACTGGGAGCGGTCGAGGCAGTTCTCTGGAGAGTTTTTTGCCGGCTGGGAAGAGGCCCTACCCGACTCGGAGTCTTGCTCCGACCCCATCGAGGGAGCCAAGGCGGGTTCACAGATCACTTGCATCCTAAGATGCTGCCACTGGTTCTCTGAGGCATCAACGACGCTTTCCGAGTCGGCGAGAGTACCTTTCCAGCTGCGACTCTTCCTCCGCACCATTCGAGGCTGTTCCGATCCGGAGTTTGCCTACTGCTTAGAAGAAGTCGACGGCGAAGACATGGCGGAGGAAGAATATGACCGGACGAAAGCCGATGGAGGAGGGGGTTCGGATGCCAGTGCTGCAGGGGCTGGGACTGCACCTCCCGCGCTTCTACAACTCTTTCGATCGCTCCCTTCTCGGATGGTAGATCCAACGGGGAAACCAGAGAGTGTTTCTGATTTCCTTGCCGCGCTATCTGGGATCAATACGCTGGTTCATTGCTGTTCCCTGAGCTATTCCTCGGACGACATGGGAACGGTCTGGATGGGCATGGAGTCGTGGTTAGGATGGGTACCGGCTCACTTCCGCCAAATGGTGTGGCGTCGCTCTCCCGCCGCTCTTGTCGTGTTGGCTCACTGGTCGATATTGCTCGAGCGAGCCGAGTGTTACTACTGGTTCTTGAACGGCTCGGTGGATAATGTACGACGGGAGATTGCAGAGCAACTCCTAGAAGACGATGGTATTCGAGGCCTGATAAACAATTTGGGTAATTGGAGGACGACCGTGGGGTCTTGATCCTCGCGTCTAGTCTTTGGAATGAGAGGCAGTCGTATGAAAGCGGCCGTAAATGTGAAGAATTCGAAAAAGTAGATTACAGACATCAGCGCCATCTTGTGCATTTTGTGTTTCCGGAACGTGGGTGGAAAGAAGTGTAATTCATCTCGGTCGGATTACCGGTAGGGTTAGGGTTCATGCATCAGAAGCTCGGAAACTTGGCTGGCTTGGTTGCTTTGTTGGCGCGCCTCCACTCCGCGGTCGATAACGGACAATCAGTCAACCACGTAAGAGCAGACAACCCACCGCCGAAACATGCGGCAACGACAGCCGCTGGTCGTCTGCCCCAGATTATGGCCCTTCGAGGGAGAGACATAGCACTTGCTGGCGCCGGGTGCTTTATCGCCTGGGGCTATGCGATCAATTGGTTCCCCGTGCTGCGCTGGGCGGGCCATGCTTTCGTTGGCGGTGTGTTGCTGACCATAGTCGCCCTGTTCGCCCTCGTGCTGCTCACCTCCCGCGGTCACCGACACCGCCAGTTTCGGAAAACAGCACGTCCCAGAGCCGCCGCCTTTCTCGCGCCGGACGCGTGGAGGACCGAAGTTGCCGCATTGCGACACCGCCAGACCTATGCCAAGACGTCCCTCTACCCCGAGTCCCCGAAGGTGTCGGCCGCCCTCGACGAGGTCCTCGAGTACATCATTCGCGATTTCATCCGGTCATGGTACTCCGCCATCAGCAAGAACCCGGTGTTTACCGATGAGGTGGACAAGGCGATACGATGTGCGCTCCTCCGCTTTCGCGACCGGCTACAGGCCCAGGATCTCGCCGAGGTGCTCACCACCCGCCTCGTCCCCATCCTGACCGCGCACTTCCGCCACTTCTACGACGCCGAGCGGTCGATTAGAGGGCGGAAGTTGAACAGGTCGGTCACCGAGACGGAGGAACTGGACCTGGCTATTGCGTCGAAATACAAGGAGGGGAAGCTACACCCGGCCGCGAGCCTGGCCTTCTCGGACACCAAGACGGCTCAGCAGGACTACTTGCGTCAGACAATGTCAAGGATTCTACCCATCGTTCTGCCCGAGAAGCTGCTTGCTTCGCGCGCAGTCTCAACACTGATCCGGGAGATCACCTCGTGCGCAGTCATGTTCCCAGTGATGCAGATGTTATCCGACCCAGACACATGGAACCAGCTGATGGAGAACTACGGCCGGGCCATGCTCCAGGACCGCTCTACCGTCCGGAGACTCCGCGCCGCACTGGACCAACACGCCTCCCCGGTCCCAAAGGCAGGCAAACCAGTAGCGTTTCCACGCCTGACCCCCGTGGACAGCGAGCGGAGGTTCGAGAAGTTCATCAGGGCCATTAGGAAGGTCAACAACCTCTCGGATGCGAGGCGCTTCCGTAGCGAAGTCGCCAGTCAACTCAAAAGGGACTCGCAGCAGGAGAATGTAGACCAGGTCTACTTGCGCCGGCTGGAGATGGGCAAGAGAATGCTAGATCAAAGGGTCCAGCAGCTTGCTGCTGGGGGTAGCCGACGAGCGTTTCAGCAGACGGCAGAGGTTATTGTACCGAGCGAGTCTCGGCTGGAGCATGCGTCACTCGTCGACCTGCTGCGAGATCCGTCCACTCTCTCCTATTTCATGGAATACATGGACCGGCAGCGGCTCATGCCCATGGTGCAATTCTGGCTCGTCGTGGATGGCTTTCGTAATCCGCTTGAGGACGACGGCCCGGAAGGCGAGCAACTGCCTCTCCAGCTACCGCCGTGGACGGAATCCGACAGACTTGATCTCGCTCAGATTGATGCCGCTTACCTTAGCAGGCCCGAGTTGAATGTCCCATCTTCTTCGAAGCATACCATCCAGGAGTTCCTCAAAGCTGGCAAGCGAGCGACACCCGAGCAGTATTACAGGGCGAGGAGAGAGATCCTGCGGGCTCAAAGCGCCGTTTTGGAGGAAATGCGCGCTCGGCATCTCCAAAATTTCAAGCAGTCCGACCTCTTCTTCAAGGCACTGGCCGCCGAGGATGCCTCAAAACGCACGGCATTGTCGAATGCCAGAGCAAGGTCCCGGTCACCCCTCCCGCGTACCGCATCCCATACCGCCTCCAAGCCGACGCCTGTGGCACGCCTCGCCCCCAGATTGCACACCGCGCCTACCAACCGGCGAGGCGCATCGAATTCAGATCTCAAAACCATGACTGCTAATGGCGCTCACGACTTCGATCCACGACGATCGATAGGCGAATCGCATTCTCCGCCTCCGTTATTTGAGGACGACGAAGGAGGTGATGACACCCTCGCTGATTCCGTGGCAAGCCTCGAACAGGAGGCGAACAGCACGCCCCCACTGCCCGACACTAAAGTTGTCCAGGCAATGGAACAAGCGCTCAATAATATCCTTGAGGAGAGCCAGGCGCCAACGGCGGAGGACCTCAGAGCATCGTTATTTGACGATGACGCTGGAAGTAGTCTCTTTGCGCCAACGGAGGGTACGCCAAAGCAAAGAGCGTCACCAGCACCCACGCCCCCATCTAGGTCGAACAGGGGCTCGGTGGACCTGACAAGAACTAGTGCGAATTCGCTCGATGCTCTTGCGCCCCCTCAACAACCGAGGGCGAGTCGAGGGTCGTTGGACGCCCGCCGCTCCGGGGAACTCCCTCGGTCGAGTAGAGGTTCGCTAGATGTCGACCGGCCAGCGAAGGGGCAAGATAAGCCCAGTCTGGCATCCCTGGGACTTGTGAGCGCGGCATCACGCATCGGTGTGTTTGTCGACGATGACCTCTTCGGCGATGAGGGGAAATACCTCTCTGACGAGCCTTCCGATCTAGACGACGACATAAATGCTGACGACGCTGATGCTGTGCACGAGGCTGCGCCCGGCGATCTTGGTCTTGCGGAGGCGATCACGGCTCTGACAAACGACATTGACAAGCTGAACGCTCAAGAAGCAGTGGTGAATTCGCTATTGAGGAAGGCCGAGTTGACCAACAACACCGCCGAGCTGAGGATCCTGCGCAAGTCGAAGGCGAGCCTGCAGAGAGAGATACGGCGCAAGGAGTTACAGAGACAGCAGTACGTCATCCAGGAGAGCGACAACAGCCTCTACGGACGCTCCACCATCAAAATCAAGTCCATCCGGCTCGACCGGGAGGAGGATGGCAAGGAGGTAGCCTTTTATGCCATCGAGGTCTCGCGCAACGCTGGTGAGCGAATGCCCGCCGCCATCTGGGTAGTCCACCGCCGCTATAGCGAGTTCCTCGAGCTGCACCAGAAACTCCGATCGCGCTACCCTTCCGTCCGCAACCTCGACTTCCCCCGCCGGCGCGTCGTCATGAAGCTCCAAAGCGATTTCCTCCAGAAGCGCCGCGTCGGTCTCGAAAAATACCTCAGCGAACTCCTCCTCCTCCCCGACGTCTGCCGCAGCCGCGACCTGCGCGCCTTCCTCTCCCAAAGCGTCATCACGGCGACCCAAACCGCCGGCCCCGACCACGACTACGCAAACAACAAAAAGGACATGATGACCCGCCTCTACGACTCGGTCGCCGACGGCATGGAGGACATCCTCGGCAGCATCCCCGTGCTCGACCAGCTCTCCCTCGCCGGCCAGAACCTCATCGCCGCCGCCACCAGCCAGCTCGGCGCCGTGCCCCTCGCCGCCCTCGCCGACGGCAGCGACCCCACCACCGCGGCAGGCGGCGTCATCATGAACGCGGCCGAGGCCGAGGCCGAGCTCAACGCCTTTGAGAACACCACCACCACCAAACGAGCGGAAGAACCTGGGGAAGCCGAAGAGGAGATCGAGCCCTTCGTCAAGCCCATCTGCGACATCTTCCTCGAGGTCTTCGAGCTCAACCGCGGCAACAACTGGCTGCGCGGCCGCGCCGTCGTCGTCGTCCTGCACCAGCTCCTCGGTGGCACCATCGAGCGCAAGCTGCGCGAGAACGTGCGCGCGCTGGTCCAGGAGGACGCCCTGCTGCGCTATGTGGGCTTGTTGAGGCAGGCTTTGTGGCCGGCCGCTGCTACTGCTGGTGGGGGTGGTGCCGGCGGCGGTGGTGGCAATGGGGGTGGTGGTAATGGGGGTGGTGGTAATGGTAATGTCAGGGTGCCTAGGACCAAGGCTGAGAAGGCCCGCACCCGCACCGAGGCTGGCTTGATGCTGGCGACGCTGGTGCCGGATCTGGTGGGGAGTGTGGTCGGCAGGGTGAATGCGCAGGGCGCGAGCCGAAGGGTGTTTGCGGCGTTTAATAATGCGAGGCTGAAGTAAGTTTTATTACCCCTATCCTTCCTCTCCTGTCTTGTCCTTTTTATTTTTATTTTTATTTTTCGCACGAGGAGATGGTAGTTGGGGTATTTGGGCGAAAGAGGCTAACGTATCTTCTTGTGGGCAGTGCGCATCTGGCGTTTACGCTGTTGGATGAGGTGGTTGATGTCTTGTTTGGGGATGAGGTGGCTTAGGGGGGTACGATACTTTCTGGGAGGGATGTGGGGATAAAGGGCTTCGATTTTGACTGCATTGCATCGCCATGGCGTTTCGGTTTACGATTTGGCTTGCATGGCAGGCGTTAGGGGGAGCATTGATTCTTCGTCATCACAGATGTACTAATGAACGGGTTGTTGTAACTATTCGATTCGAGTTGTGGAATTCTTGCTGCCATCTTATCTTGCACTGAGATATCTCCAGCACCGCTACAGAATTCTCAACTTAGCCTAACACTTTTCGCAAGGCTGTAGTTAATGTATGTGTCAAGCCAGTTGACAGGGTGGGCCGCGCCGTGATGCAGCATGCAAGGCGGCATTCTGCACCTGGGATTCTGCACCTGGGATCGGACCCGAGTCGTCAATCGCTTCCGTCGGTGAACATGCGGGCCCCTGGACTTTTTCCCATGGTCTTGGCATGGAATTGGTACCCTTGCTTTTATGGGGCAGCTCAGAGAAGGAATAAAAAGACAGGATATGGGAAAAGAGAAGCGAAAAGAAAAGGAAAAAAATGAAATTAAAAGCAAGATACAAGTGACGAAACGAAAAGAGCGTATACCTGAACTTCCGTAGCTGCGACCATCCGGGCAGCGGAACAATTCGCAAGCAGTGGCGAGCTCCCTTTCCATTTGCTGGGACTGGGGCTGGGATCTTGGCTGTCCTCTTTCGCTGCCAGGATGCGCGCCAATTTTCCTCCCATTCCCATCACCACAACAAGCCAACTTTTCATCCCTGCCTGTGCTGATTTTCATCCGCACTCCTCCCAAACCATCAATCCAAGTACCGACGTATTGTCAGATATCGGCTGAGCCGTGCCGCACATTCATACCTCGAGTTACCTACCGAGTACTGAGGTAGGCGTCCTCGCGCATCGGCCGCACACAGACGCTCTCTCAGCTTGGCACACTCTGCTAGCCGCGAGGCTCGCCTTGGCCCCAGCTTCGACGCCAACCCCACCCACGACGGAGCCTTCCCAACATCCCCACGTCCTTGCGAGCTTCCATCTAACTCATCCATCAACCACATCGTCGTCGCACCAGCATACACAATGACTGAGGTGTCGTCGACCCGCCTCTACCTGGGCAATTTGCCCAGGAATGGTAAGCCCTTTACGAAACGGCGCGCGACGGCGCCCGTTTTTCCCAGGCGAGGCTCCGACCGACAATACTGCTCGATACTGACGGTCCTCCAGCGACCAAAGCTGACGTCGAGGCGCATTTCGCCACTCATGGTACCGGCGAAATCACCGAAATCAAACTGATGAATGGCTTCGGGTTCATTGAGTACAAGGACGCCATGGACGCCCGGGACGTTGTCCCAGGTAAGCTGCCGTCGCATTTTCCACTCTTCACAATCGTTCGCTAACCAGACGCGCTTGTCGCTAGCATTTCGTACGTTCGAGGCCCTCGTTCCCTGCGGAAGCCCCGATCACCCCCCACCCTGGCTGCGCTGACTAACAACGACATGTTGAAGACGGATCGGACTTTATGGGAGAACGCCTCACTGTCCAATTCGCCCGCGGCTCGCGCCATCGCGAACAAGGCGGTGGTGGTGGTGGCGGCGGCGGCGGCGGCGGCGGTGGGTACAACCACGACCGTAACAGCGCTCCACGTCCGCGCCGCACACCACACCGCATGCAAATCAGTGCGCTCCCCAATGATACCAGCTGGCAGGTCTGTTAAAGCTCTCCCACTTCGTTTTCCGCGGACATTATGGACACCCCCTCTTGAGACTTTGGAACGGGCCATACCTGGGTCCCCTCTACGCGGACTGACCCGTCCCCCTCTCTGGTTTGGTCAATCGGTCTGGATTTGACTCCTCACCACCACAAGGGCATGGTGGTGGGATGGCCGCCTTCCTGGTCGGCATGCTTCCTCCGGGCTTCACCGCCGTCCAGCACCCCGTCATTTTTCCTGGTTCTGTTGGCAGTGTCTTGAGCCCGTTGGGAAGGTGTCTCCGGCCGAGAAACCCTCGCCGCCATTCCCCCTGGCAATCATGGCTTCACTGGACTTGACTGGCTCTGCGCATAGGATCGCCAATCTCGACTCCAGGATCTCAACTTACATGGACTGGCTTCTAGGATTTGAAAGACTTCGCCCGGCAGTCGGGCCTTGATGTCGTCTACTCCGAGACCAACCGCAACGGTAGCAACGAAGGGTGCGTTAACCCACACCGATACGAATAGACGGGAAAGCGCTAACCAGTCTTGTAGCTTTGTTGAGTTTGAGACTGCCGCCGACCTTAGAACCGCGGTGGAGAAGCTTGACGGCCGCGAGTTTAAGAATGCCCGCGTGATCTGCGTCGCCAACGTATGTCCACGAACCCGGTCGAGCGCTTCCTATCCGCTAATCCTCGTCGCAGACGCAACCGGACATTCCCAGGGACCCCCGAGCCCGCTCACGCTCCCCGCGTCGCCCATACCCTCCGCCGGGGGATGACTACGATCGACGCGGCCCCCCGCGCGGGTATAGCCCGCGACGGGATGGTTATAGGGAAGGAGCGTACCGTGAGCGCACCCCTCCCATCCGCAGGGACTATTATGATGACAGGAGGGGAGGCTACCGTTCGCCTCCGCGTCGCGGACCGCCGATGGACGACTACCCGCCCTCGCGTGGCCGCTACGACGACCCCTACCGCGGTGGACCTCGGGACTATCCTCCGCCGGACCCCTACATGAACGGCCGAGCATACGACCGCAGGGGCCCGCCGCCCCCGGACTTCCCGCCGCGTGGTGGCGACCCGTACGCCCGAGAGCCATACCCGCCTCCCCGGGAGTACGAGCGGCGGTACTAGGATACTAGGATATGCGCCAACGGTCCTGAAAAGATAGCGACGCCTGCGAGGATGTTGTCGGGTTAGGCCTTATTACGTCATTGTTTGCACGATGTCAGCCAGTTACAGAAGTTAGTATCGTGTTTGGCTGCACAGGAAGTCTGGACGTGGTAAGAAGGTTCTGGCGTTCAGGTTTTAGTGTAGTTTTCTTTATGTTACTTGTGCTATAACATTAAGCCTTCGCGAAGTTTGTGATTGTTGCTCGCCGGGCTATGAACGGGCAGGGCGCTCCAAGGTTAAGCTTCTTGTGCCGACTAGCCCATTGTCGAGCCAGGAGCAGAGGTCCATCGTCGAGCTGACTCTGCCCTTTGTGAGCTGCAGAGCCGTTTTCGCTACCAATGTTGCCACGACATCGGTCGCCATCGATGACATTCGCATTGTTATCGACTCGGGTTATGTCCAACAAAACCATCTGACTCCAAAATTGGGATACTCGCTGGTCGTTGCCCCCAGTTCGCAGACTCAAGCTAACCAGCGCTCCAGCGGAGCACGGCACACAGCGCGGGGAAGTGCTTTTGGCTCTAAAGGTGGGTGGCGTGGGTGTCTGTTAGGTGAGACCGAGGAGCGGTTGAAAAGCATTTGTTTACAGGCGAAAAAGTATACAAGTCGGTAATTGGGTTACCAACTCGAGGGAACCCTCTTTGTTACCTCGCCCTGGTTCCTTTGGCCGAGAACCGCCACAATGGTGGTGTGTTGCCCATTTCCCTTCGATGTGGGCGATTAGAAAGCAAGAAGTTGGAGGTTGGAGGAAGTGGATTTCCAATCGCTTGTGGGACTCGGGGATGAATAATCAACACCAAGCGATCACGAAGGATCCAAATCGGATTGCGAAACAATTGCTTACGAAACACCGCTGAGTTAAAACTATCTTTGTAGTTGTGTGTAGAAGCCGAAGGACGATTGCGCAAGATTGGGACATATGAGTAGCCATGCTTTTCCTACAACGTTGGCCGCTTGCGGTGTCTGGCATAAGAAGCCAGACCACCCTCCAAACTGTTCTCACCAATTCCCATCACAATCGCAGCTTTTACACTCATCGTGACATCATATCCCTGACTAGCACTACTCGCCTCTCAAGTTCATCTCATCTTCGACCTGTCAACCCTCCGAGTCCCCAACTCAGAACCATCTCCTCTACCGCTCCCAAACTACAAGCCAAACCCGACGAAATGGCTGACCCCACCGGTCTCATCGCCAACTCCGGCATCGAGCTCTTGACCTTTGGTAAGTCTTGATCTCTCCATCTCAACCCACCTGTAAGCTAACAGCAACCCAGGCACCCCCAACGGTGTCAAGGCCTCCATCCTCCTCGAGGAGCTCAAGGAAGCGTACGGCAAAGACTACACCGTGCAGACGGTCCACATCGGCAAGAACATCCAGAAACAGCCGTGGTTCACCGCCATCAACCCCAACGGGCGCATCCCGGCCATCGTCGACCACGACCGCAACGGCTTCGCCGTCTTCGAGGGCCTGCCCATCCTGACCTACCTCGTCCGCCACTACGACCCCGAGCACCGCTTCAGCTTCCCCATCGACTCGGACGACTACTCCGTGGCAGAGCAGTGGATCGCCTGGCAGCACGGCGGGCTGGGGCCCATGTAAGTTTCCTCGTCTCACCGGATCCCAACCCAAGGTCCCGGATGCTAACCAAACCCCCCCAAAAACAGGCAAGGCCAAGCCAACCACTTCGTGCGCGCCGCGGCCGAGAAGATCCCGTACCCGATCCAGCGCTACGTGGGCGAGTCGGAGCGGCTGTACGGCGTGCTGGACGCGCGGCTGGCGGACCGCGACTGGGTGGCCGGCGCCGGCCGGGGCAGGTACAGCATCGCCGACATCAGCCTGGTCGGGTGGGTCAACGCCGCCCTCTACTCCGGGCTCGACCTGGCCGGCCAGTTCCCCAACGTCCGCGCGTGGCTCGACCGCGTGCTCGCGCGCCCGGCCGTGCAGAAGGGGTTTCTTGTTCCTGGTGGCGAGCCGTGGCGCATCTCGGCTGCGAGTTTGGAGGCGGCGTTGAGGGGGGAGGAGGGGTTGGAGGATTTGAAGACGTCGGTTGAGGAGGCGCGGAAGGTGGTCGCGGATGCGAAGGAGCAGTATGGGTATAAGTATGCTTCGCCTTGAGTGGTTAGTGTGGATGTCCTTTAAGCGTAATAGATGAATGGAAAGTTGTCATGTTGATTCCAAACACGATGCTGAGATGAACGAGTGAGAGATGCCTTGCTTCTCGCCAACCACTGCAGGGGGTAAATTAAGCTCGTGGAGCAAGCGGGGTGCGCCAAGATTGTGGTGGGGGCATGTCTTATCTTATCTCGCCGAAGAGAAGCTGGTTTCCCAAATTTTTCGGAGTCGAAGCCCCTCTGGTTGGACAAGGACCTTGAACTTGGCCAGGAAATTCAACACCACCGTGAAGCGATACATTCCCGACCCGTACACGGCAGCACCATGAAGCGGAAACTGGACAGCAAAGACGAGCCCGTCGAGGCCACGTCTAAACCCGAACCCAAGCCTGCCAAAGCCGAGAAACAATCCGAAGCGGCCGAACCCTCCTTCGCCGAACTTGGCCTCGATCCGCGTCTCGTGCAGGCCGTCGCAAAGCAGAGCTTCGAAAAGCCGACCCTCGTCCAACGCAAGGCCATCCCGCTCGCCATACAAGGACAAGATGTGCTGTGCAAAGCCAAGACAGGATCGGGGAAGACAGCCGCCTACGTACTTCCAGTGCTCTCCGCCATCCTGAAGCGCAAGTCTGTATGTGTCCCAAACGTCCTTCTTCACTCCTACCCCATTGACAGTCAGCACACCATACTAATTCATCGCAGACGGATCCAGCCCCGTTTACCGCCGGCCTCATCCTCGTCCCGACCCGCGAGCTCGCCGACCAAGTCTTCAAAGCCATCGAGCAGTTCTCAGCCTACTGCGCCAAGGACATACACGCCGCCAAGCTGACCGACAACGTGTCGGACGCCGTGCAGCGCTCGCTCCTCGCCAACGTTCCGGACGTCGTCGTGTCGACGCCCGCGCGAGCGTGGCACAGCGCCAGCTCGTCGGCGCTCTCGCTGGCCAAGCTGCAGTACCTGGTGCTGGACGAGGCCGACCTGGTGCTGTCGTACGGCTACGACGAGGACATGGAGAACATCGCGCGCTCGCTGCCCAAGGGCGTGCAGACCACCATGATGAGCGCCACGCTGTCGGCCGAGCTGGACACGCTCAAGGGCATCTTCTGCCGCAACCCGACCGTGCTGGACCTGCAGGAGGAGTTCGGCGCCGAGGACGAGAAGCTGACGCAGTTTTACGTCAAGTGCGCCGAGGACGACAAGTGGCTGGTCTCGTATCTTGTCTTTAAGCTGCAGCTGATCAAGGGGCCGTGTCTGATTTTTGTTGCGGATATCGATCGGTCGTACCGGTTGAAGGTGGGTTACGGATTGTTTTCGGCGGTTCCGGGGGCCCTAGGCTAACAGATTGCAGCTTTTTTTCGAACAATTCAGCATTAGGAGTTGTGTGTTGAACTCGGAACTCCCGATCAATACTCGGATCAAGATTATCGAAGAATTCAACAGGGTACGTTGGGCTACGCTTGGGAGAGTACAAGGACAGAAAACTAATGGGCCGGCAGGGTATCTACGACATTATCATTGCCTCGGACGAGAAGAGCGAACTGTTCGGGGACGAAGGCGCGGATGCGGAAGTGGAAAAGAAGGAGCCGAAGAAGAAGTCGAATGGTGAGGAGGACAGCGCAGAGCAACCGAAAAAGAAACGGAGACAGAAGAAGGACGAGGAATACGGCGTATCACGAGGTATGCGGGCCGTAACCATGAGTACAAAGCGCCCACTAACTTGCCACAGGTATCGACTTCAAGAACGTCGCCGCAGTTGTCAACTTCGATATGCCGACATCAGCCTCCTCCTATACCCACAGGATAGGACGCACCGCTCGAGCCGGCCGTGCCGGTATCGCGCTCTCCTTCGTCATCCCCAAGGAATTTTACGGCAAGCACAGGCCAACCACGATCAAAAGCTCTGAGAAGGATGAAAAGGTCTTGGCCAAGGTCACCAGGCAACAGGAAAAGCTGGGCCGGAAACTGGAGCCCTACAACTTTAACAAGTCACAAATGGAGGCCTTCCGGTACCGCATGAATGATGGTACGTCTGTCGAGTATCGTTACTTGCTGGGTATATCTGACTAGTTATAGCGTTGCGTGCCGTCACAAAGGTGGCTATCCGGGAAGCTAGGACGAAAGAACTCCGGCAAGAGCTTCTGAGGAGTGAGACGTTGAAACGGTGAGTATCCTGCATACCTTGCACATCTGACGTTGCGCCTAATACTTTGTGCAGCTACTTCGAAGAAAACCCCACCGAACTCTCCCATCTACGTCACGACGGAGAACTGGGTCGGACAACAAGACAACAACCCCATCTGAAGCACGTGCCAGACTACCTACTCCCTAAAGACGGGAAGAAGGCGCTGGCGTCGGAGCACGTCGGATTTGTGCCGTTCAAAAAGGAGGGGGGCAAGGATAGGAAACATAGGAAAGGGAAACCCAAGGGCCGGTCGTTTAGGGTGGGCGGAAAAAAGGATCCGCTCAAGACCTTCAAGGTGCGGCGGAAGGCTAAATGAGGGAGGCCCGGCAAGCTGTTTGTTTCTTCCTGTATGTATAGCGGCAAGGTGCAACTCCTCCTATACCCAATGCACTTGAGCTCGAATCCTGCCCCTTGCCTGATTTACCCGAGCTTTGTTTGAAGGAGGCAATGGTTTTACTTTCTAGGATGAGCGGACTACCGCGGGGACACTATCCTCAATAATACGAGGAGTTCACATCCTAGTAGACCAAAGCGTTTTTCCCGCCCCCGACCTGCATGTTCTCCTCCTCATGACAAGGGAAGGAAGCTTAAGCCGTTTTATATCATACGCCAAAACATGCAGGCGCTCGCAATTATCTCACCCCGTTCCCTCTAGCCCTCTAGCTGCTGTATTCGACCCGATCTAGTCTATGTACACTGTCATCCCTCAGGTACCATCAACACCGACATCAACCGTCCGGTAACTGCCTCGTTTCTCAGGGCCGTCGTGTCACCACAACAGGAGCGTGGCAGGCGATGGAAGAAACGGAAGGAGAGCCATCTTATACGATGCTCGATCGTCCGAGTGCTTCTTCTTCTTTTCTTCGAAGAAGCGAAGGATGCAAGGTCTTGGCTGGGCCTTGGTCCCCGCCGCGATACCGACCCCGAGGCCGACATAACCGACAACGTGAGCAGGCCGCCGAGGGTTCTCACTATTTGCCCGCCACGCATTCTCTATGTGCCTCGTCGCCATCGGCGTCGAGGAGAATGAACGGACGGCGACGGTCCGTTTCGTCTAAGCTGTCCACCACCACGCTGATGGTCTGGCCCTTCGGCGGGCTCCATCTCTCCAAGACCAGAACACTAAATGCCTCTTAGAGTCGTCCAGACATCTAAAAGCGAGCAGGCGATCCAGAGTGAGATGTCCCCGTCACCACGGCCCACCGAACGCCAATCAAGCGCTCCGAGGGGTCCAATCGCTCGGCTCTGCCGCACCGCGGCGCCGACAAACCCGCGGAGGCCGCCGTCTATGGCCTGCCGTCGTGGGCATGGGGCACGGCGGTCGAGTCCCAGTCGATATTGTCCACCCACCGCGGAGAAGGGGACGATGTAGCGACCGCAGAGCTGGCGCAACAACAAACTGAAGAGCACCACACCATCCCCCTCATATGGTCTCGGGCGTCCAGTTCTGCCCGCCGTTGGCCTGTCTGGCCTTGGACGGTGCTTGGGGCTTGTTCGGGTGGGGAGTGTGGTCTGGGGAGTGGTAGCGGAGGGCGAATACCTCGTGGTGGGCGGGTGCCATGTGCTTGGTGTTTCACACCTTGCGTGAGGTACTCGTGGACTGCTTTGCGGCGGCTCGCCTTTCATGCGGCCTCGGCTTCGCGTTGTGCGCGAAGGAGTTCAGGTTGCTGAATTTGTCGTGGGTTTTGCCCTCGTCGAGTTTGTTTAGAACGAATGTGATCTTTGCGAGCAAGTTTCCCTCATCCACAAAGTCGGCTCGCGGGCCATGGCCTCGTCCTTCGTGGCAATGAGGCGGTTTTGCTTGTGCACTTTGTGGGAAGAATATCCGCGCGAGACGGTGCCATCGTTGGTTGAGGCTTGGGCTCTGTGGCGGTTGCTGTACTGTGCTGGCTTGTGATTTTCTTGTTTTATTTTCTCTTCTTCTTTCTCGGTAAGCTCCTTGGGTGTTTAGTGGCCCATTCATCGGTGATAATGGTCCTCCTCTTGGGTTGCTACTAATGACCTTATCAGGGAAAGGTTGACAGATCGATAATGTTGAGTAGGGTAGGTACGGAACCATTATTGGGTGAGCATAGGCTAGACGGCAAGACCATGTTTTGGTGTAAGGGGAGGGCGGTGGAAGGGTCGAGGCGAGTTCGAAACTTGTGAGGGTTGGGACATTGATCTAGAAGTTCTGTATTGCCCAATGTCACCGACCACCCCCGAGTGGCTCAATGGTCAGAGGTGGTGGTCAAGGCCCCGGGGCATAAATATCCTGGCGTTTCTCTCACGGGAGGTCACCAGTTCGTCGCCCGACCAAAAAAGGGGAGGGGGCGAACCCCCTCCCTTCAAACCGATGCAACCCTCCGAGGGTTTTCGTAGCCGGTTTCCTCCCTCCCCTGCGGGTGGAGGGGGCTAGCTGGTGGGCTTTTGTCTACTCCCCTAGAGACACACAATGCCTATTTTCTCGCTTTTATAATTTCTTCTTTCATTTATGCTTTAGGGTGGAAGTTGTACTTGGTTAAATTGTATGTACATGTACCGTTACGAAGTCGAGACAGCACTTGAAGTGACCGAACTATGTTATTTGAAATCGAACATTGTCATCCAACTACGAAATTCAACAACAATGTATATATCCGGGTTTTCACCTTTTCAGCTTCACGTTGTGGGCACATAACAAGCGGGAGTCATACGGGTGTGCGTGGCCTCGCCACTAATTTGCCACCGACCTACAATAAGAACCCCCCCATTTTCTTCAACTCCCAACAACAATTCCACAACCATATCATCAATCCACAACCCTCACCCCACAAAATGGCAGACCAAACTCCAACCGCCCCTGCCACTGCCAACGCAGGCACCCAAACGCAGACCCCGCAGCAACAAGCACAAGCTGCGAGCGACACATCCTCCCGCCCAACCGGCGCCGGAGTCAACACCGGTGCCGGAACGACCAGGCCCAAGACCGAGGCCGAGATCGAGGCGGACAAACGTTACGAGGAGGCTATGGAGGACGAGTACGCCAAGCGTGAGGGCGGTGCCTGAAAGGTGTGCGCATGTTACGGAGGAGGAGGGCTGAGGGGTTAATCAAGCATAGAATCACATCTTCTGTTTATCATGAGAACTGATAAATTCCACTCCACTTGGCAACCATGGCCATTAAACAATGTCGATTATTACCGCCTTGACATAACCTTTAAATCTCGTTTCCGAGCAAGACACCTACAGCGCCCCTGCCGAACGTTCATGTCGTGACACTATCTCTTCAACGTTTCCCGCCCGGCCGCCACCCGCACCGGATGCGCCTCAGTGTTGAATACAAACTCATTGGTATGGTCCGCCTTGACCTGCCAGGGAGCATCCTGCATAGCACACAATTGTCAGCACACACTATTTTCCCATATCCAATTCCCACACCCGGGGAAGGGGACACTCACCTCAGCATGAATCAAATAGCTATACTTCAACACCTCAGCAAACCAAAAACTCTCCTGAAAGTTATGAAACCCGCCCCCATCCGGCTGATTCACATCCTTGATACTCGAATAGCCACTCCCCACCCGACACGTCTCATTGACCCTCTCAAACGCATCCCACGCCCACTCCTGATACTTCACATCCCCCGTCGCGCGATACGCATAGTAATAGCTCTCAATCACCTCTGGCCTGAGAACATAGCTTCCACTAGTGATCCAGAAGCCCGCGTCGTCGTAGAAGGCCGCCTGGTCGCGCGGCGCCGGCGGGTTGTTGGACGCGTTGAGCGGCCGCGCCGTGTCCTGCCACGCAAACGACTCCGGCCCGATCCCCGTTGCCGTGCCCGTGTAGGTCTCGTGGCAGCCGTTGACTAGCGCCAGCCCGAACTCGGTGTAGGCGGGCTCGTTGAGCGTCAGCCCGCCGAGGATGAAGTTGCCGCCGTTGAAACAGGCCACTGTTGCGTGTGGAAGGGGGGGGTTAGCTATCGGTATGGCAAGCCACCTAGTGTTGGGGGGGTGGAGGGTGATTTGAGAGAAAGGGGGTTTTTACAGTGTTGGGAGACGAAGCGCAGCTCCTTGCCTCGCCACATAGCGAGGAAGGTCAGCTCGGGCCGGGTGGTCGGATGCGAGACGAGGTGCTCGATGGACGAGTCGGCGGCGGCGATCCAGCGGTCGCGGTACTCGGGGAAGCGCTCCGGGTCGTACAGGTACATCTTGATGAGGTACTCGTAGAAGCTGTCGGTGCCGCCGCCCCAGCCGCCGTTGCTGTCGACAAACTCCCCGTCCTCGAGCCGCACGTTGGTGCCCAGCAGCCCCGGGAACGGCTCGCCCAGCGCGGGCTGCGGATCCAGCAGGTAGGACTCGGCGTTCTGTGCCAGCTCGGCATACTCGGTGTCGTTGGTCAGGTCGCTGAGGCGCGTCCACTCGAGGACTAGCGTGCCGATGGTGGCGATGCTGTTGGTGGTCGAGCCCTTCCTGCGTGGTGGGTTGAAGTAGAGGTTGTTGTCCGGGACGCCGCTGGGCGTGTCGAAGCCGACCTTGAGGTTGTCGGCCAGCCGTTTTGCCTGGCTCAGCACAGCTTCCACGTCCGGGGTTTGGTCGATGCTGTCGCGCAGCGGGCCGGTGATAAGATCGAAAGCTGGACAGGTCAGCGAGAGCCCCCAACTACGCGAGTTGCACCTCCACCCTACCAGACACGAGCCCTCCGAGGTACCGAATCGTCGTCTCGAACAAGGACACCTCGGTTTCCGTTTTGTCAAAGTTGATCTTCGGGATATACTCCAGTATCTGGTTGATCACATCCCACTTCTCCATGACCAGTGCGGTGCTGAAGGCGTCGACGGCACTCGCTCCCCATCCGTTTCTAAACCAAACCGGGCACATGTCAGGGACCAGCACAGGAATAGGAGGGCGAGTTTCCGGGAAGTAAAGCCCACCTGTCATCCTCGTGCTCGTTCGTCACCGGCCGCAGCGAGTCGTGGGGAAACGCATGTTTGTAATACCCGTCCCACGACACCTGGAAAGCCTCCTTGACTGCGTCGGCACGCTCCTGGTTGACGATGTAGCGCGGCCCCTGAGGCCCGTGGGGCTTGTAAGGCGCTGCCGCCGACAGACCGACGAGGAGAGCCGCGGCAGCACTCCCGCCGAGAGAGAGGGAACGCATGGCACGAATTACGTACTAATAGTGAACAGCAAATATCGCGGACAAGTGATAAATAAAACACCCAACCAATATAACTTCCACTTGCGGTGGCGTGGGGACAACCGGTGGGCATGGGCAACGAGGAATAATAAACAAATTACTTCGGACGGTCCCTCACCGGGGATCCAGCATCTGCGCTAAGACATCGGTGACGCGCATCATCGTGTCGGCGGAGGGAAAGGCAACACAAACCGTCTGAGACACAGACAGGCACGAGGAATCCCCCCTGTCCCACACACGAAGACAGCCCCTGCTGGGAGCTGATCTGTGGCCCTTGGCCTTGGCCCCTCTTGAACTGCCGGACACCCGGTGTGATTGGTCCAATCCCCCAGATACCTGCCTAAAGCAGTAGGCGCTCGGATGCTGTTGGTGGTGATTCGGGAAGAGGCCAGCAGACCGGCTGAACCACCTCAGAGGACAGTTACGACCACCTTTTTTTTACACAATACGTCTTCTGACCTCTTTAGGTGGTTGACCCGGGGCATAGGGTAGTCGTAGGATTGTGAGGGTTGCCTCTGGTCCCTTCAAACTGGAGGTTTTCGGAAGCTCTCGATGTGACCAGCGAGAAGAAAAGTAACGCTGTGGGAATGATTGCCCCAGCTCAGTCGATCTCAATACCACCTTACCGAAGTTGGCTCTCCAAGAACCGGGGAAGCCTGAAAACGGCCCGAAGATCAGGTCACTTGTGGCTCGGAGATAACATCCGGGTTGGGTCGCGAGTGTTCAAACATCCAACTCTGGCATCAGTATGGATTATTCTTCCGAGAAACCCCAACCCAGAGACGGCGAGGAAGGTGGCACAATATACTGCTTTTTATAATCGGCGAGCAGGTTGCTTGGTAACCGGAACCCACGGAAACACCAGCAATGTTTAAGTTTCTTGGGAAAGGAATGTCGGACGAGCTGCCACCCCCCAGAAGTTCCCCTGACGCTTGCTGCTGTGCTTCCATTCCCCGCATGATGCGTGTGCATGACGGGGTCACAAGGGCTCACAATGGGTACCTCCTCCGACGGTTGCTCCGGCTCAGTTCCCGTGCGCCTCTCCCGTCGGTGCCGCTGCTTGGCTTTTCCAAGTGCCGGCTTCTAGCTTGGCAGTATCGTTTGCCAACGGATAGGATTGAAGCTTGCGCGGTCGGTAGCTCGAGGTTTCTCAGCCAGGTGGTCGGCTTCCTTCCATCTTCCGCTTTGTGCTTCTCCGTCCATGTATCTCGTCGGTAACGCGAATAATGGAACAGTGGAACACGACGCGAGTTCCGCGCCTTCCACATGGCTCATGTGTGCAAATGCTGCGGACCGTTGCTTCATGCGTGGCAAGCCACCGACACGAGCTGCCCTTGCGGGTGACCGCCCGCCCATGTTGTACATGCATCCCGGAGTTTTCGGGTGTGTAACTGGGTAGGTATCTGGCTTGTAGGAGTGCACCATGCCGCCGCTGCTCCAACCAGCTTAGTCTTGATTAATAGTCAGCATCGTGCGTGGCATGATGTCTCTGTCTGATGACATCCAACCCGGCATGGCATCCCAGTCTAACAATATCGTTCATGACCGCGAACGACGATAAGACCAAGTCATACACGGCACCGCAACGTTGAGGAGGGCGAGCAGCTCGCTCAATGCCCGGGCAGGTGCAATCGCTCCGGCGAGCCGAACAAGGGTAGTGTGTCGAGAGTCTGAAAGTGTGTCGAGGTGATAGAGGTGGCCCTGCTGAACGAGGACCGTTCCACTGCCAGGCGTGTGGCATTTGTGTCGCGCAGCGAAAACATGGCTGAGGTTCCAACCGGAGTGTCCGTGACGTGGTCAGCCCCCCTGCTCTCTGAGTTTTGCCAACGCGGCGGCGACACCGTCGCTCAGATGATCGGGCTTGCGCGCCGGTACCGCCGGCGTCGCCGATGTAGCCGATGCAGGCCGCACCGGCACAGGTTGAGTTTGCCGCCCACTTCCCGAGGCTGCTGCCGCTTCGACTTCTGCCTCGACAACCGCCGCCTCCGCATCCTCCTCCCCTTGGCCACCCACACCCCGACCCTTAGAAGCGCCCGACACACCTGCACCCGTCCCCTGCGACGCCCTCCCCGCCGCAACCGCCCGCTTCCCGGCAGCCTTCCTCACCCTAAACGGATCCTCCACCGCCTTGGTCCACGCGCGAACCTTCCTCTCACCCCACCCGCCCACAACCCCAAGATGCTCCGGCGCCGCATTCACCGCGTTCCGCAGGCTCCCAAACGAGCTCACCAGCGCGACGGCATCCGTCTTGTTGATGTTGCGCGGGGCGGTGACGAAGTCGACGAGGCGCTCGGCGTAGCTCTCGGCCTGCTGGCCGCGGATGGCGCCGAACCCCGCGTGCTCGTAGGCCTTGTACAGCTCGAGGTAGCGGGCGGCCTCGGCGGCGGACCAGGCTAGGATCACGGTCACGTTGTTGACCAGCGAGGTCTTGGACAGCTCGCGCAGCGCATCCTCGTGGTTGGGTATGTCCACCATGGTGAGCACGATGCGGAGGTTGTATTTCCCTTGGAGGTTGCGGATGCGCGTGTAGATGTATTCCGGGTGGAGGCGGTGGTATTTGAGGCTGGGAGGGGTGGGCGCGTGTTAGGTCGGTTGGAGGGGTCGAGGGTGGGGTGGTTGAGAAAGGGGGCGGGAGAAAGAGGGGGGCGTACCTAAGAAAGAGAGCGCATGTTGTTTGGCCTAGCCCGTAGTCGGCGAGTATGTCGCTGTATTCCCAGGCGACCGACTTTAGGCAGGCGAGCACTGGGTTGCCCTTTTGCCTGGGGGAGACGAGGATGGAGGACCCCGAGCCACGAGCGGGCAAAGCCTGTGGGGTAGGCTGCACGACCTTGGGCGGCCCGGGGCCGGAGGATGCATTCGAAGGTGGTGGTCGGTCGAGGCGCTGGGGCGTGGGCTGTTGAATTCTCGGAGCCGGCTGTGGTTGGGGTTGTCTTGATGGTTCCGATTGCGCTGCAAGGGCGACGAGAATGTCATCGGCGTCACCATATTCGTCGTCGTCCATTTCGTTCTCGTTATCCGATCGCTACCATTAGAATTGGCACATATGGTGGTTGGTTACCTCCGTACCTCCTCGGCAGCAGCTCGGGAGTTCTCCGTCTGATTCCAGTGCATGGACTTGATGATGACTCGATCAAGACTGTGTGGTGTGATGTGTGGAGCCAAGCCGCCACTCCGAGCCAGGGCCACTGCCGGCAACCCCGAAGCGAGCGCGTCTGCCAAGCCCATCAAAACACCCCTGCAGGAGATCTCTCTTCCCTGACCTTGACTTCACCCCTCGGAACCTCCCGAGCTGGTGGGGTTTCTCCCATCATCACCTACGATGTAGGTATGTAGGTAGTTACCGATGCAATCGGGCTCGCTTGCTTCAAGGCCGGACTGTTTAATTTGGATTCAGAGTTGGTTGTTAAATTATTTACGTTGTATAGGTACGTGGGAGAACCTCTGCAATGGCCTGACAAGCACAACTTAATTGGAAAACAAAGTCATTTTGAAGGCAATGATTTTGCCGACGTAAACTCTAGTTAGTGGACTCGGAGCTAACACACACAAACCCGCACGCCTTCTACCAAAACACCTTTTATCATTCCCATTCCCTAACCTCCCGCCCCAGTTTGGTATCATGATGCAATCAATCCCCCATCCCAACTCCCGACCTCCCCTCCTTACTCCCCAGCCCCACCAGAAGACCCCTCCTCCTCCCTCGCCCCCCTCGACATGTCGCCATGCACCGCATAAAGCGCGCGCAGCCACAAGTCAAACATGTCGCGCATGGCCCTGGCCCGCTCCTCGCTCTGGCTGAGCTCGGCCATCTGGTCGCGCATGCGCTCGTACGCCTCGATCATGACCCAGACCTGCAGCGCCGACGTGGCCCGGGACGGGCGGCAGGGGCGGCGGCTGCGGCGGCCCGCGATGGCCGACGACAGGTCGTGCGTCAGCAGGTCCAGGCTGATCTGCAGGCCGAGGCTGTCGTCGTCGTCGTCGTCGTCGTCGTCGTCGTTGTCGTTGTTGTTGTCGTTGTCGTTGTCGTCCGCGCTGCTCGTCTGCTGCCGGCTCAGGCTCAGCGGCACGCTCGGCGGCGGTGGTGGCTCCGACTGGGGGGAGAACAGGAGCGGCGCCTGCTTGGGCGAGCAGGAGAGCGGCTTGAAGTAGACGGCGTCGCCTTGGAACGAGACGAGGGTGCCGTCGTCCGAAATGGGCGAGCGCTCGGGGAGCTCGGCCATGTGTGGCGAGTCGCGGCTGGAGGTTTCGCTCTGGTGATAGTCCCAGCTGCGCCGTCGTCGGAATATGACCGGTTCGTCAGCCTCGCTGGCTTGTGGCGTCAGCGGCGGCTCGGAGCCGTCCGAATGCTCGGGAGAGTATCGAGACTCGAGCACCGCATTGTATTGCTCTGCGATGAGCTCCACGCTCGACGTCCTGTAGAGGGTGTTGGGAGTTCCCGGGGGCGCCTTCGGCTGGCTGACCGAGGACGTGGACGTCGGTTTTGTGCGGTATCTCATGTTGGGGCTGGCGGGCACAAAGTCCGAACTAGGTGAAGGTGGCGGCGGCGGATTGCGGCGGATGGGTTGCGGAAACTCAGGACTGGCGGGGGTCCTATAAGTCTCAGGTTTCAGGAGGTCCGGCGACTCAAGAGGACGGTCGCGCTGATATGGGTCGTACTCTCTTCGAGTGCAATATGTCGGCTGTATATTACGACTCGGCGGTGATGGTGCCGTGCGAGGTTGTGTCAAAGATGTCGGGTCGTCGTCTATCAGAGCGCGGGGTACGAGTGTGACGACCGGATTCAACGCTCTTGGGCTCTCCTGCTGACGGTTGTTGCTTGATTGTCTCGAGACGCACTTCTGGAGTTTGTTTCGTAGCCTTGGGCCCTTTGGGGAGGTGGCCGGGGCCTCGTCTTTCCTTTGTTCCATTGTGTATTGTAGAGTATCCTATTCAAGTGACCAAAACAATAGTATGCGGTCTGGAGAACAATAGGCACGGTACGGGCGGATTTGCTTGATGGTTGACAAGCGTTCGGGATGAAAAGGGAAATCCTACGCTCTCATTTAATGCCCACGGACAATAGGTCGTTTTGACAGAAATGACGTCCGACGGGGGCGACATAGGGTTGGAGGCCATAGCGGTCCACAAACCGTCCAAACTTAATTATGTTTGCACTAGGAATCCAAGCCATACTGTGTAGATGACGCCAAGCTGACGGCGACATGAATCATGGACGAAGAGGGGTACACAGTCGATGGCATGGATAGCTGGACACGTCGAAGGCGAGCTCGGTCATGTTGGATGTTCGAGCTCTCAGATTCAGCGCCACTTTGGGCTGTTCTCTTGCGTTCTCCCCTGTCTTTGGTCCGTTTACCGTGGTTGAACCGGTGTCGACTGGGGATTCCGCTGAACTTCCCTCACGATATGTCTCGGATTTCGACCTTGAACGGGGTGTGCGCTGTCTCAGAACACCCGTTGGGGCGCCGATCTCAAGCCGTTGGTAGCTGAAGGATAGATCGAGGCTCAACATGCTGGGATGGAAGTTGAGATAAGCGAGTTAGTCCCACTACCACAGTACACACGTGCCACCAGCAGCCAGCTGCAGCCTCCATCGATCAGCGAGCCTATTCGGTGACGGGAGGCAATGGTAATCATGGACTACACAGTAAGTAGTAAATACTGGCGTTAGCCAACAGGGGGGTCACTTCGCTCGTCAACCTCGCGATATTACTCAAACTCGGAATCCTGACTCGAACCAAAAACACAGAGACAGCCAAGGACTCAAAATTAGTAACAGGGAAATCCCATACCTCTAGCGGGCCTCCGGGCACAGACCGGAGTGGAGAGAGAAAAGGATTCCCCAGATCTTTCCCCGCCTTCTTCTCGGCTCTCCACTGCGGGAGAATGTTTCGAGCTTCCATCCAGACCGGCCTCGCTAACTCCCGTCCTCCTGTTCTCCACTGAACAAATGGTCGAGATCATCGATACCCATTGAGCGGGGTCCAACGCTCGCAAGGTTGTGTGGAGTGGGATCTGACCGTCGCTCGTCGGTATTCGTATTCCAAGTGAAATTGGGGTCTGTTCGTTTATTCGACCGCAATTAACCCGACAGCGAGGACCATAACTCACAAGTAATCTGTAGAGCATGCATCGATGCCGTCGTGGAGTGTGCATGGTGGCATGGTGGGGGTACGAGTAAGGTTGTGAACTGCGATTTATCCATCAATCACAAGCCTGTAGAGTCTCCCCTTCCGCCGCGACGGACTTAACCCCACCAAACCCCTCACCCGGTCTCGGGGCCCACGCCTCTCGCCTCGGAAGTGGATGAGCCATGTCGTGCCCTCAACTGCCATGATGCTGCTGAAGTTTAAAGACGTCGTCGCGAGTAAATGGATTACTTGAGAAGCGAATGACTTGGCGCATATTGACCCCCTCCAAGCATTGCTCTCCTCCGTCCTCCTTCGTCCTGTTCGGGATAATACCTAGCAAACACACAGCAGCCATGGCCGAGATCACCATCACTGGCTGGACGACACGGGATGTCCGGTTCCCTACCTCGCTAGACAAGACCGGCTCAGATGCTATGAATGCCGCCGGCGACTATTCGGCCGCCTACTGCATCCTACAGACCGACTCCGCCTACACGGGCCATGGCATGGTACGGCACTTCACCCCTTTCCCCCCACCCCCCACGTTCTCAACCCTGACATATCCCAGACTTTCACCATCGGCCGCGGCAACGACATAGTCTGCGCCGCCATCAACCATGTGGCTGAGCGCGTCAAAGGACGCACCCTCTCCAGCCTGGTCGCCCACTGGGGCAACACCTGGCGCCACCTCGTCAATGACAGCCAGCTCCGCTGGATCGGCCCGGAAAAGGGCGTGATCCACCTGGCCCTGGGCGCCGTCGTTAACGCCATCTGGGACCTCTGGGCCAAGACGCTCAACAAGCCCGTGTGGCGCGTCGTGGCCGAGATGACGCCCCAGCAGTTCGTCGACTGCATCGACTTCCGCTACATCACCGACGCCGTGACCCCGGAGGAGGCTCTCGCCATCCTGCAGGAATCCGAGGCCGGCAAGGCCGACCGCCTGCGCGACGCCGAGCGCAGCCGCGCCGTGCCCGCCTACACCACCAGCGCCGGCTGGCTCGGCTACGGCGAGGACAAGATGCGCGGCCTGCTGCGCGAGACCCTCGACAAGGGCTACCGCCACTTCAAGCTCAAGGTCGGCGGGAGCCTCGAGGCTGACCGGCGGCGGCTGACCATCGCGCGCGAGATCATCGGCTACGATAATGGCAACGTGCTCATGGTGGACGCCAACCAGGTGTGGTCGGTACCCGAGGCCATCGCGTACATGAAGCAGCTGGCTGAGTTCAAGCCGTGGTTCATCGAGGAGCCGACATCGCCCGACGACATCCTCGGCCACAAGGCGGTGCGGGACGCCCTGCGCCCGCACGGCATCGGCGTCGCCACGGGTGAGATGTGCCAGAACCGCGTCATCTTCAAGCAGCTGCTCATGGCCGGCGCCATCGACGTCTGCCAGATCGACGCCTGCCGCATGGGCGGCGTCAACGAGGTCCTGGCCGTCCTGCTCATGGCCAAGAAGTACGGCGTCCCCATCGTGCCCCACTCCGGCGGCGTCGGCCTGCCTGAATACACACAGCACCTCAGCACCATCGACTATGTCGTCGTCAGCGGGCAGCTGTCCGTGCTCGAGTACGTCGACCACCTGCACGAGCACTTCCGCTACCCGTCTGTGATCAAGGATGGATTCTATCAGACCCCCACAGAGCCGGGGTACAGCGTTGAGATGAAGCCCGAGAGCATGGACCGCTATGAGTACCCGGGAGGGGAGAGTAGTTGGTGGAAGAGCGAGGAGGCTAGGCCGATATTGGAGGGAGAGAAGATATAAAGTGCGTGTTCGAAGGGGTTGGTGGTTGATGGTACTTGTAACCCTGTATCAACACTGGTAAATAAAAAATATGTTTATACTCGACACAATACAGACCACTCGTCCAAAAGAATATTAATTCTCCGTCCCCTAAAGCTTCTCAGCAAAAGGGGTGAGCCAAACCAAGTCAACCACTTGACAACTCCAAGCCGGACTATAACAATTAGCTATTAGGGAAAGTGACTAAGAGCCAACATCCTACCCCGAAATTATACTATAAGCAGACGCAAACTATGCCCATGATGATTTAGACGTCCACCTCTGTGATTCTAAGCTCCGAGGGCCGTCGGAGGTTAAGAGATCTACCTCGCAGTGTAAGACTATAGTTGTAGCCGTACTGTATGGTAGAGACACAATGAGCAAGTTACGAGCTGGTTGGGACCAAGCTACCACACTTACTCGAAGATGCTCATTTGCTAAAGACTACAAACACACCACGACTAACACATCCCGTTCCCCGCATCACACCACCGCATACATTGTGAAACCATTCTCATCACAACTTGCTCATACTGGCTACCGTTCATCGCGAATTGTGTATTTCTGCAATAGTTATAGAGGCCGAAGGGCATCGGATAGATAATCGAGAATTGTGATCAAGGCGGCTACTTGACAGAGATAAAGACAGCCTCCAAACATGATACCATCTCCCCAAAGTCTAGCCCCAACCAACACACAAAACACATCTTCACCCTGCAACCCAATACCTAGCTAGCCACAACCATGATAATCTCCATCCCCCTCCTCTTCCTCCTAACAACCACGCTCCACCCAACAACATCCGCCGCCCTCCTCCCCAGCAGCAACCGCGACACCACCACCACCCCGCGCCGCCTCCTCGCCAACGTCTCCGTAATCGACACCCCCATCGTGCGCGCCGCCCAGGCCTTCGCCCGCGCCCACTCGTCCGCCTACCTCTACAACCACGTCATGCGCGCCTGGCTGTTCGGCGCCCTGCACCTCTCCCACAACGCCACCCTCGCCGCGGCCGTCGACGAGGAGGTGCACGCCGTCGGGCTGATGCTGCACGACCTGGGCGCCAACCACAGCGTGGACTCGCCGTTTTTTACGGTTGATCGCCGGTTTGAGGTGGATGGGGCGTATGCGGCGCGCGGGTTCATCCAGTCCCATCCGGATGGGAGGCGGTGGGCGGAGAAGAGGGTGCAGCTGGTGTGGGATGGCATCGCGCTGCATGCGGAGGCGAAGTTTGCGCTGCATAAGGAGCTGGATGTGGTGGCGATTTATCTGGGGAATGATTTGGATTTTGGGGGCCCCAGGTTGGGGATTACGGAGGAGGAGTATGGGGCTGTGCTGGCCGAGTTTCCGAGGCTGGAGAATCAGACGGAGATGGTGCTGGAGGGGATTAGCTGGTATTGTCGGCATAAACCGCTGTCGACGTATGGTATGTTGTCCTGTTATGGAATGCTTGGTTGGGTTAAGCTGACTTGATACGAACGAAAGACACCTTCATGCAGCCGTATGGTGAGATGTTTGTCCCGGGGTACTCCGCTGTTGGACATCGGGGGATTGATCGAGTCTTAGCTCGAGGCAGTTACTGATGCAGGGCGAGGAAACTCAGTACTGCCATGGATGACAACTGGTACCAAAGGAAGGACATGCAGGTAAGCTCGTTGCAAGATGGGGTTCCGCCCTTTGATTTACGAGTCGGGCATCCTACAAGTCGAGGCCGTATCACGATTCTCAGTTCAGTTCAACGATCGGATGTAAAGCTCCCAAATTTCCTGTGTCTGACAAACCTACTCAATATGAAATTTAAGGGATTCTCCGGCCCCTGGTGGATGTAAAGCCCAGAATCAAAGGAAAGCGTAGGAGCATTGCCGAGACGAGTTCTGCTAGGACTCATAAGTCAAACTCGAAGAAGTTGCCTCACGATGCTGCCGCAGTATGTTTTCCTTACGTAGTTGATGGTATTGTCAAGGAAGTGTCATCGTTAAGACACATTCTTGTCGTGGAGATTTTAGGGTTGCATTTCCCTTCTTTCCAGTTACGCTCTAAACCTTGTGTTTGAAAATGTAACGTGTAAAAGTAAAAGGGGAGGAGGGTTTCTCGTTTCGATCGAGTTGTGGTATGATATAACCATTACTTTTGATTTTGTGGTGTTGACAGAATATTCAGGGGTAATAGGGGGTTTGCCCCTGAAGTCCATAGCTTGATGTCGCTGTCAAGGAAGGAATAGGGGAAGCGAGTTCCCTTCCTGGTCGTGACCTGCCGACTAACTCAAAGAACATACGAACGGATGGAGACTTCTGATGTCCAGCAACGGATAGGTATTCATTAGTCTCGCGATCAACCAACCCGGGGCAACGACCTAGCTTCCTGGGCTCACATTGCGGTCAACCCTTGACATGACCAGCGGTCGCAACGTCTAAGATCTCTTGCTCAAAGCCTTCCACATGGACAACAGCTATCCCCGCGTCTTCAAGGCTCTTCTTCCCAGTGTTATCCGCCACAAACGTCTCTGGCTCCATAATCCCAACGTAGACGGTCCTGATCGAGCCAGCGAGCCTGATCACCCTCTCAACACATGGTAGATTCCCACTCAGCCGCTTTGAGCAGGGTTCAACCGTGGTGTAGAGGACCAGCTCGGCCGGTAGTGCCGTTTTAAGATCCTCTTCGGAAACACCATGCTTCTCAGCCAGCTTCATGAAGCAAGTCTGCTCTGCGTGAGTGTTGCCCGGCAGCTCGAGCGTGTAGCCAGTCGCAAGGATCTCGTTTGCGGCCGAGTCCACCAGGACGGCTCCCACACGGTAGTTGGTTGGCTTTGGTGGCGATTTATGTGCTTGATCGAGAGCAAGCCGCATATATGCCTTGTGATCGCCGGGTGGGATAGTAGCCATGTTGACTATCGCAAGTTGGAGAGTTGAGATGAAATGCTCGTCGGGGTTGCGGGTTCGTGGTGGGGGGAAGGTAATCGGCACAGTACAAAAGGTTACGGCGCTGGCACTGTAGTTATTGTGCCCCCCACCTGCACAGTCCTTTGCGCGACGCGACGCGCCCCGAATCCATTAAAACTATCATCGAGGTTGGCCCATATCCCAACCTCGACAAACAACAACAATTAAAATGTCTGCTCACGACGACCTCACCGATGGCGAGCCGCCTACAATCGACCCGTACGAGGTGCTCGGGCTCGATCGCACCGCCTCGCCAGATGAGATTAAATCGGCCTACCGCAAGACCGCGCTGAAAACCCACCCAGACAAGGCGCCCGAAGACAAGAAAGATGAAGCCAAAGAAACATTCCAACAGGTCGCATTTGCCTACGCTATTCTCTCCGACCCCGCTCGGCGCAAGCGCTACGACGAGACTGGCTCGACCTCGGAAGCGGTCGTCGATTCCGAGGGCTTCAGCTGGAGCGACTTCTACAGCGAGCAATTCCGCGATGCAATCTCCGAGGACGCCATCAAGAAGTTTGCGGACGAGTACAAGGGATCTGAGGAGGAGAAGGATGACGTCCTAGCCGCGTACGAGGAGTTCGAGGGCGACATGGACGGGGTGTACGAGAGCGTGATGCTCAGCAACGTGCTAGAGGACGACGCCCGGTTCCGGGAGGTCATTGACGCGGCGGTCAAGGCCGAGGAGGTGCCCCGCTTTGATGCCTACGCAAAGGAGACCAAAAAGTCCAAGCAAGCTCGCATCAAGGCCGCCAAGAGCGAGGCTCAGGAGGCAGACGAACTGGCCAAGGAGCTGGGTGTGTACGACAAATTGCGCGGCAACGGCAAGAAGAAGAGCAAGAAGGACTCTGAGGCAGACTTGGCGGCCCTGATCCAGCGGAACCAGACATCGAGGATGAGTGCGCTGGATAAGCTGGCGGAGAAGTATGGGGCTGTGCCCAAGGCGGGCAAGGGGAAGAAGCGAGGCGCGAAGGAGCTTGAAGAGCCGGACATCTCGGAGGAGCAATTCCAGGCGATACAGGCGGGCATGAAGAAGAAGAAGTCGAAGAAATGAGGATTAAAGATGCTTTAAAGACGGTACCTGGAGTATAGGTTTGGTTTGATCATGGAGATTTGGGGTTGGGCCAGGGCATCACGAACCGGCATGGCGTACTACGGCTCAGGGATGGCATTGAGCCCGGATGTTAGGTTAACTTTGGCTGATTGATTCTACGGAATAGTTACTGCCAGTTTCTTCCAAGATTCGTCTCATCCCAGTGAAGGTCTCAGGTCTTTAGCTCACACGACAAAAGAGTCGGGCCGGCTATGGACTAATTGCTGTAGATCATGCGACAGGTGATCGAGTAGATTTGAGAACATCAAAACACTCGCGACCCAACAGGGAGAGCAGAGAAGGAGGTTGTTCTAGCAAAAGATGTTGTATGACCTCCCAGGCCCGCTCCTCCCTAATCGGGCCATTAACAGCCGTCACCTGGCCAACTGCACGAGGCAGTTGACTCTTGGCACTGATTGGTGCCTTACACAGTACGCAGTATTCTAGGCAAGAAATCCACTCAACACGCTTTTCGTCGCAACTTCCAACACGGAACTTTGGTGATGTCGTGTGCTAGGCAGTTGCGCATGCAAACCTGGAACCCTTTTACAACCATGACCTACATCAGGTTCAGGTTGTTACAGCGCGACTGATCACCGCTAACGGCTGCACGCCGGGTCACACGATTTGAACGATGCCATGACCGACTCGACGAAGCCTGAACTCTACCCGCAATACTGCTTCCACCTGTCACCAACCATCAACCGTTGGTGCCATTTCCGAATCACCGATATCCGGGCTCTTAGAAGTCATCCGGGATTTCGAGGTACGCCAAGCGACTCGAAAGTCGAACCTCGAAACTCGTGGTCAAGCCCCGCGACACCACAGTGCTAACCCCTCTCCAAAGGCCAGGATGTCTATTTCCACCTCAACCACCCAATCAAATGGGTGCGCATCTCTGGTGTCGTAGTCGCCGTCGACGAGCACGAGAAAATGCACATCTACACGATTGATGACGGTAGCGGGGCGACTCTCGAATGCATCGTCAACGTCGCGCCTCGCGCAAGGCCCGGAATGGCCACTGCGACGACGACGACGACGACGACGAAATCCGACTCCAAATCCGAAAAGGACCCACACCCTTTGCCGGTAGTCGACGCGCCCATCGACGTGGGACACGTGCTGGATATCAAAGGGAGCGTCGGCGTGTTCCGCGAGAACAAGCAGATCCGCGCAGAAAAGGTCGCCCACCTCCGCTCGACAGAGCAGGAGGTGGTCTTCTGGGAAAAGGTCACGCAACTCAAAACGGATGTGCTGTCCAAGCCGTGGGTCTTGGACCGGCGAGAGGTGAGGAAGTGTAGGAAAGAGGAGGAGGGACGGACCAGCAGCAGCCGTCACCACCGGGCAACCCGTGAATCACACAGCAGAAAGCGCGTGGTAAAAACCGGATTGGAGAAGACAGAGAGGTCTCACCACGGAGAGGCACGGGCACGCCCTGTGGAAAGCGAAAGCAAGATCAAGCAAGAGACGAAGCCGCTGGCGATGCGACCGAAGAGGGCGACGGGGCTGGAGAAAAGGGTGCCGACTAAGCCTGTCACAAGGCTGATTCCGGTGACGGGAAATTACGACGCTTTGGGTCTCTGAATGTGAGGACTCACAAATTCGCGAAATGAACATTTGACGTTGACATATGTGCAATGCCTCATACTTGTCTTAGTCTTGGCAAAGATACACAGTATCCGTTTGTCCAGCCGAGTCCCATTCGACGGCGTGGACGGCTGTCCCGCGTTACATTCCTCTGAAATCCTGTTCTCTCAAGATGATCCCCGTCCACACCCAAATGCTGTCTGGTAAGGGATGTCACCGGACAAGGATAGGGAGTGCTTGCCTCACGGGTTGTGTGAGAGATGTCGGCACGGGTACTGCGCAAGAGTTGGGTCCACTTCCAAGGGACTTCCAAGTTGTATTCTCTGGCAGGACCCGGCTTCCGGGAAACCTGTTTATTAGGATGCATCCCCTTCTCACGACAGCGAACCGTTACACCCTCGGTCTTCTCTATCTATCTCAAACATCTTTAGTCTCAAGTCTCTGAGATCTCTCGCTTTGCCTCATCTTTGCTTAAATATTCTTACATTCCTTCCTCAAGGACACCGCAGCCCCGTTTGTTTCCTCCAACTTCAAGGCCTTGATTCTATCTCTTAGCATTCCATATTGTCAAGGTAAGAGCATGTTTTGTTTCGACGTCAAACACGAGGTTCCAGATCAGCCTTAAGCCACGCCAAGCTCGCATGCCAACTAGCCGCATCGAGGACGATCTCATATCCGGGGAATAAGGCCGACGCAAGTTGATCAGAGTCATGGCTGAAGACTAGCCGAATCAACCCAAAGAATGTCTGTCCCAATGGCACGGGCAGTTGTTATATAGTATGGAGGTCCGGCTGCGAGTGAAGTCCGCGACTGAGTCTCCTGGATATGCCGCCGTCCCGTTGTCGCCAAAATGGAGCGGATATGGAGGTTGTTGTTCGTCTCGCTAACTGCTTTGCAGTTTACCATATCCCTTGCCTCTCCAGTGTACCAGGTGCAGCCGACACCTCCCCAGACCACCCTGGGGAAGAGTGCCACGATCTCAGGTCCTCGGCCGAGTCCTGACGCTCCCAACGCACCTCTCAGAGAAGCCCACAGCACCAGCACGCCACTGCCACGGCCAAAACGGGACTGGAACGACCCTCCCTCACGAGAAGCCTTAACATCTCCCGCCAAGGTCATCACAAGTCTTGGTCCGTCCGGCACAGTTCAGATCCTCGCCAGCAAGAAGACACCCGCCAGTGGCTTCATTCACTCCATCCTCGACACCAACGGTCACGTCACATCCGTGCCACTTTTGACGAACCCGATCCCAAAGCCGACATCTCTGCTCGCAGCTGTCTCAGTGGTTGTGAGTTTAAAGGTCGTGCCGTCGATCTCCGTTAAAATGACGGCCCGAGACATTTTCGCCGATCCCATTTCCACGGATGCGCCACCGCAAAACATCGGCAGGGAGCAGGACCATCCCGTGGGCAGACTAGGGATCCAAGGAAAAGGCCCGTTCGAGACCAACAAATTCTACGGCAATTTCCACCGTGGAAATCAGACTTCGCCATCGTACCTGCACCCGTACTCGGTTGCGTGGGCGCGAGGGCAGGGAGCTTCTGGCAGCTGGGGTCTTGCCGTCTCGCATGTCGAAGCTCACCAGAGAGTTTATGGCCCGGCTAGCCCCGGGACTGGCGCTGTGCAATACTTCATCAACCCCATCGGGATCCATTCCGTGTGTCTTTCCGCTAAGGAGTTGGGAAGCGACACCACCCTCACCACGGAGGCGTTGACGGACTTCTCTGTCCAAGTCAATTTGCACCCGACCGCCGAGGCGTCTCCCGCCGTGCAGTTTCCCCTGGCTCAAGGTTCAGCCTTCATCACGGCCATTTACAATGGCGCAACCCCCGTGTTCCAGACGACCGTCTTCTTCAGGGCCGTCACACGCGTGACCACGGATCCCAAGTCCGGCGTCACCAAGTACAAGATTCAACTTGAAGACGGGGCTAACTGGCTGGTGTACGCCCACCACACCAAAGGCGACCCTCTGGATCTCGAAGTTGTCAACAACGGACTGACTCAGGCCAAGGGGGCGTTCTACGGTACCATCCAGGTGGCCAAGGACCCCGGTGATGGCGAAAAGGTGTACGACCAGGCCTGCGGTGCCTACCCCGTCGGTGTCCAGCTCTCCGGCTCCGTGGATGGGGCGAAGGGGACCTACCGTTTCTCCTTTAAGAAGGCCGGCATGAGCGACACCACGCTCGCCATGTTTGCGCTGCCTCACCACCAGAGCTCGTTTGACGATGCCACCCGAGGAAAGCTGACCGGCTTGAAGCTGCAGACCACGACCAAGGGAATAGCAACCTTGGTCGTGGCTGATTCTTGGACCATGGACGAGCCTAATCTGCCGACAGGCATTGGCTTCCTGCCGTGGTCACCGGAAGCCGGGATAGTCAGGACAATCTCCAACGCCACCAAGCAGGTCATCCACAACATCGCGCAGCAGGAAGTCTCACAGAATATCATTCAGCAGTTGGATGAGAACTCGATGTATTTTAGTGGAAAGGTGAGACGACCGCTGCACAAGCAAAAACAGGGACTAATGTTTGCAGGCGCTCGCCAAGTTTGCTAGTCTCATACTGTCCATCCAGGAGTTGCTGAACGACCCAGGGCTCGCCCAGGCCGGGTTAACGCAGCTAAAGGAGGCATTTTCCCGTTTTACGCAGAATGCCCAGAAGTACCCCCTTGTGTACGAGAGTAAGTTCTTGATCCTTCACCAACACTCGACTGTCTCCCATATCTGACACGGCCAGGTGGTTGGGGAGGCGTGGTCTCGTCCGCCATGTACGTGACGGGTGACCCCTATGTCGACTTTGGCAACACAATCTACAACGATCACCACTTCCACTGGGGCTACTTCATCTACACGGCGGCCGTCATCGGCCACCTCGACCCGTCGTGGGTCAACTCCAACAAAGCCTACGTCGACATGCTCGTCCGTGACGTCTCCAACCCCAGCACGCGGGACCAGTACTTCCCCCTCTGGCGGAACTTCGACTGGTTCCACGGCCACAGCTGGGCCCACGGGCTCTCCGACACGCTCGACGGTAACGACCAAGAATCCAGCTCGGAGGACACCATGCACGCCTACGCCCTGAAGATGTGGGGTTCCATCACGGGCGACAAGAACCTGGAAGCCCGGTACGTCCCCCTTGAGCTCCCCCCATCCCATCCCCTCCACTGCCCATTACTAACCCCCCCTTTTCCCACCCCACCAGCGGCAACCTGATGCTCTCGGTCCAAGCCCGCTCCATGCAGGCCTACTACCTCTACAGCACCACCAACACGGTCCAGCCCGCCGAGTTCGTCGGCAACAAGGTGGCCGGCATCCTGTTCGAGAACAAGATCGACCACACGACCTACTTCGGCAACCGCACCGAGGACATCCAGGGCATCCACATGCTGCCGCTGCTGCCCCACACCCCGCTCGTCCGCAGCCCGGCCTTTGTGCGCGAGGAGTGGGACACCTACTTCAGCGGCGGCCGCGACGCGCCGATTGTGGGTGGGTGGAGGGGGGTCATCTGGGGCAGCTATGCGACTGTTGATCCCCGCGCGGCGTACGAGTTCTTTGCCGGGGACGGGTTTGATCCCGCGTGGTTGGATGGGGGCGCCAGTTTGACGTGGTATTTGTGTTATGCTGCTGGTGAGTTGCTCTTCTTCGTCTTCTCCCTTGCTCTGTTTGTTGCTTGTGAGGATTTTGTGTGTGCGTATGGGATTATGCTGACGCGGATGGCTGGTAGCTTTGGGCGGGCTTTAATAGGTTGTTTTTTTGCGGGTTGGATGGGTTATTCGTCGTGAATACACGCGATGGTGCTGGACAATGCAGAGTTGGGTTGGGATAGATTGGTCTGCCGGTTACTTACTTTCTTCTAGTATATATGGTTTTGAATACATCACCGAGCGCAAACATCTTGGGCCGTCCCCCTTCTCCTACCTCAACTGTTTCATTGCTGGAAGTCACAATTAACCTCCCCATTAGGACGTGCTCGGAAATTAACTAAAGACCAGCCTCGGGAAAAGACGGAGGCCTTGGAGATTCAACGGAATTGAGTCATATTCCTTCTCGTCTCAGTCTCTAGACTGGCAAGAGCTTCATGTCAGTCCAGGTGCTCGAGTTACCAGAGAAGCAGTAACAACGGGTTGGAAAATGCAAATTCTCAGTTGTTGATTCCGAGTTTGTTTGTTTACACTGTGACCACATGAGCAATTCTGAGTCATATAACGCACGCAATTGGAAGTCAGCGGGTTGTTTCGGGTCCGATACTCGGTCAGTGTCTGCCATAGTTTTCGTCGTTCCTTCCTTGTGTGGAGGCTGAGGGTGAGAGTGAAAATACTAGGAATCCTGAGTGGGTGTGTTGTTTGGTGGTGCTCCTAAGGTATTTAGGTTGGTTTATTAAACAATAAGTAACAGGAACCCAGTGTTGCAATGCTGTTTTATTTCAATAAAATGATTACCTCAAATTGACGGTTCGTGATACGTACGTTCAGTCAGAATTTATATTGTCTTAGTATTTGCAACTCTAAAAACCCGCCGAGTCGCTCCTGCCGTCAACTTCCGGGTGGTTGCCGGGCCCGAGCTGACCCACCCTCAGGCACCACTGCGCCGCGAGTCTGCGTCCGGGTTGCGGGGCCGTACCCTCATATCTTCTCAAAAAGGTGACACAGCCAGAGGCGGTCGCATGGCCTGTACCTTTTCTTGGACAGCGGCTGAAAGTCAGGTTCGGATTTGGGTTCGGTATCCCATGGCCCAACTTGGATCAGCCTTGGAAGCTAGCAAGCACAACTGCGCAAGCCCTGGACTGTTTCACCGATCACCGCATTCCCAAAACGCAGTCACTCGTCGCCCAATCGACCGTTCCAAAAGGCGACAGCCGACTTTGTCATTTCGAGCACCGGGCGGCGCCAATTGGGACCTGCGTTGGCAGGCGTCCGCTCACGGCGCGGCCTGGCGCTGGCACCGAATCACAGCCCATATTCCGGGGCGATCGAAACAGACCTGCCGCTGCCGTAGGGCGACTCCCCCTAAAGCTATGCGAAGGCTATCGGCACAATCCAAACACGCACTCAGCCTCGCCTTCTTAAGGCTCTCTTGACTTGACCTTTTTCTTCCCCTCTGTACACCTTCGCCCCCTGTCTCGTTCTCGGCAGTTCTCCTTTTTTCTTCCGACTGCTGTGTCACATTCTGCTCTACCCCTGGTTTGAGCTGATGCACCGCCGCTGGTTCAACCCACGGACTCGGCCCGGCACCGCTCCACACCAAGCTGCCCCCTCCCAATTCTGCTTGGCTGGTTCGCCAGCTCACCCTTGTCCCACACATCCCACTTCTTCAACCTCCTGGTTCTGGTCCTGATGTCGTTCGAGTCGAACGGCAGCCAGTCGTCCCAGACGCAGCCGATCCCGTTGAGTGACTTCCTCAGCATCCACGATGATCACCACTTCGTATGGGACGACGCAAACCGGGAGGTGTCGGACGACTGGCTGGCTCCTGTCGAGGAAGCCTACCTCGACCCCAAGAAGCACAAAGTATTCCACCACTCGAGCAAGGAATACCTCACGCCGCCCAGCCCGTTCGTGCAACAAGGCCCGGAACTTGGAGACTCGGGCTCGACCATCGTGTACCGGGTCACCTCGCCGGAGGGCTACGCCTATCGCCGGCCTCTCGCCCTCAAGGTGATAGTCTGCAAGGAGAACTCGCGGCCGCCGGGGCCAGACAGCAAGGCACGCAGCGATGCCCTCAAGGAGGTCCGCACCATGTCTTCGCTGAGGCACCCGCACATCGTCGCATACGTGGCATCGTTCGAGGACTACTGCATTCAGACCAGAGAGATTAAGCGACGCCAGAGAGGCAAGGCTCATGCCATGCTGCTCAGGGTAAACCAGCGGATCAAGAAGCACATCTTGGGTATCGCCATGTACCCGCCTGCGCAATGCAACCTGCACACCTTCATGGACGAGGTTATCCAGAGCCCCAAGGAGGCTGGCTGGATCCTGCCCCATCTCCACACGTACTTTGGCTGCCTTGCGCAGGCAGTAGCATATCTCCACCGGCAGAGTGTGCGGGTACGCCACAAGGACATCAAGCCGGACAACATCGTTATCGACGACTTTGGCCTGCCCGTGCTGACCGACTTCGGCCTCTCCAAGCACTTTGAGAAGGGCCAAGACTCAGTAGGCCCGACCCCGAAGACACTGAAATACGCCGACCCGGAGGCAATGCACGAGGACCGGCGGGACGAGCGCTCCGACATTTTCTCGCTGGGCTGCGTCTTCCTCGAGATGGCCACCGTCCTTCTCGGCCAACCGGCCAAGTTTGCCGAAGACCAACTGTCCATCGACAACAACAGTGGCAGTGGCGACAGCGACGCACAGTCCATCTCTTCCTCGGGGACGGTTTCGGGCGAAGTGAGCGCCGAGTTCAAATACTCGCAATCCCTGCACAACCTCGACAACTACCTGAAAACACTAACCATCCTCTCGCGCGACCTCATCGCGGCGGACCCGTCCCGCGAGGCGTCAGTCAAGGCCGTGCTGGCCACCCTCCCCTACATCCGCCGCATGATGGACGAGACGCAGGCGCGCCGGCCCGAGGCCCACCAGCTGTACCCGTGGTTCCGCCACCTGTGCGACGTCTACGACACCCCCGGGCCCTGTCCCAACTGCGAGGAGGAGCGCCGGACCGGGCGGGCGATCCCCAGCCGTAGCGGGAGCCGCAGTCCGACGCTCAACCGGAGCGGGACGGCCGGCACCGTCGGGGGTGGGAGCGCGTTTTCCCAGCCGCTCGTGAGGAGAGGGACGACCGCGTCTATGGCGACCACCATGTCCGTGTCTATGCAATGATCGTGGGCTTCGCAGGGGCCTAGGGGGGACCACAAGCGGATGGGAGGTTGGAGTTTGGACTGATATGGGGGGCGATGGGATCTGGGGACTTGTGTGAGTGAGTTACTATTTTGGGGGGGCATGGCGTTCAGCTTGCGTTTCGGGAGTTTATTCTTTTTCGCTCGGTTGCTCCATTCGGTAGCTCTGGGCTTGGCTCTCCTCTCCGTTTTCTGCATGGGCGAGCATTGTTCGGTTACATAGCACGGAGCGGCGGCAAGCGAAGCATGCATATTGGCGGCGATGACGATCTTGATGGGTTGGCTGGGTTGGGTTGCTTGGGGTGATAAACTCCTCCAATTTAGGGACGGGCTGGTCCCCTGGGACCCTGGGACGTATGGGGGATATATCATAGCTTTGGTATGTTGTCGGTTTGAGGAGTTACTGGCCGTTGCAAAAGCAGGCCGAGTGCATATTTACCTGGGAGGTGAATCCACAGGAGGCATATTTTAGATCGGACGAGGAATAAACAAAATATCTCCCTCATCATCCATGCATCCCGGAATGCTGCGCGGTGACAGAAGGATGGGGTTCCAAAATGGAAAGCACCAGTGTCGCAATTACCAGCTCACTCCGTTCAAGGGATCGTCGGCTTGCACTCCTAGGTTAGGTAGGTAGTTAACAAAACAGTGAAGGCGCAAAAAAGCCAAAAAGCACAAAAAATGACAGGATGCAATCGCTGTCGGGAATTGAGCCCGACGTGGGGGTCGAACCCACAACCTTGAGATTGGAAACTTCATAAGAGTCTCACGCTCTACCGATTGAGCTAGCCGGGCAGGCTAGATTCATTTGTTGAAAGTGATTGGTGGAATTCCGTGTTGATATGCAGCAACTACCGGAAAGTCCTATTGCGGTAACCCGCCATCCTGCAGCGTCAGTCATGATCCCGAATTAGGGCGGACAATCATTGGACATGGGTGGGATTCGGCTTTCCACACTCTGGGATGAGAATGTTTGTTATCCACACAATAGGAATTGTTGGGAGACAGGTGTTGGACCTGCACGCAACTCTGATAATCCGACATTTGCGATGGCCGAGAGTAGACTAAAGCTACATGTATCTCCTCGGGTATACTATTTGTTTTTCCCTTGTTAGGCACCTCGCATTAGTTACTCGGTCTGCTGCCCTTTACTCCCGCCCTGGCTAAAACCTAAAATCATGTGTGAGTCGTCCTCTGAGTAGGTACCTGACCTGGTATGTAATTCAACCTTTCCGCGTTCATCAATGGGCAGCTCGCAGGACGAAAAGGAAAACGTAGCCAAACCCTTCACCAACTCTACCAAAGGATAGAATCCCCTTCTCTGTTTCTTTTGATAATTTGTATATGTAATATAATATCCTCGGCTGCCCTCAACCAAACGAACTTTCCCCAGGTGCACTTACTCACTAACGGTCTCTCCCCACATGTTAGACTTACTCCCCCCGTTACCACGTGCCCACCTAGGGGGCTCGTCCCCGTCACATGCGACCTCATTTTTTCACCCTTATCTTCGGGTGGATTGCTTGGTTCCGTCTGCGACACTTGTCAGTTGATTTTAACAAGCCCCGAGACGCCTGGGCAGTGAGTTGGCCACGATCTATGTCTAGACCGCTGATTTCTGAATCGTGGGACTGAGACAGAAAGGTTCCCGGCGGAGAGGAGTCGAGTGGTTCTAGGCTGAGACCTGACTCGTCCCGCTTTAAACCTTTTTCCCCCAAGGCACAACCCTGCCGGCGCGGGTTCGGGCGAGCCTCTCCCGATAGGAGGACCTTGTCTACGTGGATTAACCTGGACAATCCCGAGTTCTAGCCAGCTCTCATGGTGATTGCAAATTTGCCTAGAAGCACCAAGTTCGCGCTTCTCAGGTCAAGTGACCGACGAAGGAGTGCGTTGTCGGCTGTGCAACGCGAGATCGGCGAGTCTAGACAACTGAGAGACCCAGCGTCCTTTTACGTGCAGTCCATCGTAGCATCCAAACTCCCAGGGCAATCAACAGGCCCAGGGGTATCGTCTCAATCGAAGAGGGGATGCATCGGACCGCATCTGACCCCTGAATTGGAATTGAACTGATCAAGATAATTGGGTGGGGAAGCGACATCACTCGCAGAGAATAGAAGGCGATGCCTTGATCGATGGGAAGACGTCAATAGGGAGCTTTGGTCCGGCTGACTCTACATGACGTTGTAATGGAATCCTGCTGTGGGTGCAGAGCGACGATCAGAAATGCCATGCTCGGTCGAGTCGCAGTCGAGGTTCGAGATCACTTCGAGCGGAGCATGCGCGGAGTCCCTGGCGGGGCCGCTTGCGGGGTACCAAGGTAGTGGGACTCGGTGGCTTTTGCTTCCCGTGATCAGAAGCAACCACCCCCCACGAGACGGCTGTCACCCCGCAAAAAACCCACCAATGGACGAGACCGAGGTCCAAGCTTCCCGGCGGTCCTGCAGAATGCAACCCGCGATGGAAGCGGCGCCTCTTTCAGCCAGGCAAAAAAAAAATTAAGCCGGAAGGCACGCTGCGACCAGCACCCCCAATCGACACGCCCGTACCGGCACTTCTGGCTTAAAAAGACGGCCGCCGCTGCAATGTGCGCGCTACCGCTGAGAGGGGCACCCGGCCTTCGAATTGTCTCAATTGGAGCGAGTGCCCCGTGGAACGCTGCATCGCCACTTGTAGCATCACAGCGGAGCAGGAGCAGTGTTTGGAGGAGCTGCAACAGATCGAAGGTCGCCTTCGCCTTCTCCCGGCTGACACATCACAATCGCTGTACGAGTAGCTAGGGCCACGCCTTGGATGACGTACCCCCCTCTTCTGTCATCCTTCCCGATTCTGACCCCCCCCAAGCCCCGCGCCGGCACTCTTTATCAGGGCTACGCCGTCCGCGGTCGCAACCGGCCATTGTCTCGACCCAGATACAAAACCAACAATCACACCGTCGCACTTTCCAATCCATGAGCCAACTACCAGTCACACACCAGTCCAAAGGAAAACAACACCAAAACACCATGGTCCACGTCCGAGAACTCAATCCAGCACGGTTTGAGGATGCGCTTGTCAATGGCGGTCCCAGCCTCAACCTGGACGGCCTGTTGATGAAGCCCACTGCCGCAACACCCAGGAGACTCCCCGACGACGCCGCCAACTTCCACCCGCATCACGAGGTCCATCTTCCCCAGGGGATCATCGAGACGGAAGAGGAAGAGAAGCAGCACTGGTTTGTCGGCAGCATCGACCAAGGTACCACCTCCTCGCGTTTCCTCATCTTCAACGGCGAGGGCGATCCCGTTGCGAGCCACCAAATAGAGTTTGAGAACCTGTATCCCAAATCAGGGTATGTTTGCCCGGCTACGACTCCCGCCCCGCATTCTCTCCACCTTTGACTGCGGAGCTGCTGCACATCCTGCACATCAACGGGGCTAACAAAACGTTAACCATCCAGATGGCACGAGCATGACCCGCAAGAACTTGTCAGCTCGGTTGAGCAATGTATTGAAGAGGCTCTGCGCAAATTTGCCGACCTAGGCCACTCCAAGTCAGACATTCGCTCAATTGGCATCACCAACCAGCGCGAGACGACAGTAGTGTGGGACCGCTTCACCGGCGAGCCCCTGCACAATGCCATCGTCTGGCCCGACACCCGGACGGGTGCCCTTGTGCGCGAATTGAAGTCGCGCGACGGGTCGGAAAGCTTGATGGACCTCTGCGGCCTGCCCCTTTCGACGTACCCCAGCAGTGTCAAGTTGCTCTGGCTCCTTCGCAATGTCGACTCCGTCAAGCAAGCATACGAAGAAGGCCGCCTTGCCTTCGGCACCGTCGACTCCTGGCTCATCTACAAGCTCAACGGCGGCGCAAAAGCCGAGAAGCCCGTCCACGTCACCGATAGCACCAACGCTAGTAGGACCATGTTTGTCAACCTCCGCACCCTCCAGTACGACGACAAGCTCCTGGGATTCTTTGGGATCGACAAGTCCAAGATCCAATTACCCAAGATCGTTCCGTCTTCCGACCCGGAATGTTTCGGCAAGATCGCCAGCGGCCCGCTAATCAATGTGCCCATTGCCGGGTGCCTGGGGGACCAGTCCAGCGCCCTGGTCGGCCAGTGCGGCTTCAGCCCAGGGCAAGCCAAGAACACTTATGGCACCGGGTGCTTTCTCCTGTACAACGTCGGCACCGAACCCGTCATCTCCAAGTACGGGCTCCTCGCCACAGTGGCTTACGACTTTGGCGGCGGCCAAAAACCTGTGTATGCCCTCGAGGGCAGCATTGCCGTCGCCGGCTCCGGTGTCAAGTTCCTCATGAACAACCTCGGCTTCGTCGATGAGTCGAGCGAGATCACCTCGCTGGCGGAATCAGTACCCGATAACGGCGGCGTCGTCTTCGTCACTGCCTTTAGCGGGCTCTTTGCGCCGTACTGGATAGACGACGCCAAGGGAACTCTGTGTAAGAAGCCACCCACTTCGCCCCCTCTTTTGCTTCGTTGGAATCTAACGCTTTCACAGTTGGCATCACCCACCACACGAACAAGGGCCACATCGCCCGTGCCACTCTCGAAGCAACCTGCTACCAGACCCGCGCCATCCTCGATGCGATGGAGAAGGACTCACAACACAAGCTCGAGTCGCTCGCCGTTGACGGCGGTCTCTCCAACTCGGACCTGTGCATGCAAACCCAGGCCGACATCACCGGCATCCCCGTCGATCGCCCCGCCATGCGCGAAACGACAGCCCTTGGCGCTGCCATCGCCGCAGGCCTGGCCACGGGTGTGTGGCGAACGCTGGAGGACCTCAAGGAGGTCAACCGCAGTGGACGCAAAATCTTCCAGCCGCAGATGGAGAAGGCCAAGGCCGAGGGGATGTTCAAGAGATGGGAGAAAGCTGTCGAGATGAGCAAGGGGTGGGTCCAAGAAGATTAGAGGGACCCTGCCCAGGCCTCGGTTACTTTTTGGCTTATGTTATGATCATGATGGATTTAGCGGGTTGGGCACGGGTTTTGGGATCTTTCATTGCTTCTACTGGCGTTGGCTGTCTGAGCTAGCGGGTCTTGATACCTTGGGTCATCACCATCGCTTGAAGTTACGCCCCAGCGACTTAGCGGGTGAGGGTTGGGAATTGTATAGTACTGGATAGTTATAATACCATAATGGACTCTGCACGAGGACACTTACCATCTACATTTTGCTTCTTTCGGATCTCGCCCAATGGTAGGGTGGTTCTATCTAAGGTTTCTACCTCTAATCTCAACAGAAACAAGTGACAGACCTGCATGCCCGATCCGGGGGAGAGCGGTTCCCTATCCTCGCCCGGAGTCTAGCCCCTATCTCTCCACGGGGCAACTTGTTGGGTCAATACACACCACTGCCCCGTTTCATGCATTACTCAGGGGGTAAGCTTTCGCCACTGTTTACTCTTGAAATCGCCCCCAACAATCGGAGTTTCTTGTCCGATGTCCCACCTCCCACCATCTCCTAAGACGAATAATACATCCGCCACCATTAGACTCAAACTAAAGCACGACCAGGTATATTCCAGCAACATTGCCATTGGCAAATGCTGGACCCGCCGTCCCAAACCACCTATCTTGCAGACTCGACAGCCCTACGGCGTCACCCTATGATGCTTTTCTGTCCACGCACGATCTTCGGGGGCGTTAGCCTATAGACATAGCAGACACTCAGACCATCACAACTGATCGGGCACTCCCGTGGCTGGCTCCATGATGGTGTCGGCCTGTCATGGATGTCTTGTCCGGTCCGCCTCTCCAGGCGCAACAAAGATCCAGAGCAGGCAGTAAGCAACATAATGGTATATAAAATCGGGGTCAGAAAATAGTCCATCACTCCCACCCACTTTTTAAAACTGCCCGCATTCCAAATTTTCTTCCCTCCCACAACCAATTTTTGCAACAACCACAACTTCATCAAAACTGGGCCAAAATGCGAAAATTTGGGACAGAATTGTCGGCCAATATCCAATCTACCCGGGGAAACCGAAAACACCTTACCCCGGTAGAAAAGGCCTCTATTTGTTCGGCCCGAAAGGCCGGGGCCACGCGCAAGGACCTTGCAGTCGATTTTCAATGCAACCTCTCGACCATCACCCGTTGTTGCAAAGTCGTTGAGGAGCGTGGAACAGTCGAAATAAAGCCTCGTAGTGGCCGTCCCCGGAAATTAAGCCCTTCCCAAGCCCGGTATCTGGTTTTGATGGTAAAAAGGAACCCCCGAATGGGCTGGGCAGCCCTGTTAAGTACGTATCCCCAGTCGGTGGTTAAGAATACCCTTCGCAAGGCTTTAGGGCTATATTACCGTCGGAAATTCAGGTCGATCAAACAAATTATGTTGGATAAGGAGAAAGCAGCTAATCGGCTTCGTCATGCCAAAAAAATGAGGCGAAGGCTCCAAGATTTGATAGAGGTAAGATACCCTCCTTAAACAAACCTCTAAAACTAACATTGAAAATTAGGGAGGGTATTCCGACAAGTCATCCGTTCAAACAGCCCCTGATACACCAAATAGCTGGGTTTTTCGTACCCCTATAGATAAGTATAACAAAGGTATCGTCAATATTCAGGCCCACATAAAGGCTGAAATTATAATGATGGTTTAGAGGATGGTTTGGAAAGGAGGGAGGTCCCTGTTGGTTATTATAACCAGAGACCCCGAGGCCAAACGCAAAGGCTATACTACAAACAGCTATATTTAGGCTCTGGAAGAAGGCCTAGCTCCAACCTACCGGCCAGGTACTTTTTTTCTTTAGGATAATGTAAAAATCCATACCGTAAAGAAGGTAACGGAATGGTTGGAAACCCATAAGGTTTGGGTCCAGGACCACCTACCTTATAGCCCCGACCTCAACCCCATTGAGCACGTTTGGAAAAAAATGAAGGAGATCCTACGCAAGGATTTTCCAGGGCTATATCTACTGAAAGATAATGAGCCAAATAGGGTAAAGGTGGCCGAGGCCCTGGTGGTTGCGTGGGAGAGGGTGCCGCAGGGCCTTATCGACCGGCTGGTTGATTCAATGCCCCGTCGGCTGGCTGCAGTGCGAAAGGCGAAAGGTTGGTATACCAGGTATTAAAGCCCTGCTTTTTAGCTTCAATTTGATTAGTTTATTATATTGTTTGGCCTTGTTTTTATAAAGTTGTGGTCATTTGAATGTAGTAAAGTTATTATGCGGGTGGGTGCCAAGATGGGTGTGGTGGACTATTTTTTGACCTTAACTTTAGTAAAACAGAATGGCGTTAGTTAAAACACGGAGCTCCTACTCCAACGAAAACCCTCAGTCCACACACGGTTTATTCCGTCCATGCATGCAAGCAAGTATCATCCAGGGCCCAGGCACCAAAACCATCAGCTGTCAACGAGGATCGATCGAGGCGAGATGATCCCGATCCCGATCCCGATCCCGTCCCTCCATCTCTTCCCTGTCCTCCGCGGCAACCGTGCCATGGAGTTGCCGGGAGAGGGGGGGCGGGGGGATAAAACAAGCAAGCTCTCCATCCATCCTATCGTATACACCACAGTGCTTCGTACACAACCCTGGAAGGGTCACAGCCCCCAAACCCCATCCCTCCAACGGTTGCCTCCCTCCCCACGGGGCGTTCTATCGCCACCTTCATGCCCGCCGCGCGTCCTCGCTCTCGGGGGGGAAGCTTGGCTTGTTAGCGTACGTACACGTAGCCAACCCCCTCTCCCCAACCCCAGGATAGCTCGTAGTTGTCCATCAAGGCCCAACAAAGATGCCATCCCGACGATATGTCTACACTAGTATAGCTCGCAAATGGGGTCGTGAGCCGCAAAGGTTCCACCACACACACAACGCACAACGGTTTCTCGGAATACTCCATCTGTCTGTGTGTGTGGGAAAGTTGTGGGCTAGGGTTTGATTGCATCGCCCAACACACATCACCGCAACGTCACAGGGTGATCTGCTTGCCATGTTTCCTCAAAGAGGCGGCGGTATGCACGACATTGACTCGGAGCAACGTGACGACTTGGTAAGGCAGTGGAGTGGGTGGAGCGTTTCAGCCTCCTCCTCTCTCTCCACCGCCCTTGATGAAAGTGTGGACCTGTTTGGCACGCTGGGAAACAAGAATGGCTCATCAGTGACGTTTATTGCACTATGATAGGGAGGTCTTTTCCTATCTATCGAATGCGGAATCCGGAATGCCGCCCAACGACCCAACCCGCGCCAGATTTTCCCGAACCCGTCTCCCGTGTCTGATGCTGCAGCGCAGTGCAGGTACCCATTAGCCTTCGTTGACCCATGACCCGCTCTACGCCTTGATGCACCTTAGAATGCATATATATTTTCCCGTCCCCCGTCTTCTTTTGCTGTGGACTTGATCTTTCAGCTGTTTGCACAACCGACAGGTGGTTGACCACAACCTTCGCATCATCAAAAAGGACGGACACGATTGTAAAATCTAGACGCCAGGCCAGCTAGGAAGTGCGTGTTGGTTTGCGGAAACGTTGGAAAGCCCGGCAATACGACTTTTTGTTCCGGTGGAAGACGATGGTGGCCTTTTGAGGTGATGCCGCGCTCCGTCTCCGTTCTGGTATTAAGGTAAGGGGCTTTTTGTGAAGGAGATTTAAAAGGCGTAATGTATCTCGAATTACGAAAAAGATGAAGTTGAGATGGGGAAGCCCGAGGCCAGATTCGTAAACCGTTCGTAGCTCGGCTTACATGATAATGGCGGGCACGTCGACGTTGGCCTTGATGGTCTTGTGCGGCAGGACGCTGCCGCCGTTGACGTAGATCTCGTCGCCGATAGTAACGTCGTCGCCCAGGACCGTCACGTTCTCGAGACGCGCCCACCTGCCCACCGAGCTGTTCCAGCCGACGATGGTGCTCTTGATCCAGGCGTGGTCCTTGACCTTGGATCCGGCCATCAGCACGCAGCGCTGCAGCCGAACGCCGTCGCCCACCACAACATCGGGGCCGATAGTCACGTTCGGCCCTATCCTGCAGTTCTTCCCAATCTTGGCAGAGGGGTCGATTAGAACATTGCCACCGTATACATACGGCTCGCTGGATGGCGCCAGCAGCTTGGAACCCTTCTTCGTAAGGGAAGAAAGATAGAGGCAGGTGCCAGTCAAGAAGTCCTTGGGCTGACCAACGTCCATCCAGAAACCCTCCAGGTCAAAGGAGTGCAGTTGACCGTCTGCGGCCATCGCCGGGAAGGTCTCCTGCTCGATCGAGGTGGGCCGCAACTCGATGCGATCCAACACGGTGGTGTTGAAGATGTAGATGCCGGCATTGATACGGTTGCCGACAAATTCGACGGGCTTCTCGACGAAGCGGTCGATGCGCGAGGGGTGGCTGGGCTTGTGGACAATGACACCGTACTTTGACGGTTCCTCCACCTTGGTCACGACGATGGTGCCCTCGTCACCGTGGGACTTGTGGAATGCCGCGAGCTCCTTGAAGGGGTATTCGCAAGTAATGTCCGAGTTGAGCACGAAGAACGGAGTGTCGTCCTTGCTCAGAACCGCCTCGGCGAGTTTCAGGGGGCCGGCCGTGCCAAGGGGTTCGCTCTCGATGGAGATGGTGATGTTGATGCCGAACTGTTCCTCGTACTATCGGCGGCAGCTAGTGTCAGCTCCGATATTCCCTCCTCATGATCTGCGCGCTTGCCAGGGTTAACTAACCTCGGCCAGGTACTTCTCCATAATCTCGGGGCGGTAGTTCACAGCCAAGACAATGTCGGTAACACCAGCGGCGGCGAGCGCCTCGATTTGGTGCAGGATCATGCGCTTGTTCCCGAACTCGACCAGGGGCTTCGGCAGTGTCAAAGTCTGTGAGGCTAGCGTTAGCCATGCCTCCTCGTTAAAGCTCAACACTGTCGAGAACGGTGATCGGTGCGGGGAGTCGTGGGCGTCGGTCCGGTCGATGAACGTACAAGAGGGCGGAGACGCGTGCCGAAGCCGCCGACAAGAATTAAAGCTACATGGCAAGCAAGGTCAGCCTTTATGTCTCCTCTCCGGAAGTATGTTGTATGTCGGCCTACCCTTCATGTTTGCTAGCGGGGAACGAATGAATTGGGCGAAGGTGGTATGGTATCAACGAGCGTAAGAAGGGAGAAATGGACGGGGATAAAGCGGGGTTTTAGTAGTGGCAACCTCGAGGATTATCAAGAATGGACACAAGAAGGGCAGCTGGTAACGACCTGCGATAAAACAGGGGGGGGGGCGCAATTTGAGTGGTGAGGTTGTGAAAAAGGTGGCCAAAAGCACAAAGGATGCCAAACACGAAAGGCAGGAGAGAGGGTTACCTTTTTCTGATGGTGTTGCAGCAGCGGGCGATGGGCTTGGGCTTCACAGCGCTGCTTGGGCAGGAGGGGAACCATTCCCTGGGCCACATGCCCAATGCACGGCCAATCAGCGGGCATCATCTCCCATGGCGAGATTAGATCGTAAAAGCAAGAGCCCATAACCAGTTCCTTCAGTGGATACCCCAACTTTACTGTGTTCCTCTCCTACCAAGTTCAGGGGTAGAATGTCAGGGGCTACTCAATGCCATTCATGGCTGTGCAAACGAGTCCATGCCTTCGTCCGAAGCCAGCTCTGCGAAACTTCAAAAGCTTGAAAGAGCTGACTGCAGACACGAGCGCAAGTCTTCATGGGTCATTCGGCTGGTTCCGGAAAAGTGTCCATCACTCCCAACAAAGTTCAGACGGGAAGATGCCTTCCGCTTTCGGAATTGAACCCCAACACGAGGTGAGCTGAATGAAGCATCACTTCTACCACGTTGACAGATCTTCAGAGACCCAACTCTTCAAAAAGGCTTATTTGTCAATCAGTGTCTTGCATTATAGCCAAGCAGAGATGCGAATCCGAACCCCCAGATGACGCGGCCCTGTCAGACAAAATGGACTCGGTTTTGAGACACCATCACGATCTCGTACGCCAGCAGGGGAAGGAATGCCAGGTCTCACTGGCGAAACATGAAACAGGAAAAGTTATTTTTCCGGCGTCGTCGGCGTGCCCGGCAGCCGTGTTTCTCGGGCCGGGTCGACCGTTTTCGAATTTGCCATTCCCGGCACCGCTCCAAGGTCGTACAAGATTGAATAACTATGGCATGGACGGACCGCATCGGGAGACGGTGAGCCCCCGTGGAGAGCCGGAGCCGGCCGGTCTCGGACCGCAGCCCGTGACATGCGGCCAACCCCGGGCACCGCCAATGAGCTGGGACGAATAACAGCTCACCAATCCAACCAAGGCTTCGAAACCGAACCCAACAGTCCGGAACGGCGAGGCGTTGGAGGGCTCAAGCGGCCGGACGGTTGCACCCACCACCACACCAACCCGAACCTGCTGCACGCCCCAACCGAGGACGAGGTGAATCCCGCGGGGCGGGGGGACGGGGTGACGAGGCATACATAGGTACTGTTGTACATGCACTCCAGTCTCCCGCTAATATGTATCCACGGGATTCCTCCATGGGAAAATGCCGCCTAGATTAGAGTGCGGTGGTGTAACTTCGTGGGGTACTTTGCACCCGCGACACGTGCGCTTCTCGGCCGAGCTTGCTTGCTGACCGCATACATCTGACTTGGTGACCCTTTTTGCTGGATGCCCCCTCTCGTGGCGGGCAGTTCGGGCAGAGCAGAAAAAGTAGCAGATGTCACGGCATAGCCTCACAATGAACAATCTTAGAGCGAGTCCAAAAATGCAGGTCATGGGATGGCGCCCCTCTTCCAATGTATTTTGAAAGCCACCGCTGCCTCTGTAGGACGTAATCGTCATCATAGTCGTCGTGTCGTCATTCGTCATTCATAAAATCTCCCCCTGTGTTGGGGACAACGAAACCAAGGTCCGCCTCCCGGCCCCCATTTTCTCGCTTCCCGCGCGGGCGCTCTCGAAGCGAGGCAACCCCAGCACGAGTAGAAAATCCTCCCAACTACACCCGCCCCTTCTGAAATGCGGCATAAAGCGCCAAGAAGAATGCAGAAAAAAGCGTGCTCCCGTCGCCAACACACCGGCGGATGCCGGGTGTGTCTCGCTGCCTCACGGTGTGGATGCCGTCCAACGTAAAGCTGGCCCAGCCGCCTCAGTCCATCATCCTTTGCCAACGGGCCAAACCCAGGGTTGCCCCTGGGACTTCCGACTCGGATTCTGGAGAGATGCCCGCCCCATATCTGGCTGGTTCTGTGTAACCCAGCAAGTTCCGTGGATGTGAAGTGGAAGAAAAAAAAGCCCGGGCGATCAAAGTCTTTCGCGAAATAGAAGTAGGAAAGAGAGAAAGAAAAATAACAAGAAAGCCCCAGGCCAACCATGCCTCCAAAGCCGGGTGGAGGCCATAGTTGGTTGTGGCCGGTCTGGTCGAAATACTCGTCAAAAGGTCGAACGTTGTCTAAATGGCGTCGTCGTAATAAGTCGTCAATCATGTCGTGAGAATGTAGAAAAGGAACGCTATCTCCGGCAAACAGGGGATAAAAAAAGGTCATGTCCTCATGCCGGCCTTGGGCTCCAAGTTTCCCGGTCCTGGGAAAGAGTTGGAGGCTATCAATGGGGTATAATCCACGGCTTGTCTCCCGCTGTCTCTCTCATCTCGTGGCGTCGCCGTGTCGCTGTGAAGCCTTCTCCGAATTTTATAGCAAAAGAAACGATCCGGTTCTGAATAATTGCTTGAGCTCCCGCTCTTCGCTGATTAGGCTTGGGGTCCAGATCCGGGGTGGGAGCGCGGCTGTCGAGACTCAGCGAATCCTAACCCGGCTCGGGTCCCGGCCAAACGGAAGAACTGCGGCTCCTTTTCAGCCTCACTCCAGCGAGGTGGTCGAGCTGCTGCTTGAGTGGTGGCTGGATCTGCTCCTGTGTCCGTGATTGGAGGTGCTCGTGTGACGACTGCTCTTCTTTGGCTTGCGAGCGGCCTCCTCCGCGGGTAGGCCCTGGACGATCCCGTTGCGGGCAAGCATGCCCCCGTTGACCGAGAAGTTCCGGCAAACCATAAAGGCACGCATGGCTGCATTCTCCTGGGCCAGGGTGCCGGATTCGTACTCAAGATCAGTTTGGTACTCCCGCCCATTCACCAGGACCAGGCACGTGTACCCATTGGCGTCCCGATAGCATTCATACGTGGGGTCATGCCACCCACGGCGCCGGCAAAGGCCTGTAAGTCACCCTGGTTAGCCCTTGTGTCCGTCCATTGCCCGTTAGACGTACCCTTTGGGGGGCGAGGAAAACGAGGAGGGGGTGCGGGATTGGGATGACGTGAAGCAATCTGCATGACAACCCAACATGATCGTCCTCAGCCCTACGGGACACATTGGATGGACAGGGGCCAGCAAATCGAGAGTTGATGGGGCTGAGATGCGGTGGCCATGGGTGCGAGGTCAGGGGCAGTGTAGAGTTGTGTGGGGGGTTGGCCACGTGGGGATGCCCTCCTCCTCAAAAAACACCCCACCATCACGGGGATGACGTGTGACCCAGGTCGACCACCGGGCCATGGACAGGCGAGCAAATCCTCCAAAGAGCCGATTGATAACTTACTTTCGAGATACTGCATGTAAAAACCGCCCATTGTGTCAATTGGTTTTTCGGTGAGCCCGGTGTGTGTTGCGTGGTTGATATCCGTGGCACCGGTGGCGCGAGGCGAAAAAAAAACAAGACCTGGATGGAGATGCAAAGAGACAACGGGCCGGGTGCCGAGACTCGGTGTGATGTGACGCAGTCGAGCCTAACCTAGGAGTGATGCGGCAGAGGAACCCACGGGGGTAAGTAGGGCAACGTCGGAGGTGAAAGCTTGTCTCACGGGTGGGAGGGTGGTGTGAGCTTGGGAGATTGAAGATGTTAAGGCTGATATGCTACGTATCCAAGGCGACAACGCAGGAAGGGACGGAAGCCATGGGTCATCACCGGCGAGACAAGTGCGCTTTATTGCGGTGACGGGAAGGGGAATGCGGGGCAGGGGATGGCAAAAATGCCCAGATCATACAGATGCAACAAGAAAACGACGGAGAGCTCGAACGGAGAGGAGGGAAGGGGGTCGTCAGACGCATGTCCACTGGGAGATGCGGCTCAAAGTGTGACCCATCTTGATGTGCTGGCGCGTGTCGTTGCCAGTTGATATAACCGCAGAGGCCGGGTCAACTCCACACCAACAACATGGGGGGATGCACACGCCGAACAGAGAGGTCTCGTTTGACAAGTCCGACCAGTTTGGGTCGGCGGAAAACAAGGACCCTAGCCCGATACTGCACCGCTTCGCACATGTTGGTGTTTCCCACTCGACCCTCCAACCTCCACATGCGGCCCCCCTCGCAGTTGTTTTTGACCGATATTCAGGCCGGCCAGTGGTGTTCTATCGGTGAAAGATTTATACGAACGATGGCAATTGGTATCTCACAGAAGGCCGGTGGCAAGCCGAACACGAGTCTACCAAGCGGGTTATTCGAGGGAACGAAAGTCGGAGGAGATCAGAACCTGTCTTCCTGGTTTGTTGTTGCTCCTCTCGCCAGACCTTGGTCCGCTCACCCCACTCTTGCTGAGGTCGGTGGACGAAAAAGAAGGGATGGCCTTGTTCGCAATGTTGAGGCCCGGGGACAGGGAGTGGGCCGGGAGGGCGGGACTTCGATGGATGCTCAGGTTTCGTTCGACGGCGACTAATAATACTACACCTGCAGCGAATCGCCCATGAAATGTATGAATGTACCGCGCGGTACAGCAACTGTGCCGTCCACGGGCAGGAGGCCCATGATGTACAAATCCCGTACATCCTCGATACATGAGAACCATGCCGCTCTCCTTGCCAAGCAGTGTATACTCTGCGGCAGACCGCAAAAGGGAGTGCGCGGCAGGACAGCGCCCCACGAGTACATGACTGGATAGGCTCGTGGGGAACGGGAGCAGGATACGGTGCTGATGAGAGCTAGCAACGACGCAAGTGCCCGGGGCCAAAATGCAGAGGTTGATTCTCCGGGCCATGCAGACGCGGCCCATGAGCGATTCGCCAGTTTCACGTCTCCGTCACCGTCGGCAAGCGACAGAGGGCCGGGGCCTAAAAAAGCGGTTCTGGAAACTTTCCCAACATGCGACAGGCACTCGCCGGGTGAGCCGACGAATCAGGAGCGGGCAATTGGGGTTTCTGGGACGACAGCTAACAAGACTCGAAAAAAAGTCGAGACGGCGGCCAGCGCTTGTCGGGACCGTTTCGGCCCACGAGGAAGGCATTGGACGGACCCGCGATCGTGATCGTCTGGATGGCGAATTCTGCCCCTCCCTACCGGACCAAACAGCTAGCCGGGGTGAGCTGGGAATCGGAGAATGACTGGCTTGAGGCCACACCACGAAGTCGGTGAAGGACGATGAGGTGCATGAACAGTGGCTGGGGCCGGCAAACCCTTGCATGTCCTGCATCTGGCCCCAACGACGAGCGGCTGCTCTGAATGGCGGGCGCGGCCACAAGGCAACTAGGCACAGGCCAACCTTAACGCTCATGCAATGATGAGCTGGCAGTGCTTCTTGATATTAAAACAAGACTCCAGGTATGGATCGGGGCGTGAGGGGCAAAAACATGGCGAATAGCCTCCATCGAATGGTTGCACCGACAGCGCGACCTGCGACCGGCCTCGGACCCACGATGCTCATCCGCCGAAGCGAGGGCGGGGAGAGGAGAAGACAGAAGAGGGGAGGTTGGAGCTCCGAAGGAAGCTCAGTTTTTTAATTGCCAGGGCAATCGATGGATGGGGCATGCGATGGACGTTGGAGGATGAAAGGTGAGCGGAAGCAGGGGATTGCCGGGTTCAGCGACGCGGTGGACAAAAAAGATTCGCGAAGAATCTGGAAGGTGACCGGGACAGGAAATTGCCTCGTCGTGGGGTAAAGAGGTAACGAGGTACGTACCTTACAGACGCACGATACGGTACCTTCCTGGAACATCACAACACATACCCCACCAAAAACACCGGAAGGGAAGGCACAAACTTCGTTAATGACCGAGGGCTTGGAGGGGGCATCGTACTGTGGATTTTCCGTTTGAGAGACCCGCGCCGTTTACGGAATTACCACGAAAGAAGACTTGGACATCCCTCTGTACAAACGCCATCCACGCGATTTCCTAGTGTTTGACCACTGAGTGGGTGGTGAGTGGTTGGGGCAAGCAAGGGCGGAAGAGCGCCAGGCAGAACTCGAGCCGTCAATGGTCCAATCCCGTGCGTTTCCGGGCTTCCAAACTTCCAAACAAAACGTCAACGACGATCAGGGACGTCAGATGGTTGGACATGAGCCTTCTCCCGCAAACGGCTGACAAGAACGATCCACTGGTATGGGGCCACGCGGAGATCACACACAGGACGATTCTATCACGCCGTTTCATTCGTGGCGGTTCATCGAGACGACACTAATCCGTTTGAACTCGAGCGAACAAATTCCTGGCGTCCAGGCGACGGAACCGCGGAACCAGAATGCCAGTTTCATTGCCAACGACATCCCGCCCCTGTGGCTCCGAGAGCAGCCCGGGTACTTTAGTTTTGGATCCGGTAACTGGCATACATCCACAGTACATGCTCGGTCAAGCCCGCGAAGAAAGCTTCGCTGTGGATGGTCGATGGCCAACAGCAAATATACTTCAGACGAACTTTGTGGGGACAATATGTCCGAGAATTCGACAGGGATTCTCGAGGCTGTGAATGAGGGGCAAAAGTGAACCCCTCAGGTCGGAGTGCTTCCCGCCCCCACAACGTCATCCCTTGGAACAACCGACCGAATCGCAGCGGGGATCGACGACACTCCGAATACCAAGTCAATACATAGTATGTTCCTACTGGGGCACAGTTGGGAAAATAAGGACATCACCGAAGCGGCATAGAAACGAGTAACTCAAAGAACAACACCATCTATCACCGTAACCTCAAGCCTGGGTCATGGTCCCTCCTCTCTAGCCATGCAACCTCCGCTGCCCGTTTTGGAAACCACTTCAGATGCCTCGTTCACATACTACAACATAAACTCGGATAGATTACACCACAGCTGTGGTACCTCTCGAACTCATGCAGCAGGCCGCCTTGCATGCAACCCTCCGCTGGAGATCTTGGAGCCACTGGCGGTCGTCCTCCGGATGCTAGCTGGGACCCTCCCCGAGGCCCATTACCGCGGCCATGTGTTGCAAAAACACGGAAACAGATGAGTCCGAAAAATGAGACCGAGGAGGAGAGAACCAAGAGAAAGAGACAGAGAGAGAGAGAAACCGGCTGGCTACCACTACTCAGGATGAGAAGAGCATTGGTCATCTGGATATTCGGCATGCAGCCGCAGCTCCATCCTGTTTTCTTGCTCAACCACCCTCGACTATGGTCGGCTTCCGCGGCAGGCGTCGTTGAGGGCCCACGAAGAGGAACGCGCCGTAAACGCGAAAAATACAAATGAAATATTAACAAAAAGATTCCGTTTACCGCGGTGGACGCGTCGCAACCTCCACCGCCAGTCGACCCTCGTATGGGCCGTCTTTCAGGCTCGCCGCCCCCCCCCCATCCGCTCAGGCATGGATGGCCCGGGCCGGGTGGAAAAGAAGGGTCGGGTGTCGTGCTTTGCTCGGGGATTTCCTCGGCGCATGCAAAGGCCCAGGCATTCGGTTCGCCCAGATTCCTCATGGGATGGGAGGCGAGACACCCGGGCTGCATGAGTAGTCGGCGCGGGCGGTCGCCCAACTGGCCCCCCGTGTCTGCAGACATCATGCCAGCGAGGCCTGGAGACCCAATGCTTGGGAGCAGCAAGCGTCAGGAGGCATGGGAGGATACCGGCGGTGGAGTACGTTGGTCGGCATGCCGACTCAGATCCCAGATAGCTAGCTGCACCTTGGTCTTGGGAAATGGCCACCCGGCCGGCCGCCGCCGCCGCCGCGGGGGTTTTGTCAGGGACTGGAGCACGTCGGTGCCACTTCACTTGACGGCTTCTGCTCGGTGATCATGATATTGAGGAGGCAAAATCTCAGATTGGAGACCCCCGTTTCTCTCCACCAGGATGGACGCGGATCACTGCCTGGCCGCGGCACTTCTAGACGCGATAGATACGGAGTGCAGTATACGTGCACTTTCCTTTCCGAAGAACTAGGTCATTCTGATGGTCGATGGGGGTTCAGTACACCGCCGCTCCGAAATATCCCGAGCCTACCGCGCACCAAATTGCGCAGAGTGATGTTTCCTTCTCAGCTTTGATACCCCATGACAGAAGCAGCGTAAGAGATCCCAAGCCCGGCCAGTCACGTCAACGGTAAGCAGCAGGACAAAGGCAACCGGCAGTTTAATTCGGGTCTGCACATTATTTTCCTTTTGGAAGGGCCGGCATCTCGTCGTCTCCCGACAGCCACCCAAAAAGACCATGTGGCGGGAGAACACCACAACAAAACGCACGCCCCTGATCACGTTTTTCTTTTACGATCCAACAGCCCCATATTGCTTTGTATTTGTCAGAACCCCGGCCTCTCCGCGAAATACGCCTGAATGGCCCTCACGGTCGGCTGCGGGATGGCGTAGACGGGGTGGATCGGGCGCACGCGGTCCTTGTTGTCGAAGACCTGCAGGCCGTCGAGGTAGGGCAGGACGGCCCACACCGCTTCCAGGTCCGCTTGCTTGTTTGGTCCCGCCGATGCTGCTGCATCGTTGGGCTCGGCGGCGGCGGCGGCGGCGGCGTCGGGCTGCGCGTCAGGCTCGAGCTCGTCCAGCTCCCACTGGTGCTGGGCCGAGCTGAGGCCGGACAGGACGTAGCAGGAGTGGTAGGCGTCTGACATCCTGGTTGGGAGGGGGGAGGTTAGTCCGGGTGGCGTGACATGACACATGATTCGGCACGGGGATCGGCACGATGAGGAATGGAGAGACGGGATCATGGGTAAGGGGCAGGCGCGGGAAAAAGGGGGGGGATGGTGAGGTTGGCGACGTGGACTCACTTTCCGGGTTTGTCGCGCAGGCCGCCCCGTTTGGTCTGGTCTTGGCAGCAGCAGAGGATGTACCGTATCAGGCCTTCTCGGCTGAATAGGCTCTCGTCTGCTGGCGGCAGACTAGTCTTGGTGATGGTGGGAGTGGTTGCGGTGGCGGTGGCGGTCGGGTCGTCTGCGGCCACGGCTCCACCGCTGCTGCTGCGGCTGGGGTTGCTGTTGAGGCATGCTTCGATGAGTGGAAAGCATCCGCCGACCCAGTGACTGTAGCAGCCGTCGACCAGCTTGTTGGTGCGCCCGGAGAAGCCCCCCTCGGGTGCATACTGCCGTGATGACAGCCAGGCGATCAACCGTGGAACGTCGAGATAGCTATTGCAGATTGATCGTCGTCAGTTATGCCGTGCTCTCTTCGCCACACGTGGGTGGATGGATTCATGGATGGACGTGGAATGCAGAAGCAGCTCTGCTCCCGCCATCACCCGATGCTGCGCACATACCTAGGGATGCTGCGGCCTGGGTGGTCGAGGAGTGCGAGGCAAGCTAGCGCGCAGAAAGCGTATGCCCCGTGGGCTTCGGCATTTGGCTGGCCTGATATGCCGCCTTCAAATGTTTGGCCTGGGTGGTGTGTTAGCAGTAGTCTGGCGATGGGATCGGCGTGCATCTCCGCTGCTTACATCGTCGTACATACTGAGCGACACCGGTGAGGAGGTTGGCACTGCTGTCTCCTGTATATGCCGGCGACTCGGGTGCGAGATCCAGCGGGAGACGCAGCAGTGAGATGATGACCGCTGCGCAGTATGCCCCCCTTTCTCGGCGGTCAGCTCCGACCTTGTCTCGTTTCTCAACAGACGCACCTGATGTCCTGCTCGCCCCCGACAAAAACCTGAAATCCGCCATCCGGCTGCTTCAAACTCCCGAGCCACCTCCACATCGCCTTCCGATCGACGACTTCATATGCTTCCTCGCCTCCGACCAAGGCAAGTGACAGAACGACGGCATAGGTGGTCGCTATGTGAGAGAGCTGCCTGCCGCCGCCACCGAATCCTCCCGTGTCGTTCTGCATCGAGCGCGCAGTCTGAATGATGGAATCCCGGTAAGACGTCACGTCCTCCCCGAGCATGGTGAGCGCCGACAGACACCAGTACAGGAACCACGGCCTGCTGGCGTCGGCGGCCACGAAGCGGGCGGGAAGCTTCCCCAAGCACTGATGCAAGAACCGAACATGCCTCGCCCGGTCGATACCGGGCACCCCGTGCTCGTTGCACTCGTTTTCCCCATCCTCCCCGGTCAGGAACGGAAGACACGCCTCGACGGTCTCATCCTGGACCGTAGAGGTGCCCGTGACGAGGGGGGTCCCGGACGGGCGGGGGCTGTGTGAAAAGATCGGGAATCATGAAGCTCGGGTGGATCCTATCGAATACTATTTCCTCGTCTACTTGTTCGATATCCCGACTGCGGGTTGCCCGAGACGATGATGATGCCGAAGATGGTGGGCGCCGTTGTTGGGCTGCCATCTTTTTCCATGGGAAGGCAACGCCTTTTTGACGCATTTGACCCTTTGTTCCCAACCGGGTTGTCGAGTAGCTAATTCTCTCGAATGGGAGACGCCAAATAAAAAGACAATAGTTGTGATGGCCTTACTCGTTCACATTGTTCTGATGCCACAAATGGAAACTGGGCATGGTTGCGGCAATGGGGGCGTTGTGATTGGGGCATGAGCGCCAAGAGTTGAGCGGGTGAGGGGAGTTGGAGTTTGCTGGAGGAAAGACCCTAAAAGCGGGCCAGCTTCCTTCCGTAAACTAAATTTCATGTTGTGTACTGTAGTTACCAACTTGGAAGAGTCATCGCATGATCGCTTCATTCATCGCCTTCGTTTGGTTTGATGATTAGGGTTAAGCGTGCATAGGTACCTATCTACTGTGTAGAATCGGAACCCCTCCTTTCAGCTCGGTCGTCTCAACATGACCCCGCTCAGTCCCGGAACTTCCATCACGTCTGTGCTCCTCTTCGAGTCCCGGGTTGGCGCCGGGGCACAGCGCACGGAACCAATAAATCATCCGTGAAGGTTCCGGCACCGGGCCGGGGTTCTGTATTCGGCATGCCGACGTCCATGCGCCGGTTGCGCCAGCCACAGTGTCCAGCCACCGTGGCCAATTTTCGTCCAACGCCGAGTCGAGCGAATCGAGCGAGTTCGAGTCAAGTCGACGGGAGTCTTCGAGGTCGGACCCGCCCGCTCGGTCTTCGGTCCGGCCTGCGCAAAAAAGGGACTCGGACTCGGGACGCCAGCGCGAACCTTGCCGGACAGGCCCCAGCTCCCATTGTTTTGAATGAGCCAGTTATAAAATCCCCTTCACATGGCTTGGGACATATCCGTGCTTTGTTGAAGGCGATCCTCTCCCGTCTACCGACGGTCCCGGCAGATCAGACAGATCTACGAATCTAAATCGTATTATCCGTCCTCGGCGGCTAGCTAGCGGGGTTCTAAGACAGACAGACTATGGCGCTATCCAAGTACCTTTGCACGGATTTGGGTATATGGTCCACCAAAACTAATCATCTCTGAAGAGCCCGAGAGTTGAGCCCGTTGGAGTGTTTCGAGAGGCGAGACTCAACCTCCTGTTTATGCGGCCGGACCAGCTGGCGGCACGGGGCCGGCCTGGGCTGCAGCAAACCACTGCGCCCGGGTGGCCAAAGACCGGGGCTGGTTGAGGGAGGAGGCTCCGAGACGGCAACCGCGGGTGCCGGATTCGTTCGGGAGCTTCCCCGGCCGAACAACCACCGGGGGTCTGGCCGAATCCGTCTTGGGTCGTGACAAGCCCCCCCTTTTACCCCCGCGCATCGCCCCATGTAAACAACCCAACACGCGCATCTCCAGCCAACCCAGACCAAGAATATCCCGCTGCCTTGAGCGGGAACGCGTTGTTAGCTTGTTGCGCGGCAGCAGCAACGGCGTCTCCGTCTGTGGTATGTTTTGGGCGGATTGTCCTCTTCTCACTGCTTCGCCGCCTCGACGTGTCTGCCGGGAACCTTGTTTATTCGCTCGGCGGTCTTTAGGGGTCTTGTTTGACAAAACCCATGACATCTCATCACCCCGGTTTCTGTTTACTGTGTCCTATCCGTAAACTGCTCTCAACGGCCGGAGACGTGGATATGGGCCCCTGATGGAGGAGCATGGCGGCATTGATAGTCGGTGGAGTCGTCAAGAAAGGCATGTTGTTCGAGGCCCCTGATGCATGCCGCGGATAAGCCCCTCCTCGCTAGCCTGGCACGCCTGGGTTGTTGTTTTTGCCCCAGTGGAGTGATTGACGTGGGCCTTGTCCAGCGAGCCCGTTAGTTAGCTTGTTAGCCTGCATCAACGAACCTGAAGATGGCCTGATAATTGATCACCAAGAGAGTCGAGTTTTCTTCGTCCATTTCTGATTTTTCGTAAACGGTAACCATGAGAGAGAGCCGAAGCCAATTGACCAATCCACGTGCTCCGATTCTCAACATTTCGAATTTCAGCGGGACCGGCCGTCAGCGAGGTGGCTTCGTGAGGTTCATCAGAAGCAGTGATAGAAGTTCCCACTTCGGGAGGGATCTGATAAGTGTGGAGAAGCGTGGAGACAGAACGAGCAGACCAAGCCAGATGCACAGTGGGAAAGGAAAGCTGGGCACCCAGTTAATACTCCGAAACCAGCTCAACGAGCCGAGTGCAACCCAGGCCAACGGTGACAACGCATTCAGCCGCCAATGGGGGGCGCGCAGCCTGAAGAATTGATTCGGTAGAAGCCGAGGTGCCATCGCACAACAGGGAGAACACTGTCAAACGAAACTGCCATGCTCCCACGGGCATGCTATGGAACGGGAGCCGTTGCATCTCCCCACGCAGGCACAGGCACCACCGCAATGCGTCCCGAGTCGAGATGGGAGTCTCACACGCAGACGTCACACCCGAACATTTTATCTCGAGAATGCACATGGCTTATCTGCTTGCTTCTGTTGTTTTGGTGGACAGCGTCTCGGCCCGTGCTCGAGGAAACTCGATCTGCGCGACATCGAGGTGGGCTCAGCTGCCCCACCACCAAAATCCCGGCTGGTGGTTCAGATTTGTGGAGTTTGAGGCTTCGAGTTCATCAATGCAAGATGCGCCTCGGACATCCCTTTGACGAGAACCGGGGCACCCGACTTCGATAACAAAAAATACAGATCTGTCAGGGGCGTCAAAGGCACGACGGCAACGAGGCTCTGGGATATGTGGTGATTATTGAATGGCACGGCACACCTGTTCCTCGGGAGGGTTTGTGACCTAACAGCGACCGAATCACCACTTCCCTCTCAGCTCGGAAATGCCAACTGGTGGCGGCTCGCACAATTCTTATTTTGACACGCACGACACGCCTCTCCTGGATCCGACTCCGCGATGTTGGTGAGTCGGCACAGCGGCGGGCGGGGCTGGGAAACCTGGTAGGATGGCGGATGGACAGGTCTTAGCACAGTGCGGCGCGGCGAGACCACGACGATCCCGCGGTGCGAGTTCGACCATTCGCGGCCCGGGTGGCTGCCAATGATTGGATGACAGGACCCTGCACCCACCCACGGCAGGCGTGATCTGGGGCGGCATGGTCCAATCAGTGAGGGCCCTAGGACCGGGTTTGGCTGCACCCTCACCGCCTCTTCTCAACCGACAGGAGCGAGCTGCGTGGGAGAGAGCGACGACTGGGACGGGGGGGCCAGCGTTGCGCTCCACCAGCGCCCCCGTCCAGCACTCTAGTCCAGCGATCTTCCGCTCCCGGGACCAAGCAAGGCGTTTTCTCACGCTCTCGCCAACGCCCGAAAGGGTTCCTCCCGCACGATTTCCCCAGACTATCGCGCCGCCTCCTTTCCCTTTCCCACGAGCAACGCAGACGAAAGCGCCAGGACCCGTCCTCGGCGGAGTCGAGTTTCTCTTTTTGTCGGCGACGCAACGCTGGATAGAGACCCGGCACAACGAACCCCTCCTGACCGACTCGACATCCCAAGAGAAAAGAGCGGTGTCCATCCATCCCCCTCGTCCCCCTCGTCACCCTCGTCGTCCCAAGCCCGGCGCGACAATACTCCCGAATATTCTCCAATCCCCTTTTGACCGACCCTTTCTGTTGCGTTCCCTTCCCGGATCTGCCCAACATGACCTACGACTTCACCACCGCTGGGGGAGAAGCCGCACTGTTGGAGCAGCTTGTGTTTGACCACCGCGACCGCTACTCTTATCCCGCTGTTTCCTCGGCCGCCCCGTCTCAGGATCTCTCCTCGACCGCCCTGACCACCATGCCGCAGACGAGCCGTCAAAGCTTGAGCCCGGTCACGAACTGGTTGCCCCTCGATCTGACCGGCACCGTGAGCGCGCCCATGTCGATCCATTCGCCTAACTCGGCCAGCGGCTCGCCCTCATCCCCAGATGACCAGAGCGCCCGTTCGCCAGGGCATCAGAGCAGCACGATGTCGAGCCCGCTCCAACAACAGCCGTCCCCGTACCAGACAGCCGCTCACACACATCCCACGGGCCTCATTCCGGACTGGTCTCTTCCGCTGCAGGCCCAGCAGCAACGGGCTGCTGAACTCTCGCAGTTCATCCAGGACCCTGCCTTGATGAACTTCAATCCCTATGCGTCCAACTTCCAGCCCGCTCAGATGGAATATCTTCCCGCGACCACACAGGCCTCGCTCGACGCCAGCCTCGGGCTAGAACCGGCATTCATGCCACCGATGGATCCCGCTTCGCGGGTAATGCAATGGGGGCCAAACTGGCAGGATTTCGATCAGTCACTCAACTTTCAGCAGCATGACGGCCTCCCCCGTGTGGGGAGGAGTCTGGGGAGCCATTCCCCAACAGGCACATTCCTCGAGGTCCTGTCATTGGGCTCGAGCAGCGACAATGGTTGGACATCGGTGGAAATGTATCCCAACTGCGATACCTTTACCCAGCCCCAGCATTCCCAAAACCAGGCAATTTTCAACCCGAGCCAAACGCTGCATTTGAGGACGAACTCGGATTCCTCGACGTCTGACGCCAACTCGCTCGAGTACGGCTACGAAGAGGTTGCCTTCCCTTACTCTCCCTTCTCGCCGGGCTCCGACGGCTTCGTGGACCCCACGAACAGCCACCGCAACTGCTTACACGGAGAGCATCACCACCACGCATCGACATCTCCGGAACTAATCAGCCCCACCACGGCCGTGGCGCCCTTGCCCATCAAGACTGTGACGCCCACTCGGCCCGTGGTCGCTAACGGGTCTAGCGGCTCCGGGTCTACGTCCCCCCCGTCGCGGCGGAATTCGGGGACTAGGAAGAGCCCTATCGCCAAGGCCACAAAACCCGTCATCCGGAGGACATCGACAGGGAAGAAGGATGGCACTGGCGAGAAGAAGGTGGGCAGGCGGCGCGGCCCCTTGCTCCCGGAGCAACGCAAGCAGGCTAGCGAGATTCGGAAACTCAGGGCGTGTCTTCGGTGCAAATTCCTCAAGAAGACGTGCGACAAGGGCGAGCCTTGTGCGGGCTGCCAGCCTTCTCACGCTCGCCTGTGGCAGGTTCCTTGCACGCGGATTGATATCAAGGACATTGGCTATTTCATGAAGGACTGGAAGGCCGATTACGAGCGCCATCTCGGCCGCGGCATGTCGGTGTTCAACGTGAAGGGTTTCGCGCAGAAGGAGACGCTGATGTGGATTACGCACGGTTACGGCTTCTGCCTCCCGGTCCTGGTCCGTGAGGTGTACGTGGCGGATGAGAGCTGCTTCCAGCTTGACTGGGTTGAGTCGACCCTCCAAGATCAAGATCCCATTGATTTCGAGATCCGCACCGAGCGCCTTGATGTTGGCCAGGAAGGCATCTCGATGGAAGCCCTGCACGAGTACCTCGACAAGCACATCGACGAGGGCTTTGAGCAGTTCATCGACGACCATTTCGAGGGCACTCCTTTCATCACCGACATTTTCAAGACCGCATACCGGTTCTACACCAAGGAGAGACTCCCCGTTATCCGCAAGGCCCTCAAGCTTGTTGTGGCCTACAACCTCACCCTGCACATCACCATGGTCGAGCAACCGCAAACAGAAGAGCCGATGGAGGGTCAGATCGATGACGAGGACTCCAAGTACTACGGCAAGGTCGTTGCTCCCGTCATGATCAACTTCCAGATCAAGTGCGCCATGGCCGACATGTGGCGTGAGTTGCAGAAGGATATTCTCGAGGAGCTTTCGGCTCTCTACTCGAGCGTTTACAGCGGAGAGCGGTTGAAGAACTGGCCCACCATCTTCATGCTCGCTTCCATCCTGCTGGCTGTCTGGGAAGAGATTCAGTTCGATTGCCACTACCGGGTCCCCGACCCGGTCGCCGTCGACAAGTTCTGCAGCGACATGGAGACCGTGCCTGTCGGCGTTATCGTCGGCCTGTTCCACGCCATCTCCCAGAAGCTCCCGGCCTTCACCGAGTGGGACACCCGGAGGCACGGCCAGCTGCTCAACAACAACCCCGCTGTCTGCGACGCCATGACCGAAGTACGGCAGCATGTCATTAAGCATGGTAAGTTACAACGCGCCTCTCGTTCCATGAGGCACGAGCTGACCCTTTATACAGAGGCATATCTGAGGACGCGCTCCGAATCCAAGTTTGACCGCTACGACTTCGACTCGTTATCAAACAAGCTGCTTTCGAAGCTGGTCATCCGGTCCAACTAGGCTTCTGCCTCTGCTTCTGCGACATGCTGTTTTTGCCACAACACACCGTTGTTGATGGTATAGACACTCTGTTTCGACCTGCGAGGGCTATGATTTCTATTTAATCTCCGTCTCTTATGTTTTGCTTGATTTTGTCTGGTGCTGCTGAGCGACGGCGTTCTTGTCTTTCGTCTCTTCATCTTTTCCCTCTTACTACTGTTCTATTTTCACTTGCCACGACTCTCGTTATTATCTGTTTATTTTCATCTTCAGCACTCTCACTCTGGGCTGGTTAACCCACACGACGGGACCCACGCTACCACGGAAATGACTGACGTCCATGATGACGGGAAAGGCATTGAGTTATGACCAAAAGCACACAAATATTTTTACCACCTTGATGATTTGTTTAGACTCGCACACATACATACACATCGCATTTTACGCAGCCCAACACCTACACCCGGCACCGCAACAGAGCACCGACGATCGTGAAATGCCGTCCCTCGGCGGGACGGCGATCGAAGGAAAGGGGGCAATGGGACACAGAGGGCGGGGGAACGACATTGAGAATGGATGGGCAATGCTGCTGGGGCGATTTTGTTTCAGTTCGCGGCGATGCTTCGCGGATCACGAAGACGAAACGCGCAGAGCACATAGAAAAAGACTTACTTTTGCTGTTTTTGGTTACATTGGTTTCGGTGCTGGTTTGAGAGGTGAATGTGGTATATGACTGTTGTGTCGGAGTGCCTGCTTGTTTGAGTTTGGTTGTCAACCTGGACGTTTAGTTGCTGGATGGGGGTGTGTCAGTTGTGTGGTATTGAGCGGTGGGTGGATAACGAGGAGTCGTGGATAACCGGAGTTGAGACTTGGATGAATCGCCTTGAATTGACCGACTGTTTCGAGGATCGATACTACTTACTGTGAGACTCGGTAGTAGGTGTGGCTTGGTTGTCGATGCCCTCAAGGTACCCCACCGTGCATAAACCGAAGCGCCCTACATCACGCACCAGACACTGTGGTCCATCTCATTGCGCTTCGGCTATTTTGCTTTTTCTGATAGATGACTGCATCTCCATCTCTCCCACACCTTTTACAAGTGCCCAGTCCCAGGGACAACTATTGGCAGTTCCTACCGGTTACCCGCAGTCGCTCGGGCATCCCGGGCCACGATAAACCGCTTCCGCCCCTCCATCATGGACTCTTTTTGGGAGGGGGTGGTATGGTGTGTTGCGGCCCGCTGCCCCTTTTTGGGCTGATGCGAGGTTGAAGGGGTTGTGGGATTATTAAGCGCCTTCGAATAATCAGAAATATCAACGCAAATATACGCGATGCTCAGTCCTCGCCGCACACACACAGGCGTAAGAGGGGTTCGAATGCAAATTGGCTTCTAAGTTGGGGCCAGGGAATTGTCATGATGATGTGGGACTCGGTTTTTCTTGACTGGGGAAATGTGTGGAATGTATTCGTACAACGGTGATATCAGCCTCGCCATTTTGTTTCTTTCTTTCTCTCTTTTCTTTTTCCTTTTTTAATCTCTGAACGGCGCCGTTTAGAGCGTTGCCGGATTACATGGAGTGATTGACAGGGACGATATGGAGCCCCTTGGCGAACGCGCGATGACGTCGATCAGATGACAGTTCCTGCTGGGGTTCCTGCCGACAGAATGGCGCGATTTGAGCGTTTCGGGTCCGATGCATGAAGTCCCTCCTCGATAGGGCCAGTTACACCGCAACTTTACCCTTATTGCACGACTTTCCCTTTCGGAAGGCGCAGGGCAAGAGTATTTTCGTGCCTCTTTGCCTGCTCCCGAGGAAGAGGTCCTCTCGGGAAGTGGGGAGGGGCTGGGAGTCGAAGGACGGTGCGAGAGAGCAAAAGCATTTCGAGCAATGCCCGATAAGCAGCCCGAGCACACCCGGCGCAGTCCAAAATACCGTGTACTCTCCCGATAGAGCGGGAAGAATCGCAGTCTGAGACCTGCTTGCCCGATCGTAACGGGAACTGCCCGACGGGGCAAAAAACCGCCCCGCTCGGCCTGGTCTCCGTGTTAGGTGGCCGTCTCGGAAGCCAACAAACTACAAGCGGTCGGTTGGAGATCGTTAATGCATCTTGCTATCCAAAATATCGAGTTGGCCACGACTTGAAAGTGGCACATCTCGACGGGCTGGCCGGCGTTTGCAATATTCGCCGACCACGTCACCGGCCTCGCCGGGCCCATCAGGAAATGCGGGGGCGGAGCTGAGGCCGTTGGCGCTAGGACCGGGGTGGTTGGTGGTGACTGCAGACAGGCTCACACGTTGTTCTGCTCCCAACAGAGGAACGAGTTGTGGAGCAGAAGCCAACGGTTTCACAATAACACAGATTACTTTTTGGAGTGGAAAATCTATGATCAATGGACGGAGCAAACATACCTACATTTGCCTGCTGATTCAGCGCGTGTGCGCTGTGGCAAGAAAGACCGAAACGGCAAGGCTGTTCGATTTGCCTCCATTGTGCACCGCCTGTCTGGCCTGTTCTGGTGACTTCGCCCCACTTCTTTCACGTCGCATTGACCGCTGTGCGGCTGTTGCGCCTTCCTGACGCATTCACAGCCCCGCTCTTCGGCGGCAGCCTGCCGCAGTCAACCTCCCTGCCCGATAGTATTTAACCCAGCCCAGTTTCCTCTACCACCCGGATCTTTCTCTTCCCTCAAACATCATCGACTTCCTTTGCTCCGCTACCGAGAGGCATAATTCTTCCTCCACACACACACAAACAAATACTTGAGACCGATAAGAATACCTGCAAACATGCAGATCTTCGTCAAGACTTGTAAGTTGCGACCGCCATTCCAGTGCACGGTCGGGCGTCATCACCAGGCGCGCTCCGTTCCCCGCCCTTTGACTCAATACTAACTACTGAACTAGTGACTGGCAAGACCATCACCCTTGAGGTGGAGTCCTCTGATACCATCGACAACGTCAAGTCGAAGATTCAAGACAAGGAGGGTATCCCGCCCGACCAGCAGCGCCTGATTTTCGCGGGCAAGCAACTGGAGGATGGCCGCACCCTTTCCGACTACAACATTCAAAAGGAGTCGACGCTCCACCTCGTCCTCCGTCTCCGTGGCGGTATGCAGATCTTCGTCAAGACCCTGACCGGCAAGACGATCACCCTCGAGGTGGAGTCCTCCGATACCATCGACAACGTCAAGTCGAAGATCCAGGATAAGGAGGGCATCCCTCCTGACCAGCAGCGCCTGATTTTCGCCGGCAAGCAACTCGAGGATGGACGCACTCTTTCGGATTACAACATTCAGAAGGAGTCCACCCTGCACCTTGTCCTGCGCCTGCGCGGTGGTATGCAGATCTTTGTCAAGACTCTGACGGGGAAGACCATCACACTGGAGGTTGAGTCTTCGGACACGATCGACAATGTGAAGTCCAAGATCCAGGACAAGGAGGGTATCCCGCCTGACCAGCAGCGTCTCATCTTTGCTGGTAAGCAGTTGGAGGATGGCCGGACTCTGTCCGACTACAACATTCAGAAGGAGAGCACCCTCCACTTGGTACTCCGGCTTCGCGGTGGTATGCAGATTTTCGTCAAGACCCTCACAGGGAAGACAATTACTCTGGAGGTGGAATCTTCGGACACGATCGACAACGTGAAGTCCAAGATTCAGGACAAGGAGGGCATCCCCCCGGACCAGCAGCGGTTGATCTTTGCGGGCAAGCAGTTGGAGGATGGCAGGACACTGTCTGACTACAACATCCAGAAGGAGAGCACTCTGCACTTGGTGCTGCGTCTCCGTGGTGGCCAGTAAGCAGTTGGGGTCCTGGGAATGGGGGACATGACGGTGGAAGCGGTTCTGGGAGGGTCAGCAATAAGCGACCACGGGAATTCTCGCTTTTCTAATAGCATCACGACACGGTACCATTGAGATACCTTTGACGAATAGACTCGATTTGGGTCTCACTAAAACGTGCGTTTGCGATGCGATGTGATTGATGATTCTTGATGATGAAATGATGCGCTTAAACACACTGGCACTGGGCGGTGACGCGCTGCGCTGCGGGGTCGTTTTCGGAGTGCATATCCTAGCGCGTCAAGCGACCCTGAAAGTTCAAGTTGCGGCATACCAAAGCGACGGGGAAGCAATTCATCCAAAATTTTAATTTTCTCCAGCGATGCAAATAATTGACGGGGCAAACACGATTGATCCATGATGCAGCTTGCCAGTGCTGCAAGAGACCGCAAGCTTCGAGAAGCAGGGCCTTCATTACCTCCGTGACCCCTCCTCCGCAGGCTTTGCCACCATTATTACCACCTACCTCTCTTCGTACTGTCAGCAGTTCTCTTCATATCAACAGCTTGCGACCCGAGCCGCGCACCCTTTGGGCCCGACTTGACGACGCAGTTGTAGTCCTGCTGCTATGACACCGTACGATTACCATCTCAAGTTTGAGCTGTACGCGACGCCCGATCCAAGTACGGCCGCGACCGCGACCACGCCAGGCGACCAAGCTAGCCACAGCAGCACCAGCAAACCCGCCACATCCGATCACGACATCTGGATTCCCGCCCCCGGCGCGAGCATCTTCGACGAGCTTCCCTCCCACCCGCGCTCCCGAACCCGACAACAGCCCGCGCAACCGATCCCCCCGCGCTGGCGCCAGTGGGACCTCAGCCTCGACGGTCCTCCCTACGGCGCCAACGCGAACGGCGATAGCGAACACACGAGCACCACCCGCCGGGCGAGTACATACAGCGGCGGCACCGTTTCCGTGCCAGCGAACTCGAGAGTCATCGACTGCGGCGCGCGCCGCGGTGCCGCCGGGCCGGAGGGTACTGTGTCGTCCGGGAGGAGCGCGCGGCGGTTCCGCGAGCGGGACGAGCCGGCGCCGAGGGCCGAGGCCGGCATCGGCCCGCACACGGCCGTCCGGGATTGGCGTTTTGGTAGAGTCAGGGTCGAGAGCTTCGATCTGGCTGGGGCTGCTGGAACGACGAGCGGCGGGGATATCGGGGTCATGGCGGGGAACAACAACAACAACAAGCATGAGGGGGGTGAGCCGGCTGCCACGGCTACGCCGGCTGCCACGGCTACGCCGGCTGCGAGCCTGGGGCCGAATCTGGGCGGCATGGGGCTGTCGACCAAGGCGAGGTACGCCCCGCTGGAGACTAAAAATACCGAGGCGGGGTGGGGGGTTGTCCACCTATACCGGGAGGGTGATGAGCCGGGTGTGTTGGGAGGCGTTCAGGAGACACATTATGGGCCGACAGAGGGGAATAGCAAGGGGCAGGATGGCGCCGGGGCTGATGAAGAGGGCACGATTTTGTGCATCCCGGCTGTCCCTAGCTACATGTCGCCGAGCGACTTCTTGGGGTTCATTGGGGAGAAGTGGAGGGGGTATGTCAGTCATTATCGGATGATCATGACCGGCAGGGTGAACCGATACATGGTTTTGATGAAGTTCCGGGACAGCTGGAAAGCGGCGGAGTGGCGGAAGCAGTTTGACGGGAAGCCGTTTGATAGCGTGGAAGTGAGTTATCCCCCAAACTTTCTAACTGTGAGAGGCTGGTTTGCTGACTATGGAATAGACCGAAATCTGCCATGTCACTTTCATCAAGTCGATCACAGTCGAGACACCGAACGAGACCAACACCCAAAGAAAACATTCCGAGGGGAACAACGACCGCTTCTCACCTACCTCCCCGCTAGCCAACTCCCTCAAGCCGTTCCCACCGCCGACTCCTAACCTCATCGAGCTCCCGACTTGCACGGTATGCCTCGAGCGCATGGACGATACCTCCGGCCTGATGACGACACTCTGCCAACACGTATTTCACTGTACATGCCTGCAGACATGGAAAGGTTCGGGATGCCCCGTCTGCCGGGCGACGAACCCCAAACCCACCGAGGAGTACGATCCCGACAACCCGTACTCACAGCCGTTCGGTTCCGGCGTTTCCAACATTTGCAACAACTGTAACTGCACCGACGACCTCTGGATCTGCCTGATCTGCGGCAACGTCGGCTGCGGGCGCTACAACGGCGGCCACGCCAAGGAGCACTGGAAGACGACGGCGCACAGCTTCAGCCTCGAGCTCCAGACCCAGCACGTCTGGGACTACGCCGGCGACATGTGGGTGCACCGGCTGATCCGCGACAAGGGCGACGGGAAGGTGGTCGAGCTGCCGCGGAACACCACCAACGACCGGCAGGCCAGGGCGGCCACTGCAGCAGCACCCGGCGGGGGCGGGGGCGGGGGCGGTCCACACCAAGAGGACGTCGTCCCGCGCGCCAAGCTCGACAACATCGGCATGGAGTACACGCACCTCCTGACCAGCCAGCTCGAGAGCCAGCGCGTGTACTTCGAGGAGATGGTCAACAAGGCGGCAGACAAGGCGGCGCAGGCGTCGGCGGCGGCGGAATCGGCCTCGGGCCGGGCCGCCGAGGCGCTGACACAGCTCGCCGCGCTGCGCGACGAGCACCGGGCGCTGAGGGACGAGACGGTGCCCGCGCTGGAGAAGGAGCTCGGCCGGGAGAAGGCCCGCGCGGCCAAGTCGGCCGAGCTGGCGCGCAGCCTGGGCCGGGCGCTCCAGGAGGAGAAGGAGGTCAGCGCGGGCCTGATGACGCGCATCGAGCACATCAAGAGCGAGTCCGAGGGCACGGGCAAGATGCTGGACCAGCTAAGGGCGGAGAATGAGGAGCTCAAGGAGATGAATCGGGATTTGAGCATGTTTATCAGTGGGCAGGAGAAGCTGCGCGAGATGGAGAGGGGGGGGATGGTCGAGCAGGCTGAGCTGGAGGACGGGACTGTTGGTGTTCCCGAGGGGAGTGGGGGGAAGAGGAAGGGGAAGGGGAGGAAGAAGTGAGAGTGTTTGGGGCAACGGTTCGACTGTGTGATGAGTTATGATGGATGTAGCCCAGTATCACACTAGTACAATACGCAACGGCTACTGATGATTCCGTCGTCGAGTTCCAATACAGCGGGACAGCATCCTTCAGCCCAATAACTATGTTCAGCCGAGCTTCGTGCGATATTGACATGATATTTTTCTTCCTTTTTTTTCTTGCCGTACATTCTTTCTTATGATACTGTGTACATATTCTGTATACATCCTCTGACCAACAAAGACGAATTCCAAAGGAAATTAGCTAAAAAATTGAGCCAAATAAACGATCGTTCTCGAGTATGAAAAAAGTAAACTGAGTAAATACAGTTTCTCAAGCGTTCGGATGCCTTCATTTCATTCCTGCAGTCGAGATTTGGTCGAAATTCTGCACTTGGAATGGAGACCGGCTTCTTTTTGTCGATGGGGTGACCGTTCTCCTTCCTTGCCATATCCCCAATCTCCACGTCGCGAGCACGGAGATCGAAAGTCACATGCAAAAGCGCATGGGTGAGTTACCTTACTATCACCAATATGGGTTAGGTTGGATGCTGGGACTTCTGCCCTGTCAAGTCTTGGCAAGACGTGAACGGCCCGGTCACGGTGACACCGAGAGACGGGACCGAGGGATGGGCGCATTCGATGCAAGGGGCGGACAAAATAACTCGCCAGAACTGTGTTGCGGTGTGGCGAGGAGCGCTGCGGTCGTTTTGACCGGCAACGCCGTTTTCGGATTCTCAAGCAATGGTGACAAGATCCGGGAGTTCCTCCATGCGCGGGTGAGGTTGCTGTGTCGGTTTTCAGTCCGAGATAGGTATGTCGACAGAACGGGTTCGCCGGTGGGCGGTGGAACGCTCCGTATCGCAGCAATAAATCGCTATCTCGCAAATTACAAGTTTTCTCCGGGGGATGACCCAGAGAAGCGAATGGAGGGGTCGAGAAAAACGGTGCTGTCAGAAACCGACCTGACAGTCTCGGATGTACGTCAAAGGCTTTCTCTCGACGTGCTCTCTCCCCATCAATCCTCTGGATGGCGAATTGTTGAGAATTCTGCATCACGCCTTTCCGGTTCTGGTTGGCGTTGGTCACACGCAGCTGCATTTGCCGCATTATGCCTTGTTCAACGTGCTGGAACGTGCGAATGCATGCGGGTGTCGACTGCAGTGCCTTTTGGGGGCTTCAGCTGTTTCTGGCCACTGGCTTCCCCGCCAGCCAATGGACGCCCCCTGAGGGAGCTTTCTGGGGGTGGCACTGTCTGCACCAGAACGCGCACCGAGACGCCCGGGCCAACGGCTCAGGAGGAGCTTGGGCGCAGAGAGTGGGGATGACATCGTTGGGACCCACATATTTTTGCTGCTTGGTCGGCAACTGAACCGAATTTGTTCTGTCGCATTCACATCCTGTCGCCTCCTGTTCGAACATTCCAACCTTTCTCGTTTCATCAAACCCGTATCGCGACGGCTTTGGTCCTTCTTTCTTTCTTTTGATACCCTCGATACTTCCGTTCAGACGTGTTGTTATCGATACCTCCTCCTTATCTCTCACCTTGATGCTTGCAGGGCGCTGCGAGACGGTTGCCCCACTAACTGTCTAACGGCTGCGAGTCGCGCATGACGGTCTGGATTTGGTGTCGTTGCATCGAGCTCAACCTCCTGCCGACTTCGACAATTAAATCACCAAATAGGCTCAATCACGTTACATGTACACCGATCGATCGGCTGAGCTCCCATCAAACAAAAAACGATTGAGCTAATTGGGCCACTTTTCGCTTTCCTCTCGCTAAGCCGCTGCCACTGGGGAAAAAAACGGTGGAAGTTCGAGCTTCCCCGGCTGACACGATATCGAGCATCGAAATAGCAGACAAAGCCGGACGACTCCAAGGCGACGAATTCTTGTCTGCGAGTCACGCTCTCCGCCCCCCCGCCCTATTAACATAAAGGGCGCAAGAGAGCTATCTCTTCACACACAATCCGCTCTACACCTCCCCGCCACACCATCGCCATGTCTTCCGAGACACCAAGACAGGCTCAACAGAGCGCAACCTCGCCAGCTGCTCCCAAGGAGCTCTACCCCATGAGCAACTGGAAATATGATGGTTTTTTGTGGATAATGTCTGTACTGGCAGACTTCTTCTTCCGTGAGGTGCACCCCCGTGGTGCCTGGAAGGTCCCCCGACACGGCCCGGTGCTCTTCGTCGCAGCACCACATGCCAACCAGGTAGGCGTTTCTCCCTCTTTCTGCCCCTAACTATAAGTTAACGATGTTTCTTGTGCTGTAGTTCGTCGATGCCCTTATCCTCCAACGAACCCTAAAGATTGAGGCGAAACGCCGCGTCTCCCTGCTCATCGCGCAGAAATCGGTCCACGGTTTCATCGGGTGGGCATCTCGCCAGGTTGGCTCCGTTCCTGTCGGCCGGGCGCAAGACTCGGCGAAAGCCGGGCAGGGGACTATTTACCTCCCTGATCCTATCAACGACCCGACCCTTATTCGCGGTATTGGCACAAACTTTGAGAAGCAAGCCGAGGTTGGCGGCATGCTCTTCCTCCCGTCCGCGAAGGGCCAGAGCGGGGCGAGCGTCGACGTTGCAGCCATTCTCGGCCCTGAAGAAATCCGGATCAAGCGCGCCTTCAAGGGCAAGCTTGCCGTAACTCAGCTCACCGCGCGAGACGATATTGACGACAACGGCAACCTTACAAGCGTTGACACCGACGGCCCAAAGCCGGGCTACCAGGGAACGAAGTACAAGCTCGCCCCTCACATTGATCAGTCCAAGGTCTACCAGGCCGTGTTTGACCGTCTCAAGTCGGGCGGGTGCGTCGGCATCTTCCCAGAGGGTGGTAGCCACGACCGCACCGAGCTGCTCCCGCTCAAGGCGGGCGTGGCCATCATGGCCCTTGGGACACTCGCTGAGGATCCCGATTGCGGCCTTAGGATCGTGCCGGTTGGCATGAACTACTTCCACGCCCACAAGTTCCGTTCACGAGCTGTGGTAGAATTCGGTCCCCCTTTTGAGGTCCCTGCCAAGCTTGTCGACCTGTACAAGAACAACAAGAGGCGAGACGCCATCGGCCAACTTCTGGACATGGTTCACTCCTCGTTGGGCGCTGTCACCGTCTCGACGCCCGATTACGACACCCTGATGGTGATCCAAGCTGCGCGTAGGTTGTACAACCCCACCGGCAAGAAGCTCCCGCTACCCGTAGTCGTGGAGCTGAACCGCCGGCTCGCCATGGGTTACGAAAAGTACAAGGATGACCCACGCATCATCAAGCTCAAAGAGTCGGTTACCGAATACAATAGGCAGCTTCGGTACCTCAACATCCGCGACCATCAAGTCGAATATGGCAAAATGTCGTGGCCCATCGTCGTTTTCACCTTCTTCTACCGACTGATCAAACTCATCATCCTCTCGGCGGGCGTGCTACCGGGACTCATTCTCTTCGCGCCCATATTCATAGCGACAAAGTACATTAGCCACCAAAAGGCAAAAACCGCACTCGCTGGTTCTTCGGTCAAAATCCAGGGCAAGGATGTCATTGCGACATGGAAGCTCCTGGTTTCGTTGGCTCTTGCGCCGATCCTCTACGGCATTTACACATTCACCACCATGTACCTGGTTTACGTGGACCGGCTCGGCGGGCGTGTCCCCGACTGGGTATCCCTCTGGTCCGTGTTCTGGGCAGGTTGGATTGTCTTCCCCTCCATCACGTTTGCGGCACTGCGGTTCGGCGAGGTGGGTATGGACATCCTCAAGTCGCTCAGGCCGCTGGCCCTCTGCATCAACCCGTCGTCTAGCTACAGCATCAGCCAACTCCGCGAGCGCCGCGCCGAGCTCAGCGCCCAAGTCACAGACATCATCAACCAGATCGGCCCGGAGATGTTCCCCGATTTCGAGCACACGCGTCTGGTCTTTGACGCCTACAAGCGGGGCGCCTCGGCCGACGTGAGCAACGCTTTCATCAACCACACGGGTTCGGCGCCGAGCTCCCCGGCCCACTCCCGTAGCCAGAGCGGCGCGTCGTCGCCTGGCCCCGGCAGCCCGACGATCACCCGGCGTAGCACCACGCAATCGAGCCGAGCGATCCCGCGCAACGAGTCGTTTAGCAACATCGGTCAAGCACCCATCTTCGCCACGCGCCCGCCCAGCCGTAACCGGAGCCGTAGCAGCAGTGCCGGCGGTGGGCTGGGGTCGGCCGGGTTCCCCGTCAGCGGGTTCACCACCCTGGACAGTAAGGAGGGGTTCGACCAGGCGAACCGCAAGATCCGCCAGGCGATGCGCGAGCGCGGCGAGTTCAGGCGGCGGCAGAGCGAAAAGAGGCGGATGTCGCTCGCCGACGGGGACGGGCTCAGCAGCGACGAGGGGGAGAGCGTGGAGAGCACGTCGGGGTCCGTGCTACTGGAGTATGAGGAGTCGAGGAAGGCGAAATAGGGTCTGTCGGCTCGCCTGCTCCTGGGGTATTGTTGAACTCGGGCTGGATGATTGTTCTGTCTAGACTACCTCTATGAGACGATGGGGATCGTGTAATCGAGTTTCCGCTTTTTTTGGGCTAAAATATCGGGAGCGCTGGTTTTATTTAGTCTTATCGTCGGGGGCGGCTGGTTGTTTTTTTATACACAAAACGGGGCTCGGATGAGCGGGGTGATTGACGGTTATTCTGGGCCTGTTGGTTACCTAGGTCCGGGCTCGAGATGTGTTCGGTTAGAGAATTCTGGCGCGGGAAACGGGGCAATACCTCTGTAGAGAAACTTGGTCCTCACGATTACTGTACTAGTACCCCGCTAGCCCTGCCACCCTGCTTGTCTGATGATCTGATAAGCGACCGCTCAGTTATGTAAGATCATGGGTGTCAGCCAGCCCCCCATTACGGATCCCGCCCTAGCTTGCGGATCATTACGCAATCCCCGCGCAAGCCGCCGCCATTTCCGCTGCCGCTGGCCGCCCGATGTGGGATTCTTGCTCGGCGTTACGAGGCCGCCGGTATTTTTAGTGAGTTTGTGGGGGAATGTTTGCACTGTCCAACTCCAGAATGATGATTTGGCGGGGATAACTGACTAACTAACGGGAGAAGATGCGCGCGAATGCAGATATCCTCTCGTGCTCCACCTAACTTAGTCCGTTAGCTCCGATAAAAAACACCGAATAGAACACACGGCTTCGGCCATTTCGTTTCAGAGCTTTTGTTTTATTAGTCGCAGGCCCACCATCCCGTCCGCGGGTTCGGGCACCTGTGCTAAAGGTTCAGGAAGCTTTTCTATGCCTGACTTTGTAAATCCCCAGCTGTAGCTTCTCTCGCCACGGAACGACAGAGCTCTCAAACAAAATGGCAGGCACAATCAAATCGCTCATCAACAGCGCCAAGGCGTTTGCCATCGGCGACTCGGGCAGCAAGGCGTCGATGCACGACTTGTTCACCAAGGTCGACAAGGCCGTCGACGGCGAGGACTGCGATCACGACTGCAGCAGCTGTTCGATACGGTACCCGAAGGGGTTCAAGGTCGAAGAGGGGGACGACCTGTACGGGTTCATTAAAGGGTGGAGCACACACGTCCTGGTGGCGACGGGCAAGACCGACTGGGTGCACAACGTCGCCGACGAGAAGGGCAGCGTCATGCAGGCCATTGATGCCGCCAAGGGACCAACAAACGGGGTATGTTGCGGCCGCCCACGTCCTTGCCTTCTCTCATCATCATGAACCTACTTCGTACCCGTACCTGCCGTGGTTACTGACAGCCGGCCCCCACCCCCCCTAACAGCGCCTCATGCTCTCCGCCTCCAACATCCCCACGCCGCACAACACCACCTCCTACTCGGAACCGACGACCGTCCTCCTTCTCCCCGCCTTCACCATCATCGAGAACGTGACGCCCGCGACCGTCCCCACGCTCCTCACCTCCATCGTCTCGCACGCGCCCACCACCGCCAGCCCGCTGGCCCCCATCACCCTCCCGCGCTCCCTGCCGGCACCCCTCCCCGAGGGCACCCCCGCGGCCATCAAGGACCTGACGACGCGCGCGTGCCCGCACCGCGCGATCGTCCTGCTGTGCAGCCAAAAGACGCGCGACGCCCGCTGCGGCCAGTCCGCCCCGCTGCTGCGCCGCGAGTTCCAGCGCCACCTGCAGCCGCTGGGGCTGTATCGGGATCTGGATGATGAAAGGCCGGGAGGGGTGGGGATTTATTTTATTAGCCATGTCGGGGGGCATAAGTATAGTGCGAATGTTATGGTTTATCGGAGGGGGGAGGAAGGAGGGGAGGTGGGGGCCAAAAAGGAGGGGGGAAAGCAGGAGGGAGGTGATAAGGAGGGTGCTGAAAAGGAGGGAGAGTCGACGGTGGCAAAGGAAGAGGATAATGGGGAAAACGGGAAAGGGGATGTGGTGGAGGAGGGAGATGTCGGAGCGGCGCAGTGCATCTGGCTTGCAAGGGTGCGGCCGGAGGATTGTGAGGGCATCGTCAAGTTCACGATACTGCAGGGGAAAGTGGTGAAGCCCGAGAGGCAGCTGCGCGGCGGGTTTGACCGGGGGAAGGGGTTGATGAGCTGGTGATGCTGCGGAGTCAGCGGCTCGGAATCCTCGTTGAGGATCAACAGTACAGACTGTACATGCATACACAGTAAGCAGAATTGCCCAAAAAAGTGTGCAACCTCAAAATGGACTCAAAATGGATCAAAATGGTGCGACTGCTCGAGGACTGGTGTGACCGTGTGTGTTCACTGTTCTGTCACAGCCAAGCTTCTCCAATTCTTGACCGCTCAACGGCGGGCTGTCAACACGATGCGGGGAAGTGGGGGTGCTGCGGGGCACGCCCGACCGAGCGGCCCGCGCGATTGCCCAGGGAAGCAGAAATGGGGTGCGGGCGCAGTGCAGGTTGCTGAGCAACGGCCCCTTGTAAACAACCGGCAGGGTCTCATCACGCCCAACACGACCGACTTGGAACATCCCTACTTGCCACCACCCGTTCCTGTACCTGTCAAGAAAGTCACGCATTCCATTCCAAAGGGGACGACCTCTGATCCTTGGGTCAGCCATCGGACTTCTCCATGGTTCTGACGGCAATGGCATAGCACCGCATCGCGGCAATCCAACAAGAGTGTGTGTTGTGTTTGTTACCACTTCTTCCCTTTTTCTTCTTCTGGCATTTACATTTTGCATTGGGCATTCGAGTTCGTATTAGCATTGATTGGCATTTCTTCGGGCGTTCCAGAACGGCGCGTCTCCGAGACACCGACACCGCAACCTCGGGTGTACCCATCTGTTGTCTCGCATCCCACGGCAACACGCATCCCTCATCTAAACAACAGTGACCATGTCCTCCGTGACGGGTCTAAACACGATGCACGGTCTTCCGGCATCAACAACCTCGCATCCACCCACCGACACTGACGCCGACGCCGACGCCGTACCGCGCAACCGCCAGCGATCCAAATCGTCGGTGCTGCGCTCGCTCATGGGCGGCGGCCACAAGCGAAACAACTCGGACGGCTCGGGTCTGCCATCCGCTCCTCTTATCGCGCCGATAGCCACAACGCCAGCCTTCCACATGTCACAACAGAGCCTCGCCCCAAGCAGGCAAAGCGGCGTGTTCCACGTCGGCTTTGACGCGGCAGCGGCGGCGGCCATGGAACCACAACGATACGCTCACGCCCTCGGCGAGCTGCAGCAGAACAGACAAGAGCGGTCTCCCGAGAGACGAGGGCGCGAACGGGGCGGCCGGAGCGACCAGCCGCCGTCGTCGCCGACAAAGACCGGGTTTTCTACCATCTCGCTGAGGGCCTTTGGAAGGGACAGAGACTCGAGCAAGCCGCCCAAGACCAGGGACAACTCGCCGACAAAGCCCAAGAAGGCCAAGTCGGCGACCAGCCTGGCGGCGCTGATTCGCCCCAAGTCCATGAAGAATCTGAAACAGTTGCTAACGGACGAGGGCGACGCCCCTACCAAAGAGAAAGACAAGGAGAACAGGTCGCCACCCAATTCGCTGGGGAGCGATCATTACACCAGCCTGGCTCCGCCTACCCCCATCTTCGCCCAGTTCGCGTCCCAACAGCTCGGGCCGTCCTCGCCACGCCTTGAGTCGCCGGTTGATATGCCCATCAGGGGTGCTGGGTATTATCCCCCCGCGGCCCGTTCCGGCGCGCCAACGCCATCCCTACAGAAGAAGCCACGTCCAAAATCATTTCAGACCTACATTAGTCGTAAAGAAGACGACACGAAGGGGTCAACCGGCTCGGGCGGGAGTGACAGCCGTGCAAAGCGGCTGACGTGGGGCAGAGGCAGCACGTCGTCAGAAGCCGCGCCACGGCCTACGGTTGGATCTAGGAGCAACTCGTCGGCACCGGCAGCTACCACGCCAGCACCCGAGATGCCCGCCATCGACCCCAAAGACATCCCGAAGCATCTCGAGGCCATGCTGGACCGCCGCAACATCCCCGAAAACCAGCGGTATAAGATGCGAAACCTTAGCGAGACCATCAAGATGGAGTTCATCCGGCAGGATTGGGCAGAAATGCAGGCCAAGATGGACCGCCCGTCCTCCCACGACGGCAAGCCGCGAGCGGGAAGTGGGACCGGCCCGCCGGCCACAGGTCTCCCCGAGCAACAGCTGGACGAAAATAACAGTGCAAGTCCCGCCAAGAAGGAGAAAAAGAAGCACGGCAGGGGTCTGAGCCTAACCATCGTCCGGGGAACCGGTAACAAATCCAATCCGGCCTCGCCCGCCAAGAAGAAGGGCGACAGCACCCTCGGCCGGCACTTCCGAACCAAATCGAGCGAGAGCCTCGTCAGCGAGCCGCCCTCGCCCTTCGCGTCCAGCTACGGCAGCAGCTTCCTGGCCAAGGTGAAGGGCCAGCAGCTCCCGGGCGACTTCGTGGCATACCTGCAAAAGGTGCACCAGCCGGAGCTCGTCGAGGTCGGCAAGCTGCACAAGCTGCGCCTGCTGCTCCGCAACGAGACCGTCGCCTGGACCGAGGACTTTATTCGCCAGGGCGGCATGAAGGAAATCGTCGAGCTGCTACACCGTATCCTGGCTGTCGAGTGGAGGTACGTCTTTTTCCCGTCTTGTCTATTTTGGGCTTGGTCATGGGACCCTGCATGGTGTTGCTGCTGCTGCGACGACGGCGCGGCCGCCTACCGCCGTGTTGTCTCGGATACAGCCTTCGGAGCAGCCAGGGTCCCGGACCCATGCGCCTACCTTTCCCCCCATTCCCCCTCAGCAACGTGGCTAACGTCCCCCCGCCCCGCAGAGAGGAGCATGAGGATGCGCTACTGCACGAGAACCTGCTGTGTCTCAAAGCGCTCTGTACCACCGACATGGCCCTGCAGTACCTCCACTCCATCCACGCCACCCTCTTCCCGGCCCTACTGCACATGATTTTCGACCCGGAGAAGAAGGGCCCCAGCGAGTTCACCACCCGTAACATTATCACCTCCCTGCTGCTGACCTACATCGAATGCGCCACACCGCAGGAGCGCGGCATCCGCGCCCGGACCGTGCTCGGTTTCCTGCGCGACCCTGAGCCGAAGGAGGAGGACCGGCCCGTGGACTTCGTCCTGGAGATGCGCCGCGAGCGGCCCTACCGCGTCTGGTGCAAGGAGGTCGTCAACGTGACCAAGGAGGTGTTCTGGATCTTTTTGCACAACCTCAACATCGTCGCCCTGCCGTCCGCCGACAGGAAGACCTCCTCGTCCTCAGCCAGATCCACCTCCTCCGCCTCGGATCAACAACCCCTCGACGAGCTCGCCTACCAGGCCCGGCACTTCCCGCAGGAGCGGCCGCCGGTGCCGGCGGCGCCCTACGTCGGCGGCGTGGAGTGGGACGCGACCAACTACCTGGCGTCGCACCTGGACCTGCTCAACGCGATCCTGGCGTGCGCGGGGCCGACGCGGCACGAGCGCAACGCCCTGCGCGCCCAGCTGCGCATCTCGGGCTGGGAGCGCTGCCTCGGCGGCAGCCTGCGCCTGTGCAAGGAGAAGTTCTACGGCGCCGTCCACGACGGCCTGCGCCGCTGGGTCGCCGCCGCCGCCGACGACGCCTGGGACGTCCGCGACGTCCGCTACGGGCCCCCGCCCGAGTCCAGGGCCAAGCGCGCCCGCCCCGCCAGCCCGGCCAAGAAGCTGGCCCCTGCTGCTGCTGCTGCTGGCGGTGGTGGTGGTGCGCCTGCGGCCGAGGCCCCGCCTAGGATCGAGATGCCCAGGCTTGACTTTGGGGGCGCCGTGGGCGTCGGCTCGGGCGCCGCGCGGTCCAATGAGCCGTGGCTGAGCTGAGAGGGGGGCATGTTTCCAAAGGTGGGCAGAGGTTCCGGGTTGGGGACAAGGGGGTAGCTGCCTTTTGTGCGCCCCCCTTCCCCCGCCTCTCTTCCCCCCTCCCCCGGATTCCTTGATGACTGGCTAGCCTATAGCTGGCCTGCTGCTGTTGTCAAAACACTGTGGCGGGTGGCGTGAGGACCACGCACGGGACATGTTGCCCGACTGAGGAGAACGAAACCCAAATTGCGGCCGGCCCCCAACGCTTCAAATACATGGTGGTTGGCTGGCTAGTTGGTTGGTCCGTTCTTGTTACATGTTTTGCCGCAGTTTCCGCGCATAGCAGGAAAAAAAAGGGGGATCTCGGCTGTTCTTTTTTATACATTCCTGCTGTGGTCGAAGGGGATTGCACTGGCTACTGGCTGGAAAACCGCCTCTTACCGCCTTTCGGGCGAAGTATGAACGGTTGGCGGTGGCGAGATGAGCCCGCCGCGCCTTCCCGCTTTTTCCGCCTCCCGTCTGTGATGGAAATTCTTTGGTCGATGTTGTTGGAAAGGGAGCCGTACTGGCATGGGGCATTTACATTGGCAATCGGGGTATTCAGGGCCGGATTTTGGTTGGGTTTCCTTATGTCGCCCCCCCTTCCTGCCCCCTTTTTCGGGTCAAGTCTCATGTTCCTCAATCTCAGAGCAGAAGAAAGCGGGGGAAAGGGGAAGGAGAGGGAATGCGTGTTTCTATTTGTCATGGTGGCGCTCATTCCAGGGGACTTCCGCTCGGGACAACGCCAAGGGTGTCGAGATAATGAAGCTTATGATTGTATGCATAATGAGAGACAAGAATCTCAATTTCATCCTCTGGGTCCTGGTGAGCAGTGAGTGAGAGGCGCTGCTGTGTTGCGTGAGTGGCTCAGCACATGATACCGTTCTGACTCAGATGGTGACCCGAGGCCACGAGGGCTCGTGTTGTTGAACGGAAGGAGCAATAAGCACGGGCTGAGTTTGGGCTGCGGACATAAAGCTAGCTCTCGGAGCTCAACTTGACAAGTGTAAGCCCTGCATAAGTCCTTGGCCAATTTCTTACTCGCCGGTACCGTGGTGTCCCCCTTGTCTCGTGCTGGACTGTTGTGTCCCTCTCGAGTGCTCGAGGAGTACCCAATCGGAGCGCCTAGCCAGCTGGTGATGAACAAGTCACGAGGGGATGCCTGGGATAACGTCTCCAAAAGGAATCACAACCGACAAGGGCGCCCTTTGCCTTCACAAGAGATTCCTTGGGTGCATCAACGTTCGAGCAAGGCGAGAGAGAGGCGGCGAATCGGTTAATGAAAACCCCATCCCATGGAACGTCCGGCGGGGAACGCGGCCGGAAAACAGACCAGGCGAGGGACTAGAGCGGTCGGCGGAATACCCCCGCTTAAGGCCAGAGAATCGGTGATCTGTTGTCGACCGATCCCCCCGTTGGAATGGACCGATGGTTGGTCCACATGTTCTCAATGCCCGCGCAGAAACGGCCTGCTGACTGGCCCGGTTTGTCAGAGAAACGTCTCGACTCATCATCACCCTTCACGGCGGGCATCCCAAGCCGTGTCCAGAGCCAGGAGAGCAACCTTCCACCATCCGACCTTCTTCCGCCCATCGTCTCATCTAGGGTAGCAACGGAAAAGACGGGTGATCTTCGTCAGAGAGTCAGATACTCATCAGATTGTGGAACTCGACAGCCCTTCCCCTCACAAAGCGTAATTAGGTTTGTTTTTGCTCGCTGATCGAACCATTTGTGAACGATCGGGCCGAGCCAGGTGCTCGAGGCCTGGACTTCAAGGCACCTCATCAGAGCGATCCCGAGGGATCGGATGCAGGGGTCACGTTTCGAACCGGAGTGACCACACCAAGCCGATGCTGGGCGGTTGCCGAGGACAGCTATGGCCAAGCCACAGTGCAGGTGCTCATCCTTTTCCGCCTTGAACCAAACTAGAGCAGATGATAGCCGTCCACCGTGATGCTGTCTGACCTCAGAGCTCGGTTGACTGGAAAATGATCGGACGCTCGTGGGCCGACTCCCTAGGCTACAAAAGTCTTCTTGTATTTTGTGTGGAGTCCAGACCTTTCCAGATAGTTGAACAGTATTCCTCGAATCGAGTCATCCACGTGCCGGTCGAGAGCGCTGCAGCCGGCTTTGGGAGGGCAATTGGCTTGCGCATGTATGCAAGTTTGCCAAACGCAGTCTCGCCTTGTTCAACAAACACTATTGGAGGACGAAGAACTAGAGTTTACCCAGGAGGCAAGGCGAGAAACCGACTGCGCGGGTGCCGGGCCCAGTAGCAGGAGCATACAAGGATGTAACCAGAGTGGGAAGCTCACGGCAAGATCTAGCCGGAGTCGGGGATGGAGTCCAGAAGTGGAACTGACCATGACAAAACCGGCGAGCCGTCAGGACGGGCTGCCTGTTGTGGAACATGAGAGCTGGACTCCAATCCCAATTCGATTGCTCCATGTCGTTGGGCACCCTAGGGCACGGGAGGGGCCCGTTTCCATGATGGCCGTGGCATGTATGTATGTATGTATACCAAGCGTGCGGACCGGTGAGAGTGAACTGGCACACAGCTGGCTGGCCATGGCTCGTAGCCGACAGAACTCCGACTGTATGGCGCGGATCGTTGACGTCTGCGACCCCGTTCTTGTGTTCTAGAAGCAGGAGAACATAAGCACACTGTACCAGAGCGAGTTTGAGAGCGAGGGCGCCGTCCTTCCCCGGACGGGGGAGCTTTCCCCGGTCCCGTCCTGTCGAGCGAGCGTCCGTTGTGGTTGAAGAGGGACCGGGCGAGCTCCGGCAGGTGGGGCAAGACAGTTCTCTCCATCGCTTGCCTCGTGGACGGATGGTACCGGGCGGTGAGAAACTCGGACACTTCGGGAAAGTGCCATGCGGCCCCTGTGCTCGGTGTGCAAATTGCGCCCATTGATAGGCGGCGAGCCGACGCCGACGCAGGGGAGCCGGCGGTTCCTTGGAATGGCCGTACTCGGCAAGGAATTAATACCCATAATGATGCGGGTTAGCCCTAACGCCGGTTAACTCGTCCCGAAAGTGCTGTGGACGTCCCCCGTCGCCCGCAGTCGGCAACGCCGCCTTGCCTTGTGCTTTGCTGTGGCTTCGGCATTGGCCACGACCGGGGTGCGTTGAACCGGGGGATCCAGCCATGAGGTCACGGGCGGCATCAACTGTTCGGCGAACTGTGCTGATTGCGTCGATGAAGGAGCCCGGGGCGCTGGAGCCACATAATTAGCCTCGACGGCTCTCATCATACGCATACGAAGGAGTTTAATGACGTCTCATGAAGGCATGGGTGCTGGACGACAGGGGGTCCGGACGGAAGACTGTCGTCCCACTTGTTCACAATCACTGTGCTGTCCGCCTCGATGCAAAGATCAACCGAAACAGACAGTGTGGCGTACTGCCAGAAACCGGAGTGCGCTTGCTCGTCGAGGTCGACAAGAACTGCGGGACCGGAGGTTGGGGTTGGGCGGCAGGTGTCGGGTCGGCGTCTGCCCGAGGAAGAACGCGCGAGTATCGCACAGTACCCGCGCGGGATGAAGCAGCAGACCTACCTACACAGTAGTTATCCTGGCTCGACTGCTTCATTGACAGCTGTCCCAGCAGCAGTTTGAAGTTGCGACGAGAGACGAGCGACAAGTGTTGCTTCTGCACGCCCCCTTCCCGTGCCAACTTGAAGCGGCCGTTCCGTTTCGCCGGTGGGCAGAAATTGGCATCCCGTCCTAGGGCATGGCGGCGTTGATAAGAGGAATCACGATCTCCGGACGGGTAGTGCGCATTGGAAGCTGTGGGAGGTCGGGAGCGTGGGACAGCACAGCAGCAGTAAAAACTGCCAGCTCGGTCCCGTGCGAATGTGGAAAAAGCACGGAATTCAAGCGTGAGCTGCATAAAGCAAAAGTTGAACCGCTCATCCCTTCTTTCCCTTTTGAGTTTTATCATTGGATGGCCTCGAGTCCTGGACGGAAGTTCTCCGAGTCGTTCCTGCCTGTTGTTATTTTTGCAGTTTTCGAAACATCCGTTTGGCAGGAACGTTCGAGCAGTCAAAACAGCCTTCGATCACGTAGGCTAACCATGTCTAACCGCTTCAGTCAGGTTGGCGGCCTATCTTGGTTTGGCTAGGAATTCTCTTCACTCCATCGTTCCCTCCGGATTGCCTTCCAGGTTATCGCTTTTGAATTGTTTAGTAAGCCTCGCCAAATCGACGGGAATGGCGTTTCTCTTGGGACTGCAACCTCTGGTTGGGATTTTGTCTCATTATTAGCATGCTCTTGGCCTTTTCCATCCAATTTACCGGGAATCTAAAATTCAACACCGCCGTGGTGGTCGACTGAGATCTCCATGTTCCCAACGACCGCGAACGGGTATGGCCGACACAAGTCCCACACTAGAATTGGATCCACAATTCAACCGCTGCGGGCCCACGGGCTGTTAGCGCGGGGTTCCAAAGGCCAGGATAACACGCCACGCCAGGGCTCCTGGCCCGCTCTTACCCATGCCCCATGTTCTACCCTGGCCCTGGAAACATCCTCTCCAGTTCCCGACCATCAAGCTCTGGGACCACCCCGCAGACACACACTTCACACCACTGCAGAGGATCAACACGCGCGCAACGGCCTACACAATATTCAAGCACCTACTGTGTGCTGTCAATCGCGCGCCCGCCACGGATCGGCCTGACTCGTTGTCTTCGACCTGTTCCATCCGGGCACCCCGAGGGGCGCCATTCCTTAGCTCAGGTTACCCAGGCCCGGCAGGACGGGCTCTCGAGAGGTTGGGTTCCAGGTTGCCGAGGCGCATCAAGTCCCGCATCTCCATCGACCCAGGTATCCCACGCATCCCGGCGAAGAGGCACCCCGAGAGGGCCAGGCAAGTATAGGCTGTGAGCACCTCCAGCAAATCTGGCCCACACCAGATACTACAGGCGCCGCAGAGCACCCAAACTTCTCAGATCTCGACCCTGTTCTGCTGCAGGCGGCACTGGTGCGGGACGAACTGGTCGCTCCCCTTTTTGTGCCGCTACTGTGTGAACCCTGCGCAGTGGATGGGCTGTGGATGGGCTAGCGGGCTCCAAATCTGACGAATCGAGACCCCATCGAACGGCCTCTTGTGGGACACCCAGACGACACCTCTGCGGGCACAGCGGGCCATTCTGCGGCCAGCTCCAAACTACCTTACCCGCCTCCTCAACATGTCAATAAAGTAAGTGATGGTTTTATTATCCCCATCCCCGGTCACACGCTCTCGTGTGTCTCTTTTGCCTTTTCCAAACCCCGAAACCCGGCCTTCACCTTCCCCGGCGCGCTTGCTCCCAGTCGCAAATCGCACCCCCTGCTCTGACCTGCCCTGCCCAAGGGCCCCCCTTCCAAACAACCCCCCCCCTTGGCCCCCGTCCCTCTTCGACTTCCCGTCTCTTGCTGCCGCCGGATCATGGCCGACCAATTCTTGGCCGAGCAGCACACATGGACACTCTTTCGGAATTCCCAATCTGACGAAGAGGACAGCTGGGTCATGCTGACCCGGGATGGCAAAATTGTGCCCATCCCCGGCGAGAAGATACTGCATACCTCACGACCACGCGTCAGCCTCGAGGTATCAACGCCCCGTGAGCTTCAAATCGCCGACCCGTTCTCCCTCAAATGCGACAACGGCATTGCCTACATCACGAATGAGCGGGTGAGTACACCGCCCAACACCCACTAGCTTTCTTAGGCTGGTGGTCCAGGGTCCGCGGTCGCTTGGCCCTCTTAGAGCTGGGTGAGAGCTAAGCTGACCGGGCGCAGGTGATCTTCCTTCCGGCCAGACCGAGTGAGGATTTCAAATCCTTCTTTACGCCTGTGCTGAACTTCTCCGACACACATGTTCAGTCATCATGGATTGGCCCCTGGAGCTGGGGTGGTACCGTGAGGCCGGTTCCGGGCGGAGGCATCCCCATGCATGTTCCCCGGGTGGAGGTCAAGTTTATATTCAGGGACGGCGGGCACAGCGATTTCCAAACCAAGTTTGAGTGGCTGAAAGAGCGCCTGAATCATGCGCAGGAATTGGGCTTAATACCTGCGCAGAACCTCGAGCCTCCGCCGCCGTACGAGCCCAACACGGCGGAACCATCCTCGTCTGGGGCTTCCGGCAACACCCAGGCCGGTGCGCAGCAGCAACAACAACCACCGCAGCAGGAGCAGCAGCAACGACGGCAACAGCAACAGCAGCAACAGCAGCAACAACAGCAACAACAACAACCGCCTCAGCCTGCTCCTGACGAGCCACCCCCGGACTACGTGGAGGCGCAGACCCAGGCCATCAGCATACAATACGAGGAGCGTATGCGGGAGGAAGCCGAGCGACAGTGAAGGATGAGGCGGTTTGCGATGGATTGTTTCGGAGTTTCACGTATTCTGTTATTTTCTGAGCTCTTTTCTTCGTTTGTCATTGTTGCTAGCTGCACGGCATTCGATTGTTGATACCATTAGTTTTTGACTGTTCTTGTATCGCATTTTATTCCATCCTGTCCGCAAGGTGTAATAGAGAAGGGGGCGCTGCGTCAGCTTTGGTGGGCGTTTATTCCGTCATCTGTACCGGCCTTGGGACCCGGCCTCACTATGTACAATTGTTCCAAGGGTACCTCTTTCTCTCGAGATACCCGAAAGACCTTCAAACTGTCCGATCCTGTGTCAAAAATTCGCCGATCTGCCTTGAGGCTCGGAGCCTTGCGGCCCCCAAGATCGTAAGCTGGGTGTCAGCTTCTGCAGCTTGTTAATCATGCCGCAGGATGGGCACATGTACTTTGCGTCATGATGCAACCCGGTTCGGAGCTCCCTCAAAAAACTCCTTGAAAGGAAGAAAGCTGGAGCCGCTTCAAGGCCAGCCTTGGCTTGGACCACGTGATGGGCGGGATTACCCGGAGCCCGGTCGACCAGTAATGGAGCCAATCAGGAGCCACCAATTGGAAGCCCGGACGGTTTTCGCTTACCCGATTTTTGCGAGAGCTCCAACGTCGCGCGATTGTGATTGTCGACTTGAGCAAACCCCGTTCAGGCGCACCCTGCCCACCCACATTTCGCCATTGACACCGCTCGCCGCCCCCTTACGGCCAGATCGAAACTATGGGTTTCTGGGACACCATAACCGACCTCGTCGAGGCCGCCACCCCTTGGGCGACGGCCGACGCCGAGGCCCCCGCGAAGGAGCTGGTATGATTTGATGCGTCACTTTCTCCGCTTGCCCCCCGGCTGGGCTCGCTTGCTGTCTTCCCTGTCCGGAACATCATATCTCGACTGGTGATCGGGCCCCCAGCTGCAGCAGAGCTTAGGGGGCAAACGGCCTGTTCGTGGTACAGTTGCTGACGGTTGAATGACGCATTCACAGCCCGAGGAGACCACTACCGAGTCCACCAAGGAGGAGGAGAGCACCAAGTCCGAGACCGAGACCGCTGCTGCCGCAGAGGAGCCCGCTGCCGAGGAAGAGCCGGCTGCTGAGGAGGAGGCGGAGGAAGAGGCGGAGGAAGAAGAGGAGGAGGAGGAGGAGGAGGAGCCGGTCGACCCCAAGGAAGAGATCGAAGAAGGTGGGTTCCAACCGATGCCGTCACCAATATCACTCCTACCGGTCCCCCGAGTGGTCGAGATGCCATCTACTCTGAGGAGGGAACCCGAATTAGCGGGAATTCCGATCTTACCCTATTCCATGTTCCCTCCTTAGGGCTGGCTTGCCACGACCGACAACGAGTTCACGGGATCACCCCCGCCCAACATATTGACGGATGCTGACGATGGAACCATACATAGCGTGCCGGAATTCTAAGCAATGCTCACCCGCCAAGCATCACTTTGACGAGTGCGTCGAGCGTGTCACCAGCGCCGAGTCCGAAGGTGGTGCGAAGGAGGACTGCGTTGAGGAGTGTTCGTCCCCCTGACCTCGCCCATGCACCGTTTGATTGGTTGCTGACCTGGAGACACAGTCTTCCACCTCGCCCACTGCGCCACCCAGTGCGCCGCTCCCAAGCTCTGGTCCGTCCTCAAATAAATCAACCACCACGTCTCCACGATCTGGTCGTCTCGCGATTTGACGACGGCCAGAGCCAACGGCCCCTCAGGATACAGTTGAAGCGTTTTCTCGTTGCCCAGATGGCTTCTATAGAAGGGAGGATGTTCCTATAGACGAAGTTGAGGGCGTTGGCTGGCTGGCTTGGTTGTCTGAGAGCGGACAGGGTCAACACACATCGTGCGACGGGATATTCTACAGGACGGTGGGAGTCGACAACCTGTATAGTTGATCAGGTCTGGGTTCTGTCGGGGGGGTTCACCGGCCTAGACTTGTTGTACCATTACCTCCCATCATCGTCTGATTTACGCCCTCCGAAAACAAATACCGATTACCACACCTACCACACAATAGCCTTCGTCCATTTCCTGCCACTCACCCGCCACCCTTCCGTGGCTCAGTTTCGGAGATGTTCTGACAGCTCAGATGCATGCAGTTTCCTATCTAGTAGGGCTGCATGGCGCCAATGGCGCCTCGATGGAGCGAGATCTACCGACCGCCCCAAAACCCAACCAGAGGAACGGGATGTCTCACGCCCCCTCGCTCTCTCGACGCCCAAAAAGGCCCAGCCCCGTACACACCACCCTCTCTCCTCCACCCAATACCCCCCCGCCTCCCCGGGGAGAGAATCACCTACATAAAACCGTTCCCGTTACCACGGGTAAGGGAGGCGCACATACCCATACCCCATTACCCTTGCCCCTTCCCCGATCGGACGCGTCAGGGGACAGGGTTGTCCCCCCATCGGCGCCCTCTCGATCGGGCTGCCGACATGGTCTAGTATCACGTCCTACATATGCGGGCTGCTCTGCATCGGTAGGTGTTGTCTCGGAGCTCATTGCTCGTTGAGCAGCCCACAAACTCCACAAGCTAGCCTCGCCCCACCTCCCGTGGTCTCTCTTCTCCTCCCCTCGGCCCGGTGGGTAACGTTGGTTTTGGGTTTGGTTGGAGATGTGATAATCGGTGTCTTTATGAAAAGGTGGGGGGGGTGAGTATGCGTGCGTGTGTGAGTGTGTCTGTCTGTGTGCGTGATATCGCGCTGTTATTGGTGGGAGCTGAGAGGGGCAGAAGTCTCAAGAATTATGCGAGACCCCCGCGCCGCGCGCCTTGGGTTACACGGCGAACACATGGACGGCGCGGACTGTGAGAAAGGTAGGGGCGGATGACTTGCAGTTTTTGGGGCTGGCGGCCGGAAGGGGGTTGAGGCGGGGACGCTAGTGTGGGCTGGGTATGAGTTATGCGCGATGTTTGGCGTTGGAGTGGTGGTTGACGTTGACTTGGGCTTCCCACCTCTGCCGGCCAAGATACGGCCGGCGTGTCACTTCAGGCATCAGGCATCTTGCCGCGCAACTGCGCCAGGGCGGGGAGATGATCCTTCGTCTTACTATCCGTTCTTTGTTTTTGCTCTATTTTGTTGAGGTTCCTAGGCGAAGAGCTCAAGGCTGACGAACAAGGGTTGAACTGCATGCAGTGTCGTCAAGGAAGATAGAGGACCATGGAGTGTGTGGGACGATGGTGTGCAGATGCGGGGATCTTCGTCTGATGCTTCTTTCGATGTTTTGGGGTCCGGCTGATTTCGGTAATCCGTTCGTCAGATATCTGACCCGTCTGCTGGAACGCTTTGTTTAATGTTGCCTCATTGTGAACGTTGCTGACATTGGGAGGCAGTCGGCAGGGAGCTTTGAACCCTGCCAATATCGAAACAACAGCTAGAATAAATCGACGGGAAATCTCCTCCCAGATAACTAACCGGCCTGGCACGCTGTCCAAAAAAAAAAAAAAAAAAAAACGGACTCCCAGGAAAGAAAAGAATTACGCAAAAGCTTTTTTTAAATAAAACAAATCGAGCAAAACAAATGAGATAGAACAAGAATAGTAAATTAAGTAGATGTAGTTTCTTCAGGTTTCCGAATCGCTTTCATTTCGTACCTACAGTTGAGGTTTGGTCGACAGCTACCTACTACATTTGGAGTCCAGCTTTTTTGTCCATGGGGTGCTTGGGTCTCGGGTGACAAGCACATGAAGATTCCTTTGTTCGAGGTCACTTGATTACCAGGTATCGCCCGTTCTGGAAGCCAGTCATGTGTGCCACCTTCCACAGCTTCGAAGTGCGGGGACGACCCAGTCCCATTGCCCCTTTCCTTGTTTGGATGCATCTAACCTGCCAAGAACGGGAAGGAAGGACCAGAACCGGGGGTAACAGGGAAGAGGAAGCCGAGGGAACTGGCGACACAAGGCGGCTCGAGTGGCCCGTATCGTCCGTGAAGCTGGGCGCTCCGCCATCTAACTAACGGCCTTTGCACAGTATTATCCGCAAATTTTGAAGTATTATTTCTATAGGTGCCAGCACTTGAATTGAGCGCGAAGGAGGGATCGCACCAGGATTCAAGCACCTCGCCATCAACCCGCATTTGAAGATCCGAGTCCTCGGTTCCATGCCGTGCGACAGTACGGTTGACAATCTTTGGCGCTGGGCTTAAAGGCTCGGTATGGCCCGCGACTTCGATGGGACGGAGCCTCAGCCGACGATAAAAGACCCGAAGCCTCGCGATTCCGGCTCTACCCGCCCGAGCGCCAGCGAAACTGAGGATATTGGTATGGGCGGACAATTGCGCCCATGGCAGGAGTTGAAGGATGAGGTCAACGAAACGGGAAACAAGACGACCGGGAGCGCCAGCGCCAGCGATAATGGAGTCCGAAGCCACGGCCCCTCGGACGAGACAGCCATTGAGATGAATACGGTAGCGGCGCACGCGACACACGCGCCCGTCGGCCCTGGGTCACCGAAGGCGAAAGCTTACGGTAACGGATTGGGTGCGGAAACAGGGGCAGTGGGAGTCGAATACAAGGTGTACAAAAGGCGATGGTTTGGGTTGCTACAGTTGACGTTGCTAAATATCATCGTCAGTTGGGATGTAAGTGACGTTTTTATATATTCATCCTAGACTGGCTAGTCACGATCAGACCGAGCGCGGATGTCGTTTCCGATTGGACTTCTGGTCGGAGGTGTATGGCAAGTGCCCGACCGACCTCGTAACCGTTTATAAGTCGAGTTCTCGGGATTTACTTGCAGAGACTTTACTTGGGTAGAGAAGGTGATACCCATCATTACGCGCTGACCATCCTTTTCACTAGTGGCTCACCTTCTCCCCCGTTGCTAGCCATGCGGCGCGGTACTTCAACACTACTGAAACTGTCGTTAACTGGTTGAGCACGGCCTTCCTGTTCTCATTTACCTTCATTACCCCCGTGGTCATCTACGTGCTGCACCTGGGGCCAAAGAAATCCATCGTCACGGCTGCGGCCCTCCTGCTCATCGGGAACTGGGTCCGCTATGCTGGCTCGCATTCCAGCTCAGGGGGGATCTTCGGAGTGGTCATGTTCGGCCAGATTCTCACTGGGCTCGCGCAGCCATTCGTGCTTGCTGCCCCGTCACGGTATTCTGACCTCTGGTTCACAAACCGGGGGCGGGTGGCCGCAACGGCCCTGTCGAGTCTCGCAAACCCCTTCGGCGCCGCCCTGGGTCAGTTAATCGTTCCGTTCTGGGTTGGCCAGCCAAGCGATATCTCCCGCATGGTCCTCTATGTCTCCATAATCGTAAGTTCCCCTGCCCCTTCCACGCCCTTAACCCTCTATTGAACCCGCTCTTAACAACCCACAGTCCTCAATCTGCGCAGTCCCTGCCTTCTTCATCCCCTCACGGCCCCCTACGCCGGCAGCGCCCTCCGCCGAGACCCCCAAACTTTCCATCGGCGCGTCCGCCAAAATCCTTTTCAATCAGGTCGAGTTCTGGCTCCTCTTCATCCCTTTCGCGATGTATGTCGCGCTGTTCAACTCCATCTCCTCCCTCCTCAACCAGATACTCCTCCCACACGGCTACAACGACGAGGAAGCGGGCATTGCGGGCGCGGTACTCATCGTCGTGGGGCTGGTCGCCTCGGCTATCTCGTCGCCCATCATCGACCGGACTAAATCCTACCTACTTGCGATCAGACTAGCCGTCCCGCTCATCGGCCTTTGCTACCTCATCTTCATCTGGATGCCCGGTACACGCGATGGTGGCGGCGTTGCTGGCCCGTACGTGGTCATGGCCGTTTTGGGGGCTTCGTCCTTTTCGATGCTGCCAATCGTCGTCGAGTACCTCGTCGAGCTGACACATCCCATAAGTCCGGAGGTCACATCGACGCTGGCGTGGAGCGGCGGGCAGCTGCTGGGTGGGATAATCATTATCGTTTCCGGGGCGTTGAGGGACGGGGCAGACGGGGACCCACCGGGAGATATGAGGGATGCGTTGATCTTGCATGCGGTGCTCGCCCTGGTGGTAGTGCCGTTGCCCTTGTGCCTGGGGCTGTTTGGGCGGAAGGAAAAGCTGCTGTTGAGGAGGGTCAAGTCGGACCAGGAGGCGAGGAATAGTGCCGAAGGGGGACATGGTTATGGGGGACAGATCTCATGATATGTGGCTGGCCACGGTTCACCGAAGGAGCTTGGGAAGTGTTTGCTCCGTATTTAGCATGGATGATATGAATCAATGTAGCACGAGAGGGAGCATGTACGACCCCTCGACATTACCATTACAATAATATATACCTCACCGCGAACCTCTACTTCATCACCCCCCACACCGAGGCCATTACGACCGCCCAGCCTCAGCCGCATCTGCCCTCTCCTCCCACTTCTCCCTCAACTCCTCCATCCTCCTCCAGCACTCGGCCCCCAACTCCCCAAACCCAGCCAGCTTCTCCTCGGTAACATCCACCGCGCCGGGCCGGCGGCCGGAGAGCTTGTGCTCGCGCTTCAGGGCGCGCACCTCCTCGACGCGGCCCTCCCATCCCCAGCCGTCCACCTCGGTCTTCTTGACCCGGCACTCGCCGCGCCGGTCCGTGCTGGTCCCCCACTTGACCCGCTCCGCCCGCGCCCCGTCCAGCCACCCCTGCTCCTGCAGCGCCACCCACACGGGCGCGCACGCCCCGTTGTACGCCGTGATCGGGTGCCACGGCGACCCCAGCCACCGCGCCACGTACAGCACGATGTTGTACCAGAAGAACATGAAGGCGTTGAGCGGGAAGAGGGTGGTTTGGACGACGCCCGGGTGGACGAGGTAGATCTTGGGCGGTTGGGTTTGAGGGGGGGTGGTGGTGGTGGTGAGGTATTTGGTGACGGAGGGCTTGGAGGTCGGCAGCGTGGCGGTCAGCGCCATGAGGTCGGTTAGGCGTTTGGTCGACTCATACGCCGCCTCCGTCTTGACCGCTTCGAAATCGTCCTGCGAGAGGCTCTCCCAGTCCCCTTCCACGCTCGATTCCCAGATGATGCGGCCCGGCGGTAGGGCGCTGTCGGCGGGGCGCGTTAGGAGCGGCACCAGTCGCTGCGCGAACACGTAGTGCCCGAATACGTTGGCGCAAAAGACCTCGCCCATCTGCGCCGTGCCTTTCCCCCCCTTTGCCCCGTGTATCGGGTCGATTTGGTACCCGCTCAGACCGCCCTTGAATGTTGGCCATGTTGTGGCGTTGACGAGACCCTTGGTGAGGATGTTGTGGAAGACCTTGGGCCAGTTCAGCCCGTACCAGCCCCCCATTCCGGCGTTGAAGATGATGGAATCCAGGCGCGGGATCTTGACGTCGGAGATAGACACGAAATTGGCATCGTCACTAGGGCTGCTGAGAGTCCCGGAGACAAGCTGACCCGCACAGCGGCGGATGGACGGCAGGCTGCATAGGTCGAGCTGGACGCTGAGAATGTGGACGCGCTGTGTGGTCTGTCTCGGGTCGTAGTTTGGCCCTCCACGAGCACGGAGGGCTGCCGATGTTTCCGCAAATTCCTTGGTATGTTTCCGGAGGCCGTCGATCGTTTCTTGTGATTTTTTGGTACTTCGCGTGGTGGGGATTACGACGAGATGTGAGGACAGGGAGCGGGTGGTGAGGTACTCGTCGATAAGGCGCTCGCCAATTCCGAAACCAATGCCGCTGCAGAACATAACGTTAGAACGGAGCCATTGGGGACCAACTGAGTATAACATCAGGGCGAGACATACCTATTCCCCCCCGTCACCAGGACGAACAAGGTGTTTTCGGCTGGAACTGCATCCCAAGGGGCTGGTGCCATAATTGTGGTGTTCTCGGAAATAACTCGGTTTCTGGCCGTAAAATGTAGGTTTGGCTGCAGACCGCGCCTACATAAACGGTCTCTTGGGTATTAGGAATGGTCTGGCGGGCGGTAGTTGCTCCTATGTGTCAACCGGAGGCTCTCTAGTTTGTTGACCGCAGTTCTGGGTCGCCAAGGGGAACCTAAATTTCCACACAAATCTTGGAGTTGACTACGACAGGGGGGACACATGCGCGTGCAGGGATCCGAAGCTGGTGCTGCAGAACGGAAGGGGAACGAAAAAATATGGATAGTTTTGTGTATCCCTCCGCATTTTAGAAAGGAAATAGATAACAAGGTATATGGCACATAGGTGGTAGTTCCAAGTCAACAGAATGATTTTATCAAGGTAGGTACTTTAATTCAAGATTGATTTCGATACTTGACAGAAAAGGCGGGAAGGATTCTCAAGATTTGGAGGTTGCCCGATGCCCCACCTTGAACTGCCCCTGGCAGATCTCCAAAAAAACTGGGGTGCTGCCTGCCCAAGCTGGCCACTTGCATCTTCAAGTTCTTCTCATCAACCAAACATCCCCCATGGTTTACATCATGGTTACCAAAATTCTAATATTTTCTGGGGCCCCAGACAGCAATACTCTCGACTGGGGTACAAGCGGGCTGTTGTCGGAATTTCAAGACACCACTGCGCAGTTCGCCGGCCTGGTTACAGAGAGCGGATTGCATCCCACAACCTCATCAGCGCCAGAACTTGCAGCTTGGAGATCACTGTCCCTGGGCAAGGCAACCATCCCAACGCGGTTCTCGCAACAGTATGGCATAGGTGAGGACTATGGGCCAGGGAGTTCTGTTTTCAGCCCCAGCCCCGAATTTCTCACGACCGTGTCCCTGTCCTTCGACTCAGACGGCGATGGTGGCGAGCATAATTCCGTCCTCTCTCAGTTTTACGAGCATTCAATTGTCCTTCACGAAGAGTTGTCTTCCTCTCAGCTGATCTCTCAGTCGGCCGAACAATCCACATCGTTCCTTGACGACACCACCTCCTTCCAGAGCGGCAATGGTAGCCAGCCAGGGTCCATCAAAGGGCCAATACTGTTCCGTGGCAGCGACCTTGTTGGCGACCTCAGGACCATTCCGTCAGCGGCCTATCTCGTCAAGATTCAACCACAAACCATGACCTACAATCTAATCGTAGGCATCATCTCCATTTCACAGCCGCGGGCCGTCAAGACCAGTTGGGGTGCCACTAAATACCTAGTCGAGGTGCTTGTCGGAGACGAGACGAAGGCCGGCTTTGCTATAACCTTCTGGCTCCCATCAGACAACGTCGAAGAAAGCCCCCTTGCGGGTCTGCGGCCCCAGGATGTCGTCCTCGTCCAAAATGTGGCTTTCAACGTATTCAGACAGAAGGTCTATGGATCCAGTTTGCGAAAAGGTTGGACCAAGGTGCACCTGTTTTACCGAATGAAGCTGGATTCTCTCGACACCGGCGGATACTACAGCACATCCGACTTGTCGTCCGCAAGGAGCGCCCACCCACAGCTCGAAAAGACGCGGCGAGTCCGAGATTGGGTGCTTCACTTTGTGGGGCGGGGAGTCCACAACGGGGCCAAGCCGGACTCCAAACCACGCTGGGACAGGCCGCCGGCGGATGATACGCAGTTATGACCAACGGCTGGAAAATCCGTGTAGTCTACATAGGAGCTTCAGCCGGCCGTCGTCGTCGTGAGGTACAGTTTCGTCGAAGTGCCAAACGGACCCCACAAATCCCGGGAGATGCTCCGCCGCTCGGCTTCGGGGCTTCCTTGCCCGGATCCATATCTGGCTTGGCGACGCGGATGTGGCTGTGACAGCGCAACGCGTCATGACAGAAATTGCGACTACGCGGCATTCAGGGGAGAGCGGCCTCGCCGGAACCCGCGTAATAGCTATAACTTCTTCCCCTCTTTTTCCCGACATTTCAATGGGTAGCGGCTTTGGGAGCGCAGCGAGGACAAGACTCTCGGCACCACCCGGACCCCCCGGAGACAAGTTCGAAGAATGATGCGCGGAAGCCAAAGGAGGTCTCACAGGAAGTCCCGGAACGGGTGCCTTGAATGCAAGAAACGACATAGTTGGTGTACCCCTTCTCTTGGACCACCCCTTGGCTTATGTCTGACTGAAATTTCTCTGTAGTTAAAGTAGGTCTTTTCTTGGCATCATGTCGCCTTAGCAATCACCTAACCATGTAGTGCGACGAAACTCGCCCACACTGCATGAACTGCACGACGGTCGACCGGAAATGCCAGTACACTACTCCGTGGCGGACCGCTGAACGGTCGCCATCAGACCCATCTGCCAGCCCGCAAACCCCAGCGGGACCTGCTTCCACCCCGGCGCCATCGGTATCATTCCCGGGTCTGCAACCGTCCGCTCCGGTCGAGAATCCGCACTCGCGGGTTGACATGGTCCACATGCAGCTCCTGCACCATTATACTACCAATAACGACATTCATCCCCTTATCGATACCTGTATGAAGGATATCATCATAAACTTGGCCCTCCGGGAACCATACATCATGCATTCGGTCCTCGCCATTTCAGCTCACCACCTCAGCGTGCTTCGACCCGACCAGCAGTCCTTCTATCACAATCTAGCCATCCAACTCCAAACCCAGGCCCTCTCGATTTTCAACAGCATCGATATCGGCCTCTACGGTGATTCGGTCGAGAAGCGTGTGCCCGTCTTCATATTCTCGAGCGTGCTTGGGATCCACGCGCTGTGCGATACGCTGTCCCACCGAGATTCAGACGCCGATTCCGCCATATCTCGGTTTGTGGCATATGCAAACCTTCACCGCGGGATGCATACCGTCATGCACGGCTATTGGGATGAGCTCCGGAAGACCGAACTCCGAGCCATCTTTGACGAGCTGGTGCCCCAGTGGTTCCAGCTGACTAGCGAGGGGCAGGAGTGCGCTGATATCCGGGTGAGGCTCACATCATCCGTGAGCCTGGATTCGGAGGAGCGAGAAGAAGCGCTCCGCGCTGTCGAGCTCGTGCAGTGTGTATTCGATGCGAAGCCCAAGCTGGAAGACCGAGCTTATGTCCTCTGCTCTTGGGTATCAATGCTCGGCCCGTCATTTGTTCGGATGCTGGACACTCGCCGACCTGAGGCCCTAGCCATTCTTGCATACTACTTCCTGGCCATGTACCACTGCCGTGGGGTTTGGCTGATGGACGGTGCAGGCCAGCATTTTCTGCCTTTGATCGCCGAGCACTTTCGCGGCGGAGAGTGGTACGCCTGGGTAGAGATCCCATACCAGATGTTACAAAACGCTCTAGAGAAGGAGACATTAGACCGCCAAACCCAACCGGAAGCCGAGGGTTCATCTTCCAACCCCGGCCACTCGGAGACGGTGTGTTGACGCCGCGTGGCACCCTGTCACATGATCACCTTACGTCGTTAGCCGCCTTTTTTAGTCCCCGACCCTCGTGGCCGGCCCAGCAAGCTCCGAAGCGCAGCTAGCTCCCGCTTCCCATCGCGACATCAGAAACGATCGTGCATCGTCCCGTTCCAATGGCTCGGAACTTTGAGGTCACCCGGCCCCAAGAGGCTGACGCGCCCCGCATCGCCGAGATCCACCTTGCCGCCATGGACGCCAACCCCTTGCTGCATGCGCAGTTCCCCGCCCCCGAGAGCCTCAGGGCGCTCCGGAGTTTTCTGGAAGATTACGCCCTCGAGCAGCTGCGCAATGCTGCTAGTGGGTTCCTGGTCGCCCGGGATCCCGAGACGGGCGTGGTCGCGGGTTTTGCGAAGTGGGACTCACCGTCGCACCCGGAAGATGTCAAGTTGGAGAGGAGCGATTTGCGGGACTTAGAGGGATGTCGGCGCGAGTTCCTCGACGACTATGCGTCGCTGGCGGAGGAGGCCAAGAAGAGGTGCTTTGGCGAACAAGTTTGCTATTGTACGTGCTATCAACTTTCCCCGTTTTTACCGTCATTCCGGATCCAAGCATCACACCCGGCGGCCGTCTTGCTCCGAGCCAGGGGTCTCGATTTCGGCCCGGGCCGCTGCAGGCGCCGCTCCGATCTTTACCCCGTCCGGTCCGGCCCGGCTCTCCGGCCTCGCTGAATCCGAGGGCTAACAACAACCGGCTAGGCTTGAATTTCGTCTGCATCGACCCCGCCTATCAAGGTCAAGGTGCCGGCTCCCTACTCACCCGGAAGGTTCTCGGCTTGGCTGCGGCAGATGGACTGCCGGTGTACATCGAGAGCACCGGTGTTGCGGTGTCTATGTATCAGAGGCTCGGGTTTACAACCATTGACGGGTTCGAGATGAGGTTACCGCGGCCTGCATTTACCGCGCTGAGCGAGATATATAGGGAGGAATGCATGGTATGGTATCCTCCGCCGACGCAGGACGGCGGATCAGAGTAAAGACGGTGGTCGATCGTTTAGAGTGCCGAGACCGTCCGCCCCGCCTCGGGAGACGAAGGGGCCGGCAAATTTCATCAGCGCTCGGCTTTTTCGACCGTTATCGCTGCCGTGGCCTGGCGAGTGAGGACTGTTCCCGACCCGACGTCGGCGGTCGAGGTCTATCCGTCGGGTACAAATGAGATCGATTTGTGGAGAGATTCCACTGCGGGCACGTGTTGACGGGGGCAGGAGAACCCCAATAGGGCGACAACTCCCCTAATGTATGTATTCTGTACTTCGTACATATTTTCTGCACCGGATTTCGGGATCGACAGCACCTCTTATGTAGGGTCCTCCTTATCGTCGTGTTGTACACTCGTACCCCGGGTAGAGTTGCCAAATGGACTTGGGTGGGCGATTCAGCCGGCCGGCTCGAGCACCGACACCCGCTTTGTCCTCCCCATTCCCTGCATCCGCGGGGCCGGCTTGTTGGCTTCTTCTGCTGACCCTTTGGCCGATGTAGATTGGCGAAGTCGGACAAGTGATGCGCAGGTCGGCCGGCGGTGCCCCCGCGGCCCCGACCCCATCTCGTCAATATGATGATTGCCGTGTAACCCGAAACGCTCAACGTTGTGTGGTGTGGTGGTGGTGCAGGGTGCCACCCCGGAACTTGGGCTCGGCGGTGGCGGGGGTGGATTGAGCTTAACTTTCCAGGGGACCTGAGTGGTTGTGGAGAGGGGCGAGTGAGGGGTTCAAGGTTCCGCCTGGTCCTTGTCTCCTCCCGGTTCTTGCACCGGGGACGACAGGCGATCTCTGATCTGACGAGATCTGCTGCGAGAGAGAAGCACCACGAAACACACGACCATTTACCGATCACGCGCTTGGTGCGATCGCTTGTGGTAAGTTGTCATGTGTTTTCTGCAGCCACTTTGCTTCCAGCCCATCTTGCTTGGAGGCCGCCCTTTCCTTCCACACACACCACACGACACATACACACACACATTCAGAAACACACCACCATCAGCGGCTCCTGGTTGTGTCACCTTGACCCTCTGCCCGGCAGGCACCGAACCAAAACGAGCGGTCAGGCAAGCCACGCCCAGTAACAAGACAGCTGAGCTTGCAGCATGCAATTTGCTCGACACCCCACAGTTGCTGTGCTGTGCATTCTTCCCGTCTGTCCGACCCCTTGGTTTATGAGTGAGTGAGGCACGACGATAAAGATTCGGAGCGGAAGAGGCTAGGCTGAGGCGAGTCATTGGTCTCTGCCTCCGGGCCGTTTCATCGTTTCGTCGTTTCAAGGCCGTGTTTTCCGGTGTCGTGCATGGTACCCCGGGAGCCTCAGGCCCACTAACGCACTCACGAGCCGTCCTTGGGTTTCGCTCGAGAAAGGGCTCCGGGGAGTTTGTCGAGATTTGCGGTGGGATGGGGATGGGAATCTAGCTGGTTAGAGACAAAAAGAGCATGTGAGAAAGGAATGAGACAACCAGGCATTGACCTGATCTTTTGGGTTGCAACAGTCTTCTTCTTCCTGCGTCTGATGTATCCGATTTTGACTCGGCAAAGGGGAGCCATTACGTGACAAGTATTCCCAAACGGGCGGGAAACTGGCTGCCCAGGGCTCGTCTGCGCGTTTCTATTTGGTAATCAGCGCCCCATCCGCAGCGACGGTTCAACGACGGCGGGGGCTAATGCGGAGTGCTGTGGTGGTGGTGTGAGTGACTTGGAGGTGACTCCGGCGGTTGACGGAGGGGCCCTGGGGAGCAAGCACTTGGCGTCTAGATTTCGTGGTTATTTTGTGTGTGGAGAGGTGTCGGGTCGTTACTGCAACAGGCCCCTGGAAGGCAGTTGGCAAGTCCCTGCAGGTAGCATGCACGCTGCAACGTTATCTCGGGCCTTTGCCATTAGGAATTTCAACGTGAAATAAATCGAACATGATAAGGTGGCAGAGAGTCTGGGGTGTTATCGGGGTGCATATGTTTTCTGCATGCCTCTTCCGGCTTCATCTGCATCCACGACGAAGTGAGGACACGAAGAGACGGGCGACTGCCGTGTTCTCTGCGACGAGTCACCTCTGCGTCGGCAAGACGGGTGCGCTGAGCCCGTGAGAGGGGGGAATTGATCTACACGGAAGCGAAGCTGGCAAAAAAGCTGGCAGCGATCTTAGGCATCTTGGTTCTCTAGCTCTTTTTGTGGTGACAACGCGCCCTTGTTGTTTCGTCTGACCGCGGGGAGATTGACATCACCGGCTTGTTCGTCCGTTCTATCTTTCCCATCTCGGAGTCATACGCTCCTTTCTTCCCGCACTTACCGGTTTTTGGCGAAGCCAGGACCTTCCATCCTCTACTCTGGGTCCTTTGATCTATCTCTCTTATCGACTCGGGCTCCTTCCCGACTCGGTCGTTCACTCCTCCCCACTGAGCTCTCTCCACTTTCTCAACGGCAAGACCGACCAAACTTGAACTTGGACTCGAAAATGTTCTGAACGAAACCTTCCTGGGAACAACTCCCGCTATCCCCGAAATCAGACACGGGGTCGAACCATCAGCCGCCGTGTGCCTTTGCTACCTACCAATGCAAATGACGCGCCTAAGTCTGGCTTATCTTGTGCTCGTCTCCATCATTACATAGATCCGGGCCCCCAATTCGCCGGCGCCGTGGTCTCGGTCCGCATTTCTAATCTACGGCCCTGCATACCGCCGCTCCTGTTCGCCTATCGCTCCTCCTCCCAGCTTTGCGCCGCCACCAGGCCCGTCGTGTCCCCTCTTTATCTCCCGAGTCCACGACACCAGCCCCAGGCCCACGGCCAACGAACCAACCCCCCCCAAGCGGCACGACCGGGGCCTCCAGCAGGCCATCGAGATACCCACGATAAGGACTCTCCGGTTGCCGACTGGGCAGGGTACCGATACCGAACTGAGGCACCACACACGCCTCTGCTACCTTGACCAGGAGGGAAACGGGACGTGGGGAGACGCCTGGGCTCCTGGGGACTCCTCTGGGGTAACGTCCTGCACTGCGCCGGGGAGGAGCATCAGTCGAGGCTTATCTACGAACGAACCAAAAGCTCGGTTCCTATCAGGCCCAGACTTGCCCGCCGATCAGTTCACCTGCGGCTGCCGGTCAAGAACCCACAAGCGTGCCAGCATAGCACCCAGAACAAGATTTCGGGCTGTAGCATTCGTCTGTGCATACCGTCTCACCTTCTCGACGATCAGCGGTTACCTCGTTAGCCCTTCCACCAAGGGTATCTGAGCGCACCAGTCTCGCGGGTTTCTGTAGCCGGAAAACCTTGAATTTCAGGAAAGAGCCGCCCGGCCGGGGTAGCGGTATCTCCGTGCACCTCCATACGAGCCGGCCGCGAGACTCCGCGGCGTGCTGAGTTGCGTGTCCGTCAGGTTACATCCTCGGACATCCTGCTGAACTGCAGCCGTTTTCACGCTGCAAACTTGGGTAACCCCGGCTGCGAGCCGTCGCTCAGCCTTTACCTACACCATGTCTGCCCCTTGCGCCGTCCCCCGTACGGCTCCCATAGCCATTGCGCCAAAACCGCCGCGCTTCCCCCCAAGCCGCCAGAGCAGCATACACCTTGATTCATTCCGGAGCGGCTTCGACTCGCCCGACTCGGACTCTGTAAGCGGGTTCTCGGCACCCCCTTGTGAGGCCTGCCTGAACAGAAGGACAGATTGTGCCATGGGCGAAGATGAGGAGAGCTGTGTTGCGTGTCTGGTAGCGGGGACCGAGTGCTCGCTGATCGACAGCCCGGCTCCCCGGAAGCGCAAACTGAACGGGGACCTAGAAACCAGCAGTAGCAAGAGAAGGTGAGACGCACCCTCTTTAGCTACACCCCACGCTTATCTCCTCGCTGTCCTGGCTCCCCCCCTTGTTCTGTTTACCCCCGTGTCCGGTTCATGCATGCCCTTGGCTCGGCACACGACAAGAGTTATCTAACACCTGATTGGTCCATGTAGTTCACCCGGGCGGTCTGATATCAGGAGACGGCGGCATCAGCAGCACAGCTTCTCGTGCACCACGACTAGCAGCTCCCTGATTGAGGACATGGCCAACTTCGGCGGTCCGACATTGTTGAAGCGCACCCTCGGCCTCCAAGCAGACAGGTACAGCCAGTATATCGGGCCCACCACCGACTTTGAGCCCTCCCTTATCAACCTATCCCCCTTTGACCCGCACGATGAGAGCCTCCTCGCCCGGGGGACCCTCAGAAGGGTCAGCGATAATGATACGTTCTTGCTGTTGCCAGACAACAACACGCCGGGGTACGACCACATCTTCCATGACGTCGATGAGATCGAGAGCCTTGTGGCGCCCCATAGCCGCAAGCTAATAGATCTGTACTTCCGGGTCGTGCACCCGGCCTTTCCGGTCATCCAGAAAAATGTATTTCTCGAGAAGTATGAGCGCTCACCCCGCGAATTCTCGCCCCCTGTTCTTGCCGCTGTTTATATCCTGGCCATCAACTGGTGGGGCCATTCGGAGGAGCTGGCGAGTCTCCCTCGGCCCAATGTCAGCGAGCTCGAGAGGCTGGTGAGGACCACCCTCGCTGACGCCATGTACCGGCCGAAGCTGTCGACGATACAGGCTGGCCTCATCTTATCGCAGCGGCCCGAGGGGGATCAGTGGGCTCCGACAGCACAGCTCGTTGCGATCGGACAAGAGCTCGGCTTGCATCTCGATTGTAGCCACTGGAAAATCCCACCATGGGAGCGCGGGCTGCGGAAACGCCTGGCTTGGGCGTTGTATATGCAGGTGAGTTGAGTTGCCTTGCCCCAAACAGGACTTCTGCGAGTCTGACCACTATTCCAGGATAAATGGGGAGCTCTCGTCCACGGCCGGCCATCGCACATTTTTGCCCCCAACTGGGCAGTGCAGTCGCTCAATCCGAACGATTTCCCCGACGTCGAGTGGGACGAGAACGATGTGGAGGAGAGGATAGAAATCGAGCGTGGGCGGGTGCTCTTTGGGCAGATGGTGCAGCTCTCACAGATCCTCGCCGAGATCCTCGAGACCTTTTATACTCTGCAGGCCCTACATGCCACCGCCAACGCGGGTGCGCAAGCAACACAGCTCATTCTTTCCCTCGCCAAACCCATCCAGCTCAAGCTGAAGGAGTGGTACTCGGGCCTCCCGAGCGCTGTCCGCATGGATGCAAACTTCCAAAGTAGCCTCAACCAGCCCAACCGCCTCTCCAGCATAGGTTACCTTCACCTCGCCTACTTCGCCACCGAAATCACCCTCCACCGTCGCATTATCCGCTCGATGGACTGTGGCTCCGCAGCATCAGCCTCGACACCATCCTCCTCCGCTCCATCCCCGGCCGGCATCAACCTCCCCGGGACGGCAGGCGGAGTTGACCCCTATATCCAACACATATGCCGTAGCGCCGCCAAAGCTCGCCTCATCTCTGCCATGGACTTTGTCAACCGGTTGAACCCCTCCCACCTGCGCTCCTTTTGGTATTTTGCCTCCAAAACGAACTTCGCCCTCATTGGCACCTTTGGCTCTCTACTTTGGGCGACATCCCCCGGGAGGGAGGAAGGCGAGTGGTACCGCCGTAGGCTGGGCGAGTACCGCTGGACGCTGTCGGTCAGCTCCAAGCCGGGGGAGGGTAAGGGCTTGACGGAGTTTGCGATGGGCATGTTGGATATCTCGACCGGGTTGCTCAAGAAGTTGCCCGAGAAACCGTTACTGAGCCGGAGCGGGAGCGCCGTGGATTTTGATGCTGCTAGGAGACAGAGCATGCTGGCGCTTGGTGGGACGGGGACGGCAGGTGCTAGGGGAAGTGGTGGCGCGGGGGCCAGTGGGCTAAGCATGGGAATGGGCGGTGGTGGGTATGGGGGCAGGACTGGGAGTATGAGCGGGCTGGATAGCTACGGCGGAATGCATAGTGCCGAGGCAAGCGGCGTGCAGAGTCCGCTGAGCGAGGAGAGCGAGAGTGAAGTCGAAGAGGTGTATGGCAACTTTTCGGCGACGGCGGGAATGGCGGGGATGGCGGAGTAGAGGATTTCCCAGGACATCTTGTGGTTCGAATGGTGGTTTACGGCCGAAGTTTTGGAATTTAGGTTGGGAGGACTGCCAGAACAGAGGCTGGGTTGGATCTTGGTTCATAAAGCTCTATGTACCCAACCCATACCTTGGGGCTAGCGCGGAAGCGCTGTGGCCGCTGTGGCATTTGGGGGTGGAGGGGATGTTTGCGCTGCATGGCGTGCCGAGCACGCGATTTGCGCCGTAACCAGTAGGGCGCTGCCGCGCTGAGGCCGGGTGTTACCAGCTCGGGATGGCGTCATCTCGGTTGGCCTACCCGACTTTCACTCCCATGCCTCTGTCAAGGGGCGGGAAAAAAGGGCACACGATACCAATTGGCTTAGGTCAAGGTCGGTGTGTCGGCGGGTTGAGCTGCCAGCCAAATGGACGAAGGGGCAAGAAACAGGGCGCCTACCGGCTGTTTCGGGCACGACGAGGGATGGATGGATGGACAAATGATTTGATGTGATATGCCCTTTCTTTGTGTGCGGTTTTCGGGATGGATGCCTGGGACCTGATACCCGCCAGCTTATAGACGGTTTCCGGGTGTCTTTTTCTTGAAGAGGTGGGCGGCTAGCTTGTCATTTATCAGTGGGTTGGAGTTACTAGATGGAACTAAGGGTACAGATTGTTTACCATGGATGAATATAGATCGTATACCATTACGTTCTTGAATAGGGCAGTTCCTGTGCTGTGTCACTGTGTCTAATGGATGCGTCGGGCGAAGTCAGTCGTCTCAGACAGCAACCTGCTAGCGAAAGACGAAATTATCGGAAGTCATTAGACATTGTCATTATAAATATATAATTAACTAGCAAGGAGTAGGGTATCTATTTTCCCGACATCCACGAGGCTCCAAATAACAACGAATACCCCTCTCTCTTTTACGATCATGGCACAAGGCACTGCCCAAACCCACCAGTCTACTTTGAACCCTCGCCAACAACAACCGCCTCCTCATCTTTCCCCGCCTCTTCCGTCCCAGGTTCAGCCGCCTGCCGCTTCTGGATCTTCTTCCAGCTCAGCGCGCAAACGGCCACGAACGCGCCCGCGCCGCACCCGACGGTGATGAAGAACGAGTTGCGCAGCCCCTCCATGTAGGCGCCCAGCACGGCGCCCAGGCGGTCCGCGACGCCCAGGTCCGCGAGCACCTGCGGGATCTGCGACGCGCCGCTGTTGATGAGCACCTGCGCCGGCACCTCGGGCACGTCCCGCACGATCCCCGCCGTCAGCCCGTTCAGGAACACGGCCTGCGCCACCGCGATGAAGATGGACCCGCCCATCGACTGGAAGAATTGCACGCACGCGGTGGCTTGTGGGATCCACTCGTGCGACACGCTGTTTTGTACCACGAGGGCGCCGGTCTGGAAACCCATGCCGATGCCGAGGCCTGTGTGTGGGGGAGGGGGGGGTTAGTTGGGTGGGTATTGAAGGGGGGGGGGGGGGGGGGGGGGGGGATGGAGGAGGGGTGGTGGTGGTGCTTACCGGCGATGACTTGGTAGCCGAACCAGACGCGCAGAGGGCTGTCGACGGCGAAGGTCGTGATCATGCCGGCTCCGATGGTCAGGAGTGCCATGGACGGGATGATAAAGGGGTTGTAGTATCCCACGGCGGCGATCAAGCCGCCCCCGGCGATGGACATGATGACGACGGAGATCAGCAGCGGGAGGAGCTTGATTCCGGCCTGGACGGCAGAGTCGCCTTGGACGGCCTGGAAGTAGATGGCTATAAACGGGGCATGTACTGTTAGTCAAATGCTCTCATGCTAGGGGGGTTGCGCACCGGGCCACTTACACAAGTAGTAGACGAGCGGGAAGAAGGCGGCGCCAAAGAAGAAGGTGAAGAACATGGCGCAGAGGACGTCCCGGTTCTTGAACAGGCGCGGCGGCAGCGTGGCCTTGTCCCCCTTCCAGATCTGGATCCCGATGAAGATGATGGCCATCACCGCGAACCCGACGAACAAGCCGATGATGACGGAGCTATTCCACGCATACTCGGTCCCTCCCCACTGCAGCGCCAGCAACAGACACACAATCGACGGCACCAACATCGACATGCCCAGCAGATCCAGGCTCAGAATCCTCTGCACCACCGTCAGCCCCTCCTCGTTCAGCTTCTGCTCGATGTGCAGGAACGAAAAGATGGCCAGCATCGCCGCGCCCCCGATGGGCAGGTTGATGTAAAAGCACCACCGCCACGTCAGCCTATCGGTAAAGGCACCACCCAACAACGGACCAGCAACACTCGCAATCCCCCACATAGCTCCAACCAAGCCAAACGCAATCGGCCGCTTGCGCAGGGGGAGGGAATACGACATGATAACAATCCCCCCCGAAAACAACCCAGCCGTACCCATCCCCGCCACCGCCCTGCCCACAATAAACGCATTACTCGTCGGCGCAAGCGCACACACCAGACTGCCGATCTCAAAGACAGTCACAGCAGCCAGGTAGACCCACTTGACGCTGAACATGCGGTACAGCGAGCCGTAGCTGGGCTGCAGCGCCGTCGTGGTCAGCAGGTAGGCGGCGCCGTACCAGCCGATGTCCTTCACGGAGCCGAACTCGCCCGTGATGGCGCCCAGCGCGGGGGCGATGATGGTCTGGTCTAGCGCGACGAGGAACACGGCCATGCAGAGCGAGACGATGATCAGGATTAGCTTGATGCCGGTCGGGTAGACGACGGCGTCGACGCCGGCGGTGGCGGTGGTGAAGGGGTCGTCACCTTTTTTGGTGGTGGTGGTGATGTTGTTGTTGTTGTCGTCGTCGGGTTTGGGGGTGGTTGTGGTGGTTGTTGTTGGTGTGGAGGGGGAGGGTGCTGTCCCGGGATGGGTGGCCTTTTCGGCCTCTGTGTCGGTCATCATGGTGACTTTTGTCGAGCACCTCGGTTGTTGTCTCGGGAGAATTGAGACAGAGATGGGACGAGGAACGGACAGGCAGAAGACGCGATGTCAAAGAAAGAAAAGTCAAAGTGGCGCCTGAGGGCAAATGTTGAGACTAATTATGATGATGCATCTTGACGGGAAGGAAGATCAGCCAACACTCAGCTTGCCGAGACTTGCAGAGCCTTGCGTCGCCCAAACCCTTTGAGGTTAGTAACTATCGTGATGTTTCTCGCCGTCCCAATAAGAAAGACGACTGCACACCCAGCTTCGATGCAGACCGCTGGTTGGTGATGAGGTAGTGGGAACGGGGAGATGATCCACGGACCTCGGCCATCGTCACACCGAGTTACGAATCACTTCCCCCCGACAAGGTCTCGTCCCGTCCCGTTCATTTTGCGCACAGGCAGCAAGAGGACGAATCGAGAGAAGCGAATGCGCACACGTCCACCAAGCTGACAAAGAAAAGGCGTCGTTCTGTCGCTCACTGTCTCAGTTCCCTCAACACAAGAAGCCATTGGGCGGATCTCGATCCCGCCGTGCATCTGCCGGGGGCGGGCTTACCCGGACTAGGGAAAGATGCTTAGCTCGAAAGCTTAAACTGGGCTGAAAAAAAAGCTAAAAAGGGAAATGGATGTGCGGTTAAGGTCGGGGGTCGGCGGCGTCGTTCGCCGATGGTTTGCCAAGACAGGCATGTCTGACAGCTGTCAGGATGATTTGCAGCAGCTCGCACTCAGATAGGTCACGATTCTTTTATTTTGTACCGACATACACGAGGGACCTGGCTGAGAAACAAGAGGGTGCATCCGTAATTGGTATCTCTATATCGCTAGCTCACAACGAAACCCACCCCACCCAGTCAATAGTTAACAAAGCACACCATACGATGACAAATCTCCTCACTTGCGGTTCCGCGTCTTCTTCTGCGTCTGCGCCGTATCCTCCTCGACCTCGTCCTCCCCCTTCTTCAGGTCCTCCGTCAGCCCCCACGCCTCCTTGTCGTACCAGTCCTCCCCGTCCGACATGTCGCGGTTCGGCCCGGAGTGCGCCTCCGCCTTGGCCCACTGCCACACCGTCTGGCGGAGCCGGTCCGCCTTGAGCAGCCCCTCGTACAGCCGCTTGGTGCCCCGGCAGACCTCCTCCTGCTTCTGCACGTACAGCAGCAGCAGCCGCCGCACCTCCTCCGCCTCATGCTCGGGGAGGCCCAGGTCCCGGTCCGGCCGCGCCGCCGACGGGAGCCGGAAGAGCGGGTGGATGAAGAGCTCGTCGGCCGTCTCGGGGAGCGGAGACGCGGCGGGTAGGTCTGGCGGTGCGAGCAGGTTGTGTGTGCTTGGTCGTTCTTGATCCGCGCCGGCCGCCTCGGCCATTTCCACGTCCCCCGCTCTAGCCGCGCCCGGTTTGCCTAGGGAAGTGTCCCCGTCATCAGGGCCACCCTTGTTCTCGTCGTCGTGATTCGTGTGCCCGCTAGCTTGACCGTCCCTTACTGCGCTCTCCGTCGTTGCTGGCCCTTGGCTAAGTCCGTCTTTACCGTAAGTGTCTGTGTGCACGTCTGCGGATGGCTCCCCGCCATTTACCCTCTCGCCCGGTGCCCCGTCTTGCCCTGTGTTTCCGACCGAGCGCGCGGTGGCTCGCGTCTGGGCTGCATCCTGCGCCGTCCCTCGTAGCGCTGACTCTGTAAATGTGTTCTTAAAGATCCCGTTTGCGCCAGGAGCTGGGGCTTTTGTTGGGACGCGGCTGGCTGGGCGGTTGAAAAAGCTCACCGTGTCGCTAAACAGCACGGCATCGCGGTTGTCGGGGGCCGCCATGAGCCCGCAAGGTGCCCATGTGTTGTCGCCGACGAGCTTGGTAAGTAACGGCTTCGCTTTCCACAGCGCCTTGTTTTCCTTCTGCATCAGATTGCGACCTTGCTCAATCAGCTCGTCCAGCGATTTCGAAGTAAATGGCCGCGAGAAGGTCGGATGCGACGGCAGGTCGGTGACGGCGGTAAGGGGGGCAAGAATTTCTACGCAAGTCAGCGCCGAATGCTGGTATGGTGCGCGAGCATGTCATGGACGTACGCTCGAGCCGGATGGACGAGTAAGGGTTTTCTTCCAAGGCCGAGGCAATGGCCTCCTGAACCTGCTCCTCGTCATCGTCGCTGTCGATGTCGTAGCCGTCCTCGTCAATCAAGGGCGGGTTGCGGTTGATGATCGCCCGTTGGTACCCGGCATGTTCTGCAATCTACAACCTCGTCAGCCCCCCTCCAAACCTGACAACATGATCCTTGCGCACCTCCTTGTATGCGGCGGGTCCCATCGACGAGGCCAGCCGGCCTTCGTGGACAAATCTCGCTCTCTTCTTCAGCTTGTTGCCGCGGTTCGTAGTCTGGTCGATTGACGAGTCCGAGTCGGAGTCTGCAACAGACGCGGCAGTCAGAAGGCGAGCAGCAAAGGGTGCGGAGGCTGCGCGTGTGGCTAACCGTAGGCTTTGCGCTTCAACGTCCGCCTCAGCGTGAGGAGCGTGTCCATAATCATGGCTTGCTGTTGTGTCGACATCTTGACCGCAGTGTACTCTTGTGTTAGTGGGCGGTTCAGCGGCGCGGTTCAGTGGAGATAATCAAGTGGTTTCCGGCGTTTGCGACTCGATTCGCGCTCAGGAACGAACATGTGGAATGGATGGAACCGAGTTTCGAACGGCCGCTGCAAAAGGCGGGAAGCAGCGGCGCAAGACGGCACTAAGTGGGCAAGGCCAAACCTAGAAGTGGGTCCTACACAGTGGGATGGAGGTCCCTGTGGCCAAGGTTCCGAGTGAGCTCCAGGTCCAAGCTTCCTCCCACTTTAGTTACATACCGATGTCCCTACCTTGCATCATCATCCCACTTCCTCACATCCTCACCTCGTAACAGCGTCCCGCATTTCTCACTTTCACTTTGCGTCATCGCATATGCAGCAATTGGATTGAGGACGAACCCACGACCTCACAACATGTCGTGGCCGGGCGCAGATGAGTCGTCCGGTGACTCCGGGCAGGGAAACCAGTTCGATCGTCCAACTGACTTGGCCTCCATCGCTGTCGTCAAGAACGGCCGCTTGGCGGGATTCACAGAGGAACAGGCTGATCGGGCTCTGAAGTTGATGAGCGGCCCATTCGAGAGCCTTCCACAGCTACCCTTCTTTGCGTCCTGGTTCTCGTACACGCCACGATGGCAGAAAGCCCAAGTTGCGAGCGCTCTCATCGAAAACTCCCTCCTAATCGGCCGCCTGCTGAGCCCCGCCGAAGCCGATGCCTTCGCCTACCACCGCTCTAAGGTATGCTCGAGAGCCACCTATGGGACTCCCGCCGTCCTCCTCACCGCCGCCTACTATACCAACCAGGGTCGTTCGACCTTCCGCTTCCCCTTCTACACACCAAAGCCCGCTTCTTTTAACCCGATGTCTTTCCCGACCGCGTCCATGTCTCTTCTCAAGGGCCAGTCAGCCGTGCGGCTATGGCACGTCCTGCGTTTTGGTACCTACGCATTCATATCTCAGTACATCGTCAAGATAATCGTCTTCTCGTTTGTACAGGCAGGCTATCTAGCGGCCATTGCGGGCGATCCTAGGCTCAAGGCGGTGCGCGAGGAAATGACACCATCCAAAAAGGCGCGAGCGGAACGCTCAAGGCTTCCCCCGGCCGACGGCCCCGCAAACTCGGTGGCCGTGTCACCTTCGCCCGGTGTCACATCAACCGGTTTGGATTCGCCCGTACCGCAAACGCCAGGACGGCGGGGGTGGGCACCACAGACCCCGCAAAGCGTTCCGGAAAGTGTGTCGCAACAAGACGATGACTCGTACCTGTTCGACGATGCCTCGCCCGTGGCGCCATCCCAGAGAGAACGGCCTTCCGCTGGCTCTCCCCAATCACCCGGAGGGGGCTCTGCTTGGGACAGAATCAGACAGCAGGCAAAGTCAGAGGAGGGGCAAAGGTGGAATCCGCGGCAGCAGCAGAACAGGACGTCCGGAAGCCAACAAACCACGGACCAGTACACATATACCCCGGCCGAGCAGGAGAAGGCGTATGCGAAGGAGCAAGCCCAAAAAGAGTTCGACGCCATGCTAGAGAGGGAGCGGCATGGCACGGGTGATTCCGGTGGTCGCAAATGATTGCAAAGGCGACTGTGTGTGTACGATTACGCTCGGACGCTTCACGGAAATTTACCGCTTCGAAGCAGCACCGCATCAAAAATGAACCTTTGTTGTTTCGAACCGTATGGTCTCTCGCTTGTCTTGTCAGTCCTTCCCCTCCGGGATCCAATGCACAACCAATGAACAAGCAATTCCCTCCCGATCGCTTGGTCGAGCCTTACACCAGCGCGCCAGCCCACGGGGAACCGTGCATGTCTGGACATACGTCCGTCCGAGCGTCGATCCTTCCGGCGGAGCACGACGCCCTCCATATGTAGAACTCAATTGGCTCACCCAAGCCTCGCCTCGAGCTCGTCAGCACAATCTTCGCAGGGCAGCAGGGTTGCATCTCACGGTCAGAAAGTGGACCTCAGACCCCCTGCCCCCTGCGCGCTGAGAACTCCCGGCGGCGATGGATTTGACCATCACCTCCGCCCGGGGCGACGGTCGTGTGCGGAACGGCCCTCCTGCAACCCACCTCCGTGACCGCGTTCTTCTGGCGTGTGTTCGAATACCCGACGGCGCGAGGCTGGTCAAAAGCCTCCCCAGATCACAATGTCGGAATCTACAGCTCCTCCCCCGACACCCACGCGCACCCCGCTGGTCATCACCTCCTTCCCGACAATCCCGCTGACCACGACCTTCACCCGCGGCACCGACTGCGGCGGCATCTACACCCCATACCGCCCGGCCGTCTTCATCATCGACAACGAGCTCTCCTGCTTGCCGTCCAGCTTCTCCACCTCGGACTCGTCATTCTTCTACTCCCCGGGAATCGCCTGCCCGTCGGGCTACTGGACCGCATGCCACGACACGACGGGCGTGTCGTCCATCACGACCGTCACCTGCTGCCCGACCTACGCCGACATCTCGCTGACGTGCGCCCCCAGCCCGCTCTCGCTCACCGAGGCCTGGGAGAGCATCTTCTGCACCTGGGTCGCGCCCCGCTCGCCGGGCACCGTCATCACCGTGACCAAGTCGGCCGACGGCGGCCGCACCTCCACCGTCAATGCGGGCCTCACCTTCCCCGGCGGCCTGAACGCCTACGGCGTGAGGATGGTCTACCAGGCGAGCGATATGGAAACGGCCACCTCCTCCGCCGCCTCCTCCGACGGGTCCGGCGCGCCCGTGCCGACCACCTCTTCGACAGCAGACCCGACGGGCTCTTCCTCCCCCGGCGCGTCGGACGATCCCGACGTCGCAGATTCGAACTCCGGGCTCTCAGTGGGCGAGCAAGCGGCCATCGGCGTGGTGGTGCCCCTGGCGGTGATAGCGCTGCTGATCGGGCTGGCGCTCTGGTGGCGCAGGCGGAAGCGGCAGCAGCAACTGCCGTCAGCAGCGAAGGAGGCGCCGACTTATGATTACGCGTTAGCAGCCCCGGGCGCGTACCAGCCCGGGGCGGAACATGTCGCGCCGAAACCACCGGGGGAACAGCAACAACACTATTACTACGGTGGGCAGCCGCAGCCGCATGAGATGCCGACGGCTTGGACGCCCTCCGAGATGCCCAGCATGACGTCGGCCGCGGAGTTGCCGGGGCCGTCGCCGAATTATCATCCGGGGAACCCGAATTTTCCGGATAGCCCGAGCATTCCGAGGTGAAGGGGTGTTCAGATAGTGGGTTAGGGGGATGGTAATTTGTATTTTGGTAATGTGGTTGGGAGCGTTTCTGGTGTCGGTTGGTAAACATATCGCGTTGGGTGCGTTGGCTGATTTTCGGGGTTGTATCTACATCGGCGTACAACATCTACCTCTTACATTCTAGAGTATATATTGGCAACTGCCTTTCACTCTCTCTCAATGCTCTCAGTCCACGAAATCCCGCCGTCCCGCGCCGTCGAACTCCCATCTCGTAACAAGCATCATACTACGTACAACAGCCACATCCGTTGTCCCGCATGGTTTCCTTTCGATTTTATTCTTCCATCCACGCTATCCTACCACCCTAATTCCTTCATCTTGTCCAATTCATTCCATCCGACTAACTCATCAGCCTACTTCATCCGCCCCGATCACCACCCGAGTATGCCCACACAAAACTGCAGACAACCCAAAACACCCGGGCTCTACCCAAATACCCACCCTCTCCATCCGTAACGCAGGAAGGGGGGGGGGGGGCGGGCAGCAGACTCACCGTCACCTTCATGCCCGACCCGAATTCTTAAACCCCCCCCCCCCCCATCCGCCCCCCACTGAGGTCGAAATGCTGGTTAAGTTGTAGTCCGAGTTCAAGGGAACGATAAGAAGTGCTCTCTCGTGGTGGGGCGGCAAACAAACAAGTGAGCGTGATGATATGGGGTCGTGTGGTCGCGATGTGGTGGGCTAGGTCGGGTTGGGGGAGCAAGCACATCGACTCGGGGTGTCAGGCTCCCTTCCTCCTCTGGAACGGGATGGGAGTCCCTGTTAGTAAGATACTTCTTCACTGCTTCTGTACTGGGGCTGCGGGTGTTACCGAGGTTGTTGTCGTCCCATCCTGTTGAAGGAGATTGAAGGCAGGAGGCCGAGATACAAACACCAAGATGGATCCTATCAATAAATACTCCCGATGACAAAGCACACCACAATGGTCACGTTATCCGAGGAGCAGTGCAAACAACCGCGCAATGATATCATCTAGCCTTCGACGCTGTCTAGTCTAGCCGAGTATGAAAACGCACCGCTGAGGACCAGCAAGCCAGAAATCAACAAACCACTTCCAAGGTATCAATCAGTCAGGTATCAATCAAAGATGCCATCCTCCTTCCCCGAGAACTCGACGTTCCATTCCAAAAGTAACACGATCAACCCGCCGCTACAGACAACCACCGCCCAGCCGACCCGCCTTCATAGCCTCATTCATCACCATCTCCCATGTACAAAAACGTTCCTGGCGTACCATTATGTACCGAAGCTCGTGTGCTTGCCTGCTCTCCATCGCCCCCCCAAGATACCTGTCGTCCTCATCTTTGTCTTGTCTTAAAATGGACCCGTCCCGTTTGTGCGCGGAAAAGAAAAGCCACGCAAAAAAGCCCGTGGCGTGAGTGTCTATCGTTCCCCTTCCCTGGCGACCGGCATTAAAAGAATGGTAAACATGGTATAAAATGGGGTAGAAAGGAGCGTGGCGAAGCTGCAAAATAGCATCGGTCCGAGAAGCAGAAACGGGCAAATATCAAAACGCGACGACCGTCAGTCCGTCCCTTCCAGCTACGTCACTGCACTTAGAGGACGAGGTAGCCAAAGAGGGCGGCAGCGCCGACGGCGGCCATGTTGCCCGCCATGGACGGGGCAGCAGCGGTCGACATGGTCTCGGTGGCAGTCTCAGTAGCGCTCTGCTGGTCATCACCATCGGTCTGGGTGGGGGCAGCAGTGGTCTGGGTGACGGTGCCGTTGGAAGTGAGCGAAGCCGACGAGCTCAAGGTCGTGAGGGTGGTGGCGGACGAGGAAGGCTTGGAGGTAGAGCTGGGCTTGCGAGTCGAGCTGGTGGTCTCGTCCGAGTCGGACTCCTCGCCGTTGTTGACGACCTTGATGCTCTGCCACGAACCGCTGCGGTCGGTGTAGTGGTACTCAGTGGCCTCCTTGGCGCCGTTGCCGCCCATGTAGTCCTGGATGCGCAGGCTCTGGTAGTAGCCGTCGAAGGGAGCGTCGGTGAAGTCGGTAATACCGCCAGCCCAGTCAATGGTTCCCTGCGGGGCGTCCTTGCGACCAGCGACCCAGGTTCCGAGCTTGATCTGCATGGGAGACTGCGGGTAGCCGGCGCAGCCGTCGATGCCAGTGTTCTTGAGAGTGCGGACGACGGCGCCGTCGATGATCCAGTCGAGCTGGTCCTTGGTCCACTTGATAGTGTAGGTGTGGAACTGGTTGACCGGGTCGGCGACGGGCGAGAAGCCGCCACGGTCGTAGGTCTCGGTGCAACCCTTGCTAAAGAAGTTGGTCTGAACCTGGGTGGCGTCGCCGCCGAGCCACTCCCAGTCAATCTCGTCGAGGTCGTCCGACTGGAGCACGAAGCTCGTGACGACGCCGACGCCGCGGGCAGCCCGCACCGTCACATCGACCTGGCCGAAGAACATGTACTCCTTGGAGCCGATGGTGGGCGCCTGCTTGTCGTTGGAGATGGAGAAGACGGCGCCGAGGTTGTCGTCATACTTCAGGGTGGTGCCATCGGCATTCTTGAAGAAGCTGCTGGCGCCCTTGCGGAAGTCGATGTCGACAGGCTTGGAGCCGATGGCCTTGCGGTTGGGGCAGTCATCTGTGAAACGGTCATGTTAGCGCGACAAGTTGCAAATAACCAACTCCACGAGCTATCAAAGCGCGCCAACGCGCTAAAGCAAGACAAGTGGCGGGGATAGGTAGTTAGTGTGTACTCACCACGCTTGGTGGGGTCGCACTCGGTGAAGGTCTGCGCAGAGACCAACGAGGCCGCAAGGGCCACCGTGGTGAAGATCTTGGAAAGCATCTTGTGTAACTGTTGTGAAGTTGTGCAAGTCTTAGGATGCGGCGAGTTGTGTTGTTGATTGATCTACGAAGTAGGATCTGCGTGTTATTAAGGAGGCAGTCGAGGGGGCGCACGGAAGCGAGTGTGGGTGTATTATTAAATGTGAAAATAGTGCCAGCAAGGCAGTGAACGAGAGACAGAAGAAGCGATTGAACGCCACGAATCCGGGGCTGATCTGGGCTGGGTACAGAAGTTGCGGTGGTGAGATGGACAGGGAAAAAGAGGAGAGATCAACAGGTGTTCAGCGATCCGGGCCCCATCGCGCTTTCAATCAAAGACAGTGGCTCCTTCGGCCCCGTTTCGCCAGGGTCCTCTCGTGTTGACTTCCCTGCCAAAATGGATCAAACCCCTGGTCTGGGGCCGCCCAGGGATGCCCAGACCTGCAGCCTTGAGGCCTTCCTCGTCCGAAATTCGCGAAATTCAGTCATGTCACCTGCCAGAGCCGCCAAGCTGACCAGGCGACTGTGTCAGGCTAACAAATCAGATCGTTCGTTCCTGCACCTGTGGCTCTTGGCAAAGCAGGGATAGCTTGCCAAGCCTGCTTTGCCCACGACCCGGCGCATGCCAAAATCCATCCCCGGAGACCTTCGCTGCGGCGGACGGTTGAGGGTCACTCTGAAATTTCTGCTTGGCAATCTAGGCGTGATGCATTGGCAATCCAATAATGCCAAAATAATACGAACCCGTTTGCCGACAACCGTGTGGTTTGAACCTTTGAAGTCTGCACCGAGTTCCCGGGAACGCGCGCGAGATCTCCAAGGCCAGATCCTGTGGTCTGATGCTGTCCCTCCTCTGCAGTGCTCACCCGTTTGCTGCAAGAACTCAGCCTCAAGCTCGTGTAACTATTTTTACCTCTTTGCTCATCCGGCGCTACACGTGTGCGGATGGCATATGCTATCGCGACGGCAGTTGGGCCACATCAAGCCAAGTGCTGGTGTTGTTCCATGTTGGGACTGTTGGGCTTGGCCCTCATTTCCCTTTTTCGGTGTCCTGCTCTCGGATTTCCTCCCAACACCCGAACGCAGGGCTTCGTGGAGCTCGGCTTGCCAGCCATCCACCAGAATGGTTCGGCGAGCAAGCTAAAAAAACAGTTGGATGTCTCATCTTAAACTGGGGTTCCACGCCATTTATCGCGCTTGCGCGTGCAGCACGCACAGTCGGCCGCAGAGAACACCAACCACGAAAAAGGGGTCGTCAAACCCACGGGCCAATCCCGATGGAGGAAAAGCCCCTGGGCCTGCCGCTGGTCCGCTCTAGCGCCTGCCCAGTAAGGACTGCTGCCCGGTTGCCCCGTTGAATGTGACCTGGAAAGCATGAGGATCATGCAAATCGGCCCGCGGGGAAACGAGACTAGTAGTTCGGTGGCTGGCGGACACCCAGCCAGCCTTCCGGCCACCCCAAAGAACCTCAGCCGAACTCCGAGTGTCGATGTTGACCAAACCATCTCGACGAAAGGAACGAAACGGAAGTCGACCAGTTCGAAGCCGAAAGAAAGTACACTCAGTTTAGTTACTTTTTCTTCGAGTTACTCGATTTCTTGCATTTACATTTGTCTTACTCGATTTCTTGTTTTCCTTCGGAGTTCGGCTTTTTCTGACCAGACAGCCCACCACCACATCACCGCCCGGCGAATGCGCGGTGGTCGCTGATGTTTCTCCCCAAGCCCCTGAAACAGGAGACCGCACCAGCCAAGAACTTAAAAATCCTCCCTCCCGGGCCATTTCTCAACGCGGCAGTTTCTCCCATCTGAGCGTCTCCAAACGATCAGAACAATATCGGGTAGCGAAGTTTCAAGATCGCCGTCCAGTTTTCCGGTTTCACCTCTCCTCTTACAACCTCACTCGCGAATGAATGAACGGAGCGTGCAGGCGCCGAACCTCACCACCACAACATGGTAGCAACAGACAGCTCGCAACGTTCCATCAAAACCGCGAGTCCCCAACCATGACTGTCTCATCAGTTCCAAGCCCCTCGGCGTCGCCAGACGCTCCCACCAAACACGGGCTGCGTTGTCAGCAACTGTGGATTGTCTGGGGCCTCCCGGCAAAAGGTATGGAGAGATTCGTATCGATCCATCGCGGCGCCGGGCGGTGGGGGCAAAGCCCGAGGGGAGCTCGGATTCGGCACTTGTAAAGTTTGACGCGACCCATCTCGTGTGCGCGACCATCGACGGATGCTATGAATATCTCGGCGGTTTGCCGCCACTCGGGCCCGCCGGCGTCGACTGTTGACTTTCCATGTCTTGGGTTCAGCCCTGCGGCGGCTGGGGTGCGTCTCCGGACTCCAAAATGATGATCACCAACAAACACCATCGGCGACTTTTCCAACGCCACGGTGATCGGCTGCCGTTACCCGACGTGCTGCCCGGTTGAGACAATTGATTTCAGCCCCGTGGAGATGCATCAGAAACACAAGGACCTTGCAGCAGCTTGGCAAATGATGAAATGATGGCTCTGTTTCGGCCGGTCTGGTCACGTTTCGCCAGCTGGTGTGTGACTTGAGACCAGACTTGGCAAAAGTGAAGCCCAAGTTTCCATTCGAGGTGGGATGAAATGGAAAAAGTTAAGGTCTCTCCCGCCGGGAATTGAACCCGGGTCTCGAGCGTTGTTATGAAGGAGGATGCCAACATTGACAAGCTCACATACTGACCACTATACTACGGAAGACTTGTGGATGTGGACATCCACCGTAGCCGGTTGGTTGGTGGGAGGGCAAACCCCGCAGTATATCAAGGCAAGATCCTTGGCACCACAACCACACAACACCAGTGCTATCGTCTTCTCCATTACAGCCAGCTCCTGTGTTCTCGCCGGTCGGAATGCATGATGGTTAACCGGGATAGTTATCACCATCCTTACAATCGTCAAACAGCCAGGCGGTGAAAACTTCTCACCCGAGACAACAAAAACACTCCCGCATGGCCGCCAGCGCATTGTTTCTCCTCAACCCAACAGAGTCAACTAACTACCAACAGAAGCCGAAGGAACAGGGGCCATCCCGACCTCCCGAACCGTTGCAGCGGCGCCACATGCAAACCCAGCTAGTTACACTTCCTATCTGTTCGGCCAACACCCAACACCCAACACACAGAGTCCGGGCATTTCCTCCGGCCCAATGTCCGGCGCCCCGGCTTGGCATGGCCCCGACGCTCCGGCGCCAACTACCTCAAACATCCCTGCCCCACCGCCTGTCCGATTCCCCCGAGAGTCGTTTGTGGTGCTGCTCTAGCAGCTTTAGGGTCCGGTCCGTAAAGCCTCATAACTGTTTGTAGTTTTCGAAGCATTCGCAACCTCGCCGGCGGCCTGGGATCGGGCACGGTTTGGAGGCGTCAGCGACGGTAGTGCTGGCCCATGATGTTCTTCATCCCTTTTCGAGTGATACCCAAGAAGCGTTGCCTGGTGGATAATGTCTAGCTCACGTTGGGCCGCGCGTTCGGGGGTGGTGTCACTAATGGGCATGTTTGTATGTATGTTCCTTTATTTCAATTATAATGCCAACGACCACGCTCATCACACTCGAACGGAACTCTTTTAAAGACACAAGCACTTAAGCCTGTCTTTGAAGACGCCGTGGCTGCGTGTGCTGCTATCCGATGGCTACCTCGTCCCCGTCGCAGTTCAATACACGAAAATCGGGATATTATCACACGAGAGGTAGGTCAGTTGTCTGTAGATAATGAAGAGCCGTAGGAGGGTTATACCAAAGGCCAATAGTAACAGTTTTTCACTCTACCTACGCTATTAGGTAAAGTTGCATGACGCGGGAAGTTGGGTATAACCAATGGCTCGATGCATCCAACGGGTAGTATATATATTGTAGTCCTGTTGCTAGGAGTGCTCTCATTAATTCATGACATGCTGCGCTCGCCTCGCGAGGAGAAGCAGAAACTTGGATATTTGGGACCGGGTCATTCGCCAACCGTTCTCAAAACCCAGCTGTTCGTCCTCTCCTCGGGGCAAACGACAAAGAGGGAAGCGCCGGCGGTTTGGAAGTGGGCGTTACGTTGTAGCCCTACGTCAAGAGTGCCTAGTGCTACCATCAAAGCTTGAGGTATCAGGAAATGCCCAATGCCAATTCCAATATAATACTCCCGAAAGGCAACCGTGGGGGTCAGCATCGTGACAGATTTCGGTCCCATATCACTTGCTCCCCCCCATTCGAGACTGCCCATTCCATGACAAATTACATCAACTACTTCCCTTCACAACGGCCGCAGACAAGAAAAGCCACTCACCATCACGCCACTCTTACACCATGACCAAACATCTCAGCTCAGTCCTTGGTGGTGTGAGTTGCCCGCCGTTACACAGAACACCAGGCATGGACCAACCCGGGAGGAGGCCCTTGTTAAACGGGCGCATTGTGAACACAGAAGCCCGCCATGCGGTAGCACAACAGCAAGAAATTGACGCCTGACAACACCATCAACATTGATGCTGGCGCACCTGGACCGGTCATCTGTCTGTGTTCCCAAAGACGGGAAAACTTGAGTTATTAACCCGTGGCATGTACTTCATGCTCAGGTTCTGGATATTCAGGCTGGGCATCATGGTGATTGGTACCTGGTGGTCATCACTGTGGAATCAACATCAGTAAGGGTTCCAGCATTGACCAGAAATCGCGCACATTTTCCGCCTTAAACGTTACCGGGGCCGGGTTGTATAGTAGAGACTTACTCTCCGTATCTCGGTGGTCATCTCCTGCTAAAGAAACAAAACAGCTTTTTCCCGGGACAAATCCCTCATACTGCGTGGTTCCTAATGAGCACTTCTCGGAGTGGCAGGCTGACTGAAGCTGCCTCGTCACGGGGGAGAGTGAGAAAAGACATGCGTCCAATGACCGACTGGGCGACTACGAGATGTAATAAAGCTAGAAGGAGTGTTTTGCTTCTGTTAACCGTCGTCCCCTCCTGCATACAGGAAGTCCAAATATGCCCTGACGTAACTGGCACGCGCTTTAGGCGGGATCTTCCCATCGGGCATTTCGGGGTATGTGTACCCAAGGGTGATGATGTTCCTGCCTGGCTTACTCGTGTGGAAGTTCATGTTCTCGCCGAATAAGAGTTTAGAGGGCTATATGCCATGACAATATTGCTTTGGAGGGTTGCGTACCGGCCGGTAGAACTTGCTTCATTGGTGAACATGTCCTCTTCGTAGTGAATCACCTGCACATTGCAACGAGCCGGTCAACGTTGCAGTGGTACAACATGCTACTCAGATCAGCATGGGCTTTCCCCAGGCTTGGGGTTGAACAACCTACAACAAGGGACCGAAGGCCGCCCAGTCGATATCCGAAAAGGTCCCAGTGCAGACGGACAGTGCACGAACCAAGCCATGGGGAAACTCGAGGCTTGAAACGCGTCAGCCGGAGCTGTCAAAGGTCCTTCCTCTCACGAAAATATCGTCCTATCCCTCGTTAGCCGCGGCCAAACGTTCACGGGGCAACCGAGGGTCTGACGGGCCTCCCCAGACGTGGCTCCTCGTTGGTTGACTGGCAACATCGGTGGTCAGGTCTTTCACTGCCAAGACCATTGCTTTATTGAATGCGGTAATATTGCTCAGACGATCTCCCTTGCCGAGACACCTGATGCCTTAGGGGTAGGCTGCGAGGAAGCCGCGGAAACCGAGCTCGAGGGGTAGCCGCTGGAAGCGATAACCGCGTGAAAAGTTGGCCATTTCTGTCACGCCGCGCGGGGCCCTGACGATGACGTTGATGGCATAGGCGGCGGGGCCCAGTCCCAGTAAGGCCGTCGTAGGGTCACAGCTGCTCCTCCATACTCGGGGTGGAGGGCCGGAGGGCGTTCGCCCGCGATTCTCAACGCGTGAGATCAAAACCTGCCGGAGGAGTATGAGTCGTCGATCACACGATTTGCAAGGGCTATCCCGAACCTCAAAGATTGCCACGTATGGCTAGTGTCAGGTAACGAAGAGAAGGTCCTTGACGCCAATGGTCAGCTGAAGGCTCGTGGCTCGTGAAGGGGCGGCATATCAGGCATCAAGCACACATACACCGTGAGGACAAAACCCCGTCCCAGGGGCGCCAGCTACATGGCTAATGCCGTTCCACGCACTGTGAGGAAATCCGTGAATTCCTGATCGATTGTTAGCGGACGATTAACCGGTTAGGGAAGTGCTGACGCAAGGGGTATGCATCAATACCTGCGATTCCAAAGTAGGAATCCTCATCGGTTTTGTTCATGGCCTAGAGCTCGGACAAACCGAGTACGTACCGAGGGACCCCTATGAGCAAATTAGACCAGACCGTCCGTCAGACTGGTGCCGCGGGCGTTACCATTGCGGCCCTCCCCGTGCCCATAGCGTGTTGATTTTGAGTCTTGCCGGTGTTTGCCCCGTGTTTTTGTTGATGCTGTTTTTAGCTCCGACCACAGGAAAAGGGGTAGCATTAGGGGCAGGCGCTGACTGAACCCCCCCCCCCAACCTCCCCCATGAAAGAGCTGCGGTGACGCAGATTGCAGCTCTCCACATCTTGCACCGTGATATCCGGCTGCGCTATAGGCCTTGTCAGGCATAAATTGGGGGTCGATGAGGAGAGCGGGGGTCAGAAAGCACGATGCCAACGTGATCGATCGGTGATAGACGGGGTCTGGCCATTTCATCATAACGGAAAGGTGCTGGACGGGTCCTGGATTTCGCAATCACCGAAGCCCATTTCCGCAGCGTGTTTTGTAACGATATGGCGAACTTTGTGGCCCTTCAACATAGCGTCTTTTTAATGGTACGGTCAAGACTTCGGCGAACACTGGCGCCGTGACATACCCGACTCATCTTGAGCGTTCTACCCCCCTAATCCACCCCCCCAGTGTCGAAGAAGTCGCGATTCTTGATTTGCCGGGGCCATGATCGAGACTTTGAAAGGCTAGTAGTTGCACGGCCTGCAGCATGAGCTGCAGATTCGGTGGGGGGAGAACGGCCTCGCGGTTTGTTCTAGGGCCTCGTGAGCTGCGCGCAATAATGGGCATGTACACACAACTTGGTACGTAAGGTAGCTGGGTAAGTCCTCATCCGACGTGGCTGGGTCGGCCACGGCGGTCGTGGAGAAAACAGGCGGTAAGAGCAACGGCGTCTTGTTTGGTCCAGTAGTTTCGGTTCCTGTCGAGATTGACATGGACCCAAAACCAGTCGGGCACTGCAGTTGCCAAGCTCCATTCCATTTTTTTTTCATTGAGCTCCCGTCGCTCGCTCCATCCATTCATGTGCCTGGCGTGGGGGTTCGTGTTTGCACCTTCCTGCATCGTGCTGTTGCTCAGTTTAGCTCGGGTCGAGACCCTTGATCCGGGAACCATCGTGCCTGCCTCGGCTAACTCTCGAGGTTGGACCTACTGGACTCGGACCGATGAAACTGGAAAAGAATCAGAAAGAACGAAGAACCACGAGTTATCTGCAGCACCAAGCCTGTCCGACGCCACGAGGCCTGCACCTTCTTCCGGACCCGTGGGCGTGACAATGAACCCGTGGACGGCTCTCGGTTTTCGAATTTCCGGTTGGAGTCCTGGAACTCTGGAACTCTGGTGTCGTTACATATCCCATCTGTCCGTAATTAGGTATCGGCGTGCAACAACGGGGTTCAGTGGTTGCAGTTCGTATTCTCATCGGGGCTCGAGAGAGCGTGGCCTGCCCTCGGCAGTAACTTCCATGGAGCACTCGCTGGGAGCCTCCTCCTGAAGAACCCCCACCCCTCAGTCAGTCTCGGGCTCCGCCCATCGGCGATGATGTTGACGACAGGGGCTTGTTTTGATGGGATCTTGCCGCCGCAGCCAACAGAAAACAAGGGGTTCCCAATCCCGGAACTGTCCGCCAGAGGGGATCACGCCCTCCAATCGCGCCTAACCCGGCTGTGCGGTTCTTGACCCCCTGGCTACCTTTCCCTGCCCTCCCCCAAAACCACTCGGGTAAAGTACCTCGGACCACCGTGTGAACTGGTAATGCACTCAGAGTGGATGTACATATACATGCCGACATACATATGTACCTCGCCGTGGCGCACCCCGGCCCAGGTTCCGGGAACCGAAAACAGCCCACATCGAGCGAACCGGCTTCCACAAGAGAGACACCCGCGAGACGTGGCACCTCGCTTCGCCGTATCAGAGCGGAGGTGGCTGACGCCAGGGAGAGGCAAGCCAGAGCGAGACCGGGGAGGGAGCCAAGTATTTGTGGTACCCTGTCAGCACTTGCACGCCGCCAAAGGCCCCAAAGGTAGACAAACATGGCCTTCTCTCTCACAACGGAAAGGCTGCGCTCTGACAGAGGGGGAGAGACCGACGATCGTGCTGTGATGCTACCCAAAGCCTGCAGGGGTGGAGTTTGGGCTCGCTGTATGGGAGGAGAGGAATCCCGCGCACACGCCCGAACACCTGTCGCCGGCTTCGCAACGGTCGAGCCTCGCGTGTGTTCCGCCGCCTCGGTGCCGGCCTCACTCACTCTTTACACTCAAAGTGACCTCACAACCCGTCATGCATTTGTGTTTCGTGTGAGTGAGATGACGGATATTCATGGACGGAGAGCATCACAAGTGGCCTCTGTCTGCTTCGGTAACTGGCATCAACACAACGGAGTGTACAAACCTTGGGAACGAGGAAAGCTATGGACTTCCCAACTTCTTGGAATAGAGCGTGAGACGTACGAAGCATGGTTCGACTTGCTTGTGTCTGGCAGCTGCCCAGTTCCAAAGACAAGCAAATGTGATGAAGAGAGGTGTGCATTAGAATAAAATACTAGTTAAGCTTTGAAACCCACGTTTCCTTGGTTTTTGGTCCCGCAAACGCCGAGAGATAGGCGCATCTCTATCTCTTTTGTTCCCCTGTTCCATGGTTTCCATCACGAAACGCCGTAGTTATGTCCGTGTCCATGTCCGTATCCCCGTCCCCGGCCCCGTCCCCAGGCCCCCAATGCTCCACGGGAGGTTTTCCCATGCCATGAACCCAACCAAAACACTAGTAAAGCGTCAAAGTCATCACGACGTTACTCAGAGGCTCTTCTCCAGAAGGACGAGGTCCCTGAACCCCTCCTTCCACTGCCGCGCCTGCTCCCCGCTCGGCCGCGGCAGCGGGCTGCGCGCGTGACCGCCGTAGCCCATCCACCCTTGCAGTCCGGACTTGACGCCCACTACGCCGCCCTGGATTGCTGTCCAGTCGCCCTGGGAAACCACCTCCTGCATGGCCTGCGCCTCGGGCAGCTTGCCCTGGTTGTATAGCTCCATGGTGCGGATGCACGCCTTGGGCGCGATGTTGGCCAGCCCCGCAAGAATTCCGTGCCCGCCGGCCACGAGCGACTGAATAGTGAAGTCGGCCGAGCCCGCGAGAACGAGGAATTCCGGCTTGGCAGGGTCGAAGTTCGGCCCCGCGAGCTTGCGGGTGGCGGCGGCCACGCGGTTCAGCTTGCCTGTGTTGCCACAGGTGAGCTTGACGCCGACGATGTTGGGGTGCTCCGCAAGGCGGACAACAGTGTCGGAGGAGAGGTCGAGGCCGCCGACGGCACCCGGGAAGTTGTAGATGATGAGTGGGATGGGCGAGGCGTCAGCCACGGCGGTGAAGAAAGAGGTGATGGTCTCCGAGGCGGGCGCAAACAGCGGGGCGTAGTAAGAGGGCGGGAGCACGAGGGCGTAGTCGCCGCCAGCTTCCCAGGCTTCGCGGCAGAGCTGGATGGTCTCGCGCGTACTCTGCGAGCCGCAGCCGACGATGATGGGCATGTGCGCGTAACCGGACTCGTTGAGGGCTTTGCGGGTGGTGGAGGTGACGAGCTGGCGCTCTGAGTGGGTGAGGTGGACGGCTTCGCCGTTGGAGCCCTGAGTGGCCAGGCCGGTGACCCCGGCCTGGGCAAGGCGGACCGCGTGGCGTGCAATGGCTTCGGTGTCAACATCCTCGGTGCCTTCCTCGAAGAAGCACATGGTCGGCACGTAGACACCGGGCACAAGTGGTCTGTTCATGTGGAAGTCTGAGCTTTCTGAGGTGGTGCTGTACGAGCTGCTGAGAGGGGAGTGGGGCTCCATGGTGTTGAGGTGCCCTGTCATGAGGCTAGAGGTGACCGTGGGGTGGTATTGCATTCTGTTGAAGCCCGCCGTGTAGCTGCCGCTGGGGGAGGGTGCGTCGTTGTGGGGAGACATGGTGAACGACGGAGTCAAACAACGATGGTTGGTGATGGTTCGTTGAGTGAGTGTGAATAGGTATGGGCGAGAGAAGAGCTAGGGATGTTTGGGAAAGCTTGTGATGAGTAGTATAGGATGATGAGGGAGATGATGTCGGGAAAGGGGGGGAAGGACAGCGTATTTGTATACACGACGACTCTTGGAGGTGGAATGACTGACATGTCGAACGCTAAAGACAGGGGTCAGAGTTGAAGACAGGGAATGGCAGTCACGGATGGCAAGGACCAAGGCATGGTCCGATGCCCAAAGGTGCGAAGTACCGGCGTACTTTCTTTTTCCTCCTGTTGCGTTGGAGACCCTTGGATGGGCCCAGCGGTGGCGTTTTACGCGAAGGGAAGCTCGCTGGAAACTTGGGCCGAGGATGGCGCCGCCGCGCGGCGACGGCTAACGGCTTGTCTGCTAAGGTACTCTGGTACTTGTCATGGTTAGTTCTCGAGAACATCAACTCCCATAGTTTGGGCGGAAGGCGAAGTCGCCGCGCCCGCCCTTCTGTTGTCGACAAGGGTGCTGGAGCCGTCGTTGTCCTTGGCGCGCCGAGTACCTGCGCACAGTGCGCGCTCCAGAACGGGCCAGGCTCTCAAATCCGGGGTGCCCCCTTGCCTGGGCCCGGCGGGGAGCAGGGATTGGTTTTGGATCAGCGGATGCCGAGTGTGGGGGTTGAGCTGGGAGATCGAAGAACGACCGGAGCCAAGGCGCGGTTCAAGCTAAACCTAGAAGGGAAGCACGAAACCTGCTTGGTGCCGGGAAGGTCGTCTGGAAACCGGGTGGTGTTATTCAACCCTCTCACTCCCATTCACGCAGGGCCTTGCCTTGGGCGCCGGGAAGATATCGAGCCCCGAACCGCGCCGAGTAAGTCGTGAGCCCCAGAATTCTTCTGGGCGGATCCAGGAAGTTATGATTGGCAGTGCTGATTGTTGTTTGTGCTTACACCAAGGAGCTAATGGCCATTGCATGATCAGCTGCCCTCGGCGCATCGGTCGATACTATCCTGATACACATGTGGCACGCTCCTTGAACTCCACGTATGCCGCCGCGAGTCGGGACGGGCTGAGGCAATGGGGAGACGGCTTAGAGGTAGAAGGACGGCTGGCACGTCCGTGTCCTGTCAATCTCGAGGACGGAGTCTGATGCATTTTGGCCTTGCGCTCGCGTGAGCGCGGTTTGCAGAGCGCTGCCGTGACGAGGCTCCCAAAGGTCCTGTTCGTCAATCGCCGTGCCGTTGCAGCCTTGTATGGCGGGCGTGCAAGCCTCAGCATATAGCGGGCTCCCCGAGACCTTGGTTATGTTGCCCAGCGCCGCCGAGACCCGGACATGTTAAAAGTCAAGGAGAAGGCCGCCTGGTCGACGAGTGGCCGACGTTGGTTTAGTCTCGGCGCCAGCCCTCTTACATCACTGCCTCGCCCGCCCAGAACAAAGGTGTCGATCCGGCGCAGCTGAACTCTCTCGCCTGGCGTCATTGCCCGATTCCTTGCCCGGCAGTCAGGAGCCGCCGCCATGGGTCCACCGTTCTTGGGACCGGACATAAGGCTGTGCCTGGAGCCTCGGTTCGCGTGCCGTGAACAGCAGCCCATCGGCTCGTGCAGACCGGAACACCTGATTCGGCAAAAACACTGTCTGACAGGGGAAACTGCTGGTCTGCTGACGGGTGTGGTTCGCCAAGAACAGAAAACGAGGCTCGTCAGCAGGACGGTGTTGCAATTGTCAAGCCGTGAAGGTCGATGCTCGAGGACGTCTGCGGCGTCTGGTAGTCGAACAAGTGGCTCGTGAGGTAGTGACTGCATCTTCAAGTCTCGCCCTCCCCTCTCTCCGACTGCTCGACTTACAGGACGACGGGAAGGGCGGTAGTCGAGGAGGTGCGGAAAGGACGGCAGTAGCGTGAGGGGCCGCAGATGCTTGGCTGCTCTGCATTGGTGGTACCTAACGGTGGGCCCAATTGGCGTGAATGAGTCGTCGAAGGGCTCTTGCCAACGACCATGTCTCGCATGTCAAACAATTTCCAGCGAGAAAGGCGGCCTCCCAACGTCCCTTCGTCCCACAGGTACGCTCACATTTTCTGCGACTGGCTCTTTTGGGGATTGGGGAGCGACGACGCGCATGGAGGGGCAGTGAGGGGTTGCTGAGGGGCACCTGACATGGTCTTGACATGGTCTCGACACGGTCTCGACATGGCATCGGACCACTCAGCCACACGGGGGCTTCCGCTTGAGGGCGCTTGCGTATGTAATTGTCTGACCGACGTTGCTTTCAGTCCTGCTTTGTGATGCAAGGGTGACTTGTTCGCGCCGTGTTGCTGTTTCCCTCGAATTGGCCATGCCTGGGTGGAGCGGGGATCGGGCTAATATTGGACAAACGTAGCAATGTAGCATTCAAGTCCAGTGAGGGGAAATCCTTCGTGGGCACTGGGCAGAGAAGAGCCGAACGAAACATCGCGAGATCCACTTTGGTGGTGGAGAGTCGATTCAGTTCGAGGCCCCGATTTGGAAATCCCAGCTTTTTGTGTGGGCGAGGAGTCTCTCCCCCGCTCTGTCCCCGGTTCATCTGAAATTAGAGCGCTGGTCAGTGCGCCATCCCGCTCTTTCAGCGGCAGTACCTGAAACTGGGATTCCGGGGTTGCGGTTCTCGCCAAAACAACCTGGAATGTGGCTTCTCTTTTCTGGCCAAACTTTTGAGACATAAAACCGCCACAACAAGGTCGGCCGAGTACAGGTGTTGATGCTTCTTCTCTCTGCTTCTTGCGGGACAGTCAGGCTCCCTTTCGTTCTGTCCTTCTAGCCCCTGCAATCTATCCCAATAGTGCGAAGACAGTGTACTGTGACATCCACTGTGTCCATTGCAGATCCCGGGGATCCTCTTCAAGTCAGCATGCGGATTGACATCGAAGATCGTGTGACTCGGGTCCAACTTCCAGCAATCGGTCAATACTCGAGTCCTCCAGCTATTTTGGGAAGCGATATATAGTACTATACAGATCTGTAGAGTTCCGAATTCGCTGGCAAAGCAGGACCAGAGCACACGCGCCGCTTAGGTTATCGTGGGAGGGTCGTACTGGTCAAAAATGGTTGGTTGAACTCGCTTCGGTCTGGTCGACGTTGCTGATCGTCCCTTCCTGCTCGTGTACCGTACCAGGAATGGACCCCACATCGGCACACATGACCACAGATTTTGAGTCGGGCCATTCATCTGTTGACCCCCACGCTTTTCAATTTCAGCACCACCTGCTCCCACCCTCAACAATCGAGCCCAGCCATCGGCGGTCTTCTCGGTTCTGGAATTTGCACGCAGAAGCATGGTGGGCTCTCAAACCGCCGCTCGGAAATCTTTACCAGCAGCTACCTCGGCAGCTCCATCTCCACGGACCACGGCGCATCTCGCGCGTTTCGCTATCAGACCACATTCTGCGACGTAAAAACATTGTCGTTTCTGAATTCCACCAATTGGCGATGAACGAGCCACATCAACTTCAACTGAACGTTTGCTGCAAATCACGAGCCCCTCTCTTCCTTCCTTCGTCTCATCCAGCGCTTATCTCATTAGCCAGGCCCCATTCGAGGTTTACCCTTCGGTCGTCGACAGTTCGGCCAATCTCTCGCTTGATTTTGAACTGATCGCTCTTCCAACTGCTCGCAGAACTAGTCTCCACGTCCGAGACATGTTTGACTGGATGGCGAGTATAGCCCATAATACGTGCAAGTGCAAGTGATGCCAGCCCTCGAACTTCTCCCCAACGATGACCTCATCGAGATAGAGTTGCTCGCCGCCAGCAGGGCGCAAAGTGTGGGCGGAAAACCAACGGGTGGCCAAGAAACTTCTGTCACACGTCAACGGCGATGACGTGCAGATACCGGAGGTTTGGTTCGATCTCTTCAAGCCAGGACCATGGTCCCTGCTGAGGATGGTTGTTGATACTAGTGGCATGCACCCGGCCAGATCGATAAACGCCACAAAGAGCGGACCTTGTTGAAGACAGCACTGGGTGGTTATGGCCTGTTGGCTAGGCATCGCCGAGTCAGATGAAGCCGCATTCGCTTCGTCAGGCGACCCTCCTCCCCATTGGCTCCTGCCCGCGCGGGGAACGGCTTCCTGAGCCCGAAAGCTTCGCTATGTGGCTGGGGCAAGGTGGACGTTTATGAGATGAGTGTGGGATGAGGGGGATGGCATCAGTTTCATGTTCTCCGCAGCAAATACGCAACCCACGTGGTCAGCGCGGTCAAGAGGGCGTGGAAGTACGATCCCAATGCTTGGCCGATGCGAGATCGAACGGAAACGGTATTTTATGCAGACGGCCCGTTGCTCACATCCGATTGTCGGGCCCCTTTGGTTGCGAATCTTCGACTCGCCGCGGCCGTTATCCGACAGACCCCCAAAGGGCACGCGACACTCGCAGCGTTGTCCACCGACGTTACACTCGAGGAACTCTGAGAGGCCTCCGTTGTCTGAATCTGCCAGAACGCGGCATCATCGAATTCGTTAAATATGTGAGATCAGGAGAAGACGACATCTACTTGACTTGTTCTGCGTTTGGCCGGTTATCTCTCTTTGACGGTCTTGTGGGTGGCTCCATGATTTCGTGGTTGGGGAAGTGAGCGATTCGATGAACTTGCTTCTTGTGGTCCGTAGCAAGCGTCGATGGTGGAATTGATACGAACCATTCGTTCTGATATCCACTGCGGACATTGCAACTAGCCAGTACCATTTCCTCCGTTCATATTGTGTTCAGATGGGGATGGTTGGTGGTTGTTATCGGTCACGCGACACTGTTCGGGGTTGGACTCGACCCGAGACTTGAAAGCGGACGGAGTTATGTAAGGGTTTGGTAACAGGCTGCGTCGTTGGGGCAAGTTCAAGTTCCACACACCACCTGGCCGCTCACCGGCCAGCGCCTCCACACACCCAGCAGACACCCAGCGGTCTGGCACCTGCAGAGCGGGAGGCGATCGGATACAAGGCTTACAGTGTGTGATCCTCGTCGTCGACTGTACTGGCACCCATGCACCGCCACGCTGACCCCCATTCTCACCAAAAAGCTCGGAGCCTGGTGGGGGAGGAGAGCGACGGCGATGGGTGAAGGATCGTTATCGATCCTCATTAACCAGATACCGCACCGTTTGCCTGGCCTTGTCGACTTGGCTCCCCAACAACGCGGCCCGATCAAGAAATGATGAAATGCAGCTGCGAAGGGAACCTGCAGGCAGGCTGTCACGAGTCCTGCGAAGCTGACATGTCGACAGGAAAATCCACTCTCGAACAGGACATACCAAACAACAGACAACCGCCCGACTGCTGTGTCAAAGACGGGACTGCACAAAACTCCTGGCATGCGTCGTCACGAACGGCGAAACGGGAGCTAAACAGAAACGGAAACCCTTTGTCATAGACGCATGCACCATGAGCGGGGGAGGGGCGCGATTCAAAAGCCCCTGGTTGATGATTGGCTCCCAGAGTGTTCACCGAAGGGCCGCTAAAAGAAGCTAAACGAGGTTATTGACTCCCACACAGTCCCAGCGAGTCCCAGGGGTCCTGAAATTCCACAAACCGGCGGCTCTGACGAGGACTGTCGGGTGCTGGTCGGCGGGCAAGGGTAGAACTTTCCCCCAGCTTCCCGACACCCGTTCGGGCCACCACCGACTGCCGTCCGGCAAAGACACGGAAGTCCCGGCTGGGTGGAGTGGGGGTTTTCGGGGCCCGGCAGCGGCTGAGGCTGAGCTGCCGGCGCCGGGTCACGGAGTAAAAGACTGCACTTGAGGGGAGAAATCAAAAGGAACAATTGGTCCTTGCAAATTCGCGAACCGGTTCGAGGCACGATATGCCTCTTTTTTTGTTGCCTTGGGGAGATGACGAGTCATTGGTCAATTCCATGATCAACGCGACGGCGACCCCCACGGGCTCTCAGGGGCAGGAGACGTCATGGCACAGCTCACGGACAAGGACAAGGCCGGAATCGGACGAAAAATTCTTGAAGTTGACGGTTCTGCTATCTCGCAGGGGTTGCCACTATAATCTGTCAATTGGCTGGCTCGCTTCGGATAGGACGAGAGGCAAGAGGCTATTCACAGCTCGGTATGTACCGCTGACCGGTGAGACCCCCATCCCCCCTTTTCGCGTACCGCCGTGTCCCCAATCCCACGTTCCCTGTCGTGTTCCATGAGGTTAAGCAAGCAGGGGCTTGCGGGCGGTGAGCACGGTGCTGGATTCGCGGGTACTTGCTGCGAACCGCGTGGGCGCACGTCGAAGAACACACAGTAAGCTGCAGGTCCCAATCCCCAAGCTCCGCTTTCCATTGCATGCCGAGAAACAGGGTTAACGAACGGCTGCCGCTGCGAGGTGACTGTGATGGTGGTTGCGGTTGGTTACGATGGGAAATGTCAAGTGTGACGGGCACTGTGGCCTCGCAAGTATGACCGGTTTGGCTGGTACTTGTCTTTGTTTGTCCTCGTGGCGTGACTTCGCCCCTCGGCGTCGTCCGTGAAGTCTAAACCGCCATTACCGCCCACAGCGCTCCAGAAGAAGCCAGCAACAAGGTGGAGCAGACTGAAAACACATTCCCAAAGGAGTCCCCATCCCCGGTAAAGAGTAAGGAGACCACGACGAAGATGTTGAGGGGTATCCTCAGGATGCCGTAAACCTGTGCGCGGACCCCGTCCTCTACCAGTCGCCCCTTCAAGTAGCCCATGCACGGCCAGTACATCCCCACAGCCGCCTCGAACAGACAGAACACCCAGAAGGCCGACTGCTCGGACTTGGGACCCGCCGACAAAAAGAAGCAGGCTGCCGAGAGCGCCAGAATGGCCACGAGCAGGGTCGTATGCCGCATTAGCTGCCGTTCTGTGATGGCGTTAAAGGCGAGGGACGATGCCAGAGTTGCAGCCATGAAGCTCGCAAAGATGAGCCCGTACGGGAGATCGCCCGGCGAAGACTGAACCGACTTCAGGGTAGGCACCCAGAAGAAAACGAAAAGGTACATGGACCCTTCGAAGATGGTTGAAGCGGCGCCGAGTGCGAGAACCTGCGGGTTAGACAGAACTGACCAGACTCTGCTCTTCGATTCCCCCTTTTCGTTCTTCACCTCGGCCGCCTCGCCATAGTTCTCATCCTATCCCCTCTCATTAGCCACCACCCATCACCAGGGAGAGGGATAAAAACAACAACAACAGCAACAACAAAAACAACTCACCCAAACCCACCAAATAACCCCCGCCGCCACCACCAACACCCCCACCGCCAGCACAAACGGCGCCTTCCTCGACCCAGCCCTCACCACCACCCACTCACTCCCCACCCCGGACACGATCGCCGCAACACTATTCAACCCGCTCATCGCCCCCATCACCCACCCCAACTCCCCCTCTCCCTTCCTCTCCTTCAAATTCCCCACAACCCAACTCTCAAACCCCACCATCAACAACCCCGTCCCCACCCCGCCCAGCACCCTCCCCACCACCAACCCTCCCAACCCCCCGAAGGGGGGAAAGGGGGGCAGCACCCCAACCGTGAGCGCACAGCTGGCCGCATAGACCGCACAAAAGGCCAGGCACGCCCTCTTACGGCCGTGTGAGTCGGCCCACGCGCCCGTGAACAGCCCCGACAGGGCGGCGGCGGCGAAGCCCGTGGTGAAGAGCAGGGAGATGGTTTGTGGGGCGAGGTGGTGGGTGGTGGTGTAGAGGGGGTGCAGGTGGGGGCCTTGGAGCCAGTCGGAGGTTGTGGCGAGGGTGTAGGCGAGGAGGAAGGGGGTTGTGGATTTGGAGGTTGGTTTTGGGGGGTTGGTGGTGGTGGTGGTGGTGGTGGTGGTGGTGGTGGTGGTGGTGGTGGTGTCTTTGGTGGTGGTGGGAGGGGGGTGGGGTTGGGGTTTGTGTTTGGGTTTGTGTTGGAGGAGGAAGAGGGCTAGGCAGAGGGTGAGGAGGAGGGTGAGGTTGAGGGTGTAGATTTCCATGGTTGATTTTGGCTCTGCCTTTGGTGTGTGTTGTGTGAGGGTATGTTAAGGCTAGGGGCGGGTGCTGTTGGTTGTTTGGCTGTTGGCGAGGTGTCAGGCCAGTTCAGGGGCTAAAGAGATAACACAGAGACAACAGCCATAAAAAGAAGATTTCGATACCGAAACTCTGGATTGAGAACCACTGTGAGTGAGAGAACCGATGCGGAAATGTTCCGGGTTGTGAAGAAACAAGTGGCCTCACGGATCAATTACCCGGCTGGGAGACGGCAAAATCACAGCCAAGCTCCGCGACGTTTCGTGTTGGTGTCGACGCTTGCAAGTGGGCAGCCCGTGCTTCAACTCCAATTTGATCATCTTGAAAATACAAGGCAGAGATGAACCTGCCAAACTGGACATATACTGGTTTCGGCGTTGCAAGAGGAAGATGTGGAACTGACCCCTGATGTCAGGGGTTCCAACTCGTGTGGGGTTTTCTTCGTGGTTTAGATCAGTGCCACTCACCCCTTTCAAAGGATTAAACTATTAGTCTCGTAAATAGCATAAATTCGCTGACTTAGAGCAATTATATTGTTTGAATGCCATGTCAAACACTAAAGTGTCGTTTCCCGCACACTGGCTTTCTCACACGGCCAGTCGTGTTTCCCTAGGACGTTCACCCAGTACGGCGAACTGATAGAAACATAGTCAATCCAGAACGCACCGCCAGTATGGGCCGGGAAAAATGAGATATGCGACCTCCGGGCGGAACATACCCCTCGGCTCTAGTGTGATGTTGAGCCTGTCAACATGTCTCTCGAACGCTAGCCAGCTCGGGTGGAAGCGGTAAGGGGAAGCCTTGAGCAAGATCGGGCGTCCCGGTTCGAGCCTGGAGTAGAGGAGGGCGTAGTCGTGGAAGAGGCGGGCCGTGTCTCGGACGTTTCCACTGCTGCGTGAGTCAAGTAGGACGTGTTTACCATTTCTGAGAGGTTTGTAAGCCTACTCGAAGCGTGAGGCGGTTGGAGACAGATGAGGACTATATCGATCTCCTGGTTTTGGATTATATCTCCATGTGTTTGGTAGCTGATGTTTAGTTTGGGCTAGTGAGTCCGGTCGGTATTCGCGGGTTCATACTGTTATATAGTCGCAATACGCGACGCGAATACCATATTTCTCGCGGAATCCACGGGCAGCTTGTCAATTAGTGCAAGCAACTGTGCGAATTGTGACATCCGAGCGTTGCGCTGCCGGCAGGCTCAAGAGTGTGTATCTGCGACAGCACATTAACCCGGGGGCTTCGGCATTAACAACAATAGGAGAACACTTACGCAACCCGGTCCGCACCCATGCTGCCGAAATTCAATAGCGGTCCATCGTCTCGAGGAATCGGAGTTGGACATGGTTGGTACACATGGCGTGAGTTCTCGAGGTCTGTTCCAACACCCCAAGATGTGGCCAGGGTTTGGTGGGTGCGGGACGTGTGAGAAATGACGACGGCTTCGTCGCTGCCGACGGACGGGGTCGGGGGTGGCTGGTGGGGAGGATAAGGAAGTTTGCAAGTATACCTGAGGAAGGGGGCTTCTCAGTGGCACTTGACAGTGTATGGATTGGACTCGCGAGGCAGGTACTCCTTAAAGTATTGCCCATGACAGCGTAGAGATGACAACCCAGGAGCCACCGAACGCAGCCTGCAGACATGGAAACCAAGGTAGGTAACGTTCCTCATAATCCTAACATACACTATACGCATGCAAAAAGCGTAATATAGCCCGCGACAGGTACACCGGCCACGAATCACGGTAGCCACCGCCAAACAAATCAGGCGACAGCCATGTATCGAGCCCGCCCGTCCGCCGCGTCTGCTCATCCACCAGCACGATACGTTCGACAAAGTTTGAGCCCCGGGATCGACAATAGACCCTTGAAACGGCCGCCCCCTGGTCGCGGAGCACCACCTGTTTGAACGCCGCTGCACCACCTTCCGGTCGATGCTTGCTCAGCACACAAAACCCGTTGACCCCTTCATGCCCGACCGACCAAGAATCGTCCACCCTTTTCCTGTCCTGACCACCACAACGGCAACCAGTCAAAGTAAGATTGAAAGAATAACAGGTCGACAGCCCTCCAAAAATGCAGATAACGCCGCCGCTCCCCACATGCGCCAACACCAATAACCGCCGCCCTCAGGAAAAATGCGTCGGAATATGTACTCGCTCTGACTCAAAATCGACTCTACTTCCCCATGTTAAATGCTAGATGTCGGTTTCAATGCGGCGTCCCGCGGCGTGATGTGAAAGCTGGTTGTGACTTGATTGATCGCAAGGCAGCCAAGACAGGAAGAAAAGTGCAAAATAGCACCAGTCGTTGACAACGAAGCAATGTGCCGGGTAAGAGGACCGGCTGGTTTCTTTTGCTGAGGGGTGGGCAATTCGTGAAAAGGGATATTGATGGAGGCGCCTGGGTAGCGCGATTTACTGGGAGCGGATGCTCAATATCGGGGCTCGCGGGCGAGTTGGGACAGGAGGCTGTCGAGCTGTGCCCAGTTGCCGTCGTCTTCGGCGAACTTGCGGTGTTTGCGGGAGAGGATATGCTGTGGCGAGTTAGCCGAGGCCGGTGGACAAGGAAAGAAGCGCTGGACTCACCTCATCAAAATCAGGAAACTTGTCCTGACAATTCTCGCAATACCCGGGCTTAGGATCACGCTTTCTCAGCTGGGGCACCGGCACGCTGGTGGTCCGGCGGAGCTTCTCTCTCTGTCTCGATATCCCGTCCTCGTGGACTGGGTCGAGTTTCCGCTGGATTGCTTGGCTGAGGCTGGCTGACCGGACAAATGTGTTGTTGTCGTGGCTCATCTCGGCCATACGGCGAGAGCTTGGATCCTGGGATATGACAACCTTCCGCTGAAGTCCGTGGATCTCCTTGCTCGTCCCGGCCTTCGCTCCCAACACGCCACCAGTAGTGGATGATATCATTTGCGACCGAATCGCCGACGTGACGTTGGACGGCTGTAGGCCGGATGCCACGGGCTCACCAGCCAAGAAACGGCCCGCTTTTGCGTGGCTGATAAAGGCGTTTTGGGAACGGAACTCTAGCGATGGCGGATTCGCGATCTTAGACCGGTCGAACGACTCGGTCGCTCGGATGCCCGCGGCCCCTCGATTGTGCCCATCTTCCATCTGGGCCAATGTGCGTTTGCCTGTGCTGACCTTGAGTGGAATATCGGACGCCTTGGGCTTCGGTGCTGCCGGCTCTACCGCTTCCGCGGCGGCGGCCTTGGCAGCCCTGGTTCGAGCTCGGGTCTCCTTCTCCGGATGGTCATGACTCTCATCAAGGACAAACGGACATCGACCTTGCGACGTGACCCGGAACTGCGGCCAGTCCTGGTCCTTGGGATCGGTAGCCTTCCGGTATTCTCTGATCATGACGGGCTTCGTCTTTTCCTCCAGGTCGTACACGTAGATATACGGACCGGTAAACTTGACCAGATCGCTCCTCGACACGGTGGGGTCGCGGTCCGAGGGGCCATGCTCGCGTTCGTGATCTAGGAGCTGAGCCAAATCGGCCCCGCCTTTCCCTGCCCTGCTGGTGCCCTGCGTTGTGCCGTGGCTCCGCGTACCACTCACATGCTCGTTCGGGGTCAACGCAAGTTCCAGAATCTTGTTCAGCTTCTCCAGTGACCATATCCTTTTGCCCATGTCACGAGCGCGGTCTAGAACATCCGTGCTGCGTGTTTTGGGCTTTCGGCCGGCCGGGGTGTCGTATACCAACTTTCGCCTCGTTGGATCCGCGGTTCGGTTGAGGAGCGAAGGGTCGATGGTCTTGGGATGCTCGTTGTCGCCCTGGGCATCCGGGTCTTCCTCGCGTTCGCCTCTCGGTTTCTCTGGCGGGACTGACCGGTTCGTGACGATGTGCGTGATGTTGATAGAGAAGAACTTCTCTTCGTGCTATAACGCGTGGGTGGTAAGTTTGGTGTGTCGGGATAGACGCAGCACAATACGGACTACTTACAGCACCTAAGCGGCCAATTTGTTTCGCGAGCTTGGACCGCTGTTCGTCGGAGATGCCCTCGAAATAGAACACCATCTTGGGAAAACGAGAGCGGATTTGGGTCTGCCACGTCCGCAGGTTCGTCAACTCCTCGTCGGTCGGCTGACACAGGGAAGCAGCGGACGCCTTCTGTGCCGTGGCAGTGCTCGCCGTTGCCCGCGTCGCCGCTCGGTGGGCGATGGTTCGGGTCGTCTTGGGCCGTGACGGCGACGCAATCCCACGCTCGATCATCTGGCGCTTCGCCGGTGGAGGTTGGCCATATGGCTCCTCCCGCATCGTATCCGCATGCGAGCGAACCTTCTTGGCGCCATTGAAGCCCGAAGGGGCTCGCATTGGCGAGTTTACCACATTAGGGTTGCTGGCGGAGAGGGGGATCCTCTTCGCCGTCGACATGGCGGAGAGCTGGGTTGAGGCCGAGGCTGGAAGATAGAGATACTGCCGTCATGCAAATGACTCGTCAAACATGCCACGCCCAGCTTAATCTCTGGCGGGCTATTGTCGAGGTGCAGCTTGGGTGGCCTGGCGGATGGCCACGAACGGGAGGAGTGGGAGGGGCCGGTGCTGGTGCTGGCTGGGAGGGGGGACCTGGCAACAGCGACCAAGCACACGCGAGCTGGCGTGCACCAAAAACGCGTCCCTTTTTGCACAGCGACACTCCTCCGCGTAGCGCACCGGGAAAAGGGCGGGAGAGGTCGGTGCAGCAATCAGGAATGGACAATGGATCACGACATGCGGCTGGCAAGTCCGTATCCCATAGGAGAGAGTGTCGGAGAGGCGTCTTTTGTCGATGAGTGGTGCTCCTCGATCCAGTCTCAGGTCAGTGCAGGTCGGTTCCAGGTCAGTTTTGACGGGAAAGGGCTTTTTGGCGCGGGAGGAGCCCGAGCTCCCGCGAGCTAAGCCTGCTTCGAGCAGCACAACAAACTTTCGCCCCACAGACGCGGCTGCCAGCTGGGGCGCGCTGTCGCTCACAGCAACGTCCCCAATTGGGTGCCCTGCCACCCGCTGGCACTGGCACAGACTGACAATTATTCGTACACTGCACAGTAACCTTGAAAACAAATGGAAGTGGCCTCGGTTTCCGAGGTTGGGTAGACAGAAATAGAAAGTTTGATATTTTATCTTCCTCTTACTAAGGTCATTCCCAATTGCAAAGCATGCGTGTAGTCTAAGAACAAAAACGCGGAAAAAGAAATAGGCTCGAATGCGATGTACCAAGGTGGGAGGTACTGTATTTGGTCCTGTAAATACGATACGGAAAGGGTACTGCGTCGAATCTGGGGGGCACTCGGAACCAAACCCGATTTGGATCATCAGCTGCAAATTCACAGTTTTGCCATTCTCACTCACTTCTCGCTCACTTACACAACAAAACCAGATCTCTCAAGATGAGACTCCTCAGGGTCGCTCTGCGGCAAATACACAAGCCCCTCCAGGCTCCTACCAGATCGTTGCTACCAAGGAGGACATGGAACCGCGGTTATGCAACATCAATTTCAGCGGCCGAACTCGAGTTTGGCCAACCCGTTTATGAGACGCATCCTCACATTTTGAAACCTGGTGAAGGTGTGTCTGTGTGTTATTAAATTACTGCAAACGATATGTGATCATTAGCTAAATAATCCAATAAAACTCTAGTAACTCCCGGAATCACCGCCCAAGAATACGCCGACCGCCGCGCCAAGCTAGCATTCAGTCTAGCCGACGGCGGCGTGGCCATCCTCCCCTCGGCCGAGGTCAAGTACCGCTCCGGCGCCGTCTTCTACCCCTTCCGGCAAGAATCCAACTTGCTCTACCTGACCGGCTTCTCCGAACCACAATCCCTCGCCGTCATCCGCAAGACGGGCCCCTCCCTCGGCGACTACACCTTCCACCTCTTCTGCCGCCCCAAAGACCCCGTCGCCGAGCAGTGGTCCGGCCCCTGGAGCGGCCTGCGCGCCGCCGAGGACGTCTTCAACGCCGACGAAGCAGGCGACATCCACGCCCTGCCCACCCTCCTCCCGCCCCTCCTCCGCTCCGCATCCCGCATCTACACCGACATCTCCCTCAACCTCACCACCACCACCACCACCCCCACCCCCACCCCGCTCCCCTCCATCCTCCACCAACTCCCGACCACCCCCTCCACGGCCCCCCTCTCCCCCTTGGTCAACCAACACCGCGCCCTCAAATCCCCCGCCGAGATCGCCCTGATGCGGCAGGCCGGCCGCGTCTCCGGCCGCGCCTTCACCAGCGCCATGCGCCGCCCTTGGCCGTGCGAGCGCGAGCTGCACGCCTACCTAGCGCACGCCTTCACGGGCGGGGGCCTGTCGGGGGAAGCCTACGTCGCCGTGGTTGCCGGCGGGTCGCGCGGGCGCATGATCCACTACACGCACAACACGGCGCGGCTGAGGGAGGGCGAGACGGTGCTGGTGGATGCGGGCGGGGAGTGTGGGGGTTACGTGACGGATATCACGCGCGTGTGGCCTGTCGGGGGGAGGTTTTCGGCGCCGCAGAGGGATTTGTATGCGGCGGTGCTGCGGGTGCAGAGGGCGAGTGTGGGGTTGTGTAAGGCGGGGAGTGGGCTGTCGCTGGATGAGGTTCATCGGGAGACGGAGGCGGCGCTGCAGGGGGAGTTGGTCAAGTTGGGGTTTGAGTTTGGTGGGGGGGTGATGGCGCGGCGGGGGGACCTGATGGGCACGCTATTTCCGCATCATGTTGGGCATTATGTCGGGTTGGATGTGCATGACGTGCCGGGGTATCCGCGGTCGGTGCCGCTGAAGGCGGGGCATTGCGTTACCATCGAGCCGGGGGTTTACGTCCCGGATGATGAGAGGTTCCCGGAGCACTTTAGGGGGTTGGCGGTCCGGATTGAGGACAGCGTGTGCGTGGACGAGGAAGATCCGCTGGTCTTGACGCCCGAGGCGGTTAAGGAAGTGGAGGACATCGAGGCGCTGAGATAGACTGGTTTGGCGCGCAGGTGCCTTGTATATCACTTTGTACTGTGTAATATCATGTCTGATAGAAGCGCGTGTAAAAAAAGATGGATTGATGTGTATTTTAACTTTTCTTCTCAAAGGCCGTTATTCACGAGCCCCTGATTTTGCACCGACCCCCGCCGATCCCAACCAACCGGTTGGCCGAATGAGATAGAAACGCCTTTCCCTTTAGTGACCCCATTAACCCCGTTGAGGCCGAGTGGAGATGTGATTCAGTCCGTTCCCATGATGCCGTTACATAGTTAACGCCAGGCCTGTGGTTTAGGCTCCGTATCCCGATAAGCACAAAACAAAACAAGAAAAACAGTTCCCGAGTAGAAGATGGGAACACTCGAGCAAGCCGTGGCGAGCGAGTATAACGCCATTTTAACCTCCCTTAAGTCTCCAGACTTCCGCGGTAATGCCATGAAGAACGTCCGCGCAATGCCGCGCCGCAGAGGTATGCTCTAGTGTTCCGGCCTCGTTTTCCTCTCTGGGCCATGACTAATTGTAGAAATGATTGGAGTGAGTTAAAAAACGAGAAAAAAGTTGAAAAGATATATATGCACAAGAAGTTTGCAGCAAGTAGGTGAGTGGTGGGATGCGCTAGCAGAACCCTCTTGGGTCAAATAGAGTTCTGCTGTAGGTTGGCATGCTATATGCTTGCCCGGCCGTCGCGCTCAGTAATTCTTCAAACGCCTGTAGTCGCCTCGAGAGATCTCGGTGCTCTTGGGCGATTTGCTTGTTCCGTCGTTCGAGGAGCTGAATGTATTCGGTTGCTTTGGTGAGAACAGTGCCCTATAAAGTCTTGTCAACAATTTCCCGCTCCTTTAGTGAATTTGAGCCCAACGCACCTTGCTGACTTTGGCCGCTCTTGATGGCTGCATCTCTTCGCCCTCGTCACCTTCTTCCGATATTGTCCGGAGGGCCGGAACCGCATCCCTTAGCTCCGAGATCCTGTCCTTCAAGTTCGTTCGATATTTCCGCTCAATGTCATTGTGCGCTGCCCTGTCTCCGGTCTTCAGCTTCTCCTTCCCTTTTTCGTTTCCTTGTTTCTTTAGCGAGCTTGACGATCCTGTACGGCCTTGGGTTCCGGATGGGTGCGGTGGAGATACTGGCTTCGGCCCCTGACCTATCCTGGAGCCTTCGAGTCCGGTCCCAAACGGGATGGCCATACCGGCGGCCATCCCGAGGTTGAAGTTGATGTCTGAGCCAAGGCCTCCCATACTCGACCCTGGGTTCATGGCGATGGCAATCAGCCGTCTTTGTTCCGCTTCATTTAGCGAGGAACCATGGAAGCCGGCTAGCGAATCCATGCGTATTCCCGACTGCGGCCGCTCCCAACTCAGGGGCGTCGAGTACAAACCCTCGCGTGGCGGCACTTCTTGGGGCGGTACCGTACTGATTTGTGAGAGTTGGTCGACAAGATTAATGGACGAGAAGCCATCTTCATCCGATAACGCGTTGTCAAGCGCACTGTCGTCGATGAAATCGTCAGATTTCGACATGGAAGCCGAGGGGGTGGGATTGGTAGGCCTCCTTCAAAAGTATTAGTCACTGTCCATCTCTTAAATCGGGAGAGAAAAGGTGTCAAGACGTCTCATATCACTCACCGGCGCATGTGAGCCTTGTCTTTTTTGACACTGTCCGGGTCCTGAGGCTCGAATGTCTCGGGTATGCTGGGAAGGCTGTCGTCGTTGTCAAAGTCGATCCAGTAGTCGACCGAGTCAAGCGGCGTGGTTACATCCATGCTCAACCTCGATCGTTTCCTCTCATGCATATCGGCCAACTTAGGGGCCCGGGCTGGCAGGACTGGCCTGGATTGGATCCCCTGGGCCGGTGACTTCCGTTTTGATAAGGCGTCATGGGACATGGCTGTGAACCCGGTGACGGGAGATGGCTGGGTAACAGAATAGAGTGTTTGGCTTGTGGGAGCTGTTGACGGCGACATGGTAAGCCCCGTGTCGAGGGCTGGCCCGGCTGTTTCCCATATCGAGGGAGGTTGTGTGGAGGTCCCGGCCGAGAAGGGTTGGCCAACGGAGTCAACCTGCTGACAAACGTGAGCAAGAGAGCGGCATAGTAAGTGAGAGAGGTCATACTCGGTTGTCAGACATAGGGAAGAACTCGAGCTGTCGAAAAAATGGATCGTTCGAGTCCATCGCTGCGGTTCATGCCAGTGCCGTAATAAAAAGGTAAATAGAAGAGCACCCAGGCCGGAGACCCCTAGACTGAGAAGACGCCTGTCAAGCACAAAATACAGCGAAATGCTGCATGTGATAGTCGGGTGGGCCGTGGTGGGCACAAGTCGGAGTCGGACGGGTTCGGTAGCGGCACTGAGAGAACGGCACGACGAAAAGGTGAGGTTCAGAAATCACCTATTGTGTAGACGGATCGACAGTATAACGGAGGGGGGTGAAATACAAAAGGGAAGAGTGAGGAGTAAAGGCGGTAGATGAATGGCGAGATATTATCGTGAGACAGTGCAGGCGAGCATATACCGCCGTTCTCGAACAAAATCCCGATTCGGATGACTTATGGGAGACACGTCGAGTAACAAGGAGGTGCACTTGAGTGGAAGTGGCGACAATGATTTCCCGCGATCAGAAAACAGTGGCCCGGGGATACCAGGACGAGGGTGAACAGTGAGAAACAGGGTTGGAGTTACAAGTCTCCGCAAGATTCTCGAATGGGAACACTGGCAGTTGAAGATGGAGGAGTATGACACCCTGGAAGACTCGGCAAGGGCAACCCAGCCAGCAAGGGAAGACGGCAGTCGGTGGATGAGTGGATGAGGTGACGACGAAGACTTTGTACCTTGATCCATACATGGAAGCAGACCATTCGATTTCACGAAAGCTTAATTGATACCGGCTGTTGGATTGGGCAACCGAAAGATGGTACCTTTGATCTTGAATCAGCTCGAGACATTCTCAACAAACCCCAGGCTTGTTCCTGAGGGGAAGGTATCAATCGGGTTTCGCGTCGCTCAGATATTGTCGGGTGGTTCGATAGTTAGTCCGCACGGGAAATTCACCTCAGAAATTTGTTCATGAGGGAGCGGGCAGAGGCCAATCGGGCGCTGTTGCCCTGACGCAGTGTTTTCGAGATTGGGCCCATTTGTCCGCAGAATCATGCCACTTTTTTCGTTTTGGAGGCTACGAGGGTACCAGCTCCATACGCCAAGACGGCAAGAGCTGGTAGAATCCCCCCCTCCCATTGGATAAGGCCTGAAAATTGTGGCTTTCAGCCTTACCTGGCCGAGGTCTGGGCCCCTGAAGCTCAGCAGTTCAACGGCCCGCTTGCGGGTCTGCCCCAGTCTGGACCCCAGCGCGCTTTCTCGATTCCCACTCGTGTCACTCCGGAAAATACAGCCGCACGCCGCTGGTTGCCGATTAAGCTCGACGGAAAATCATTAATGAGGAAGTTGAGACTGAGAAGTTTGTTGAATTGACGGCCCGTGGTCATCGGCTCATTAAAAATGACAATTCTCCTAGGAAACAGGAGGCTCCAACTCACTCAAACAGGGTTGGCTCATTGTTGTGCATACCCTAACCCCGGTTTTGACCGCGCGTGCAAGTGCATATGATGGAATCGACAGGAGTCAACAGCGCGGGGTTGTCCTCGGCCAACTTAATCCCAGTTACAACAAACATCCTTCGCAAAACACCGCACTCGCCGTAGAGCCTAGTAATCCGATTTACATCTCACAGCCAGCGAAGCGAAACGCGGTCGACGTGCTCAGAGGGAAGAAAACGAGGCATTTTAAACAAGATGAGCGGCGCCTCTCCGAGTAACAACGACAACAACAATGACTCGGCGCCCGCCTCCCCAGTCCTCGAAGGCCGGGACTCGCCAGACCTTCCCCTGACCATGGCGGCGTCCACAGTCCTGACGGCGCTCCCGCGTGACGCCACGGCCGCGCTCGCGGCGGCAGGCGGTTTCCCGCAGGAGAAGGTCGTGGTGCGGTTTCGGCCGGTCGGGTCGGCACCGGCGATCCGGCGGGACCTGGTTAAGGTCGCGAGCACGCACAAGTTCGAGTCGGTCGTGGCGTACCTGAGGAAGATGCTCAAGGTCGCGGAGAACGAGAGCGTGTTTCTGTACATCAACAGCACCTTCGCGCCTGCGCTGGATGAGGTGGTGGGGAACTTGTGGAGGGTCGGCCTCTCTCTGTCTCTCAGGTTGGAGGGCTGAGTGCTGACTTTTTACAGTGTTTTAAAGACTCCAGCGATCACCTCAACGTCGCGTACTCGGTGACGCCGGCGTTTGGGTAGAAGAAATGTGGGATTGCCCACCGGAATCGGCAAATGCCAAACCCCAGGGACGCCAATTCCAAAAACAAACCGCTACAGAATTGGCTATCAACATATGGTATCCGCCAATGCGCTATCAAAATGCCGCCGACATGCTCCGTCCGCACAACGCTTAACCTATATATGACATACGCCCGAAAATGCAACACCCAATGCATGCATGCTTCGCGTGCTTACACACCCTTGGTCGCCTCGACGAACCCCTCAAACTCCTGCTTGGGCATGTCGTACGTGTGTTCGGGGGCAGGGTACTGCCGGCTCTTCACCTCGTCCCGATACGCCTCGATGGCCCGGAGGCTCTCCGACCACACGTTGCCGTACTGCTTGACGAACTTGGGGATGCGCCTCCCAGGCGGGAAGTTACCTGTCATGTCGACCTGCACCAGCACCTGGCCCGAGCAGCCATTCCCGGCGCCTATCCCGATGGTCGGGATCGATAGCTTCTCGGTGATGAGGGCCGCAACCTCGGCGGGGACGGCTTCTATGACAAGCGCGAAGCAGCCCGCTTCCTGAAGCGCGAGGGCGTCATCGAGAATCTTCGCCGCACTGGCCTTCGTCTTGCCCTGGACACGGAAGCCCCCGAGGATATGCTGCCTCTGCGGTGTCAAGCCCACGTGGCCGAGGACGGGGATCCCGACGCCGACGATCTTTTGGATCGTGGGCACCATCTCCTGGCCGCCCTCTAGCTTGACACCCTGCATGCGCCCGTCCTTCTTGAAGCGGATGGCCGTCTCAAGTGCTTGGCTTGGCGAGATTTCATAGGAACCCATGGGAAGGTCGCCAATCTAAGAAGGGAAGGCTGGTTGGCAAGGGAAGGGAAGGAAGACAGGGAAGACAGGGGGGAATATAAGACATACTGTGAACGCAGCCTTCGTGGCACGTGCCACGGACCGGCAGTGTAGCAGCATCTCCTCAAGCAAGACTTCACTTGTCTCCTCCATTCCCAGGGCAACCATAGCCAGGCTGTCACCAACCAAGATGACGTCCACCCCGGCCGCATCGGCGACATGGGCGCTGGGGAAGTCGTGGGCCGTGATCATGGTGATGGGCTCACCCCCCTTGTGCATCTTCTTGAGGACAGGGAGGGTGACCGGTTTCCTGGGGTTGGCCGGCGGCGTGCCCATGGGGGAGTGTGAGCTCCATCGGGCCTGTGTCCGTTGTGCCGTCGTCGATAATAGTGGTAGGTAAGGGGAGAGCCCGAGTCGCGACGGTCGCGTGCCCCTGGACAGCGACCGTGCGACCGAGGAGAGGTACATGGGTACTTTGTGTGTGTGTTGCGTCCGTGTGTTCCAATGTTAAAGGATGCGCTGCAGGGGTATTATGCACAGTAAAAAAAGGTTGGGTTGGGTTGTTGTAAAATGGAAAACGCTGTGGTGCTTGCAAGAAGAGTAAAGAGGAACGGCAGGAATCCAATGGTTGTGGTGTTTTTTGCGACTTTTATTCACCGAGTCATGATAGTTTTTGCTGCGTACAATTGAGTATTATCTCTGAGGGACCAGCTGGAGTTGTGGTCATCTTTCTGCTGAAAACGGTTGCGGCGGGTTGGGGTTCGGCTGATCGGATTGGTGCTGAATTCAGCCCCACGTGAGATGGAGAGGCCTGATTGGCTGATACCCCTGGGGACATGGGGGCTCTGGCTGAGGGACCGAGGTATTCGGAGTTTGCTCTGACAGTGAAGTCGCTTCAAAAGGGAAACATTTTGTATCGCGGAAAAGGGGCAACAAATAAGGGACTTTGAAATATCATCCGAATTTAGTTTGAAGTTGCAGGCGCGGACGGTGTTTGAGCCACTGCACTCTTAACCGAACACCGCCATCAAAGTGAGGCAGGAGCTGATCAAAATGCCCGCATTGCCTTACCCGGCCCGCCATCAGCAATACCAGAGCATTGGATGCTTCAAGAACGGCCCGGGGGATTTAACGCTTTGAACATGATTTGTATTTTCCACCATGCGACCTAGACTGATCACTTCACACTGAGGATGTCGAGTGGTGCATGAAGACATTCGTGGGTGGAGGGTACCTACCTATGTATAATATCTCTACCTATCCTGGGTCGTTCGTTAAACAGTGCATGTGTCTTCGGCTCGGGCAAGTTCTGAGCCATTTAAGGAACTCCCGTCCATAACTTCCATCTCCCTACACGGTCCTCGTATGCATGAGTAAGCGGCGACCTTGCGGGTTGATGTCGGGTGAAGATCCCACAATCCGGACCTGACAAAGAAGCTTCCTGACCCCTGCCAATGGCATTGCGTCACCGCCTCCTTCGCCTCTGCGGAAGGGACGACAGGGGGGCACACCGAACACTGGACCCTTAAATGCTCCCGTGGTCCTCAGCAACAACAAAAGTGCATTCGGCGTTCTCGTCTGGGGGCGCGAGAATAGTTATTTCTCGGGACAGACCGTTGGGAGAATAGCACCATAGTTAGGTTACATTAACCCCATGAATCGATTCGAAACACACGAGCGTTGGCTGTCTTTGTCCAGACTGCGACGTTGGTATGGAACTTGATTAACGGCTCGGAGGTAGTGGACCTTGCCACAGGCGTTCCTTATCGCCCAAACGGCCGACAGCCCACCACTTTCTGCCCACTTCGAGGCCCAACCCGTCCTGATATTTTGTGCATAAGGCTATTTGTGGTGTGCACCTTTCATTTGCTTCCTTCGAGTTCACCTGCGTGACCTGGAACCTACCAGATTATCGGGCTGCAGATTAAGGCACAAAGGACGAGAATCAGGTACCAGTTTGGGACACGACATTTGAGTCAACTGATCAACCCCTCATCTGCTCATTAACGTAGCCGGCGTCCCATTAACGGCTTCCGCATTCCCCACTTCCGACCTTCCGCTTCAACTCCATCCGCCACCGCCGCCGCAAACCGCTCCCCCAAACTACCACATTTACCTTGCACCGAACAACCGTCTGTTACCAACATCGACAGCTCAAGCAAGACGAGGCCATTTCGAGTGTGCCGCAAAGAAGAAATCCCGGAAGAAACCGCCTACAGAGTTCCAAAATGGCCTCCCCTCGCCGCCGTATCGAGACTGACGTAAGTTGGTTGGTCCCAGAGCGACCACAGGACCCAATGTTGGATGCCGACTTACAAAGAACTTTAGGTCATGAAGATGTATGCCTCTACGGACAAGACCCAGAAATGACCGAGCGCTAACCGCAGTGAAGGCTCATGAGCGATTATGAAGTGACGCTGGTTCGAGATAGCAGTATGTTCCCCCGTCCCCGGCCTTCGTGCCTGCACCTCTGCTATGAGGTTTTGAGCGCACGGCTAACTCTAGACTCCTTCAGTGTAAGCTCCACCCCACGACTGCGGCTCGCCCGACAACGCCGGCAGGCACTAACCCGAGGCACCGATGACGCAGGCAGGAGTTTTATGTCAAGTTCAAGGGTCCTTCGGAGAGTTAGTCACACGTCCCGCACCCTTCCGAAACGCACGGCCGTCGATTTATAAACCATGGCTGACATGGTTTCCCAACACAGCTCCGTTCGAAGGCGGCATCTGGAAAGTCCACGTCGAACTGCCGGACCAGTACCCGTATAAGTCCCCTAGCATTGGCTTCGTGAACAGGATTTTCCACCCGAACATCGACGAACTGTGAGTAGGGCAGAGGAGGAAGGGAAAGCCGACGAGATAACCACCTACTGGCGCATCCCGGGGCCCGACGAAACGAGAGGAAAGGGGTGACTAACCTGAAACGACAGGTCTGGATCCGTGTGCCTGGATGTCATCAACCAAGCGTGGTCGCCCATGTTCGATATGATCAACATCTTCGAGGTCTTCCTGCCGCAGCTCCTCCGTTACCCGAACCCGTCCGACCCGCTCAACGGTGAGGCGGCCGCCTTGCTGCTTCGGGACTCCAAGATGTACGAAGCGAAGGTCAAGGGTGGGTCTATACCTTCTGGGCTGCGATAAGTGGCCAGGGCGACGCTGATCCATGTGGTGAGCAGATTACGTCTCGAGGTATGCGACTAAGAACGCGGCGGACGAGGCCGGCGCCGAGAGCGAAGACGACGATGACCTCTCCTCGGTGGGGAGCTACAACGACGATGACGAGGAGGCACAGCCGGCGGGCCAGATGGATGACGTATGATACGGTGGCGATTGGGGTTCTTTTAGGGTTGGGAGCAAGCAAGGAATAAGCATCATTCCCTCGCCTCCAGGCATTGGGTTTCGTCGTTCTGGGAGGAGTTGCATAAGGCTGGCTTTGGGTTTCTCACCTGGTTTCGTTCTGCGCTCTGCTTTCTCATTCTAATCTGGCATATCCGGAGGGACGGTCTCACTGAGTGGTAATTTGGCGCGCATGGGAGTTGGTTTCAAGGCTTTATAGCAAGTATTTCAACAAGCGGGATGTGAATATAGGCCATCGCCTACTTGATGACAAGGGTGAGACGAAAGTGCTTGCCTTCATGCTGGTAATAAGCAACCTCAAGTCAACATCATGTAGCCGGAGGGCGGCCTCCGAAATCCAATGCTTTCATTATACTGCTCTATTAAGGGGTGTTCGTTCCTAATCCAAAAGCAACCTAGGGTATCATAACCTCGCTTTAAACCATATGCGCCGTAATCATAAATCCATAAGCCAGGAATCGGAAAATGGCGGATTAGTCCGATTCCGAGTCGTAGTTCACCAAACCGGTGATGCCAACTACCTCCTTTGGTGTATCCTCCTCGTTTGTCGCCGGCTCTGGGCGGACTGGTGCCTCTTCCGCCGCCGGCCTTTTTCTCTTGAGCCCGGGAAATCGAGCGGGTCCCTTGGGCGTGCTCTCCCTGCTACCGAAATCAAGGAATGGATCTTTTGCGGCTCGGGTGTTGCTGACGACTTCCGACACGAGCTGCTCCCGCATTCGATCTGCGGCGATCTCTGATTTGAGTTTTCCAGGCACGCTTTTCGATGCTTTTTCGTCATCTTTCTTCCCCTTCCGACTTGGTCCGCTATCGAACAACGGCTTCGCTAGCGCCTTGTCCACCCCGTCGTGCCCCTCGATATCCAGCCCTCCGAAGTCGACCAGTTTCGCCCGCTTCGCATCCTCCTCTCTCTCCGGCAGCAACTCGATCCCCAACCCCATCCGCTCCTTCAACTCCTCAGCCTTAGCTGTTTCTTTCTCCCTGGTATGTCTCCCAGCGCGAAACGCTTTCCTCAACTTCCGATTCAACGAATACGGATCCTCCCACTGCCGCTCCGCCGCATCCTGCAACTCATCAATCCTCTGCTCCGCACCGGCCACCTGTTCCCGGTCCTTAATCGTCTTCTCCAGCTTCCCAAACGCCGTCTCCCTCTCCTCAGCACGCTCGCGCTGCGTAGCAATCGCGAACCCGCTCGCCACCAGACTCTCACCATCCCCACCACCACCACCACCACCATCACGCGCCCGGTCCCCATAGTCGCGCCTGCGCGCCCCGGACACGACCACAAAGTCCCCGTGCTGCGGATCCGTGCGCATCTCGATCTCCCCACCACACACGGAATGCCGCAGCCGGAACGCCCACACCGGCGTGCTGTGGTAGCTGCCCGCCCGCCGCTTCTCGGCGTTGAACCGCACCCCCTGCCCGACGAGCGTCGGCTGGGTGCAGTGCCCGCACCACACCGCGAACGGCATCTCGAAGCGCACGATCAGGATGCCTTGGGATGCGAGCTTGGCGGCGCGCGCGCCGAGCGCGTGCTTCTTGCCGTGCAGCCGGTTGCCTGAGGTGGTGGTGCCCGCCGCGTCGGGCGGGATGTACCGGCCCATGTTGAAGCCTTGCATTTTGGGCGGTTGGGGGGATGGAGATTCGGGGTTCGAGGTTCGAGGTTTCGTGGTAGAGGTTTGGTGGTTGCGGTCGTTCGTTTCGTTCGGTGCTGTTGGGATCTGGTGAGTGTTCGACGGGTGAAGTTGCAGGTCCAAGGTTGTGTTGAGCGTGCACTGGCGTGTTGCGTGTGTTGCGTTTTGCCTTTCCAGTGACCCTGACGGTTGGCGGCTTGTTGCGCTGAAGTGAGTTGGTGGGGTTGCGATCCTGGCCCACAGTGCCCACACCTTGGGCGGTCGGACACGTGCCGGGCCTCAAAAATATGCCCCTGAGTGGACCCCTCTTTCAACTTTGACACTGTGCAGCGGTGCCTTCTTCTCACCCCCGACACCTTCTCTCTCATCACTGTAAACACCTTGGACCTTGCTATCATCGCGCAATTGCCCTTAGAATTTGGAGACAATTGGTCATTTATTTAACTTGGATGTAGGGTTTTTCGCACCCTCAAGTCAGTCTTCTACTTAAGGTAGTTTACTGCATCATCTTCAGGAAGAGACTCGACCATTAATTAATTGACTCCAACTTCTCTCACTCTCTCATTCACTTTCCCCTTCAAGAGAACTACCAGCGGGTTCGGCACCATGCTTGAAGAGCCCCAAGATCGGCATAAATTCAACCGTGACCTCCACAATATGCCTCCAACTTCGGGCTATTTCCACCCGGGGGCAGCCAGCCCGCCTTGTTTATACTCCGGGTAAAGACATGGGATACCTCCCGTCTGCGGGGCCGGCTACCGGGCTCTCGGGAAGGCCCCTCTTAGTATGTACATAAAGTTGACGGTGAGCCTTTGCTTCAACCATGTGTGAACAAGTAAGAGGTGTAGATTATCTCATCCTCGCGCCATGTTTCTCGCTTCCCTCCTATTAGGCCTCTCGGCCTGTGCATCTGCCTCACGGGGGCATTCTCGGAACTCTACCTTCTACAACCCGATCTTCCCCGGCTTCTACCCAGATCCGAGCTGTATCTATGTTCCTGAGCATGACCATACCTTCTTCTGTGCCTCATCAAGCTTCAATGCCTTCCCTGGCATCCCAATCCACGCTAGCAAGGACTTGCAGAACTGGAAGTTGATCGGCCATGTGCTGAATCGGAAGGAACAGCTTCCTCGCCTGGCTGAGACCAATCGGTCGACTAGGTAACTACCTAGCCCAGCTCCCGGTTTTGATGAATGCCATGGCTAAGCCCTTACAGCGGCATATGGGCACCAACCCTGAGATTCCATGATGATACTTTCTGGCTGGTCACCACACTGGTGGATGATGACCGGCCCCAGGCGGATTCTTCCAGATGGGATAACGTGCGGGACTGCTACTGACCGTAAACTTGACAGTCGAAAGCTGACTCCTACTTACAGATCATCTTCAAGGCCAAGGACCCCTACGATCCCGAGTCGTGGTCGAATGCCGTCCACTTCAACTTCACCGGCTACGACACGGAACCCTTTTGGGAAGGAGGAAAGGCGTACATTACTGGCGCTCATGCTTGGCAGGTTGGGTAAGCCGTTCGTGTTCTTTGCTGATATTGTTCCATGCTCACCTTCAAAGTCCGTACATCCAGCAGGCCGAGGTGGACCTTGACACGGGCGCAGTTGGTGAATGGCGGATCATCTGGAACGGGACCGGCGGCATGGTATGTCTTCTATCGAAACTGGGGAATCGTTACCTGACTCTAGGTTTAGGCTCCGGAAGGGCCGCACATATACCGTAAAGACGGCTGGTATTACTTGCTGGCTGCCGAAGGTGAGCCAGCACTCCAAGCACACCTATTTCAAACTAACGGGAACCAGGGGGCACCGGAGTGGATCACATGGTGACCATGGCCCGGTCAAAGAAGCTATCTGGGCCCTATGAGTCTTATTCCGGGAACCCAGTGTTGACCAATGCCAACACGACGAGTTACTGTGAGATTGTCAGCCCTATGCGGAACGAAAAGATACTGACCATGGCCGAGTCCAAACTGTTGGCCATTCTGATTTATTCCACGACAGCAACGGAAATTGGTGAGAGAGAGCCCTATCAAAGCTCTAAGAAGTCTTGGGAAGATGCTAATAGCAACTCCTAGGTGGGCGGTCGCCCTGTCCACCCGCTCCGGGCCCGGATACCTCCATTACCCCATGGGCCGCGAGACCGTCATGACCGCAGTCAGCTGGCCCGAGGGCGAATGGCCAACATTCACCCCCATATCCGGCAAGATGAGCGGTTGGCCAATGCCCCCCGAGCAAAAAGACATTCGCGGCGTAGGGTAAGCCGCCAACCTTCCCATCTCCACCCCCTCCCCCCCTTCCACCACCCAAACAAAACAACTAACACCCCCCCCCCCCTTCTCAAACAGCCCCTTCGTCACCCCCCCCACCACCTCGCCATCCCTCCCCCAGGAAGAACACCTCACCTTCCCCCCGCACCACCCCCTCCCCGCGCACCTAACCCACTGGCGCTACCCCATCGCCACCTCCTACACCGCCTCCCCGGCAGACCACCCCAACACGCTGCGCCTCACCCCCTCCCGCCTCAACCTGACGGCCCTCAACGGCAACTACGCGGGCCCCGCGGGCCAGACCTTCATCGCGCGGCGCCAGCAGCACACGCTGTTTTCCTTCTCAGCGACGCTGCGGTTTAATCCGGTTGTGGAGGGCGAGGAGGCGGGGGTGACGGCGTTTCTGACGCAGAATCATCATTTGGATTTGGGGGTTGTGCTGCTCCCCCTTGATGGTGGGGGAGAGGGTGGTGGTGGTGCGGGGGAGCTGGTGCCGCATGTGCGGTTCCGGGGGGAGTCGTACACGGCGGTGCCGGCGGCGGTGGCGTTCCCCGTGCCGGAGGGGTGGCGGGATGGGGGGTTGGTGCTGGAGGTGAGGGCGTGTAATGCGAGTCATTATGCTTTTGGGGTGGGGCCGGAGGGGCGGAGGGCGGAGAGGAGGGTGGTGATGGAGGTTTCGAATGAGGCGGTTAGTTGGGGGTTTACGGGTGAGTTTCTTTCTTTTTTTGCCTGCGTTTTCTTGTTTCCCTGTCGGGGTTTGCGGCTCACCCGGTTGCTTGTCCGACGACGACCGCCCCCTATCCTAGAGGAGTGGGCGACTGGCTGACGTGGTTGATAGGGACATTGCTGGGCATATATGCCACAACCAATGGCGGCAATGGGTCGACGCCGGCGTACTTTTCGGATTGGAGGTATAAGCCGATAGAGCAGTTTAGAGACTAAGGAGAGGAGCTGTCACTTATGTGAGAGTGAAATGGGCCTGCCGATAGGACCCAGAGGTGGTAGTACACCTAGCCGCAGGCATCTGCAATGATTGTTGGTGAAAAGATTCTGTGCGCAGCAGTATTTAGCTTACCACTGAGATGTCAATGAACACATAGTAAGGGCTCAAGCTGTATGCTGTCTATCCTTTCTACCCGTCCACCGATGCCACTTTGTTTACCGATCACACTATACATCATATACATACACATCAAACCGTCTCCTTCCGCCTCCTGATCTCGATTTTGGTCTGCACCGCAGGTATGAGATTCGACCCAAGCCACATCCCCTCCGGCTTCTCAGCCAAGGGTTTGATATCATAGTTGTGCAGCAGATAAGCCAAGACCATCTTGAGCTCATGCGCCACAAAGAACCGCCCAGGACTGTTCCAACCATCAGCAACATGCGCAACCTCATTCGACGTCAGAACTCAGAAACTCACCACGCGTGCCTCCCATGGCTGAAAGGCAAATACTCCGGACTCGTCGTGACCATGCCCAGCCGCATAATCCGCATCGCCTCCTCCGCATCCCCCCTCTCACCCGCCGCCTTCGCCTCGTAGGCCTCCTTCTCGCGCGAAAACCGCCAGGCATCGTACCTGTCCGGCTCGTCGTACAGCGCCGGATCGCGGTGGGTGCCCGCCAGGTCCAGCATCAGCAGGGCGCCGTAGGGCGCGTGCCAGCCCTCGGCGGGGTTGGTCACGCCCCCGGGCGCAACCACTTTCCGCTGGGTGAGGGCGCGGGAGAAGTGGCTGAAGCGCATGCTCTCCTTGATGGCGCTGTCGGTGCGGTGCAGGCGGGCGAGCCCCTGTTTCGTCCAGGCGCCGTTCTCCTCGGCGAAGACGCGGGCGGTTTCCTCGCGGATGGTGTCGAGGTATCCGAGGGCGGGGTCGGAGGCGAGGAGGTCGAGGAGAAGATTGAAGCCGGTGATGACCGTCGTGTGGATGGCGGCGAATTCGACCGGGAGGAGGCGCTTGGAGAGCATCTCCACGTTGAGCTCGGCGCCGAGGTTGTCCGCTTGGGCTTTCCGGATCAGCCAGGTGATCATGTCCTCGGGCGGTTGCCAGTCATCGTAGGCGGCGTCGGTCCCTGAGGCTTTGCGCGTCATGTCGGAGAGGCGCTGCTCGATGACGGGTTTGGCGAGGAGGTATGACTTGCGCCAGTGCCACCAGTTGGGGAGAACGACAAATGGGGCGACGAGCGGCCGGAAGATGCGGGGGAACATGTCCAATATGAAACTGTTGCGGACGACATCGTCGGCGAAGGCGACTTGAGCGCTGAGGAACTCCTCATTTCGGCATAGGGGGGCCCCGACAACGATTCGGTTCGTCACACGCGGAACGATCCCTAACCAAGCCTCCCACAGGCTCAACGACTTCCAGTTTTCCGTATCGTGTCCAAATGTGGCATCTATCGCACCGTGGACTTCCTCCTGCACACCAGGGATGAGCCCCGCGATATTGCGAGCCAGGTGTTTGTGGATCGTTTGAATAGGAAACTGGTCATCGACGCCGAAGAACTGGTAGTCGTTGTGCAGGGCATCTCGGTGGGCCTCCTTCGTTGATAGGACGCGATCAGGGAGCTCGAGCATCCAAGAGGTCTGGGGGCGGGGCACGACGATTTCTTGCGGACGGCTCGGGGCCGAGGGGACGAGAAAGGCGCGGCCATCTTTGGAGTACTATGATGATGCCATGTCAATATTGTGGGAAGTTGAGGATGTAATTGTTGTTGTCAGGATGAAACGCACCTTCTCGTAACCTTCAGAAACCCAGCAGTGATAGCGTGTCACGAAGTAGAACCAGTTTTGAAGGGTCCCCAAGAGACCGTTACCGCATCCGACTCTGGGGAGCGAGTTGTTGTACCGGGGCTTCCATGTGAAGTCGACGATAAAGGAGCTGAGGGTGAAGAGAAAGACAGCGGCAACAATTCGACCTGGGGTCAGCGACTCGACCAGTAGGGAGCTCAGCCCTGTGACCATGGCCAAGGTTAGGTTGGTGGGACAAGCGTTGAGGAGCTCGTCCTCGGTACCGAAGCTCAGCTGCACACGTTCGGGTTTGTATCAGTTGGTCGCACAATTGGCGAGCCTAACAATAACTAGCCGGAAGAGAAGGCTTTGGATGGAAGAGAAGCGCATTGAGGCATGTTGGTTCTTCCGCCCCCCTCGTCCCGAAGCAGACTGGTCATCTCAAGGAACCTGGAAGTGTGAAACCGGAGACTGGGCCGTCGAGCATGCAGGGAGAACAAGGGGTGGCCTCGCCAAGAACGTCACTCTCAGTGGCTCAGTGTGGGGAGACACCATGGACCCGACCACTCGGGCCGCCCCGATCGATCAATCAGCACTCCACCAGATCTTGCGTTGCTGATCTTTAGCATTTGCATCGATTTCGCTTGGTGGCTTGATATCCCGATTGGTCGATAATTCGGTAGTAAATTTGTAATCTGTGTTTGGTCGTTGCGAAAGCTGATGGCTCTTCTGACGGGCTCGGTAATCAAGTTTAGGGTGCTGACTGGTGGTGGGTGTGGAATGCCCGAGAGCCATCCTTTTTCCTAATCCGAAGGGGAAATAATGGCAATTGCGGACGAAAGATGTGGGTGATGGGATAATGGCTATTGTATAGGTAGTCTAGAAGTTTTTGAGATGGAAAAGGACCTAATCTCGAGTGGACGACCGAACACTGAGAGGAAAACTGTTTGGTGGAGCTGACAGTGATAACCTCTCCATCCCTTCCTTTTCAGGCAAGGTCCCAGAACTGAGGGGCCCTTCTCATCGTTTGCTGCCTTGAGCTCTTTCCTTGTTCAACCACACAACTCTCCGTTATTTTCACTTTTTGTCACCCAACGTAATGAATGACCATTAGTTATACAGTATTCGCTCTCCAACCACCTCTTGCTAGTCCCTGAGTGCGCCAAACTCATTGTTCGTTGTTTCGTGACCGGGAGGGAGCATAAATGCTTTAGTGCACAATGTCAACCTTCAATGGCCTTGTGGCCGAGTTTCCCGATATCAGAGGTAAGGCATGGACATCTTCCCAAATTCACCATATATTCCTTTGGCTAATCAGTTTGCAGTCGACTTCTTCCGCTTACACCCAGAGGTTCGCCCTCCTCTAGCCTGTTTCTTGAGCCACATTCACAGCGACCATCTCGCTGGTTTAGAGTCTCTTCGGTCACCATTGTACGAGCAACGGCACAGTTCCCCAAGTAATGTATATATATGCTTTGGCTTACTGACGTGTTTTGAAGCGTTTACTGCTCGGCCGCGACTAAGGAGATGCTCCTGCGCCTTGAGAGGTATCCTTGCCGCATCAACTATGCCAGCGGCATCTTAGAGGCTCGCGTCCAGAGATATCGCCATCTCAAGAACTTACTCGTGAGAGCACCATTAGTTGTACACACAAGTCTTGCATTGCCACTCATACTGTTTAGAAACCAATACCCCTGGAGACCCCTACACTCCTCGAACTCGAACCTGGAAACCACATTCAGGTCACCCTGTTCGATGCAAACCATTGCCCCGGCGCCGTGATGTTCCGTAAGCACCCAACGTGTGTGAGATAAGTTGAGAATATACTAACGCAAGAACTCAGTATTCGAGGGCCAAGGCAAAGCCGTACTGTACACGGGGGATATCAGGAGCGAGGCTTGGTTTGTCAATGCAGTTGCAAGGTCGCCGTCTCTGATCGAGTATTCCTCTGGTCTTAAGACACTCGACACGGTTTACCTCGATACGTCCTTCACTGGCGACATCAAATTCCCTACTAAGGCCGAGGGAATAAGCGAGCTCCTCCAGAAGGTCTCCAAGTATCCTGCCGATACCATCTTCCATTTCCAAGCCTGGACGTATGGGTGAGTTCCTCTGTGTGCTGACCCTCATCAAATTCGCTTCTGACTGCTCCACAGGTACGAAGAAGTCTGGATTGCTCTCTCAAAAGCGTTAAAGTCCAAGGTACGCGGGCTTGATATCGTATAGCGGCAATGTCTAATCACACATGGCTAGATCCACGTCGATGGATACAAAATGCTCATGTTTCGCTCTCTCATGACCACGCACTCCGGCAGCAAGTTCGCGCCCTCCTCACACCTTACACCAGAGGCTCCTGCATTGGTAGGTTTTATGTGCGGTAACACCCACCATCCCGGCTGCCTGACCGGCGACGAGACCGTCAAGCTTCACAGCTGCGAAAAGGGGAACTATTGTGCTACGGTGAAGAACTCCCCCGTGGTATGGATTCGACCCATCATCACGCGCCTTCCCAGCGGCCAAGATGTCGCCGAAATCGGCGTTGGAGGAGGGGGAGACGATCTGGAGAGGGAAGCGGAGCTGGATTATCTCTCCCCGGACGACGTTGCGTCGCTCCTTGAAGCGTAAGCCAAGCCAAGCCTCTGTTACCTTTGTATGCCCTACTAATCTGATAGTCTCGACGATGTTGATCATATCTCTGATGACCTGCGGGAACAGCTCAGTGAGTTCCTACTCAGCACTATCGTCAACGGCCGGAAGGTCCCACTTGACCTGGAGAGAGCTGCCTTCCGGGAGAACAACGAGACAGACCTTGTCAACGGCCTGCATGGACTGACTAGCAAACTCGGATTGCGCGAACGGCCTTTGAGGAACAATGCTGAAGTGCTCCCAAACGTTGTCACTTTCCCGTATTCTCGCCATGCGTCCTACCCGGAGCTTTGCCACCTTGTCGAGACGTTCAAACCGCGAGACGTATGGCCATGCACCGTCGACGTCCGTCGATGGCTACGTGAAGGTTCGATCCCGCCGAGGACGTATCGGTCGACGAGGACTAAAATTATTTGTTGCTAGGCATCACAATCGCGCGACTGTTCTCGCCGTATTGCTCAGGAGTCACATTTCGGCACGACAACACCATGAAAGGGCGGTTCGGACACCACGCCAATACAATCATCAGCCTTGAGGGTCAGGCTACCGTTTCCTCGGCCAGCAATGCTGCCCATCTCTCGCAGATTTCCGCGAATGAGCCTATGCCGGGCCACCACAGCCAGTTGCTAGAATCGTCAGACCGATATTTCCATCTACAGTCGGCCGCCAGTCCGGAATTGGGTGTTCAAGCCATCGAAGTTGGGGTACATGAGCCTCAACCCTGGGATATCGAGATGGCCGAACCTATCGATGATGAGCCTGCGACTCTCGACAACTTTAATCCATCAGCCCTTATAGATTCGCAAGACTCAGCCATTTCGGAATTGGCCTTCGAAACCCGTTTGCAGGCCTTCCAAGCAGTTCTCGACAAAGCCAAGGGCAAAACCGGAAGGGAAATAGGCTTGATATCGACAACGGACAATCATTCCAAGTTGGAAGAAGAGCTTAGTTAACCAATGCCCTAGACGTCAAGCTTTGTCAAGAATCATGGATTGACCAACTTCATGACGAGCTTCAACTGGTCTCGAGTTGGGACAGTCGACATTGGAGACCCATTCCAGATTTTACCCCTTTAAAGCTGGTCACAACTCCGCTGCCGACTTGATCAACACCACAACCTCTCGGGCATTCAACTGCCGATCCCCGCAATGACTCCGGGGTATGGGAGCATGGACCTCGGTCGAGCTGCGAATACAACCTCCACCGGCCCGAAACCATAATTATTCCACAAATCCGCCGCCAGGCCGGTTCCGCCAAGGGTGGTGAAGTTGGGTCATCATCACCATGCTCGGCTCCAGACAGACACATCAAGATGTTATTGCGACACAACCACCCACCTCGGCGGCTCTTCTTGATTTTCGCCGGTATGCGCTCAAATAATATGTCGAGATTTAGCCAGCGACGTGCAGCACACCCCTGGGCAGTTTAAGCCTAAATGCAACGCAACCGTGGTGGGACAAGCGAGTGTGGGGAAGCCGTTTGGCAACAAGGCGTGCGGCCTCGGTGTTACTTGCTTGTCTGGACGGTGATGGCGGTGAAGATATATGAGGCGTTGCCGCCCAAGATCGACCCGGCCTTGCAGCCACCACACCTTCCCTCTCCCCGGTACTCGGCTCTGGTTCCAAGTAATCCCGTGCCGGTCGGACGCCCTCGGAACCCTACGGTTCCTACGTCTTCGCCATGGCGTGGATAAGACCTGGAACGCTGGTCACTTTCGTGACCTTGCTTTCCTTATGGTCGAGTTTTGTATTTGGGCTTGCCATCGACGTTGCGGGGTACAGTGGTCAAGTGGCCAAACGTGCCGACCCAAACTTGGCTGGATACTTGGGAGTGTTCTTCCTTGGGGCCGACCCCTACGTATACTTCTACCTCAGCAATGGCAACGACCCTCTCTTCTTCCGGGCTCTGAACAGGGGTTCGCCCGTCATAAGGCCGACCAAAGGGACGGGGGGTGTCCGGGACCCGACCATTATTTCGGGAGGTGGAAGTGAAGCTGGAAAGAAGTGGTACATAATAGGGACGGACTTGAACATTGGGAAGGTGGGTTGGGCTTCGAGGGGCCATCACATGGGTTCGATCGCACTTCATCAGCATCCTGACGCTTGGACAGACAACATGGGATGCAGCACAGCGAACCGGTTCGAGAGGGATCTTTGTTTGGGAGAGCACTGACCTGATCAACTGGGGGAACGAGAGGCTTGTCGTCGTGGAAGATGCCACTGCCGGCATGGTATGGGCCCCAGAGGCGATCTGGGATCCCGCAAAAGGCATGTTGTCTCGGGGTAAGGACTAGCGAGCGTGAGGCTAACTATAGCAGAGCAATACCTGGTTCACTGGGCGTCCAAATTTGTGAGAAGCCATCGAATAACTTACATATCATAATGCAAACAGAACACTCACCCCCCTTTTCTAGTACCCCACCTCCGATCCCCGACACACCGGCTCCCCCTCCAACATCCGCATCCGCTACGCCTACACGAGCGACTTCAAAACCTTCACCGCCCCGCAGACCCTCATCGACAAGAACCCGACCAACATCATCGACCTGAACTTCGTCCCCCTCGACGGCACCAACTCAACCTCCTTCCTCCGCTTCATGAAAGACGAGACCCGAAAGACAGTCTTCGTCGAGGTCTCCGAGAACGGGCTCTTCGGCACCTGGACCCGGCCCGGCGGCGACGGCGCCATAATCCAGCAGGGCGTGGAGGGCCCCGCGGCATACCTAGACAACACGGACCCTGGGAAGGTGCACCTGCTGTTGGACTTTTATGGCGAGGATGGGTACCGTCCGTTCGAGAGCACCAACCCGAAGAGTAACAGTGGCTGGACGGCGAGTAACAGGGGTGCGTTTCCGAGGAATTTGAGGCATGGGAGTGTGTTGCCCGTCGAGGGTGGGGCTTATGAGGCGCTGGGGGCGAGGTGGGGGTAGGGATGTGAGATTGGGAGGGGGGTGGTTAACGGGTTGGTGAGAGGGAAGTCGAGGGCTGTTAAGAGGGGGAATAGTGCGGAATACTGGGGACCTGTTGCTGCTCACCGAAACGATCGCATGTCTTTGGACTGCTCGGATCCCGCGCGACGTACCGAAATGGGTCATCTCTCTGAACCGAAAATCGGCTCGAGCCCCGGATATATCAGGACTAAAGAGAGCGGGAGACTATTGGATTCCGCATCAATCCACGGCAATGGTGATGTGGCCATGGTCTCGAGTCGGGAAGCGCAGGGCTCGTGGAACGTTGGGCGGCAAGCTTTGCGTCACCGAACATACAGCGACGAAGACGATTTACGTTCCGGAGCAGTTCCGTACACTGCTACCTTCGTTTAAACGCCCCAAAACAACCCGCTATCTAACCTAAAAGCTTTGGCCCAAGACTGGTACAGCACGCCCCGGAACAGCCGAGTTGGCTATAAAACACACCTGCTCTGTGACAGGGCCAAACTGTTCGCCCCCCCTTTCGTTCCGCCCCAAGTGACGTTCGTTTATGATCAGACGAATAAATAAACCATCTTGCGCCGTTTCCCACCAACCAGACCGGCCGGGGACTGAGCCTAACGAAGACCCTCTCCCCCTTGGGGTATGTTTGCTATGCCATACACACACACACACAGCGCCCGAGCCGAGCAGTCACAAACATCGAGAGCACGAGTAGTAGTAACAACAGAAATTATCACTATGAACCTAACCCAGACCAGCCAACATTCCCGGAACAACCACCTAGGGAACTGTTTTGCAGTCAAAAGCCACCTCCCCTCCAAAGGGTATCTCATATATCCGTGCCGCCGTCGCATTTTCCCGCAGCACCGTTGAAGAGGGGGGCGGAGGATGTGTGTTTAAAAAGGGAAACGATAGAGAGGGAGTGGTGGTAGTCGAGATAGACGAGGGGGACGAGCAAAGCAATAACAAAAAAAACCACCCAGTTCCAGTCCAGTCCAGTCCGGCCTAATCCGGCCTTAATCCAGGGATATCACTCTGAGTACTGCGCTCTATGCCTTGCCTGCCTTCCGACCGTGAAAAAAATAAACGATGAAATGTGATGAGTGGGTATGGTATGGGGGAATAATAGGTAACGAGAGAGTGTGTAAAGGAATGTCAACCCAACCGTCCGCAGCCGCCGTCGTCACACCGAACCACCCAACAATAATAATAACCCTGAGCAAGCAAAATACAGGTATCATTGAACAACACCCTGCATCATCCGTGCCTTTGCGTGTCTTGCGCGACCTCTTCGGATCCATGGTATTTTACACAGAGCACGGCCGCGCAAGGTAAATAGCCAGGCAGACGGGCAGGTAGGTAGGCAAGTTACGCCTTTCCCGCCCCCGCCAACAAGCAAGCCGCCGTCCGGGACAACAGCCGGATCTCAAGAAGCCTGTCTGCCTCGCGCCGCCTCTTCTAATGGCGTTCATCCAAGTCCAGCCCGACCGCGATCCCCAGCCCGGCAGCCCCGGGGTGACCGTGCGCGACGGCGGGGTGATAGGGCAAGCTGGTTGGTTGCGACGTGAACATGGCCTGGCCTGCGGCGGCGTGGCCCGCGTAGGGGCCGTAGGGGCCGCCGCCGCCCGCGGTGCCGGGCGGGCTGCGCCGGCTGCTGCTGCCGATGGTGCCGGGGGAGAAGGCCGACGAGGCGGCCGACCCGGGCGCGCCCGCCGGCGAGTGCGGCGGGAGGTGGGTCGTGTCGAGCCGCGGCATGGACGCGTAAGGGGAGGGCATGGGCAGGCCGGTCAGCGCCGGCTGCGGGGCCACCGCGTACCCGCTCGTCGTCAGCGGGTAGATGGAGCCGAGGGCGTCTGGTACCGTGCGCGGGCCCGCGTGGTGCGCGTGGTGCCCGTAGGAGTGGTACGCGGTGGTGTCGGTCTCGTAGCCGCCGCCGCCGCCGCCACCGCCGCCGGCTGATGAGGGGTGTGGGCTGTCGGGGGAGGCGCCGTCGATGCGGGCGCGTTTGTGTGGTTTCTGGTCGTCGTAGGGGGTGTAGCCGTAGGAGTATTCGCCGGCGCGCATCTGGGGAGATTCGGAATAGTAGCTGCGGGAGCGGTCGAGCTGGGCTTGGTCGTGGAGGGAGCTTAGGCGGCGGAGGTGGTGGGGGGAGTGCCCGTTGGGGCTGAGGTCGTGGTTGTCATGTGGGAGGTAGCCGTGTATCCCCTGGGAAGCGCGGATCTGGTCGGCTTGGCTGATGGTGCGTTTCTTGGTGGAGACGGTGCGCGAGTCCTTGCGGAGGCGGAGGCGCACGCCTTGGTCGCTGAATGAGCGGGTGAGGAAGGTGGACTCGGCGAGCCCGGGGAAGGTCTTGGTTGCGTAGACTACAAATGGGTCGGAGACGGTGCGGGACAGGAGCCAGCACTCCTTCTCGGCCAGCCTCAGCTCGTAGAGGATAAAGGCGAGCCGGTAGGTGCCTACTCTCCTGACGGACAGGTCGCCAAACACGAAGAACCCGCCTTGGCTGTTGTCCGTGTCCTTGAGGCTGTAGAGAGATGAGACCAATGTGCCCGTCAAGTCGCTCTCTTTCGGCCCTGTTTGTTCGTCTTGGTCTTCGTCGCCCTTGCGGATGAGCCTGGCGGTCAGGATCAGGTATGGGTTTTGGAGGAAAGTTCTCCCTGGATCTTTTCTGGGGTTGACCATGAGCTGAACAATGGGCGGCGGATCGATCGGTTTCCTCTCTGTTTAGCGTGTCAGCTGGTCGAGCCCAAAAGGCAAACTGAGGAAGACATCAACGAGGAGGGCTACCTTTACCCTTACCGATGGCCACACAGGCATACTTGGGCTGCTGCCGTACCGCCAACTCAAAATCACCCTGTCCCAACGTGGACATCATTGTGTGGGTAATTTGTGGTGAGGTTCTCAAGGAGGGTTATGTCAAAACACAAGGCTGCCGGATCCCTTGTACAGACGGTGGGCCCGGCAGACGCAGCCGAAGTATTGCTATCTTCGCCCGTGGGAAGGACCCTACTGTTGGATGCTCTAACCAAACGAGAACGAAGAAGGAGTGCAGTGGAAGAAACACGGAAGGCTTCTAAAGGAATCAGTTAGCAGAGTGAGAGGCGGAGGATGGTTTAAGCAAGGAAGTCGAGTGTGAAGGGGGTGGGGGGGGGGGGGGGGGGGGGGGGGGGCGATGTTTCGATGGGGGGTGGGTGTAAAAGGAACCGACCGAAGTAAGCGACAGCAGACGTGATGCAGGTCCGCAGGAGGTGTGGTGCTGAGGTCGGCCGGGTATTGGCAGCGCAGCAGCCGGTTCTGGCTGGCTCGCTGGTCACCGGGAGCTTCGGTCTCAGTGGGCGGGGCAAGCCGGCACCTGTGGGGGAGGTGGCCGGGTCGAGAACACAGTCGCCAAAGTGCGAGCCGGGAGGGCGGCGGAGAATGTCTTTGGTGGCGGGGCGTTTTTAGGCGTCTGCAGGATGCAAGGTGCTGCTGCGTTGCGGCAGTCCTCGGGCTACAGCGAGTCGAGGGCGGCCGGAGTGGGTGGATCGAGCCGAGCAGCGGACTTCAGGTGTAAGTGCCAGGATGTCGTCGCCACTCTTCTGACACTCACGCATGCCCAGATACTTCAAGCCGTGTTCTTCCAACTCCTTTGCTCTTCTTTTTGTGTGTTCCAGTTTCTTCCTTTCTCCTTGCACTAAGCTCTTGATGTCGAGGCCGGAACGCAGGTGATGGTTGCTGGGCGGTGGGGGCGCTGGTGAAGATAGCGCTGGGGTGCTGTTGACTTGAGATAGTAAGAGCCCCAGATACTTTCTCAAAACCGTCTAAAATTACCAAGCTCACTCGCGAGTAGCTCGAGGGAGACAACTCCGGGGGGGCAGACACTCTTGAATGCTTGGAGGCGGAAAGGAGGGGCAGTGAGCAAGGGCCAGGGTCAAGGCAGGGAATACTGCTGCAGCTTCGCCAGGTTGTTGCAGAACAGACCAAGCGAGGAGCGGAATGCCGTGTCTGACGTGTGGTGGGTGAAAAGTCTAGCCTTTTTGTCTCCGAGGAGGCGGTCGCGAGGCAGGGGGTGATCCGGGAGAGACTGGGACTGGTTTCTGGGGCCGGCTGCACTGCGAAAGATGGGATGAATTAAATGGGGGAGGGAGGAAGTGATGTGTAGATCAGATATAGCTCTCGCAGCATGTTAAGCTGTAGCGGAGCCGCGACAAAAAGGAGCACAGGAGCTTCGGAATGCCACCCAGCCAGTGCCGTTGTCCACTCCGGAACGGAGAGGCGTCAATAACAGAATTGAGGGCCAGTGATATGATTGACGGCGAGGATAATGTCAGAACGCTTCTGGGGGCGGCCGTTTCTTTCAACAACAAGGCTCGCCAGGGGGCCCCTGTACACCGGGCCTCAACCTTGACACTCAGGGCCCTCCTCCATCCAGGCATCCAGACAAGGTGGCCGGCGATGCGCGAACGCGGTGGGGGGGGGGGGGGGTTTCCTGGGTGTTCGCGGCCTGCGAGCGCACCCCGTCATGGGCCCTGGACGGCAGAACAGTTGCTCTCACCCACCCCGGTCATTGCTGTCGGCAGACCACCCGACCAAGTGCAGGGAAGGGGTGCGGAAAGGGAGAGCAGGGCGGACCAGGGTAGGTCAAGGTCCCACGCCGCGCGGTGGTTGACTGACAGACGGGAAGTGCTTGGCTGCGTTTGCGGTCCTGAATCTCGTTTCTCTGATCATGGATGGCGAGGCCTGTTCCGCGTCCCGAAGGCCCTCCCGTTGGCGCACCCTGTTGACCATAACTAACTACACACAATACAACAAAACCGGCCGCCGGGAGAGCAACCGCGTTTGGATGAACGGAGCGGGCATCTTGAAGCAGACAGCCATTGGGAACGCTCGAGGCCGAAGAAGTCGCCCTGCGCACCCAAGCGGTTTGTCGTGCAAGGGAGGTACCCAGTACGCGCCAAGATGACGATACCCTTCTGGATAAATGTGCCGGAAGTCGGCCTGGAGAGCGCCACCAGCGAAGGGCACCGCTGGGGGGTCCACCGGCCACCAATGGCCCATGCTGGTCTGGGAATAGCGCCTGGGAAAGCTCCGAGCGACCAGGTATCCAGTACCAGGGGTTGGTTTTCCGCTCCTCCCCGCAGACACCTGCACCATGTCTGCCAACGGCGCGGTCCTCGGAGCAGCATGTTTCCAATTGCTGGGACTGAGGTCGCATTTGGGCCGCTGTGCGTAGCCTGCCGAAGTGATCGGCTCTCCGTCATGTTCTGTTCCTGTGTGTATGTATGTACTTGTGATGTCGTTGAGTCTTCTCTGGCCTCTGCTGTTCAAGGTCCTCCGATTCCGCCAGATGTCCCCCCACATTCTCACGTTAGCCCCCGCCGGGCTGCTGCTGACGTGCTGGGGTGGTAGGGCGGTCAAGGCCGGGCTGGCGAGTTGGCTTCTCTTTCTCGAACAATGGCCTGTCCGGCATTGAGTGATCCACCGTCCGACTGTTCCGTTCTGAGCTTGCTGTTGTCTGTGCGTTGCATGCATGCATGAACGCAGGAGTCGGCTCTAAGCCTTTTCGAGCTTTGGGAGCTGGTCCTTTCCGCCTCTTTTGGTCGTCGCGGTTCTCTCTCCATCGCCATGTCCGGGTATCCATCAGCCCGACCCCCTCGTGTCACTCTGCTGGCCTTGGCTGAAGTGTTCCCCGCCTTCCCCCAGTGCCCCCCCTGCTCGGCTGGAGAATCTCACCTGTGGCACGGGTCACTCTGCGTTCATGATCAAGGTCAAACAGGGAGTTGCTCAGATATCCGTCTGTCGCGAGATCTGCGCCCGAGAGGTGACGAGAAAGTCTTGTTCTCAGCAGTTGAATCAGCAAGGAGGTCGTGAGCAAGCCACAAACAACATCCTGGCCACCACGCCGGCCCGCGGCTCGTGAATGGAGATCTCGAGGGCAAGAAATGTCCGTGCCTGTTTGCCCAGCCTTCCAGAAGGTCTAAATTGTTTTCTCTCGACCACGCTTGGAGCTAGCCGTCAAAGCGCATGCATGGAGTTGGCTGACCGGTAACGTTAGGGGCACATGGCAGATATTCAGGAACACACAAAAATGCTCCACTAATGCAAGAGCGGCATTTCGAGAGAGAGAGAGAGAAGACGAAGATGGTGTGTTCCGTGTCGGGTTGGTTGGTCCAGAGTAGCAGGCCAACTTGGTAGAACTTGCCACTTGTGCTCTGATGTTTGGTCTCGAGGCGCTCTGAAGGGCTTCTGCCATCTCATGCATGGAGGGCTGATGCGACATCGCAATTAATGTTAGCGTTTCGTCGGAGCAAAAGAGTTGCGTCCGAGGAGCAGCCAGCCTAGCCAGCGACTGCGCAGGTTACTCCTGCAGCGACTCGTATATTAATTGACGCTGCTGAGCATCAAAATCCATGCGCTTGGCAATTTGCCCATCAAGCGCGAGAGCGCAGGTATGTTGGATGGAAATAGCCGTTGAGCTGCTCAGCCGTGTTCTGTCGATCTGCTGGCGTATCCTCGAGACAAGTATGTATGTAAAAACAAGCGCCCGCCACGGCTCAATCGCAGTTGAATTGATGGTGAAATCATATCATATGTCATCAACTTCAACAAGACACGACGACGGCAGGGTTCAAGAAAGCTTTCGTTGCGGCTCGATCTTGTTGAGGGCGTCCGTTGACCCGCCGGCCCATGCCGATGATCTCGCGTTTTCGAACCTGCGCGGAATCTTCGAAAAACGAGGTCAGAGCGACGCCCGTCTTGGGACCCCGGACCCAACAGGGACAAGGACCAGGGGCCGAACTTGGTGATGCACATATCCCCTTGCCAAACCAGGACCCGACTCCACACCACCGTCACAGAACCTGAACCAAGCTCGCCAAGGTGCCCGCCGTCTTTTGCTGTTGCAATTCCTGCACCCTCGCAGTCATGGACGACATCATCGCGACGCTGGGTCGCGCTGGGACGATGATGGCTCTGCTGTGTCGAATGTCGTTTTGATTGAGATCCCCCAACATTGTTGATGTACGGAATACACCTGCAACTCCCCGTCTCATTTCGACCCGGAGTTAACTCCGTTCAGCGCTTGAGGGAAGAAAGAGAGACGCCCCGATGTCGTCGTCGTGCCACGTCGGTAAGGCTGGGCGAAGCTTTTTTTGTTTCCGCCACCGATGACCGGCTTGTCTAGCAGCAACCTGCGACCTGCACAAAGGTACGTCGTCCTGTCTCGGGAACCGGGTGGAGGTCTTGAGAGGTCCAACCCCATCTCTGCAAATCTTGGTTGCCCATGTGCCAGCGTGAGACGGACGGAATGGGGATCCGGCGCAGGTGCCGCTTGTGCAGAGGCCGATCGCCAATTATGGCACCCCATCGAACCGGGAGCGGGCAGTCGCGACTGGTTGGGCTATCCTCGCTTCTCACAATGCTGCACGCATCATCTTGGATATCGAGAGTGAGTTAACTGCTGCACCAGCGCAAAATCGTCGATGCGAAGTCGTTGGGCGGTTTCTCAACACAAACGGAAACGTCGGCCACCAACCGACGACAAACCAAAGGCCAACGGGCGGCCACAGCGTCGCCCTCGTCAAGCTCTGTTAACAGCTGGGGTGGCCCATAGTAATATCCCATCCCGTGTGCACTGTCCTTAGGCGCAAGCTGAATCGGCCCTTCGACTTTTTTGGAGTAGAATTTTCGAGAGGCAGGGCAAGTCAGGGCAGTGCTCGCAACATATCGCAGGGTTTTTTGGAGTTGGGAAATTAGTTGACGTTAACCATTATCGTGTGTTGTGTTCAAGTTGTGTGGGAATGTGCGCGAGTGAAGGGGCTTGCCGAGTTGCTCTTGCTCCCGTCATTGATTTGCAACAGAAAAGTCCAGACGAACCGGCAAGGGTTCTCCACCTTGGAAACCCCACCTGTTGCACGAGCTGATCGTGTGGGGAAAGCTTTGCTGCAACGCGTCTTCCCAATCAGGAAACCAGTCCTCGATCTGAATCTCCCGACTCAGCAAGTGGACATGTCATCTGATCTCTATCCGTAGCCGAGCATGCTTTGCGCCTGCCCACTTCATTCCATCACACTTTACTTTGTTGTTTTGGACTCGAAGCAACCAAGTTCCATCTCGAACTTCGCATGTCCTCGGCAACTGAATGAATGCAATTTCCAAAATTGCTCCCTCCACCGATTGAACAACCCCCAATAAGCACTAGCTTCCGAGCTCCCAATCGGCAACATCCCGCTCCCACCCGGCTCCCACTCGTGTGATTGACGACATTGCATCGACACGAGTTAAAAAAAAAACAGTCGACTCCACCATCGACAAACGGCCATCCCGACTCCGGAAATTGCTTTTTTTTCCCTTTGAGTTGGACCGATCGTGGGACAGGAAGAGCCGCGGTGATTGACACAAACCGGCTCCCTGCAGATCGGGGCCGTTGCGATGCATTTCTCGGCAATCCGATGCGGCAGCACCAGGGAGAAGAAGCTTTGACAATGGGTGATTTCTCTCCTCAGGTCCCGAGCATGAGCCACTCGGATCAGATAACTACGAGAGCGAGCAATTAATTCTCAGGCCAGCCAAACCCCTGGTGACGACTGTTTGTCGTCTCGCCTCTTCCCGCCCGGTACCGGAAGGACGAGCGGTGTGAACCTGGTATTGTTGTCACTTACAGATTACTCACGCCACCAGCCCTCGTCGGCTTGCTGCTAACCAAAGCCCTGCTGATGACTGGACCCCCCAGGCTCATGGACTTGAGGGTCGGATAATTCCGAGCAAGCGAAAGTCACGACGAACTCAACTCGCTCACACCAAAACGTTACACCAACTACGCCGCCGTCTTGTCAGAGACCCTTTCCCGGACAGGGAAACGCCCTGCGGGTTGTACACAGCATGCGGCCTTGCGAACAGGGTTACGTCTCGATCCATGCTTTCTCTTGGGCCTCTTCAGATCGTGGAATCTCTGGTCACGATAGTCTCCCGTACTCGCCGACGACAGAACCTTTCATTTCCGCCCATCACCAGGGGATATTCCCTGTTTTTCGAGCCCTTGGGGGTTGGGTGTTGAGTTACGCTCCGTCTCGAGCAGCTCCATCGTTGAGAGTCAGCTTGAAACGAGAGGTTTGTTCAACTCCAACACAATGGTAATGTAAGACTAAGCTGGGGTGTTCGACACGTCCTCGCTGCAGGGGCACGGGGCATGAGAGAAGGCAGTGCCTCGAAGGACAGCGGGGCACTTCTCGGACAAGATGCCGCCTCACCATATGCAAACGGGCTGATACCTATCTGCATCCTCGTGCGCCCGGTTTCTCCGCTTCGCCGAGTGTCACAAGCGTGCTCACTCGCAGCTTCTGGTGTGAACAAGATGAAGAAGGATGCTTTTCCGACTGGACAAAGCTCCTGCATGTCCTCGCTCAATCCAGACGTGCAAGCGTCTTGCTCCGCCAAAAGAAGCCTAGGAAGCGGAGAACCCAGCCAATGTCGAACAAAACCCTTGCCCCATGCCCTTATAACAGACGTATTAAGCCCTCTGCGATTTTCACTCCCGCTTTTCCGAGGCTCGCGGCTTGCCCGAATCACGAGAAGACTACCACGATATCTTCCAGCAACCGCCCCGGAGTCTTCTAAGGCATGTCGAGGCGGACAGTGACACTTCTACACTAGCTAGCGGGGCACTTGGTTCCGACCGGTTTGCGTCCTTCGCGGGCTTCGTCAACCCGCGTCATTGTCCGATCCAGAGTGTAACCTCACCTCGGGTGCTGGGCGTGCTGGGCAACATCACAATACGGCGCTTTGCAGACCAAAGGCACCCGTATCCCGCATCGGACTCCATTCAGTTGTCACCGGCGTTTCAGATCGCGGATCAAAATACGTCTAGAAGGCTTCTAAATCTAGCTCCCGATCTCGTCCCCGGGACACCCATGTGTTTCAGTTTCCAACAATGATCATATGCCGGCTCGTGGCCGGGTACGCCATCATTTTTACCCTCCCACCGGCCCCGGGATTTTCGGCTCCCGCACCGCGGCATGTCTATCCCGGACTGCCGTTTGGTATTATGCTGCTCGATCGCTGTCAGGACGGCCTCAAGCCAACCCGCCCAACATTTCCCCCAGTTACCTATGACTTCGACACGTTAATGCAACAACAACCCCCGGCCAAGATGTGGACTTATCGCCGGTAACCGAGGACCCTTTTTCTTTCGTACCCTGAGACAACTCACTAACCATGGCATCGATCAAGCCCTCGCGGGGCCATCGCTGACAATGCCTGCTTTGTTTGCTCAGCGCATGTATCTCAAATAAAAGCGACCGGTAAAAGCGCGTAGTCTATCGAGGTCGCACCGCTTTCAGACCGTCGAAGATCCCCGCCAACATCCTGGGTTACATCCAGGCCACACCCGGGGCCGGTTAATGGTAAGGCGCCTGCACGAAACAGGCCCTCCACTCCTTTCTGTCCTCGTCGTCTCCAGCATTCCAAATTGCTTATGGGGCAAATAAACCCGCCCGCATGGCTCGAGCCCGGCAATACAAAACCGACAGGGCGAATCCGGGAAGCAACTCGCGCGCTTCAATCCGCTGCCGTCCCGCATGCTGAGCAATATCTTTGTGTTCAGCGCAGCGCTGAGGGCTAATTTACGTTCCGCGGCGGGAAGGTCAAAGTGACCCGGTCGCCCCTTGCCGCAAGCACCAAAAATATCCCGGTATAAATGAAATGGGCGGCTGGGCCTGCAGTTTCAATATACCGCAGATTTGGTGAGGCTCCTTGTCGCGACGAGGAGAGCAAGCCCTCACGGCCGGGTCCTTCGCCACCGGAAGAGCCTCCTCGGCTAACCACATGCTTCTCGGAGTGTCACAGGCCCGGCAATCCCTAGTATTATCCCATATTTTCCCGCCTCCTTGAGAAACGCTTGGGGATCCAGGGTCCTTCACTCTTCTGCGGATCTGGCATGATGCGAGCCGTGCAGCAAGACAAAATGCCAGATCTCAAGGTCCTCCACGCCAGCAGCAATGTCAGCCTACCCTCCCAAGCCGGCCAAGGGCCGTCAATGGACAGGCCCGGAACCTTAATCAGACGCCGAGCCATACGCCACAGTCTCAAGAAGGAAGGTCCCGTCGTTCAGCCCCGTCATCGGCCCAGTTTAGCCCGGGTCCGGGCTTAGCTTCACCGGGTCCCTCGTGCGGTGGCACAGTCTTGGGCCCGGAACCGGCTCTTTCGGGGAATGCGGTCTTCCCCGAGTGACCGGACTGCGTGTGCGGTTCCGAGACCGGTGCCGATGTTTGTTCAACCCCCCCCCCCCCCTCCCCTGCGGTCCGTCTCGTAGACAAGCAGCAGTCGATGTTAAGAACGAGATGCTCAAATGGTGAAGAGAGAAGAAGGCAGTGTTTACCTTACTCTGACCCCCCGTCCGTTCTGTCTTGTCTTCGTCCCGTTTGTAAGTTCGTATCATTTTCTCTCCTTTTTTCTACATTAATGGCGCTACCCAGCGAGGGTGAAACTATGACCGAATAGATGCATCGGTCATAATCCTGCAGGAACATAACTCGGGAATTCTGCACCCTCCTGCAACACGCAGTTTACCCTCCTGTGAACCCACAGAGGCAGGAACGAGCGTAAACGGTTATCTGCAGCTGCAAAATCAACTCATGTCGGCATACACCCAGGTTACGGTCAGGACATCAACCGGGTTAGTTATGAGTTGGCGTCTGTGCTTTAGTACATATTTGCGGCAGCTGTGCTGAGTTCTGTCTCCCGGCCAGTTTCAGTCATATCCTTCCCCGTAACTCAAGTGGGAGGGTCAACCTTTCCACATCTCGAGGACTCCCCTGCTCCCTAAACCGATTGTTTACCATGTAATTACACCTTGTTTGCCTGCAAACCGGGGGAGAAATCCAGCGGAACCGTCATTGTAACCCCCGGAATCTCTGAGAGCGGTGACTTATAACTGACGCTATTAAGAGCATCGTTCACCAACGCCGAGTTTGGTCCAACGGCACGTTGCAGCCCGTCCGTCCACCATTCCACCTCGCCCAAACTCTGGCCCTCTGCGGCGCACCCTCACCCGCTTTGAAGGGGAGGGGGGACTGGCCAGGCCAGGCTTGTTGGTTCGGCGCCGTTTGCCGTCTCCGCAATCGACAATGTTGCCGTTTTCCCATTCTTTTTTTCTCTCTCCCTCGCGCCCAGACCGACCATGGAACCGGCGGTGGTTTTGAACGGGCAGCATGTCATAATATGTCAACCCACCCGGGGAAACCTGGCCGACCGGGAGGCGAAGACCTGGTCTGCTCTGATTGCCAGTAATGAAGGTAGCATTTCTCCGCATGTTCCAAGAGATCCGGTTGATTGATTCTTTTCCTGTTGTCGATCGACCTCCACCTGGTGGTCTCTTTTGTTCGCCCACTGCCGAAGTCTGATATTGGCATCGGCCTGCCCTATAGCCACTGATTGGGACAAGTGCGTCTCGACTGCGACATACGATATGCATGTTTCAGGTGCCGCGCTCGAGGGGGATTACAACGGGTACTGTGTATGTATGTCGGTCTGGACAGATTGAGGATGTAACCTGCTTGCGTCTTCTTCCACGCGTCGTTTTCGGGTGTTGGCTTTTCGCACGTAGATTCTATCTGTTTTGGGGTGCTTGCATGCGTTTTCCGTAGGGACCTGAGGGACTCATTGTCTGAATTTGACGACGGGAAGGGCACTGAGATGATAGTTTGGGATCCATGGTTACTCGATTCGGCCGTCTCGCTACCGTTGTTTGTTCCTCCCTTCCTGTTCCGTTGGTGTTTTCTCCGTTGGATATGCCGCTTCTATGGCAGGTGATCGGAGAGAGAGATTCGGTTGAATTTGGGCACTATCCGACTGACTATCGGGCACTTTGCCTTCCCTCCCCTCTCTCCCGAGTCCAGACGTTTCGTTTGAACCCTCCCGTAATTTCCAAGCCCGAAACTGAAACCGGCATGACCCGACCGCATCCCCGATGAGTTGGCCCCCAACGTCCAAGTCGTGTATGTCTTATGCCTCGTCATGCTTGTGTGCTTGTGTCGCACACGCGGCACAAACGTGCCCGTGCCGAGGCGTCGTCGGCTCTGATTGGAGACGGGGAAGGCTCACCGGTTCGGTATTGGCTGATTCAATTTCGAAATATGCTCGATTCCTATTGGCGTCCTGTCTGTGGGTGTGACCCTCCAGGGGGGTTTTCCAGGCATGTTGGTAAGCCCGAGTTAGATTAATGGGATTATCAGGATTCGGTGGCTGTCGGTCGTTGCTAAATCTGTGAGATTCGATGCAGTTACAGAGGCGTGTGTGCGTACCATCCCGCCCGTCTGCTCGTCGCCAGTGGTGTGGACGGCAGGGCTCGGGATCGGTACGGGTCGGCTGCGACTGCTGCACGGTGCAGGCGTCCAAAAGGAACTTTGGAATTGTAGTATGTATTGCGATATGGCATTACGAAGGGCTGACTGTGCTGGTCTGTTATGCACTTCATTTATTTTGTGTTGTTATTTTCCGAAACCTTACTCTGATAGGTAGTCGATGTTCTCGCTTTCGAGGCTGTCAGCCCCGAGTCGCAGACAACATTCTCGAAAACATCTGCCGTTTATGTTGTCTCAGCCCTACAAAGTGATGTCTCGGGACTAACGGTGGGCTGTATCGATCAAGGAATTTGGAACCGAAAATCACTAACTCAAACTGGCTTCTCCGTTTGTCCTGAGGTTTGAAGCTGAGGCGGCTGCTCACGGCAATCATTCCCCGTTATCGGACTACCGGAAGAAGCCTCACTCCATCGTGAGTGAATCCTTTCCACCCAACGATCAGCCTGGATGATATCATCGCCATATCAGCCCCCAAACACGCTGCAAGAGCCTTGATGATGTCTGGGTCGATCGGCGTCGTCAGTCACGGCACGCACGTGTTGCAGGTCACGCAATATCACCAATCGTCGGTCAGGCACACCACGTTATCGCTGATCGGCAAGCCGATCAGAATCAAAAGCTGGAGTCGGGAGCCAGGACAGATGACTGACATCATGATGGGACGAATGCGACCGGAGCCGCCAAGCCCGCGCGAAGAGACAAGAACGAAGGAACCAGGGAGCCAGGCTGCCAGGGTAACACGAAGGACCGAGTTGACAGCCAGGCTAACGTTAGTGAGTTAACACGACGCTAAGTCTCGTCAGAACCTCAAGATGCAGGATCTTGGGAGGCGTCCACTTGGACAGGGCTCGGACCACAGCGCAGCAGTGGGTGGTGCGATCGATTCCGGTACCGAACTGGGGGTTGATCAGAACCTGGAAAGGTGCAGCAGCCGGACGTTACAACGGTTTTGAGAGCCAACCCTTGCTCCTGATGCGTTGTCCAAGATCCGTGCTGGTATTCGTACCCGTGACGAGGGAGCAGCGCCCGTTTGCAGGGAACCAAGATGCTGCCATGTTGAGAGCCCGCAATCTGATCAATTCAACCCAAGATTCATTGGAAGATATGCGGGCTTGCTGCTCGCACATGCATCCTCATCACGCGGTGAGCTCTCCCCGGCCTCGTCGGTCCTGCAACACAACGGGTCAGATGGGACTCGGTGGACTGATGAGACTGGCCCTTGGCTGTTTGGGGGGTGTGTCCGGCAGCTGTGATTGGTTTCGTTGCACTCTTCGGCGCGATGTCACGACGGCTCACGGGAATGTCAAAGTGGAAGGCTGGACCCCTGACCCCCTTGCCAGGAGGTGCCATCGCCTTTCCACCCCTTGCCCACCGTTGCAATGGCCGTTACCGAATCTCGTTCCACTCCCACTCTCGATTGCAGGGAGAAAGCTGGCGATGCAATTCTGGCTCTGGCCCAAGTAAATTTAGCAGCGCGTCGGACCCGATGCCCAGATGGGGGCATTCCAAGCGCCTGCTCTGACCGAGATGGATGGGCTGGATAGATGAATAGATATGGGGGCATGTAGGAAGAAGTTACACAGTAGTCAAGTCGTCGTTTGTCCGAGTTGGAGACGGCCCCATCACATTGCACAGCAGCGGGGTTGACGAGATGAGGGGAAAGCTGGTCGGCGTGCGGAGAAGTGGCCACATTGCCGGGCCGGTCGGAGTCGGCTGGCGAGGCTGTTGGAGATTCACGGCTGTGGAAGGGTGGGTGTGTCCCAAAGCGAGGCGGGCCGCGTGGAAAAGCGAAGGATCCAGGTTTGCATTGCCTCCTTGGCCAGCACCCCCGCCTGGGCCCTCGAGCAAGGTGTGCCCCAAGGGCGGCGCTCAATATCGATGGTGGACTGAGCGCATTTGCGGTTTGCTCCGGCCCACTCGATTGGCTGCCGGGTCGCCCTCCCGCATCTCGATTGCCGAACTAAGAAGGTGGAATGCACTCTGGGCGTCTGAAGCGAGATGGTGTTAAGCTGAAGGCCGACGGGGTCCTGGGTCCTCCTGCCTTCGCTCGCGTGTGCTTGTTCCTCTGCTGGGGTCGCAGTCACGGCCGCATGGTTGGCAGAAAGGAAGCAGCAGTTGTTGCCTGGCTGTGTTGGCCTGTCGAGAGTCTCGGCCACGCGCTGCTGTGTTCCGCTGTGACATCGTGGGCAAATAGCTGGTGGATGGTGCAACTGCAACTGTTTCTTTGCCACTCGGGCTTGTGCAGCCCAGTTGGGACGGGCCCAGCGAGCACCCATCCCGATTTGGAGGTTGCAGGTGTCCGTTTCCGGGATGGTCTAACGGTTGACTGCGTCTCTGCAAGGTGCCACGCTCAGTCTGGTTGTTCGCGTATGCAGGCACTCGTCAAGATGCCGAACTCCACCGGGCCTCATGGGAAGCGGCCTGATCTCCGCAACGGCATCGCAATCGAAACGGGTGTGTGTGTTCTCATTCACGCGGCCGCATCTGTCAGCGGGGCAGAGAGAGACCGGCTTGGCGTGCAGTGTGTCAATTGGATCGGCCGTGGGATCTGGCATCATCAGCGCAGGGCCCCAAGCCGCAGAGAAGGACAAGGAGAGGGGGAGGGAGGTGTCGGCAGGTTGCGCTTGGGGGAAGGGGGGTGTGCAAGCATCCTCGTGCTGTGGTGCTGTGACGGGTTTTGGAGGTCCGCTGGCCCCGACAGCCCCCCGCGATTTCGTTGATTCGGATCGTGGAGGCACCTACCCACATCGTATCGAGACCTCGAGGATACCTATAATTTGCCTGTTAAGACTTCAAAGCGCAGATGGCCTCGGATTGCGCCAGGCGAAGCCTAGCCGGGCCGGTCACTCCACTTCTCGTGCCATCGTGCCATCGTGCCATCTTGTGCTTGAGGAGCTTTGCGGTCGATCGAGCAGAATTTTCTCTTGTGGAGAGGCGTACGAATAGAGGAAGAACTGTTGGAAGGAACTCGGCGAACGCGTCGACTCGCGGACCCTGCCGATCTGACCTGGTCCTTTCCGCTCCTTCCCCTGCCTGTCAATTGGCTTCCATTGCAGCCGGCACTGCGATGGCAGTTGCGAGCCCCAGCGCTGTTTGGGTCCTGCCTCCCTGCCAAATCTCGCACGGACTTGTGGTTCACGCCAAACCTTGCTCTTTCCTCCCCTCCCCCCCGGCTTGCCATGACATCTCGTGAATCAAACCATTGGTTCATCGGCGTCAGTCCTTGCCTATAATCGAAAGACGCGGCCCGACATTGCCGATCAAGGCTCTCGACTGGTCGAGGATTCGGGGCGAGGGGTGGCAGAAGCTCGCTGCATGTCAGCGTTGAGGCCATTGGGGGGTTTGAGTCTGCTCAATGCGACGAGGCTTGGAACATGACTGTCCTCTGTTACACTAACTTGATGACATCAATACAGCCGCCTAAATCGAAGTGAATGGCGGAGTGACTGCGCCGTGCGGTTTAGTTACAGGAAGGGAAACGATATGTTACGGTGGGCGAAAAGAACACAAGCAACACCGACGGACCATGACTGTAAGCTTCATCAATATGACAAGGGGTTAAACTATTGATCAAAGGTGAGGCAAACTGAAGTTGGAATGCTCCATTGCCCTGGGACCATGGCAGGGTTAGGTACCTCGGTAGCTAGCAAATGGTGAAGTGAGGGTAACATTCCAGCATTTGTTGACCCTCGCCTCGGCCTGATCTCGTGGCGTTTGAATCATTAAACCGAACTTGTATGGCCTTGCCATGACTGAAAGTAGTTAAACGAGTTGGAGTAACTAAATCAGTATTGCATCAGGCCGTCTGGAAGAGATACCCCTCGAAGGAATCAAAACCGATTCCGTTGGGATCCTAGTACGGTCACAACGAGTGGTAGAGACCGTCACCCGGCATTTCCTACAACATCCTATCTATCAAAATACTTGAAGCTAATACTGTGATGATGAGGGCTTTCGAATCAGAGACGTAGTCGGTAGCTATAGTAAGTAAAGTAGTTAAAGACTTTGTTACCTAGCCGTTTATAATCCGTTTTGGATTCTAAGTTTAGCACATGAGATGAATGGTTGATATCGTAGAGAGACCAGCCTCCCGGACGGAATAAGGAGCAACGCTAGTACTGACACTGAATGGGTACACGCGTACCCCTGAAGCCATAACACCATACTACCCGTTGACACAAGATGCGGTTTGTCGCGTGTTGTGGGTAGGGGAGAGGAACGTAACCTCAACAACAACGCATGGCTCGTTCTACTGACTTTTTACCTGCGGTTCAAAATTAATCCAACCTTCAAGTCACTGCATAGAGACCTCCGTCACCTCTATAACGCCCTTCTCTTGCGGTTATAACTCGAAAATTAGGTAGGGAAAGAACTCGTTACTTAAGTAGACTCAGACCCGAACAACCTGATGCAAAAGACACGAGGGCCTCCTTCTCGACATAGCTCAGCCACTACGTTGCTAGCAGGACGCAAACTGGATGAGCACTGAGCTCGATACTATTCAGGCTCATCACAGTACCATACCACCCATGGGCTTTTCGCCGTGGGCAGGGGAATGTATGTTGAAAAACAACCGGTAAAGGAGTATCCACGAGGCAGTGACATTCTTAGCCAGCACCAGCAAACGGTTGTAGACCTGGCTATGACTTCCGATTTCTTAATGCCATTACGCTAACTCTCGCTGAGCAATAAGGTTTATGATTACTTGCACCGCCTACTCGTTCAACTCAGTGAAGGCCCAAGCACTCATCGTAGACGACAACGCCACCCATTTTCCCGCTACCCAAATAACCCAACACATGCAAACATGTTCAACTATCCTGCCCATGGGCCAGTCGTATCAACGTTAAGCCACAAACGCCATCTTCACGATCCGGTAAGCTCTCGAATACTCGCTCAAATCCAAAAAGTTCCTCCACGGACTCAGCTCCACATGCAGGGCATTGCACTCATAGTGGAACGTAAACGGCGCCTCCCGGTTGCGGGTACTGTCCCACGTCTGCAGCATGTGGACGGCATAGGCCACGCTGAAGCCGACGCAGATGAGCGTGGTAAAGGCGATGTAGAAGTGCGGGCCCAGGTTGACGACGCGCCATATATAGCGGGCGTCCTCCTTCATCTTCTCGGACGAGTCGCCGACCAGTTTGCTGCCCAGCCACCCGATGAGGAGGAAGATAAAGGGCGTGATGGCCATCAGGGTCCAGGTCCAGAAAAAGGCTAGTAAGGTGTACCGGCCGCCGATTTGGGAGGTGTCTCCGTATCGCAAGTCGAGGTTCCTGAAGAGCGGGGTCTTGGAGCAGAGGTCGGCGGCCGAGCACGAGGTGGACCCCGGCGCGGCGGCCACCCCGGACGCGAGGCAGTCGTAGCTTGTCAGAGTCGAGCCCTTGCTGCTGAGGTCGCCGAGGTAGACGACCATGATGTACACGCCGCCGGCCCACTGGAGGAGGGCCATGAGGTTCAGGAGGCGGGGGATCCAGACCCTAGCCCGGGGGTGGTACTGGAGCGCGCACGAGTAAGGGTGGTACTTGGTGACGGACCCGAGCTTCCACGCCGCCACCCAGGCCGTGAGGGCGATGGTGGCGGACTGGGCCGGGTCGGCCGCGAACAGGCCGAAGGAAACCCACCAGAACAGGATGGGCCCGCCGATGTCGTAGGCGATGAGGATCCAGTCGAGCCACGATATCTCGCGCCGTCCCTCGCAGGGTTTGTCCTTGGACTGGTACGCGGCCCAGAGCTGCTTTCCGGTGTGATACAGGGCGCTGGCGCAAGTGGCCATGACGATCCACCAGCAGACGATGTCGGGCAGGATGGTGGCCGACGGGCGTGCTTCGGACGGGATGATCTTGAAGCCGTTGAAGCAGCTCACGATCTGGCACCAGTCGTAGATGGGCGGGTTCTCACGTCGTTCCGCCGAGCCGTAGACGGCCCAGCCCGCCGTGTTGTCGACGTAGCCGAACTCGTTCGAAAGGCGGGTCGAGTGCGCGCGGAGACCGGCCCGGATGGCGGTGCAGTTTTGAGTGTCGGGTACCAGGTTATAGCACTCCTTGAAGCGGCTGTTCTTGTACAGGGCGAAGTCGGGGTGGCCTGGGTCGAAGCCGGTGTTGTCGGTTGTTACGGACCGGACGATGACGGCGACAGCAACGGCGAGGAAGAAGGCGGCCCCCGCAAGGCCCATCCCGAGGAAGGCGAAGACGAAATACTTCAACCCTTTCCAGTTCCGGACGAAGTCGGAAAGCTCGATACCATTCGTGCACTTGACAGGGCTGGCTTGAGACTCTAGGAGAGATTAGCATCCTGTCTCGAGGTTGGCGGTTCAGCAAGGTGATGTTTACCATGACCTGACCCCCCATGGCGGTAGTCTTGGTCCTCGAGCGCGCTATAGTCGATTTCTGTCGTCGGTTTCCCCGCCCGCCGACCGTTGCCGCGTGCCATACTTGGTTGATGATAAGGTTGTCACCGGCTTTAGGGGTTATGCTCACAGGCGACTCCGGGTTGAAGTGTTTCGATGGCGTCGCCGGTTCAAGTACGATGTTGACGAGCTTGAGCGTGAGAAACCCAACGTTCCTCCGTTCGTTACCTCGTATCTAGGTAGTCTCCTCTCCCTCTTCACTAGGGAGAGCAACGGGCTTTTGATTTCTTCACCACCTTTAGGCTCCCATCATCCCTCCTGTCCCTCCCCGCCTCAGTGTTGCTCGGATGAAGACCTGAACCCAGCCTTGCGCCGGGCCAGGCCGCAGCGCTTCAAGCCGCTGCAGCTGTAGCTCCGGGACTATGTTCTGTACTGGGTATAGTCCCGTGCTTGCATGTGGGGGGTGGATCGGGCCTCCATCTGGCACCAGTTAGCGGAAGCGGGGAGCCCCGCCGGGATTTGTTCCTTTCGGGCACCTTTCGTCGTAAACAAGCCAATACCGACCGGAATTGCCGTTGATCAACATCAGTTCGCCATCTCGGGCTCCACAGATTTCTTCCTGGAGGCGGTGCGTGGCGCATGCTCGACGTTGAAGGCGTTTAATTTTATACATTTGCAGGAGCTGATCTCGCAGAGCCTCACGAGCCCCGGACCGTTGGTCTCAATTCGGACGGAAAAGGGCAACATATCCGGGAGGCGAGAGGACGAGAAGCCTTGACAATGCCAAGTCCCCGGCGAGGCATTTGCACAGCACATAAAAGCGGGCGACGCGATCCGCAGGATTTTGGTGTTTGTCTCAAGGGGAAAATCTAGAGGAACATGGTAAATCGATTGACTAGGGAAAGGAGGGTTCACCGCCGGTCAAGCCTCTTTGCAAGTCGCGGTAGGCAGCTATCATATATCGCCGACTTGACGATAAGGGTCGGCGACGGCGGCGGCGGGCTGAGCTGGGACATGCTTTCTCTGAACTTGACATGATGGCATTTCTTGTTTAATTACATTTGGAGTCGTTTGTGCCGACTACCGATGCGCGCAATTCGAGGATCCGTCCGTGTTATTCCCACTCAGTACACATACAGGGAATGCGTCCACAAAAGCAGCGCCACGGCTGCTGCACCAGTCTATTATCTCGATAGCTTCCGACCAGAAGATCCAGTTATCCAGGCATGCGTAGTCAACAAGCCCCCACCCTTGCACGAGAGGCAGCTTTGGCTGGCTGAACTCAACATCAAGCGGGCTAGCATTGTTGTACCACAGATGTCTCTCGGTGACCCCGCGCGCGACCCGCCGGCCAAACGCGCCATCGCCAACGGCGGAACGGCAAGCATCATCGGTCGCCACACACAACAACAATGTCCTTGCTCAGTGCGAGTTCGGGTATGCTCCAAGGGCGGTAGAACCAGGCCCTTGCGCACAGCTTCCGAAACGCACCGTCGGCGTCCTGGGGGTAGCCCTGCAGGCGATCGGGGGCAGTTGCAGCCCGTCTGAAAGGTACCTCCCCGCCGAGAATGGATGAGTCCTGAGGCCATGACGGTGGGCGTTCATACTCGCTGCGTAGGTGCCCGAAGCGCCGTACATGTTCAAACACCAGATCCGAGTTATCCTGGGCTGGGCCGAGCCAGACAATCAGCCGCTGGGCAGAAAGCAAGATGCAGGTAACGCACATGTGCGGACTGGAGGGATGGATAGAATATATCATAGTATAGTTATCTGGATCAGGAAGCCCCACGTCCCTTCATGTCCCGCATTCACTCACCGAGGCGGAGGGCCAACCAAGCAAGCAGAATCCCCTGCGCGCGAGAGTGCGGTCTTCCCCCGCTCGAGTGTTCAACCATTCTCACCTGAGTCGAATGCAGTTGCAGTTGTTTGCAGCGTGGTTGGAAGCCTAATGAAACCCTAGCGGGTCGCTCTTTCCACACGATATCGATCAAGCCTCGTTGAGGCAGGAACCACCTCTTGCTAATTATTCCATATTTTCAACCACTCCATTCCCTCCTCCCCGCGGCATTCCCCCACCACCTTCCTTCTTCCCCAGCTCTGCCTGGCCTCGCGTGTGAACGCCACCATGTTATTCAACTGCCCCCTAAGAACGCTCCCTCTCCTTGGTGGCCTGGTTCAACATCTCGGCGTGATCAAGGTCGTGGGTGGTGCCGGACTCCGAAACCACACGACGAACCCACTCTCCACGCGGGCGCATTTCAGCCTTGAACGGCTTGGGTAGGCTGACGAAGCCCTCGGTGCAGTCCATGGGGTCGATCTTGGGGCGCTGACCCGTGGTCTCGTTGATGCCGGCCTCGACGTCAAACGCCCAGAGCAAGCGGGCCATCTGGATGAACAGCTGGTTGCGCGCGATGATACGACCCGTGCAGATGCGCCGCCCAAACCCGAAGCCCGTCTGCGGGAGGTCCTTGAGTGCCGTCACGTTCATACCGCATGCGTCGATCGATGGCTCGGACTTGGTGCTGGCGGCGTTGTGCTCGTCGGCGAGCCACCGTTCGGGGACAAAGTCGTCGACCTCCGGCCCAAAGACGGATTCGTCACGCGTGATGGCAAAGACGTTCGGTAGCACGATCGAGTTGGCCGGGATGTGGTAGCCCATGTAGCTGTCTTCGACCTTGGTGAAGTGCGGCACGCCGCCAACCACGACGGGGTGCCAGCGCAGCGTTTCGCTCGCTGTTGATGTGTTAGGAAAAGAAAGAAATAAGCTCAAGAGAAAAGGGAGCGAGAGACTCACCAATAGCATCGATGTATGCCAACTTGGGGCGGTCCTCAAACGTCGGCAGCCGATCCTTCCCAACTACCTCGTCAAGAAGCGCTTGCGCTTTGCGAACCCAGCCCGAGCCACCGGAGGTGATCCAGGCAACGATGAACCAGTCTAGCGCCACTGTCGACGTGTCCAGGCCGGCGTCGGCGAGAATTCCGAGATCGAAAGCGAGCTCCTCCTCAGACATGACCTGGGCCTCGGGCGACTTCTTCATGTGCTTGCTAAAGTTCCAACCCGAGTTGCTCAGACCCTTGTCCAGATTCTTAACATGCAGCTGACGCTCGAGCTCATAAAGCTCCTCTGCCTCCTTTTTCCAAGGCGCGAGAAACTTAGGCAGATAGTTGAGCGAGGGGAACGAGTCGACGAGGTAGGCGCCGACCTGGCCGGTCCTCGCAAACTCTCCCTGCACGTACTTCCCATCCAAGAAATCCTGCTCGTATCCGGTCCGCAGGCGGATGCCGTATTCGATGGCGTAGATGAAGCTTCCCATGGCGCGCTCGAAGTGGTGATGGAAGTCCACGCCTTTGGCCCCGGTCTCGCCGTGCTCGCCAACCACGTCGAACAGCAACTGCCGCGACTCAATGTCCTGCAGCGGCCGGTACGAGCTCGCGGAGCGCAGGTTCAGGAGCGGCGCCTCCATCCGCTGGTGGAGCTTGTACCGGTCGTCGTACTGGCGGAGCAGCATGTGCATACCCCTGGTGACCAGCTCGCCGGCCATCACCATGCGCGGCCGGTCTGAATACTTGGAGCTTCGTCGGTTGAGCAGATCATGCGCGGCTTGGTGCGTCGACAGGATGACCAAGGGCTGGCCAGCCATGCTGAGGTGCATTATGGGGCCATACTTCTTGCTCCAATGGTAGAAGTGAAACCAATTGAGGCTCTTGGGCACCTGGTGCAGATTCCCAATGACCGGCGCCGGCTTGGGCCCGGGTGGAAGAGGCAGTGGCGGGCGGCGTCCCAAGAACAGGCGGACGACAGCCAGGAGGACGACGGCGCCGAGGATGAGCTTGACGTCTGGGATTAGGGACATGGCGTCAAGATGTGACGAACTCAAAAGCAAGAAGGACGACGCAAACGCAGCACGAAACCGACGAGGCGCCTGCACACGGGGAGACAGGCCTTGTTTCGCCCTCTCGTGTTGATGGTTGACCGGGAGTGGCGGCGCCCCCTTGCCACCCTTAAATCCGTTCCATCCGCTGTGTTTCCCGCTTTCGGGAAAATATTCCCCGCTTGACCCTCATCCGCTGACCAGTCCAAATTCGTAAAACGCAGCATGAGGATCGACTGGCGCCGGGGGGCGGAGAATGAATTTTCGGATTCCTCTGTGAAGTTGCGTTGCCGCGTTGCCTTTCGGATGGGGGTCACTGAGTTCGAAGTTCAAGCCGTTCGACGAACTAACCCAAAACCGGCTCCAACATTCCGAATGGGCGACTAGCTTCATGCGGGCCGAGCATCGGCAGATGGGGCCGACAAGGGTGGTGACGAACCCATTTGCTCGCGGAGAACCCGAGCCCAGGGGTCCTCTCCACAGATCTCCTTGAATGGTCCCCTGTGGCGGAACCATGTCCACCTCCCCCAACCGTCTGAGCCGTCCACTCGGTTCCGTCGAGTGTTGGTCCTCTCGCCCGCCTCCGCCAGAGTTTCGTGTGTGCACGAATCAGAGGACAAGAGAGTCTTGTCTTATCTAGCTGGTCATGCAATGACTTTGCTTCTGTTGCGGGAACTGAACGGGTCGAGTTAGTTGGTCGTGGGAAGAATCTTCCCATTACTCTTTTGATACCCGCAGCCTATTACAAATTCCGTTGTACATAACAAGATGAAAATTGGTGCGGTGATCATCATCCTCCCACGTCAATGGTTTCGACTGGGGTTTTATTCTTGGCGGTCTCTTTCTTTTGCTCTTGATCCTCGCCCTCGGGCTCCGAAGGAGTGGCAAGCTTCATTAGTGGAATAGCACAGCGAGGGATTGGGATTCGTGCAAATGCTAAATAAGCCCCAAGGCCGTCTTGCAATGGTTGATGTGTTGTCCCGTCACTCAGGCTCCCACAAGGCGGAAGCACGGCCAACTCCCCAACCTTGAATCATGAGGTCAACAATATGGGCCGCGGCGTTAGCCATCGCGGGCTTGGCTGTCCGCTCTTGGGCCCAGGAGATGCCAACATGCGCGGTACGTCCAGAAACCATCTGTGTGACCCCGGTCCGAAATCGAACGAGTTGAACTGACTCTGGCCCATAACAGAGCGACTGTCTGGTGAAGTATCTCCCGGAGTCCAAGTGTGACCCAACGAACATGGACTGCGTATGCGCAGACCTGACGTTGATGGATAACGTCGGGACCTGCACCCTTGAGGCTTGTACTCTGTTTGAAGCTCTTGGTAAGTGAAGAAACTCCACATGCGCACTTGAATTGAGGGGGCGTCGCTCTGTTGGGCCCCATCACCACCCCTGTTCTTTTCTTTTTCAAGTTTCTTGTTTCAGATGCTGACCTTCGCCCGCTGGCAACAGCTGCAAAGAATGCAACGGCTACGCTCTGTAAAGAGCCCGTCCGTGACAGGAGTCTCGTCGCGCCCATAGCAACAGCCATCACTGGCGGCATGGCGCTCGTCTTCGTCATCCTGAGGGTTTACGAGTCCGGGTTTCGGAAGAAAGAGTTCCACTGGGCCGATGTCTGGGCGATCCTCGCCATGGTGAGTGGCACGAGCACACACAGGCACTGTCGTGTGTTAATACGTTGTGAGGGAAGGCTCCCAGCTAACACCTTTGGCTGTCAAGGTCTCTTCCATTCCCATGGACGTGGGCGAATTCTTTAGTAAGTCTAATTTCACGTTTGTCCGCCCCCACATGCTGTCCCATATTACGATCCTCTGCTAACAGATCAACCTAGTGATGGCCCATGGGATGGGTAAAGACATCTGGACGCTTGCACCAGAAGAAATCACGGAGGTCGTCAAGGTCAGTTCCTGTCCATGGACGGATTAACACCAAGTACACGTACCTACCAGCCGATACTGACCTTGCTCTATCCAGTATACGTGGATTACTCAAGTATTCTACGCCCCTGCCATCATGTTGACCAAGATCACCGTCGTGTGCTTCTTCATGCGTGTATTCCCCGCGCGAGGATTTCAGCTGGTCTGCTGGGGCACAATCGCTCACTGCGTGCTGTTCATTGTATCAACAACCATTGCGGCGATTCTCGCCTGCGTCCCTGTTGAAGCCGCCTGGATCGCTTGGACTGGGACGGCGGAGGCTGTGTGCTTTAATAACAATGCCTTCTGGTGGGCCCATGCGGTAAGGGGTGCTTCCCAAAACGCCACTCATATTGATTCCAAGAATACCATTACTAAGTCTCTACTCAAGGCTATCAATATTATCACCGATGTCTGGATTTTGGCATTGCCGATTCCGCAGCTGCTGAACCTCCAACTCGGGAGAAGAAAGAAAGTATATCTGATCATGATGTTCAGCGTCGGCCTTGTGTAAGTCTATGTCTGATTGTCACAAACGACAGTTTTCAAACACAGACCCTCACACTAAAGGGGAAACAGTATCACCATCATCAGCATTGTCCGCTTCTCCGGTCTCATCACCTATTCCACCTCGACCAACCCCACGTGTAAGTCTCCGTCACCAACATCCTGTTGACCATGGGCCGGGTCTAGAATGAATTAGACTAACCGTGGATCCTCCCCAACACAGTCAACAACGTCAACGTAGCCACGTACAGCGTCATCGAGTGCAACATCTCCATCATGTGCTGCTGCATGCCTGCGATGCTGTCCTTCCTCCGGCACGTGATGCCGACCGTCTTCGGCAGCACCAACCGCTCCGACAACAACGGCAAGGACGGCAGCTACCAGGTCGGCGGCACGGGCGGCCGCTCGCCGTTCCCCTCCAACGCCATCCAGAAGAGCGTCACCCACACCGTCTCCTACTTCCCCCGCGGCGACGACTCTGACGTGGTGGAGCTGATGGATGTGGAGAAGAATAGGCAGGGGGCGGAGACGGAGGAGCACTATAATCGGTGGTGATTGTGGGCTTCCGATTGTCGGTTGCTTCATGGTTATATATTGTTTTCCCTCGACGCCGCCCTGTCTGTGTATCTCAGTGGTCCGGCGCGGAGGTGAGGGATTAGGTAAAACAGCACTAAACAGGAATACAGTCATGATCAATGAGCAGAGCCCGGCTTGGAAGGTGGTACACACATGAGGACAGCCAAGCCTAGCTAGCTCCATCACTCCTAATTTATGTAGGTCATGCCAACATTGCTTAAAAGGGGGGGGGAGGGGGAAGACAGCAAGGTGAACGATATTCTAAGTAGGCCACTTTCTAGGGACGTATCATTCCTTTCTATTGCATCGAAGGAAAGCTATTAGTTGCAAATGGTCAAAGTTTAGGGTTTAAACCTTGTATATAATTAATTATTGATCTGTCTATAAAGTGGTGGAATATTACCTCTACTTTTTCAAATCGGGGTATTTAAGGTGAGTATATGAGATAATGTGTAAAGTAAGCAACACGCAACTCGAGATTGAAAGAATAATGGGGGATTGTTTACATCCCCCCTTGGCCCCCCAGATCAAGCCCCGAATACTAAACCGCCCGCTCCACAGAATCTCCCTCATTAACCAACATGCTTACACTTCCGTAACCGCCTTCACCCCCTCCACCCTCTCTTTATTCCCCATCACATGTCCTTATTTGTACGTCGGTAGTTCGCCTAGGCTTGGTCAAAAAACCAAGGGTATCACTCGACCCGGAGGAAGAAGGCCATGGCGATGATGGTAGGGTCGAGAGACTGAGAGGCCGGTCACTCGCTGTTGGCTCCAGGAATCGAATCGAGCGGTGCTATTGCTGGGCGGTCGGACTCAGTGGACACATTCTACAACCAGCCGTTTCCGCGATACCTCGCCATTCGGGAATTCACCGTCTGTTTGAATGTAAACAATGTGGCCAGGGCGTCGTAGAGCTAACGAAGTTGGCGAATTAAACACGGGCATTGGTACAGTTCGGATACACAAGTCACATCGGATATCAAAGCCCAAGTAGCAGTTCTCTCGCAGACCAAACGGCCGCATCAAGCTGGATCAATTGGATCACCTAACAACCCCTTTCGCCTCCCACCCGGGAGAAATATCATACACACAAAAAAAGGAGCAAAGCCATATATACAACAATGAAGTGAAACACACACACCAGCCGTCAACATCCTAGCGACAAAAACAATAACCGCGAAGCTGTCAACAGCCGCAAAAGCCTGGTTTCCGCAGCAGCGGGAAGCCTAGAGCCCCCAAAAACACGAAAGCCGTGTTGTAAAGGACGTCTACCAGCGCACCAACTTAGTTCTTCTTGGCGCGGACATCGCGGGCGTGGCGGCGCCTCTTGGCCAGGCCAGGGCAGCGGGTGGGGCTCGGGGCGTTGCCGCCGGCCGAGGTGGTGGTGGAGGGGGTGGGCTCGGGAGTAGAGGGGGCGTCGGTGGCACCGGAGTCGGAGCCGGCGGCGGTGGTGGTGGCAGCAGGCGGGGGAGTAGCGTCGCCGGCGGGGGGAGCGGTGGCGGAGCCCGTCTCGGCGGTGGCGGAGCCGGTGATGGCCGAGGAGGACTGCTCGATGGGCGAGGCGCCGGCGATGAGGGCGGGGCCGGGGATCTCGTACTGCACGGGCGAGGTGTAGATGTTGGCGAGGATGCCGGGCTCGTCAGCGGTGTACAGCGAGGTGCCGACGACGCCCGAGGGCTTGTCGGTGCCGGAGCCGGTCACCTGCAGGTTGAAGCACTGCGGGTAGTTCTGGGCGCCGTTGGCCTGGCCGCCGCTGTGCAGGGCGATGATCTCGTGGCGGAGGACGTAGTTGCCGGGGGCGATGCCGGCCGGGATCTGGACCATCCAGGAGTTGTTGTTGGCAATCAGCTGGTCAGAAGCCCAGAAGCCGGGGGCGTTGGTGCCGTCAATCAGGCCGGCCTCGGCGACCTTGAAGAACTCGAGGCTGGTCTTGTCGACGGTCTCGCAGCCGGCGTCACCGCAGCTGGCGAGGTAGTCGATGACGGGACCGTGGTGGGACTCGGGCCAGGTGTCCCACTGGATGAAGATGGAGTCGCCGGCGGCAACAACGGCGTGGCCACCAGCGTTGGTAGCGGACTTGTGGCAGATGATGTCGCCGTTGGCGAAGGCATCGGGGGCGACAAAACCGTTGTCCGAGTTGCCGGCGGTCCAGCCAACAACCGTTGGCGGGTTCGGGTTGTAGGGGAAGCTGGTAGGGTCGAAGCCCTCGTACGAGACGCCGTTGACGACGATGTTCTTGACATGGCCGTGGGCGGCAACGGACACCGCACCCGCGAGGGCGGAAAGGAGAGTCTTGGAGGTGTAAGAAGGCATCTTCGAAGCTGGTTCGTGGTGATGTGGGAATGAAGCTGTGTAGAGTCGAAAGCTCAGTGGTACCGTCTAGCGGAAAGAATGGGTTGAGTCGTAAAGGACAGGAAAATGAAGTTGAATCTTCAATCAATGAAGTGAATGTATGGAAATAAGAATGAATGGAATGACTTTGCTCGAAGGTCGCTTGCGCCTGGTGAGAACAGAAGTCAGTCTATCGAGGGGCTTGAACCGCTTCTTATATCCCATGAGGGCTCAGAAGGAAGTGCACCCTCGTGGCTCCCCTGAACGGCGATTCTGCCCACTTGGGCGTCAAAGCCCGTCATCCACCGTCATCCACCGGCCGGGCGAGAGAACGTGCACTGGCGGTGATGAAGATAGGGTATCTTGGCTGGCCGGGAGGGAGTCGTTGCGTTTCAGTAAAATTAGCGATGCAGCCGAGGTGGACCACGCACTCGGTTCTTGGAGCGCGGGGGTCATGATAATGCTAGGCAGAGGGGGAGGCCCAGGGCACGCAAGCTACCGACATTGCAAATGGAGAAGCAGACATTGCGTGGTGGCGGCGGCGTCAAGGGAGGGGGGACAAACGGATTCACACCCTGGGGGACCATCCCGGTCGATCTCTGGGCTGAGGGGGAGCCCAAGTGACCGTTGAGGTAGCCCGAGGGACCCGAGAATAAACAGAAACCAGGATCACGGTGGTGGATGTGATGGAGAGGCTAGGGAGAAGATGGGACGCCAAGGTGATCTCATGGTGCCGCCAAGTGGTCTGAGGGATGCGAGCCATGGGTGCCATGGCCTCCGCATGAGCTGGCCAGCGGCAGAAGGCGGGCACAGGCCCATCGGCCAGCAAGATGTGGCATCCCATGTGCAGAAAGCATGAAACATGGTGAGGTTGGTGATGGGTCGAGAGCGGGGACCCTGGTGGTGGTGCGGCTGCGTTGATGCGGGATGGCGGATCCTCAGGGGTTGCGCAGGGGGAGAAAGGGGGGAGCTTATGCAGGAACACAGACTCGCTTGTGTCGTGGAGCTCCACAGAGCGCCCCCCAAATCTTCAGGGCGGGCGCTTGCGTCTTCGACCCACCCACGCCACATTCCGGAAGCGCTTCCATTGCATGGCAACAGGGATTTGTTGGTGTTCTGGTCCGGTCGCCCACGAGGAGTCTCAGCCTTGGCCGAACACCAGCGAAGCTCGGAGACGAATTGGATCTGGGTAGAGATCGAGAGCGGGCCGAGCAGGTCCACCAGCATGACCTGAGACAGCAGTTCGGTTGAAACCGTGCGGTTATTAAACCTGCAGTGTCCCTGACGGGCCTGACCTGACCTGGTACTCGGGTTCGGCCAAAAGGGCACCGAGTGGATGGTTTTATCGTCTGCGGCCGGGTTAAAACCGAATCGAGTCTTGGTGTTTTTGGTGGCGCCGGATTCAATCTGGGTGAAACATCGAAGCGCGCGGCCGCCCACACGCGTGTTGTTTGCCGCTTCCCACCCCAAAGGGCCAAAGCCCAGATCTGGTGTTGCGCTTTTCGCTACCAGGTTCGCAACATCCTGGACAATGCCGCCCAAGATGGATTCCGATGCGGCTCGTCACTGCAGAGTCGCAGCACCAAACGGCAATGCTTGAGAAGCTCCACGCATAAGAGCATCATTAATTTATTCAGGCGCTCAGCCCACGAGATTCATGCCAAATGACGATGGCGATGGCGATGAAGGAGGCATGGCTACCTAAAAGGTTGGATGGTTGAAGTGACTTAATTTGGGACTTGGACATGCGGTGCAGGCTATGCATGATTCGGGCTTTGTCGGTCGAAGCAGACGGGACTTATTCACAGATGACTGTGTCGTGGACAGCCAAGGCTTGTTGTTGAAGCGCGAGAATCTGAGGGTTCTGCCGAAAACGTGTTTGACTCGACTGCTTGGTGGTGTAGGACCCACACCCTGAACCGTCGAAGTGGGAGCTGCCAGGGCACTGCAGGGGCCCTTCCGGGTTCCAGCTTGGATGACCAATCAGCGCTAGCTCCACATCTGAAAATCCAACTTCATCGCGACTTCATCGCGACTTCCCGTGTGTTTAGCGTGCTGTTGATTTGATGTGTTGAGTCGTCACTGCCGTCTTCGTTGGAACCAAGTGGCGAATTCAGATGAAACAGTCTGGTTTCTCAAATCTGAGTGCAGAGCATCTGTGTCGCCATCTTCACTGGTGACGCTCCGCCAGGGTTTGGCGCGACAACGACGGTTGATCTTTGCGTTGCGCTCTGTGCGGCGTTACTGGGGGATGGTCTATTATTTTTACAGTAAGAAGATCTGTGCAACAAAGAGGTAAAGGGGCCAATATTCTTACGATAAACCGGTTCGTGGATGTGGAACAAAAGAGTGTCGCATCTGAGATGCAAGTGGAGGGGCTCACACTCATTTGCAGTGTCCAAATTCGCTGAACATAAACTTCTCATCCGAAAATCGAGTTGCCGGGAACCCGCAGTTTAGGTTATCGTCCCTAGCTATAAAGGTGGCGGCGAGAATCTCCCTCAGAGGAGTTTGCATTCCAAGCACGGCAACAAAACAACACCAAAAAAAAACAAAACAAGAGCAAGAGGAGCAACAAGAACAGCGACATCAACAGCATCAAGAACAACAACACGAAAACAACAATCGTAAAGAAAGCGCTGGATAGGTACCATACCTGTTTGTACAGCTTCATCCGCGGTACCTATGCGAACTCGGACTCTCTCTCAAATATCAGCGCCTACGAACTCAGGATTTCCTTCAAACCTATCCGCCTGCGAACTTAGCATCTTCTCCAAACATCAACGCAATCTGAGGATTCATTTCCCGCCTACTCCGGAGGGTTGAGCAACTAACTTCACTCCAGTCGCCTACTCTAGTCGGTACGCTTGCCATGGTGGGATCTCAGCCTCCCACGATGGGGTTAGATGTTCGCGCCGCCGAGCTCAAGGAGAAACTTCTCAAAAGCCGCGGCCAGGGCCGTGCGAAGGTGGCACAGCTCAAGACCGATGACGCCAACACAACTCCGAATGTAACAACCGGAACTGTACCCAAGGCTCCCTCTCCAGGCCCATCAGTGTCAGAGGGGATGAAGCTTCCGGATGCTACCCCTCGGGAGGCTCCCAAGCCGCCCACACCGCATTCGATTCTGGCCGATGAAAATGATATCGCGGCCCTTATTTCGTCCATCTCGGGATCTGCTGCCATAGAGCCACCGGAGGTGAGCAGCAGTAATCCCCCGAGCGATAATTTGCAAAAGATGCCCGCTGCGCAAGTTGGCACGGCACCAACTGCACCGACTGCACCAATTGCTCCAACGGCACGAACTGCGCCGACTGCGCCGACTTCCGAGACCTATACTGTGCCGACTAAACTTGTTCCGAGGATCTCTATTCCGGGGTCGGAGACCGTGAAATCGCAAAGCAAACAGTCAACCCAACAAGCGACTCGCCCAGTAGCAGAATCGTCGACGAAACAGTCCACCCAAACGTCCCCTCAGCAACCATCCAAACAACCGGACCGAGCGCCCACGGTTTCCACCGAGAACCCTGTTGAGAAAGGCGAGACTACTCGGAAGAATGTTGGCTCGATGGTACCTCCGGCGCCGAGGGCGCCAGCCATGGGAACCGCATGCAAGGTGGCAGGCCGCGAGGATACCAAGAACGACAACAAAGCAGTAGCAAAGACTGCACTCGACCGAGACATCTCCCAGGTGCCCAAAACACTCAGCGTCAACAACCATCAGGAAACGGCCCACGAACGGCATGCCCCAACCTTTACGAAACCACCAACCCGTAGTCGAGCTGACAGTAGGAAATATCCCAAGCCAAGGCACTCCCCTGAGGTGGCCCCGCCTGCTATAGAGCCGGAGAGCCCCCAGGTAACGCCGACCACAGTCGCTAGGGCTGCTCGGGCCGCCGCCAAAGACATGCATACGGACCGCTCTGGAGCAGTCTCATCTGACGATGGCTTTTCCCGCCTACTGGACCAGGTCCCCGATCTCAAAGACTTCCTTGAAATGAGTGACTACTACGATGTGGAGACTCGGACTAGAAAGCTCGACCGGTTTCGGAGAGCAAAGGCACTCGCGGCCGAGAGACTAAGGCTCGAGGAGGAGGAGCGGCAACTCATGAGAGAAGAGGAGCTCGATCTCCAGCGATCGACCGTCGCACGGTTCACAAGCGCGGTATCTAGCGCGGCGTCGGATGGAGAGACTACTAGTCTGCCAACCCCGGTTACCCCAGTGCCTACCAGCAGCATTAGCACTCGCGAGACCAAAGAGGCACCGGGCGCTAACGGTACCAAGCGAGCACGTGAAGAAGATGAGTCCCGGGGCCGCCAAGAGAAGACACCGCGGCTCGAAGGGTCCATAAAGGAGATCGATGAGAGGCCCAGGCCGGACGACAGGCACAGGGAGGACGACCGGCGGGATGCGCGGGACCTCCGCCGCGACTCGCGGTCTCGGCTCGACGACCGCTCATATCAGAGCCCGCCTCCTCGGCGTCGATACCGAGACGAGGACGACTACGATAGTCGTCACCGACACGATAGCCACAAGGACGACAATCGTCGTCATCATCACCATTCAGAGAGCCGTTCAAGATACCCGACTCGTGTTGATTTAGGCGCTAAGGGTGGTCAGTCCTTTTCGTTTTGCCACCACTCTCTTTAGATCTTGTCCAGTTTTAGATACTAGCTTTTGGGGCCTTGGAACTGCGTTGAGCCTGGTGTTTTGCTACCTTTGTTGATGCCTCTTCCCCTGTGCTAATTTAATCATGGACCAGAATCGCGTTTCTTTATCGTCAAGTCGTTCAACCATGAGAATGTGAGGATATGCATGGAAGAGGTACGTGTGCACGCATTGCTCCCCTCTTGTCACCACCCTCCAATTGGCTCTGTTCTTGTTCGTACAGAAAAGGGGGAGGGACAGGGACAGAATGTAGCCTCAACCGGACCACATGCCTGACCACTGACCACGGCACAGAACCTCTGGACGACACAAATCCAAAACGGCGAGATCCTCGCCGAAGCCTTCGCCAAGTGCAAAAACGTCATCCTGTTCTTCTCCATCAACCAGAGCAAAGCGTTCCAGGGCTACGTAAGCAAGCCCAATCCCACCCCCTACCATCTCCACTCCCCATCCAGTCCCCTCCTAACCTTCCCCCCCCCTCCCAGGCACGCATGGCATCCGCCCCGTCGCCGGACACCCCGCGCCCGTCGTTTGTCAAGGGCCTGCACTGGGACACGAGCCACCCGTTCCGGGTGCAGTGGCTCAGCAAGACGGCCGTCCACTTCTTCCGCATCGGCCACCTGAAGAATGCCTGCAACGAGTACCGGCCCGTGCTGGTCGGCAAGGACGGGCAGGAGATCGATGGGGAGTGCGGGCCCAGGCTGCTCGGGGAGATGGAGGAGATCGCGCTGGCGGAGGGGTCTGGTTGGGGTGAGGGTGGTGGTGGTGGTGGTGGTGGTGGTGGTGGGGGTGACTATGCGGCGTGGTCGGAGGGGTATTATTCGAAGAGGCGGGATGGGTATTAGTTTGCAGGGGGGAGGTGTGGTGGGAGGGGAGGGGGGCTGTATGTAGGAGCGTGATGCGTGGTTGTCATGTAAATAGTAGATGCATCCTTAGTATATTGCGGTAAATGCATTCTTCCGAGCCGTGGCGCATGTGTTGTCCCTCTCACTCACTACCTAGGTATCTGCGTTCCCTCATCCACATGCCCGAAAAGACTTGCCGCACCACATCTGTGTCTCACAGACCGAGGGCGGCAACTTGGTAACGCAAGACGGGCTTCAACAATACACTTGCGTTACGTCCGACACCTATCTGTGCAGCGATTGTATACTGGTGACTCCCAACGTAGTGGTCATGATCGGGCCCGTAGCCGACGAGTATACCTATCGGACTATATTTTAACTCGCCGCGCAGTGCAGTGACGATGGTTCGAATTCATAGACGCAGCAGCGGCAACTCGTGTCCGTAGTCTGTTCCTGCTGCCACCAAGAAGCTCAATTAGGTGGTGATGACCCCATTTGCTACGAACACGAAGGTGCTACCGCTCTCCCCCCCATCCGCCCGGGTTCCCCAAGGTACAACCCAAGAGTTCTCGTGTCCAACCTTGACACCCACATCCAAACCCCTCTTCGGTGCCTGCTCAAATCCCAGGAATCGGCCCCCCCATTACTCCCATTTCCAATTTCCACTTTCCAGCCATACCAACGTCAAGATGTGGTGGTGGATCGAAGCCAACCCGGTTATCTGCGCCCTAGGCGTATCGCCTTTCGACACGACCGACCCGGAGAGCAGCACTAGAGGTCTCCGCCCGATACTCACCACCAGCACAGTCCACGAGATGCCCACCACCTTGCCTCTGCCGTCGCCCCCACACGGCGCGCCCATCGAAAACCGCGGCTACGACGCGCGCGTGCTGACCCCCACAGACCGGCTGACATGCGCCCAGCTAGCCTACCTGCTCGTCCGCCAGGCCCTCCCCTCCATGATCATCGCAGGCGCCCTCAACCTAGCCGCGGGCTACGGTAAGCACACCCCTTCAGCTTCTCCCCCCAACTCAACCCCCCTCACCCCCCCCCCCCCTTTATTTATATCTCCTTCCCCCTTATACCCCCTCCCCCCAACTCACAACCCCACAACCCACCAACTAACCCCCTCCCCCCTTTGCCCCCCCGAACCAGGCATATACGCCACCCCGCGCCCGCCCCCGGGCCCTCCCCCGCAGGGCTCCATCCCCCCCTTCCTCTTCACCCCGCCCGTCTCGCTCACCCTCGACGCCGCCTTCACGACGGCCATCCAATCCGTCGTCACCTGGCTGTGCCTGGCCGCGCTGGTCAACATGTCGCTGTCGCGGGGCGAGGTGGCGCCGCACGCGCCCCCGGGGAAGCGATGGCGGGAGCCGCGTGGTGGGGTGGTGCGGTGGTTTTTCATGCTGGATCGGTATAATGCGGTGCGCGGAGGTGGTGGGATGTTTGGGGGGTGTTTGGGTTCGGGGTCTGGTTCTGGTTCTGGTTCTGGTTCTGTGGGCAGGTGGGTGGGGTTTTGGCTTGGGGCGGTGGGGAGGGGGTTGTTGGTTGCTGTGCCGGCGTATGTGGTCATGATTGGGCCGACGATTGGGATCTGTGTGGGGGTTGGGACGAGGTATGAGGGGGATTGGGTGTTTTTGGGCAGGTGGGATGGGATGGTGTTTAAGGCGGTCTATGGCGGGGTGTTGGGCTTGTTGCTGTCGCCGATGCTGGCGTGGATGTGGATGCTCAGGACGGGGTGGATTGTGAACAGGCATGCGGTGGTTTAGGTCAGTAGGTAGGGGAGGGTGATGGTTGGGGTTTCTTGTTCTTTTCTCCCTCTCGAGTAAGCGCACTGCATTGCTCGGATAGCGACGCAATCAGAGTCATGGGTTCAGTTCGGGATTAGATTAGGATTAATGGGTAATATGACACTTCTATGCTGGCGGAAGAAACGACGCGAACAGCGCACCCTGAATCGAAGCGTAGATAACCATGAACATGAGGATGCGGCTGCCCGTTTTGTCCCCGCGGAAGAGAAGCCCGGCGAGCCACCAGTGCCATAACGGATACCCGGAAGAGATCCTGGTGATGATCTGGACGTGGTAGGTCGTCAGGGCGAGCACGGCTAGCAGCACTTGGGCGGCGGCGGTGGACTGGATGAGGGCTGACAGTCGTCCCGACTCAGCGGGCTTGGCAGCGCCGGGAAGAAGCCGACCGCTGAGCGGATCCACTCCGGACTTGACCAGAATCACAAGCATCGGAGCAGCAAGCAGGAATAGCGGGAGGTTGGGCAGCGTCCAGTAGCGGAGGAAGCCAACGTTCCTAAGGAGTCTGATCAGCAGCTGATTCGGCGTGCGGGATATTACGGGTTGCCTTACCAATAGTGCCGCTGCACAAAGGTGAAAATGCTCGGCAGGTATCCCTGGCACCACGGCCTAGGTAGGCCCGCGCCGGATGCGCCGGAGGAAGCACAGAATTGGAGATACGCCGCGGTCTGCGGGCCCAGCGAGCCCGCCGCCACAGCAACTCCACCCACGCCAAGCGCGACCAGCCGACGCAGCGTGTCGGTGGGTTGGCGGGCGAGCGCTGGCAAATGCCGCAGCACCTCCCAGGCGAAGGGTGCGCCGTTGAGGATGCCGTTGCTACGGAAGGCCGTGGCGACGCCGAAGAGCACGCCGGCTGCGACGGTGCAGAGGTCGCGACGTGTCGGGCTGTGCTCGGCACGGCAGCCGAGCGCGAAGAGGAGGTACCCCGAGAAGGAGAGCAGCGCGAAGGAGCTCTCCGAGTAGGGGCCGGACAGAAACAGGCCGGCCGGGGAGAGGACGTGCAGAAGGGCGGCGACTAAAGATAGCGTTTGGTCGCGCCAGACCACCTGGCCCAGGCGGTACAGCACCAGGGCTGAGAGTAGGTGGGCCGTGTTGGCGACGAGAATGCCGGCCAGGGCTTCGGCGACGGGCCCTTCGTCGGCCGCGCGGGCCCCGACGATGCCGATTTGCTCCAGTCCTGGGTGACGATCAGTAACTGGCCTCGGGGATGAGGAAGTCCCGGAAAGCCCGGGCATAGATCTCCCAATGGGATGGGTAATGGAGAAAAAAGGCGCGTGATGAGGCAATCAGCCTCCCGCCATTACTCATGACTGATTGACTGACTGACTGGGCAACTAACCTCGAAGCAGCACCCTCACGACAAAGGGCAGGCCAGCCCCAAATGCCCACTCCTGCTCAAAGAGGTACCCCCTGCGCGCGGCAGTGACATAATAGATGGCGTCCCAGCTGGACAGGCGGGCGATTAGTGTGGCCCCGAGACCGGCCGGCCGCCCGGTCGCGTCGCCATTTGCCCGGCCCTGAAGCAACAGCCCCGCCGAGGTGTCATAGGCGTCACCCACAAGGCTGCTGCCGAGGACGATGGCAAAGAGGAACAGCTTCCAGGCTGCGAAGGAGGCGACGAGCGTGCGGTAGGGATAGGCGTGGTGCTGGGGAGCCTGGTGTTGTTTTTGAGGCATTGTGTGCGGTGGGCGAGTCTGGTCGCTAGGTTGTTTAGAGTTGGTTCATCTGATGTCGAGATTTAACGCATTGTAACCTTCGGGACGGATGATTGGCCGCTGATGCTAAAATTGAATCTGAGGCATGTGGTTTGTTGCTGTGCCTGTTCTCAGATGGTTTCATGTTTCATGCCAGGTGTTGTTGGTTGGATTTGGTGGTTTGGGCTTGGCGGCGGGTGGATGCGACCCCTGTGGCCCCCACCAGTGACGCTTTTCGGGCTGCTTCGCCGACCGCGGCAACCAACATGGAATTCCAACGGACGGGGATTCCGATTGCCGGTTCTCATGACGCACAACTGCGCAAAAGCGGCACGCGATGCAACATACATACCGTGGACTGCCGAACTCCATGCAGACGGCTCTCTCAGCCGCTGAGTCGCAGCGGCGAAGCGCAACATCTGACTAGATTTGAAGCCCTAGGTCCCTAACCCTGTGTCGCACAGTTGACCATCACGGCCTTGTCGATATTGCGGGATTAGAGTTAGGCTTTTTTCTACAAGGCATGGGTGGCCATGGTTCACGACCATCGGGATTCGAGAGCACCACTTCGTAGACCCCGTCTGCTGGCGGCGGGATGGCACGGAGCGGTCGTTCGACAACCCCCGACTCTTGACCCGGCGAATAACTAGTCAACTTGACATTGAGCACAAATTTGGAGCCCTCCGAGTTTGCCGGGGCAGGGAAATACCGGAGCGCGCGGTCGCCGAAACCAGGCACCTTTTTGGGGAGGACAGGGAGAGATCAATGACGAACTCATCCCGCCAGCTCTTTGTGCGGCTGTTGCCTTGCACGGCAGAAACCCGAAAACAGGGGAAAGGGTTTCGACAGTCCCGTCTTGCAGAAACGTTCCTGGCCTCGGAAAGCGGCCCATCACTTGGCCGAATATGCCCCGTTTCTCGGCCGCCGTTGTGCTCGGAAGGAAGCCGGGTGCCCATTCGGTTGGCTGGTTTGAGTCGATGCTAACGAGGCTAACTACCAGGTACCACGCTGCCATCTCCCGACGACCCGATCTTGTGTAGCCACGGTAGCCCATCGCTTTTTTCAGTTCGTCTTTGCTGTCGGGATTGGGAACCTACTTTAGGTAGAGTGGAAAGTGGAAACCAGTGACATCGGCCGAGGGCTGCCCGCCTGATTTTGGCGAGCTCGAGGCGAGGTCACAGCTGCTCCTTCCCAGCTTTCAGGGTCTCGACCCACAGATCCCCACCATCCATCTCGGAGTTCATAAACCAACCGCCCCCGCCGCGCCGACCCAGTTAGGACTGGCGTCAGCCGAGAAAAGAGGTAATCATATGGAAAGTACCAATTATCCCTTTCGGAACGCCTCCTTTCCCCCCTACCTAACCGCTCGGTTCAACATACCGCTCCAAGTCGACAGTTCCTTTGTTTCTCGACACTTTTTTTTCCTTCGAGGAGATCGTATACGTCACATTTTCGAAACCTTCCCTTCCGACGGGCCGAAGGGTTACCAATTCAACCGCGACAGGGCCGCATTGTGTTTGAGTGAGAGCTGAAGTCGGGTCCGCCCGCCATTGGCGCCGGATTGAGTCCGCCCGCGCAACTGCGACTCCTCAACTTGCAATTCATAAATCCATGGAAATTCCTGGAGTCACCGGGTATTGCAACTGCGACAGCGTCTTACGCCATTGCCATTGAATGTTGTAATACAGTTGCAGGCGGTGCTTCAAGTGGCGGTTACACGAGCCCGGAGCTTCGCCCAGGCTCACGCGACCATTCCATTGATCGAGGATCCCCAGCGAGGCCGGTCCTTTGCATCTCACCACCCATCCGGCTACACCTTATCTTTATTTGTTTCCTCTTCTTCGCAAGGCTCAGGCGCTAGCCTCCGACTACCATGTTCCTCCATTCGGGAGCAAGTCTCCACGGCCACGAATACTCGAACCGCCCTCCCTCCAACATCCAATCCCCCGCCCACCTTCGAGGGCCGCTGCTACGTTCTACCTTCTCGCCACCGAAACAACGCGCGCGCGCTTCCACCGACGGTGCGCCGGCGCCTGCCCTTCGACAACGACCGGTCTCTGATTACATTCCGCGCCAACCCTCACCTGTTGTCCGCTTTCGAGACCCGCAGGACGACCCGCCGCCGACCCCCTCGACGCATGACGAGTCGATCTCCGAGTCCGAACTTAGCGATGTGGCGCCCTCGATCGACGGCGCCCTGCTTGCCCGCTCTGCGCGCTACCGGCGGCCGCGCCGAGCCCGGCGCATGAGTACCACGTACTACCTGGGATACCCCACACCGAGGATCATTGGGAAAACGAAAGTTGTGCAGAAGCTTTTCCTACCTAGGCTGCTCTTGCAACTCCAAAAGGTGTCGTCGGAGGGCAGGTCAAAACCGGTGCTCGAGGTATTCCCAGCTTCGCGGATCGCCGGGCCTGTGGTGGCGCCCCGGTTGGCCGGGCGATTCCCCGGCATCTTTGGTGTCAAGCGCCATCTTGGATACGACGACATTGTGCTGGTGCGGAGGGACGATGGCGAGGCTAGTTCTGACGGCGTGGAGGGGGAGAATGAGGAGAGTTTGGAGGGAAGGAATCTGCTGGCAGTTTACAGCCCACTACGCCACTCGGAGGAGGCCGAGATCGTGCTGGACGACGGATCTGTCTGGGTGGCCAAACCTCTTCCCAGTGGGTCTTTCGACTTTGTGCACACCGATGCCGATGGCAAGAGCACGACGGTGCGGTGGGCGCGCAGAAACACGGTTGCTGGTACTCCAACAACCACAGACACGTCCAGTTCATCCCTCGCACCCCAGACGCGATACACATTTAGCATCATTAACCCCCTAACGCGGCGCCATCCGGTCATGGCGACACTAACCCCCTCCACTCTCGACGTCCAAGATACCTACATCTCCGTTTCCCCCTCCCACGCCCGGCACCCACCCATCACTCGCGTCGGCCGCTCTCAGTCCGTAACGACCCCTCCATCATTCGTCCGGGCAGCAGCGCCCTACTCCCCGTCCAAACTCTCTTCGACAGCCTCCACCAGCGACGGCGAGAACGACTCGGCAATCTGCATCCCGCCATCGCCCGACCCCGAGTCACAGCGCACGACCCACCAAGTAGACGACGCAACTAAGACCCTCATCTCGGTCACCGCCCTCTGGGTTTGCCTCCGGCCAGGCTGGTCCCAGAGCAACTCCTCCGCTTCATCCACCGCGCCCACCAACCCCGAGTCCACAACCTCCCCATCCCCAGCCCTCCCGACCTACCACCGCGGCCGCGGCAGGCGCAACACCTGGACCACCCGCTCCTCAACCTCCGACGCGCCCCGCCCCGCCGACCTCCCCCCAATAGTCGGGAACAATTCACCCCGCAATAGCGTAAGCGCAAACGCAAGCCCCTTCAAAACCAAGCGCTACTCCATGCCCGACACCGGCAGCAACAGCAACAACACCGCCCACCACAACCCGACCCTCGCCTCCCCCACCCCGACACCGCCACCACCGCTAGCGTCTTACACCTCGCGCAGTCCGACCCCGACCTCGACGCCCACGCCGTCCATCGCGGGGGATGTACCGCAAGCGCGCCCGCGGCGTGCGACGAGCACGGGCGCGGCGTATATGCAGCGCCGGCTGTTGGTGTCGGCGTCGTCGGCGTCGTCGTTTGTGGGTGCTTCTCCGAATCATAATCCCGGCGGGCAGGATGCGGTTGTGGGTGAGGCTGTGGTGGCGGATGTAGATGTGGATGGGGAGGCTGTGAAGGTCCCGGAGGCTGCGAAGAGGAGTCAGGGGTTGGTGGGGAATATTGGGGTCAGTGGAGGGAACGTGGATGTGGGCCTACCTACTTCTGCTGCTGTTGCTGCTGCTAAGAAAGATACGCCCCATGGTGGCAGTGGTGGTGGTGGTGGTGGTGGTGGTGGTGGTGGTGGTGATGGTGGCCGGGTGAGAAAGGGCTTGCGCTCGCGGCTGGCGAGGTGGTGTCATAAACTTGGGGCTTCATCCTCCTCGTCGGCGGCGGCCCGCTAGGAGCGGGGGGCGGGTGGCGTGTGGTTTTGCTGTTGAGATTGCATATCATGTACCTCTGTGCGACGGTGCTTGAAGGGTTGAGCGATCGCAATGGCACCCGAGTTTGGCTAAGGTGATGTGCGATGATGCGCTGCGCTGTGTTGGATAGCCGTGGATGGGTGTGATGCGCGAGGCAAGATTGTGTATCTTCTTGGCATAGACGCTATCTCTTGTTGTTGGGACGGAATTCAGGCTATGCAGTATGCAAGACAGAAACCATCATCATTCCAATCATCATTTCTATCTCGTTCGATTTCCCATGTTGATCTCGGAGAGAAACCAAATGGATGCATGCGCACACGTGGGAACGCCCCGCTTCGATCGCCAAGTTCCACTTCCTCCGGGCCGAGCCGCTTGGCGATCTTATCCCCGGCAACCGGCAACCGACTGTTCTTGGCATTACCCCTGCAGTCATGCGCGCGTGCTTCCAAGGGGAGGTGATGCGATAAATTCCCCGAGTAAAGCATTGTTTCATTCATCCAACATAAAAGCCAACGACAGAGTCCAAAACCTCCTGTTTGTTTAAGCTGCATAGACCCCGGATGCGATTGCGCCTGGTTGTCTGCTTGGCAGTTGGAATACTATTAGTATAACCTCAAGCGTTGTTGGGCGTGTACTTGTATATATTCAGGCAGGGAGGACCTCGAAGGATAATTCGCGAAACCAAGTTGATGCAAATGGAGAATATGTAGAATAGAACGAGAGAGGTAAACGCACGTCTTGTTCCCCCGAAATAAACATAAAGTTGAGAGCCCCCAACTTCCTGCCAGCCACCCCATTCCCGGTACATCAACCACACGCGCCAACCTCACCTCCACATACGACCATATCTACAAGAGAACTCGGGATCCCGTCCGCTCTCCCCTCGATAAACTTGTGAGAGCCGAACTAGTACTCAGGTCGGTGACGACTGGGGAATCCTCGGTGTTGTATGTTTTTGTTTTTTCTTTGGTGACAAAACCATGTTTGTGAAGCCGAGTACTCCATTGTTTCCACGCTTGCTTTTCCCCGAGCAACACCCACCGAAGCCTAATCCAAAACAACCTCAAACTCATACTCCTTGCTTGCGTCCAGCGTATACTCAGGCAGGGTCTCAGGCCCGCACGACCCCGTCCCGAGGCCATGATGCATCCAGTCCAGATGCACGACCAGATCCTCCCGCTTCCTCTCCCTCAGCTCGTACGGATGCTGCGCTGCATCAAGGTCCTCGGCGGTGTACGGCAGCGCCGAGAAGCTCGCGCCCTCAAAATCGCCGTACCGCGCCCTCAGCAGCCGGGAACGCGTGGCCGTGACAAACTTGACCCACCGCACGTCCGTCCGGTTCCCGTTCTCCTGCGGGAACTCGTAGTCCGTCATCGTACGGTCGGCGGGCATGTGCCAATTGCCCACCTGCTGGCTGAGCTTCTTGTCACGGTAGCTCTCGCCGGGACCCCGGCCGTACCAGTGGACCTTGGTGCACCCCGTCAGTGCTGTGACTAGGCCCAGGCGGCCCCATGCCCGCGGAAGCAGGTTACCAGTAGGCTTTGCGCGCATCCGTATGTATACGTGGTCCTCTTCAAAGTGGTAGGTGGCGGTGACCTCGAGCGCCCAATTCAAGACTGGGGGGGCGATTCGGCTGTTGACGATGACCTCGACGACACCGTCGTCCCGTTGGTGCCAAGACGATTGGATGAGATGGTGCTTTGCCTGGTGCAGACAGCGGTCACGCCAATTTCGGCCAAAGTCGCAACCGCGGTCGTTGTCGGTTTGTGCGCGGTATATGTCGAAGCAAAGGGGCTCGGTGAGGATATTTGGGGAAAAGTTTCCCGAGTCTGGATCCAGACGCTGCCAGCTGACGAGAGTGCCACGAGCAAGATCAAACTTCCAAGATTGCCCATGATTACTGGTAATCGACAGGACGTTGTTGGTTGGTTCGGCTTCCAGCGGCCGTGTTGGGCGAGGGGTGGTATCACGGAGAAGCTGTAGGCTTGCGGGTTTCGTCAACTGGATTCCCCCCTCCGCGACGATGCGCTCCGTATAGGACCAGGAAGGAATGGCCGACTCCACAAACACCACATGTAGGTACGAGTCTGCCGGTTGACTTTGCTCAAGCCCAGGGATTCGCAAGAGAGCGTGGTGACCAGAGAGACCTAGTTTCGTGAGTATAGGTCGTAGCGAGTGGGTTCAAACACTTACACCTAGGGATTTCTAATCTTCGAGGGCGGAACGAGTCCGTTACACCGTCCGAGACTATCCACCACCAACACTCCAAGTGGGAAAGATCGATGAAGTCATATCGGTTCACGATCCGTACCTTGTTTCCATCTTCAACACCAAGGATTTGGACCGGCTCGATGGCTTTTTTGTATTCAATGAGGCCAGGCGTGGGAGTGTGATTTGAGAAGCACAGTCCGTCCATGACGAAGTTGTAGTCATTAGGCTCGTCACCAAAATCACCACCGTACCCCATGTACTCCCGCCCATCTCTGGTCTTTGTACGTAGACCCTGCGTGGGTGTTAGGTTAGCTCTAATCAAGTAACAACATCTTGAAATGAAGTCAGCTCACATGATTCGCCCACTCCCACACAAAACCGCCCATTAGCCGAGGGTATTTATAAAAGAGGTCGATGTACTCCTTTATGGCACCAGGTCCGTTGCCCATAGCGTGTACAAATTCACATAAAACCAGTGGTTTGTCCCACTCGCGGGCCTTTGCCATTGATTCGACGTCGCCGATGGAGAAATACATCCTACTCAGGATGTCGGCAGACTGGGCGTTCCAGTCGCCCTCGTAGTGTATTAGGCGAGAGTCGTCGAAGCTCTTGATGAACTTGTACATGGCGGCGTGGTTCCGTCCATAGCTAGACTCATTACCGAGAGACCAGAGGATGACACTGGGGCGATTGAAGTCACGCGTGACCATTTGCCGGGCGCGGTCAATGTACGCTTCTTCCCAGTCGGGGTTGTCAGACGTAAATGCTGTGCCGTCGCCTCCTACTACGAACAGGCCGTGGCACTCGAGATCACTGAATTACCGTCAGAAACCCCATTCTAAGAAGGCTTTTCCCCGCCGGTCACATACCACTCATCCATGACCCAGAAGCCCAGCTCGTCGGTGAGCTCATAGAGCCTGTAGTCATTGATGTAATGTGAAGTCCTAATGGCGTTGATGTTGTGCTGCTTCATTAGGTGCAGGTCGTCTTTGAGGAATTCGTACGGTACTGCCCGCCCGTGGTCGGGATGGTGTTCGTGCCGGTTGACGCCCTTCAACTTGATGGGTGTGCCATTCACACAGAATACGCCGTCTCGGAGTTCGGTTTGGCGGAATCCTACCCTCTCGGCCACGGCACAGTCTGGCGTAGAGAGAACTAACCGATAAAGGTAGGGTGTCTCGGCAGTCCACCGGTGCACATTCTTGAGGGGCCAGATCTTGGACTTGACCCAGGTCCCACTGGCTGCGGCCTCTCCCTCCCCTTCCTTGGTCTGGCTGGAGATTTCTGTCCCATCGGCGTCCAGGAGAGCCACATGGACTGTTGCCTGGCAGTTGAGCTTGTAATCGAAATACAAAATCCCGTCTTGGTAGTCATTAGACAACTCAGTATGGACACGAATGTCCTCAAAGTGAGTGGGTGGGAACTTGTGCAGCCACACATCGCGGAAGATGCCACTAAGCCACCATTGGTCCTGCAAAAGTGAGCTTCATTGTCACAGATGGGTACACTAGGACTGGTGTAAGCGTACTTGGTCCTCTATGTAGCTACCGTTACACCTCTGGTAGACTTCCACATGGAGGGAGTTGGTGCCGGGGCATCGGACAAAGGGGGTGATGTCGAACTCGCTTGGGTTCCTGGACCCCTGAGAGTATCCGACCTCGCGGTGGTTCACCCATAGGGTAAAGGCAGAATCAACACCTTCAAACCGCAGCCTGAGCTGGTGGTCCCTGTCTTCGGGGGCGAGCTGGAAGGAGGTGGCGTAACGGCCGCATTCATTATCATCAATTGGCACGCGTGGAGGGTCGACCGGAAAGGGGAAGTTGAGGTTGGTATAATGTGGTCCTTTCCCGTAACCCTGGAGCTGCCACATGCCCGGGACACGGATGGTCTGCCCATGCCAGCCATGTTTGGACTCCAGGTCGGTGGGGGTGTGCTGGTGGAAGTCGACGAGACCATCGAGTGGGGACTTGGAGAGGTGGAATAACCACTGCCCCGAGAGAAGCTGGCTCTTGGAGCGCGCGACATCGCGTGACAGGGCGTCTTCTCGGTTCCGGTACAAGAAGAATTGGGAGCGCGGCGGCAAAGTGTTCTTGTGGATGACCTTGAGGTTATTCCAGTCCGGAACGGATGCTGGGGTTCGGTGGGGTGCGTGGGGCGGGTCTGGCCGGGAGGGTTCCGGTGCATCGGCGATCGGAGGTTGTCTGGGGAGGGCGGAGGCGAGCTCTCCTAGGCCCATCGGAAATATTTCCGTGGAGGAGCTCGACATTTTGGAGGCCAGGCTGTAGAAGGCGCACATACGGGCATGTACAAGGTGCGGCAAGTCAATGACTCCCAACGGCTTGAGGGAAAGTTGGGAGCATACCTAAGGCAGGTAGGTAATTCGGGGTTGGTAACGTTGAAGGAATCTGGAAGGGACTCCTCCCAAGAGATCATGTGTGCCAGGTCATTGCCCGTTTTGTCTTTCACCCCGCACCTCACCGGGAAGGCGCTGGGTGAGTGATTCAGATCGTCCGGTTCCAGGGTTAGGGTGGATAACCAGCTTTCAAGCCCCCGACTCCCTCGGGGCCGAGGAGGAGGACTCCATCGAGCTACGCCATGTACCTGTGGCCGTCAGTTACCGTGGGTGACAGATGTATTTGTTTCATATAATCCTTTCTCGCGGCCCGCCGTTCGTGAGGCAAACCTATCCGTGGTCAAGGAGCGGGACGACGGAGAGTCGATGACATGGTTCAATTCCTGTCATAAGCAAGAAGACATTGCATCGAGAGGCCATACAAGTAGTTGCTCTGCTCAAATTGCGTAGGAGTAAGACGGGAAGAGTGTGAGATCGCAGGGCGAGTCCCGTACACAGGGAACAAGAGATATGTACCAGATATAATCGTTAGGAATATCGGTCTCAGCTGACATAAACGTAGATAGAAAGGTAGTAAACGCCGACTCGAGCCACCCATTCGTACTCATGCCGTATACGGCACCCCATACGAAGTATAACACCCCCATAATAACCAGGTCGTTGCTTGTCGCGTTGGGGGTCCGTGGGACTCTTCGCTTAAACAACCGCCAAATCAAGCTCCGGTTCGTTTCCACGTGGATCCCCCGGTTGTATTCCGCCCCTGTAACATCGCTACGCCGGCACCACAACGGCCCGCTTCTTCTTACAGATTCGGCTCCATCTCCGTTGCACGTGGCTAAGAATACCGCGAGAGAGCTCAGTCTCCCAATCTGCCGAGATATCTCGGTAACGCGTCGCGGTATGGCATCGGGTAGCTCGAGCAGTAGATACAAAAGGACGGCGGCACACTGAAGATGGTGGACGCCCCAGGCATCGGATAATCTGGTTTTCTCCAAGGCCATTGTGCTCCGCCAATCGCTAGCGATGACTCTCTCCAAGACGATCGCCGCCCTCCTGGCAGGCGCCGGTGCGGTCTCCGCCCGATCTGGTGCCGGTACATCGTTGGACCCCGTTCAGCCCGTGCTCCGACCCGATGGCGCCCTGGCCAAAGATCCACTGGCTCACCTAGGAGGCAACGGGCCTTGGACTGCCGGTAAGTAAGTCAGGGGATGCGCTCGCGAGCTTGCATAACTAACGGTTCTAACCGTGTAACAGCCGGTGATGTCAACGGGATTTCCTCTGATGTGCCCGAGAACTGCCATGTCGACCAGGTTGCTTACGTCCTTCGGCACGGGTCCCGCTACCCAGACACGGGCGCCCACAGCGGCTGGGTAGAGATGGCTCGCCAATTCAAGGAGAGCAACTACTCGGCGTCGGGGCCATTGTCCTTTTTCCACACATGGGACACGCCCCTCACACACCCCAACATCCAGATTGCTCAACTCAGTCAGACCGGCTGCAAGGAGCTCCACGATTTGGGATATACGCTGAGAACTCGGTGAGTAACTCTTCGCTCCTTCTTCCCGGGTCGAACACCGTTGTAAGAGGAGGAGATCTGACCACTCATGTTATTCTGTGCGACGTTAGCTACCCGGATTTGTACCAGGAGGGCGATGACTTCTACGTCTGGGCCAACAACTACACCCGGGTCATCCAGACTGCCCAGTCATTTGTGCGCGGATACCTGGGGCCCAACTCGACGCTGCTCGGTAAAATCGTCTCCGTCACGGGCCGCGGCATGCCCGCCCACCTCGGCGACACCCTCGCGCCGTCCGACATGTGTCCCACCTTCAAGGACGACAGCTCTGTGCAGACATCAGCCTGGCGGTCCATCTGGCTGCCGCCGTTCATCGAACGCCTTTCTCAGTACATCGACGGCGACCTGCAGCTCGACGATTCCAAGTGGAACGACTTCCCGTACATCTGCGGTTTCGAATCCCAGATCACTGGCCGGCTGTCCCCCTTCTGCGACACCTTCACGCAGGAGGAGCTCGACCAGTACGAGTACCACCAAGACCTCCGGTATTACTACGGCGTGGGCCCCGGCGCGGACGTGTCTTCCAAGGTGATGGTGCCGTTCCTGAACGCTCTGATGCAGCGCTTCGTCGACGGGCCCGAGGCGGAGGGCGTCGCGGCCGGCGGCGGCACTTTCAAGCTCCCCAAGCTACTGATGAACTTCCTCAACGACGGCCAGCTCAACCAGCTCGCAGCTGCGGTCGGCGTCTTCGACGAGCAGGAGCCCCTCCCGACGGACCGCATCGCCGCGGACCGCCTCTGGCGCAGCTCGCGCATCTCGCCCATGCGCGGCACCATCGCCTTTGAGCGCCTGAACTGCAAGGTCAGCACCGACGGCGGCAACAGCACAGCACCCCCCATTACCACCACCACCTCGAAGGCCTGCAAGCCCCGGCCGACCGCTGGCGCGGGCGCGACACTTGCGCGCCGCCAAGCTCCGGGCAGGAACGAGACTTTCGTCCGCATCCGCATCAACGAGGCTGTCTACCCCGTGCCGTCATGCCAGGACGGGCCGGGCAAGTCGTGCAGCGTGGCCAAGTATGCCGCCTACGTTTCGTCAAAGCTGGAGGATATCGGTAGCTTTGCCGAGCTGTGCAACGCCACCGATCCCGCTACGCCGAGAGGGGTTTTAGGCGCGAGTTTCTTGACTAACTTGGATCAACCGCATCTGAGGGTTTTGGAGGGTTGAGTGTTTTGATGTTGAGGTTGAGGTTGGAGGGATGGTGTTGTCGATAACTGCCTGGGTACCTGGCGCCAGGTTTATTTCGTAATGAAGTATCGATGAGTTAATGGGCCAGCCGCACAATTGGGCTGTTTGTTGTATCTCGTGGAAGGCGAGGCGGAAATAGCTTCAATTCACTAAAGTTTTGTCACGGTCGCCCCAATACGGCTTAGCTACTCTCTATTCGGTTAGTTTACTTTAACTATTAATCAGGCCACTCAGTTTCTCTGTGCAAAGTTGAAACGGCACCCTCCTGGGGAATTTATTCCTGGGAAGATCCGCCCCGCATGGGCGAGGTAACTTCCATTCAACTCGCCCAAGATCGACTTGAGCAACCGCAACTTCTTTTTCTCAATTGTTCGCTTTTTCCATCCGTCAATGACGAAAATTTACTCCGTATGATAGGCTATTTTCGCCGTACCTTAATATGAGAGAGTTGCAGGTTAATCGCGATCCCCGATGCACTCCCGTCCCGCACCAACCACGGCCCCTCAAAAACGCGGAAGCCGATCCTCCATGGCTTCTCAAATGACGTTGCATCCACGGGAACGCGGGTGGGCAATGCGAGGCGTGCTCGAAGCCATGACTCCGCAATTCTGTGTCGGCCCCCTTGCCTTCATCACCGATTCGCGGAATTTCTTGCGATTTCTTGCGATATCTTGCTCATGCTGGCGCTCATGCCCCGCCTCGAGCCCACTACCCGCTTGGCCGCTCGAGCCGTTCCCCAGTTCGAACCATGGGCCCGGGCCAGGAACCGTTTTCCATCCATGGCACCCCGGTCCGCTCGGAATGCGCCCTGAATCTAGCGAGCTTTCGGGAACCCGGGCAGATGCATATGGTTGCATCGATGGGGTGGGCTGCCTTCTTCCGAGGTCCTTCCGTAGCCCTCATGTCCTATATCAACCGCGACGTCTCTCCTCCCCTAACATTCTAGGGCTGTAGCTGTGCACGTCAACCGTGTCAACTTCACACAGGCTTCACTCCAGCCATGAAGTGCCCATCAGCGTTACAGCTCCTGGTCGCGGCCTTGGTGGCTCCCGCCACGGCTGCCACTTGGAAGAATGTCAACATCGGCGGCGGCGGCGGCTTCGTCCCGGGTATCATGTTCCACCCGACGACCAAGGGGGTTGCGTATGCACGGACGGATATCGGCGGTCTCTACAGGTGGAACGACGACGACTCCTGGACCCCGCTGACCGACGGCATCAACACCCACGAAAAATGGTGAGATACACTTCGGCGTAGTGAGAGCTTGGCTCGGTCACTTACACTGATCAGGGGAAACTGGGGTATCGATACCATGGCACTTGACCCTCAGGATCCCGATAAGGTCTACGCTGCCACCGGCATGTACACCAACGACTGGGACCCCAACCCGGGCGCCATTATTCGCAGTTCCGACAGGGGCGCGACGTGGACCTCCGCCGAGCTGCCCTTCAAGGTCGGCGGAAACATGCCCGGCCGTGGCATGGGCGAGAGGCTAGCTGTGGACCCCGCCAACTCGGATATCCTCTACTTTGGTGCTCGCAGCGGCAACGGTCTGTGGAAGAGCACGGACGGCGGCGCGACCTGGGCCAAGGTTGAGTCCTTCACTAACCCCGGCACGTACATCGCCGACCCCAACGACACCTCTGGATACAACTCAGACATCGTCGGCCTGTCCTTTGTGACGTTCGATTCGACGTCTGACGTCACCGACGGCGCCACCTCTCGCATCTTTGTCGGAACCGCCGACAACATTACCGCCTCCTTCTACGTGTCCAACGATGCTGGCGCCACCTGGGAGCCGGTCGAGGGCCAGCCCAAGACCTTTTTCCCCCACAAGTGCAGACTCCAACCGGAGGAGAAGGCTCTCTACCTCAGCTACAGCGACGGTGCCGGTCCGTACGACGGCACCCTGGGCGGCGTCCACCGTTACGATATCACCACCGGCACCTGGACGGACATCACCCCCGTGTCGGGCACCGACCTTACCTTCGGCTTCGGCGGTCTCAGCGTCGACATGCAGAAGCCCGGCACCCTGATCGTCGCTACCCTGAACTCGTGGTGGCCCGACGCCCAAATTTACAGGTCCACCGACTCAGGCGCTACCTGGTCCACTATCTGGGAGTGGACCGCGTACCCGGAACAGAACTGGTACTATGGGCTTTACGTGAGTGTCTACAAATTCCAGGGGCTGGGCGCTTCGAAACTGACACACGCAGACCGATAACGCCCCGTGGATCAACACCGGCTTCGTCTCTCGGGACACCAAGCGCCTAGGCTGGATGATTGAGGCTCTCGAGATCAACCCCTTGGATAGCAACCACTGGCTGTACGGAACAGGTCTGACCCTGTATGGCGGCCACGACCTCACAGAATGGGACACGGCCACTCGCAACGTCACCATCTCATCGCTGGCCGTTGGCATCGAGGAGATGGCCGTGCTGGGTCTTGCTTCCCCCGTCGGTGGATCCGAGCTCCTGGCTGCCGTTGGTGATGACTGTGGCTTTACCTTTGAGACCAGCGAGGACCTCGGCACCTCGCCGAAGACGCCGTGGATGAACCCCATCTGGACCAGTGCCACCGATGTTGGTAAGTATTGAACCACCCGTCAAAGCCATTCACACGCGCTAACAAAACGCAGACTACGCCGGAAACAAGCCCGAGAACGTTGTCCGCGTTGGCAACTCTAACGGCGCCCCGCAGGTCGCCGTCTCCGCCGACGGTGGCCTGACCTGGAACGCCCACCCCGGAACCGATGACGCCAAGAACAGCGGAACCCTCGCCTACTCGGCCGACGCCGACACCATCGTCTGGTCGTCGGGGACTGACGGCGTACTCCGGTCGCAGGAACAGGGCACCTTCACCGCGGTGGAATCCCTCCCCTCGGGCGCCGTCATCGCCGCCGACAAGCGCAACAACACCATCTTTTACGCTGGCTCCGGCGCCACCTTCTACCGCAGCAGCGACACGGGCGCCACCTTCACCGAGGTCGCATCCGCCCTCGGCGAGGCCACTGCCGTCAAGGACATCGCCGCGCACCCGGATGTTGCCGGTGAACTCTGGGTCAGCACGGACGTGGGCGTATTCCGCAGCACCGACTTCGGCGTGACGTTCACGGCGGCCAGCGGCATCAGCAGCACGGAGCACATCTCGGTGGGCAAGGGCGAGGGCACCGCGTGGAACGTGTACACCTTCGGCGTCGGCGCCGCGGGCGCCAAGCTGTACGCCTCGGCCGACAACGGCGCCACGTGGGTCGACGTGCAGGGCGACGACCAGGGCTTCGGCTCCATGGGCGCCAACCGCGTCGTCGGCAGCGGCAACGTCGCGGGACAGGTCTACGTCGGCACCAACGGCCGCGGCGTCTTCTACGCCCAGGTCTCCATCCCCGCCGGCGGCGGCGGCGCCAACCCCTCGGCCTCCTCCTCGGCCGTGCCGTCGGCGACCGAGTCGGCGCCCGAGTCGGCCTGCCCGACCACCATGTCAACCTCGACCGTCAAGCCCCCCGCGTCGTCGTCGGCGCCGGTGGAGGTCACGACCACGACGGGCTCGGGCCCGGAGCCGTCGGCGCCCGCCCTCGCGCAGAAGTACCAGCAGTGCGGCGGCAACTCGTGGCAGGGCCCGACGGCCTGTGTGGAGCCGTGGACGTGCCAGAAGCAGAATGACTGGTACTACCAGTGTCTGTGAGTGGGTTTTGTAGGTGGCGGTTGTAGTATAGGAACATAAAGTAGGAAGGGTTACGGGTGGTCTACATAGTCACTTCGGTACACCTGTCAATGTACATAAATGCCTGAAACGACAAGCCATTGTCAAATACTGTCAAATTATCCTGTGCATGATGCGGCTCAACATATTTGGGACGAGTATTGTAAGGTGTCAGGGCGCCGCAGAACACTGTGGAGCTCTGGCTAGGGCCATATGTAGACATTGATTGCAAGTCGGTCGCGGACCAACGTATTTTATTATCGATATCTTAATACCAGACCGCCGGGGTCTCTGGTGGTGGCGAATGGCTTACCAGCCTTGAACCCGGTGAATGAACCTCACGTCGGGGTTGCCCTTTAAAACTCGGGCGTTTGGAGTGATGTACAGATATCTGTTATACCGGTATACCCGGTCTTCTCCCACTAGGGTCGAAACCCCGTCGATTTCGATGACACCCTTCGGCCTATCAAAGTTGACGAGCACCGCGATGAACGCTTGGTCGTCGCTGTCGATGCGATAGCTGAACCCCGACGCCTTGAATCATGATTAGTGCCCGCACCTTTACGTTGTACTTGTAAAAAAAAGAAAAAGAAAAAAAGAAAAGCACTTACAGAGCTGCCTTTGTGATATTGTACCACCTCTAAGATCCACTCCTCGCTCCAACCCGTAACATCGTAGAAAACCCCATAGCCCGGTGTGGCGTGCCTCCGTGCATTCTCCCGCCGCTCCCGCTTTTGTGCATATTCCACTTGGGCCGTAGCAGTTGGTTCCGAGCCCGTTCCCGACATGGTTGCGGAAAATAAAGTTTCTTGTGTGCGAAGGGCTTGAAATGTTGGAAGCAAAGTGCTGTACCGAAGGGAAGCTTGGTGTAAGGTACCTACCTAGGCAACTTGAGTGTAGGTGACTTGGTGGGTGGGTGAGTACCTAGGTGGGAGATGTGGGAGAGGGTGGGAAGGGAAAGACACCACACACTTAAGTACCTACGAGCCTACCTACCTACCCAACCTACCTAGTAGTCACCTGTCGAATAGCCGTCACACCCATCTGTTATTCCGCTTTATCACCATGGAGGCAAGAAAACCTTACTGTGTACGAAGTAAGAGATGCGGTCCGGTGTCTCAACAATGGAATCTACCAATCAGCAATTGGCTTGGGAACAAATCGGGGAAGTGGGGTTTGCGGGCCCCAAGGACGCAGTCAGCCGACACCCGACACCAAGGAACGGGAGTCACTTTTCAAGTTAGGTACGAGATGAAAATACTTGCTCATTGATATCATTATTTTCATTATGTAGCCGTTGTATTATTACTGGCCTACCTGGGGTACGGTATCGTCGCTGGCTATTATCCCCAATAGGGTTAGGGATATACGTAGCCCCACCCTCCCGTCCAAATAAACAGCAGAACTCCTTAAAGGGAAAAAAGAAATTAAGCAGAAAGAAAGGAATAAAACAAATCGGGGAAAAGAAATTAAAAAGAATTGAAAGAAAAGTAATGGAAAAAAAGAAATCGAGGAAAGAAAAAGCGAATGGAGTAAAAAACAGTTCCTTCGGGCTTCGAGATAGCTCGGTCTCGTTCTGTTTTTGTATGGTCATCTGCATTTAGAGTACAGCTTTTTCCAAATAGGGGGTGAGCCCCTGAACCCCTATTTAAACTGACACGGGCTCACAAGCTCTCAAGACGTCCATAGCAAGGCAACTATTAGAACCATCATGTGTAAACAAACCACATCGAGCAGGTCAAGACTACAATGTTCTGCAGGCGATCACACGAAATCGACCATCTCTTGTTACGATTAATATCGCACTCACCCTCACACCTCCTCACACACGGGCGTCCACGTCCTCCTCAACGGCGAACTCCCCATCAACAACATGCCACTCCCATACGCCTGCTTGAACCCACCCCTCTCCATCTCCATCTCCGCCTCCCTCCGCGCCCTCCCCTCCCTATCCTCTCCCAACCCCCACGCCTCCGTCCACCCATACCTGACCATCTTATAAATCTCAAACCACTCCTGCCCCGGCCACCCCCCAACACCACCCCCACCATCACCACCACCACTCTTATCCCCGGTTCCCCCCTTCCCCAAAACCCCCCTCCGCAACGCCACCCCCCACCGCCACGCATCCAACTCCCACCCATACACCAACCTGCCCCTCCACCCCTCCCACCACCGCACCTCCCTCCCCGCCACCCGCCGCATACTATACTTCTCCCCACGCCTCTTCAACCAGCCCTTCGTGCGCCGCTCCGCCCTTTCCGTCAGCCACGGGCCGTGCTCCCTCAGCCAGCGGCCCTCGCGCAGGGCGCGCCGTTGCCGCTGCGCGAGCAGGCGGAGGTGGCACAGGTGCGTGAGCTGGGGCGGGGAGTGGTGGATTTGGTGGATGCGCGGGGTGGTGTTGGGGGGTGGGGGGTGGGAGCCGAGGGTTAGGGCCATTGTGGAGGCTTGTTGGGTGAGGGGGGTGCAGGGTTGGGGGGGTTGGTGGTGGTGGTGTGGCGTTGGGTCGTCGGGGGGCCAGGGGGGGTTGGTTTTTGGGGTGGGGGTGGTGGTGGTGGGGGAGAGGAACTTCTCGGCTGCATCTTTGGTGTGGGCGAGGTCTTCGCGGAGGTGTTCCATGCGTCGGGAGAGGGTGTAGTTGAGGTAGTAGAGGTGGGTGAGGCGGAGGATGCGGTGGGGTGGGAGGTAGGTGTTGGCGAGGAAGGAGTTGCGGCGCCCGCGCTTGTATGGGATCTGTGGCGGGGGACGGTTAGGGTTGTGGGTTTCGAGATGGAGGAGGCTCATCTTGCTTGTTTGTGTTCTTTCGGCTTAGTTTGTTGGCTACGTCTCTATGACGGCTCCCTCTTGTTGGGTATCGCCGTTACAACTAGAAAGTTGAAGCTGCGCTGTGGTTCTTTGTTACGTGGTTAGTTTGCCAAGGTCGTACTCTCACTGCGGTAGCCCAGGGGCCTATGACAGGGTAGATCTTTGAGTCTTGAGTATATCATGGTTGCTAAGAAACAGACAGAAACCACAGTCGCGCGCTGGGGTCATGATGCCCTTTTGATATGACCTGGAAAGGACGCTAGCTCTTTGTTAGCTTTGAGACAAGCACATTATGAAGCCCCCATTGATGGCGCTGCTTATATTATTGACTCTGTTCCCCTTTGTTACTTCGTTAGCAGCCAATCACCACTATCTTCTCCCTATTGCCGTTTTCTTTGTCGTGGACAATGGGTTGTCCCCCGGACCTCCCACTCAAATCTATCTGCCGGCATGGTTACCCTAGTAGTTTTTCACATAGTATTTTACCCTGGTATTTTTTCACATGGTATTTAATTGTGTGGAGAAACTTCTTTCTTCCGGAAGCCCGTCCCGTGGCGGTTGAGCGGTTAGGTACCTCGTTATTGGAAAACGCAGCAGTAACACGCGTGGTGTTCTTTGTATACCAAGGGAAAGCAGCAGATACGCTATCTACATATACTTAGCTGTCTTTAGTTGCCAAAGGTTTGTCAAACTTAATACACTAGCTTTCCCAAATGACATCAAAAACACTTGGACGACCTAGCTTGCTTTATTACGATGGTTGATCCCCAACAGGACGTGTCTGCCAACACGGTAGGCAGCAATGCGGAAAACAACAAGAGTGGGAGTTCCCTCACCCATCTACGTCAAAAGTACCTTCCAGAGTCGGTGCCAGAGTCCACTCACAGTCTGGAGCGGCCTTCCCCGTCTTCTAGCGCCGGGTCTCAAAGTCCACACGGCTCCTTCACTACTAGCACAGTCTCCACGCCATCTTCCGCCAAAAAGAAGCCACCCACCACGCCTTTGGAGCTTGCCTCTATTTGGGACGCCAACGAGGCCACCAGGGCGTCCATCTGGGAAGCCGACGAGGTCATCCGGGCGTTCGTCGATAACCACTGGTCCGACCATGCCGAGTACATTAAAGTCGACTGCCAGCTGACGCTTCCATCCCTGCTCGCCATCGGCCGGCTGCCCTGTGGTGAGGGCTCACGCGCCTGCCGCCGCTTGATCCGAGTTCCGGCCATCCACGAGCAAGTAGCTCTCTCGCTGTGGGAATACCTCGTCAAGGAAGCGCAGCGGGACGACACCACGGAGGCGGCACCGCCACAATACCCATCAATCGGCGACGATACCATCACCACGGACGCCACCCTCACCCCCGACCAGCAGAAACCAGGGCGACGAACCCTCACAACCGCCATCAATAGGCTCCGCTCCCAAAGACACCAACACCAACCCACCCTCACCCTCACCATCCCCAACATCGCCACGAACCCGCCCCGGCCATCCTGCCCCTTCTGTTCCAACCACTGCATCCCACCCCCCGCCGCACCCGCCCAGCAACACCAACACCACCACCACCACCACTCCCCACAAAACCAAGACCACCCGGAAACCGCCTTCTGGCAACTCCCAAACGCGGCCTCCACCCCACGCTCACCCAACCTCGCGCGCAACCTCTCCGGCGACACCCTCATCGAGTTGCAGTCCACACGCTCGTGGGGGGGCACAGAAGAGGACAGCACAGAAGATGAAGAACCGAGTTCGCGTCAAGAATACAGCGGCTACGGCTGGCTGGCCTTAGCGCGGGGTTGTGTCGGGGCGTTGGAGGCTGTGGGGAGTGATTGTGTTGGAGGGGTGGTGAGGGTGTGGGGGGTGGTTTGGGGTGGGTTGACGGGGTGGTGGTATCCTACCTAGTTAGGGGTCCCGAGATTCTAGGTTCGCTAGGGGTTGGCGCTCCGGCGGTTGGAGGGGATTCCATAGGAAGGGATGGAGATAAATAACCAAAATGAATGCATGCTGATGATATTCTGCCACTGACCGACCGGCCTACCGCCTCCCATATCTGCTGCCGCTTCGAGACCACAAGTTTACAGCCCCAACCCCTCCACCTGCCCCAGAAACTCCCCCCTTGCCCCGCGCAACAGCCCATCCACATCCACCCCCCCAAGATACTTCTCACTCACACCCGTATTGACCCTCTTCGCGAGCAGCTCCTTCAGTTCCCAGCGCCACTGCTTCACCTCCGCCTTAGTAACCGCACGCGCCTCCTTCTCCCGCAGCTTCTTCCCGCTCCCCTTGCCCTTCCACAGCCCAGCCGCCTCCAGCTCGTCGGCATCAAACTCGACCCCGAGCTCCTCCGCCGCGTTCTTCATCCAATCGTCCTCCTTGGCCCCCTTCTCCTTCGCAATCCCCGTATCGGTGATCTTTTTGGCCAGCGACACGCGCGGGCGGAGATGCGAGACCAGGCGGCGGTCGATATCGATCGTGTGGACGCCGACGCCGGCGCTGGCGAGCTGCGAGCGCGACGTGTTGACGGCGGCGGCGGCGTGCACCTTGGCGATCAGCCGCTGCGTGGGGACGGCCTCCTTGGGCCCGCACAGCAGGATGGAGATGCCCGACGTGTTGGCGCGCGCCGTGCGGCCCGACCGGTGCACGTAGTCGTCGGCTGAGCGTGGGACGTGGTAGTGGATGACGAGGTCGATGTTGGGGATGTCGAGCCCGCGGGCCGCGACGTCGGTTGCGATGAGAATGGAGGAGGAAGTGGTGGAGGCGGAGATGGAAGAGGACACCGATGGGGTTTCGGTGTTGTTGGCTGCTTTGAAGCGCTCGATGGAACGGAGGCGGGCTTTTTGTTCCATGTCCGAGTGCAGTGCGAATGCGGGTAGGTTGAGGGCTTGGAGGAAAGGGGCTAGGCGACGGACGGTGTTGATTGAGTTGGTAAAGACTAGTGCGCGGCGGGTGGGCTGTAGGAGGAGGACCGAGTAGAGATATAAATCCTTTTCGAGATCACCACATTGGATCAGGCCTTCTTTGAGATTCTCGGCCATCTGGGAGATTGGATTTGTGTCGACAAACTTGGGGCGCTCTTCGCGGAAGTTGAGCTTTTTGAGGAGGTACTCGAGAGATTCGGTGTCGCTCGTAAGGTTGAAGCGGGCTTTTCCGGCGAGCTTTTGCTGTAAGTTCTTGTTGAAAGTGGCCGAGAAAACGAGTGTCTGGCGCTGGTGCCGGGGCGCCTCGTCGTCAGAATCCTCATCGTTTTCCTCCCCTGGCGCCGTCCGATCTATCGCCTTCAGAATTTCTTCGGCGTCCTTGAAGTGGCCGTCTTTAAGAAGCCGGTCCGCCTCATCAACAACCAAAAAGTCGATACCCCTGAGTGCCCCCAGCACCGCGTTGCTCGAACTCATCAACTCCCACATTCTGCCCGGCGTCCCAACCACGATGTCGGCTCTCTCCAACTGACGCTGCTGCTTCTGCACCGATAGGCCACCTGTCACCGAGCAAATGTAGGGGGCGGTGGTGAGTCCGGCACAGAGTAGCTTGAGGTGGTCGCAAATTTGGTGAGCGAGTTCTCGAGTCGGCGAAAGGATCATGGCGATGGGCTCCTTCTTGGCAACTTGTTTCTCGGCCTGCTTGGTCAACCAGCTCTCTACGATAGGGATCCCAAAAGCTAGCGTTTTTCCCGAACCGGTTGCTGCTTTCCCAACCACATCGTGACCGTTCATGACTTGGGGAATAGCTCTAGCTTGAATCGCGGTAGGTTTGGCGAACTTGAGGCGGGCAATAGACGACATAATCTGGGGGGAGAGATCAAGCGGGACCCACTCGGACATGTCGATATCGTTGTCCTCAGCGTCGGCGTCGGCGAGGTCGGCGGCTTGGGCAAAGACATTGGCTTGGAGTTCGGTGTCGCCCTTGGCCTGTTCAACCTTGGCGCCCTTCTTTTCCTTCTTCTCCTTCTTCTCCTTCTGGGTCTTGGCATCGACTTTTTGAGCAGCCTTCTCCTCAGTCTCGCCCTTGGAAGCCCCTTTCCTATCCTTCGACTCTTTCTTCGAAGTCACGGGTGCCACCTGTTCCGCAGATGCTACAACGTCATCCCCCTGAGCTTCGCCGGCTTCTTCGTCTGGCTCATCATCAAACCCCCCAAACTCCTCACTGGCATCGGACTCGGCAGCAGCAGCAGCCATCTAGAGTGAGTGAGGGTGAGTATGTGAGAGCAGATTAGGTACATTAGGGGAAAGCAGGACGCAGATCACTTACAAATTTCACAGTGTCGCCGTCCCGCACAATTTCAACCCCTTCCACCTCCTCCAAGCCGTAGAAACCCTCGGCATCATCAAACATTTCCGGCACATCGACTGTCTTCCACGCCAGCGAATCAACGCTTGTCACGCGCTTTCCGGCATTTGACTTTTGACGCTTGGAGCTGGCACCTGGCGCTTTAGGGCGCTTGCCTTGTCCTTCTGAACGTTTCCTCTTTTTGTCGATGGCCATGTTGTGAGATATCCGGGCGGAATTGTGAGTGAGTGAGGGTGGATGTTGAAATCGAGAATGAAAAATCGCAGAAAACGGTTCGTACCAAACTCATGAGAGCGTGGTCCCACTTTAAAAACCCGCGCTGCAGCCCAGCGCCCGGCCAAATCTTGACCGCCTTCCTGATACGGCACGCATCGTTACCGTATTTTACGCCGGATGCCCCGCCATCAGCTTCAATTTCATGTTTCTCAATTTCTCGAAATGAGTCTTGCCTGACGTTCCCGAATCCACATCGAACATCTCCCGCAACACCTACGATCTGCTCCAAATACCTTCTTCTCACACGAATTTGGGCAAATTAGGATTGTCAAAGTTACTTTATTTTCCCTTGATCGGGCAAGACAACACTTCAAACTGTGACTTCGTACCCGTGCTCGAGGGATCGCGGGGTCGTTTTCTTTTGTTTTCTCCTTTTCGTTTGACTTTCGAGGTTTCACATTCCCGTTAAAGTCAACATGGGAAAGTCCTCCAAAGACAAGCGCGATGCCTACTATCGTCTAGCAAAAGAGCAAGGTTGGCGTGCAAGGAGTGCCTTCAAACTGCTCCAGCTTGACGAGGGTGAGTCAACCGGACCCAATTTATTTTACACCCACGGGACTGACACCAGCAGAGTTCAACCTGTTTGAGGATGTCACCCGGGTTGTTGACCTCTGCGCTGCTCCCGGTAGCTGGTCCCAAGTACTCTCTAGGGTGCTTATTAAGGGCGAGAAGTTTGGTCGCTGTGCCTGGCAAGACAGGGAAGCCAAGTTCCGCCAACACATGCTCAATGTTGTTCCCTCGGATGCAGCCCCTGAGCAGGAAAAGTCGATCGAGAAGGATGAAGTCCCCGAGGCGCAGCTGAAGCCCCGGAAAGACGTCAAAATTGTGTCCATCGATCTCCAACCTATCAGCCCGCTCCCCGGCATTATCACCCTCCGCGCCGACATCACCCACCCGGCGACTGTCCCCTTGCTACTGAAGGCCCTGGACCCCGACTACGACCCTGACACGATGAACCAACAGGCTTCACAACCCGTGGATCTTGTCATTAGCGACGGTGCCCCCGACGTCACGGGCTTGCACGATCTCGATATCTACGTCCAGTCACAGCTGCTGTTTGCCGCCCTCAACCTCGCCCTGTGTGTGCTGAAGCCCGGCGGCAAGTTCGTCGCCAAGATCTTCAGGGGCCGGAACGTGGATTTGCTCTACGCACAGCTCAAGATATTCTTTGAGAAGGTCTACGTGGCCAAGCCCCGTTCATCACGGGCGAGCAGTGTCGAGGCCTTCATCGTGTGCATCAACTTCCAGCCTCCCGAGGGCTTCAAGGCTAGTCTAGAGGAGCCTCTCGGTGTCGGCAGCCGACTGCCCAAGATGCTGGCAGACCAGAACGCAGTGGCACCAATTACGGCGCCGGTTTTAATGCAGAGTCACGAAACCGGAGCTTGGAACGTGACCCCAGAGCGGACACAGATGGTAGACGAGCACGGCATTGAGGAAGTCGAGGTCGACGATCTCTCCACGGAACCGCACGATAAGGACATCCGCTGGATTGCCCCCTTCGTAGCATGCGGCGACCTCTCTGCGTTCGACTCGGATGCCTCGTACAAACTCCCGGACGACCACGTCTCCTTGGATCCCGTCCAACCACCCACCGCGCCGCCTTACAAACGCGCCATCGAACTCAGGAGAGCCAACGGCGGGGCATACGGGAAACCACCAAGCAAATGATCTCAAAATAAAAAAAGCCATCACACGTTCCCTCACCCTTTCTGTCCTCCCCCCTTGCTCCTCACTACTTACTGCTTACTACTCCTCGCTCCCCACCACCGCACCCCCATCCTTCCCAACCAGACCCTCCTCCCCCGTAAAAACCCCTCCACCTCCCACCCTCTCCAAAATAAACAAAGCACCACCCCCACCACCTCCCCCTTCTCCTTCCACCCCCTCCCCACGCGACCGCAGCTCCCTCGCCCCAAACGCCTCGCGGTACATGCGCACGGCCGCCGCGTCGCGCGTCAGCAGCAGGCACCGCCGCAGGTCGGGCCACGCCCGCACCACCTCGTCCAGGCACCGCAGCAGCCACTTGCCCAGCCCGCGGCCCTGGTGGGGCGGGAGGATGTACACGTCGGTCAGGTAGCCGAAGGTGGTGTGGTCGGTTATCAGGCGGGCGAAGCCGACCATTTCTGTTTTTTTGAGGGGGGGGGTTAGTTGGGGGTGGGGGAGGGGTGTGGGTTGGGAGGGGAGGAGGGGAGGGGTTGAAGGGGAGCCGAGTGGGAGGGTTGAGGGTGGGGAAGGGGGATAAAGGGGGACAAAGGGGATGGATTCACCTGGGTGGTTGTCGTCTCGCGGGGTGTAGAGCCCGAAACAGAGAGACTGCTCGACACAGCGCTGCAGGGCGTCTGGCGGGAGCGGTTTAGCCCAGTAGATCATGTCGGTGGCGAAGGCTGCGTTGACGGCGTCTAGCTGGATGAGGGAGGGGTCGGTCGAGATGGTGTATGTTATTCCGGACGCCTCCCGCGTCCAGGTGCGCGGTGGGAATGGAGATGACATCTTGTTATTGTTAGGGCTGGGACTGGTGCTGGTGCTGGGGCTGTTTGTTGTATGGGCCGCGGTGAGGGCTGGTTTGGTGGTGGAATTGGGATTCTAGCTAGAATTCGGATAGAGGGGAGCGAGATCGGCTTTTATAGAGAAACCACGTCCTGTGAAACGCAACTCCAACAAGAGTCACAGTAAGCGGAGGGAAACGCGCGACCGGGCCGAGGATATGAGTCATCTCTTGTTCGGCAGCGGCTACTGCTCCTTGCTTCCTGCCGTCCGTTGAAGAATGAACTCCCTGTCACATCACTCGTGAAACCAAAGTCGATGTACAAGACATTACGTTATTACTGCCTAGGGATTGTAGAAGTGAAAAGGCAAAGCAAGACAACACATTAAGGAGTGGTGATAAGGTAGAAGGCCACCCCTCTCGTCGACCCCCTGAAAACACAACAGCAGATTAACCTCCAACCCGCCAACAACCAAACACCAACCCCGTCTAGTAGTAGAGCGGCTTCTCAGGGTCCGTCAGATCGAAGATGACGCTCGAGTGCGGCTTGGCACCGCCGCGGTCGGCGAACTCCCTCTGGAAGTCGATAGAGCGGTTGAAGCTCAGGCTGCCGTCGTCGAGGATGTCGACGTACAGCGCCTTGAAGTCGGCCGGCGTGTTGATCAGGCCGAGCGCGCCCGTCTGCACAAAGTAGTCGGTCACGACAAGGTGCTTCTGGTCGGGCGTCACCTTGACGTAGTGGGGACCGATGGTCGGCTGCTCCTCGTCGGGGTTGTCGAGGCGCTTCACGTTGTTCAGGTCGCTGATGTCGAGCGCCGCGATGTGGTTGGCCGTCGTCAGGGAGAGGTAGAAGAAACGGCCATCCTGGGTGATGTCGGTGCTGCGGAAGGGGGTCAGTTGACTTTGGGCCACAGACATGTTTTGAGACGGATATGAAGGGGAGGTTCTCACTAGATGGCGACGGTGTCACGGGCCTTGGGGCCCAGGTCAAACAGCAGCTCGGTAACGCCAGGCTTGCCATTAGCATCCTTGCGAAGGGGGTAGATGATCCAGACCTGGCCGAGGTGGACTGCCGTGGCGAGAGCGGCGCCCTCGGGGTTGCCAGGGATGTGCTTGACGTCTTGGATACCGCCACCCTACACGTTCATTAACGCCAATCGACAGACGCCATGGCTCCAGGGAACACTTACGTTCGGGATGGTGATGGTGTTGATAATCTCCTTCGTGTCCAGGTCCCACAGACGCAGAGTGTCGGCCTTGTTGATGCCGAGACTCGGGTGGAGGATGGTCACCGGCTCGACAAAGTCGGAGGTGAGGATGTTCTTCCTCTCCCAGTCGATGCTCAAGCCGTGGGGGTTGAACTGCTCCTTGAGAATGTTCAGCACACTGGGCACATCCTCGGGCCATTCGTGGATGATGTTGAAGTCGGCATCGGTCTCAACCAGGCGACCGGGCGAGGTCCCGACGGCGGAACCCATGTAGGTGATGTAGAAGCCGCCATCGGGCTTTGCGCGGATCTCATCGGCGATCGACGAGAGGATAGCCCGGTTGCTCTTCTTGAACGTCGGGCGGTAGGGATTGGTCGTATCAAAGTAGAAGGCCGTGTCCTGCTCTTGTCAGCAGGGGATCGATCGAGATCATCTTGGTTGGAACATACCTGGGTCTTGAGCAGAGATAGGAGACCGCCTCCAATCAAGGTCTTGCCATCAAGCGAGGGACCAAGATGGTGAGGGTCGTTGCCGCTGCTGGGCACATCCGTGATCCACAAAAGAGTGCCGAAAGTATCCTAAACTAGTTAGATTTTGCGAACGGGTAAGGGTAGCAGTGCTCACATCATCCAGACTGTAGGTGGCGAGAAAGTCTGTAGGCCAAGTCAGCATGTCGAATAGTAGACGGCTCAAGACAAAACACGTACCCTTGTGCTGCCTATCACCAGCGCCGGTCCAGAAATACCCAATCTTCTTGGGCTTGATATCGCTAGCCGTAAAAGGGGGGCTGTCTAAGGCAGGCGTGGGAACCTGCAGGATGGGCAGCGGAGGAGCGAGGTCGTTCAGGGGCACCGTGACTCCGGGGATGCTCGGAACCGGAGGAAGGGAGACGGGAGGGAGTGGAGGGAGTGACAGGCACTCCGCAAGGGAGGCAAAGGGTATGAGCTGAATGAGCGTAGCAGTCTTCATCGTGAAGGTGTTGGGCAGTTAACCGGTTGTCAGTAAAGGAGTGGACGAAGATGCTGCCGAATCCGAGGATAATGAAGAAACATTTGGGCTGAAGGGGCATCCAAGAGCCCTCTCTTATACATGTTCAAGTCCTCACCCCTCCTCCAGCAGTATCATCAGTCATCTCCTTTTCCTCAGCTCGATCTGATGCGACTTCCATTACAGAGCACGCAACTTGATGGTTTCTCGCCGACTTCATCGCGATGGAAGTTGGGTGTGTCAAAAAAAGTAGAGATCGACCGAGGCTAACATCTTCCGAGTTAGGAAGATGTGCCCCCATCTTCTTCCTACAGCGGCGGCGTGATGGGCGCGGGTGAGGTGTTGTGGGCCGAAGAGAGGCCTAGTGGTCGGTGGCGTGGGCGACGCTAAATGTCGGATAGGGGAAACATCATGGAGATCGCATGGGGTTCGGTGCCTGACCCGAGAGGACGAGAGGGGAATTTATGGTGCTAACTTTAGAGCATTACCGACTGGTCAGAGCAGAGGTCCTACAATCCCCAACTCATGGCCTCAACGCGTCCGACTACCCACCCTCGGGGTTGGGCGTCGGACGGAATACCGAATGTTGACGGACTTACTGACATGCACAATATTGCCCCTGGTTCCGGCAAATCTCCATCGATCATGTCACCCCGCGATATGTGACCTTGGCAACCTGGTTGCCGGAACGCCAAGGGAGATGAAGCGCCGAGATGAGAGATGCAGTGAACATGACATGGTGTATGTACACTGCATGTCAGCTGAAAAAAGATTCAATAACCCAATGGTATAATGTTGCATTGGTACCGTACCTGGATTCTCCATCATCCAATAGGGCTACGTCAAATAACGTTAGCAGGGTTGAAGCTGAAGAATTGCGGGCGCGAAGCTTGATATCACGACATGCTTGGCATGGTGGTGACATCGTAGCCCTGTCGGTAAGTCAACACGTGCAGCATCAACTTCGATGTCTAACCCGTTTCAACATACGATCGGCTTTTTCCGTTTCTTTTCTGTCTTACAGCCTCGTGGGAGCCGACGAACCCCCTGGCTGGGGGCAGTTCGGCAGCCATCCGACCTGGGGGGGCGAGATCTGGAGATGCTGATCGGAATTTGACATCTGCAAGCGGGGATGTATCGTCAGTGGGGGTAGAGATGTTGCCATTGTGAGATCGCCGAGCTGTAGTGATGAGTAGGCGTAGATCGGGAATACTGGTTCGTTGGTTGTCTCCCAGGTTACATGCCTAAAGAGTAAGTCGGCGACCTGAGCACCTAGCTCGGGGGGGGGCAATGGCCTTCTAGGCTTCTCCCCATGTCTTGAATGGGAGCGTTGGCATGTTGTGCCTTGTCTGTCTCGGGAAGGTGGCATCCGTTGTGCGCCGCGGGTCATCACCTGCCGTGACTCCCATTGTCAGGAACGAGAATTTCGACGTCGATCATGAGTCCATGACCAAATTTCAGAGGAGGGACTCGTGCGAGCCCCCACGTCGGCCCATCGGTCTCGCCCTTCTCCTTTTCAATACTCATCACCAACACCGCCCTTCATGCCCGGAGCACTTCTTCCCATGAACTCCAACTCTCGCCACTGCGCGTGGGTGCTTGCACCACTTACCCCACGCCTCCTGCCTTGATATCATCAGCTTGGTGTACCCACCTAGTCTTACCCCACGGCCCATCAGGCATAAGCAGCATGCTGCTCGAAATAAACCAAGAACGACGGCGGTCTCGGCCCAATCACTTTCCGCCGCCGCTGACTCGTCTGCCTATCTCAGGGTTGGAGCGGGTGTCCACCTGAAAATGCACAGAACTAACTGATGGAGAGGAACGGATGATAAAATTTAATGTGCTGCGCAAGGTCCCTTCGCATTTGCGTGACAGTGCTGGGAAAACAACTCTGACTTGGGAAAAAAACCAGCACCAAGGGGCGGGAAAAAAACTAATACCAAAGCGCCCCCAACCCGTTAACACATCCCATCTCTCTAGTAGTCGTCTCCACGACTGAGGACCTCCTTGTGCGTTTCGCGGAGGAGGAAGGTCTGAGAGAATGTTAGCTTCCACTGACTGTTGAGAACAGAACCCTCAGACAACGTACGTGCTCAAACTGGGCCGAGTACGACCCCTTGATGTCCATCAGCGGCCCATACTCTTCCACGACGCCCTGTTGGACCAAGCAGTTCATCTGCGCGGTTTATTAGCACGGATACACACTCATCATCAACTAGGGATAGGTCAGACTCACGCCAGCGAGGTACTTCTCGACATTGAGCCGCTCTAGGTAGCGACGGCAGAAGACAATCGTGCCAAAGTTCTCCCTGATGGTCTTATGTAGACGCTTGGCAGAAGACATAGGCACGGGCACGCGCAGCGGGGCATCGTGGTTGAGCCCGTAACCGTAGACGCCGACCTGTTCGGGCGTCAGCACCATTTCCTTTTGGCTTCGTCCAACTGTTTAGGTAAAGCAGCTCACGTCATCGACAATGTAACCGCGTCCGGTAGACCCGAAGGTTTCGATGGCGAACACCTCGCCCTCTTCCATCTTGGTCTGGTCGCGGTTCTTCACAAACGGGATGGACTTGCCGCCGTGGATGTGATACTGCTTGATGTTGTGGCCGGTCAGGTTTCTGATGGGCTTGACACGGTACGTCTTACCGCGGATTTCGACCTCGTAACTCTCCATGACTTCCTGGATGGCAGCGCTGACATCGCTGATGCGCACATCGATACCGGCTGTCTGTAACATGGTTAGTTGCCAATCCCCCTTGTTACCATCGAGGGGAATTCTGTTACCTTGACACCCGTATTGGTCGCATCCTTGACCGCGGCCAAGAGGTTGTCGTAGGTCGGGTCGAAGGCCATGGTGAAAGCGCTGTCGACGATCCAGCCGTTGATGTGAACGCCGAAGTCGACGGTCAGGACATCCTGTTCTTGCAGCAGGACTAGCTTCTGACCAGGGTTGGGCGTGTAATGCGCGACCTGGTTGTTCAAGCAGAGACCGGTGGGGAAGCCCATGCCGGATTTGAGGCAGTCTCCGGCTCCCAAGCCGGCATTGTCCAGCAGCGCCCTGACGCTGTCCTCGATACCCACGGCAATGTCGTGAAGGGCGACGCCGGGCTTGGCGGCCTCCTGCGCCCATCGCCTGGTCTGGCGGTGGATCTCGGCGGCCTTGCGGTAGTTCCTGAGAAAGGTTTCGTCTTCCCAGTACTGCCGGTCGTTGGAGCGACGCTCGGCGGCCGTCGTCCGTGCCGTAGCCTGGTATTCTAGCACTTGGCCCTCGGGGAAATTGCCGTCGGGGAAAAGCTGGTCCAACGGAATCCTTGGGGGTGAGGATTGCTCGCCGGGGGAGTTGGCCTTGCTCTTCTTCTTGGACTTCTTCTTGTTGCGCTTCTTGCGCTTCTTTTGTGTAGTCTCAGCATCGGCCGATGCTGGGTCTACTTCACCGCCGTCACCGTCGCTCTCTTCATCGTCACCACCATCTCCGAGGCAGCCATCTCCGGCTCTCGACAAGTCTGGGCAGTGCAGTTCTCCTCCACCCATAGGGTTCGAGTCATCCAGACTGGGCGGGTCACCTGGTAGAAATGAGCACATGCATTCAAAATATTTTCATTTTCTTTTTGTAATATAATTTCTCGAGCGATCACGTACCATGCCCATGCTGCCTACGCTCATCGTTCTCTGGAGATTTAGCGCCCATTCCGACATTGACAGGCTGTTTTTTTGAGAGGAGCCGGCGACTGATTCGGTGCTGAAAGATGAGACAAAAAGAGGAATTGACGATGTCCAGAGTAAGCTTTCGGAAGGAGAAGCCCGTGGTCTTTTAAATCCGAGACGCACCCCGCTAGACAACCCCCATGAGGTTAGGCAGCTGAAGAGGTGTCCGCTTCCGGGCAGTGTTCTTCGGCTGGTCTCGGTTGTCTTGGCAGACAAACAGGGCACGCCCCCACCTTCCCTTTCTCAAGAAACTGCCAAGCTTCCGCAAGATTGTATCCATGTTACGCCGTCAGGTCGTGTTACATGCACAATGGAAGTACAGCTGCTGCAGGCTGAGTTGAGGTTACGCACGGCCGTGTCTACCAAGGGAAGTCGGTTGTGATCGTAGTGAGGCCCGCCTTGCTCATGCGTAGGCGGTCTAGCGCAGAAGACATCACCAAGGCGCGGTCGTCTAAGCGGAAGGCCGTTGTTTGGGTAATTCGGAAGATAAAACGAGAGTTGGGGTTTGATCCTGCTACTAGGGTCCTGGAAACACGTATACGGGAAGATAGAAAGCGATATCTCTCTACGAGTGCACATAATCGATCCTAGATGGCCAACTCTTGCTGCATTCGGTTTCCGAATAGCTTCAACGGGCTGACCCCACGAATGCGGGGTACCCCTTCTTCAGCGTGCCGTGTGGCTTTTGTGCTCCCGGGTGGGTCCCGTCCCACACATTTCTCCTATTTGGACCCGCGCTTGAACCTCTTCTCAACTTCAACTCGACAGTCAGCGGGTGGAGCGGTTTGGACTTCATTATTTGCCCACCATCTCACCCACGTTTGTTGCGACCCTCTTCTCCGCCATATTTTGGCAGTTCTTGGGAGCAAAACTCTTCTTACGTGCGGACGAGATGGGTCGCTCTTTGACACCTTGGCACCGGGCTGGACGGACCGCGCTAAGCCCCAGATCATGAAACACATGATGGCATCAAGAAGGCCTCGACTATGAGGAGCTGGGCTCCAATGAGTGGTAACCTCAGCCACGTGTCACGGCGATGATCTATCAAGAGGCTGCAGGGAGGCGCGCGGCAAGAGGTCATTCCAAAGCTCAAGCTCTCGGCCTGAAGCTTGAGCTTTTTGGCAGAGCGGGCCGGTGGATGGATGGTGGAAGGAAACGACGGGAATGCCTCAAATCAACAGCAAAACATGGAGGTAACGCAGCCCCTTGAAGCAAACATAAATTCAGCGGCCAAACGCTGGAATCCGGAAGGCTTTTGACTGGGGTTTTGGGGAAAGGCAGTCGCGGCGGCTGATGGTGGGTGGTGCGGGTGTTGCTGCTTGCACCAACCCCGTGTTTTTGTGCCGCCCACCTTTTGTTTTCCTCCCGACATTTGACATTTCGGCTCTGCAACAACACCCTTTTTATCCCATTCTCTGCCTCCTTCCGTTCAAAAGGATATTCTTGAGTACGAAATTACCTTCTTCTCCGACCTAGTTTTGCGACTTTTTGTTACCCGAACCTTCTTTTCCACTGTGAGTCGAATCTTCCATCTTGCGACGGAGCTTGGCTTTTCTCGCGCCGTGCGACAGCGCGCGACAGAAGCGACACACTGCACGCGCTGGTCCTCCACCTGTCGCGTTCCATATCCACCAACCCGCTCGTGCTCTGCTTGTATTTTTTTTTTGTTGGGTTGAATGTATACTTATCCGCTTGGGCAGATTACTAGTTTCAAGTAAAGACGCAGTTATGGCTCCCGGTCGCGAAACGCGGTCGAAGACGGGCAACTCCAAGCCGCGCGTCATCCCGGTCATCGACACCGCGCCCACCATCACGCGCAAGTCGGCACCTAAGAAGAAGGCTGCCCCCAAGACAGAGGCCAAGGGTGCCAAACCCACCGGTGTGACCAAGAAGAAGGCCCCCAAGAAGGACGGTGCTGTCGCGAAGGTACACATCCCCTTTTCGCTCCTGACTGCCCTGGCCTACGGTCTTGAGCGCAAACATGCAATTTGGGTACTGACAGTCACTCCGACAGGTCAAGGCTGCTGTGAAGAAGACGGCGAAGAAAGCGACCGCGACCGAGAAGAAGACGGAGGAGAAGGCCGAAAAAGCCGAGAAGGTAAACCCCCTCTATTCGACGTCTAGGGTATTGATATCCTCGAGCATTCATACTTGCCCCCAACTCTCCTCCATCATGAGGCCCTGTTGCTGACCGATTGTTGATATAGGAGGTCAAGCCCAAGACAACAGCGAAGAAATAGGGAGATTCTGTCGCCAAGTTATAGCATACCGCTGGGTTCTGTCTTCTCGTGTTTTGAACTGCCTCTATCGGGCAAGCTACAGTATTTTTTTATCCTACCTTGCTCGCTTTTTTTGGTTAATCACGTCGCGTTTCTCTGGTTTGGGTCTTGCTTCATTCAGTCGGCAGAGCGTTTTGTCGGGGTTCGGTTCTCTTAGCGTGGTAGAGGGAAGAGGTGTATGAAGTAACAAGGTGTTGTCTGTATCTATTGGTCCATTCCAGTCGTAGAGGAATACTTTTGGGTCATCCATCTCGACGCTCATTCACATTTGATGAACGTATTGGGCGGTATCATCTAGGATCGGATGGAACTAACACTCAGTTCGTTGCGCCCATTCTTCATTGGGGCGTAGTAGATAGCGTACGAGCTGGTAAAGGAAGCTAGGCAGCGTAAAGTATCGACTCTAGATAGTATATCAGAAACAACTTGCAAACATTCCACAGCCTGTAACTCCTTGTAACTTGACTTGATACGGAATACTCCGAGTCTCCTGAAGAGCCAAGAAATATTCGCCCCGCAGCCCAGGTTGGCTCTCCGGCAGGCAAGCCAAGTCAAAGTCATCCTGGCCCGTACATGCCAATCAGGGTCCGCTTAATGAGCGAAAGCCAAGCCTTGAGCGTCGCGCATGGATGCAACTCCCTTGTCTGTCGGCGGCGCGCAACGGACGTGAATGGTCGCGAATCTCAATTGTTTGAAGAGCTCCAAGCTCCTTCCCAAAACTCCAACAAACAGCATCGACATGAACATATCGCGTCCATTGACGCCCCCCACACAGCATGCATATTATCAAACCTTCATGGTTGCGACATAGTGGTGAGCACCCAAAAGATGCAACTTCCAGAATACGTCATTATTCCTGCCCTGGGAAGCTTTTGCTGATTCCGAGCTCGCGCACACAGGGGAGCAAAAGGATTTCGAGGTTTACAGCTGCCACATTTCCCCCGATGGTTCGAGGCTCGCCACCGCCGGCGGAGGTACGTTTATATTACTTCACACCATCCTCCTTTGGCCATTTATGCTGACTTGGAATAGACGGCCATGTCCGCGTCTGGTCGACCAAAGCCATCCTCAACGCCGATCACCCAGAACACGGCAAACCACGACAGCTTTGCCACATGAGCCACCACCTAGGCACCATCCACTCCGTCCGATTCTCCCCGAACGGCCGCTATCTCGCTTCTGGCGCCGACGATAGGGTCATCTGCATATACCAGCTCGATAGCAACCCACCTTCGCATGCGGCAACATTTGGTATGGCTCACAGCAAGGAGTAAGGGGGGTTGAGTTGGGTCTGGAGGCTGACTGGAGATTGCAGGCACGAACGAACCCCCGCCTGTTGAGAACTGGAAAACACACAAACGTCTCGTCGGTCACGATAGCGATGTCCAGGACCTCGCCTGGTCATACGACAACTCGATCCTCGTCTCCGTCGGCTTAGATTCCAAGGTGGTGGTATGGTCGGGACACACTTTCGAGAAGCTGAAAACCATCGCCGTACATCAGAGCCACGTTAAGGGTATCACATTCGATCCCGCCAACAAGTTCTTCGCGACCGCGGGCGATGACCGACACATCAAGATCTTCCGTTTCACCCCGCCCCCGCCGAATGCGACCCAACATGACATGGTTAACAACTTTGTCCTCGAGACAACCATCAGCGCGCCGTTCAAGAGCTCGCCGCTTACAACCTACTTTCGGAGATGTAGTTGGTCTCCAGACGGTAATCACATAGCGGCAGCCAATGCGGTCAACGGACCCGTGAGCAGCGTTGCAATCATTGAGCGCTCGAGGTGGGACAGTGAGATCAACCTAATCGGTCACGAGGGGCCCACCGAAGTCTGCATGTTCTCCCCCCGTTTGTTCCATACGCAAAAGCCCAGCGACAACGCGTCCGATAAGGGCTCGCCCGGCCTGGTGACAGTCATCGCATCCGCGGGACAGGATAAGACGCTGAGCATATGGAACACAAACACCTCGAGACCCGTTGTTATTTTGCAGGATGTGGCGTCCAAGTCCATGTCCGACCTCGCCTGGACCCCCGACGGCCAGACACTGTTCGCCTCGAGTTTGGACGGCACAATTCTCGCTGTCAAGTTTGAGACGGGTGAGTTGGGTTGGGTGGCAACTGCCGAGGAGAACGACAAGGCGTTGCAAAAATATGGCGGGTCGAGGAAGGGGATGGGGACCGCTGAAGATGTCGACGGTTTACACCTCGAGAACCACAGCAAAGAGGGCGAGCTGCGGGGAGCCGAGTCAAGGATGGGTGCGCTGATGGGGGATTTCCAACCCGAGGACAAGGGCCAACCGGCCGCAACTAATGGCTCAAAGCCGACGGCCAAGAACGGCGAGACTAATGGCACGGCAGAGCCAAAGGAGAAGGAGGCAACCAAGGCAGCGCCGGCCGAGGAAAGTGTAGAGAAGACGGCTGAAAGGATAGCTGAACTGAAGTCGCGAGTGCAGGTTACCAAGGACGGAAAGAAGAGGGTAGCGCCATTACTGGTCTCGTCGTCCGCCACAGGTCTCTTGTCATTACCTCAGTCACAGCTGGTCGGTTCGAAATCGACCAAAACAACCCAAAACGATACACCGCAAACCATCTTGGACCTTTCCAAGCCATCCCACGGCTTGCCGAGAGGAGGCATAGCCGCCATGCTCCTGGGCAACAAGCGGAAAGCTGCTGCAATGGAGGGAGAGGAGGAGGACGAGCTCGCGGGCAGGCGGCCTTCGGCTGGGCCCGTTCCAATTCTGATTGACACCCCCGAGGGGTTAGAACCTGCTCCCTTGACCGCCCCTGCTCAAGGTGTTGTACCGACACCAGAGTACCTCCGGCCAGCCGTCATAAGCCCAGCCGTTTCCTTCTCCCAGGTCAGACTGGCCGTGCCCAAGGTGCGGTCACACATCGTGAGACCGCTCGAAAAAGGCGTCCTTCAAGGACAGTCAACCCTTGACGAAGCATCCAAAGTACCCGAGATTATCGTTCTCGAGGCTAAGAACCCCATCAGACCCCGAGAGCCCGCCCACATCTCGGCCTCCAAACGAGGCGCCCGTCTCTGGCAAGACTACCTCCCGCGCGCCATCATTCTCGTAACCGGCAACAAACACTTCTGGGCAGCCGCTTGCGAGGATGGCTCCTTGCACACCTGGACGCCCGCCGGCCGTCGCCTCCTCAACGGCATCATCCTCGAGTCCCAGCCCGTCATCCTCGAATCCCGTGAGCACTGGCTCCTCTGCATCACCTCGGTCGGCCTCTGTCACGTATTCAATATCAAAACCATGTCCGCCGCCCACCCGCCCGTGTCCTTGGGACCCATCCTCGACATGGCCATCACCTCCCTCTCCCCCGAGGGCCCGACCCCCGCGCCGGGGGTCACCTCAGCACACCTCAACAGCGTCGGCGCCATCGTCGTCACACTCAGCAACGGCGACGGCTTCTACTACTCCTCCACCATGTACGCATGGCAGCGCCTCTCCGAGTCCTGGTGGGCGCTGGGCAGCCAGTACTGGAACAGCAACGACTCGTCCGTCAGCGCGCTGTCGACCACGGCCGTGGGACCCACCGCAACCACCACATCATCCACATCCGCAACAACCCCCGACCGACCGGACGCCGCCACAGCCGAGATCGGCATCTCGGCCGGCATCATCCCCCACCTCGAGCGCCACACCACCAACGAGTTCCTGCTCAAGGGCCGCGCCTTCACCCTGCAGCGCCTCATCAAGACCCTCCTCTCCAAGGACGGCTTCGAAGGCTTCGAGAGCACCGTCAGCGTCGCCCACCTCGAGAACCGCATCGCCGGCGCCCTGGGGCTCGGCGCCCGCGAGGAGTTCCGGCTGTACCTGTTTATGTATGCTAGGCGGATCGGTGCCGAGGGGTTGAGGGGGAAGGTCGAGGAGTTGTTGAATTGTTTGGTGGGGGGGTTGTTGCAGGAGAAAAACGGGGGTGGTGGTGGTGGTGGTGCTGGGGGTCTGGGTGGGGAGGCGAAGGGGTGGTTTGGGAAGGGGGAGATGTTGGGGGGGTGGGAGAGGCGCGAGTTGTTGAAGGGGGTTGTGCTTATTTTGGGTGAGTTTTTCTTTTTGTTGTGCATGATGCATCGCCTTGCCCTACTCCTCATTCGCCACTTGATGGATTGGTTATTACTGACACTGTTGATGCAGGCAAATTCCGCGACCTCCAGCGGTTGACCGTCCAGTATGCCCGCATTCTGGGGCTGACTGCCGACGGCGAGGAGGAGGAGGAGGACGGTGACAACGGCGGCGGCGGTGAGAATGGCGCTGCGGCCGAGGAGATGGAATTGGAGGAGTAGTGCGCCGACGCTGGACTGCGTGTTCGTCCCCAGTCGGCGTATCCGTATCCGGATGGGGATCTACCTACTACTCCTATCACGCGGGTGGCGGGATCGAAGCGCTTGCGGTTGGAGACGGAGGGTTTGGCGGGTCAGGAAGCGGTGTTCTTTAGTTCCGCAACTGTGGCGCCTTTGGGCTCATCATGGATGGAGATGCCCTCTAACTGTTAGATGGCCGCGCCCTCGGACTCGCAATCGACGGTGCTATCCGACTCTGGACCTGTGGGCGGGGGGGGTGGCGAGGAAACGCTGCCGAGCTCGTTGTTTGACGGTGCTGGGACCAATGATGCCGGCTTGTCGTCGCCCTCGGGGTCGCATGTTATGGCGAATGCATATTTGGAACCTCGGCGCGTGGGCGGAAAAGATTCAGCAGGGGATGGGGATGGAGATGGGGATGTGGAGATGAGTGGTGCCGGTGCCGGTGGTAGTCCTACTTCTGATGGTGCTGACGACACACGGATGCCACTCGATCTCATTGCTTGCTTGCGCCCTGCGTGGCGGCAACGATGGTCTGACAGGTACGAGTCGGTTCAGCGGCCTCTGGTTTAGATTAAGGAAGGGGAGTGGGCGGAGCTTTCGGTCTTCTTGTTCTGTTTCAAGCTATGGGTGGGGAGAGGCGTGATTCGGGCGGTACTTTCTTTACATGGTGAATCGGCGTATGGTGAACTTCGGCCTGAGGTGTCGTGTATAAGAGCGGTGTTTCCTTGGGCTTGAGCTAGAAAGCATAAGTTGCGGGTTGTCCACCGGTTTGTTTTGACGTGCAGGTGTGAAGGACAAGTCGATTTCAGCGCAAAGACTTCTTGGTTAAGTTGCGCCAGTGGCGACAAGTAGGGTTCTCTCGAATAATTCACCCACATACCGACTCTTTCGAGCCCTCTAGTCGTAATCCCTCTTAATAACACTAACAGTCTCTGGACTATACCAAGTGGCTCTTTGAACGCCCCTTGAAGAAAGAAATTGGGGGATACAGCACTCGATCTACTCCCTTACCACTGTAGCTGTTAACATCATCTACGGTCTGCTAGTGAGCCAGATATCTACAGTTTTCGACAGCGCCCGTAAGCTACCAACAACGGTGAGACTCCATAGTATATACTACATATCTCTAACACGCCCGGATAACACTACCGGCAGAATTACCACTACTAGCCTGCCGCCATTCCCCAGGAACCAGTGCAGCAACAGCCAAATCCTCTGAAACCCCCGTCTTAGCCCCATACGGCACCGCCCAAAGATAATGACCCGTGCCCGCAACGTAGCTAGAGAGAAGGCTTCGTAATATTAAGAGTCGGGGTATTATATGTATGGATAGGAATATCGAGTTCAAGTACATTAACCGCACGTTTGAATCGCTCCCTGACTGGATGATGGTGATCAAATGGCGGGGAAGTAGTCAGCCCAGGTCGAGCGGTAAACCCCCTGAGGCATAGCACGCATACTCGATAGGCCTACGGCCACCAGAACGAGGCGAGCGGCGCAATACAAACCCATGGTGATGTAGACCAGCCACTTGTTGAAGGCAGTGGGCAGCAGGCTGCGGCGGGGGAAAACGCCGATGGTGGCCACCTCCTCAACCATCTTTTTCGATCCGTGGCCGTCAATGAGCTGGAACAGCCGGTGGAGATTGGAGCTATATCCCGGCGGGAGGTCGAGATCGGGGCGGTTTTGGAATGCACCCCTTTTGTCGACAAAGTCGAGCATCTGTTGCCGGAGATGGTCGTTGGGGTGGGGAACCTCGCCCGCCGACCAAAGCAGGTTTGCGTAGGGGACGCGGATGAAGTGACCATCCCGAGCAGGGCGGAAGCCCGTGTCGTATTGTGCCTCCAACATCTCGCGGATGAAATTGAGCTTCTTCTTTTCTTCGGCAGTTTCGAGCTGCCAACAGAGTTCGCGCAGAACGCGGACGGTGGCATACTGGAAGTCCCGTGGGTTTCCCTGGCGCCAGGTGGACTGAGAAAGCGGGATCCCTAGCAAGCCTAGCGGAGGTAGGGTGATGGTGAGGATGGTGCAGACGTGCCAGATGGTTGCTTCGGCCGCGGTGGGAAAATCGAAGTCCCAGGCAACGGCGTGCAAGCTGGCGAACGCTGCCGAGACGAAGGCCAGGAGAAAGGTTGCGGTGTGCGCGAAGCCGGCCCGGTTAACGGGGATGTTATCGTTAGGAACGCGGCCGAGCGGCCTGGAGCGGTCGTCCTTGTTATTGGTCACGACTCTCCAGAAACTCTCGAAGGTTGTCAGACGGGGTAGAGCCCGGCCGGGTTCGTCTTCACCATACTTGGTACGGACACTAATGGGGACAGCGACGTCCTTCGGCTTGTACCAGTAAACTGCGTATGTGACGACGCCACAGATTGCAAAAGCGAGTGTCAAAATCTCGAGCTGGGAGCTCGGCAGACCCTGGCTCCGGCGGACGATGAGCGAAAGCACGAGGTGAGATATTTGGAAGACAGAGAAAGCTTTGGCGAGCCCATCCGTTTTGCTCCTGTCTTTGATCTCGTCTTCGGTAATCTTGGGCAAGTCAAAATGGCCGTAGAACGAAGCCAGATATTCGCCTGTTAACGGAACTGCGATGGGTCCCGGCGAAAACACAAAGCCGCCCATGTTAGCGAAGTAGGCGTGCGTCAGGGTCCATCGGACCATGTGGGATGGGTGCTCCTCGCTCTGGCTGCTGGAGGTGGTGCTTGGCTGGCTGCTGGAGGTGGTGCTTGGCCGACGCTGTTGCTCTTCGTAGGCAAGTCTGTCAACCGGTTTCTGGCCCAACATGGAGCGGAGGGCAGGCCAGCGGTTCGGGGAGTCCACAAGCAGGGCAAGCCAGCGCGGATACACGACGGCTATCTGCCCCCAACCCGGGGTGGAAAAAGAGGTCCTCTTCATGTGCCTCATGGCTTCGACGGCGAGGACCAGTTCCATAATGGCGTGGGCCAGGATGAACTCGGGGAGCAGGATGGTAACAAGCATCCATTTGCAGACGCGGAAGAACCTGCGCCACTCGCCATCATGGGCGGCGGGCACGTTGAGATGCTGGATGGTCCATGTGCAGGCGAAGATTGTGACCAAACATGTCTTGATGATGCTCAAGGTCCCGCGGGTGGTGTCGGCATTTTGCCTGGCATCATGTCAGCCATGTTCTCAGCCGTGTTCTGTCTGGGTTGTCGAGGTAGGTATCTGGGTTGTCTGTTTCGTGATGCCAGGTACCGAGAGTCACTTACCAACCGACAAGCGGACCGTCCATCTCTTTTCTTTAGATAAGGAGCGGAGTGCACATCCCAAGCTGGTTTGCCTGCCAGCCCAGACCAAGGGGCTTCAGCGACTCAAATGGAAATAGTTGGGCAGCGCGACCGACCTACCTACCACCTAAGGTGTGTAGTTGCAGCGGCGGCGCAGGATCGGGCGTCCTGGTGGGGGCCTACAGCGGCCTGCAGCGGTCCACCTCACCGAGGCGCAGCATTTGTAGGCATGTCGAATGGCGGATGGTTGGATTTAGTGTAGTGTGTAGGTACCGACCGAGGTTGTTACAGTGTTCTGCCTTGAATCCGTGACTGGCACTGCCTCAACCTCTCTCCATTCCATGGTATGTACCGTATGGGGGTTTCAAAAGAGGAAAAGAACCTTAGTGAGGGCGAAGGTACTGCAGTTGGCTAGTGGATGGAACCTGCTGCGAGCCCCGCCGGAATATACCGCTGTGCGCCCCCAAGGCGATGGAGGCTTAGCCCATCCCGTCTTGAATGTTTCCAAGCACAATTCCTTCCACCCTTGGCTCGCGCTTCAACTTGCATTCAGTTCACCACATGGAACTGCCCGGATTGGACTGGGCTGGGCTGCCTTGCACCCGACACTTCGTCGACATGGACCAACTTTACTCACCAAGACCTAGCTTTTTCATCTCATCATCTTGAGCTGAGCTGACCCTCCAAACAACGAATACCTCCCCCTTCCCTCCCCCTTCCCTCCCGCCGCCCCGAAATGGGTTTTTGGCCATGGACCAAGACAACAGCCATCCACGAGGCTGCAGCCCTGGGCGATATTACCAGACTCAAACGGCTACTCGCCAACCGACGCGTTAATGTCAACGCACAGAACGCAGACGGCGCAACCGCCTTGCACATCGTCGTGTGCACTGACAGCCCTACGACAGCGCTGGAAGCACTGCTGGCCCACCCCGACATCAACCTCAACTGCCAGGAACGCAGCGGGAAGACCCCCTTGCATCTTGCTCTCTCCTCCAGAAGACGAGACATGGTTCGGCATATCCTCGCGGATCCCCGCACCGACGTCAACCTAGCAGACCACGACGGCCGTTCGCCGTTGCACTACGCCGTCGACAATGGGGGAATCCACGGCGGGCCTATTCTAAGTCTCCTTGTGGCCGCCCCGGGGGTCAACCACGAAGCACAGGACCGACGCCAACGGACCGCTCTAGCGTGGGCCCTAAATTACGGTTACCTGCTCGTGGTAATGCATCTCGCCTCGGACCGCGACCCGTTGCCAGAGGTTGCCGTGAGAGACGTGGATGGCAACACGGCACTCCACAAAGCCGCCAAGTATGGGGATAGGACGCTGGCCCGTCTGGTGAAGGGCCAGGACAAGGAGGTTCTAGATGTCAGGAACCTCAGGTCGGAAACCGCCCTCCACGTCGCTGCGAGGTACAACTCAGATTCCCTCGAATTGCTCGTCCATGCCGGCGCCAACCTTGACGCACGGCGAGACTCGGACGGCGCTACCCCATTCCACATTGCCGCCCAACATAGCTCCTGCGAGTTTGTGGATCGCTTACGGTCACTTGATCCGCCCCTACGCAGCCTTATACTTGCCAAGGATAATGACGGCAACACGCCTTTACATCTCGCGGCTGAACGCGGCGATTCCAAGATGGTGGATACCATTCTGAACTTGTACAAGGACCCAGATGAACAAACCGATGAGCCCACCGCCCGGCCAACCCCGCGTGAGCTTGGTTTAGTCAATAACAAGGGCGAGGCGGCCGTGACGCTTGCGGCGCGTCACGGCCATGTCGATATCGTGATATCTTTGCTGCGAGACGAACATATCGAGTCCGACGAGGTCAGATCCAGCCGCGGCGAGGCCGTTTTGCAGATTCTACCCCGAATCACCGATAATTCGGCTGAGGAAGTGGTCCAGCAGGAGCGGATCCTTGTGTTATTCGGGTGGGCGGCCCGGGAAGGTGTACTTGACATTATCAAGCCGCTCCGGATCCACGCCGACCCTTCAACTCTTCAACGCTCCATTTCGCTCGCCGCGGCAGGTGGGCACGCCCACGTGGTTCAGTATCTCGCCGAAGAAGGGGTTGATCCTAACGTCTGGGCGGAATCCGATGGGACCCCGCTTGTCCTCGCCATTGAGCACGGGCACATCAAGGTCGTCGAGGTCCTCCTCGGTCTCGAAGGGGTGGATCCGAACCTCGGTGTCCCAGACTCCGATACCCCCCTGATGAAGGCCATACGATGCCACTCCGCCGCAGCTGTTTCGTTGCTTTTGAGCGACGAGGTCATCGGGGTCAAAGGATTATTGCTCGACAAGGGGAACCACAAGAGCCAGCAGTCCGGTCGCTGGTTTTCTAACCCATTGCTTTTGGCTTCTCAGCTCGGCTACGAAGATATGGTCGAGATGCTCGTCCGGCCCGGCCTTGCGGCGCAGGCCAACTTGACCGTTCAGGACCAAGCCTTTGGTCAGACCCCGTTAAACGCGGCCTGCTGGAGGGGCCACTGGCGCGTCGTCGAGGTGCTCTTCCAGGCTCATCCCTGGACCGCGGGCCCTGATGTGCTTGGTGTCGATCGGCCGGATGACGCTGGCCGCACGCCGTTTGCCAACGCCTGCGCGTCGTCAAGTCCTAACACGGTCGATCTATTTCTCAAGAGTGCCCTGATCAGGCGCAGGCTAATCGATCCCGACGCAAGAGACAACAACGACATGACGCCGCTTGCTCACGCCTGTAGCAAGGGTGCCGTCGAGGTCTTGCAACTCATCTTCGACACCGACTTGATAAAGGACCGGCTGGTCGACCCCAACGCCAGGGCCAAAGGGTTTCGGACCCCGCTAGCGTTGGCTTGTTCGGGGGGGCATGGTGGGGTAGTCGGTCTCTTTTTGGATTATTTTCTCTCCGGCAACGGGTCAGGTCTCGTTAATTTTGGCGATCCCCTTGACGGCGAAGGGAGGACCATCCTCGAGCTTGCCTTCGTACCCTACGATTGGCCAGCCATGGTATTGTTGCTATTGGACAGCCGTCTAGTTGACTTGGGGTTGGTCGACCCTCGTAAGGCTTACCGATACATGGAACAGCGGGTCAAGGAAGACTTGGATGAAGATGATGACGATGTCGACATAGAGTTAGTTGTGCGCAGGCTGGAGGAGCTGGGCTGCGCGGAGCCATAGATCTAGAGCTTGCTAGCGAAACTACTTGTAAATCTTTCTGCTCCCCGCCGCCAAGCGTCAAAGTTTGTCCGCGTCGGTGGCTGTCGTTTGCTTGTCTCTTTGCTCACGTACCGTAGAGCAGCCGGAGGAACACCCGGTTTGTCGACTCCGTGTTCCTAGCGCTATCTCCCGCCAACCCCCCCGGGCTTCGGTGCCCCCCTCGGTATGGTATCTCCGGTGCACGTATATACATACATGAGCACCCCTATTCAACCCGAGTTCCGCAACCATTGGGCAACCCCTGAACAACTAGATTATTGCAAGTCGCACTCGCAGCATATCCGCGAGCCATCGAGAAAGGCACCGCAAATCTCAGTCATCAGCCTTCAGCTCATGCCCCAACTTGGCGCAAGGTCTCCCGCAACGCAAACAAACCAAATATGAAGGCCCATTTGCTTTGATTTGGCCCAGAGTTAGCCAAATTTGACTTGTTTGAATTTGTTTGCCTTGGGTCAAATCAAATCCTATATATAACCCTAACCCCTACTACCACCTCTCCTTGCTCTTCCTGACTTACAGCTATCAGATCTATCAATCCATCAAAACGTAATCAAATTAAACGATCTTGCAATCCGCTGAATCGCTTAAAAACGCAATTAAATTCAGATCTTTTAAATCGTGTTTTTTTCTGACTACGCAACTGTAAGCTGGCTGGCTGGTTGGCTGGTAAAAGTGGCGATGCTGAAGTGGCGATATACCTTAAAACTATATATATTACCAAACACTTATAGTAGGTTACGTACTACGCGCGTATTGTAATGTTAATGTTATATAAGGGAGGAATTGGCTTAAAGAACAATCTTTAATACTACGAATCCTACGACCGTGGAATCAATGTACCTATATGCGTAGCCTTCTGGTCAGAAGGCTGCGGTTACAACTACCGTAAAAAGAAGTTACTTCAACAAGTACGGAAAAAGGAATGGAATTACATACCCCGTAAACTCTGAGAGGGCTTGGGCTTCTGACTAAATACAAGGACGCCCCGGGCGGACGAACGCGACGAAGAAACGGAAAAACGAAATTCCAGACCCCATGTCCCTCTGGTTAGAGGGAGCTCGTTGCCCCAGTTCAATGCGACTGTCGTCTGCAAACGAAGGCTCAATCCGGGCCACCTACCTATTGTAGGCGCCTCTGGGCGCCCAGCGGTTATACAGGGTCGGGTTGGATGTGGCTGTTGTGGCGGTTGAGGGCGTTTTGCAGGGCATTTTGCAGGGCATTTTTCCTCTGTACAGCTTGGCAAATCTATCAAATCAAGCAATGTAAATCGAACAAGTTATTTGGCTAAATTAGAGGTCGATTTGCGTTGATTTGCGTTGGATTTGTTTGATTGCGTTGTTGAGATTTGCGTTGCGGGAGACCTTGACTTGGCGAGGCGGCGTCCAGGGCTCCGTCAAAACTCCATATGTCCGTGGCTCAACCTCGCCCGCTATGTCTTGGACACCGGCACGGCAAACCGCTGCGAAGGAACCTGCGGTAATATGGTTAGTCCCGGAGCCATAATTGAGATCATTGTTTGGGCATCCTACCACCTTCGGACGTCCTGGCCTCCTGGGAGCAGATCATCCCAACCGTACACGGTACGGGGACAATGCGGCCAACGAGCCGGCACTGAGGCCCAGGCCAGCCATCTAGAAGACTCCGGAATAACAAGGCAGCAGCGTCGTAGACTTGCGATGCCTCAATCCGGACCGGTAAAGTTCCTCTCCTCCCCAGACCAGCCCACTCTTGGCCAGCCCTCAGGCAAAGTCGCATACTTCGGCAAGACATACCGGCCGTCGCACCCATTCTCCTTGCAGCTCAAATCACACAACCCGTACAGGTTGCAGTAACACTCAGCCGCCGACGGGCAAAAGACCGCTTCCTTCCCAAAAATAACTAGCACCGTCATCAGCACACAACCCAGCACCACCAAAACCAAAAGCGCACAAAACCAGGTAAGCAATACTCACTATGCCACATATACTCCAACACCCTCCCCGACAAGTCATCCCCCAGCGGTGTCTGCACCAACCACTCCCGCCAGCGGACATACTCCTCCCTCGGCCTCGCCCGCACCGCCTCCCGCGACACCGCAAACTGCGAGCAACACGCGACCCCCACCTCGCGGGGAACCTCCACGCCCGGCAGCAGCTCCTCAAACGCCCGCTTGAACACCTCCTTGGTCGTTAGCTTGCGGCCATCCGCCGCACCACCATCACCGGGGGTGAGGTCGGTGGAGGGGGCGGCGTCGGCGTGCGGATGGATTTCTACGGGACAGCCTAATACCCAGACGCAGCGCAGGTTGACGTAGCCGGCGGACTGGATGTGGGGGAGCTGGAGATGGTGCAGCGTGGCGAGGGCGTCGTAGTCGGGGTCGTCGTTGTGCCAGGCGAAGCGGGAGGCGTGGATGAAGATTGTGGCCGGGAGGAGGTGGTCGTAGGTGTTGATGATGTGGCTGTTTTAGGGGAGGGGGGGGTTAAGCGTGAGGATGGGTATGGTCGGGGTTGGTTTTTTTTTCTTTTTTTTTGGAGATATCTTACGTTAGATATACCATGGCCTCGCGGCCTTTGTTCTTGGGGACGGTGAACTCGGCGGTGGGGTCGTCTACGATGTAGACGCTGCGCGACCAGTTTGGCAGATGGCGGTGTACCCAGGAGGTGTCCTCGCTCCGGAGGCTTGCCACGACGATTCCGGCTGCTGGTGGCTTCTTGATCGATTGGGTGATGTAAGAGGGCCAATCCCACTGGAGATGGAATTGAAGGCCGAGAAATACCATGATGACAGCAACTGGAATTAGAATGGATGGAACTCTTCTCCCGGAGCGCGTCGGCATGGCGGGATTAATAACACTGAAGTGAGGAAAACGAGAGAAGAGACTCGGCGTTGATGTCAACATCCTCGCTACAGATGATACCTAGGTAGGTAGGCTTTCAGGCTACCTAGTGTGAGAGACACAATTGTAGGGAGAGAGACAACAACGCGACAACCGCTTATTGCTGGCCAAGAAGAATAAAGGAAAGAGGTTGTGGTGTGAAACAAAGAACGGAACAGTTCAACAGGGGTTGAATTTCATGACAAGTGCTGCGCCTTGTTGGTACCTAGGGATACAGTTTCCTAAGTTCAGGTAACTTCCCTTATGGTGACCGGTCTCGTGATGGGGTTGGTACAGGCAAGTGAGTTGGTTATGATGGGGGGGTGCATGGCGCGGCGACAACATAAATACCTGGCCACGAAATTAGCAGCGAGGCGGGCAAGGGGCAACGCAGGTTCGTGGCAGATTGTCCCGGTCTGTTGGTTGGTGATGGGTCCATGGAGACCCCGGAAACCACGGTTCCGCGGTTACTCGCACCACTTTTACTGTTGTGAGGCATTTCGAGGTTGCGGCGGTGGTCCGCTCCTTGACATTGCACTACTAGGGGCCGAATGTGCGACTTTTGGTATAGACTGAGACTGCTCAGCAAGTCGCGGCAAAAAGAGGCATAACTAGTGCGGACCCGGCAAACTAGTAGTTATGTAGTTAGGGAGGGACTCGGAGGCGGCTGGTCGGGCACGTTGATTTGAGCTTGACTACAAATACAGACATGACTGAGAAATGCCAAGATACCGTCTGAAGGACTTCCATTTTGGTGGGATTCACTCGAAAATCAGAGTCCCCGCGCCCTGATCCGAATCACTGAATCAAGAGTCGTGACCCGAATCAACGTACCCGACTAGCCGCCGTGATGGGTGGTCGGATTGCCGATCTTGAAGGCCCGACGAGTAAGAAACGCGACTTGCCTCTGGGGGCCCCTGTCACGGTCTTGCTCGTCGGCTCATCAACCAATTATGCCCATAGACTTACCGCCCCCAACGGAGTTCCCGCCCCCTTCCCAATTTACACATTGCTTAGCGGTACGCGATGCGACGCTTTCAGGTCTGTTGGTAGCAGGTTTACAAGGGGGCTTGCGGAAGATAGCCCAGGACTTCGCTCAAGGGTGAAATGATTCTTAGCTGGCAGCTTCGCTCTCTCCGACTTTCTCATCCTCCCTGGCTGACCGCTGGAACCGCGGTTACAGATTACACAGTGCAGCGGAGAGTTTGTTGCACGACGACCTACCTGCCTAGTACCTACCTACCTAGGTACCTAATCAAAGCTATTTGTTTACTTACATACCCGTTTGGAACGCGGCTGAATTGGCTCGAGCGAAGTGCCGAGCTAAGTGCGGGAGAGATGCCTCCAGGTCCCAGTTTGCAATACGAGCGTTCGCTCTCCCTTCTGTTGGGGAGAGAGGTGATGTGCGCCGATATTTTCGGATCGGAGGGAGTTACCAAAATATGCAGTCCGAGTCTTACCCGATGCTGTAAGAGCCCCGTGCAATGCCAGCTTCTCTCGTGGTTCCGGCGCTGACGAACTCTCCATCTCCAGGCGCCCGACGAGGTGAAGAATTTCCCAGCTGCCAGGAATCCCTAGGCAAGGGCTGGTGTTGCGACGGAACGTGCGTCGCCGTCAAACTCCTTTCCCCCCCTTCCTCCGGCTTCAACAATCATTCCTCTAACCGTCCCCCGCAAACAGCGACCCAGCCGACAACTGCTTCGTCGACCAATCCTCCGCCTGTGAGGAGCCGGATTCGGTCCCCTGCGCAAATCTCGCCGAAGGTACCAGCAAGGCATGCTGTCCGCGCCTAACAACCTGCGCGGCAGACCACGCTGCCAGCGTGGGAATGGTGCGCTGCAATATGCAGTATTTTGATCTCCAGAGAGCTGCTGAAGCGCCGCCGTCGTCGTCGTCTGCGCGGACCACAACAAGCCCGGCAAGCTCCAGCATATCTACTTCCAGTACGGGCAGTACCGAACTGTCGACACCTGGGGCGAGCTCAGGCGCGCTACTACCCGCGTCTTCGACCGCGGCGACAAGTAATGCCGGAGATGTCCAGCAGACACCGCTTCCGTCGGATGTGAACTCCCAGGGCCAAGGGACATCGGAATTGTCGGCAGGGTTAATCGCAGGGGCTGCAGTGGGAGGGACGCTGGGGTTCGTGGCGTTATTGGTGTTGGGGTACTTGTTCTTGCGGAAATTATTGAAGTCGAGGCAGCAAAGCGGTCATCCTCCACCGCCTGGCGCGTCTGAATCCGAATCCCAACCGGAATACGGGCATCATGACTATTCTCAGACGACGATGGCTCCTGGCCCGCCTGGTTATGGTCCGACCGAGCTGCCTGGGGCCAAGATGGAGCCGGTTGAACTGCCAGCTGCGTGTAAACCGAGTGAGTTGCATTAATATTGTAGAGTACGGGACATTGTTGCAGTGTGTGTATATAAGTAAGGTACCCAGTATAATTCGTTATTACATAGTTCTCGCGCGGGCTTGGAAGGCAACATAGTATTGAACCCAGCCTGGCATAAACACAATACCACAATTCAAGTTACTACTGTTCCTGTCATACTTTTGAGTCGTGAGAGAAAGAATAAGAAATTGGTCGAAGAGGTGTTACCATGAGTCGGATATCGGCATCGTTTGATTGTCCTTTTCTCTGGAGTTCAAACTATTCTTAGTGCTGCCAGCGAACGTCCTTGTCGCGAGGATTGTCCAATGACGAGCAATAAAACGAGTCGGACACTCCCTCCACAGTACAGATTACATTGAGGTCGCCAATCAGGTGCACCACAAGGCATTTGGAATCAATTTTAACAAGAGTTAAAGAGTTCGTGCGCACTGCCCGAGGGGTGCAATTTCCGCGGCCCCAAGCCCCGGACACGCGAATCCCCCTTCTATTGGTCCGGCCTTCGGCAGGCTGTGTCCTGGGCTCGCTGGGCTTTGTGGCTTTCTGGGAAGCCTAGTGAAGGATCAAATCTGCAGATACATACATGCAACAGACCACCATACACAGCAGATGCCCGTCTGGCTTGACGTCATAGTTAACGGAGCAGATTCCATTTTGGTTGCTGACAGCAGAGCTGCTTTGGTCCAAGCGTCCACTAGTGCGGATGAGTGCCCACCGCTCGCCATGTGTTGCAATCAGTGGATGCCTTGGGTGCTTGGGCTCAATCCTTTCCCTTGTCGCTCGAGTTTTGTTTCCACTTCGAGGACCTCCCCGACGTTTAGGTATTGGCGCCCTGAACCTTAAAACAATTAAGCAATCTCCTACCACCCGCTGCCACGATGCAAGGGTCTTGGGGCTTTTCACTCAGCCAGCTGCACAGTTAGTTACTTCCTAAAGCGGAAAATCGGATTTCAAAGTCCACTCAGGCAGCTTCCTAGCCTCACTACACTTCGCAAGGATCGCCATCGCTGCGCCTCATCAGCGCGAGTTGTACATGCAAACAAAAAAGACAGGCTGATATCTTTTGTTTACATATAAGACGATACCTTGACAAGCTCGTCGGGGACGCCTCTGGATGGCATCTCTAATCAATCGGCGACAATCGCCCATCACCGAGCCTGCCTTCCTACTAGAGTCAATTTTATAATTTTCATTCTATTTTTCCCTTTCCGTCATGCTTCCCATCGCTCTCGCATTCGCCGTTGGTGTGGCGGCGGGCAAATGCTCGAAACCGCCTCCCACCGACGGCCTTACGTGGGGTCCTTGCCCGCCTACCAACAACCCCAACAACGTTACTATCGACTGCACTACCCTCGAAGTCCCCCTCGACTATGCCGACAAGGAGAGCAAGGAGAAGCTCACGCTGAACCTGGTCCGCCACCCGGCGACAGCAGAGAAGAAGCTCGGCACCATTCTCACCAACTTTGGCGGTCCGGGCCAGGAGGGCCTCCCCAACATGCCCATCTACGGGCCCCTCTTCTCGCCCATCCTGAAGGGCCAGTACGATCTCGTCAGCTGGGACCCGCGTGGAACCGGCCAGACCCTCCGCTTCCAGTGTGTCCCCCCGGAGAACATCACCCAGATCCTCGGGAGCAACGGCGCCAACGCGTCGGCAACCGCTGCCGAAGAGCTCTGGGCTGAGGCCGGCGCCGCTGCCGAGCTGTGCTTCACCGAGAACAAGGATCACGGCCACCTGATCGGGCAGGCTTATTCTGCGCGGGACATGGACAGGATCGTCACGGCCATCGGCGACGATAAGCTGAAGTACTGGGGTGGGTTTCCGTTTTTCAATCGCATGTTTCTGCTACGAATGCTAACGGGGAAGGAAAATACAGGTATCTCTGGTGGCACTACTCTCGGTGCTGTCTACGGCGCCCTTTTCCCGGAGAGGGTGGGCAGTGTCCTTCTGGATGGCGTTCTCAACTCGCACCAGTACTTCGGCAAGACCGGGTATGATTTCCACATGATCAACCCTCGACGTACGGCAGTGGAAATTTCGGTGGCTAACCTGGGACTCTTTCTAGTGAGGATGAGATGTACGCTGCCTCCGACAGGGCTGTTCGCGGCTTCCTCGAGGGCTGCCTCGCCTTCCCCGACCGGTGCGCCTTCTACCGCGAGGACAGGAACGTCGACCAGCTCGAGAAGGAGCTCTTCGACTTCCTCCAAAACCTCAAGGCCAACCCCATCCCTATCCCCGTCCCCGGCTCCGAGGAGCCCGCCGGCTTCATCCGATACTGGGACGTGCTGAGCATCTTCTACCTCGGCATGTACCGCCCCGGCCAGTTCATCGACATCGCTACCGCCCTCGACGGCCTCATGGAGGGCAACCTCACGGCTGCTATTATCGCCTTGACCCCCGCGCCCACCACCCCCAACCCGGACGTGATTCCACCTGCCGCCGAAGCCATCCTCGGTATCCGCTGCGCCGACAAGAAGCCCCGCGTCGATACCCTGGCCGGCATGCGGCCCACGTACCTCGACGTCGAGGCAACCACGCGGTGGTTCCTCGATTTCTGGGGCCACTCCAACCACTTCGCCTGCGCGCAGTGGAAGTTTGACGCCAACGAGCGGTACGAGGGCGACTTCAACGTCGAGACGGCGAACCCCATCCTGTTCCTCGGCAACACGTACGACCCCGTCACTCCCTTCGAGTCCGCCAAGAACATGAGCGAGAGCTTTGCGAACGGTGCTCTTCTCCACCTGAATGGTTTCGGTGTACATATACATTTTCACACCTCCTTTGCCTGAAACGTCCGCGCTAATAATGGATGTCACAGCACCTGAGCCTTTCTGACGAGTCCGACTGTGTCAACGACGCCATCTACAACTTCTTCGTCAACGGCAAGTACCCCGAGAAGGGTACTGTGTGCGAACCCAACCTGCCCATCTTCCACCCGGACAGGAAGGAGATTTTCGGGGGCTCCAGTGCTATGTAAAGGGTTGTTTATAGAGACTGGTTTAAACCTAGAGGGATATAGAAACTTACTATAGAGGTTTGCATAGGTTCTGTGTAAGTGGATAGTTACATTAATAGTAGATTATAGATACATTATATCTGGCCCAGACCATAACGGTTTCAACGAGTGTATTGCAACTAGCTGGTAATGGATCTATGAGTACACCTCAGCCTAATTAAGCTTGAAGAGAAAACGGAAGAAACAGAATCCTCAAAACCCGTGCGCCGCCCCCTTACACAGTACATACCGCGGTGAGCTGCGATGCGGGGACGGTATCAAGTGGCAAGGTAACTTTCGTATTCTGTAACGTGCCGTCCCAGGTTTACTTCGTACCCCACCATTGTGTCGTGTCTTGGATTCGTCTCAGCCCTGCTGCCGTCGGCCCTGCGCATCGGCCCCAGCTTCCATCCTGGCATCCCCGGTGGGCCCCTTTAAACCAACCGATAAGGGCGACCGCCTGCGCAGGCCAACACCTTCACAAGCCAAGAACCACGGACCCTTTCCAACAACGACCCGCTCGAGTTCAACCACGAAGTGCATGCAAACCTGGTCTGCGGCCACTTTTTCTACGTTCCATATCCCGAGTCTTTGATCGTCGACCCCTCCATCATATATATATATATACACATACATGCACAGAGCTCCTGCGTATTTGATCATCTCCCACACTAGAGTTCGAGACGGGACACTTCGCTGCCACCTCAAATCCGAAGGGGTTCGCTTGGCGGCTACGTTTCCTCGGGGAAATCAATAGGGAAGGAAGGTAACGGCATGTCAGAGACATATCCCAACCCCCCATTCCCAGGGGCCGTCCGCCAACTGGAAATTGAAAGGGCCCCTTCAAGAGCGCCTTCGAGTGCTTCGCTCATCGAGACACCACGCCCGCGCTCACTGCATCTGCTCGTCGCTGCCAATGGCCCGAAAGATGTGGCCTTCGCCGAAGCCATCGCCGTCCGTCTCTCCAAAGAGTCGCAGATTACTACGCGAGCCATCGTCGACGACATGACACAGAGGTTGGCCTATGAGATCATAGCATACCGGAATCGGGGACTGAGGCGGGGCGTCCCCGAGGGCCCCAGCATCAAGGATATCGAGTCCTCCCAACAAGAGGCCGCCGAGTTGGTCGCCTGGGCCGACCTCCTCGTCCTCTCCCCCATCGACGCCGACACGCTCGCAAAAATGATGTGTGGAATATCAGACACGCTCCTATTAGAAGTGCTACGGAGCTGGGATGCCTCCAAGAGGATCCTGATGGTGCCCGGAATGACCACCCAGATGTGGGAGAACCCCGTCACCAAGCGCCAGATGAGCAAGCTGCACCGCAAGTGGGGCTGGATTAGAGTGATGCCCCCGATCCTCTGGCACTATGTCGACATAGGTCACTGCTCCAAGCGCGTCGTCGAGTGGGAGGGCTTCAACGAGGTCATCGGCATCATCAAGAACCAAGCCGACTTCCTCAAGCTGGGCCACGACATGGAGATCAGCGCCCAGCCCAGCACGCCGCCGGCCATGAAGGGCAAAGCCCGGAGCACCCTGCCCCCCGAGATCTGGACCATGATCCTCGAGGCCACCAACGACTGGGAGCTCGCCACCTGCCTAGGCATCTTCACCACCCTCGAGATGCCCACGGGGCTGGGCTGGCGCCGCGAGCCCAAGGACCCCAACGACCCGCTGCAGGTCTTCATGCACTCGCTCGAGTGGACGCTCCTGACGGCCGACACGCGGGCCGTGTGCGACAAGCTGGCGCACGCGCCGCCCACCTTCCACGACCTGTCGGCGCTGGCGGTGCACCTCATCTTCAAGTTCTCGCTCACGGGCGTGCTGACCTACATCGAGGCCAACCTGCCGCACATCTTCAAGTGCTTCGACGGCAAGACGATCCCGACCAAGGCGTCGGCCTACTACGGGCGCACCGCGATCCTGGACTGGTGGGCGCGGTCGCCGTCCTTCTTGGAAAAGCAGTACGACGGCGAGGCGCTCAACCGCGCCTCCCAGTGCGGCTTCGTGCCCGTGCTCGAGTGGTGGCGCCGCTCCGGCCTGCCGCTCAAGTACGACGAGCAGGCCTTCGAGATGGCGTCGTCGCGCGGGCATGTGCATGTCCTCGAGTGGTGGCGCGAGGCGGGCATGCAGGACCCTTCCATCGTCGTCAAGCCCGGCCGCTCCCTGCTCGCCGCCGCCCAGTGGGGCCAGATGGCCGCCATGCGCTGGTGGGAGGAGAGTGGTATTCCTGTTGGCCATCAGGACGCCGTCTGCAAGATGGCCACGCGCTGGGGCCAGGTGAAGGTGCTGGACCTGTGGCGCCAGCTGCGCGGGGACGATAAGCTGCAGTTTGATAACCAGATTCTGATCGAGGCCACCTATCACGCGCATATCCCCGTGCTGGAGTGGTGGCGGAAATATGCCCACGGGGAGCTGCCCGGTATGGGCGGCCGGAAGGGGAACAGGGTCGAGTACAAGACGATGGAGATCGAGGAGGCGCTGGAGGACTCGCTGGGGGACCAGACCAAGGTCCGCCGGTGGTGGGCCGAGAACGGCCTTAACTTGGGGCTCGGTACCAGCGAGTGGATGAAGACGCGGTACTTGTAGTGTAGTGTGTGGTGTGGGGTGGGGGTTGTGGGTTACAACGAGTTTCAATCGTTTGGCGATGTGGCTGTATTATTGTATGGCAGGCAACAGACCGGAGTTATGTCTAACGAAATGGGGGTATCTCTAAAAGCAAAATGAATCATGAATCAAAGAATCAAGCAAACTTGGCCGGGTTGCTGGGTATCATCCTCTTCAGCACATCGATCTGCCTCGCCAGCCCCTTGTTCTTCAGCTCGGCCACCCCCCGCTTGTCCGTCCTCCTCAACCCGTTGGAGTAGACCACGGTGAAGTCGGGCACCACCTCGCCCGCGGCGATCTCGGTATACGGCGTGAGCGTGCAGTGCTAGTCCGTCAAGTCAGCATCACAACTCAACCCAGCCCAAATAAAAGAGAACTAACCTTCCCAACAACCGCCCGCGCCCCCACCCTCGCCCCAACACCCACCACCGTCCCCTCCCCAATAACCGTCTCGCCCGCCTCAATCACCGCCCCGACCTCCACCGTCACGCACTCCGCCAGCGTCACAGCAACAACACCACCACCACCATCAGCACCAGCAGCAGCCACCCGCCCGGAAACACCCCCCGCGCTCGGCGCCGCGCCCACCGTCGCCCGCTCGTGCACCACGCACCGCCGGCCCACCGCGATCCGCCCCGCCGAAGACTCCAGCCGCGCACGCGGGTGCACCACGCTCTCGCCGCGGATCTCGATCAGGTGGGTACCTGTCAGCTGGGCGCTGTCGGCGATGGTGAGGTGGGAGGAGAGGTGTACTGGGGGTTTGGGGGCGGAGGGGGCGGTGGAGTGGCGTTTGGATGACATTTCTTTTGTTTTTTTTTTTGTTTTTGTTTTTTTTATGAAAAAGGTTCTCTGTGTTGGGTTGGGTTGGGTTGAGGGTTGGGTTATGGTGGTTGTGGTGGTGGTGGTTGGGAGGTTTGGGAGGGCATTGCTGCCGAGAGGTTGAAGGTTGGTGGTGATTGAGCGGGAGTTGGAGACGCGCTGTGAACTGAAGCTCGGACGAGATGAATTGAGCTTCAAAGTTCAAGTTCCCCACACTGCGAATCAGCGTCTTGGCGGTCCCGCCCCGCCACACGGACCACAAAGCTCAAGCACCCGCCACACCCGGAATCCCCAACCAATCAGCAGCTCCCTGAATCCAAACCTCAGAAAGGCGCTCAACTCTCGACGACTGCTCCATCACTAAAGAGCCAACCTCACCCCATCCACGAAACCCGACAGTCTTCCGGCCCCGGCCAATTGGCATCCCACACCTCTGCTCTGCCGGGCAGAGAACGCCAACATGCTGTCACGCACTGCGGCGCCGACCAAGGCGTCGGCAAGGACCATCTCGAGCGCCGTTTCAAATGCTGCCGCCGCGACAACACCCCAACAATGTCGCTCCTTCGCTACCGTCCAGGACGCCGGTGCTGCCACGGTGCGCACTTATGGTGGTCTGCGCGATCAGGACCGCATCTTTCAGAACCTCTACGGCCGCTACCCGCCCGACCTTAAGCACGCCAAGAAGATGGGCGACTGGCACAAGACCAAGGAAATTATTCTCAAGGGTCACGACTGGATTATCGGCGAGGTCAAGGCTTCCGGCCTGCGAGGGCGAGGCGGTGCCGGTTTCCCCTCGGGGTTGAAATGGGTGTGTAATTCTGTCGCTCTTGTTATCGCTGCTAGCAACTCGTCGATTGGCATTGGCTGACCCAACCCCTCCCTCTCCCCCGCACAGTCGTTCATGAACTTCAAGGATTGGGACAAGGACAACAAGCCGAGGTACCTGGTGGTCAACGCCGACGAGGGTGAGCCGGGAACCTGCAAGGACCGCGAGATCATGCGCAAGGACCCCCACAAGCTGGTCGAGGGCTGCTTGGTCGCCGGCCGCGCCATGAACGCCTCGGCCGCCTACATCTACATCCGCGGCGAGTTCATCGAGGAGGCCGCCGTGCTGCAAAACGCCATCAACGAGGCCTACGCCGAGGGGCTGATCGGCAAGAACGCCTGCGGCTCCGGCTACGACTTTGACGTCTACGTCCACCGCGGCGGCGGTGCCTACGTCTGCGGCGAGGAGACCAGCCTGATCGAGTCGCTCGAGGGCAAGCCCGGCAAGCCGCGCCTCAAGCCCCCCTTCCCCGCGGCCGTCGGCCTGTTCGGCTGCCCGTCCACGGTGGCCAACGTCGAGACGGTCGCCGTGGCGCCCACCATCTGCCGGCGCGGCGGGAGCTGGTTCGCCGGGTTCGGGCGCGAGCGCAACCAGGGCACCAAGCTCTACTGCATCAGCGGGCACGTCAACAACCCGGCCACGGTCGAGGAGGAGATGAGCATCCCGCTGCGGGAGCTGATCGACAAGCACTGCGGCGGCGTGCGCGGCGGCTGGGACAACCTGCTGGCCGTCATCCCCGGCGGCTCGTCGACCCCGATCCTGCCCAAGGCCGTGTGCGACGACCAACTGATGGACTTTGACGCCCTCAAGGACAGCCAGTCCGGCCTAGGCACCGCCGCCGTCATCGTCATGGACAAGAGCGCCGACGTCGTGCGCGCCATCTCCCGCCTCAGCCACTTCTACCGCCACGAGTCCTGCGGCCAGTGCACCCCCTGCCGCGAGGGAAGCAAGTGGACCGAGCAGATCATGCAGCGCTTCGAGAAGGGCCTCGGCCGCGAGCGCGAGATCGACATGCTGCAGGAGCTGACCAAGCAGGTCGAGGGGCATACCATCTGCGGTAGGTTTCCCCCTCTTCTCTTTTTTTTTTCCATATCTTTTCAAGAAATGCAATGCTAATAAATCTGTTCTGTGCAGCCCTCGGCGAGGCCTTCGCCTGGCCCATCCAGGGTCTGATCCGCCACTTCCGCCCCGAGCTGGAGGCGCGCATGCAGCAGTTTGCCAAGGAGAGCGGCGGCGAGGCGCTGGCTGGTGGCTGGAACCACGATTCCAAGCTGAAAGGCCAACTTGTCTCTCCGGGCATGTAAAAGGAAGGGTGAGCGGTTTGGTTTGGTTGGGTTGGGTTGGTGGAAGGCGTGAGAGAGAGGTTGGTACATTGTACATAGGCCTAGTCCGCCGTATACTGCCCCCGGGCTGTACTTGATTTGCTTTGTCGAATCCAGGGGTGTGGGGGGGAGGTGATATGTATGCTGGTTGCCGTTCGAGGGCGAATGGTGGTGCTGTTTTACTAACCCCGTCGACGAATGACAAGTCTTCAAGTGGCCACGACCCAGGTCTAGCTTACCTATCGAAGAAGCCTTCCTCATCGTAGTCGTCTCTACCGGATTCAGTCATCTTCTCAACATGGATGTTTAGCGTCGTTCAGCCACTCAATTCGGCTTCAACTTTGGTGGATATTAAAAGTGGGGTTGTCAGGGGATAAACAGAGAGACACAGTAACTCTCAGCAAGCCATTGGAGACGCGACACTCTCATGAATCTCACCGCTCTCTCTTCAGTCGGGTTGTTTACAACAGCAACCTACATAAACGAGGAGTCAAGAGCCCGCTGGTCATACTGACCCCAGCCGCAATACGTCTTGTTCCTCGAACATTTTACCCATCTTTTTTCATTTTCCGGGCTCAAACCACTCGAAATGGCGGACAACGTTGGCAAGTTCGAGCAATTTGTCAAGTTCGGGACCGATGCTTGTAAGTGAGAGATTCGCTGGGCTCCGTCTATCACTCATCCGGATCTCAATTCCCAAACTTCTCCTTCCGCCAACCCCCCCTTATAAGCAAACAACTCACACACCCCCTTCAAACCAGACGGCCTAGAACGCCTCCTCCGCCTCCTCCAAGCCCTCGTCACAATCCTGCTCTTCACCCCACTCACTACCATCACCACCGTCACTTCCACCCTCTCCCTTCCCACCTCCCTCCTCCCCCTCCTCACCCCGCAAACCCTCACCCCCCTCCGCAAACGCCTCGCCTCCCTCCGCCAACCCCTCCGCTTCTTCCGCTTCCTCGACTCCTTCGCCGGCGCCTGGTCCGCCCTCTCCGCCCTGCAGTCGGCAACAACGGCAACAACGGCAACACACGACGACGAGAAGAAGCTGAACCCGGCAACGGGTAGTGCTAGTGGTAGTGGTAGTGGTGGTAGCAGCAACTGGGCGCGGCGCGCGGCAGGGTGGGCTGATTTCGGCGGCCGCGCCTTCACGGGCATGTACCTACTACTGGAGAGCGCCGTGTTTGTCGAGGCTGTGCTGGACGTGCCTGGGCTGCGGGTGTGGGGCTCGGAGGAGGTGGTGAGGGGGCTGGTGGTGGATGGGCAGCGGTTTTGGTTTGCGGGGCTGGTGTGTGGGATCGTGGGCGCCGTGGTGAGGTTGGTGAGTTGGGCGGAAGGGGAGAAAGGGGGGAGGGGGAAGGTGGTGAGGAGGCTGGTGGCGGATGTTATGGATTTGGCGGTGCCGGGGTCGGTGGTCGGTTGGGTGCCGCTGGAGCCGCGGACGGTTGGGTGGTTGATGGTGGGGAGTACGGTGCTGACGGGGATGGAGGTCTGGGAGAGGTGCGGGAGGGACGTGGCTGTTGCGAAGATGGCTGTAGGGGATAGGAGGTGACTGTTTCAACGGGGATAGAAAGGCGGGATGCGTTAGGTATCCGCGAAAGCGTTAAGGACAACCGTTGGTGGCCAGCACGGCCGGCGCTACTGCTAACAACCCAAATTCCTCCTCCCTGATGAGTTCCCAGACTGATTCCTTTGAAAATACGACCGCGCTACCATCACCTTCTAGGATCTTGATGGAAATGAATGACTCCAAAACCTTCTCCGGATGAATATTTGCACGTCAAGAGATCCCCCCCCCCCGGCAACATCTCCTGCTCAGCTGCCTATGCGACGCCGTACCCGCTCACCAACCCAGTTATCCCAGAAACCATTGTCCGCGAGCCATGCCTACCTAACCTTCAAGCAGCAACGGACACGGTGCCACCAGCGGTTCGGCGATCCTCAGTATCAGGGGCGAGCTGGATGCGATGGTGTCTATCAGGGTCATCGATATATCTCAAGACAACACCAAGCTTGAAGTCGAGGCTCCAAAAACAGGCGACGAGGGAAATCACTGCAAGAGCAAACTGCAACGCGCTGGTAGTCTATGTGTTAGCACAACCTGATGACGAACAGAGATGGATGTAAATAGAGGCGCCCTTACCCTAAAGTCATGATTAATGGAAGGAGGCACTCCGAGTCCCTGACGCCCCCGTACCACCAGTACGAAACAAGTCTCCAGCCAATCCCTTCCGGCATACACTCGTTAGCCGCGTCAACGCAGACATCTCCCTTCGCTCCTTTTTCTTTGTGGACTCACCCATGCAATAGTAACAATGAGCCCCAAGACCAAGTCAACAAAGGCAACGAGTATCAGCTTTGCCCGCTTCTGCTTTTTGCTCCTGGGCTTTTCAAGTCGCTCATCATGATCGTCATCGCCGTTGAAGCCACAAATGTAGTCCCCGACCCGGCAGGAGACGGCAGGGAGTGCCCGAATGAAACGGGAACGGGGCTGGAGGAGGGCGAGGTTCCAACCAAGAACCAAAAACAGCGCGATGAAGACGACAACGAAGAGGCCCGAGCCGCTGGTGAGGCGCAGACTAATCGAGGCCACGATATCGGCAAAGGCAAATAAAGCAACCAGAATGCGGAATGTCGTGGTGAGACTAAAGGTGGTCATCCACTTCCGTTCATTGTCCCCGTCATCGTTGCCGTACCCCAGACTAGGCGAGCCGATGGGCTGGTAGGCCATCGCGGGACTGATTTCGGGGACCGCCATTGATGCGGCAGCCTGCCAGCCCGCGATTCTCCGTCGGAGGGGTACAGAAAAGGGTTCTAAGGGAGGGATTAAGGATGCTGGAGAGATAGGTGGTGAGACTCCGTTTTCGTCCTGTAGAGTTAAAGCTGAAATAGACTAAGACCGCTTGTTTAAAGGCATTGTCAGTTGCGAAGGGTCCGCGGGCGCATGTTTATAGAGCCCTGTCCATGGCCCCCAACCGGCTCAGGTATCACGAGTAGGATCCCAGGAGGCTGGCGATGCGTCCGGCCCAGAAAGGCACCTGGGACGGCCAATACCCTCGGTTTGTTTGTTCCTCCTTGGTTCACAGCCAACCGATTTGACTGGTGCCTATGGGTCAGTCCGAAGGATGCAGGATCAAGGCAAAGAATGCAGCACCCTTGACAAAAGCCATAGCGTTTCGCATGTGGTGACCCAAGCTGCTAACATGCACAGCATCAAACAATACGGGGGTCAATATGGTTCCATCTTCGCATTTGTGTATTGTGAAGAAACTCGATATTTGTGAACCGAAAGTGCGCCAAAAGTAACCTCTAGCAACTCGCACATCGAGACGAATGGGGGGTGTAAGAAACATCATAGATCCTGTCCATGGATAGATGTTAATAGCCCCATCAACTATCGCGAGCATGGGTCAATACTTGAGTGGATGAATGAGCAACAAGACCCGTTATACAAACACCTCAAACACATTCCGAGTCACGTCCACCGAGGCGAATTCGTCTCGACAGCTGCTTCCAAGGGCGGGAATAAGAACGCCTTATGTGGGAAGGGATGACCCCGCACCCTCTGGCCAGGAAAAGCCGAACCCCAAAAGAAACTAAGAAATCAGGCAATAAAAGGGAATAGATAGATAGAGCAAAACAAAATCGCATAAAATACTATCTCGAGCAAACAAAAAGTAAATGGAGTATCTCCAGCTCGTTGGGCTCTCGGATGACTTTGGCTTCGTTCCGACCTCCAGATTACTGTGTCCGAAGTACAGGGGGTGCCCCGCTCATGCAAGGGGCAATGTGGGGAATTCCATTCCTCGGCCCACCAAAACGAAGCGGCAGAAAAGGGAGAAAAAAGGGCGGTGAGAGCGCATTCCGGAAGCAGAAACTCCAAGAAATTTTCTTTGGAATGGAAACACGCGCCTGCCTTTTGACGCCATTCCTCCCTCGAATCCCTCACAAACTGTGCAGGAGCTAGTGCCCACTAGCTTGCCCAATTCACAAAGCGACTTTCGCCCATGTCGACTCCGCCAGCGTGGCTCTTTTCCAATAACTCTGCACTGACCGCGCAAAAACCGACCACTCACGGTAACACATCCACGATGCCCGGAACCAAGAAGCTCAAGGCTGGCGGGTCCCAAAAGAAGGCCCCCGCCACCGAGAAGTCCAAAACGACCGCCGAGCCACCTACACAGCTCATGAATTTGGTCGAATCGTTCCTCTCTGAGCACGACTTCACCGACGCCCATCGCGCATTCACAAAGCAACGGGCCAAGAAGGGCTGGAAGGGCGGGAAGTCGGGCACCGCTGACGGCCATTCCTTAATCGCTGTCTTTAAAACTTGGGAGACATCCCTTGAGAATGCCGACTCCGGGAAGGCCATCAAGGCCGCGGCCAAGAAGACCACCAAGGTCAGCAGCAGCAGGGACAGCAGCGACGATAGTAGCAGCAGCAGCGAGTCGGAGTCGTCGGACAGCGACAGCGAGGACAATGCCGACGTTGATATGAAGGACGTTATCGAAGAGTCCTCTAGCTCCGACTCGAGCAGCAGCAGTGAGAGTGACAGCAGCGACAGCGACAGCGAGGACGAGAAAAAGACGGCGAAGTCCGCAGCCGCGCCGAAGCCTGCAGCCAACCCTCTGAAGCGCAAGGCCGTTTCCGAAAGCAGTGACTCGTCTGATTCCGACTCCGATTCCGATTCCAGCTCTGACGAGGAGGCTCCCGCGTCCAAGAAGCAAAAGGTCGCCGCCGCCCCGGTCGCTGCCGAATCGTCCTCCGAATCGTCCTCGGACTCTTCCTCTTCAGACTCCGACTCCAGCTCCGACTGTGAAGCCGAGTCTAAGCCAGCCACCAAGAAGACTGCCGCCAAGAAGGAAACTGCCAAAAAGACCACCACCAAGAAAAAGGCTGCCCAGAAAGACGACTCGTCTTCCGATTCCTCTTCGTCGTCGTCCGAGTCAGACTCGTCCTCGGAGTCTGAATCCGAATCCGAATCGGAAGACGAAGCCGAGGAGGCGGCTAAGGTCCCCCTCCCCGAATCCGACTCGGACTCCTCCAGCGATTCCTCGTCTGATTCCTCCGACTCTGATTCCGACTCCGACTCAGAGAAGACCAAGACCAAGACTAAGACCATCAAGCCCACCGCCTCCCCGCCTACCACCGGCTCGGACACCTCAGCCACCCTCGACCGAGCCTCGCCCAAGGTCTTCCCGGTCGACGGCGACGCGCCGCTCCCGCCGGACCCGAGCACGTTCAAGGCCAACAACCGCGGCAGGAACGGCAACGGTGACGGCAACGGCAAGGGGGCCACCCAGCCCTTCTCGCGCATCGACCGCGGGCTCGAGGTCGACCCCCGCTTCCAGTCCAACGCCTTTGCCGGCCACGACTGGGGCCGCAAGGCCCACGAGGACCTGATCGTCACGCGCGGCAAGGGCTTCACCAAGGAGAAGAACAAGAAGAAGAAGGGCAGCTACCGCGGCGGGCGCATCGATACCTTTGCGGTGGGGGGGATCAAGTTCGACGACTAAGGTGCTAGAGGCCGAACCCTATTTCATTGTCGTCGAGCCGGGGGGGAAAGAAAAAAACAAAAGCGTTGCTGCACTTCGATTGTGGCCGGTTCAGGGGTGGTTCCGTTCGCCTGGTTAGACATGGCATAGCAAGGAGTCTCAGGCAATTTTTGTGTTTGATTATTCACGCCGGGCATTCACATGCCGCTTTTAGGCATTGGGCGATGTGTGTGCAGAATCAGTGATGCGGCCTTGTCGCATCCGGGCGGGTAGTTGTTTCTGCTGTTGGGGAGATCGAGGGCACTGTGTCCGGCCTCCTTTCAGGCATAGGTATATACCACTGGGGGGATTCCTTTTTTTTATCTTTTCTTTTTATGTTCACCCGGGTTTTACCGTGAGACCAGGCCGGGGCCATTAGTATTTATATATATTCAAACTCGCAACAACTACCACATCGTATCTGTGTTGGCCTCTCGCGGGAGGGTGGAGAACTCTTATCCACCCCCATGCTGGTCCATGAAACGGCCGCCGTGCTCAGCCTTGCATTTCGCCGTTGCGGCTCACTTACACAGCCACAGCAACCGCAACTTCCAAACAGCCTACCCATGCCCTATCCGATGCCCCAAAATACACAAGGGCCCTGCAGTGGAAATAAGGTTGGGCTTATCTGGGGTTGGAAAATCAAACGGCCGCTGCTGAGCCACATGGCAGCCCGAAGAAGGTAGCGGCATGCTCGTGATGGCTTGCAGGTTGCGTGATGCTGCCTGCTGAGTTATTGATGGCGCCCTCCAGACTCTTCGGTGTGAGAGAAGAACATATTCAGTCATTGGTTTCAGAAGGTGCCTCGAGGTAGGCCTCGAACTTGGGTGTGCCTCGGTGTGCCTCGGGCTTGGGAGCCCGTGGTGCATCTTGCATCAACTAAATTGGGGCCATGGTTGGTTATGGTTTTGGGGGTTTCTCGTTTCGCTATGGGTTGCTTGCCCGGCCGCTGATATGCCCACAGCCAAGGCAGAATACGGGTTGGTTAGAGGGAAGATGTGACCGCCCTTGGGCCGAGCTTCTTCTTTGGCCTTGTCAGCGGTCGTTGATTTAGGCCGAATGGTGCTTCCGCCTAGAATGGATCTTGAGAGGGACAGTGTTTTCCCTAAGCGGGATTCAGACCGAAGAGTTCGGCGGCTCTGAAGTGAAGGTACCTGTAATGAAAGATGGAACGTTTGATTCATCCACCCCGTCCCGGAGATCCGGGCAGCTACCCCATGAGATGCCCACAGAAATACATGTGGCTCCAATGCGCCGGCGTGATCGTCAATAAGGCGAACAGGACCCTGAAACATGCACTTCATGGGAGATGCTTGGTCGGCTTAATGCCTGGCTTAATGTGAGCGACGTGTCCGAGAGGAGATGTGGCTCTGAGTGGGGGTCTTTGAATGTTTTACGGCGAGGCAGACTCGACGAGAGTGGCATCAATCTTATATGCGTGTAAGCAGGTGACGACCCCTGGTCAAGGAAGGCGTCTCGCCGTTCTCGAATCATCACCCAGTGGGGTCTTTTACCAAGGGGGTTCCGAAGTGACGGGACTGTGCCACGTGTATTGGTGATTCCGGTTCTGTATCACATGATGCCCGTTGAGTGGGTTTCTTTGCTCATGCTATGAGAACACAACGATCAAAACTCTCTAGAGCAGAGATATCCAGTTACCTAGTTAGGTACCCGAGGTAACCTGACTGTTAACAGTTCGGCTGAGGGGGACGATGGCCCGATGGGATGTGGGATATCTTAATCTCCAGCGATCCATCCCAGTCCGGAATCGAATCAAATAGACGAGGTGGGGTTCGCAATAGAGGTTTCTGGGGAGTGAGGCAGGCTGTGTGACCAGTGCGAGTGAATTATTTGGTCTTCTCGGTCATGAGAAGACAGGTACGGCTGACTGACTGTCTTGGACTTTGGATCGCCGAAATCACATCGGAAGTATTCGTGTCTGTGGCCCTTTGGGAAGACACGCATGTTGCCCAGGAGAAAATAAGCTTTCCATGCTCTCGAAATGCAATGAGCACTGAAGAAAGAGTGTCGGTGATTGGAGCCCGCATGTGAACCTTGGATGCCTCTCAGGCACGCCCAGCTTATGAAGGGGATGTTGTGCGAGAGCCTGGGGCTCAGCCTTGAACTAAAAAGTGGAGCACCCGGTCCGTTGGCGATCGTCTCAAGGGTCGGTGCACGGACACCACCCACTGGCGCCTCATTTGGGCCACGGCCAGGGCCAGCCAGCCTCTGTCCCAAGTTCTCTGGGCGCAGTGTCACAGGTGTCACACACACCCCCCCAAGGCACGTTGGCGGCACTGAGGCTCATCGGCAGGAGGACTTCGATCGCGCAGCTGGCCGGGCGGTTTCCATTCCGCTGCTCATGCTCGTTTCATTGAGACTCACAATGCCAACGACTGGCAAGGCGTCCGCCAACACGCGAACTCTAATATTAATAGACTCGGTGCCCGTCTCTCACCGGATGCGGTGACACAGTCTTTTTTACACTCAATTCTCACTGTTCTCACTGTTCTCGCTCGTTCACCAACAACCTCCTGTCTCTCTCAGCCGCGGCGCAACTCGAGTCGATTTAAAAAAGAAAAACACTTGAGAGTCCATTTAAAGAACACTCTGGGACTCATTTCACACCTTTTACCATTTCGGCCGACTTTGGCATCTCGCCACGGCATGGGCATAGGCAGCAGCAGCCTGGCCGCGCTTGAAACCGACCGCAATGTGGAAGAGGCTAGTCAAGAGCCCCAACAAGCGCTCTCAAAAACTGTCAAGACAACCCGCCGACGACGCCGTTGGGCCGACCTCATTGCTAACCCGTTCCGCAGCAGGGCCCCCGATGCTGACGTCGCCAAGGGTGATGCGGTGAAAGATCGGGACCATGTTGTGCCTAAACGCCGAAAGCATGAGAGTGCGGACTCGCCCGCCATCGAGACCGTCTTGGAGGTCCCAGAGCACCATCTCCAGGAACTACGTGGGCTCCTCGAGAAGTCGCGGCCTTCGGAGGATGCACCCTTTCAGGTCAGCGGGGAGCTAGGGGTTAAGCTGGCGTCATATGCCCAGCAGAAGATGGGGACCTACGACGCTATGCGCCAACAAAGCATCCGCTACGAAGGCTCTCTGGGGTTCGACTTCATCCGCACCGAGATGGCGAACGACCTCGAAATTCGGGCTAACCGGGTTCTGCAACGTCTCAAAAAGAACGATATTGCTCGCTTTTACGAAACAGCGCCCAAGAAGCGTGGCTACCGCGGTCAGGAGCACCCCCGCTTCTACGGCGACCACTTTCTCTCCAATGCGGACCTGATAGAGCAGACGCAGCTCTTTGCCCTGTGCCGGGCCATGCCCAAGGGCGCCCATCTCCACATTCATTTCAACGCCAACCTACTCCCCAGCGTTCTGCTCGGCATTGCCAAGGATATGGAGCGCATGTTCATCTGGAGCAACATTGCTCTCGACCGGCCCGAGGCATATAACCTCTGCAGGATACAGTTTAGCATCATGAGTGAGGATACCGTGGTGAAGAGGGGTAAAGGCGACCCGTTTGACGAAAATTACCAGTGCGGGACCGTGATGCAGTTTCAGGAGTTCAGGGAGGCATACCCAGGAGGGCAGGAGGCGGCCGACCAATTCTTACAGAGCAAGCTTGTTTTCCAGGAGGAAGAAGCTCACAACCTACTTCAAACACCAGAAGGGTTAGTCGACATCTGGAATACCGATGGGGTTTGAGCGGTGACGCTGACATCTTGTGCAGCGCATGGGAGAAGTTCAATGCCCGGACGCAAATGATGAAGGGCCTATTCAACTACAAGACCGCCTATCGGAGGTACACTCGGCAATGTCTTGAGGAATTCGTTGACGACAAGATTCAGTACGCTGAGATTAGGCCCAACTTCATGTCCTCAAACCAAGTATGGGAAGATGATGGCTCCTGCCGTGTTGACAATGTCGGCATCATGGATCTAATCATCGACGAGTATGAAGCCTTCCAAAAGGACCACAATCGGCAGACTCTCAAAGGCCTCAAGGTCATCTACTGCACGCCGCGTTCCTTCAGCGAGGAGCAAGTTGGCGAAGCCCTAACGCAATGCTTCCAGTTCAAGATGGACGACAAATTCTCTAAATACATTGCCGGTGAGTCTTCGAAAAAAAGCGATGCTCTAGCCCCGGGAACTAACCACAGCCGCAGGCTTTGACCTAGTCGGCGAAGAAAGCAAAGGCAAGCCCCTCAAAGACTTCGCGCAGCAGTTCCTCCAGTTCCAAGCCCTCTGCAAGGCCGCGGGCGTCGACATCCCGCTGCTCCTGCACTGCGGCGAGACGCTCGACATCGGCACCGACACCGACGGCAACCTGCTGGACGCCCTGCTGCTCGGCGCGAAGCGCATCGGCCACGGCTTCGCCCTGCCGCGCCACCCCTACGTCATGAGCCAGATGAAGCAGCGCGGCGTCTGCGTCGAGGTCTGCCCCATCTCCAACGAGATCCTGGGCCTGACGCCCAGGATGAGCGGCCATTCCGTCTATAACCTGCTGGCGAATAACGTGCCCTGCACCATCAGCGCCGATAACGCGACGCTGTTCAGGTATGCTTTTCCCTGTCCGTCCTGTGTTCCGCAGCGTTTTATTTTCCGTTGCTCACCAGATTCCGCCGTGTATAGATCCCGCCTCTCGCACGACTTTTACCAGGTCATGGCCGGCAAATCGGACATGACGCTACACGGTTTACGCCAGCTTGTCGAGTGGAGTATCGATCACTCGTGCATGGAGCCCAAGTTGATGAAGGAGGTGCGCGAGAGCTGGGAGGAGATGTGGTATGAGTTTTGCCAGGAGATCGTTGACGGCAAGTTCACGCTCGAGGATGACGCTCCCAAGGTGGAGGCTGAAGGGCGAGTAGTGGAAGTCGAGACGCCCGTTGCTAGGTTGCCGCCTGTTTGAGTTTTGTTCACGGATGGGATATGTTTTAACCTTCCCTATTGGCAAACGGGGCGGTTTTTTTCTCCTTTTTCTCTTCTTCTCTATTTGGTTGATATGAGTCATGACGGGAACTTCTCTTCTTCATACTACAAAGGCACCAGGAGGATGGAGGTTCTGGGCTGCTACTAGGGATACCCTCCTATTGGTGCTGCCGCAAGGCTCTGAGCGACTTTGGCGTTCCGTTTATACATTTCCTCGCGGGCGTGTGGGTTACTCCGGGTTATTTCGTGATAGACGGATACACAGAAGTACGGATTACTGCTTGCGCTCTTGACACCCGACGCGCTCTGACGTGCGTTTTTTGGTATTCATCTTTCCCCTCCCCTTTTACGCCACTTACGCTCGTCCCGGATCATGATATCCTTTACTGGGTGATGGGCGTACCCCCGATGGAGCGCTTTGGGAGGGTTGCGGGCTTCTGGCGTTCATGGAAAATAAGCAGGAAGAGTGGCGGGCCATATCTCCTCGTTTCACCGCTGATGTTTTTCCAGCTGGCCGGGAAGAAGAACATGCTCCGCATCCAGTGCCGATATGGAGGGGCCCATGTCCCGGTACTTGACATGCAGAGCCTCGCCGATGCCGTGACTCATTGGCATCCTTGATCTCCCAAGCCAGCAGACGGCCTGTGCTTGCGGCGGCCCGCGCCGTGGTCTGGGGCCGATGTGAGACGAAACTTAGCATGATCACGCCCTCACTGGCAAGTTCAAGATCCCCCAGCTTCGCAGAGGAAATCGAGAGTGAACCCGACGTCTGCTTGCCGGCGGAAAACCTTGGGACCGGAAGTGGGATTTTCCTCATCCAAGCCAGGCTCAACTTGATGTTTGTCGGAGCGTAAGGATCAACCCTAGATAGAGAGAGGGGCGAGTTTGGCAAAATACACACCCGAACTAATCGACGGAGAAAGGAAATATTATAAACATCTTACAGCGCAGACCTTGAAACGGCGTGATTAGTTAGTGTCTTTCCCGCTTCTCACCCTTCCTTGGGTGATGATACCTCAGGATCCCGCCCACGCGAGCCCCGAGCTCAGGCTGGCGGAACCCGGGCACAGCCGGGTGATTATGTCTACACAGTTGCATGGAGGACGCTGGCGACCCTCGGGCACTGTATGTATGCAAAACACAGTCTGCTGCGCTGCTGCGCTGCTGCGCTGCTGCGGGCCTGCCCACCCACCCCGGTCAGCCTCTGCGCCCCGGACCGGTAAGAAACCGATTAACTACCGGTAACTCTCCTTCCACGTTATTTCGTAGATTACAGGAACACCCCAGACATGGGAAGCGGTCGTCCTCAGCCCCCACGGCCGGTAAAAGTGGCAGCGGATTCTGCCCCGACTTGCCTCGTATGAGCCCTCGACTGGCAACAAAGAGATTGTGCGACGGCGCAATACCAGAAATTGTCGCAGCGGAGCCGAGTTGTCTCAGCACGCCAAGGACAGCGGGCCTCCTTCTGCTGCAGATCATCGCAAGGGCTGTTTCTTAGCCGAATGAGTCACAAACTCAATTGCGACACCACCGTCGTTGCTTTCCAATTGAGCGTTTTGATTCGACGGACGTGTCTTGTATCAATATCGAACGAGACTCCAACCGTCGTCAAGAACAACAAGTGTGGTTGAGACTGAGTGCCCATGATCGCGTGTCCGCCGAGTTCGGTAAATCGAGCGACCCTCTCGGCCATATGGTGCGGGGCGAAGCAAGCGCAAAGCCCTTGGGGACGGCCGGGAAGGCTGACCATCCAAAACCCCTCAGAGAAACGGCGCGCGCTGCCAAACTCGGGAAAACCTATCCACGGGAAATCCTCCCCAGGAGCGCATGGAGCGGCCAATATTCCCGCAGGCCCTCCACTCCATGGAATGTCACCACTGCAATGGTGGATCGGGGCTAGCCCATTTTTCATACCAAGTCGTCGATGGTTTTCGCACGCCCTTGCGCGTCCCATCCCAAGTTTGTGAGGGGTAGGGGAGCCTCGCAGGCCAAGCGGGCGACCGAGATTCAACACGGTTAAGAAGTCGTGGCCTCTTCACCAAAGGATTCATTGAACCCGACGATCCACCTGTCCGTCTCCAGGCCGTCATCCGAAAACCGATGAGGACAGGTCCCCCAGGACCGCGCAGGACCTACCAGGCAGAGGAACCTCCTGCCCTGCTTGGACATGCTCAAGACATGTCGCGCCCTTTGGAGGCCTGGTTCCGTGCCGTCGGCGTAAGCCTGTCCGGATGTCCTCGCTCTGCCCCTCCAACCGGAATTACAACGGTGGGTCTGCTGTGGGAGATGCGGGCACTCATTGGACGGGCTGGCAGAGATGGGCTGGAGATGGGACAGGGTGGTGGGGCAGTGCTGCGACGCCTGAGATTTCGAAAACGGATCGCTACAGAAAACTCACAATGGCAGAGCCTCTCACAACCAGACGGCCAGCTTCGATTCACAAAGGGGGGAAGGCAAGGTTGTCTCACCAGTCAGTGCCAACGAGGAGCTGCTGTGTTGTCTTCAACCGAGCTGAAACCTGAATAACAACGCTTCCCCCAAACTCTTGAAGTGGGTTGTTCCAAAAGCACCAAGGGTCGTATCTTGCGCGCTGTGGCCACGCGTTTGAGCGCCTTGAGCGACGGTGAGCGTGGGGTAATTTCTGGAGCACGGCCTCGTGGGAAGTGTGACTCACACTTTCCGGGGCTGCAGCGCTGAGAAACAACCAATCAAACCGCACCGTAGCCTGGGGCCATGTTCGCACCGGCTTGCGCGCCTTGTGAATGCGCACTCGCTGCCTGATTAAAAAGTCTTCCACTGCCCACTTTTCGCAACCCTCTCCTTCTCTCTTCCCACCCCAAACTTCCTACACAAGAACAACAATCAGCAACGTCAAACAGCCTTCAAGATGCGTTAAAGCATCCTCTTTCCCCAGTCTCTCGACTTGCACTCGCAAAGTCGTCAAAATTCCTTCCCCGGATTTTAACAACTTTCTCCCCTCTCAACCCCCACCTTCAGCTCTACCTGCAAAGGTTGAACTGAACTTTAGCAACTTGCTTCCCAGCTCGCGCTCAAGTTCTTCTTACAACACCGCCGCCATTCCCGGCCCAGACTTTCCAGTCTTCACCACGGATCAAACACAGTCAACATGGCTTCCCTCCAGTTCCTCGAGCCTGCCGGCATCATCCGCGCAACAGCAACAACTCCAGCACCTGAATCTGCCGCCTCATCAACAGGACTTTGTCTTGTTCGATCAGCCGATCAAACTTCGTCAACATAATCGCTCTGTCCCGCAACCTTCCGCCAACGGAGGTGTAAACTCAAACCAGCAACATCGTCACCAGCCCTTGTTTCCGCAACAACAGGTCCCGACCTCGCCGTCTCTGCAGAACCAGCGAGTTGCTAGCATCATCCAGGCCACTGGACACCAAGCGACCTCTTCGGCTTTTACCAATCGGTTTAGTTCTCCTGCGCAGAATCAGAATCAGCATCAGTTCTACGCTTCGTCCGCTCCATCGTCATCGGTCGCTTTGACCCAGCAGAACAGGCCCGCGCGCCCGCCCGTTCCTCTGTTCCCGCAAAGCACTGGTAATCTCCACCGGGGCAAGATGAACATTCAGGGTAAGCATCTTCCGCTTCCGCACCGCGCCGATTCCTCATCACGCATCTCACACATCGCCTCAGATCTTGATTTGGACGAGTTCACCGCCTTCGAGGGTGGTGCCTCTACCACTGCCTATTCTTCACCCGCGCTCGCGAGCGTTTTCGACCTGAGCGGCAGTGCTTCCAGCTCGACAACCAACATGGGCACCGTCTCGCCCCAGGATCTCCTGATCCAGGAGCCGTTCATGTCGGCGCCCAACTCCACTGCTCTCACGGCTCTCACATCGCCGTCCATCTATAACGAGTCCCCCGAGTTTGGGGACGTGTACGATGTGTCTCCCAGCTTTGGAAGCGGCGACTTCGACAACGGGTCAACCGATGCTTGGTACCCGCTTTTTCCCCAGAACAATGCCCGGCCCGAGGCGCCCCAGAAGCCTACCAGCGCTGAGCAATCCCCTGCCTCCAAGTCGGACGACCTGGAGGTTGCCTCGGCACTGGGACACCGTCGCAAGTCGTCTGGGACCTCGCCCCCGACCCGCCCGTCTTCTATTGCTGGCGTTGGCTCTCGTCGTCGTGACAAGCCCCTTCCCCCTATCATTGTGGAGGATCCGTCCGACGTCACCGCCATGAAGCGCGCCCGCAACACCCTCGCGGCTCGCAAGTCTCGGGAGCGCAAGGCTCTCCGCCTGGATGAGCTGGAGGAGAAGATCTCGAAGCTGACGGCTGAGCGTGACCACTGGAAGAACATCGCACTCGCGCATGGTGCAAAGGAGTAAACAAAATATCAGGTGCTTGGTTTCTTGGAACGATATATTACCCCTCAATGTCGACAGCGCATTGAGGAGGGGGTTTTCCCTGTGGTTATTTTCCGTTTTTCTAGTTTAGGTGGATTCCTCTATTTCAGTTGCCTGTCTTTTTAGGTCAGGCTTGGAACCAGCGTGTATTGTTATCTGGGTTTCTTAGGACCGCAACAAAGATTATCATCTCAACAAGATTGTCCATGTGAATGAATGTCTGGTCCTCGAGGTTTCGTGACAATTACTGCTCCCTACCATTGGCACTGAGCCTGTGGCCTGTGACTCTGCCTATCAACGACCCCAGAGTAAAAGAGGCCCGGTTGCGAGCCAGTAAGCTCTTCTTCCTCTGCCTTTTCCTGTTTGTCCCGGCCTTTCTTTTCGTGTCGTGCCACGTTGTTTCCACAGGCTCTGTCAATGTTAATGGCGAAGGACGCTGGCAAAACACATCGTTTCAGAAGTACCAAAGAATCGGCTGGACTGTTGGTATGGGCACCAGTGTCGAGGGTGTTGGTCAAAAGGTACTCATATCCACCATCAGCTTGACGATAGAAGAATGGTGTTGGGGGACATTTGCAGTGTTGGGTGTCTGGCAGTTGGGAGGGACTGTGTGTCAGTCCTTAATGGCTTGTTAGATAGCTACCGTGCTGTCGAGCCCATAGCAAAACCTAAAACGTGGACTAGAAACCTGATACACTGGAAACATCTCGTCGGTAACATGGTTCTTGACTTTATATTCCCTGTTAGTTGTCATACTTAATAACGCTGGGCATACACGTACATGCATTCACTAGCTTGGATATCCTAGTTGTTAATAAAGCTCGTTTGTTTTACCTGCCGAGGCCGCTAACCCCAAACGCAACGAGGTAAAGCATGCCATTGTTTCTTGTTGAGCCCTTCTCTTCAGTTAGAGTGTATCTAGAACTTTAAGAACACCAATACAAGGAGAAAGTTGCCCTAACCCATCTCGTCACAGAAAGGGGACGGCGCCATAGGCGGTCGCGTACCATATATATCCTCATTTCCATTTACATCTATCTTTTTGGCTTGTATCCTCACAAAAGACCCATTACTACATACTAGAGGAGCGAATAATAACCCCCTACATAGTTGAACACAACGCTATGACACTCAAACGCTAGACGAAGACAAGAGAAGAAAATACGACGACCTCCAGCAAGAAGACAGCATGAACGTAGAAACAACCAGCTCATATAGATACCCCACCACCTTGGAACGTTCCACAACATAACCGCCAACCGGGAAAGGAAGACCATATTCGTAGCCTTGCCAACTAACCTTGCACACCCGCGGCCTCCCGGCTCTCTTCCCCATACGCTCGACCATTCCTCCACTGGCCTCATGACCGGTTTCGCCTTCCCTATCCATGCCATCCGTGCTATCCGTGCCATCATAACCGCCGTCGGTTTTCTGCCCGCTGCCCGCTGCCCACTGCCTCTAGCTCTGTCCTCCCCATACCCCCATGACGCTGCAACCCCCAAGCCAACACACCACAAATGTCACAAAAACGAAACAACCAACCAGGTAAGTAGGTAAGTGCCCGAGCATTTTATGTATCCCCCAAAACACGCGCATCACACAACGCACGACGAAGAAAACCAAAGGCAGGAAGCGAGGAAGAAGAAAAAAAAACAAGTACTCCACACAAGCATCGTGTCATGCCCAAAACCATTGCCATTTGCCATTATCACAAGCCCAGCACGGACCTCAGTCGGTACTAGCACTAGAGAGAGAGCCGGACAAACAGAAAAGAACCAAGTGTCGACCCCAACCAAGCCCGAGAAAGAAAAGCGGAAAAAAAAAGGTGGGCGCCGCCAGACCAAGACACCACGAGCCACAAACCGGCAACGGCAACGACAACGGCGACGAGCAAAAAAAAAAGCGCCCAGCCCACTGCTAGCCTCACTGCTCGCATGATTTGCTGCAGTTAAATTCCACTCCCCAAGCGCATCATCCATCCCCTTCAGCCCGTCTGCATGCGTGTCTCTTGTTGGCCCATTCCGTTTTATTGACACCTCAACATCAACATCACGATGCCCATGCCATAGAACTACCACATCACACACCACACACACCACACCATGCCATGCCATGCCATGCCATGCAATAATAATAAAAAGTAATGCCACATCCTCTCTCTCTGTCCCGACTGTCTCTTCCCGCTTGACCCAACAACTCTCCTTTTGCCAGCAAGCAAGCAAGCAACCATAAGTCCGTCGGACCGGGAGGAACATATTCGTACATATACAGTTCGGTTCGGATATTGGAAGCGTCCTTAGTAAAAAAACGCACCCAACTCGTCCGGCGGGTGGTTCGTGATGGGGTAAGGAAGTAAAAAACAAAAGGCGGCGATATGTAATTAGAAAACGCCGTTTATTACGGACGCCATTTGTGGTCGACTGGTCTAGTTGACGGTCATCATTTGCATCCGCGGCGAATCGACCGATGCCCTGCTCAAAATCGAAGGAGTGCTGCGACTGGTGGGCAGGCGTCTGGGTGGACTCGAAGCCGGGTCTACAAAGACGCGCGTGAAGGCGGGACTGCCGTCCGGGTTCTGGTGGCGGGGGTGCCGTTCGCGGCGGGGCGTCCCGGCAGGGCTTTGGGTGAGCAACTCGGCCCTGCGGACAGCGTCCGAGAGCGAGTCTCGCAGCTGCCCCGCCCGCTTGACCAGTTCCTGGAGGCTGTTGGTGTCGAAAAAGAGCTTCGCGTCCGGTATCTTGGGGGCCGGGCTCTTGATGCTGTCGGACTTCTGCTGCTGCTTCATGGCCTCAATCACGCTCGAGATGATCGTCGAGTTTCGGCTTAGGCTAGAGCATCTGCTCGGCGTGTGCGGCTTTGCAGGGGTCGCACTTCCTTCGTTCAGCGGCCAGTTACCGAAAATATCATCTTCGGGCGAGAACACGGACCGCCGCCGAGGGCTATGCCGCTCTCGTATCACGGCAGTCTTGGACATTTCAGGCTCCGGAAACCCAAAGGGGTCATCGATGTGGTCGAGAATGGATCCGTCGAACCCTTCCTCCAGGAACCGGTCATCGATGTTTGACCGATCGAAGTCCGTTGAGGGCCTCGTTGAGTCTAGTTCTTCGTCCTCGTCCTCGTCCGGAGACGCCAGGGCAATTATACCCTCGGCTTCTACCCACTTCGTTGCCATCGGTCCTCTCAGGATATCGAGGTCTTTGCCATGCCGACATAACCGTTTCAAGTCGTTGACTAGCAGCGACAGTTCGCGGATCTGACCGGAGTGTGCTCTTACGCTCGGCTGCGTTGCCCGGATTGAGGCAGGGACTACCATCGCGAAGCTCGTGGCCGAGTCTTTGCCGCCCGGTGAGCAGATCACGGACTCGTCCTCTTCGAACTCGAAGTCGTCGTCCCAGTCCTCGCTAGCCGTCTTGGTTCCCAAACCCCAAGTCCCAAATTTTGGCGGTGGCTTTGAGCCATCCGATAGATCGGGGACGACTATGGGGACACTCTGGCTCCGTACGTGAGCGACACCAGGTGGTTTGCGGTTTGTGGCACGACCTCCTCTCAGGTCCAACTCCTGCTTTCCGTGTACTGTCTTCGGCCGTGGCAAATCTGTGTCGAACTTGTCGTGGATCGAAGGTTCGGACCAATCGAATATGTTGCTCCTTGGCCGCTCGCTCAAGCTATCCCTCTGGGAATCAAGGCTGGCGCAGCCGCTGATGTTCCTGAGGGCTTGCCTAAACGTAGGACTGACGCGGCGGGAGTTGGTCGAGCTCGGGGGTGAGAGATGGTTGCTAAGAGTATTCTCGTCATCTCGTGCCCAGTCATCATCGTCATCATCGTCAAACGATAACCGTCCAAAGTCGCGGCTGTCTAGTGACAGGTCATGTGCAGCGTCAAACCCAAAATCGGTCTCCTTCCGGCTCTGGGGCCCAAACCCGGGCGCCTCGACCATATGCGTCGGCCTAATCGGCGTATCAACGCCCTCGTCCTCTTCAGTGATTTTTGTTTCGCCATCCCAAGAGCGCCCGAGCATTTCCTGAATTGACAACCGTTTTGTCTTGGTGTTGCTTGCAGTGTTAGGTGGGGAGTCATCAAACATGGACTCGACGGGCGTCTCGACAGATCTCATACGACCAGAAGAAGCTCCGGTGCGGAAAGAGTCATACATGCCGTCGCTCCTGAAGTCGGTATCCTCCTCGTCTCCGAAAACACCATCACGAGCTGACATGTCTGAGCCAGCAAGAGTTACGGATCGCTCGCCCGACGGCACTCGGCTGTGAGTAGTAACCGATGGGGTTTGGGAGTAATTAATGGGGCTGTGAAGCGCCCGAGTGGGGCCGGGCGAGCCTATTCGTGGGATATCCAGGTTGAAACTGGAGAGGCGATTTAGGGGAGGCAAGGGAGACGACGAGTTTCTCTTGCGGGTTCGGGGAAGTTCGGCTGAGCTGAATTCATATTCCGGCTGTTGCTGAGGGTTTTCTCGAGCCTCCGGTGGCGCATGAATTCCTTCGAGCCCTGGTTTTACCGGGGGGTGGGCTTGGTCGCGCGGCGCAGCCCCGGAGTCCGGGGTATATCGGCCCGCTCCTGTCTTTGCGTCGATAGTGCTCCGTCTTGGGCGCCGAGTGCTTCCGGTCCTCGAAATCCAATTGCCCGCTGAACTGAAATGCATCGAAAGGGACCTCCTTGGGGGCTGGTCTACACCTGAGTCGGGCGAATTGGACAGGTCGCTTGTGGTCGGCGACGCCTCCTCCGTTTCCCCAGTCGTGAAACGATCCGGCGGTGCCTCAGCTTCATCTTTCAGGACAGGAACATCGGCAACATCACCCGGCTTTGTGAGGTAGGCGCGAAAAATATTACCCCGGCCCAATGACAACCTCTTTCGCGGAAATATGTTGTAGTGGGGGCCGCTTCCGGGGGGCAAGCCCGAAAAATCTCGTCCCGACGATGTCGAGCGCCGGGCGTGGAAAAATGAGGTCCATTTCCTAGGTTGACGACCATGTTCTGCTGGGGGCGGAAAGGTCATGGAAGTTGGTGACGGATTGTAATGATCAGACGGGGACTTGACAGCCGGCGAAAGCGGCTCAACGAAAGCACCCTGATGCTGGAATTGTTGCATCGTCGCGGAACGTTGGTGGCTAGTCGCAGGCCTTCGGAGTGTCAGAACCTGCGATATGGAACCTCGACGTGTCGGCTCCCCTGCTATTCCGTTTTTCCCGGATGTTGTTCTCTTGACCAGCTTGTTCGGAGAAGAACGAGAGGTGGGTGACTGTCCAAGTATTGGAACGCCAGAACCGTGGGAAAAGGTCATTGACGACGAGTCTGGGCCCATGCTTGACCTTCGGCTCCCATGTTGGGACAGGGGCCGGAGAGATAGCCGCCGTACCCAGGATCCCTTTGACGATACCGAATCCCTACAATTCTCGGCTATGGGCTGCGAGGTTAAATCGCCCGGCCGTATGAACGACTGTCTCCTGCTGCTAGACCTCGGCGACGAGACCGAAATCCCGGTGAGAGGCCGTGGGACACTCGTTGGACTTGTCGGGCTTGTCGGATGTGACGTAAGAGGGCCCGGGGGCACATCGGTGAGCTGGCGGAAAGAGGCATACGGGAATTCCTCCGCTGGCGATGGGCAGGCGTAATAATTAGGGATGGCGCTCGTACTGGGACGGGGAGGGGCGGGCTGGACTCGGAAGCCGTCGTAGTCAGCGGGAAATCGGTGTTGGATTGGGCTCGACCACGGCGCTTCGGGTTCGGGTGGTTGACCAAAGACCAAACCAGCGGCAGCGGCAGCGGCAGCAGTGCCGGTTCCCACGAGCTACGGGCAGGTACGTTAGCATCCCTGGATAGCGGAGTATTTAACCTGCCGTACGGGTCGGAAACGGGACGGGGCCTTAAGGGCAGGGCTATATTTGGACTGCGAAGGGAGACGGAGACGTCCGAACCAAACGGGGTCCGTTTGTCCTCTCCGTTTGCGTTCCTGCCCAAGGCCCAACAAGGAATTCGCTGTCGGAACTTACACTCGGCACAGCCTGCATGTTAGCTGCGGGTGTGGTTATGTCGACGGCAAGCAGCCGGGGGAAAGAGGGGCGAAGCGGAATTCGGTGATCGTGAGGGTCGTGGTTTGCATCGTCAGGGCATTACGAAAAGAGGGACTTGTTCAAGAGGACGTGGAATGTGGATGCCGCAGGCGCGTTCTCGCAGTCGAGGTTCAGAGAACACCCGACTGGAGGACGATCGACCGAAAGAAGGCCCTTGCGCGTCGAGGGGCCGTTTCCAATGCGATGGAAAATATTACGCGGGGAGTCGGCCGAATAGACGGGCCCCCTTCCGTGGCGGCGTGATCGTGGGGAGACACGGTCGAGTCAATGGGGGGGGGGGGGATGTGGTCGGCGGTCGGCGGGCGGCGGGCGGAATTGCGGGCAGCAGCACCTAGTTGGCGGCGAGGCAATCCACAACAACAACGGTCGTTGCTATTGCCTGGACCGTCTGTCGTCTCGTTTGCGCGGCGGGCCGCAATTGGTGAAAATGGGCTGCGTCGAGATGCGATTAAGGCCGCGGCCGTGGGCCTAGCGCACACGTTTCTCGCTCTGAGCCGGGGAAGAAGCAACGTCGGTTTGAGAGAAAAACAAGCCAAAACAGCCAGAAGCCTGGCACAGAAACGCGACACGGGAAGGCGCAACTTCAGTGGGCCATCACCAAAAACAAGCTAAAAAGCTAACCTTAAAAGAGGGAGGTCCCGCTCTAACAACGCCGCCAGAGCAGAGAGAAAGAAACCAGAATAAAAAAGAGAGCGAATTTGGTCGGGGATCCAAGTCAACCCGAACAACAACAAAAACAGGTGCGAGCGGGCAGTCCACCTTCGCACAACAGTGGGAGAGGGTGGGAGCAACGAACAACAACCTGGAAGTTGGGTTGTCCAGCGCGAGGATCAAAGTCGTGCTATGCCGGAGGGTGGAGACGGGGGACTCCTTGGCTCACTTCATTGTTGCCGGATTGTGGCCCGGCGATGGCAGCAGCAGACACGGGCACAGGGGGTTATGGTTGAGGCCTGGCCAGGCTCTCCCGTCTCTCTCCCAGGGCTGGTCGCTCTGGAGAAGGCCAGCCAGGGTTGGCTTTTCGATCGTCCATCGCCCGCTTCTTTCGGGTATCGGGTAACCGCGCAGGAGAGTACCTAGGTGGACATACTTCGTAGCCCGGGCGACTCCGTTGCCCTCAGAACGAGACCTTTTCTTAACGCTAGCGTGTGCACGGAGGATTGCCTTGGCCCTGCTCCAATCTCGACAAAGCTGCGCCTGTTTGATGAGAATGCAGTGCTCTGCATCCCGCTGCTGCGCGCTTGCGCATTTTGGCCCGGCGGAACAAGTAAGTAAGCTCGCAGGAATTTGCCCGCCCAAGGGTAAAATCCATGGACAGCCAGTCATCCAGCTCCGTCGAACCAACATGCAACTGCATCAGCGCCTCCCTCTCACACAAGCCCGTCTGATGAGGCACTGAGGCTCCCGACCTGATCCCTGGATTTCCGGTGTGCCCCTTTTGGTCCCTCGTCCGATCCAGAGGTATAAACTATGTATTTCGTACTAGTGTATCCGTATGGCATGGCTTTCCATGACAAAATACTTGTCGATCTAATCGATCTCGCACCCGGGCAGGTGCTGATGCAAACCAAGATGGAGCAAATCGACTTGGAACAGCAAACCCGCAAACTTTGCCATTCTCGGGCCAAGAGCAACACAACACCACACCTTCCCTCCCACCCACGGGCGGCTGTCTTTTTCGAGCCTTTCAACCGGCCGCAGGGATGGCGTCGACCTGGAGAGCTGGACTCTGGGCCCCAGCAGCAATTAAACGATCCACCCGCGCCCGATCCACTCAATCCTTCCAAGGCACGACACAATCCCGCATTTTCAATGGACAGGAGCCATGCATTGCAGCATGACTTCCAGGAACGCGAAACAACCTCACCATGTCGTACTGACGAATCAAGGCTCTAAAACAGCACCCGGAGCCGATCCAGTTCGATGCCGTGGCTAGCCTTCCACACACACCGCACACACACACACACGATCGCGCGCCATCTGGGCCCGATTATTTTGGTCAACCTCTCCCTTGGCATTTGACATCTCCTTCCCCATTTACTTTCAAAATGACGTCTTACATCTAGCTGATTTATCAAGAGATTGTCTTGTGAACCCGTTGTTAAACCTGATAATGTTCCGAAAAGCCGGTGATTTCTAGTCAACCCTCGATTCTCCCTTTCCGGTTGCCCCAGAGCTCTGCCGTGTCTCTTCCTGAACAGGGGACAACCAAGCCGTATATCGGGTTCAGCACATGTATAATATCGGAGCCACCGCACCCAACTTATGGTTCAAGCAGACACAAGTCCGGCGCCAACCATCTGCGCGTTAGCACCCTCCCGTTTTTGGAACTCAGCCGTGCCGAACCAGAAGGCAAACATTTAAACAGTGGCGTGGTCTCACGAGGGGAATTCCTCCCCTCGAACACGGAATTTCCGCTCGACTACCCCTCCCCCCACCCCGACTGCCACCTCCCTTGTGTCCAAGCCGCGAGGCCGCCTCGGAAGCAAACCTCGAACAGCACTTCCATAGCCCTGTTAGTGGACCCTTCCCCGCAAAAGAACTTCGGCCATGGAAGCTCGACCCTGCCTTCGAAACGTTCCAGCCACTCAGACTCGTGCCCTCTTGTCTGCATCCGGGCAACCAGGCTTACTCACAGGAGGGGAACCAACTTGATCTTCAGATCTCCATTGTTTCCAACCACCACAAACTCATCAACCCCGATCGCTGACGGGTAGGGGCAGGAATCACAGGGAAAAAGAAAACCCCATGACCGAGCCCGGCGGGTCCGGGCTGATATGGGGGCGGCAAAAGCGAGCACCGCCTCCGAAGCAGCATTTATTGATTGCCCTCCTCGACACCGAGACAGCGGAACAGGGGGTTCTGTAGCACGCCACAAGTCCGCCAGCGGGATACTGTAACCGAAGGCTTGCTCCAATGTCTCAGGCCACGTCCCACCCCTCATGCTGTCTCGCGTGCCTTGAGGGCGGCCGCCGTGGCCGACAAAAGGCAAACAAGCCCATGACGGATGGGGTTGGTGACCTCGAATAGCCGTTTCCTAACCCGTTTTTGTGTGCTTTTTCTACCACACCATCTGCATTTTACCGCGCCATCTATCTCCCTTCGTTACGCCCGAACACAAACACTGACGGGCTAGGAATGCGTCCAGCAGTCTCTCTCGCCCAGCGTGCCGCCATGTTACGCAATAGAAGACGCCTTTTGTGTCTCGTCCCGCCGCATGCTGCCGCGCTTGTGTGGCGTGTCAATCAGTCAGGAATGGGTGCAAGTCAGTCAGCCGCCATGTATGTACGAGACGGTAGGTGGTTGAGCAAGGGGGCCCCCGCTGTGTAGGCGGCGAGGCTGAACCCCCGGCGGCAGGATGAGTATCCCCTCCGTCAGAGACATCGCCGGCGGAGGGAACACGTAGCTTGAGTTAGAAGCTGTGTAGCTCTGTTCTGCACGATCGGGCGGGTATCTGCTTGCGTGCTTCCTCTGCGCTGCTTGAGCCCTCCGAGTTTCGGACCCTTCTCGCGGAGTACGTGTGTACATACATACTGTGCTTTGCGAACCTTCCGGCGGATGGGAAGAGGCCTTTCGAGTCGAGTTGCCCGGTCACAGGGCATTCCAGACGTGGGGGTCTTCAGCGGGAGCCTCCCCGGCGTCGTTCATCTCTTGCCGTCTCCCCCTATATCACAGTCGTTGACGGGCCGGTTTCATAACTCAGCCGCTAGCCGCTGCCTTGTGATACCATGTTGCGTTGTTTTTTTTCCTCGCCAGCGGCGAGCAACGGCGTGAGAGGATGATGGGGAAAAGAAATGGCCGGTAGCATTGTCTCGGGAGCTCGATACGATATCGATCTATTCCCCCTTTCATCCTCTCGACATCTCAGACCGGCTCAGCACATCAACTGATAACGCCCGGCTCGGGATCCTGCACTCAATTACGCCGCCCCGCCTCATCGAGCTCCCGGTGGCGTTGAGCGGGGTGCTACTTGCGCCGCAGCGTGGTGACACATCTTTCTACCGCACCTGTGCATCATGTATCAATTGTCCGCTGTGTTACGGGGCATCGAGCTGAGAGGGATAGTCGTCGTCAACGAGCGAGCCGGGACCAAGGCGAGGCTCGGGAAGTTGAGCTGTGACCCGGCAGGACGGGCATTCGCATCAGAAAATCCCGGTGGCCCTGTCAACAACCCGAAGGCCTGCCGCTCTTGTGCAACAAGCCCGGTCAGAATTGTTGCCCGTGCCCTGCTTCGTATACAAAGGCGATTGTCAGATTTATCCATGCTGCGAGGTTTGGAAACGAGAACAGGGACAGGTTGCCCAGCGACAGTTCCGGTGTGGTGTCCAGGTCAGGGTGCTGCAGCGGGGGACGAATGTGCCGCCCGGAACCACGTTTCCAGAACCCTTGCACTTGCAACAGAGAGCCTTGATGCCGGCCGGTAAGGCCCAAGATGTCTCTAATTTAAAATAGCCGGCGCGGGACTTGAAACAGAAGAAACGCCTCAAGCCAAAGATCTTCTCGCTCTGCCACGAGTCCCAGGCTGGAAAAATGAGGTATTCACTTCAACGACTTGTTGACAAGCTAAACAGCGCTTCCGTGTAAAATCTCCGCTTCAGGACAGGGGCGTTGTCTTGATCTCCCATCGCCAAGCACAGATCTGTATGTAAATGGCACAGAACCTGACGAGAGACCAAGATATTGATGCCGCGATGCCAAGCCCGACCCGGAGAGAAGATATATCGAGATCTCCTAGTCCTGGCTACCCATATGGCGGTGTCTCCGTACATCTGCAGAATCCCAGGTCGAATGCCCCCCGGCTGATCCGATGACAGAAGAGCCGAGTCCGTGCTCGGGACAAGGAGCAAGGCAGGCCGGCTTTTTTGAATGAGCCGCCACTGGGGAAGGAGGCATTTTCTTGACAAGGTAGTTATCTGATATCAGAGATGGCCGTGATCCCGGGTGGCCCTCATCTGCGATGTTTCCGCATTCCATGCCCGGGTATTGAGGAGGAGCTGTCTGTGCCGTTTCGTCCAGACTTCCCGGGGTCGAATTGCCTCCTGCTGGCTTCCAACACTTGTTAGGATGCTCGCCAATATGTGCCAAGCCATGCGGGCAATCTTTCGATGCAGTCATCAAGCATGGCCAAGGCTGAAGAACTTTCCAGGTTCCTCGGGGATCTGCCCGAACTGCTCACGCACCCCACGAGGAAGGATCGAGATGCCACTGAAAGCCTTCAATCGCATAGGAGAGGGGACGCGCTGGATACCACAGGCGAAGGGGACCCCAGGGGGAAGAACGATGAAATCAATGGTACCGCCGTCGATCAGGCAACTGCGAACTCCTCGCAAATGCTCGCGAGCGGCATAGGGTCGCATTGGGGGGTCCAACAAAATGCTGCCACTGGGAGAACCCAGTCGGCCGGAAATAGAGCGATGGTCTGGGGTGAGACTTGTGCATTCCGATTGGCGAGGTGTCACACGTCGACGCGGGTGTGCGTAACAGGATTGAGCCGCGTTGAGATCGCGTCATGAGGGACAGCCTGTTTTTGTCGTAGCAGATCGTGGATGGGTTGTTGAAAAAACTAGCCATCAACATCAATCGATTCGTTGCCGGCGGTGGAAAAATTGAAGGGATCATCAGCCCTATGCAGTCGATGGTGATGTTTGGATGTTGTGAGGTTGTGTTGGAAACGTGGGGCAACCAAGCGCCTTGGTGGAAACCCTCCAAACCAAACCAGGCCATTCGCATCTTGGCCAATGATAAGTCAACCGGTGCTGCCAGTTGTCGGCGGCTGCCGGGGAAAGACGGGCAGATCGCAACCACATCCCACCATTCGAAAACTGCCCCGCCAACGCCCGCCTTGCTCGGCGCCAAAAAATCCAGGGACCAGGAACCGGAGGCAATCGCGTGATACTCATCAGCCGCCCGTCCCAATCCAGCAGGACTTGCATTTTTGTGTGCATTACCAAGTGGTGATCTGATTCCGAGTTTCGGGTTTTCGCACCTAAACTAACCGAAGCCCACCATGGATTCCGAGATCCGCGCCGTGCTCCCGAACATCGACCCCGTGCTTTCGGAGTACTCGGCCGGTTATCTCACCCATGCCTCCACCGCATGGGCCGGTGATGAGGAGACTGCCGGGCCGTCCCCGCTCAACGAGGCTGCCTCCACCATCACGGAACTCCTTCTCTCGGCTTCCGGGAGCTCTGGTGCTGCCACCCATGACAAGATCCGGGGCTTGGTAGAGAAGTGGGTTGAGAAGTATGCCGCCAACACCAACATCGAGGAGAGGAGGGGACCGGCGGTCAAACGTCTTGACCAGACCATCCAAGTGAGCTCTCAGAGGAACATGTCCTCGACCCTGGCTGTTGCCACCGGTGCTGTGGACCTCGAGTCTGCCAATGTTCGCAAGGTCGAGTCCAAGGTCGACAAGAAGAAGCTCGAAAAAGCCGAGCGCAAGATTGCGGCAAAGCAGAATAAGAAGACTTTCAAGACTGTTGAGTATGAGGCTTCACGTTTGATCAACCAGCCGGACTCGACCGAGTCATACGAGGAGTTCTACATGGCTGTCAACCCCCTGCAGCTGGGTGGCCAGGGCGGGAAGTCCAAGGACATCAAGATCGACAATATCGATGTGTCTATTGGAGGGTTGAGGATCTTGACAGACACTACCCTGACTCTTTCCTACGGCCATCGTTACGGTCTCGTTGGTAACAACGGTATCGGTAAATCGACTCTTCTTAGGGCTCTCTCACGCAGAGAGGTGCCTATCCCAACCCACATCTCCATTCTGCACGTCGAACAAGAAGTATGTCCTGTTCCTTCCTGAACTTAAATGTACACCGGCTGACGAAACGGCAGATTACTGGAGACGACACGCCGGCACTCCAAGCCGTTCTGGATGCCGATGTCTGGCGCAAGGTGCTGCTTAAGGAGCAGACAGTAAGTTGCCGCTCAAAGAGTGACACACCCCACTCGCTTCCGACTAACACCTTGCAGGAAATCACCCAGAAGTTGGCAGAGATCGAGGCACAGCGAGCGTCAATGGCCGACACATCCACCGACGCTGCGAAACTGGACAAGGACCGTGAAGCCCAGGATCAACGCCTCGGAGACATCCAAGCCAAGCTCAGCGAAATGGAGTCCGACAAGGCGGAATCTAGGGCAGCTAGTATTCTGGCTGGCCTGGGTTTCTCGACCGAGAGGCAACAGTTTGCTACCAAGACCTTCTCTGGTGGTTGGAGAATGCGTCTCGCCCTCGCTCGAGCCCTATTCTGCGAACCTGACCTACTGCTTCTCGATGAACCGTCCAACATGTTGGACGTCCCTTCCATTACCTTCCTCTCAAACTACCTACAGGGCTATCCCAGCACTGTTCTCGTCGTATCCCACGACAGGGCGTTTCTCAACGAGATCGCCACCGACATCATGCACCAGCACTCACAGCGGCTCGACTACTACCGCAGTTCCAACTTCGACGCCTTCTACGCCACCAAGGAGGAGCGGAAGAAGACGGCCAAGAGGGAGTACGAAAACCAGATGGCGCAGCGTGCCCATCTCCAGGCTTTCATCGACAAGTTCCGATACAACGCGGCCAAGTCGTCGGAAGCCCAGTCCCGTATTAAGAAGTTGGAACGCATGCCTGTACTGGAGGCTCCCGAGGCGGAATACAGCGTTCACTTCAAGTTCCCAGACGTTGAGAAGATGTCGCCCCCAATTGTTCAAATGTCCGATGTTACATTCGGCTACTCCAAAGACAAGATCCTGCTCAGGAACGTCGACCTCGACGTCCAGCTCGACTCGCGAATCGGTATCGTCGGGCCCAACGGAGCCGGTAAAACGACGATCCTCAAGCTCCTTATCGGCAAGCTACAACCGACAAGCGGCCTCATCTCTCAAAACCCCCGATTGCGCGTCGGGTACTTTGCCCAGCACCACGTTGACGCTCTCGATCTTGACGCGAGTGCCGTCACCTTCATGGCCAAGACCTACCCGGGCAGGACGGACGAGGAGTACCGGCGGCAGCTGGGTGCCTTCGGCATCACGGGCACGACGGGCCTACAGAAGATGGAGCTGCTGTCTGGTGGTCAAAAATCCCGTGTTGCGTTTGCCTGCTTAGCCCTCACCAACCCCCACATTCTGGTCATGGACGAGCCGTCTAACCACTTGGATATCGAAGCTATGGATGCTTTGGCCGAGGCCCTCAAGGAGTTCGAGGGTGGTGTGCTGATGGTGTCCCACGACGTGACGATGCTGCAGACCGTCTGCACCTCGTTGTGGGTGTGTGACAATGGCACGGTGGAGAAATTCCCTGGTGATGTACAGGCGTACAAGAAGAGGATCACGGCACAGGCAGATGCTGCGGGTGTTGTCAAGGCCCATTAGGGTGGTATTTTACAATATGAACATCCACGGTTGTGGGATGGTGTCCCCGGCTTACCAAGCTTGAAGACGTGTCGTTTCATGAAATGTGATATGTCTGACGCTTTGAGCCTGCTGTGAAGTGGTGTCACCAATCCGGGTTAAGCGGACAGGCACCAGCAATTATCAGATTTCGAGGAAAAAGCAACAAACTCTGATATCCACCACACCGAGTTTGCTGGGTTCAGGATTAAAGTTGTGGTCTCTCGACAGTATAGTGTGGAATATTGAGCCAAACAAACCCCCAGGGAAGGAAATCGACGCTTGAAGCCAGCTTTGATGTGTTTCACCGCAACCGTTTGGTCTCTCCGTTCTGGTCCAAAATGAGGTTGACGGTGTGAATGTTCACTTCCCCCACATTGAATCCACCTTGGCACAGACATAACCGGCCTAGCGCGTCGCGACCCCCTCCATCACCCTATCAAATCGGGCATAGCGTAAACAAGAGAGGGAGAACGCAGGGACCACCAGGCAGCCAGAACCTGCCCAACTCTGTTTTGATTGGCGGTGCCTGATCTCCACTCGGCAACAGCAAGCGGTGTGCGATCCTCGCCTTTTCATTTCTTGCCCCAAAAATCAACAATCTCCTCTTCCCGACCGACTTCCCCACAACCACGACTGCTTTTCCACCAGCTCACGTCCTCGACTTCAGTTTTCCTCTTGCAGATTCCCATACCAACTTTCAACACAAACCGCCAAAATGCGTGAGATTGTAAGTCGCCCCGCACATACTGAGCCGCAGTGCTGCGTCGCGTCCTGGGAGCTTTTTTTTTGGGCCCCTAATCTACCCCACACATGGGGGACGGACCTCATTTCAACAGCTCCCGACCGAGGGCAAACGCGGCAAACGCGACGATGGTGCAAAGAAACATGATGCTAACTGCCTTTCCTCCTCTAGGTCCACCTCCAGACCGGCCAGTGCGTAAGTTGGACCGATTCGAACATCACGCCCGATCGATCACCAGTGCGGGTTAACTGACATGGGGCTCTCCAGGGTAACCAAATCGGTGCCGCCTTCTGGTATGTTTAAGCAAAGCAAACACTCATGGTTGAGGGTAATCGAGACTAACTTCTTCTCCAGGCAGACCATCTCTGGCGAGCACGGCCTCGACAGCAATGGCATGTACGTAGCCGTGGACAGTCCCCGACCGATAAACTCCCCGCTCACCGCTTCGATAGTTACAACGGCACCTCCGAGCTCCAGCTCGAGCGCATGAACGTCTACTTCAACGAGGTCAGTCAGGTTCAACACGTTATACAGCCAAGGGAGGGCGTGCTGACAGTATCGTACAGGCTTCTGGTAACAAGTATGTTCCCCGTGCCGTCCTCGTCGACTTGGAGCCCGGCACCATGGATGCCGTCCGTGCCGGCCCCTTCGGCCAGCTCTTCCGCCCGGACAACTTCGTCTTCGGCCAGTCAGGTGCCGGCAACAACTGGGCCAAGGGTCATTACACCGAGGGTGCCGAGCTCGTTGACCAGGTCCTCGACGTCGTCCGTCGCGAGGCCGAGGGCTGCGACTGCCTCCAGGGCTTCCAGATCACCCACTCCCTCGGTGGTGGTACCGGTGCCGGTATGGGTACCCTCCTGATCTCCAAGATCCGCGAGGAGTTCCCCGACCGCATGATGGCCACCTTCTCCGTCGTGCCCTCCCCCAAGGTCTCGGATACCGTTGTCGAGCCCTACAACGCCACCCTCTCGGTCCACCAGCTGGTCGAGAACTCGGACGAGACCTTCTGCATTGACAACGAGGCTCTCTACGACATCTGCCTGCGCACCCTGAAGCTGTCCAACCCCTCGTACGGCGACCTCAACTACCTGGTCTCCGCCGTCATGTCGGGCGTCACCGTCTCGCTGCGTTTCCCCGGCCAGCTCAACTCGGATCTCCGCAAGCTGGCTGTCAACATGGTCCCCTTCCCGCGTCTCCACTTCTTCATGGTCGGCTTCGCTCCCCTGACCAGCCGTGGCGCCCACTCCTTCCGCGCCGTCTCCGTTCCGGAGTTGACCCAGCAGATGTTCGACCCCAAGAACATGATGGCCGCTTCCGACTTCCGCAACGGTCGCTACCTGACCTGCTCTGCCATCTTGTGAGTTTCCTCCCCCGTGTCCGATGCAGGCACCGACAGGTTGCTAACGATTTCACAGCCGTGGCAAGGTCTCCATGAAGGAGGTTGAGGACCAGATGCGCAACGTCCAGAACAAGAACTCGTCCTACTTCGTCGAGTGGATCCCCAACAACGTCCAGACCGCTCTGTGCTCGATCCCGCCGCGCGGCCTCAAGATGTCGTCCACCTTCGTTGGTAACTCGACGGCCATTCAGGAGCTGTTCAAGCGTATTGGCGAGCAGTTCACTGCTATGTTCCGTCGCAAGGCTTTCTTGCATTGGTACACTGGCGAGGGTATGGACGAGATGGAGTTCACTGAGGCTGAGTCCAACATGAACGATCTCGTCTCGGAGTACCAGCAGTACCAGGATGCTGGTGTCGACGAGGAGGAGGAGGAGTACGAGGAGGAGATTCCCGTCGAGGAGGAGTAAGTTCGCTCGCTTGCTTCGAGCCCTCTGTATCCGCCACGGTCGGACGGCACTTGTTGGACATGCTAGTCCGCTGTGAGCTAGTCTCTTCGATGGGTGGATAATGATCAGAGCAGGCGGGTTGCCGCTATTTCTTCGCCTTACCTGCAGTCTGCGTCTGTGGATCGAGACCGTTTGAGTTTTAGCGGGGGGGATTGTGTGTTGGTGATATCCGTAATTGATAGGAAAGCGGTCACATCTGACGTTAGTTCAGTTGGGCCCTACATCCATCAGGCAGAAAATACATACACCTTGTATATGGTGTCTAATACTTGCCACGCCTGGCTGCGCTGCCTGCCCCTCGTTTAAATGTTGGCTTGTGTCATGTCATGTACCGCGTGTGTTATCCAAGGCGCGTTGTCTGTGATGGCAGTCTGGTGTAGTCTGAAGCCCTGTCGTCCCCGCTCCTCTCTCCCTCCGACTTCATCAGCTATTTATTGTTTGCAAAGCTGGGAAATTTTGGCTCTGCTGCATCCTGCTTGCTTAGGCTTCTCTACGCTCTTCCCTCCAATTTGTGCTAGGCTTTGTTGACGCAAGCGGTTCGCGCCGTCTTGTGTGGGTTGCCCTCCTGGGTTGTGCTTGGGCGCGCGCGAGCATGAGAGGGCGGGAGGGATATGATGGACAAGATGGACAAGGGGGTGGGATATGATTTATAAGGGGGGATGATGTATATGTATGGGGATGGGGAATGGGATAAAGGGGTGGGGATTGGTCTTCCGCGTCGCGGGGTTGGGGAGCTGCTGAGTTGCTTGTTTTTCGGAGAGGGCGAGCACAAGGACCATGATTGTTAACGTTGGCTGCTGTTGTTCGAGTGTCCCGCCCGGCATGGCTGGGTTGATGTATGTATGTATGTGGCACTAATCCCTTATGAAGGAGCAGTGTGCTTACGAGGGGAGAACGCCGTGGGTTAGTTGGAGAGTGATGGGCCAGTCTTGTGTGTTGGAGGTGAGAGGGCAGGTTCGATGAAGTTGCAGGTGCTGTGCTTGGTAGCAGTCCGTGTGACACGTCGTGGCAGAATACCGGGCTGGGTAGCGTGGAGAGGGCGGGCAGTAGATTATCAGGCTGGTGCGGGCCTTGACAATTGGAGTTGGTGATGGCAACTACCCTTGTGCTCGTGGAGGAGGGTTGAAGTGAAAACACATTGGCGATGGGGCAAAATTCCCTGCCATGAAGGGACTGGCCACCACTCCAGCAAGTGCTAGTAGATCACTTGCCATCCGTGGATTGCATTGTAGACCGAAGTCCATGACAAACAATCTTCCCTTACTACCACGATATATATACACTATACGGCGAGAAGTAGCCGGTCTCTGTGTTGGGAGTCTCCTCCGCTAACCACGCCCAGGGACGACATGGGTTTGCTGAACTTGGAACAACCTTTCGTCCGTAGTGTTAGGGCCGTAAGGATCTCTTCATACACCACATTTCCCCTGTGGAGTTATTGTTCTGGGCATCCCAGTGCCGGTTCCCAGTGCCGGTTCGCAAGACCTCGCCGGTGGGTTATCACCATTTAGCATAGAACTCCGCAATATACCTATCTCCATGGTTCGAAAACTAACCATGACTATATTAGTCCTGCAACAATGCCTGTAAGGGGCAGGTTGAACCAGTTGCAAGAGACAAAAGTTTATCGGCTAGCCCCCTTAAGCGGAAGGGAGGTATCTGGGCTACGAAACCCCTCGGGGGTTTGCTTCGGTTTGCCGTGATGAAGAGGGCATTTCCTGAACCCCCCCTTAAGAAGGGGACGGGCCCCTTTCTTTTTGCTCCATCCCCCGGGCGACTCGAACTAGCGACATCTGGGGAGAGACACATCTGGAGGTCCTGCCCCGGGACCTTGACCTCCTGCCTTGACCGTTGTGACACCGACGGAGTCGAAACTTTTATATCTAGTCTTGCCAACCAGTCCAGTTCAACTCCTGATCGCTTTGACTGCTTTCCTGCACCCGAGCGCTGTCAACTCCGCTTCGAAGCCATCTAGCTTTACCTCTACAACTCACAAGCCAACCACTTGTCGATTAAGCAGCATTCACAACCGGCCTAAGGTTTCAGGTGCTCTTTCTCGGAACCCTGGGACCGATAATGCCGAAACCCATGCCCTAGGTAGTCGTATCAAGACCCAGGAGTCTTTCCTCTGTCGGCCAGCAACGCCCCGACCGCCGATGAGAGGAACCTGCCTCGCTCTCCGTGGGCGGCGGTCTCGCGCGCATGTCCACGCACACGGGAAGTTGTAGGAGACCGACAATACGCAACGCCATGGTGAATTCGTCCGTTTCGGAACCTCGGTCTCGTCACCGAGTCTACCAAACATCCAAAGTACACAGCCACAGGGATTCGTCATGGACCGTGATGAACTCATCAACATTTACTCGAACCACGCCTTAGGAAAACGCGTATCCGCGCAGTGGGCTGTACATGCACAAGATGCTCAGATGAAGCCTATCTGGGTCGTACGAACGGCTCGGTGGTAACGTTGACTTTCACGTGGCATCGCAGGCGCGTTTGGCCCAAGACATTAAGCTTCAACTCGGTCAGGGTCGGTGTGGTATAATTCCATGCCGGCTCCCCAAAACGGCAAATGAAGGTAAGGGGGGAACGCGCCCGTGTCGAATGGACCGTCACGATTCAGCCAGCCGAGAGAGCACAGCCTCAAGTCCGACTCGGCTCTTTTGTGCACGCTCTGCAGACCGCCTAGTCGATGCAACATGCTGTGTGGGATATTGTCAAACTATTACCTGGGTCTCAAGGGTCACCGGAAAAGCCGTTCACGTTGTCGAACGCATGATAGTTACGGGAAGCACGGGTATTCCCACCAGGCTTACCGGCCGGCAGCCTTGTGGCCCGTTGTCCCGGCGCCGCTGGACCATCGGGCCATGAGACAGCGGGACGCCGGAAAAGTCGTGCCCCCTCCGCTGTCCCCCATGCCGCCCGTTGGACCGAGCACATGAAGAGTGGCCGGCCTAAAGGGCCCTCGTCCTCGTGTTTGTGGCTTCAGGATCACAAGCCCAGTCGGCAAGAGAGCTTGCCATCCAGGCAACTGGTTGTCCCACGTCAGGGAGGATCAACGTGCTCCTGCGACTTGCCGGACAGCGGGTCTCAGCCCCAATAGGCCAGAATGCCCCATCCGGCTCTCTTTCACTCAGGCGCTAGGGCGATTGGGTGCTGACTGCCAACGCCATGTTCCGTTCTCCTGGGTCATCCGCTCCCGCACGTCGTGGCGGCAACGGCTGTTGGGGGATAATTAACTGATACCCTCTTACTCCCGGAGCCGTGTCTACCAAGTAAGGCGGAGATGAGGCACAAACCCCGACGGAGTTTGGTCTCTGGGAAACATAAAATCCGAAAGACGGGACGCCGGGAACCATGGGAGATGGCCTTGTCCCCCCGGGTCACGAGGAGCAGGGGTTTGAGTCCGAGGGGCCGCCGCCGCAGGCCTTCTCCCGGTGTCTCCTTGCTCTGCAATTGAAGGATTCTAGAATGCTGCCAAGGGCGCTGTGTCGAGGAGCGAATCATGATGCGTGCCCAGTTTGTGCCGCGGACAGAGAAGTGCCAACGTGGTGTAACACACGTGTTCTGCCCGCCATTTGGAATTTCTATAATGAGTTTATTAACACCACCATCGTTTGGAGAGCCGACGTGGACCGGGTCTATACTGGGACAGGCAGCGTTCAGTCCACGACAGCAGCAGAGGGAAACGGAGGGGCAGGCATGTTCCCAGGCTCTGCTTGTTTGCCTTCCGCCTTTCGCCTCCCGGCATGAAGGCGTTCGGAAGGATCGTGATGGGAATACTGTGTAGCAGGGCTCAGTTAGGCTGGCGAAGTCGTGTTGTCTGTTGATCTGAACACGGGCGCAGATCATGAAATCCGCTTAGTGGAATCGCACGCGAGGTGTCTCAGCGCCATGCAGTACACGGGTTTCGGTGGAAAAGCGGGAGTGCCCATCCTATGACGACCGCCAAGTTATTCGATCAGTCTCCGATGCGCATCGGGAGGATTGTGGCAACGATCCATCCTGTACTACATACAGACAAGAAATACGCAGTGTCGAGGCAGTTGACGGTTTACGGGGACTTGATCGACGTCAGGAAGAACGCGGGGTGTCGATGATTGGATCGGCCTGTGACTCGACAAAATCCATGATGGCTGTGGTGGCAGCAGCCCCGGGTACGGTGGCAGGTGGGTACTGTGTATGGTGGTGGGAAGGTGGTGGGAAAGTGGTGGGAATGTGCTCGATAAGAAAATGGATGTGCGGTGTTTCCGAATTTGGACTATCGTTGAAACCAAAGCAAGAACGGTGGGCGGTCCGTACCTCCCTATTCCGGTCACCGGGACAGTATTCGTCTCGGAATAGAAAATACGATGTGTGTCTGGGATTTGTCAAACTCGCTGACTGCCAGTGAATGGCACACATTGGTGGTCGCTTCTCCAAAAAAGGTGTACCGCGATGCGACTGGCTCGACCCCCCGTTGCAACCCATCCATGTCTCTCGCCCAGTGGTGTTTTGGGTGAGGTTGAACCGAGAGGGACCTTGCAGGAAAGAGGTGGAGGGGAGAAAGCTTGGCATGAGTGGCCGCGGCCCCTGTTGACTCGGGCGAATACCAGGAACCGAGTGGGGCACCACCGAACCCCAGCACGCCCAGTCTCCGCCCCACCCCGCTCCTTTTTGCTGGCAGTCCCCGCGCTCTCACCAAGAACAGGCGGGAATTGCACTGAACTGCTGCGCCGCCAAACTCGCTTGTTTCGATGCACTGTAACGCACGCCAAGTCTGCTTGCGTTCTTCTCGACTGATCCAAGTCCTGCACCGTCCTGCACCGTCCTGCACCTCAAGCTGTACAGCCCCAGCCCCACGGCCCCCATGCGCGTTGAGGCTCGCTTTTCCACAGTCGCACAGTCGCAAAGTCGCAACCGCCTTTCCCTTCCCTGCGCCGAAAGTACTGTGTATGCAACCATCGTCAATGCCCTGACACCTTGACTCTCGCCCGCGATTTCGCTAAACCGGGCGTATCCTTTCTCGCGATGCATCAGTCCCGTCCATCATTTACCCAGAGCGGGTCTATGATGCTCTGACCCTTGCGACTCGTCGAGATACGGGCAAGTCCGAGGAGACGCGGCAAATACCCCGCTCTTGTCATCGACTCGTGGCTGGAGAGGTGGTGACAGGGACACAAGATGGATGGGTGGATGGTTACACACAGGACTTCGAAGGACCTGGGACATTCTCGTTGACGCGGCAAGTCCCTCGCAGTCGCTCGCAATTAGGTGGCGGTCCCCAAAGAGAGAA